CAGACAGATAACACCACAGTCAGCCTGACATTCGGTGTAACATTCAGATAATGTTCATTCATTCAGATAACGCTCGTTCATTCAGCCTAACATTCAGCCAAACGTTCAGCCCAACGTTCAGCCCAATGTTCAGCCTACTGTTCAGTGTAACATTCAGCGTAACGTTCAGACAGATAACACAGTCAGCCTAACATTCAGGGTAACATTCAGATAATGCTCATCCATTCAGCGTAATGTTCAGATAACGCTCACTTAGTGTAACATTCAGATAACACTCATTCATTCAGCCCAACGTTCAGATAGCACACAGTTAGCGTAATGTTCAGATAACGCTCATTCAGGCTAATGGTAGGATGAAGCAATATATATATATATATTTGGCTACTGCGTGCTACGGATAGTACTACATGGTACGAACCTTGGGCGAAAGAGTGGAAATGTCATGTGCTCACCATGTGGTCATGTTCTGTGTATTTACTTGCATCGCGCGAATGAGGACGGCGGTGCGTTGTGCAGACACAGCGATGTTCGAGGACTGGGACGGTGGACTTGCCTGCCCGTCGACTTAGCGTGCATGCACGGTGTCGCTGCGCATTCCACGCATCTGGCTGAGTCACGCGGATGAGGACGGCGGAGCATTGCGCAGAGTCCGCGGGGTTCGAGGGGACTGAGAGAGCGGCGTTCGAGAGGAGTGGGACAGCGGCGTTCGAGAGGAGTGGGACAGCGGCGTTCGAGGGCAGTCACACGGCGGACTTGCGTGCCTGTTGACCTAGCATGCCCGCGCGCTGTTGTGGCGGTTTCCGCATGTGTGGCTGGGTCCTGCAGACGAGGACAGTCTTGTGCAGAGATGGCGGCATTCGAGGGGAATGGGATGGCAGTGTTCGAGGGGACTCGAACGGCGGACGGTTGACCTAGGGTCCCCGCACGCTGTTGCTCCGCGTTGCGGGTGTGTGGCTGGGTCGCGCGGACGAGGACCAAGGTACGTTGTGCGGAGATCGCGACGTTGGAGGGGAAAGGGACGGCGGGGTTCGAGGGGAGTTGGACGAGGCGTTCGAGGGAACTGAGGTCGCGGCGTTCATGGGGACTGAGATGGCGAAGTTCGAGGGGACTGGGATGGCGAGGTTCGAGGGGACAGGGACGGCGGACGTGCGTGCCGGCCCGTCATTGCTGCGCGTTCCGCGTTGTGTGGCTGGATCGCGCGGACGAAGGCGGCGGTGCGTGGTGTAGAGACGGCGGCGTTCGAGGGGACCGGGACGGCGAGGTTCGAGGGGACAGGGACGGCGGACGTGCGTGCCCGTCGACGCACGATGGCAGGCCATTGTTGCTGCGCATTCCGCGTCTGTGGCTGGCCCGCGCGGACGATGCAGGCTTTGAGTGGAATAGGATGGAGGTATGTGGCTCGGCCTATGCGCCGTCGGGTCGTTGCTCCTCATTCCCTGCGTCGGCGTCGGGTCTTCTAGAGGTGGTTAGCACCGTTAAAAAAACCGAAAACAATTTTTTTACTCACCTTGATGACCCGATCGCTACTGGGTAAACGCGCGCTCAAACGTGTTGCGTTTGAGTGCGCCAGAGACATCGAGCCGCAGGCCAGCGCTCGATGTTTGACGGGAGGTCCGGGGCGCGATCGTTCACCGCAGAGGGCGAACTCGCATCGACGAGGATAGGGCGAGGGTGCTGAGCGGTGACGAGGGCCCTCGTCGGGGGATGGAGGCCGCGAGGAGGGGGCTAAGCGCCGTTGTGGCATCGCGGGTCCGGTGTGACGACCGGGCCCGGTCGTTCACCACAGCGGGCGAACGTGATTCGAGGAGGCTTGGCCGAGGGTGCTGTGAGGTGACGTGGGCCAGCGTCGGGGCCTGGAGACCGCGAGGAGGAAGGTCGGCGCGGTTGTTTCTCCGCGGTGGCTGACGCGACCACTGAGGTGCCGTCGTTCGCCGTGGTCTGCCTGAGCATGTCGAAAAGGGCTGAGGGAGGCTGCGGGGAGATGGGGTGGGGTGGGGTGAGGCTTCAAGGGGCCTCCGCGACCGTGAGGAGGGGGCAGCATGCCGCTGTTGCACCGCGGTGGCTGGCGCGACAACGACGTGGCTGCAAAATGTTAGCACGGTGGGATAGGGACAAAAAGGCATTTTTTTACTTACCTGGTATGTTCTTCGACCTCCGAAAACCAACGTGCCGCCGAACGTTTGCGTTAGACGGCCTGGGGGAGTGCGAGGCGGAGGGTGTAGGCTGGTGTGACGACCGGGGCGCCGTCGTTCATCGTGGTGGGCCTGCGCGTGAAGGAGAGGGTCGACGAATGGTGCAGGCAGGTGGAGCGGGGTGTGGCGAGGCTTCGCGGGGCCTCCGCGACCGCGAGGAGGGGGACTGCACGCCGCTGTTGCACGGCAGTGGCTGACGCGACAACGACGTGGCTGCACAATGTTAGCACCACGAGATAGGGACAGAAGGCTTTTTTCTGGACTCACCTGAAATGCCCTTCAACCTCCGAAAGCAAACGTGCCGCCGAACGGTGCCGTTCGACTGCCTGGGGGAGCGCCAGGTGGAGGGAGGTGTCGCCATGTCTCGGAAAAAACCAGAAAAGACGGCCCAAACAAGCAAGAGAATCGAAAAGAAAAGGAGAGCAACGGCGAGGAGAAGCCTCCTCGCCGTTGTGAAAGGGTGTCGCGGCGGTGAGCCAAGCAGGAGCAGCGCGAAAGCTCTAAGTCCAACTGGCGCTTGTTGGGCGACGGCTTTCCCACGCCCTGCTGGCCCGCGCAAATGCTCGGACTCCCGCCCTCGTTCGCTCGTTCGTTATTGCTCTTAGATCTTACATTATTCTAAACTTTTTAACCCTTACTCTACCCCGATGCTATCCCCCGCGCCCGCTCTCCCGGTAAGTTCACCCGCTACCATTTATTCCCCAATTTGGCAGCTGACCTGCCCGTCTAGGCAATTCCTGCGCGCGTCGATATGGGCACCAGGATATAACGACAAGCACCACATTCGCGTACGACCAGTAAGTCAAATCATGCTTTCCTCAGGTTTCTACACTCATTTACAATGTTTTCCCATCAGAAACATTGCTCGCACGTCGGAGACCGACGCGACCTATGTTCTCCACGGCTTTCCCATGGCGACGCTGACAACCCTCCTCCATGCTCGCGCGTCTTCCTACCATCACCGCCCCTCCTCCGCCCGCGCTAGCATAGCAGACGTCAGACGCGCACCCCTCCCGCTCCCTGTCTGTCGCCCACTATCCTCTGTCTACACTCCCTTCGCGGTCATTGCTCCCTGAGTCTCCGATGATAGGTACGACGTTCGCATAGGACCAGTAAGTCAATTCGTGCTTCCCTCACATTTCTTCACCGATTTACATCATTCTCATTCCATTAGAAACATTGCCTGCACGCTGGACGCCAATGCAGCCCATCGTCGTACGTCTTTCCTATAGTGACGCCGACAATCCTCTATGCTCGCCCATCTGCACACACGCTCGCCCCGTCCTCCCACCAAATATCCGCTCCGCGTCAACCCCCGCTCTGGCCGATTTCCGCAGCCAGTAGACAGCGAGCCCGCACATGTAACATAGCGATCGGTGCGTCCCCCGCCCTTCGCTGACGTCCCACGCAGGACCGTTTTGAATGAAATATATTTTTTGTCGACGCAGGCGGGTCTTTGAGGGGGGCTGTGCGGTGGAGGTCGAGCGTGTCTGGCACGTCCCGTTGATGACTGAGGGCGCTCGGATTGTGTTCGGACGTGTCGTGCTCACTCGACGCGCCTGTGGTGGGTGTAGAGTATGGCGTGCATTCGGAGGATGAGAAGTGGCAGAAATATATTGGTAGTAGCTACGACATATGTACGGGGTGGGCACACATGCAGAGACAGCGGCGCGCTGATGCGTGAAGGCGCGGGGAGTAGTTGCGGATAATGGGAGCGCGTGGTGGGAGCCTTGCGAAGCATAGAGCTCGAGAGGGTGTTCGAGGAGAGGTCCTGGCATACGGACGGTGTGCTACGTTATCTGCGAGGGCGTGCGGGCGCGCTTGCGATAAGCACGGAGGGGGCGGGACGCAGTTGCACTGGGAGAGTGGAGACGATGGTGGTGCGATGGTGGAGCCTGCGCGAGAGGGCGAACGTAGCAGTACGCGCGGAGCTAGTTGTGCTCTACGACGCGCGCGATGACGTGGGCATCTGCCAACGCGAACTCACCTGCGAAGGACGGTCGGCGTGGAGTATTGCGCTCGCGAACGCGTGTGTTGACGTCCGTGCCAGAGCACTCCGAGCAGATAGAGAATCTCGTAACGCGGCGGGTAGATCTCGCACTGGAATAATTAAATATTCCCTCGTACTTACGATATCGCGTCGTCGTCCAAGTTCTCGTCTGCTGACGTCTCCGCGCTGCGAAGATGCCCGTGCCTTCTGCGGGCCAAGCGACCGGCGTGCACACCTCGATGTGTGTGCCCTGCTGCGCGTTGCTGGCTCGTCCATCGGCTGAGTGTCCGCGCGTCCGGGGTAAAAAAAGAATACGGCGATTTGCGCGCGCGCACGTCGAGCACTTTGCAGCGGGCCAGAAACGCGAGCGCTCTACTTAGCGTTCGGGAGGGCGCACGCAAACCTCCTGCATCGGGCAAGCCGGAGAGAAGGGAGAGGGAAGAAAGGTTCGTGCCAGCCCAGGGCAGGAACGAACAACGACGTGGGGGGCGGACGAGCGTACGGCGGAGAGTACGCGCCTTGTGCATGCGGTCAACAGCGAGTCCGCGCACAATTCGAAATGCACTGTGCGGCGGCTACCGCACCTCTCCCGGACGAGTTTCGCGGGCCCATTCTGCTCATTGGAGAGCTGGTTGTGTCGACATGGGCTGAAATGCGTCGATCACGGCTCGGAGGTGGGATATGAGTGCGCCATGCTAGGTCTCGGGGCTGGGTCATGGCTTGAAGGGGGAAAGCATCGAGGGACTGGCAGTGAAAAATACGGACCGCGTGTCGCAAGTATCTTCTGGATGTTTCGACACGAGGGTGTCGTCCGTCGTCTCCGCGAGTGGGAAGCGCCATTCGAGGTGTTTGCTACGCGGACAGTGCGCCCGCAGCGACGAACGCAGGTGCGGAGGAGGCGAGACGTTTCAGCGATGCGAGCACGCGGGCTTGTGCAGAGATGGCGGGGATCCAGGGGAATGGGACGGCGGGGTTCGAGGAGAGTCGGATGGCGGATTTGCGTGCCCGTCGACCTAGCGTGCCCACGCGCTGTTGCAGCGGTTTCCGCGTGTGAGGCTGGGTCGCGCGGACGAAGACAGCGATGTGTTGTGTGGACTTGGACGGCGGACGAGCGTGCCTGTCGACCTAGTGTGACGGCCCGTTGTTGCTGCGCGTTCCGCGTGTGTGGCTGGATCGCGTGGACGAGGGCGGCGGTGCATCGCGCAGAGACGGCCACGTTCGAGGGGACAGGGACGGCGGCGTTCGAGGGGACAGGAACGGCGGACGTGGGTGCCCGTCGACGCACGATCCCGGGCCGTCGTTGCTGCGCGTTCCGCATGTATGGCTGGATCGCGTGGACGAGGGCGGCGGTGCGTGGTGCACAGACGACGACGTTCGAGGGGACTGGGATGGCGGCGTTCGAGGGGACTCGGACGGCGGACGTGCATGCCCGTCGACGCACTATCCAGGGCCATTGTTGCTGCGCGTTCCGCGTTGTGTGGCTGGCCCGCGCGGACGAGGACGGCGGGCTTCGAGTGGAATGGGATGGAGGTGTGTGGCTGTCGACCTACGCGCCGGCGGGTGGTCACTCCGCGTTCCCTGCATCAGCGTCGGATTTTCTAGAGGTCGTTAGCACCGTTAAAAAAACCGAAAACAAATATTTTTTACTCACCTATATCGCCCGAACACTGCTGGGCGAACGCGCGCTCAAACGCGTTGCGTTTGAGTGCGCCAGAGACATCGAGTCTACCGGCCGGCGCTCGATGTTCGACGGGAGGTCCGGGGCGCGGTCGCTCGGTGCAGACGGTGAACGAGAGTCGAGGAGGATTCGCTGAGGATGCTGGAAAGTGACGCGGGCCAGCGTCGGGCATTGGAGACCGCGAGGAGGGAGGTCAGTGCAGTCCTTGCACTGCGGCGGTTGGCGTGACGACCGGGGCTCGGTCGTTCACCACAGCGGGCGAACGCGAGTTGAGGAGGATTCGGTGACGGTGCTGGAAGGTGACGCGGGCCAGCGTCGGGGCCTGCAGACCGTGAGGAGGAAGTTCGGCGCGGTCGTTGCACCGTGATGGCCCGCGTCACGATCAGGGCGCGATCTTTCACCGCAGACGGCGAACGCGGGTCGAGGAAGGTCGGGTGACGGTGCTGGGAGGTGACGCCAGCTTTCGCCGGTGGCTGGAGACCGCCAGGAGGGACCTGGGCGCCGTTGTGGCACCGCGGTCGGCGCGATGACTGCTGTGCCGTCGTTCGCTGTGGTGGGCCAGCGCGCGTCGAAGAGGGTTGAGGGATGGTGCGGGGAGGTGGTGAGAGGCTGCGCGGAGCCTCGCGGGGCCTTGGGGACCGCGTGGTCGGGGCTGCACGCCGTCGTCGCACCATGATGGCCGGTACGACAACGCGGGCGGCGTCGTTCGCCACCGTGGGCCTGCGTGTGTCGGGGAGGGTGCAGGGACGACGGGCAGAGGTGGGCCGGGCCTTCGCGGAGCCATGCAGATCGTGGGCTGGGGGGGTTCGCGCCGTCGTCGCACCGCGGTAGCCAGTGTGGCGACGCAGGTGGCGTCGTTCGCCGCCGTGGGCCTGCGCGCATCGCGGAGGGTCAGGAGAGGGTGCGGGGAATGGGCGGGGAGGGGTGGTGGGCCTGCGAGGGGTCTCTGCGACCGCGGGGGGGTGCAGCGCGCTGCTATTGCACCGCGGTGGCCGGAGCGACAACGATGCGGCTGCAAAAGGTTAGCACGGTGCGATAGATACAAAAGTTTTTTTGTTTACTCACCTGGACCGCGCTCTTCGACCTCCGCGAACAGATGGGGACCTTGGGGACCACGAGGTGGCGGCCGTTCCACCGCGGTGGCCGGTGCGACGACGAGGGGACTGCGAAAAGTTAGCACGGCAGTATATAGATATAAAAAGCATTTTTTGAACTTACCTCGGGTGCCCTTGAACCTCCGAGAACGAACGCGCCGCCGAACGTTTGCGTTCGACGGCGTGGGGCAGCGCGAGGTGGAAGGTGGAGGGTGCAGGTGTCGCCGAGAACGCGGTGCCGACGCGCCGCGTTCGAGAGCAAACCGGAACGGGCGAGGGACAGAAGCAGGAGAAGAATAAATAAAAGCAGAGCAACGCCGAGGAGAGCCTCCTCGGCGTTGTGGAAGGGTGTCGCGGCGGTGAGCCAAGCAGGAGGAGCGCGAAGCTAAGTCCAACCGGCGCTTGTTGGGCGGCGGCTTTCCCACGCCCCGCAGGCCGTTATGCTTAATCGCGAGGCCGCTACGCTGAGGGGCGGCGCTTAGTCGGGGCCGTTATGCTTAGTCGCGGGGCCGTTATGCTTATTAACGGGGCCGTTATGCTTAGTAGCGGGGCCGTTATGCTTATTAGCGGGCCAGTGACGGCAGTAGAAGCGGCATTAGTAGCAGTTTCCGCCTGTGTAAGCTCCGCGCCGCCCTCATTTTCCTCCAGCACTTCAGGTTCGGTAGGGTCAATGTATATGTCCAATAACGAGGAAAATAGCGATCGCAGAGGCGACGCAAACGACGGGTGTGAGTGTAAGGATCAGACGGACCATAACACACACAAAGTAGCTGGCGACAACGGCATAGATGATCACGAAGACATGCTCGTCACGGAGCTCACGGAAACACAATACGTCGGGGCTTGGAGACCGCGAGAAGGGAGGTCGGCGTGGTCGTTGGATCGCGGCGGCCGGCGTGAGGACCGCAGTGCTGTCGCTCGCTGCAGAGGGCCTCTGCAGGTCGAGGGGTCGACGGATGGTGCTGGGAGGTGATGCGAGCCAGCGTCGAGCCTCCGCAGGTCGAGGAGGGTCGGGGGATGGTGCTGGGAGGTGACGCGGGCCAGCGTCGGGGTCTGGAGACCGCGAGGAGGGAGCCGGGAGCAGTCGTTGCAGCACCGTGGCCGACGCGATGACAACTACACTATAGGAGATTAGCATGGATAAAAACAAATAATGTGTGTCTGTTTGACTCACCTGGGCTCTCTGCAACCTTCCAGAATGAACGCGCGGTCGAACGTTTCCGTTCGACGGTGCAGGAGACCGCGATCCTCAGGTTCGCCCTCCCAAAGGCGAATGTGTGTTAACGAGGGTAGGAGGTGGATGCGAGGGGGTGTCGTAGGCGTTCGTCGGGCCTTAGGAACCCCCAGGAGGTCGCGAGGAGGGGGCGGGATGGCTTCATCGCACTGCGCTGGCCGGTGCGACGATCAGGGCACCGCCGTTCGCCCCTGAGGTCTTGCATGCATCGAGGAGGCTCGAAGGAGAGTGCAGGGAGGTGGAATGGGGTTTCGCGGGGCCTCGCGAGGCCTTGGCAACAGCAAAGAGGGAGCTGCGAGCCGCTGTTGCATTGTGGTGGCCCGCGCGACGACAACTACGCTGTAAAAGATTAGCACGACTGAAAACAAACAAGAAGAGTTTGTTTGGCTCACCTGGGCCCTCTCGAACCCTCCTGAATGAATGCGGGGTGAAGCGTTTCCGTTCGATGGCGCAGGGGACCGCGAGCCTCAGGCTGAGGTAGAGATCGAGGTGTCGCCACGAAAACGCGTCGCCGACGCGTCGAGTTCGACCAGAAACCAGGTATGCAGACAGGAACAAGTTGCCTACGACCCGTTGTACGGTTCGCAGGCCGTTTCGAGCCCCCTCGATGGGTGAATGGAAGAGTATGGAGTGTGGGTCAGCTTACCTGGTGCGCGCCCGCCCACTTCCCTCGCCTGTATCTTCACAACGACTCGGCCATTCTCCCCGAGCGTGGTGGCACCTTGAACGCAAGACCTGCACCTACCAGACGTTACCGCGTTCGAGGGATTTGAGTGTGCGCAACGTCAGAAACGAAGGGAGAGAACTCACCAAGGGCGCGCCGGCGCGCACCCCGCCACTTCGCCCGGCTGTATCGTCGACCAAACTCCTGAACCCCTCCCGAAATCGGTAGTATCTTGAAGCCAGACGGCCAAGCTATCGGACGATATACAATATGAGGCCAGGGGTAGAGTGTGAGGACGAGAAAAAATCGAGGAGTCGAAGACGCGCGAGGTGGGAAAGTCGGCTGATTGCCGCCGGTGGCCACGGCGACCCAGATCTCCGTCGAACTGTATCTTCGGGTAGTTGGTAGATTCGATGTCGGGCGATCTTTTGAGATAGCCGAGGGACCGAAACGAGGGAGGAAGGAAGGGATACAGGGGCGGAAAGTCGGGCGGCCTAACGTAGCGTTAGGCCTGCGGCCTATAGATAGGCAGCAACACTAGTCTCCCATTTAAAGGCAGTTGTAGCCACTCTGCTTCAACCTTCGTGCCTCGGATATCCGTGTCTGACGTCTGCCTTATCTATAGTGATTGCCGATCCGGCACATCATGTGCTTCCACGACGCGTCCGTAAATCGCGTCGAGCGCGTCGCGTTTCTGTCCCTTCAATATCCCCCTTCACCTGTTCTGCCACCGTATGTCACCCCGACGTGCATGTATATGAGTTAACACTTTTTCTGTGTTCGCGGCTATGTTGTATGCTCTATGGTAGTCCAAGCAGCCTGAGATTTCTTGTGATTAGTCTCCTACACAAAAATCTCTACACCTTCTCTATCACCACACCACCGCGCATGCCAGGTGGGGAGAATGCAGTGAAGAATAACCGCGGAAAGTCTTCAGCGGGTATAAGGTACATCACGTGATATCACCAAAATTTGCGACTCAGTGTTATCAAACACTAGTAAAATTACAGCTCCGTCTAAATTGTCCGACCCCTCGACAAGGAGGCGTGTCAGAACCTAGATTAAGCAACACTAGCTTAGCATCGAGAGCCTGCCCCTGTTTAAATGGACAACGTACATCGGGTACCTCCACGTGAGATATGCAGTCTAGTTGATTCATGGTGGTTGTCATATTTTGATTTTGTCCCGCCGGAAACGTCAAAGGATTAATTAATGTGCACCCGCTCGTGAATACACAGGCTGTCCGCATCGCGAATCGCGAATAGGGGCCTTTCAAACCCACGTGGTTCCTCGTTACCCTACCATAGTGGTACTACTATCGTAAGGGTGGAGTTACCGAATTCTGAGCGCTCGTGGTGGCAAAATCAGTATTTACCTTCGCATTCAGCACTCCCTCAACCCTTCAACTTTTGGCTTGGTGGAACACATAGTCTAGTGTATATTACCGTACTGTGATTTTCTCGGATTTCTTTGTAGCATGTGGAAGCCCTGACGGCAGTGTTGCCGATTTTTTGGATTTCGCAACGCCCCCCACGTGATAGTAGTGTAACCGAGATCGAGTCCGAATCGCGCACTACGGTTCGAACTTTGGCGCTGTCGAAATCGTTTGCCGTTTCTTTCTACGATTTTGCTCATGCTAAGTGGGCGCATGCCATGCAGGAACTGTCGGCGTGTGTAAACCTGTGTATTCACGGGTGGGCTCATGTAAAGTTCTTCGCGGCGCGTGTGTAAACTTCTGAGTAGTCGAATGCAGGATTCCCCACCTTTCTTTGTGCTCTTATGTATCTGTGATGCTTTTCAACACGCTGGTCAGCTTGCTTCTGCGTTACTTCTTTGGTTTCTCGTGGCGTTCTCTGCGTTCTCTCCGATTGTCTTTATCGCCTACTATTGTTTCTGGCATGGAGTCATCTTCTACGCCAAGTTGGATTATGGATGTGTCGAACGGAGCCGTCTTCCTCCCTTTGCTCGTGCAGGTTGGTATCTGAAGAGGTTGACAAACCCAAACATGCGATATACTTTCCCGTCCACAAACATGCACGAAGAGGCATGATGTAGTGATGCCGAGGGGCCGCATTCAAACAGCTGGTTGTAGAAGCGCTCGGTACGTGGTTATCTAGTTTTGTCATCGAGCGCGGGCTTACCTTGACTTTGTTCCATCGCAGATCTCAGTTCCTGGAAATGCCCCCGATTCTGTCGCCCTACTACAAATCACAATTTCCACCGGGGATACCTGAGACATGATCGGTGTTCGTACAACGGCATGGGGCAGGGACGTACGTGCTCACCTGCAAAGGATTATGACCAAAGGACGAACTATATTTCGTTCTGTGGGATCGTGAGTTCACCACGCTAGCAAACGGTCTCGGACTCTGCTGCAGGCGCCTTGGCGAGCTTGGAAGAGCAACGCGACGTCAGGGCCAACCTGCACTTGGCCACTGTCAGACTAGGAGAACCACTAAAGTTAAAATAAACAAAGGTATCTATGATTTTGAACATGCTCGGCGCCTCCACTTGAGCCACTGCCTATCCGAGTCCTCCTCAAAGGTACACCTCCGATACAGAATCTTCTCCCGCACGCCAATCTTGCCTTTCTTGAGGTCATCCTATTTCTCCAGAAGGTTCTCAAGGCCCATGCACGTTCCCAGCGCACCTGATCCCGACGGCACCATCCGTACAGTCGAGCAGTCGAGCGCATGCTCCGCGTCGTCCGCTCCCAACGTTCGCTACTAGTACCGTCGGCCGCTACAGCAGCAGCGGTCGACGTCTCCCTCGAAATCAACGCCCCAATCCTCCTCCGCGCAACCGCACGCGCGATGGCAGTCATCGAGGAAAGTTGCCCCTGCGTAAGTGTACCGCAGGTAGCTGAGCTGAGACTCTCGCGCGGCCGACTTTGACTCTGGCCGTCTACGCTCACCGAACGTACGGTGTCCGTTATTCTCTATCCTCTACCTGTTTCTTCTTACCTGCTGCTCGATTCTTCTCTCTCTTCTTTTCTCTCTCCTCTGCCCATCGGTCATGAATCGGACGATCGCATTGAGCGGTCGGCATTATAAGGTGAGTTGAAGATCTATTGAGTCAGTACGCCCTTAATTCGCTGTGCAGACAATGTCGAACGTCATGAATCCCAAGGCCCACGGATCCGTCCCTTGGCGCGGCTTTACAGAGGTATATCTGTTTTTGAGCGCGTTGTGTGTTGCGTCTAGCCTGATGATTTCGCAGGCGATGAAAAATATCGGATTTAAAATGACAGCTACTAAAGGATCCGTGATTAACTTCTGCCCTCCGAAGACGATGCCGGGGCGCGCCTTCTGTTGGCACAAGGTAATGTTTCTTAGTATCCAGAATGGCTTGAGATTGCTAACATAGTACAGCCACACTCTTCGCACCTCAGGCCGGACCATGTTCGGATGTGAGTTTTCTCCTGACCTCGCCAGAGCTAGCTAACGTGTTTTCAGTTTACGAGGCGACCTCTCGATGCTGTACGGTTGGAGGCTCGAGACGTTTGTGAGGAAGTAAAGTAGAGCGCTACGTTTATAGAAAACTTCGCGAATTGAAAATAGCCATGCGCGCGCATGATTGAGAATAAATTGACTGTGTAGATCTCCGTAATTCTTTCACAGATGGGCTACCTACTATCGTCGACCCTGTAAGTGCAAAGTGGCCTAGTAGTGCAAGATGCCATCTCCCGAGAATTCTACTCTACCAAAATTCACGAAAAAAATATGTAGTAGCTACAATTATCCCTAGAATTTTAGGCATACAACTTGAGTGCAAACTCCCTTGAGGAATAGTATGTGCTCTGCGACTTGCAAGAGGGACGTGCTTTAGGCGTGACAATGAAGCGCTGGAGTTTGAACTCCGACTAGGGGGCAGACAAGGCAATGGCATGTCGGCACAGGTGACGATCTGTGACCGATTGGGCGCTCTTCCTTGCAAATGACTCTCTTCGTCGCGCTCGCTCTCAAGATGATACAACATGAAGAAAAAAATGCAACAGGTGTTGAAGACATACTTTATATGTTAGAGATTATGTAGGAAAAATTTTGGGGTGAAACGGGCTCGGTCTGAATGCATGGTGACAGAAGTGCAAGACACCTTGCACTACCGGGTCAATGATAGTAGTGGCTACCTTTGTAGATTAAGCCGGCTGTATCTAGATTACGAGATCCGATCACTGTACGCGAATCGCGGCCGGCACACCTCGACGCGCGCCACTGCAGGCCCTGCTGAGTTTCCTCCATCACAGGCAACGGTGGCTCAGGGGCCATTTGTGGTCGCCGGACATATGCCTGAGGGCGGATAATGTCGTCCGCGTCCTGCATGCGCAGCATTCGCGCCTCGCACACCTCCTTGTGCTGCCGTTGCACGACAACGTGGGGCGCGATGTGCTCGAACGCCTCTGCGACGCCCTCCCCCGTCTTGGCGGACGCGAAGAACAGCTTTGGGCGGTGCTCTCGCGGTGGAGGTGGCGTGCACGACGTGGGTGGGGGGCCAGAGAGAGGCGTTGTTGGGCACTCACGAATATATACACAGACTGTCAACATTATTCGCGATTCGCGATGCGGGGCTTTTCAGATTCACGTGGTCCTCGTTATCGTGTGTTCCTGTCACGACGCGCATGAGTTGCGTTCGAATGTGATTCGCGCTGCACATTAATTAATGAGATTTGCGCTCCGTTTCGCAGCAGCGGATTCGAGGTGCGATTCCTGTCACGCGGATTCGTGCGATTCCTGTCACGCGGATTCGAAATGTGATTCCCGTTATGCGGATTCAGGAAAAAATTCCTGTTACGCGGATTCAGGAAAAGATTCTCGTCACGCAATTCGGGAAAAGATTCCTGTGAGACGATTCGCCAGGCGATTCCTGTCACGCGATTCGCAACGCGATTCTGGTCACGCATGTCACGGAGCAGAACATGTTTCATTTCCCTCCAATGGATGACGCATGTTCAAGCGGCATGCCTTTAGTATGTATCATACATGTACTGCAGATGTTCTTGGTGCACAGGACATCTTGTACGTTTGGAGTAGGAGCACTTAACATCTCCTCACAATGTTCTGAAGATTAACGGCGGCCAGAAATGTAACGTGTTTGGCCGTGGGAAATCCTCATTATACGGAGCATATCCTGCCGAGAGACAAGCCCAGAATATAGGAGTGAAATGATAAATGTTCCAGAATGAAAAATGCAGCAAGTCTGCAGGATGTTCTCCAACGAGACATTGCGTAAGACATATTATATGTTCCAGAACGATATATGCAACGTGTCTCCAGCGTGCTCTCCCATGGAACATTGTGCGAGACATATTGGATGTTCCTTACCATGTTCGGAAAATGTGACATATCCAAAAACGTAATCTGTTCCTTGGATGTTCAGACACTGTTCCGCGTCAGAACATCCGCTTTTGCCCCCAGTGAGGGTTGGGGTTGCCCGCTCTCAGCGACCCTACGGCCGGCCTAGGGGGCCTCATAGCATTCTGTATGCGGTCTAGAGTGGTCTGTAGTGCTCTGTATGCGTTCTGTAGCATTCTGTATGCAGCCTATAGCATTCTGTATGCGATCTACAGTGGCCTACAGTACTCTGTATGCGGTCTACAGTTATCTGTATGCGGCCTACAGTCACCCCGGGTCACCTCCGACACCTCGGTCACCCGGTCACCTGGTCACCCGGTCACCTTCGACACCTCGAACACCTGGTCACCCGGTCACCCTCGACACCTCGAACACCTCGGGTGACTCCATAAAAGGAAGGTGACTTGCTATATATGGGTGACACCCGACACCTGAAACGATACATCTGTTTTTGTGATAAGTACTGTAGGTTCCGGTGGCTAGTTGTCGAGATATGGGAACATCTTCATTTACAGTGCAAACTGCGCGAAACGCGCGAAATCCGCGCGACCGCCAACTTTACTGCAAATGGCAATAAAAAGGAACGAAAAATCGCTTGGCATAAATGGCATCAAGTCGACACCGCGCCTACACATGGGAATCACCCGTCTCCGGAGCGTCAAGAGACGCAAGACACCCTATCTCTCTCGCTATGACCTTCTTCCGCTCCTCGTCTGTGTTCCGCTCTGGGAAATTGAGCCCGTAGGCCTGCACGTAGGCCGTAGACTGCTCGGGAGTGAGCTCTCTGAGCGCAGTTACCGAAAGCAGAGCAGGCAAGTGGTGCTAACGAGTATCAGGGACGGTAAGCAAATGATGGTTAAGGTTATGCTTACAGGTGCGGCCGTGGGGAGGGTACCATCGGGAAGAGGGATAATGTAAAAGGGTTCAGTGTTCTCACCATCGAACAAGAGCGCGTTGCGTGACTAACATAGGATATTGTCAGCTGCCATAAACCGCGAGCGGGTGCATATACACACCGAGAACATCAACCTCTCAAGGATAGTCAGCCGCTGGTGGACAGGGAGCAAAGCTGCGTGTATCGCAGCTGCTACCGAGGTAGGAGTAAGTTCTGGGCGCAAGTGTCAATGCCATGCTCGAAAACAGAGGGACTGTGATGACACTCACCCGCTGGTTGTAACATCGCGACTTGAGCCGATGTAGGAAGAGTCTACTGGAACGTCGCCTGCTTGCGAATGACCAGGTGAAGAACTTCGTATTGACGAACGCAAATATAAGAGAGAAGACGTAGTTTGATCAAGAAATCGCCTCGGAGACGTTAAGGACGATTTGGTGAAGATCTAACAATCTAGATGTCGATGGGGAGCAAAGTGCGACGTTACGAGCGGCAGGTATAGTTCGCAGAAGAGTTACTTTCACGCCAGCTCGTTCTTGTTTTACCAGAGGATTTGGTGGCTGACCATCAGAATCGTCGATTTCAAAATTGCTTCTGCAGGCTGCCTCTATTTCTGACTGGAGCTGCGAGTCGAAACCAAGCGCGTAGGTCTAATTGAGGTTCTCACGAGTTAGCAGTTAAAGGTAGTAGATGAACGAATCGAAAGCAATGACGCGTACGGCTTCTATTCACGCATCTTGTAGGACTGAGCATTGTCCCCACTTTGACTGGAAGTTTGGCCTTGAACTCTTATTTACGCCTTCAATAGCGGGGCATCTGCTCGTGTTTCTTCCCTACCGTCGAGGTGAAATAGTCCCTCGACAAGTGCGGTGGCACGAAACAACTGCTGAACAGACGCGATTGGTATCAAGCTGGTGACCGCCAAAGCACGTAGTACACTTCTATTGAAATCCGGATACAACAAGCGGCCATGGACATATTCCTTTCTTTCGATGATTCAAGTTCCGCGTAATCCTTCCAGTTTAACGTTCACTCACTCAGTCAATCCGTCGTTAGAAGTCGTCATCACCCTCGCCCTCTTCAATCCAATCCACATTCTCCAGCGCCGCCTCGCCTTCGCTATACAGCTTGTCCAAGCCAGTCAGCGCCTCTAGATACCCCTGCTCATTGAACGCCTGGAGCAGCATCTCGAACCCATGCGTCTCGTACGCTTTCAAGACCTACATTATTCCACCATCAGTCAGGCGCAAGATGAGTGGAGGGTAGGTATGATACTCACAATCTCACTGCAGCCTGTGCACCGGTCGTACGCGGCACCGACGATGGGCATGTTTCGGAACTGTGCGAGGAAGCCACGTAGCTGGTGCGGAACTTGTCCCAGCACGCTCTCAGATATAGGTGCGCTATCGGTGCCACTTGTTGGCGAAGGGGCGGGGGCGTTCACGCTACAGGAAAAACATAGAAAATGAATGCTCAGCGTTAAACAGGCATTTCAGAATGCATCAATATGAGAGGGTTTTGCGCACCCGTCCGGATGTTGGATCAAAGACACTAGCAATTCTACTGCAGTCGATGCTGCGATAGAGGCTAGGCCCGGCCGCGTCACTGTGCACATCTGGTCGAGGGTTCTGTCGGTCAACGACTGAGTAACGTAGCGTCATCAGACACATTGCATTAAAGAATGGAAAGTATTCCTTACATCCGCTGGGGCGACGATGTCGTTGCAATAATAACAGCCGAGCCGCTTGCCTGTAGACAGCGTCGCGCGCGCACCGTGGCGCATGACGAGGAAGGTGTCGAATCCCAGGGCAGCGTTCATTACGATCTAACGAGGAGGGTCAGCAGCAGTACCCTTTGCTTGAGATACAGAGGACGTACCTTGCCCTTTGCCGCGCCGATGACGGTCGGCAGCCAGCGGCTCTCTCGCGAGTCCATGAGGAGGAACACGACGTCGTGCTCGTCTATGAGTTTCTCGAGCGTCTCCACGTCTTGCTTTGCCTGAGCCACCGACGCAGGCGGGATGGGGTGCCCGGGCATAGGTATACTCAGGTTATGGCCTGACGAATTCTATCGTTCAAGTGAATTGAGAGGATTGATCCAGAAACTGAAAGAAGACGTACGACGCCGGGAAAGATCTTCTTCAGCCGTTCAGCGGCGCACGCGGCTTTGGGCTTCCCACCGTGTAAACAATCTTCGAACTCGAAGAGTGGCTGCCGTACGGGGTTGGAGAATGAGACGCGCGCGGAGTCGACGAACGTGATCGTGCGGACGCCCCAGCCCTGTGGCGGCCGTTCTCGGTTATATTGAAGCGGTAGTACAAAAATGTGCTCACCATGAGTGTCCGTGCGACGTAACAGCCGAGAGTGCCAGCGCCGAGAAGCAAACTCTTGGTATTTGCGACCTTCTCGAGGTCCAGCGACGGGAGGATGCGCCAGCGCATGAGCTTCAAATTCAGGTCCACCGCCTGGCCCGCAAGTCTGACAGGCTGGTAAATGCCAGAGTTCGGATAGCGAAGAAATTGCTACACACTTTGTCGGATCCATCATCGGCGCCAAGTCTGCCATGCGCGGCCCTAGCTTTCCCAGTAGATTCTTCTCCCAGCCAACCGCAGTGGGTTTCTCCGCGGAAGCGTTAATTCTGGCACCTGAGCCAAGCCTGAGTACGCCAAACCGGCTCCTCCATCGTGGGCCTGCGCCTTCATGTGGTGGAGGGACCTCGGCGTCGCGCCAGCAAAGCACGCGCACGCCAGACGCAGTGGACGGGTGCAACGCGTGGAGGTAAGCGAGCAGGTTGCGGAGGGGCCAGCCGGGATTTGACGGCTGGGCAGAAGGGTCAAGGAAGGCCACTGTACGCTGGAGCGGATGACTTGACGTGAATCTTTGGGGAGTCTGCATGGAAGTGCTTTACTCACACGATCTGCGGGGACGTTGGCGAAGAACGTGTCGTATTCTTCGATTGGGGCAATTTCGGGGTTCCCCGATGTTGTGCGTAGGAGGAAGAATGCGCGAGGAGACGCGTGAAAGAGGCTCTGGACGACAGCTAGCTGTGAAATGTGTCAGCACATTTATCTAATGCAATAACCCACTAAAATAAACGTACCGACGTGTCGTCAAATTCCTCCTCAGCTGGTTGCCAATCGCGCTCGATTTCCCACGCGGGCTTCGCAACAAAGGCAGGGAATGCAAACCAGTAGTAATATTTGTACTTCTTGAGGTCGGCAAAAGTAATAAGAATAAAACGAGAGAGCTGGGCAGTCGAGCGGTCTACAAAAATGCTCTCCCATATCTAACGGTGATGTAAGAGTTCTGGCCCAGGATCGAAAGGACAAGACGTACCTCCTCTGCCACTTGATTGAAGAGAGCGGTTTTATCAGCGGCCTTGAACTCTTCTATGGTATTATAGTTCTTGAAGAGACCCGAAACAGAGACGGAGTTGTGCGGAAGCCTGGATCACCTTCTCGATTTCGCATGATCATTGGTGAAGGCTCAAGAAAACTCACTGTTCAACCTGCGTGAAGGCCTCTCCGCTAACGCTCAAGTTGCAAGCAAGGGCAATCTCCTTCCCTGACTCACGATCCTTGACTGCGCGTCCTGGTGAGTACGACGCTGAAAGCGGAATGGCGTCGTCGGAGAGCTTGAGGACGTCAATTTTGAGGTCGGTGAGTGCGTGCCAGAATGCAGGTTGCACGAGGGATGAGAATGGGGTAAATTGAACGACGGGCATGACGACGCCGAGGTATTGCTGGTTGACGACGTCGAGAGCGGACGACGATGCTTCACGCGAGGCAACCTGGAGGCACTGACCAAGAATCGGTGACTGTCCGGATTTGGAACACATTGAACGCGTCTGTGGCGGAACTTGCTCTCTTCCTCCATCCACTACCCTTAAAGTGTCCATGCCAGGAAAACCTCCAGCACTCGCCCCAGATATTGTACGCCGTATATTACGCCAGGTGCGATTCTATTGGTCTCCTCTAACCAAGTTGATTCTCACATTTCTCACATGATGCATATTTGAACTTGAAGGGAGTACAGTATTTGCTACACCGTGACCGGTCTCCTTGTGCACAAATAGAGGAGACTGCTTCGCACTTGTCAATAATTTACGGTATATCAGGAAGCAGGTAATCAGAGACGCACATCTCCGATCAGACATGTGCGTCTTTGTGACCTATTTCCTCATCTACATTTGTATCCTCTTTCTCAGCGCAGACTGAAAGCGACAACCGCACAGAATATCTAGGTACTTTCGCGATAGTGCATCGTGATGCTCGTATTTATCATGTCGCAGGAACCTCACGGATCGTGCAGTGGCATAGTAGGTATATGCGAGAAGCCGCTGCCAGCACGGGCGCATGTCTACAACACATCGGCGCGTCACTTTCCTGCTAAGATGCAAATATATTGACGTTCTTGGAAGAAGGGGCTGTACGAAGCCTATTTCAACCGCTCATGTCTCCGTTATTACGAAGAGCTACGTATACGTCAAGAAACTCTTGAAAGTACTGGCTTGCATCTGTTCGACGAACGCTCCGGAATGATGCGCTTGAATCGAGAACACTGCGCCAATCCGAGTCGCGATTCCCATATGATATGAAGAATATTGATCTCGAAATTGCATGGTCGGACTAGTCAAAGCAGCAAACACCAAGTTCTGGCTCTCGGTCTCTTGGTCGCTTACAGTACGGATTTCTGTACAGCACGGCCTGCATAATTTAAATGTTAGTGTACTTCCGAGACCGACTCCGTACTGTAGCCTTGAAAGGTGAATGTTTGCACGTGTTTGGCTGCCACCTCATGCGACGTGTCGCGTCTAGCAGACCTTCACACACCGACCTCAAGCCGCTCCTTGGTTCAATTCTTCGTCAACCATGAGCGGATGTATGTATCTTTTTGATGTTTTCTTAAGCTCTGTGTCTCAAAACTTGCGACGGAAACAGTCCGGTTCCTCAATCTCGTCCGACCATTCCTTCCTATCCTTCCAGAGGTCTCGTCACCAGACCGGAAGGTATGCTCTCCTCTCGCGTCTACGTGTCTATATTCACGTTGATTCTACGCCGAAAATAGGTTCCATTCAACCAAAAAGTGCTATGGACAGCCGTCACCCTCCTCATTTTCTTGGTCTGCTCGCAGGTCCCCCTCTATGGCATCATGTCATCAGACTCATCCGACCCGCTCTACTGGATGCGCGTCATCCTTGCCTCGAATCGTGGAACACTCATGGAGCTCGGAATTACACCCATAGTGACTAGCGGGATGATCATGCAGCTACTGGCTGGCGCGAACCTCATCGAAGTCGACTTTTCGCTGAAGGAGGACCGAGCGTTGTTCAGTGGCGCACAGAAGCGTGAGTGCTGTTTCTATGAGTTTCGTATTGTACCGGAGAAGTTGTAGCTGTTTTGGCCGTGAGACGGAGTACTTCGCGAGATTGCTGGCGGACCGGAAAAGTAGAGTCAAGCCCCCGCACTGACGATTATACACAGTATTCGCACTCATCATTTCGCTCGGTCAAGCGACCGTGTATGTCCTTACTGGTCTCTACGGTCAACCCCGCGATATTGGTGCTGGAGTCTGTTTACTGCTCATCATCCAACTCATCTCCGCGTCGCTTATCGTTATTCTCCTGGACGAGCTCCTGCAAAAAGGCTATGGTCTCGGCTCAGGCATCTCGCTGTTCATCGCGACGAACATCTGCGAGTCGATCGTCTGGAAGGCTTTCTCGCCAACGACCGTCAACACAGGCCGTGGCCCCGAATTCGAAGGCGCCATCGTCTCGCTCTTCCACCTCCTATTTACTTGGAACGACAAGGGCCGTGCTCTCCGCGAGGCGTTCTGGCGCGAGCGTCTCCCGAATGTCATGAATCTCATTGCGACCGTCGTCGTCTTCGCCGTCGTTATTTATTTGCAGGGTTTCCGCATCGAGATTCCCGTCAAATCGAACAAGTTCCGCGGCCAGCGCGGCTCGTACTCCGTCAAGCTATTCTACACATCCAACATGCCGATCATGTTGGAGTCTGCACTCACGTCGAACGTTTTCATCATCTCGCAGATGCTCTTTTCGCGCTTCCCCGATAGCTTGTTGGTCAAACTCCTTGGGGTTTGGGAGGTAAGCACTGCGTTCCACGTTGCGTCTCATTTGCACCGACTGACGACGTACGTAGCCGTTCGAAGATTCTCCTCACCTCGCCGCCGTGTCCGGTATCGCGTACTACATGTCCCCTCCGCATACCGTCAAAGACGCTGTCTTGGACCCGATCCACACCGCTATATACATCACCTTCATGCTCAGCGCATGCGCCATGTTCTCCAAGACGTGGATCGAAGTCTCCGGCAGCGGCCCGCGCGACATCGCGAAGCAGCTCAAGGACCAACAAATGGTGTGTTCGCTCTGTCCGCTTCCCTTGCTGTCGCGCTCACCGTTTATTTTCAGGTCATGGCTGGTCATCGCGAAGGATCGATGTACAAGGAGCTCAAGCGCGTTATTCCTACGGCGGCGGCACTCGGCGGCGCCATCCTCGGTTTGCTATCCGTCGCTGCGGACCTGATGGGCGCGATTGGAAGCGGAACGGGTATCCTCATGGCTGTCACTATCATCTATAGTTGTGCGTGCTCTCCTGTTCTCCGGTTTTCTTTCCGGTGCTGATCTGCAACTCCCCCCACGATCAGACTGGGAGATTGGTATGCGGGTGAGTTCACCTTCGTCGTCCATTGCGTACCCTATTGACGTCGCGCGTTATCTCAGGAATCGGGCGCGCCTGAACTGGCTGCATTGGGAGATCTCCTGTAAGGTACACCGGAATGGTACATCGACGGCGCGCGAGGGAGGACGGTGCGGCAGGCCCGGCATATGATAGTAGATTACGACCTTGTGCACACAGCTGTGGTACTGTGTCTATTGACGATCCGCCTGTGGTGACCCACCATGTAAAAGAGAATTTTCTCAGTTTCTCAGAATCAGGATGGAACATAATATTATAATGTTGTCGAGCAGTGAATCTCGAGTGCAAGATCGGCCGCTCGTGTTTTAGGAAATTTATTCAGTCTTCGAGCCTGATTACACCGCGTTCACACCGCGGTGAACATTGATCACTCGGTCGAGCAATGCAGCAAGCTCAGCGAAGAACTCAACTTGCCGTGAGTACAGAGTAAGTACGGGTAAACCCAATCCGAAAGTTACAGTGATCTAAAACCGGAATGATATACATGGGTCGAGTGGCAGCTACCGACTACTTCGCCGTGGGCCCCTCCTCTAGCAAAGCCTTGCCCGCGCCCTTGAAGTCCTTCAACGCAGACCGCCAAGGCTCCCACACCTTTCCGTACTTCTGTAACAGTCGCTTGAGCTCCGCCCGGTTCTCCGTCTACGAGAGGCTGTCAGCTGAGTGTTTGAAACCTATTGCGTCGAGTGCACGCACAATTGTCCACGGCTCCTCGCCGCCATATACCTCTTCGAACATCTTCTGCAGCTCCGGCTTGGGTTCCGCTTCCGCGCGGCGGAATGCCTTGAGCACATCGTCCTTCAACCTCTCTAGAAGCGCCTTCTCTTCCTCCGCGTCCCACCAGCCGCGCGCCTCGAGGAACAGCCGGAAGCGGGAGATGGGGTTGTCCAGCCGCTTGCGCTCTTCGACTTCGTGGCGCGGGCGGTACGCGAACGAGTCGTCCGACGTCGAGTGGTGTCCGACACTGCGGAGGATAAGTCAGGGTTGTGGAGCATCATGAGAGGGTTGCGCACCGGTATGTCATTGCTTCGATGAGCACGGCGCGGCCGTCGCGCAGACAGAGCCGCCGGGCCTCTTTCACCGCGGCGTATACGGCAAGGACGTCGTTCCCGTCCACTCGCAATGTGTGCACGCCGTAGCCGGGGCCTCGAGACGCAATACCATCCCCGTGATACTGTTCCGAAGAGGGCGTGGATATAGCGAAACCGTTATTGCGCGCGAAGAAGAGCGTGGGCGAAGGGACCGTCGACGCTGTATGCGCTAGATCAGCAACGGAAGATTCTGCAGAAAATAAATAACAGAATAGCAACTCACCCAACATCATGCCTGCATGGAAGTCACCCTCAGAAGCCGCACCGTCACCAAAATACACGACAGCGCAGTTGCGCCCGCCGCGAATTGGATCGCGCTTGAGCGCGTATCCCACGCCCGCAGCCTGGGGTATCTGGGTAGCCAGCGGGGATGAGATCGTGTGAAAATGGAACTTGCGCGAGCCGAAGTGAACTGGCATCTGCTTGCCCTGATTAGAGTCGTCGAGGTGAGTCCCGAAGACTTGGTTCATGATCGAATCGTAGGTGAAGCCCCGGTAGAGGAGGACGCCAAGTTCGCGATATTGGCCTGGGGTACGCGCATGGTTGATTGCGCTGCAGAGGAACGTGGAGGAGGGTAGGACTTACCGAGCACTCTTTCGTCTGTGTTGGTTAACTCCCTGTAGATAGAGACGAGACACTTACTCGTCATCCGGTTCCAGAGCAGCGGCCGAACCGATCAATGCAGCTTCCTCCCCGTACTAAATCGTTGATAGGTAAATAATGCGGTATAGAGTGTAGACACTCACAGAAGTCATCTAACTCAAAACGTCAGGGAAATGCAGAGAGCGGGAGAACGGAAACTTACATAGAATGAGATCTTCCCCTGACGCTGGACGTTGTACAGCAGATTGTCGATGATAGGTAATTGAACCATGTTCTCGTACCTGAAAATGCGGGTTAAATCCTGTGCTTCAAATGGAGACCGAGAGTCGGCCTGCTCGACACAGAGCCCTACCGCATAAAGCGTTGGGTCGAACAGGTAGCCTGACCTCTCCGGAAATTCGTCAAGGCTCACATTTTTCTTGCGAGCGTCTCGTCGACCTGTCTCACGTATCAGACAATCTTCCGCGAGCAAAAGCGCGGCGCACGCGTACCTCGGGTATCTCTGCATCCTCGAAAACCTTGCCCTCGCCATCCAACACCCTGTACATTGGAATTTGCGCGCCATCCTCAGTCACGCTATTGAAGAAGCGCAGGACTGAAGTGACGGCTGAGTGTGATTCTGGATGAAGGGTGGTATGGTTGTCATAAGCGGTGGCAACGAGCGAGGAGACTAATCTGCGGGGTGATCTGAGGAATATCGGGCGAGATGGAAGCAGTACTGGCGGACGAGGCACTCGAAGAAGCATGATGGGGGAACGAGGATAAGGCGCGCCCGCGTCTCTTCGCTCTCCGTCCTTGCTCTCATCCATTCCGGCTCGGGATTCAGCCTCCCGACCGCACACATGACCTGAGCTCGACGACTGCTACAACTGTGCACCCGCAGACCTCGGGAATGGACAAGAGAGACTACATCGACGTCGACGGCGAACACGACGCGGTGCGCCCGCCCAAACGCGCCCGCCACACTCCCGCGCCGGATCCCTCTGCTCCCTCTACCTCGTACAAACCGCAGAATGGAAACGGATATGCGGCGACACTTCCGCCGCTTTCGCAATCTATCCTAGGCGCGGAACCTCTCGACGAATTTATCCGCGAGGTCGCAGACTTCGTCCACGCCATGATCAATTCCCGTCCGGAGGGAGCGGGCACCGTCGAAGTTGAGGCAAAGGTAGGCGTGTTGAGGGATAAGGTGTCCGGCCATCGTCTGCAGCTACCCGTTCTCGTCGAGACGAGTGAGTTTTTCCATTTGATTTTCGAAACGCGTCGTAGATTACGTCGTGGTGAAGTCTTGCTGCCAAACTCCTTCGAATATCGTTTCGAGTCGAACATGTCTGCGGTGAGTACTCTCGAGGTGTTTTTCTGTGCCGTAAGAAAGCTCAAGTACGTTTCGTAACCCAGATGCAGCATAAACACTTCAATACCCTTCTCAACGATCTAATGCTATCGTCGAAGACGTCTTCAGCGCCAACGCCGTCCCCACTCACCTACACCCACCTCCGCCTTGTCGATTCATTCTACCAGGCCGACGGCCACGACCGCATCCGCATGACGCGTGACGAGAAGACGGGCGAGATACACGCATGCGTGCGCAAGGTGCGGCTAGGCGATCTGGACATTTACAGCCCGAAGCGTGCTTCAGACTGGCGTATCAGCGTGAACGTGGAGATACCGGGTGAGTTTCGTTGTTTCAATGTATCCCTCTTTTACGCTCTGACATAACTATCGATCTCGATCCGGGCATTGGCTCTAGTTCCTCCCCCGGTAGGATCGGCGACACATACCCGTCGGAAGGATCGCATGAGCTACACTCACGAAGAATGCATTATCGACCTCACCCAAGTAACGTCGTCGTCTGCCGGACTATCGTCCAAGGTACGTGGTGCTAATGTTACATTTAACTGTTCTCTGGCCGTCTGCAGTGCTCGTATTTTTCCGTTCACGTAATGACATTGACTACTCATTGATTAATCAGCCCGAAGTCTTACACGAGCTCGAGGTTGAGATCGCACGCCCGACGTACCTCCTGGCGACGTCTGCAAAGCGCGGCGATCCTTCCGCATCAGAAGCCGAGCGCAGTGCTTTCGACGAACTCATTCGAGTGTTTGTCAACAACGCTAGGGTGTTAGTGCGGAACGCCGGCGTCCCGGGTGGAGGGCCAGGGCGTTGAGGTGAACGGGTACATTTATCGGTGGTAGGCAATAATCCAGGGTCTTGCAATTGTATGTCTGCAATATCTCGTGAAGTTCGTTCGGTCGTTTCCAACTGATACGTTCTGAGCTCAGGCTGTACTATTAGTACAAGTGTCGTTGAAGTAACATTACAGGAATCTTCTTGATCACATTCTCGCTCTGCGTTGGAACGTAGGATCCCTGCCGACGGTGCATTATTCCGGCGGCCTGCCTTCAACGCGTACCCGTTTTCTACCTGCACTAAAACCAACCCGTGAGCGAAGTATCGGCCCTCTGGAGCACCTACCATGTATAGTACAGAAAACCGGCGTTCCTGATTGGGACCCAAGCCGAAATATACCTCCCTCCCTCCCTCCCTAGATCCTCGACCCAATTGGCAATGCGCATACCGTCAGCGCCTACCAAACGAGTTGTCTGCATCAGGTAGCTTTTAGGAGCTTTTCGCTAATAGGGTTTATCTTTAGCTTGAAAACCGTTTTTACGGACCTTGCCTTCTGCTCTTCTTCTCCAATCAATGACCTCCAGGTGAATCGATGCCACACGAAAGGCGTCGTACTAGATGTGGTCGCTGTCTCGCTCACCCGGTTCGGTACGCCGCTAATTCCTCCTTTACGTTTATGCGCTGTCCATTTCTAACGGAAGTTGATATAATATATATCGCTCGTCATCGTCTGAGACTACCTTGAAGGTCAGTTACTCTCAAGGAATACTCCCAGAATTTTTTGCTTTTCCGGGCAGTATATTTGGGCGCTTTCCCCTTCTGAGGCAGCTTTTGCCAGTACCTCGGTTCGTTTTCGCTCCCAAATCTCTGTTGAGTACTACTTACGTGCAATATTATAAGTGCTATGCTGCTGTCAGATGAGGCTCGATTGCCTTGTCCAAATCCTTTCGCCGAGTCGCCATAAGTCTGCTCCGGTCACAATAGCCCGACAAATATGTCAGGTTTTGCGCCGTTCGCATGTTTGCCGTGCAGCCGTGTGGATCAATAGCCGACTCGCGTTAATAGGTGGCCTGGGTTGTGTGTTGGCCCTCGCAAGCATGTCGAGGTCATGTAGTATGTGATTGTGTCCCATTCTGTGAGCTCCTATCTCTTCTCTGCATTGGGCGCTCTCCCATTCATTGAATGACTACACGTGTCGCAGATAAGGCTGAGTGAATAGCGCTGAGTTCTTGCATGCACGATATCGCGAGGACAGTAGTCTAAACGGCCACCTCACGGCGCTATGAGCCCTTGTGCTGTCCTGAACCACAGCTGCATGCTTGATGCGGCCTGAAAGTCCATTCTGAAATACCTATTACTAGGAATATCCTATGATAAGCGGCACCTACTTCGAAGTTCATTAGAGGCCCAGTTCATCGCTGTAAATATGATGGAATTGCCGGTGCGCGACACATTCTTCCAGTTTACCGTACTGTTCTGAGCAAAGTTCAAGGTAGTACACTTATTCGCCTCTCTACGGATGCACCGGGGCTTTTTATCGTAAATGGTCTCGCAGATTATCTAGGGCCGATAGGCTGTTGAATGGACTAAATCTCCCTACTATCCGGATCTTGGAATGGCGCACCCGTGTCCGCGCTCTTTGCTCAATGCTAGGTCTTCGCGACATGATCCAATGTGCCTATGCACGAGCACAACTCTATGTGTTGGCCGATCACACACTGTGGTCTCTGCCTGCGCTGTGGTACGATCTTTGATTTTTGCGCAGCAGGTGCGCTTGAATCATCTCCCAATCTTCCAGTGAGTATGGTTTCCAGAAAGGTGGAGACACTAGCATGACTTCTGTGCCTAGATCCTCTCCTCCCCATTGCTACTTTACTTGATTCACGGCAGTACTACCTCATTGCAAAGATTCTTTGGTGGAACCCGTCATTGCATGTCATGCTACGCTCAAACTGAAGCCAACTGCGGCGCGCGCATGCAGCACATTCTCATGCCTATTGACGTAAGCAAAGCAAATCAAAGTAGGATACGTGCAATAACTAACCTATACGGGTTTTAAGTTTGACATCTATTGGCGCATCATTGGGAAGACAAAGGTCGTCACCCAGTCGCCATGTTGGTGCCAGTTGCATATCCGAAGTCCTGGCAGTGTTCGCCGCCCGAGTCTATCCTTTTTGTCTATTCTAAGTCTGTTCTGGTATAACGTGGAGACAGATTAGGGTCCAGAACAGTTGCCTATACGGCGTGGTCTGAGTGTGCAAGTATCCTCGAAGATCACGTAACAGAAGCCAGGGGTTAAACTCATTCGGTTTCCCCCTGATGTCGACAGTGTGCTCACGTTCGTTCGTCGACATTTGTAAAAACTGCAATGCGACTAACATCACGCGATTGTATATTTCCAGAAGTTCTTTCTGCATTCATCGCCGCAACATACCCCAGCTACAATCGGAAATCTCACCTCCACCACCGCCTTCTACAAACCATGTGGTTTGCAAGTCTCGGCTGCAGTCTCCTTTCTACGTTAATTGGATCCTGGTTAAGTAAATACTTGATCGAGCTACCCGAACAGCCCATGGACATTGTGATAATTGTGGCTTTGATAGCCATCATGCTCAGCGTTGCTGGATTTCATTGCGGTGGTGATGGCTGCCCGCTCCGCGTTTACTGCTTCGTGCCTGTATTGGTCGCCTCTCTCACCGCTCCTATGCATCATAGTCATGAAACTGACCACGCGTTCTACCGCGTCTTCGGCGTTGACCTCGCGGCATGTAGGTAAGAGCTGCATCTCAATGGCGAAAGCTTCGTAGCGCACGAGCGGCATGCGGTCGCGGAACAAGGACCCCTGTGGGATGGCGATGCATATCAATCACTCCCTCCTCGATCATAAATCATTGCGGGGGATAAACGACTCTTGCCTGAATGACCTCAGTCCTGCGGACGCCATGAACTGCGTCGCAGAGATACTCGAAGATCATGTCCGTCGGTTGAGTACCCAGAAGCCAGGCGCCGAACACCGCCAGTCGCACCGAGTGCGAGACAAATATGACGACGGCACCGTTGACCTGACTGTCATCCCTATGGGATGTCCGTTGGATATTTGCAGCATTTTGCGGGATAACTGGCAGAGTTGCAGTCATAATTGCACGATCCCTGCAGAAGGTTCGTGTTCATGCTACTCATTTTCGCGAATACCAAGGCTCACCGTATGATGACAGCTGTTTCAACCTCGTTGAATGGGCCAGAGGGCTCGAGTTACGTACAGATGTGGTGAACGGCCTGCTGCTGCTGTTCCATCCCAGTCAGTAAGCACGGACTCGTCGGGAAATGTCACCTTCGTATGTTTCGTCGCCTCCACAGCTGATCTCATAGTCCAGGAACAATGAATCTTCCATCGTATATGTGCCTCCCTCATCCGTGGTATAAATGCGTGCTTTCTCTCCCACATCCACACATATTATTGTACTTTATTCTTCATGATGAACAATTTTGCTTGACTCCTACACACTCATCCTGACGAACTGTTAATTAGGCATTTAACAGACGAGCGGGAGGTCGAGATCTACTTATCTATTCCGAAGCATCGAAGCATAGAGCAACACGAGCAGACCAAGCGCAAAGCGACGTCGCTGGACATTCTGTCGCAAGGATAATCGCTCCAAACTCACCGTGCCGAGCGTGCCATCCACCAGTAGCGCTCGAGTTCGCATGCGCAAAATAATGGTTCGTCAAATAAGTACCGCTCGCGCTGCAGCACGCCTGTATAGGTGCCGGCTCTCGAAGCATGCACCACCCACCTTTCACCGGCCGTATGTGCCATACACGAAACATGCGTGGCATCACCGTCACCTTGGACAGTAGCTCGAAGCTCGTTCACCTGGGCATGACTTGGACCACCAGATGAGGATATGCACAGCAGGCGAGGCGGAAATGGAGATCACGCGGGATAACGTCCACGCAAACGCGGAGCGTTCTCGGAGAACACGCGGCGTGTTGAAGCGAAGACTGGGAGCGCGGCCAGGGATAGGGATATTGGGCGGTCCGAGAAGGATCTGCACAGATTGAGACGAAATCACGATCAACCTGCGCACCATGACGTGTTCTCCGATGTTCAGCACTCCGGGGAACCCGCGTAGACATCGGTAACGCTGCTTGTTCCCTCGCCTGTTCTCAACCGGTTCGGATATTCAGCGACTTCGTCGACCATACGCGGTTTCAAAAATTATCTAGGATGAACGCAGGTCGTCACTAAGTCCCATATAACTGCACATACCCAGCAACGAGCTAGTCAGCAGTGCACACTGACAATCGAGGATGGAAGGACAGAATGAGACTCGCCGTCTATGGATAGCACTTGGATCCTGCTCCCAAAATCTACTCATGGGTGCACACCGGAATTCGAGTCGAGGATATGTCAGGAGCAGGGTATCGACGAGAGGGCATGCGGGAGGCGAGGAACGTAGCCAATACCGAGGAAAGTGGATTAGACGGCTGCACATGTCGGAGGGGATGCAGACAGCGTCATCCAAAGGCGTAAGGCGTTCGGTATATGCCGAGCTGAAGATAAGCATGTCGGAAAGGTGAGGAGCAATCTACCTTGGACAGATGCCTCCCACTATCGTATCCGGGGCTCGGCCTGGTCTTCAGAAGAAACAGGCTAGTGCCTAGTCGCGTTTCCCTTCGGTGATGCGTCTTCGTTAACATTACCAAGTTCTACGACTGGAATCCGTCCCTGTGCTCTATATCACTCAGACTCGACTTGTTTACCAAGGCGCTCCAAGCCGTAACAAAACCGGGACAGGTCATGGCAAACCTTCAACCGGCAAGACAAGGTGCGGAACGCCTCCGAATTATAATTTGAAGGGTGCATCGCTCACAAGGTAAAGCACTCAGCGGTGATATCCCCGCACCTATGAGCAAGACGGTAATCAGGAACTTGTCATGAACAGGCGTACACCATGGAAAACGCACAATTGCCAAATCGGTGTGTGAGTTTGCGCGCCGCGGGCGATTTCGGAGTGCGCGCTCTGGGACGCTGAGCATGATCGATCTCGGAGTTATCCAGATGAGATCGAGGTAGTCGAGATACGACAGGACCCCGGATTATTGGTGAACAACCCTGATCCGGCGAGCCCAAAAATGTCTAAGCGCCGAAACCCGAAATTCGACCTTTGTGTCTGGATGAAATCAGGGTGAAGTGCCAATTTCCCCCAAATCTTGTGTGGATGGCGGCATCAGGCTCCCGAAAGCGCCATTTTGGCGCTCGCCGAGGGCTCTATCGGGCCAAAATGTCCGGACCAGCACCAGGCTTTTCAAAAAATTTCTCCCAAACTGTCTGGATTATATCAGGGTTGTGCGTGGATTTCGCCCAAAGTTTGTCTGGATGGCACTCAGGGTTCCCCACCTATAATCCGGGGTCCTGATACGACTCACCTACATACAGTACTCCACCCACGAGGCTCCCCAAACGACGTATATTAACTCTCCCATGGCCGCGCGTAGCTAGCGTTCGACGCCTTCCTGAGCCTGACTGCGTTTGAAAGAAGCTGCAAGTCGAGCCTGCCGCGCGTGGACGGAGGGGCCGAGAAGGACGAGAACTAGCGGAGACTCGAGACGTTGTGCACGCGCTCGACCCATCGGGTGTCTCTCTTCCTGCTGTCATATCCGCGGGCTGCACAGCACCATGCATCTGGCCTACGCCCAACTGCCGACAATCGATGGACGCTTTCTGCGCTACGCCTCTCTCTATCCCCCATCTCCGCCTCGTCTTTCTCCCACTCCTCGGCACTGCACTGAGCCTTACACTCCAGGTGCTGCAGTCGACTATCTCCGGGCGTCCCAGAGGGGTGAGTTTTCTGATGACCTCCACAGTCGCAGCTCGTCGAACTGCGCCCGCCACCATCGGCGCTGTGAATATGCCATGCTTCTCTTATCTCCATCTCTATCAGCCAGATATACAAAGCTGGACGTCGACGCACCAGCCTCATCCTCAGCACTCAGCGCTCAGCACCCGAACCTGCTGTCATATACCGGCTCAGGTGCGTTCGTAGAAAGACTAGACGGGACAAGAAGCCGGTGCACGAACTTCACTCGGCACTCATTTTGCAGCTAGACATGCAGAAACGCAAGCCGCACTTGTTTGGGCTTCGGAAGTGGAAGAACCCATTGCCTGACGCATCAGGCAGCGAAGACTCACTCATCATAGCATTCACAGCGAAGGTTTTTCGATGGTCCCAGTCGACGGTGCGGGGGGCTCGGCGTTGCAGGCGGAACTCATTCACCGTCGTCGCACGCAACGCCGACCTGTTCTCTAGTTGCCCACGCGCCCACGACGAACACACAGTAACGGGCTGCATATCGATAATTTACTCCATTTCATCTCATTCAAATTCCTCTGTGTGAGACTCACGACAGGAATGTCTGTCCTCGCCAGTCCTTATCGCGTTCATTGGCCTACAGCCAGCCTCCCGCCTGGGGGTGCACGCACCCTCCACGTCCTCGTCAAAGAGTGGCCGCGCGCCCGGTGGTCATCGTGAAATAGCCGGAAGACGCCCTCTGTGCACAGCCGCTGCTTCGCCTCGACGTTCCGCAGGTGCAGTCTAGCCGTCACCTTCCCGTGGCTGACGTTCGCTGCGCTGCCCGCTCGCATCTGCCATGGTACGCATCTGCATTTGACCCCTTTCCGGCATACCCCTCATCATCCATCTACGAGCCGAGCCTCGGTAAAGCTTCCGCGCAGCAGAGGAGCAGAATCCAGAGGCGCGCGCTCGGCCAAAGCATCGTCCGACTCTGCTCCGTTCGCCAGCTACCCATGACCACACCTATCGATGGTGGACAAATTACCGAACCTCGCGTGGGTTTATCCACGCGTTTAATATCAGATTCATCGCTCCCCACCAAGGTCCCACTACGACAGCCCCCCTACGCGTCCTCATCCCCATCAATATGTAGCGGCGGTACGAAGTACCTGGAAGGTCCTCTGCTTCTCCAACGTGAGTGCGCAAGCCAGCCGTCATCGTCCCGTCGCCCACGTTCGCCGCTGAACTCGAACCTCCCCCCTTTTCGGCGTTCGGGCGAGCGGAGCTTCGTCCTCGGGTGAACCATCGGGCACTGCGGATGACTTGGTGGTGCGGGCGGCGGCGGCGGCGGACTGCGCGCACGCTCACGCACGCTCACGCCCGCGGTTCGCGGCCACTCCCATCGGACGATGAGGAGGTCACAAACTTCCCAAGCTGGTTCCGTCCGTCACTTCCGTCCGCGCGCTGAGCCTTCTCCATCCTGACCGCCCGCCAGTGCGCACTTCCACAGCGCCCACCCTGGAGGTTTGCGAGATTCTCGGATAGTTGGGGTGTCGTCTCGGCGAGGGGTGCGTTCTCCGCGCTTCGCACGTCGAAGCAGACCGACTGTGGCTGGCCGAACGCGAATCGCTGCGGCCCTCACCCGTTCGCGAGCGCACACGACGAAGACGAAGGCGAAGACACAAGTTGGCAGCGCGCGCGAATCGGCAGCGGGCCCCTTCGTTCACGGTCCACACACCCGTCGTTCTCGCCACGACGCCAACCGCTCCACCGCCGCCATTCCCGTTCCGCGTCTCTCTATCGCTGGGAATATCATGTCAGTGCCGCTGCCGTGCAGAGTCCAGATCGCACATTTGACCCGCCCGCTTTTATCGCGTCGCGCTCTCGGATGCGAACCGAAATAGAATGAGCGACGAGAGACGCGGTGGGATGGATTATCGAGGGAGACAGAGACACGAGAACTACCGCGCTGCGACCGCTGCTCGCTGGGATGGGGGGCCCGGCCTGTGGATCGGAGAGATTTCTGCAATGTGGTGGTTATACGCGTAGTGAGCCTGTGATATGATATGATATAAAGCGCCTGCATTCATTCCTGAACACAACCGACAATAGTATAAGCACGTGCACAGAAGGCGCACCTATCGCCCAACGGATCCCAACTGCGCAGCTCTCCGCGACTTGTCGCCCGCTTCTTATTCGCTTTGCGTCATCCGATCGGAGGAAGGATCGTCTGCATAGCCCTAACCTTATGACAAACACGGTCGCATCTGCATATATATAGCTAGCTAGATAAGAGCCGCACCGCTCACCCAGTTTTTCCTCGTCGCTCTCTTCCGCCATATCCACTGTTACATCAGATGTCTCACCCCCCAATCCAAAACTTGAGAATGAAAGCTCCTGGTTCAGCATTGTCCATCTCGCCATTAGTTCCTCCCTCAATGCTCTTGCCTATGTCCATCAAGGCAAGCCTACGTTCATCGAGCCTGGCCTGGTCTACACACCATCTGTAAACTCTGACAATGGTCACAACTAGGAATTCATGCTCAGGCCCCTTCATTTTGCTTGTTGCAAGCAAAAAATGGAGGGCCTGAGCATGAGTTTCTCCTTGAGACCATTATTGGCTCTACCAGGGAGACAAGGGGGGTACATCATTGTCGAGCCAAACACTCGGGGGCAAGTGCTCCTCATCTAATGTGCAGGCCTGTCCTAGGTGTCATCTATTGCACGGGGACCTTCTGCAAGTGCGGCCGGTCCAAGGGTGACCGGTGAGGGGCAATTCGTGCCATCGCACGAATTCCTCGTCGCTATCATTGTCGAATTTGCAGCTTCCATGTAGGCTGTCCCCGGTGGACGTCATCGTTGGTACGACTCTCAACCTCGAGAGAAATATCTTATTGGCGTCCGATCATCTTACCAGGACCACAGCATGCTGCACGATGAGGACAGTGGAGGAGGATCGGGAGCAGGAAGCATTGCCGTGCGGAGGAGGGGTTCCTCGCCTCGCCAGCTCATGGTCAGTCCGGATCGTTCGTCTGGAAAGTCCAGAAATCGCAATTTTCCCTCAGCGTTCACCGCTATATATATATATATATATGGCGCAGCGGGCTGTTGCTCTCCGGATACGCCATCGCGCTCTTCATCCCGCCAGCGGAGACAATCCGACGTCTCCCGACACGGCCTCGCGAAAGACACGCGCATCCTGCTGGTTTTGCCAGGCCACGAATTCAGAGACCGAACGAACGACCGGCGCGAGCGAGCGAAGGATATCCAGGCCAGGGTCATCCAGATGATGCGGGCAGAGGCGATCGATAGGGTATGGAGGAGCACAGGACCTCGGAATATTGGCTGAGAACCCTTAGGTAAATTCGGACAAAGTTGGGGCTCAAAATTGGCTCCAACCCTTGATCCAGTCCGGACACATGGGAGAAACTTTTTTTTGGAAGCCTTATTTTTTTTCCAGACAGACAGAGGGTGTTCAGCCCTGACCCTTATGGATAAGGGTTGCTGGCCTATTTTTCGAGGTCCTAGGAGCACCAGTTTAGATGTGTTGACTGTGATGGAACAGGCTTCTTCCTCACACATGGCCGCGTCCGAAGCGACTACGCGGACGAGAACGAAGGCGAGGGGGGGGCGGGTCGGCGAATGGGGAGCTGGACGCCTTCGACGCTCTCTATCTGACCAGCATCGCGGGGCGGGGGAATATTTAGTTGTTCCGCGAGGGCGCATAGCGCATAAACATACGGCGAGTCCGTCGGCCGGCCCCGCGCTCACCGATATTGCCCATGGCTCTTCAAATTCGTGCTCGGAGAGCAAGCTCTAGTCCTGACTCAAAAGCACTAATCTTTTACACAGTTGCTGTGCGCTATTTGTTTTGTGGCAATTCTGTCCGCTCTCATCGATCATCCTCGGCAAGAGTCGGCATCCATCCGGGTCCTTCCTGTAGCCTATAGAGCTGCTCGCGCTAACCTCCTCGCACAGTCCCCTCGCCCGCTCCCACCTCAGAGACACGGTTACCGCACCGATGACCATGCCATCCTCTACCCGGCGCAAACAAGACATATCCTAACCAGCGATAGCTCATCATGCATCAACACCCATCTATCCTCTTCGCCACTCGGACATCTCCCCCATCCGCATCACGCACTAGGACGGGCGACCGCGATACCGTTACTTCGCAGATGTCCCCATCTGCGGTATAACCGTATCGCCGCCGCCAGCCGTCCCCGCGTTTCGCTCACTCGTTCCTCGACGTCGTCTTCATCTTTTCCGATGGTGGCGGCATTTCGTGCGTGCGCTTCCGGCGGCGCGACGACGGTGGACATTCTCCGCTCCCAGGCGATCAAGCTCTCAAGTGACCTCGCGCGCGTTCTGCGATGGCGTCCTCAAGCTGTAACGCTCGTTACGAGCTCGTTCCTCACCAAGATCGTCCAGACGCGCCTCGCTGATCCTTCCCAGACGCGTGCGCGCCGAGCGCTCGAATCTCGAAACGCGGCATAAAGGCAGCGCGGGTGGGACTCGTCCAGAAATTGGGAAACAGAGGTGCGTCAGCGCACACGATCCCGCGGATCTCTGCGCGAACGATCCTCAGATGGTGCAGAGCGCCTAATTAGGCCTTGACTGGGCACGATCTCGTCAAAATCGGTTCAGCTTTACGCCCCAACCCCTTGCCCCAACCGCTTCGGCGCACCCCACATGATCATCGTCTCCGCCATATATATACGTCCCCATCGCTTAATTGGCCCTCGGATCCCCGCCGCAAGTCACACTCTACTCATTTACCGCCGACCGCATCCACGTCCCCCCACCCCATCCTCCCTGGCTTCCTTCCTTCCATCCACCATCCTCCATCCCGCCGCGGTCACGACTCCAAACTTCTCGTCCGCGGTGCTGGAGCCGACCAGCGTTCGTTTTCGCCACCCGCCCGGCGGGGATCGCGATTTTGTCGCTCGCACAGGGGGGATGGGGCGCGTTCTCCGCCGGGAGAGAGATGTCGTGCCGCACACCGACCGCCGGGCGACCGCGTGAGCCCCAGCCCCAGGTTGGCGCGTGGTCCAAATCAGGAACGAGCTATCAGCGGTCGTCCCCGGGCCAGTGCTGCACGCATATGGACGGGGCGCACCCCGTTATTTTGTGCGCGCGTTCCGCGGTTTTTGCGTGTTCTCCCAAGCGCAGATGTTGAGTCACTCGGGCTGACTGGATAGTCGAGGTCGTCCAGACGGGGCCTCTCGCACTCGAAGCGTGCGTAAAGGCCCAGCGAGCTCGTGCGTCGGGGTCATCGGAAGAGCGGGCCCTGCTACAGAAGGGCGGGGGAGGGGGGGGTTGGTTTGGAGGGGTTTTGGACCCCGCAGAGGACCTTGTTGCAGACTGCGAGACAATCTCCTCGGTGTGCTTTTCATGTGCCCTCCCCCCCCCCCCCCCCACCGCGCGCCCAAATATCGCTCCTCCGACCCCCGGGTTTCCTTCCCGGAATATGCGCCGCTCGTCGTTCACTGCTGTCCGCGTCCACGTCCTCGGACTCACGTGGTCGTCCCGGCTTGCACCACCCTCCCACCTTCTCTCATCCGCCTTGTCGAAACTTGTCGACGCGCTTTTTATGCTTTATATGCTTTACTGGGCCTTATGCGCGCAGCGAAGGCCTGTGATGGTCCTTGGACCAGGTTGCCGCGACGGGTTCTCTTTCTCTCCATGCTGGAGGCCCGGGAGGTCGTCGGGAAGCGCGTTGCGCGCCCTGTCGAGGCAGTAGCAGCAGCAGGCCTCTTCAGCTAACACGACATGACAAATACAGGTGTTGTATAAGGTCTTGACTTACATGACACCCGTATTTGTTATGTCATGTTAGCCCAAGAGGCTCTGATGTCACACACTTCCGCCTTTGCCTGCGATCGCATCCACATGGGCACGTTCTCCGCTTACCATGACTTCCGTGCCCAGTATGGGTCTTCCAACGCCAAACCTTACGGTTGCTGGTCTTGCGGAAGCCCTTACTGGGATGGCTTCGACGATAGGTATAAGATCTCTGGAACGAGGCGAGTTTGCGATGACGACAGGCTCCAGGAGTGCTTCCTGGGGTTGGCATGGATCGTCATCGATGATGTCCCGCACTTCAACAACGTGCATGACTCATGCACGTTGTTGAAGTGCGGGACATCATCGACATCTTGCGCGGGTTTTGGGATGTATGTCGGCGGAGCTGGGAGGGGAGGTGCGCGTCTCCGCTGGATCGCTCCGGCGCACGTCCTTGGCAGATGGTGAGCTGCGCGAGCGATGTTTGGACCAACACGAGTTAAGAAGGGCACCGACGGGAAGAAGTAGCCAGCATCAGCGAAGGAGCAGCGGCCAGCGTCATCGGCAACGAGGTGTCAGAGCGGATTGTATCGCCGCACGGTCATCCCTGCATCATCCTCCTCGAGAACGGCCGGACGGACACGGCGCACTGTCGATTGTGGTCCAACGCATGCAGCCACTAGATACTATTCATTTCATGGGCTTCGATACTGCGACAGACAGGTGAGAGGGAAGGGGAGTCGAGGGCGCATGCAATATACTAACACAAACCCTCTGCAGGGCATAGATTACACGGCGGACACACAAGTTCGTACCGCCCATCTGCACGAAGATCGGGTGGTCGTAATGGTGTCGGATGGAGTCGTCATCGACTGCCATTAGGCGATGCGCGCAGCCCAAGTGACTGGAGAGGGTGCGGAGGCCCGGAGCTAGAGCGAGGTGTTCTGAGTCGACATCGCAAGAACACGAGCACTTGACCGCCGCACTTCGAGTCGCGACCCTGGCGACGTGCTCAGCGGCCTTTTACTAAGCCATGCAATGCGCCTGTATGACCCAGTCTGGTGTGAATGATCTTTGGATGCTGCAAACTCCCCTTAGCAGTCGAGCGACTGGCAAAGCCGATATTCTCGACGTCCTCGATCGCGGCTCGATTGCTTGGCTTTACTCCCGTCGGTCCTTCCTAAATGCCTATGCCCCTCCTGCGCGCAATATTGTCTTTTGCTTATACTTTTCTGTTGCATATCCCTTGACTCTCTCTCTGAGTATATCCGCTACAAGTTGAAGTTTAGTCATTTACTGCCGTCCGCGTCGACCCTCCGCGCCCCATCTCTATTCCAGCTGCCTCCATCCTTCCTCCAGTTGCCACCACTTCACCCGACGCACGCATGCTCGATGCGGGTCACGCGTCTACCACACATGCCCGGTCGTCCTCGCCCTCACCCCGCGGTGTCTACGGCATTCTCCCCTTCCGACGGATGCACGTACGAGGAACGGAGATTTGCTCTGGCGCATCTCTGTGCTCAGTATCTACTGCGCCGCCGACTGCACCTCCTTTCGTGCAAGCGCATATGCAGGATGTTTGGGTTTGCGCGACTGGTGAATGTGCCAGCGCACCTCTCCTACTCGCTCGCTTGCTCGTTCCTGGTGGCTGACTGCCTCGTTTGTGGAGATTGGAGCGCGGCGGGGCTCCAACGTACGATCTCTCGGTGTGTCAGTTTCACCGACACATTCCTGTGTCCAAAACTCGCGGTACTGCGGGTTTCTTATTCTTTATACCAGATCGCCACGAAGTTTCTTTCCAGGCCGGAGACCATGCCAGCGCCAGCACCCGAACGTCCCGCAGACTGAGAACGATCTCCTCATTGTCCTCTATTGCTTAGCTTTACTCCCGTCGTTCCTTCCTACGTTCCAGTGCCCCTCGCGCGCGCCCAAGATAATTATCGTCTCGCCCTTGCGTCTCCTATTCCCAGTCCCCGTTTCCCCTGTGTGTGCGCTCCAAGTGGAATTTCTAGTCATTTACTGTCATCCCCGCCTGCATCCACGATCCCCACCCCACCCCATCTCTATCCCAACTCGACCCATCCTTCGTCCAGTTGCTAGTACGAACTTCTCATCCGCAGTGCGCGTTCTACGCTCAGAGCCAATTAGCGCTGGCGTTTGGTCTTCCGGCCTGTTTGGACGGGGGGATCACAATCAGTCTGCATTGTCGCGCCTGTGATCAGCCACGAGGCGGTTTCCCCACCGAGACCCGACCGTCGTCGTCCTCGATAACCTCCGCCCCGGCGCGCCGCCTTGGCAAACTGGCGGCCTGCGCGGCGAGCGATGTTGGGACCGACACCGGTCGAGACGCGCACTGACAGGAAGGAGTGCGCTGCCGGCCGAAGGCGCAGGTGTGGTCCAAGCCAGCCTATCATCAGGAACGAGGTGTCCGAGCGGACTGAGTATCATCGCAGGGGCCATCCTCGCAGCGTCCGCGTTGCGCATGGCCAGACGGACACGGCGCGCGGGCTTATCGTGCATGAAGCTTTGAAGCTGGCGCGCGTTCTGCGGCCTCCTAAGCCCGGTCTTCGAGTTCACTCTCTGGTTGATAGTCCGCTGCATGCCGAGGCCATCCAGACACCCCTCGTCTCTAGGAGACTGCATTGGCATGGGTTGAACCACTATCAGACTCCATGTGCCCATATAAGGTTTTTGCGACCTGTGGTTGGCTATATGATCGCCAGAAATGCACTGAACCGCGTGTATTCCGTAGGCAAGCTAAGTTACAGCGAGAAAATACAATTTCAAAGACGAAGAACACTGCACGGTCTGAGCGCCCGTCACCAACTCTCGGCAACCTCCGGGCGTCTCACATATCGTGTAAGACTCAGTCAACTTGCAAGGCCTGTCCGTACGGCCGTTCTCAACGAGGACGCTGCGAAGATGACCCCTGAGACATCGTTGCTGATTCTGCTGGCTTGGACCACAGCTGCGCCTTCGCTAGCGCTGGCGGTGTTTACTTATTCGGAAGAGCAGGAAACAGCAATATTGCCACCAGCTGACAGCACGGCTTCCACGCCGCAGGGATTGTCTACTGACATTGCTACTTCTATGGATTGTTTTATTTCTCGTCGAGCCGTCGATCTTGCCATTTGGCAGTTCGCTCAGCTCAAGTGACTGGAGAGGGTTCGATGGTCCGGAGCTAGAGCGCGGTGGTGTTCTGAGTCGACGTCGCAAGAACACGAGCGCCTGACTACCATGCTTCGATATCGGCCTTCTGCTAGGCCATGCGTTGCGTCCGTACGCTTATGCCTTATCCATGCCATGGCTTACATTTCCAATAGCGAGGCGCGTTGACATTCTCTTCATACTGCGTTTTGAACGAATACGCTGATGCTTCCACTTACCTTACTCCGGACGTGCTCACTTCAAAATACTTGCACCAACCTTTTATTGTCTGTTTGATCTAAAATTAGCGCGGTACGTCCTGCCTGTTATCCATTTCGTTCTAACGGCGCACTTATGTCTGCTTTCGTTGTTCTTTGCCAGGCCTTCGCGACATGCTCCGGTGGCCATATACATGAGCACAACACTATGCAGTGTCGGGCGATCATACACTCTGTTGTGGTCTCTCTTCGCACTGTGATATGATCTTTGAGTTTGCGCAGCGGAATGCGCATTTGTCATCTCTCAGCGAGTAGGGCTTACAGATGTGGCAGAGACGCCGCTACCACTTTCTGCAGCAGACCTCTCTCCATCCTTGCTCCTGCTTCGCCTCATTCACGACAGTGCGACCCGCTTCATTAAGACGCTATGCTATGCTATGGTCAAATTGAAGCCAGCTGCGCACGCAAGCACATCCGATGGAGGTCGGTAATGAAGCCTATCCCTCAGTGCGCTTCGTTCTGGTTCTATATAATCAGAACATTGAAATAAGGCCAACCTGTTCTCGTCTCCACCTCCCACTTATTCCAAGTTATCTCTTGTAGTGCGCGAATTCACAATGCCTGTTAGGATCGGGAAAGTGACACATAGTAGGGTACGTACAATGCCTAACCGTTGCCCCCATACAAGACTTTAGTACTGATCATGTTCCAGCGATTGACCTATAAAGCTCTGGATGGAGAGGAGGAAGAGAAGACACCGTTGTCGACGCCCAGTCCCCGTGTTGGTAGCATCCCGTCGCGTATCCGAAGGCCTGGCAGCGCTGCTCGTCCGAATCGCCGCACCAGTGGGGTAAGCTTGGCCGGTGGAAGCAAAGTGTGTACCTTCTTTTTCGACTGTTAGCATATCTGAATCTGTTCCGATATAGCCTGAAGACAAGGCAGGGTCCAGTACAGTCGCCTACACGGCATGGTCAGAGTGTGCACGTATCCTAGAAAATCACGCGAATGAAGCGAGGAACCGCTGGGTTGAACACATCGACAGTCTGCTCACTTTCGTTCGTCGACTTCACGTTTGTAAAAAACTGGATGCGACTCTGATCATGCCCTGCAGGCCGGTCTGTTTTCAGGCGTTCTGACTGCATTCATCATCGCAACATATCAAGATGTACAGGGTACAAGCAAGAATATTGCTTTCACCACTGTATTCTACAACACCATGTGGTTTGCAAGTCTCGGTTGCAGTCTTCTTTCTGCGTCAATTGGGATCCTTGTCAAAGAATGGCTGCGCGAATACTTGATCGAGCTACCCGAGCAACCCAGAGATATCGTTCGCGTCCGCCGATTTCGACACTATGGCGTTCACCGCTGGGGTGTCCAGATGGTCGTGAGCGCCATCTCCCTGCTCCTGCAAATATCCGTCGCTTTCTTTCTTGCAGCGTTTCTCTGCTTCGCGTGGAAGCTCAATAAAGCGGTGGCAATCATGCTCACCGTCATCGTCACCTTCTGGATTTCATTCTGGATGCTGACGGCTACCGCCCCGGTGTTTTCTGCATCATGCCCGTACAAGTCTCCGCTCTCATGGCTCCTGTTCACCATAGCCAGCTTTGGCGAGAAAGACGATGTTGTGCGTGAGCGGCGTGTGGTCACACACGACGGACAGCGGTGGGATCGTGATGCATTAGTGCATATCAACAACTCCCTCGTAGATCGTAAATCCCTGCAAGAAATCAATGACTCTTGCCTTAACGACCTCACTCCTGCCGATGCCATGAGCTGTGTTGTGGAGATCCTCGAGGAGCGCGTCCTTCGCTCGAGCGTACGGAAGTCAGGCGCTGAGCATGGTCTGCCACACAGCGGGCAAGACAAATATGACGATGGCACCGCCGACCTGACTGCCATTCTCGTGGACAGGCTGTTAGCGGAGGACGCTCGCAGTGAACCCGTTCAGCTTTCACCAAAATTTCTTTCTATCCTGACTGCGGTTTCTGGCCGCTCCGATGGCTCTGCCTCGTTCGAAGGGCCCGGCGGGCATGTATGCGGCTCGATATGCGAAGTCGTCGTGCGCTATGGGCGAGCTACGGGATCTCCGTCGGAGGTTTGCAACATTTTGTGGGATAACTGGAAGAGTTGCCTTCAAAGATGCGAGATCCCTGCGGACGGTTCGTTCTCATACTTTGCTTTTTCGCCAATACCAAGGCTGATTATATGACGACAGCTGTTTCTATTCTCATCGAATGGGCCAGAGGGCTCAACTCACGTACAGACGTGATGACGTTCGTGAAGACGTGCATCCTCAGCGTGCACTTCGCGACGTACGTTTCCTCCGTGCACGAACAGCTGACCGAGGAGATGGAAGAAAAGATTCCCGAGGAGATAGAAGAGAAAATTTGCCAGGAGACAGAAGAGAAGACTCGCCTATTCGACGACTTGCGTGTCTTGCTCTCACAGGCCCCACAATCCATAAGGCAAATAGCGGTGGAGAACGGACGACCTCGTCATCCGACGCACTGGAACCCATGCCTCCCGTCGGTGCTTGACGAGCTGTGCATCGCTCTCGAGAGCCTCGCGGGTGCTCATACTGAATGCATCCCTCCCGGTCTCGTCGACGAGCTACGCAGGTTGTACCGTGCTGGGCTGCACAGTCCCCTCAGCAATTATGCTCCGGGGATGTTAGATAAGTTACGGCAGGAGACGCTGGAACGGTCTGGTGCGGGTGTCTTGGCGGAGTCGGACGTCGACACTTTGTCGTAAACCCGTTGGGAGCGTCACCACCATATACGCTTCGTCCACTTCGCCATTCGTCGGCGTCTCGATGCCCTAATGTATGCACCAAATACTCCTCTCCTCTGTCGCTTATGTCTTTTCTGTGACTTGGGTATAATCTATTGTTCCGTCTGACGTTCACGCATATCCTCGTATTTGGACCTTCACCACGATCTATATATTACTGCGCTCCATTACGTCCAGTCATCTTGTCATCGTATGTACTTTGTGCCAGAATGAGACCGGTCTAAACGTGGCTCTCGGATCGAATATAGAGGCCCCACGCGACCCAAGGTGAACGGGATATAGAGTCCTGATCGTGTCCACGGACGACGTGGCTGTACTTTTCGGGCTGATATGCTTCCGGGCACCGTCGCCCGCTCCGGACGCGACTTCAGTAACGAAGCAAATCAGCACGTCTCACCCTGAGATTGTAAGGTTCTGCTCATGCCGCCCTGGCAGCCGGCCTAAGTGGTGTCGGTGATACACAGGACGCTCGTCGTGATCACAGACTGCGGTATGTGCCGCTGGTAAAACACGCACGATCCCAACGCCATTCACTGCTGGTCTGAGCGTGACTTGCACCAAGGCCCGGGTTCCTGGCGGGCTGGGGAACACGCGGAAGCAGACTGGCTGCTCAGCGTCGATGTTAGTGTTATCTAGATGAGATGGTGAGATAGGGCTCACTGACGTGGTCCAGGTCCAGGCATACCTAACGATTCCAGTTCTTATAGTCATTTTCGTATTGATACGGAATGGCAAAAAAGGCCCGACGGATCTCCAACCAGCCGCTGGGTGATCTTGTGTCCTTCTGGCCTTCTCTGCTGTCCACCCCTTCCACTCTCCTATATGATATCATCAGTGCAGGCATCGTTAGGAGCAGGTCAATTCGTCAGCCACAAACAGGATGTGGCCGTACACCGGGGACAGTCTCACTCGCGAACGAAGCCAAAACAGTGTGAGGACCACCGCGAAGACGGGGACAAAAACACACATCACAAGTTCGTACACACCGCGCGCCACTGCACGCTAGGCGCGCCGTGTAGTGGTTGGGCGGCCTCAGAAGCAAGGTCAGAACTTCACCCGACGCACCCTCCGCTGTGTTCCGTGCCTACATCCACCTGGCGTACGGAAGCGGCGGAACACCGGGCGCGCTCTCTATCCGCCCATACCAACTGCTCAGCCATCCGACGAACGCAGACGAGACGTCCGCGCGCGTCCCCCCAGTAGCGATGGACGTCCAAACAGGGTTGTCTCGGCACCCACGAATTCGGCATGAAGTCCAACGCACTTTGGGTGTCCCACTCCGGCCAGAGCTGGCGAAGCTCTGCTGGGAGACGTTCGAATAGCCGGAGGTATATGGCTTCAACTTCGTCTGCTTCGATTCGGGCAGTGTCGCTCGAAGGGGGTCCGCCGGTCTGCCGGTGCGCTAGGATGGCGATGGCGATAGCGATGAGCATACAGACTGTGCACGCCTCCACGAATGCCATGTCCAGCTCGGCCGTGCCCACTCAAGGGATATCTGCCGGTCCACTCTACGAGCTTGGTTGACAGGGTTTTGAAGGAAGGGAGAGTTTCGGGGAATGCCTCCGAGTCCGCGATCCGCAGCGAAGTCGGCTTGACGTCATCGCCAACATCCTTGTATGTCGACGCTTGACGCGCTCGCCGCACCGTCATTGGCAGCTGATACTTGCCTCCTCACCATCCCCGCCCGCGCCCCTTCCCGCAGTCGCGCATCGATTCCAGTCTCCTCATAAAATATTACGCCATCCCCCCACTGGACGCTGCCAGACCGTGCGCGATCGAATAGACGCACATCCCCTTCTCAAGGCGTGCGCCATCAAGGTGCCGTCGTCGACCCCTTTCTTCGCTAGCCCTACCACCCGCGGCCATGTCTCTGCTCTCTCGACTGTACTTGACTCGTTCTGTCGGGGTCGAGCGTGCACTACGCCCCCCTGTCATATGCACATCTCGTCGGTATTCTCAAAACGGCGAGGGGAATCACCTCACCCGGGATCGGCACAGGGATGGGCATCACGGTAACACCCCTACGTCCGATGGACAAGGTGAACACGACGAGGGACACCTGTCAAGCGGGGACGAGAGCATAAGCTTGCAGAAGTCCTCATCCTCTACGCGAGCACGGGCACCTGAGACGGAAAGACAAACGGAGAACGCGGTACGCACATGGCCCCTTTTCCAGACCGGCATGTAGTTTTGATTCGGTATCGCGGCGGCAGGACGAGGCACTTTCTCCCCATGAATGCCTCAAACGGCTGTGGTACACGCGCGATCGCATAGCGTTCGCTCTCGGGTTCGAGGGCTCGAACTGGTCGGAGATGAAGCACGAGATGGAAAAGCAACCCGACTTCGACTGGCCAAGATATGCGCACAAGTCGCTGGCCCGGTGGCAAGTCCCGCTCGAGGAGTTCCGCCACATCTTGAGCATGCCGGACGACTTTGACGATCCTGCCGACATCGATAGGCTACCTGCACTTGTAAAGTTCAGTTGTCGCCGGGAAAAATAGCGTGCAGGTACACATTCGGGGATTTGCGACCTTTGCTCGTGTATTTTAGCCTCGACGGAATGGAACTGGATCTCGAGCTTGCTATTAGACAGTGCTATAAATCTGAGGACAAGGAAGACGTTTTCGACTGTGTCGCTCGGGTGTCTCCTGCCGCGCTTTCCAACGACGTTGGCGCACCCGCTGCACTCTCAGGCCCTGGGTACAGGCAGCGCAGAGCGTGAAGAGGAGCGAGGGCGAAATGAGATGGATGTGTTATAATGATCGTCTGGAACCCAGTCAAGAAACTCGCTGAGACCGAGGATGTGTACGTGTCTTACTTGGTCAGTGCGAAGGTGGGCCTTTCGCTCACCTCTTGACTCCATGCATCATTTTAATGTCCCGACGTCGCGCAGGATTTGGTTTACCCTATATTCACAGTGACTACCCCCGTCCGTTTCTGCATTTCTGTTGTAGCCCACCGTCGCATTTGCCGCCGACGACGCTCACGATGGCCAGCCTCCTTTCGCTAGCCTACCCTCAACGATCGCGGCCTGACCGTCCGCATGTACCACCGCGGGTTCTCCCCGTCTTTTTCCTGAGGGCGTTCTGGTCATCACGGCCATGCAGTCAGCCGACGAGCGAGGTGAGCTATCGTATATCACCCATCGCGTGCTGCCCTCACGAGCGCGCGCGAAACGTTTTTCGTCCGCGCAGCGCCTCCCGGGCCCGCGCCAAACCTCTCCCGTGTCGCCGTCGAATTTGGATGGGGACGACGCGTAAGGACCGATACGGCTCCGACCCCCCCGTATGCGCGGAGGACGTCCCTCCATCCTCGTCATGACCCTCCCTCCTCTCACGCACAACCTTGCACGACGCACTCGACCGGCCGATACTCTGCTCTCCACCTCCACCTCCACCTCCGTCCCACCTCCCCTCGACCATCCACCCGCCCGACGACCCCACCCCATCCCACACGTACAAGCACGAAGCGAGAACGAGCGGACGACCCAGCCGGGTCGCTCACTCGTCCGCGTCCGCTACGGGCAAGGCCCCGGCCAGCTCACCACAGCAACAGCGTTTCCCGGCCGTCGTGATCAGGCTGGCTGGCGACAGCGGCGGGGGCTGCTCGTCGTCTCGGGCCGTCCGGGGATAGCACTGCAGGGCGGGACGTTGGACGTGATGTGTCGCTGTCGCAGTCAGCGAGTCGTCCCCACCCCCCCCAGGGTGTGCCGCAATCTGACGCGGTGCGCCGTCGGCAGGAAGCTAACCCAACGACGCTCGACTAGGTAGGACACTCCATCCGGGTGGGGGGGGGGGGGGGGGGGGGCTAACGACTACACGGACGCCCTGCACCGCGTACCAGGGACGAGACAGAGGCCAGTGAAGCTCCGAGAAAATACCGTGATTCTCCTCTCGTTCGCTTGCGCTCGCCCGTGGGCGTTGGGCTGGCGGACCAGCATCGGGTCGGCGCCGCTGAACGAGAGATTCCCCGAGCCGAGGCTGAGTGGGGCCTGCTTCGTCAGCTGGACGACGCACGCTATCCCTCGCCTCCGTTACCCGCCTTCGGCGACGGACCGACCCCCTCGTCTCGGCACAGCGCTCTGGATCGACTTGTCGACGATCGGATACCGCACGTAGACCGCACACTGACGCTCTCTCCGCGCCCGGTCGACGTCCTCCTGGCCTTCCGCCTTGTACGTTGCTTGCAACAGGCCAGCGAACGGGCACCCAACGTCACCATAACAAAGCGCAGCGTCCGCGCTTGGCTGTGGTGGCGTTGTTCCAAGGGTCGGTCAGTCCCTCCGCCGCGTCGTGCGAGTTTGCGACGCGCGAGACGTCGCGATGGATGCGGTTATTCCGCGGACGACGCTTTTTGCAGTCCATCCGCGCTGCGGCCGTCGTACAGCGGCCGCGCGTGGGAAATGCGAATAGGCCCTCACAGTCCCCGGGCTGTCGACTAACTCTGCGGGACTCCCCGGGCTGTCGACCAAATCTGCGGGACCTTGCGATCTCGGAACGCCTGCGTATGGTCAGACCTGGGGTGCTCGTCGTCCCTCTGTGGAGAAGACCTCGGCTCGCTCGTTGGACGGCCTGTCATGTTCGTAATGCGCCGATCCTGCGCTGTCGGCCAGGGGACGGGAAATACATTTTGTCGGTGGCCGATCTTCTACACTTCCAAGAGTGTACTACAGATAATGCACTCAGCATCCTTCGGTGCACAGCCCGCGCGGGACATCACTACGCACCAGCACTCGCTGAAGTAAACCGGACGTGAAGTAGCGACGAGCAGTGTTCCTCGTTTCCCAGCTAATGCTGCCGGGGAACGAGACCCGTAGACGACTGCTCCCGCCGTTCGATCTATGTCTATTAACCGATATCGATTCCTCCACCATATGGTCGCTTACAGGAATCCCAACCGCGTTCGCCGAGCGGGGAGACAGCTGCGGCGTCATATAGCTGCCGAGGCTCCCGCGGCCGTCTCGTACCCATAACGACTCGTGGTCCGCTCCCCAGCCCATTTGCACCACCCCTCTGTGTGGTACGGCCTTGCAATGATGTTACGATGATGATGCTCATGTTGTCGTTCCCGAAGTCGGCCGTCCGATTGTGGAGCTGTGCGGTAGTCGCGGATTTCCTCGCAGACCTTCGGGAGCGTCATGCCTCGCGAAAGAAAAATCCGGACCATGCTGACGACATCTTGCGATGACAGGCAATCGCAGATACCTACGACCGACCGACAGAGTTGGCGGATAACAGAATGCAGTGTGGTACGGACCATCAAGCGAGAACGAGAAATTCGTCTTCCTCGGTAAGCTGGTACTGCATGACATCTGGGTCGCAGGTAAGGATCCGCTGTTCAGGTGGAAGTTCCGAATACTGCTGCTTCAACTCAAAGTCGCCCATAGCTCGTGACATAGCCTAATCGCCCACGTTCAGAACCGTGAATCAATACGCCGGCATTGCAGACGAGAAACTGACTATTAACACGGTTATTCTCAATATATCCTCCCGTCGCAGAGATGGGAGCCTCTTCGGCTGATAGGGCAGAGGAATGAGCAGCGTGAAAAGTCAGTACTTACCCAGACATACCATCGATACTTGGCCTGTGGCTAGCAGACAGCGGTTTTATCTCAACTTTGATCCCGAGTACCGTTCGTGGATCTACGGCGTAAGCCTGCAACACGGTCAGGGGTGGAGAGGACTGGCTGAAGCAAAAGGTAAGATGTACGACGTAATTTGTGCGCCCTCGCGAGTGATCAAACTGGCGATAGCAGTGCAATCCCCTTCATCGCCCGGGGCTGTAAGCCATCGAGGTGCAGAAAAAAATAAGAATACATGCGAAATGTACCTTTGCTCAGTTGTGCATCGGTTTTAAGGAATACCTTCTTGAGGGCTTTTGGATAGGGTTTTTTAAGCATAATTCTGTTTATCTGGGTTCTTGTTAATGAGAGACGGAGAGACGGAGAGGAACGGTTACCGTAGGGAGAACATTAATGAACTTCTTCATATGACAATCGAGATCAAGCAAGAACCGAAAGCAAAGTCGGATTTCACCAACTGGGGCGGTCATTAATAGCCACCTTCAACTTATCGCTCATACCTTCCGGTTATGACTGAGGGAGGGCGACATATCAGCAGGTATTGCATGGGACCATCGGTGAATCTTTACGCCCACAACCAAACATCGCACCAGTATCAGACGTAGGTGGGTACCAGAAACGTGTCCACATGCATAAAGATGAGTGAAAGTATGGTGAGGGAGGCCTGTTATTTGGAAAGAGAAGTTGATAGGCCTGAGTATCTGAGCGAGTTCGGCGGGGATGTGCGGTGAGCGATACACAAAGTCGGAGAAGAACACAAGAACCTACCAACTAGCCTCTCGGCCGGGCGCAGCTCTCAACGTGGAACCGTTCCAGAATGGTCCTGGTCTGACTTAAATAACGCCTTGTGAGGGTACTCACAGGAGGGGCAAAGGCGGAAAAGAGGGAAAGTACTTCTATGGCGACGCGTAAGATAGACCCAGTTCAAACCCGACCACTATCACGTGACCCATTTTGTCACGCTTACATTCTTTTGGCGGACGAGAAGGAAAGAATTTCTTATTTCTCAAGCATCATCACCTTCAAGGTAAAAGTAGGACCACAATCTTATTAAGAATATTTTGCTTCAAATAATTGTGGTCTCCGACTTTTGAGAAATCTCACACACTGAGAGAAATAAGATAAAATTTTACAATATGGACATGTTAAGTAATTACCACATTTCTTGCCTGTGGCGACACGATCCTTCTCCACTTTCATGGCGAAACGAAAGCTCGCGCACCGGCGCTCTATTGCAAACCTCGGGAACCATGCAAAAAAAAGAGTGTGCCAAAGACAGGATAGTGAAAAGGAAAACAAAGAAAATGTGAGTAAGTTAGTGCAATCTAGGCTTACAATACTCACCATTACTACAGGAACCACCTTCCGAACTTCTCGCCCAGACCGCAGATAGTTGCGGGGATACATCACCTGCAGATAAGCAGTGCACGACATCACACAGTGCCAGCGCCAGGGCAATACCACTGAGCGCCGGCACTGGCATGCATGGGCCACTTGCATTGGAACTCTCTGGCCACGAAGGTGTTGTGGAACAATATCAGATTCAAAATGCAGAGGACACTATGACTGTACCTGATAATGCCAGTGCATTCCCTACATCCAAATCACATCCCTACATACCTCCACCCACCATTGAAGATGCAAATTCTGCTTTAAGCGACATACTGGCATTGCTCCGGCCACGGCGGAAAAATGGAAAGGGAACAAAGCCATTTGATGGTGATGATTTCCTTCATCGGCGCATGGAGCAGATGAGAATGTTGCTGTGGTTCTATGTCAGTGGAGAGCCACCAGCCTGGATTGATGCATCATTCAAAGTTGCATATGCATACCAGAAAGGTGACTTCATTGCAAAGGCTTTGCGCACGTGGACACGATCATTCTTGGCTGACCGGCATAACCTTCCAACCAATCCATATGGGAAATGGAACAACTCAATGCTACAGAAGGGGGACCTAGCATCAGCAATCGGAAGACACCTGCAAAGTATTGGCAAATATGTTCGTGCTATGGATGTTATGGAGTTTGTTAACAGTGCGGAGACACAGAGTGAATTTGGACTCACAAAAGGTATTTGTCTCTCAACAGCCCAAATGTGGATGCATGCAATGGATTACCGCTGGCGCAAGACCCCACATGGACAATTTGTTGATGGACACGAGCATGCAGACGTTGTCAATTACCGGCAGGAAATATTTCTGCCATTAATAGCCGAGCTGGAATATAACGCACGTTGTTGGAGCCGAGATGGTCTTGAGGACATTGATCAGAACGAACCTCGACCTCGTAATTGCCGTATGGTGTTTTGGTGGCATGATGAGTCAGTCTTCTATGCAAATGATCGTCGCTCAGTGCGTTGGGTGCACGAAACTGAAACCGCAGTGCCGCAGGCAAAGGGAGAAGGCGCATCAATCATGGCGGCAGACTTTGTCTCGGCAGACTATGGCTGGGGGCGCTCTAAAGATGGGACCAGATCAACCCGAATACTTTTCAAACCGGGAAAGAATAGAGAAGGCTACTTCACCAATGAACGTATCCTCGAGCACTGTACAATGTTGATGGACATAGCATCAAGAGACTATCCAGATGATGACCATGGTATAATACTCGACAATGCACCAACTCACCTGAAACGCGCTGACGATGCACTTTCCGCTCGCAAAATGCCCAAATTCCCACCAAAACCTGGCGCTCCAAACTTTGGTGTTATGACAAATGTTATTGGCGAGAATGGCAAACCTGTATATGGCACTGATGGGAAGATCCTCAAACGATGGATGCGAATGACAGAAGGAAAGTTTGCAGATGGCAGACCACAATCCTTGTACTTCCCACCTGGTCATGAGCGCGAGGGACTCTTCAAGGGTATGGCAAATATCTTGGAAGAACGTGGCTACAAGGGTGTTCAAAATTTGAGATATGAATGCCCCAGTTTCAAATGCCCCCCTGGACAGGAAAGATGCTGCTGTAGAAGAATGCTGTACAACGAACAAGACTTTCGAGATGTCGAGACATTAGTGGAGACTCACTGCAAAGCTCGTGGTTTCCATGTGATCTTTCTCCCGAAATTTCACTGTGAGCTCAATCCTATCGAACCTTGCTGGGGATTTGCAAAACGTGTATACCGCCAGTTCCCGCCTTCAAAGTTGGAGGCCGATCTTGAGCGCAATGTGGTCAAGGCATTGGATGCAGTCCCACTCGAAAGCATGCGACGGTGCGTTCATCAATTCTGATGTGATGTGATGTGACTCAGATCACACACAGCTTCTACACTCGCGCACAACACTTCATGGATGCTTATCGCAAAGGTTTGAATGGTAAGCAAGCTGCATGGGCGAGCAAGAAATATCGCGGCCATCGCATCCTCCCAGAGAGCATCCTCGAGGAACTTGAAGCTGCAAAGATATAACTTATATTCATAGTTCAACTATCTTGTATACTTTCATTCTTGTGTATATTCACTATGTTTCTACCTCATACACTGAGAACGCTGACTCATTTTATGTCGACGCTCCTGCCGCTGTCGTGCGTTCAGTGCCTTTTCGGGACTTATCCAGGCGCTAAGTGGGTTGCACGTGAGGTGTCACAGTGTGACGATAGTGGTCGGGTTTGAACTGGGTCTATCTTAAGTGGGGCGCTTGGCTCATCACGTGGGCGCGTCAACTGGAATCTGAGATTCGGCCGCGTCGACTCTCTATCGTCCATCTCATACCTGCCCTGCTTGTCAATATGTTTCTAGTCATTCAAATACACCTCGACGTCCGTGAGGTGAAGAAGGAAGGCTGACCAGAGTTCTGTGATGGCACCAATTTCTTGTCGGCGCCGGATTCTTTCGGCCCATCCCGTTATAACTTATGCTCGCACCTTGTTGCCGATGGACACGCGAGGATCAGGTTCTCCCTTGTACCGAGGAGTCAGGATAGAAGAAGCGATAGGGTCGGAAAATCTAACAACAGATGAAGGAGCAGACCAGTAGACGATGAAAGGGAAGTCCTGTTATCCCTCTCAATAGTACATTCCCTTTGGTGTGTATCGTCGTGCGTGTTTTTCTGATGTCTCGTTTGCACTTCTCGATGACCTGCCTTTTATTTTCATGTTATCTGGTCCAGAAAGCGAAGAGAAAGAGATCGAGCGCATGCACAGATACGTTGCGGAAAGCGAAATCTAACATGTAACGGGAAAGCCTCAGCGTGTCTTCTGCGGTTGTATTGCATGTCTCTAAACAAGTGCCATCCATCTTTCATGCCTTCCCGTGGTCGTTTAGGGTCTTGTGATGGCTGGCTTGTATCTCATGTTATAACAAGGCGTAGCCGTCGACACTGGTCCACGCAGCACTGTTTCATTCAAGAAGTTATGAGCTTCGGTTCCGATGGAGAGATCGCTGTTTGGCCCAGTTCACCTGGAACTATTAGTATTGTGTGATCTGATTCCCCGCAAGTTCAGAATGGAAGCGCGCTTGGAGAAGAGCTGTTGTCTCTTGGACCAGAGATACTTCAGGCTTGAGTATCGCCTGCTTGACTGCGCTGTGCGAGCGGGACATTGATCCTGATATATTGTTTGCGCATCCTGACAGGGTCTCAACGTCTTCGACATTTCAAAAGGATCTCTCCTTTCTCAGACGTTCGATATGAACATGATCCATGATGGAAGAAGGCTTGCATCGGGTACGTGACATTCACATCGCAAAGATATTTCCTCTGGTCGCATCACCTTGCGACGCTCCATTTTGCGCACATCGTTCTTGTCGTCCGATGCAGAATTGGGGACATCTGGTATCCGAGGGATGGACGCTCAAGCGTCGTTCTGTTTCTTCTGTCTGAGACCTCTATGCCACCTTACTCTCACGGTTCCTCGTGAGGGAGCGATCTAATTGTCCCCCAACTCCATGGTTCTATCACATCTCGGGTGAGATCTATACATTGGGATCACAAACTCTGAGATGCTAATATACTCCCTCATCGGGCCAGCGATCCTCCCTGCATAAGGTATTGGAACGCTTGCGCGCAAGCCTTTGAGCAGCCACTTTGGACGTTCGAATTTCGATATCTAGCGTTGAAACGTGGAAGAGGGTGTGTGCAATAGTGGCACCGCACTAAGCAAATTATGTTGGAAAGAACGCGAGTTCAGTCTCTGCAAACTTTTCTTTTCATCTCGAGTGAGATCTCAAGTTGTTGCCTGACCGTGCTTTGATGCTGACTATCGTGAATTACGCCATTCAGCAACATACGTAGTCAAGCCGAGCCATCCGGTTCCATTCAAAGAAACAGCTTTATATTCTACTTACGGAACTTAGCTACGCACGGCCCACGCGTCATTCTATTGTTCAATGAGGTTTTGGTCCGGTGGCGATTCGGGTTGCTGATCGGAAGTCAAGGGTGTTGCTTATCCGTGTGGCGCCAGCCAGGTATATAAGGCCCTGCTTTCTGTTCCCTATTTCCTCAGACCACCCACTCCTCCTACACGCTCAATCGCATGTATTCTTCAGTCACAACTCGACACAGGGCTGTACACCCTCCATTCCGTCATAGAATGCATCCTCCAACTCGCTTTGCGCCCCGCGAACCGCACACGTTAGTCCTATGCACAGCGTAGGTGAGACTTTGTGTTCATTGAAAGTATGGCTCCACTGACAACGAAGCTGCAGTGCTGTCTGTCGACACTTCTGGGGAGACTCTCCTGGTTCGATTCTTCACGGGCATTCCTACAGAGATGGATATTCACTAAATCTCCATTACTGTAGATGGCGGCGACCGGCTGAGATACGCACCTCCCGCGTCAGCGACTCAAGTCATTGCGAGTTAGCCACACCGTTTGGACTAGGTACGTGAGCGTTCTTAGAATGCTTTGCACTTTGTGCTGAAGATGCATCTTTCTCTCATATGGCCACGCGTACCCATTTGACCAGTTTGTGCGCCAGTCGCTCTTTCATGGCTATGCCCACACTGGTGTCATCTGGGCATGACCATGCGCCTCTCTCCGAGGTCGTCCTGGTCAACGATGGCTCGTCAAATCGTGACAGAGGCCCGTCAAATCGTGACAGTGGCTCGGCAACAGTCGCTCACCAGATCGTCACGGCACACAAAACCAACACATCTACCTCAAGGCCTCACCGCGGGTGCGACACTTCCCAATAAACATGTTCTCTAACATGCGCACAATGGCCCAACTCACTCTGCTTGCGTTGTTCTTCTGTTATTGCCGTTCTTCGGAAGCTTCGACCTCGTCTACACCAATCAGCAAGAGTACTTCGTCGCCATCCACCATCCAATGCTCTCTATAGCTCTGCAAAACTGTCAGTTTCAATTTCGCTCTTTCGGCCTATTAAGGGTACCTCTAGTGTCGTCGCCGTTGAATATCTCAACCTTCCGATCATGTAACGTACATCAGATTTTAGTGTATGTGCTACGTAGCCTATATTGGCATCTGGTACATAAAAACAAAGTCATGTCTCAAGCGGCCCATGCCATGCGGTAGACACAGAGTGCAGTCATCCCGTGATTGAGTACACAGTGGAGTTGTTGTTTAACATCATGTGGGTGCGCCTCAGGCACCCCTGCAGTGAAAAGGACACAGCTACTTGGTCTTTGCAAACGACAGACCTGAGTCTGACCTACAGTTACACCCATCGTGTAATGCGAAGAACGAGCTCGTTTCCTCTCGCGCGTCCAGATTACTTTGGCAGTATGTGTATCTTCCATGTCTGTAGTAGGGTAAGATTCTTATACTCGTCGAGCGACGGAAAGCAGCTTGCCAATCTCCGCCCCCGCATTGAGTAGCCAAATGGACATCCCTTCTATCCAGTCGAATTCTCAGTCTCTGCAATACAGCTCGTCAATGTCACGTTAAACGATAACCAAGCAGACCGCGGGGCCACTTAAGTCTGAAACTTGCGGCGGACAGTTAGCATTTATTCTGATTTTGAACCTGTGAGCGACATTCACCATGACATTGCGCAGAGAGGAAACGATGTCTTCCACTAGCACACGAGGCCCAAGAAGGATAAATAAACAAAAACGTACGCGGCGAGCTGCATATATGTTATGGTTCGCGAGAGTCAAAGGCATCACGCCTCCATAATGAATCAGTTGAATGGCGGCTTCCCGCCCTGGGATCGGATAACTCGACAAGGCATGCTTATGCTCTTGAGTTTGCGAATCGAAGGGTTATGTATATCCAAAAGAAGCCCACATTACGCTTCCCTATCGCCCTCGTTGAACGTCATGGTGAAGAATCAGCGAAGGTCAGTATAACGCGTTTATTCATATCCATGGGTGAGAACACGGCAACCAGCATCTAGACGAGCGCGTACATACATGATCTCGACACAAACGCCATCCTGCAGTATGCAGCAACGTCAGTGACAATGCCACAACCTGCACTTCGGCGTGTCGCCACCTCAGAGCTGTTAATAACACCACTCGTCACGGTCAATGATCGTCCACGTTACGATGAACTATTGGTACACCGCTTGACTGGACTCGCTCATATATATGCACCTCCTCTTGGTCTCCAAAGTTCACATTCAGGAACGAACTCACCGCCTCGAGCTCGAGCCAGCAAGGCCAGCTGCATCGATCGCAGCGACATCTTCCTTCGTCAGCTCTGTATGACCAAAGACGCGTGATAACAGGTGATAACGTTCAAGCATAGACGGACCGGTTAGGAAAAGAGGAAGTCGAATCAAAGAACGGCAGATCGAACAAAATCAGCCAATCAGGAACAGGAGAATAGAAAAACTAACGCACCGAGGTCACCAGCGGCGATATACCCCTCCAGGCGCTCCTTCTTCGTGCTCGACCTAGGGGACATGGCGTCAGAGATTAAGCTGAGCGAAATGCCAGGAGAGAAGGAAATACATACGTCACTACAAGCGTACCCTTTGCGCGCGCCCACGCAAGGAGGATCCGCTCAGGCGCGGTATTGAGACGCTCCGCGATGGCCGCGACCGGAGCATCGACGGGGCCGCCAGTCTTATGCGTCAGTGGACTATTGTGCGGTTGCCCTCGTCAGCGGTGGGCTCGGACAGGAAGTAGAGGAAGAAGCAGAGAGCGACAGGACGGAAGGGATACTCTGGACACGGATGTAAAGGTGACGACAGAAGAGGGACACACATGAGTGGGCTGTATGCCTCGCTGACGATCCCGTGCTGATTTCCGAACTCGACCAGTGGGCCCTGGCGGTCGAAAATGTAGGGGTGGAAGAGGATCTGCGGATTGGATCAGCTGGGTGCACGGATATCCCATTGAACTTGATAGAAGAATGGCTGAATGGTCTGGACGCCCATATATCGCCCTCTGCGGTCCCAGCGTACTACCCAGCAAGACGCCCGAGAAGATGCAAACGAGTCAAAACATACCTGGTTCGCTACAGGCTTGATCTTGGCTGAGGCAAGCAGGATCTTGAGCTCGCTGATGTTGAAGTTGCTAACACCGATACTCCTGAACGACGTGACCACTGTGAGGACTTTCATCTCAACAAGGTAACTCGTACGCACTTGGCAAATCCCTGTTCATGAATGTCTTCCATCTTCTTCCAAATAGTAGGAATATCGGGTACGGCGAGATCAGGCCCATGAATCAGATACAGATCGACATAATCGACACCTAACTGTACGCAAAGGTTAGCCCACCCTGTCCCAATATACCACAGAGAAGCGGAACGACGCACGAATCTGAGGCTGTTCCGGATAGCAGTGTCGATGTCGGTCTTGCCAGAGTATTTCGTGGTGATGTACAAGTCGGAGCGTGCGAGACCGCTAGCGCGGATCGCCACACCTGCCTCCTCTTCGTTGCGGTACACCTGCGCGGTATCTAGCGATAGGTCAACCGCCAGAACACTCAGCTGAAGAATAAGGGACGCGCCAATGTGAGTAAACCCGGTGGCGATGGCGAGCTGAACAAGGTCGATGGTCTGCGGCCCGTTGCCTCGCCTCCATGTACCGAATGCGACGCTCGGCGCAGTCGTTCCTACCGTTAGAACGGCTGTCAGCGGGAACGTAGAAGGATGAGTGGAGGGAGGAGACTGACCGTCGTTGAGGGTGATGCTTCCCCAGGGCATCTCAGCGCGCAATGGATGCGAAGGTAGAAAGGTGGGAATTCACATCGGAGGACAGCCGGGTTTATCTGGTGAGAGAGATGGCTGAAAATATACGGGGCCGTGTGCCGCTAGTAGATAGACTATGACGGTGGACTGATCATGAAGGATTGCGCTATCTTACGGCGAATCTTGTCAGAGCTTGTGGGAACGCCTCGAGATGCAGGTCACGCGTCACTGGCAACGCGACTGTGGCTGAAACTTGCGACCGCGTTACACGTATTAAGAGAGTGAGTCAAACCTCACCTCGTCACTTGAAGTCATCTCCTCTCTGCGATTATGGCCCTTCTGAGATTTCCTAGGCTCTTTCCCGACGAGAGACTCCCCGAATTCTACGACTTGCTCCTTGTCGACAGTGACGAGGGATCTCACAAAAACATGCGGTTGACCCTCACCGACGTAGTGTGTATCTACGAGGGCAAGAAACTGTCAGCAGTTTATCGTGCCACTATCCGTGTTACATCTGATTCCCCTGAGGCCGCCGAGCATCTTCCTCGCGAAGTTGTTTGCAAAGTCGTCTATGGCAGACCTGCCAGGGACAAGTTGCACTTCGAGTCCAGCATGTACGAAAAGCTGCAGGACTTGCAAGGTCGTCTCATTCCTCGGTGCTTTGGCCTCTACGAGGGTGAAATGGATGATGGACGGGCTGCCTGCCTTTTGTTGGAGTACTGCGGTGAGGAACTCACTAGAAAATTGCGATACACCTCTTGGGACTTCAGGTGAGCCTGCACACTCTATTGATAGATGATTATCCTGTCATCTAACCAACACCAGACGACAGGTACTCGATTCATTGTTCGAGATTCATCGCCGGGGAGTCGTGCACAACGACGTCCGTGAATGGAACATTGTTATCAATAAGGAAGGGCGCCCTATTATTGTCGACTTTGACATCGCCCAGTCCAAGAACCACGACTGTCCGGTTAAGTCACCAATCGAGTTTGATATTCCAGAACCTGATGAATTCCACTTCGGGTGCAATGAGTTGCACTGGGCGGGGCAATTGGCAGATGTGTGGCTTCCTAGTACGTCTGCATTCTTCATTTGTGTGCGCGTGGTACTTATTCCCTGAAAGCAATGTTCCTTTTTTTGGGAAGGAGAGTCCCGATAAAGTACACCGACTCGCCAGAGTTGCTTGCTAAGGTTGCACCTCCAGGGACCTCACCGGAAGAGGCACTTGAACGCGCACACGTGTATTATCAGATGTACCGCACAGCTCTTGAGAAACGAAAGTGCTGTGAACCTTATAAGTATCTCGATGGCAATATGGTGGACAAGTGAGCAATTCATAATATGGAAAATTAAATCATTGAAGGTACATCCAGAATACAGCATTCTGGATGTACCTTCAATGATTTAATTTTTGATATTATGATGTGTTGAACGAGACTGTTAGGGCTCTAGAGTCATGCCAACTGTACAGTTCGCACTACTCGAGTATCACAGTAGAAGTTTGGCGGAAATTTATTCAGCACATTTGTATGACTATGGTTCGCACCGCGACCACTTCTCGAGAGTTCTGCTGTACTTGCGAAGAGCCACTTGTGTTTCTGCAAGGTCTGACTGGGAGTTGGTGTCTCCATATTTTGTATTAAAATACTCATCCACAGATCCTATACGATGATGAGGTCCTTGTGGAAATAATCTCAACAAGGAGAGAATGTAGACACACTGGTTAATTTTGGTGGGTATCGTAAGTATGCACTCTTGTTTTTCCGCATCGCCAAAATCGACAAGGAACGGACGCCCGTCCACGTCGATTACAATGCAGTACTCACAGAAGTCGCCATGCTCAACGCCCATGTGGTGTATCCGACGAAGTAAGGTGAGGACTTGATCTCTAAGACGATAGTGTTAGTTGCAGCCGTTTGGACCGATGGGGACCAGCCTCACCTCAAGTTCCAATCAGAACCACAGCGGTCACCGCAGTATTCCGAGACTAGACACCCAGCACTCCCGTCTTCCATCTTGCACTCAAACAGCACAAAGCAACGTGGGATAACACTCGATTGTAACTCGCCGAGTTGCCGGAGAACATCCGCCTCATGTTGCAATGACAGGATGGACCGCTTCCCACAGAAGACCTTGCACGCGACGTCGCGAGGCAGACTTCCAGCACATTCCGGCGTGGTGCGAAAAATGCTGCGCTGCCCTTAATGTATCCATCCAAGGGGGTCTGTCGAGGCTGCAAGTCATTCTGTAGACCGTCGCGATGAACAACTCGTATTCATCGACTGACAATTCTGTCTCGTGCAGATTTGGAGCATCAACATATTAAAACAACGTCTATGGATAAAGCGGCGAATGACAACTGCGGAGAAAACAGAAAAAAAGCTAACACGGAGAACGCACAGCCATTGTGACAGGCATGTGCCGGCTTTTACCTCCCTACCAGTTTGACTTCCACGCCCCAATATCTCGCCTTGATTTCAGACGTGCTAGGTTTAGGCATGTACTGTAGTAGTTCGTGTAGCAAGCATGCCAGAGGACTCAGGTCAAACACGTACTCACAAATTCCGCGCCAGCAGTCAGGACACTGCGCCATTGACCCGGAGTTTGCCTCAGGTAACCTATTTCAATCGTACAAGCATGCCTGTCGTGACCAGAGTCATAGCAACCACGATAGTACAGTGGAAGGACAGCAAGACCCGTCAAATGGCGCGGTTTATCGAGATATATGTCTGTACATGCCATCGAGACGAGTGCATCTGTTAATCGCCCGAGAAGGTGCAAACAGGTCAAAGTATACCTGGTTCGCTACAGGCTTGATCTTGGCTGAGGCAAGCAGGATCTTGAGCTCTCTGAAGTTGAAGTTGCTAACGCCGACACTCCTGAACGACGTGACCACTGTGAGGACTTTCATCTCAACAAGGTAACTCGTGCGCACTTGGCAAATCCTTGTTCGTGAATGTCTTCCACTTTCTTCCAAATAGTAGGAATATCGGGTACGGCGAGATCAGGCCCATGAATCAGATACAGATCGACATAATCGACACCTAACTGTACGCAAAGGTTAGCCCACCCTGTCCCAATATACCACAGAGAAGCGGAACGACGCACGAATCTGAGGCTGTTCCGGATAGCAGTGTCGATGTCGGTCTTGCCAGAGTCTTTCGTGGTGATGTACAGGTCAGAGCGTGCGAGACCGCTAGCGCGGATCGCCACACCTGCCTCCTCTTCGTTGCGGTACACCTGCGCGGTATCTAGCGACAGGTCAACCGCCAGAACACTCAGCTGAAGAATAAGGGACGCGCCAATGTGGGTGAACCCGGTGGCGATGGCAAGTTCAACAAGATCGATGGTCTGCGGCCCGTTGCCTCGCCTCCATGTACCAAATGTGACGCTCGGCGCAGACGTTCCTACAGTTCAAACGGCTGTCAGCAGGAACATAGAAGGATGAGTGGGGGGAGAATACTGACCGTCGTTGAGGGTTATGCTTCCCCAGGGCATCTCAACGCGCAGTGGGTACGAAGGTAAGAAGGTGGGATTTCATATCTGAGGACAGCCGGTTTATCTAGTGAGAGAGATAGCTGAAAATATACGGGGCCGTGTGCCGCTGGTCGAAGAGATAGACTATGACCGATGGACTGAAGGATTGCGCTATCTTACGGCAAATCTTGTCAGAGCTTGTGGGAACGCCTCGAGGTCACGCGTCACTGGGTGACTGTGGCTGAAAGCGACACGGGCTCCGTACGCGTCCTTGAAGATGGAGTTTGGATATTTCACATCGTCGTGTCTGTGACACGGTTGTTTAAATGCGACTTTGAATAACTGACTGTCCTGTTCGACATGTAAACACAATGACTCTGTAGTGATTTGTTCGACGCAAAATGATGTATTTAACATGCAATGTTCACTAACAGAAACACGAATCGAGCAATACAACTACCTCCTCCGTAATTAAAAGTTCAAATCTGTTCCAGGTACCTTGTGTAGTATGTCCTGAAGATACACAACACGTGAGTTAATGCGTGAAGAATAAGCATTGATAATTAGATAGCTCACGCTGCACATACGCCCGGGGACTCGCTGTAAAAATCGCGCCTAACTGAGTCATTCCACCAGCTAGCGTCCGGTGTAGGGAGATTCAGATCCTCGTACTTGAAGATACCCGCAGCGATAGCAAACCAACAGAACACCGCGTAGATAGGGCACATTGCACGCCGATAGGCAGGTGAAATATACAGAGTGTTCCGGTGGTTTCCTCGTCCACGCGCTAGGAAAATCGTTGTATTAAGAGTCGAAATGATTCCGAGGTCACACTCGGCCTTTACCAACTGCGTCCACGCCTAGGCAAAAGAAAAACATCAGATTGATCACTAGAACTCACTACCATAGAGACCACAGCAGCGTACCTGGACTATGACCCTATCCTGCTCTCTGTTGCCTATTATTTTCGTTGGCCAGTAAAAACGCATTGCGGTTCCTGCAGGGATGTCTCTTTCACTACCTTCGGGCCACTCCAGTTTACTGTAGTCCATTCCTTCCTCCCACATTGACGGCGTTTTGTTCTCGATGACCACACCAATAGTAGGTATTGAATCTTCCTCCGATAGAACGAACATCCCGTCCGGGATTACATCAATGTCAGAGCTTGACGACACATAAGGATGGACTTTGTCAAAGTCATGCTTGATATCTTGGAGCATCACGGCGCGCACCGCTGCTACAGCTGGTCTAAACAACACCGCGTGAGTCCAGTGTTCTATATCCTTCTCCGACCAGATTGTCCTCGGCAGATTCCTAGCGGTAGTATATGGATGGAAACTCGTGACAGAAAGAATATCATCGTCTTCGTCCCAGTTGATGTGCAGATTCTGGAGTTTTTCGACGGCCCGGTCTCGCAGGCAGGTGACCAAAGTTGGAACATAGACGATCTTCTCCAGCTGATCGTTCTCGTCAACATTCAATTCTGTCTGCGTGATATCCTTCGTGCTCGTTAATGCACCCTTTTTGTATGGATCTGGCGCACGAGGTAGTATAGTACGCAGTGCTTGATCTACTGTTGATATGTTCGACGGGCGTGGTGAAACGAATGCTTGCGGGTGCAACCATTTTGCTCTGTGGGAAAGAGACCCGACATCATCGACATCGACGGTGAGATTATGATGAAGAGACAATGTTGGTGACAGTTCCTCTTCTCCCTGTCTCGGTTGGCCTTGTGTCGGTGTGGTCTCCTCTGTCGGAGACGGTAGAGTCTGCAGCCTGAGGCTCTGTTCAGTTGATCCATCGTGGCTCGAAACAGCTGTCAATGGCGACAGAGAAAAGAGATCGAGGTCCTGTCCTGTCTGGTCAGATGGCGGAAAGGATTGCTGAGCAGCGCCGCCGCGCCTGCTGGGAGGGGTGGGAGCAGACATGACGATGCAGTCTGTATTACAGAGGAAATTGTAGTGCTGGGTGCGTAGCTGCTGTAATCTCTGGAGATGGGGGAACTGAGGGAAGTGGTCGAATGGAGGCACGGCTTTTATAGACTGACCTGGACCAAAATCATGGGATGTAGAGTTTCAGTGGCAGTGGCGATACATATCTTGCGAAGTGTACAGCATCTGCAACCATGACGTGGACCTTCGAAGAATGGGATCCGAGACTTCTTGAGGTTGCCCGGGAGCTTCTCGTGAGAGTTCGACGTGTGTGCCGCAGAGAACTGAATAGTGGTTGTCATAGAAAGCAGTGAGCCATCGGAAATCCCATAGTTCGACTTATGAAGCACCATAACAACGAGAGACAATTGTTATGCGATAGCCTGATCAGAGATCTGAGAAATTGATCTGACTGGCGCGCGCGCGGCAGATTCAGATCTTGCATATTGCGGGCGCCCATACGGCGCCACACCCAACCACGTATAAGAGGGTGGGTTGAATCTCGCCCTTCTCAGTTGAAATCATCTCCTCTCAGCGATTATGGCCCTTCTGAGCTTTCCTAGCCTCATTCCCGACGACAGATTCCCCCAGTTCTACGACTTGCTCCCTGTCCTGGGCTCTCAGGCTGACGACGGACCTCATAACAATGTGCAGTTGACCCTCACCGACGTGGTGTGTATCCACAAGGGCAAGAAACTTTCAGCAGTTTATCGCGCCACTCTCCGTGCTACGTCTGATTCCCCTGAGGCCGCTGAGCATCTTCCTCGCGAAGTTGTTTGCAAAGTCGTCTATGGCAGGCCTGCCAGGGACAAGTTGCACTTCGAGTTCAGCATGTACGACAAGCTACAGGACTTGCAAGGTCGTCTCATTCCTCAGTGCTTTGGCCTCTACGAGGGTGAAATGGATGATGGACGGGCTGCCTGCCTTTTGTTGGAGTACTGCGGTGAGGAACTCACTAGAAAATTGCGATACACCTCTTGGGACTTCAGGTGAGCCAGCACACTCTATTGATAGATGATGATCGTGTCATCTAACCAACATCACAGACGACAGGTACTCGATTCATTGCTCGAGATTCATCGCCGGGGAGTCGTGCACAACGATGTCCGCGAACGGAACATTGTTATCAATAAGGAGGGGCGCCCCATTATTGTCGACTTTGACATCTCCGATTCCAAGAACCATGACTGTCCGGTAAAGTTACCCATCCAGTTCGACGTCCCCGAACCTGATCGATTCCACTTCGGGTGTGACGAGTTGCACTGGGCGGGGCAATTGGCAGATGTGTGGCTACCTAGTACGTCTGTATCTTCATTTCTGTGCACGCGATACTCATTCCCTGAAAGCGACATTCCTTTTTTTGGGAAGGAGAGTCCCGATAAAATACACCGACTCACCAGAGTTGCTTGCTAAGGTTGCACCTTCGGGGACCTCGCCGGAAGAGGCACTTGAACGCGCACACGTGTATTATCAGATGTTCCGCACAGCTCTTGAGAAACGAAAGCGCTGTGAACCTTATGAGTATCTCGACAACAGTATGGTGGATGAATGAGCCCTTGTCATTTAGTCTTAGAATGTCCCCGTGACAGCTTCTGTATTCTGGATGTACCTCCAACGATTTCGTTTTCGACGTCATGATGTGTTGTACGACGAGACTGTTAGGGCTCTAGAGTCATGCCAACTATACGGTTCGCACTACTTCAAGTTGAGTATCACAGTCAAAGTTTGGTGGGATTTTATTTAGCACATTCGTACGAGTACGGTTCACACCGCGACCTACGCCGGCAGTCCAAAGGCATCGCTTACGCTCACTCACGCAAGACAACAGGAAATATTGATAAATAGAGCAGGTCGAAAACAGCGGGATTCTGGATCGAACTTGCAGCTACTTCTCGAGAGTTCTGGTAACCCATAGTACGAGGGTGGACTGATCATGAAGGATTGCGCTATGTATCTTACGGCAAATATGGGAACACCTCGAGGTGCAGGTCACGCGTCACTGCCAGCAGTGGCTGAAACTTCCGACCGCGCTACGCGTATTAAGAGGGTGAGTCAAACCTCACCCTCAAGTCATCTCCTCGCTGTGATTATGGCCCTTCTGAGATTTCCTAGGCTCTTTCCCGATGAGAGACTCCCCGAATTCTACGACTTGCTCCGTGTCGACCGTGACGAGGGATCTCACAAAAACATGCGGTTGACCCTCACCGACGTGGTGTGTATCCATGAGGGCAAGAAACTTTCAGCAGTTTATCGTGCCACTATTCGTGTTACACCTAATTCCCCTGAGGCCGCCGAGCATCTTCCTCGCGAAGTTGTTTGCAAAGTCGTCTATGGCAGACCTGCCAGGGACAAGTTGCACTTCGAGTCCAGCATGTACGAAAGGCTGCAGGACTTGCAAGGTCGTCTCATTCCTCAGTGCTTTGGCCTCTACGAGGGTGAAATGGACGATGGACGGGCTGCCTGCATTTTGTTGGAGTACTGTGGTGAGGAACTCACTAGAAAATTGCGATACACCTCTTGGGACTTCAGGTGAGCCTGCACACTCTATTGATAGATGATGATCGTGTCATCTAACCAACATCACAGACGACAGGTACTCGATTCATTGCTCGAGATTCATCGCCGGGGAGTCGTGCACAACGATGTCCGCGAATGGAACATTGTTATCAATAAGGAGGGGCGCCCCATTATTGTCGACTTTGACATCGCCCAGTCCAAGAACCACGACTGTCCGGTTAAGTCACCAATCGAGTTTGATATTCCAGAACCTGATGAATTTCACTTCGGGTGCAATGAGTTGCACTGGGCGGGGCAATTGGCAGATGTGTGGCTACCTAGTACGTCTGTATCCTTCATTTGTGTGCACGCGGTACTCATTCTATGGAAGAAACATTTCGTTTTTTGGGAAGGAGAATTCCGATAAAGTACACCGACTCGCCAGAGTTGCTTGCTACGGTTGCACCTCCGGGGACCTCGCCGGAAGAGGCACTTGAACGCGCACACGTCTATCATCAGATGTACCGCACAGCTCTTGAGAAACGAAAGCGCTGTGAACCTTATAAGTATCTCGATGGCAATGTGGTGGACGAGTGAGCAATTGTCATTTAGTCTTAGCGTGCCCCCGTGACAACTTCTGTATTGAACGAGACTTATGGCTCCAGAGTCATGCCAACCGTACAGTTCGCACTACTTGAGTATCACAGTAGAAGGTTGGCGAAAATTCATTTAGCACGTTCGTACGACTACGGTTCGCACCGCGACCACTTCTCGAGAGTTCTGCTGTACTTGCGAAGAGCCGCTTGTTTCTGCAAGGGCTGACTGGGAGTTGGTGTCTCCATATTTTGTATTAAAATACTTATCCACAGATCCTATACGATGATGAGGTCCTCGTGGAAATAATCTCAACAAGGAGATAATGTAGACCCACAAGTTAATTTTGGTGAGTGTCGTAAGTATGCACTGTTGTTTTGCCGCATCGCCGAAATCGACGAGGAATGGACGCTCGTCCATGTCGATTACAATGTGGTCCTCATAGAAGTCATCATGCTCAACATCCATGTGGTATATCCGACGAAATAAGGTAAGGACTTGATCTCTAAGATGATAGTGTTAGCTGCAGCCATATGGACCGATAGGTACACAGCCTCACCTCAAGTTCTAACCAGAACCGCGCAGCGGTCTCCTCAGGTTCTCACCGAAAGCAGTGAGGGATACACTATTCGCCCCGCACAGAGTTGCCGGTAAACATCCAGCTCATGACGCAATGCCAGGAAGGATCGCTTCCCATAGTTGACCTTGCATGCGACTTCTCGACGTAGACTTCCAGCACATTCTAGCGTGGTGCGCAAGGTCCTGCGATTCCCCTAATGTACCCATCCAAGGGGCCCGGTCGAGGCAGTAGACCGTCGACACGAAAAATTCGTATTCTTCGCCTGGCGATTCTGTATCGTGCAGATTTTGAGCGTTAACATGTTAAAACAATGTCCACAGGGAACGCCACGAATGATGACTGCAGAGAAAACAGACAAACGAGAACACGGAGAACGCAGACATTGTGACAGGCACGTGGGGGCTTTAGCTCCCTCCCAACTTGACTTCCACGCCCCAAAGGTGCTAGGTTTAGGAATTTACTGTAGTGGTTCGTATAGCAAGCATGCTAGAAGGCTTAGGCTAAACACGTACTCACAGATTCCGTGCCAGGAGTCAGGACACTGCGCCATCTCGAAACAAGACCCGGAGTTTGCCTCAGGTAACCTATTTCAATCGTACAAGCATGCCTGTCGCGACCAGAGTCATAGCAACCACGACAGTACAGTGGAAGGACAGCAACCGTGAAATGGTGCAGTTTACCGAAACATATGACTGTACCTGCCATCGAGTTGAGTGCATCTGTTAATCTAATTTTGTACTTAGACTAACAGTAAAAACACGCATACCTGGCGATCGTATACACAAACAGCGATGCAATGCAACTCTGCACAAAAACATTGGGCGGCGGCTCACGGTTGTAAGGTATAATCTCGATGGCTAAACAGGGATGGTCTGCGCGTGCACAATCTAAATTGATGGTCTTCAGAAGTCCATCGGGTCGAAAAAAAGTTCATGCAAATATCATTGTGCAGAATATTCGCTTCGTGCAATTTCCGCAACGCCTGCTGTCTTCTGAAGGACCTGCTGAAATGTTGATTATAATATCGAAAGACGCGTTCGTACGGCTGAAGAACTCGCAAATGCAATACATACCATTGGCCATGCTAGAGGTTTGCGAACCAGTAGAAGACAACAGAGATGTAGGAGACTTTGTTATGTTAATGAAGGCGGTGAGAACTACGGAGAATGGACTCACCAGTGGGATATGTCGTGGAAGTCGATATCGGATTTTGGCAGGGTATTAGACGAATGGACCCACTGTTTCTTGGTGTCTTAATTATACATCTTCAAACTGCGCAGATGACCCATCCGGCAAGGGTTGTGACGCCTGGCCGCTACAGGAGGAACAAAGGCTCGCGAATGGCACATACATACAACATTAAACAATCTGCGAGATTAACGAAGATCTTCGCGAGGAATGTGACAAGTGTTGGGGAGCGAGTCGTCTGCCCGTCATCGGGCATCGCAAAGTAGAACACACCGATGCACGAGCGGACGCGCTAATAGAATGGCGCAAGACGACATGGTGGACCATCGCCTTGTACACAACCCCGGCTCGCGGTAGACTGGAATGAGAGCGAGATCAATAACGAGGACGCGATCTCCGGGTGCGTGAATTACTGTTACATGCAGATCGCAGAAGCTTGAGTACAATTATCTCAAGAATATAGAAAGGACTCACGATCTTCAACCATCCCGGCAGGAGAAATACGGTCTATGATTGGTGGTAAAATCACGTTCGAGATCCTCAGCTAAGGGTCGTCGGTGTACACAAATGACTGGGGAGGGTTGCACGACCTTACTCACCATCATATACCATCGTGGTCCTGCACAATCCTTCCACATAAGACCAGAGCCTTTTGGGTCCTTGTATGTAGAGGTTGTACAACTCCAAGCCGGCCGACACATGTGTGTAGCAGGCGTAGTTCTGATAGGCGTTCCAGAGAGGTTTTGAACAAAGGGTGCTGTCACCTCGCGTCCGTCACGTGCCTCTAACGCGTCTGTGGCTGAACTGACAACAAAACACTTTCGTCGCCATATTATCTCTTCATCCATCATCTCCTCCAGTGTAGTAATACCTATTTGAGTGCCAGGTACACAGTTCCTTGGCGGTGATAGGTATATCTGGGAACGCACCCGAGCAAGCTGTTCATCGTCCACCCGAAACGCCTTCACGACTTCAATAATAGTCGCGAGCTGATCCTCACGGCAAGCGATGCCATTCGCGGTGCATCTCCATTTCCATCGTACCATGTGCTAACGTGGGCTGACAGTTCTTCAGCGCACAAGGGATACGAGATGTCATTCAAGATGACGTCTCGGATGAAAACTTCGAGATCTTCGAGAGCCCGAACAAGAGGAAGGGCGTATTGGTCGATCTTGAGCAGGGCGTACTGTTCTGGAGGATGGAGCATCCGGATGCCCGGGAACAAGGAATGTGTAGTGCGAAGACATCGAGAGACTGAGACCGTTGTATAATAGATCGAAAGGTGCTTGCATGCAACCAGGTGTCGAATTCATCTCGAGGTCGCATACGTATAAATACACTCTCTTCGCCTACGAGCATCTGCACTATATCCACGCGAGCGGTCAATAAAACCACGAACGTCGCGGGGAAGAACTCCAAGGGCACAAGCTTGTCTCGATCGACTAAGCAAACCATGGTACGAACCGCGATGACTTACGACGACAATTAGCCAGGACGGCAAGGGCAAGCATGTATTTGACGGAACTTACGCGATAAGTAGAGCGCTAGACCTCGAGTGTCCAGACGAGTCTTCTCCCCTCCAGCTTCAACCATGGATCCAAATTTTTCCACCAAGTAGCCTTCAGGCCTGTCAAAGTCTTCTTGCGAGCACCCACACACCGGGAACAATAGCCGATTGCAGCCCAGTCGACATCGACGATGGCATCCAACCCAGTAAATGGATCGAATCTGCCCTCCTCGAAGATATCAGACTGGACGACGACTTCAATCCACTGCTGCTGATTATTTTCCCAGGCGGTCTGGCACCGCTTTACAATGTCGGCGTCGTCAGAGTGCTGCAATTGCAAATTATGTGAGAATGGAGGTGATTTCATGGTCCGAATCCACGCAGACTGCATTTCGTCGCGAGCGACCAGGAGACGGATGAAGTCTTTGTCTCCAGGGTGAACGTCGTTACGATCGTTCTTCATGTGCAGCCAAAATTGCTTGCTTCGAAGCAGTTCGTAGAATGCCCGCTTGAGCACCTCCGGTACATTGTAGTGCTTCGCGATGGTGATTAACTCTGTCACCCTCTTCGGGTCTGTCTCACCGCAGTTGAGTTTGTCCAGATCGGAAGGCCAAGCTTTACGGAGCTGGTGCTTAGCGTAAGCGGTTGCAGATGAAATGGACAGCGTAGATGCTGCGCGCAAAATGGATACAATGACCTCGAACGATGGAGGAACCACGGAGAGAGCACTAGCCCAAGTAAAATGAGCCGCACTAGTATTCATCATGAGTTTTAAACACGTACAGTCCATCATCCAACGCTCCTAATAATCTCTCCATATCCAACACACTGAGATTGAGGACCTCGTACACGGGACAACCGTCCACGATCTCGCGCGTGAACACTTCCTCGCTTCCCTGTGAAGATGACCCGCCCTGTGCATTCTCCTGTTCGAACAGCTTGGCAAAATACTGCGATTGACTTGCCAGCCGCATCTTGGAGAGCTTGAAGAGGGTATTCGACACGCGCAAAATGACAGAACCGCTAGTATACCAATACACACCGTGACGAATATATTAGTCATGCTTCACGCGAGAGGGGTCGAGCCTAATGCGCTTTGTCGACCTGGAAGAATCTTGCTTGTCATGAGAGCGGAGACGTCGAGACCTGGAGTGAGACAAAGGGTGCGTATTGTCACCGTCGTCCACCTTGTCTTGGAAGACGCGGTTACGCACACCAAGTTCCGAATTCGGACACTGCGAGACTCAAGTCACTCAACAATTTCAAGCTTCACCCGTGTCAAATGCTAATACATCCACATCATATGGCAACCACCATACTCGCTACTCTTCTGCCTCGCCGCCGCACCTCAGACATTTGAACCAGCCATCAGCGCCTACCCAAACTCGGCCATCTGTTCGGGACTTCTTTTTTTTCTTTTTTTTTTTTCTTAACTAGTAAGAAAGAAAAAAAAGAAAGAAAGAAAAAGAGGGATCCCTGCCCAGTGCCCAGTCCTTCTCGTTGCTCGGGCTGCAGCTTGCACTGTCCGATTCAGATCCCGGTTGAACCGTATCCCGATGAGTGCTCATCCAACTTCAATCTCATCTGGATAACTCAACGATCGATCCTCCGCGTCAGCAAACTGGATCTGCTTCCGTGTGCTCCCCGATGGGCGGAACCTGATCCTTGTCAGTAGAAGGTACGTGCGCGGCGCTTTGGGAGGTGTCGAGGTAATCAAGGTGCTCACTCGACACTATAGAGAGGAACGACTTTTTCTTCCTATCTACTACAGGCTGGTTAACGAGCCTACATTTGCGATACCTTTGCGCTCTTGTCGTTGTGCGGTCGTAGGCGCATCTTGTCATTCCGGCTCATGCTGCTCATAGGTCTGTCTCGATAGGTGCATGTTATATGACGTAAAGCCTGATGGACCGACTCGAGACTCGGATGTGCGAGGATCCTAGGGCGGTAGGCTATGCACATATGCTCGAGATTTTGAACTGGAGCAGTCTGCAGATTGTGCTGCGGCGAATTCGCTTTGCACTCATTCTTTGGATGTCGGACGTAGTCACACGGCGCCGTGGAAGCCCCAGAAGTCAGTCACCGTACGTCCTTCTCTGCAAATCGTAAGTGCACAGTATCATGTCCCGAACGGTACAACCGTCCGTAAGCAGTCTAACCCAGAGACGTAAAGGCTGGCCTCGACGCGAAAATGTGAAGGTGCATACACAAGTTTCTGGGACTTTTTGTAGTCTAATCTGTAGCATGCAGCCCAAGCTCTTCAAGGTATAAGGTACAATGAGCTCGCATGCCCGACGTGGTGCTCCCGTTCTACAGAATTCGCACGCACCATGTATGCGATCACGATCTTTTCAAATCCGCGATTTGGGGGATTTTATGGAGGGATGGAGGTAAGATGACCTAGTTATCTTCATTGATATCAGAGGTACATTTTCACAGACATCGGTCCGATGTTTTTACAGATACCAACAAGGTGGAGTAGGATGTTACGGTGATCAAACACTACACACAACTGGAGAAGTGGCAATGCGGCGCAGACGGAACAAGGTGCCACGATGTAGTGTACCAGATCTCATACAAGGTGAGTGGCAACAATACGCTGGAATAGCGAGTGGAATAAAGGCGAGGTAACACAACAGAGTCAAACGGCCGATCGCAAGACGATCACAACGTCATGGTTGTACATTAAGCAGGACTACCGAGCATAACGCTGGCAGTTGCTTCAGCTACGAACCTTTCCTTCCGGATTTGCGCCAATGTATTGCGGGGCTCGCGCAGCACGTCGATAAGCATTTCTGAGGGGCTCGCAAGAAGGTTATCGAGAGCGGCATGAAGTTTGAGAGTTGGAGGCGCATCCGACTGGTCATGACTAAGGGGGGCTCGTTAGAGCATCGTATGCAATACATTTGTCTTCATGTATAACACAAACCACAATGTGAGTGAAATAATTCGGACTATATATCACAGAAAGACAATTATCCATTGCTCAGTAAGCCGGAGGAAGCGAGTACATGTTTACAGACTCAGGAGATGTTTCATATCAGACCGCCAGAAAGGAGCCAACAGATGCTACATTCGGCAAGGTCAAGTGAGATGATGTCTTTCTTTCCAGAGTGTGGACTCCTTGATTTCACTGTCAAATCTCGAATAATAGGTTCTGTGGTTTCGCTGCATGAACTCAAGTTCAAAGTACCAGTGCTAGAGAGATTACTCACCGTGCACATATACCAGGGGACTCGTTGTAGGCATCCCGACGAACCATATCACTCCACCAAGTAGTTTCCGGAGGAGGTAGATCTAGGTCTTCGTACTTGAGAACACCCGCAGATATGGCAAACCAGCAGAATACCGCGTAAACAGGGCACATTCCACACGAATAGGCGGGAGATATGTACAGGGTGTCATTATGCTCCCCTCGTCCGCGTGTGAGAAAAACGGTTACTTGGGAGGTCGATAATATCCCGAGATCACACGTCGTCTTGACCATCTCGGTCCAAACCTGTCAGGATGAATGAGAACCTCAGAACGAGGTTTTCTCACGTTAGCAGAGCAGATGCACATACCTGAGCAATTACTTTTTCTTGCGGTGCATTACCGGTGACCTTGTCCGGCCAGTAAAACTTCATGGCGGCGCCCTTAGGAATCCGTGCATCTTGTGTTTCGTCAGTAGGGCGCTCCAGTTTGGAAAATTTCATGCCATCAGCCCACATTGATGGGGTTTTATTCTCGATGACGACTCCGACCGTTGGATCTGGTCCCACCTTGTCCAAAACAACCATGCCATCGGGAATTACCCCGTCGAAGTTCGGAGCTGACGAAACGTAAGGATGGACACTAGAGCTGTCCTTGATATTCTTCGAGATTACGGCACGTACAGCGGCCAATGCTGGTCGGAACAACTCTGCATGACACAAATGTTCCACATCCTTCTCCGACCAGATAACCTTCGGTAAGTTCTGAGAGGTATTATATGGGTGAAAGTTTGTCATCGCCAAGACATCATCTAGGTCCCCCCATTTGATGGATACCTTCTTGAGCTCTTCCATAGCAAGATCACGTAGAGAAGTCACCAGTGTCGGCAGGTAGACGACCTTATGAAGGGGGTTCTGAATGTGAAGGTCGATTACTGTTTCTCGGATCGCTCGGGTACTCGTCAAGGCACCTGTTTTGTAGACATGAGGAGTTCGGGGAAGTTCAACGCGCAATGCATCATGCAGCGTTGTGATTGCGAATGGAGTGGGCAGCCGAAGTGGCAGTGGTTCCACCCATCTTGCACGATGGGCAACACTGCCGATTTCCATAACCTCAGGATCGGGATCTTGTACCTCCATGGGCGAATGAGGATCCGGCATCAGATGTCTTCGAACTGACAAGTCATCTGGCGACATGCTCCAGTCTCTATTGGACTTCGGAGAATCATTAGGAGACATGTTCCAGTCCTCGAGCGACATCCTTGAGGTCATAGGAAGGATTGCGGGAGGATTTTGGCGCTCCTGGTCGGATCGTGGGCTAGACATGGTGCTGAGAGGTGACAGCGAGAACAAGTTAGAGTAAGACCCAGTCTGTCCGGGTGGCGTGCTCAGTTGATCGGTGGTGTGCTTTCTCGGTGGCGTGGAGGGTTCCATGATAACTAGTGAAAAAAGTGTGGAGTGGTCGGATATGCAAGGGCGTCAATAGGCTGAGTCGTAGGCTGAATCGTAAGTGACGAGGAAGAGAACTGTAGAGTCTGCGGAACAGACATGCGGCTTTTATGCAGCACAACAAGCATCTATCCGCGCTTGTTCACGGCTTTCCGCAGTATTCAATCGATGTAACTTCACAATTGTCGTGGCGCGGCAGATCTGATAAACCATCTGAAAATAGTCTGCAAGCCTTCGAAGCTATTATACTCATGTTTCAGCAGAGATTCCCTGTAGATCCTCGTGTGAACTATCAGGCATAGCAACGCTCCGGTGGACATATATGCTATTCCATAATACCTGGAAAGGGATGGCTCGGAGATGGAATTGCCACAACGTGGCAGTTGCTACTGTAGGCGAGTGTCAACCACAAGTATCCATACAGTGTATGAAAGTATCAAGTGTTGAGATGCGACGGCGCGCTTGAAACGATTCTACAGAAGACGATGGAAAAGCTGACTCAGAGGTGCAACATAAACGACCGAAGAATGGGTTTGGTACGGAGATCAAAAAAATTGAGCATGTCAACGCACCCGTGGGAGAATATGCTGTGTTTCCATGCTTTTACTCGCATAGCTTCGAGGTCGCGATGGCACTGACAATTGCACGACAAGAGAGACTTGGCAGGAAGCACAAGATTCCGAAGACGAGATTCCGATCACTGTGACTGCGCCACCGTCGGCATGGTGGAACACCACAAACTGGCATTCATATATAAGACCTGCTTTCAAACGAATGCTCAGTGCAGTGAACTGTCTACACCCGTTTTCATAAATTTTCTCTTCCCTTGCATTGGATCATGGCTATCCTTCGGTTTCCCGACCTTTATGCCGAAAACACTCCGTTTCCATTTTTTGAACTGTCGAGCGTTCAAGTCCCAGACAACTACGGCGACATTGAACTGACGCTTACCAATGTGACGGCTGTCCGCAAGGAACAGCAAGTCAAACAAGTTTATCGTGCCACCGTCGATGTTAAATCCGGATCCCCGGAGGCCACCGAACAAATTCCTAGTGGGGTTATTTGTAAGGTTGTGTATGGCAGGCGATCCAGGGACGCATTGGCCGTCGAAGCCCACATTTACGAGATACTACGAGACCTGCAGGGCAGGTCTATACCATGCTGTCTTGGTCTATATAAAGGCGAGATGGAGGATGGCTTGGCGGCATGTCTCCTGCTGGAGGATTGCGGGCGAGAGCTAGAGAGAAAATTGCGCTACACAGACTGGAGATTCAGGTAAGTGTTTTTGTCCCGCACCTACTGCCTATTCCTGACCGAACTTCTCGATACATTAGACGACAACTTTTCGATACTTTGGAAGAGATGCATCGCAAAGGCATCAAACATGGCGATATTGTTGAAAACAACATTGTGGTTAACCACGAAGGATCGCCTATCGTTGTCGATTTTTCCACAGCGACGACCAAACATGACTGTCAGTACAAGCCGCCCCTCAAATTTGACATTGTGGAGCCGGACGAGGTCGAATTTGGATGCGTCGAGCTACACAGAGCCGCTGTATTTGCTGATGTGTGGCTACCTCGTATGTTTCCATCTACCGCTTTCACCTGGAGGTGCTCATTTTTATATAGAGACAATGCGGTACATGGGATCAAACATCCCCACGCGGCGCGCGCTGACACCTGAGATGCTTGCCGAGTCAGCGCCTCGGTGTGTCCCACCGCAGAGGGCTCTTGAGGAAGCACGCTTATCTCTCAAGGTTTTTCGCCGGGCGCTTGCCAAGCGAGCGCAGTGCGAGCCTTATACCTACGAATTCGACACGATGGGCTTCCAATAAGTGATCAATGAGCATAACGTAGTTCCTCAATAGAGTTGCAGGTCCGACTTGGATTTTATAAACGACTCAGCTGTCAATTCCTCACCTAAGTGCTAGCTCAGAAACGACCATCAAAGCCGGACGCACATTCATCGTTGACATTGCCGACGTGAAGTTATATAATTCTTGGCGGGGTGAACAAATGTTCTTCTGCCAAGGGCCCAAGCCAAAGAAGAAGTTGCGATGACGTTCGTTGCTCGTCACGAGTGATTGCTATAGTTGGAAGTTTGGAGAATTTGGGCTCTCGTCAGATCTGGAATCTTGTGGGTGTGGAGGCGCTTACTGTGCACGCATCTCCTGCCATGTAAACCGACACTCAGCGCATAGTTGCCATCAACCTCGTTCTGCGTCCCATCCTCCAAATTCAGATCGTATCTACCAGCTCTAATGGCTATTCTCTACTTTCCAGATGTGTACTCTGAGGAAGAGCATCCCCAGCTGTACGACCTACACAGCGTCGGCGATCTGGAAGACGACATGGAGCTGACAATAGCCAATGTCAAGTTGATGAAAAAGGGAGAAACAGCGACTGTTTACCGTGCGTCTGTTGATGGTGTTGCCTATTTGCCGGAGGGTGCAGCCCCGCCTCCGATGGACATAGTCTGTAAGGTTGGTTTCGGGAAACGATCCAGGAATAGTCTCCAAGCCGAAGCAAACATATACATCCATTTGAAGGACCTGCAAGGTATCGCAATTCCACGCTACGTTGGTTTATTTCAAGGAGAAATGGAAGATGGGCGCTGTGCCTGTCTCGTCCGAGAATACTGTGGCGAACGACTGCGGAAACCTTTGTGCGGTACAAAGTGGGATTTTAGGTGTGTCCGTATCTCTGCCTGCATTCCGCATGACTAACCGCACATACCAGAGGTGAGGTTGTTAACCTGTTACGTCAAATCCACGATAAAGGCGTCGAGCATGGCAACTTCTCCGAAGAGAACATTGTCATCGACGTAGAAGGGCGTCCATTCCTCATTGATTTCAGCGAGGCGGAGAAACACGAGTGCGAGGCCACAATGCCCATTACAATTGATGATATACAGCCTATGCTTAAAGACTTTGGATGCCGTGAGCTCTTCAATGCAGCCGTATTGGCCGAAGTATGGCTGCCCGGTACGTCCTCGTTCCACAACCTCCACTATGCGCATGCGAGGCTTAATTCCTCACAGGTAAAATTCTCTTCATGGGGTTCTATGTGCCTACACAATTCGCACAGTCGCCAGAGATGCTTGCAACGTGTGCTCCCGAAGGTGTTTCTCCTGACGAGGCGCTCAAGGCCGGACAGGAGTATTATGATATGTTCCGTTCAACTTTCGAGAAGAGAAGGCGGTATGAGTACTATACGTGGTGATGGGATATCATGTAATCCAAACTGACCATCCTGATGTCCTGTCCTAGCCTTCGATATTAGTACATGTAGTTGTATCTACCTCCACTTGAAGAGTGCAAGTTCTCCAGCATTACCCGTGCTAAGCTGCAACGATTTCCCATTGCAGGACGCTTTTACTGTTGCGTCTAAACGAGCTGGATGTTATATTATTCAAGAACCACGAACATTTTTGTTCTCGAAAGGTCATACAACGTTGTAATCTGACACGGTATCGTCGTCACAACAACATGGGTATATCTTCCATCTCGTGGTCGTCGCCGATATGGGTACGTCGTGAACGCTCATATAACACCTGAGTTGGTGTAGCGATGGCCCCGTGGAGGCATTACTGTCTTAAACTCGTCTCAATACGACTACAGCAATCTTTACGAATATCGCTGACTAAGCTCGTTACCACGGTAATTGTGTATTCCTGCTCGTGCTATATTTCCTGGGTCATGGGGGGTCGCGGTTTATTGCCTACTGCATCTGCGTCGCCGGCTGAGGCTGCCTTGGCATGTCGGCACTCAGTTCGTAGTAGGCAGCGATGCATTATGAAGACTCTACGAAATGCACCCAAAATAGGTATTTTGGGCATTCAGGCCAGTTCACCGAATTTGTTGGTATAAGGAGAAGAGAACCACCAATAATTACTCTTGCAGAGCCCGCGTATTCAATATTTTCTAGCAAATCCATGAGAAAGGGATCCAGCAATATCAGCTATCAAAACATCGCCGTGACAGAAGACAGACAGCCTCACCAAACGACGCGAGCGCGCGTTGAATACGGATGTCATATTTTACAGCGAGACTCCTCGTCAGATATTATTTGGCTGGGACGAGCTCTTCGATGGTAGCGGGCTTTGTTGATGGCTGGACGCTGGGTATGCTCCTCAGCTCTCCTCTGTCACAAATGAACTAACCAAATGAAAGACTTTTAAGTCTTCAGTAGCTGAGAGGGTCAGAGTAGAGTTGGACCAAGAGAGAAGTAACGGCGACTTCAGTATCGACTTACCACGTAGGCGCCCGCCTATCAAACACAGCACGCAAGCATGAGACAAAGCGTATAATTTGGAGCAGCCGCCAGAACAATTGGGAAAGTCACCGGTATGCTTGTCCACGAGATCTCAGCGCAAAAATTTAGTGTATGGATCTTTGCTCGTCTCGGTGAAGAACATCGCTGCATAACGTACTGTGCTATACACGCTCAAAACCACAATTCGCCATACGCACCTCAAGTCATCGACCCGCCTCCGGTGCGAGCTTCTTCACTGTGCATCGACTTTCCGAGGCCGTCATGCGCCACCATCCGGATGTGCGCGTAAGGCATACATAAGGGGAAAACGCTACCTTTCTAGACAAAATGTACCGTATGGAGGGGATGGCACAGGCAACTTGGAGGGCGTGCACAATTTCAGTGGCTCTGGATAGGGTGGTGCTCTCCGGCCACACGATCTGTAGCCACACGGGACTGAGCGAAGTAAGGGACCGCGTAAGTATCTCCTACCACTGAAAGTTAATTGAGTATGTGCGTGATGAGATCTGGGAGACAACATACCATCATAATCAAAACCGTTGACATCTTTGAAGGAGAGATGAGGCGCGCGCGGTGTGACCTAGGCATCATTGCGGAGGGCATCCAAGAAAACATCCTCAATATTGCGGCATTCTCTCAGAGCAACACAGTTAGCGTGATGTTTTGGATGAGGCCGCAGGCTGACTCAAGTACTTGGTCTGCATGGAATGGCGGCAAACGAACCTCGAGCGAATGCACCAGCGGGGTGATGACCCAACGCACAGTATGTGCGAAATCCACCCTGAGATGATCCAAGCTGCGATAAAAAGCGGGCGGCGGGTTCTGAGGCTTGAGGGCACCACCGAACCCGCATCCACTGTTCGCAAGCCGGGAATATACGCGGGAGCATTGGGATATCCAATAAGTTGGAATACAGGCAGAGGTTCCTAACCGACGAGCACTCTGCGTTGACGGGGTGATCGGCAGATGGAATATGGCCAAGGTAGAGCGTCTCAAGGTTGTGTAGATGCGAGAGGCTCGTGACCACTTGGGTCATGTCAATAGTCGTCTTCCTGAGCTTGATCGTGCACAGGGATACTGGGAGGCACTGCAGAACCTGCAAGCCCGACAAGTCAATGCCAGTCATAGAGAGCTTGGAGAGATTAGACAAACCTATGATAGCCAGTGCAAGTTGGGGATGCTCTGATAATAATCGTTCTGTGGGGGTAGTGAGCGACAGGTGTTGGAATTGAGACACAGCTTTGAGCAACAGGTCCGTTAGTGCCGCGCATTGTTGTGCGTCGAAAGCAAATCCAGGCGACGCTTTCGTAAATACATGTCTCCATGACTCCGTCTTTGTGATAAGCTCGCGCACCGAGCTGGAGCGATAGGGTTCAGAGAGAGCGTAACGGCGTGGAAAGATGTGAGCCAGTAGAGCTGGACAAGAGCGTGGCGGATAGCAACAGCATGAAGAACCCGAGTTGTGGCAGTAAGAGACAGTGCATCTTTGCAAGATAGAAAACTGGAAATAGGACAGTGCGTTAAAGTTGAATGACGACAGGTTGACAGGTATGGCAACTCGGAACACCGAGTTTGTCTAGTCTGCCAATGTTATGAATCGGTAAGACATAATTGCACGCTACTCAATGGTTGAGACTACCGAAGAGTCAGTGCTATAAAATTTCGAGACATGATGTGGAGCCACATCTACGTTGTGGCGGGGGAAAGTTGCAATTTCAGATCAGTTTGGATCGTAATTTGTCAGCCGAACCGAACGCGCAGATCGACTTTGAGGATCCACCGCCAAGTCCGAGATGACGCACCCTCCATCCGCCATAATATTCCTATCCGAGAACTTTACTCTGGTCCAGATCGATTTAGATTACTGAGCTCACGATGCTGTTGCTGCCGCTCGGGTCCTTGCGTCCTCCTTTCTCTTCCTCCCATAAAGTACCCACCGAAACGAACACTCTCGACACCAAAGTTCCAAGGGTAATCTTACCATGACACTACCACTTGCGGGAAAAGTCGCCCTCGTCACCGGCGCGTCGCGCGGCATCGGTGCAGCCATCTCTCGTCGCCTGGCAGCGGACGGCGCGAATGTCGTGGTCAACTACGTCTCTAACCCCTCCGCCGCTGCAGCTGTGGTCGACTCTATCAATGCGCAGACTGCGAGGGGCGGTGGACGCGCGATCAGCGTGAAGGCCGACGTAGGGTCCACGGAGCGCGGGGCCCACTTGATACAGGAGACGATCCGCGAGTTCGGGAAGCTCGATATCCTGGTGCTGAACGCAGGTATCATGGGGAACGCGAGCCTCACAGAAGTGACGGAGGAGTTCTTCGACCGTCACTTCCAGGTGAACGTCAAGGCACCGTTCTTCATGGTCAAAGCAGCAGCGCCGCTGATGAAATCAGGTGAGTGAACGCCGATACGTTAGCGGTACTCGAGTTGATGAGTCCACAGGGGGGCGCATCATCTTGTTCTCCACCTCTCTCACCCAGAACTCCATGATCGCGCCCAATTACCTCGTCTACGCTGCAACCAAGGGCGCTGTCGAGCAGATGACGCGGGTGCTCTCCAAGGACCTCGGCGCCAAGGGCCTTACCGTTAACGCCATCTCCCCCGGCCCGATCGACACCGATCTCTTTCGCACGGGCAAGACAGAGCAGGTGTTTAACGCGATTGCGAATATGCATCCGTTGAAGCGCGTCGGCCAGCCGGATGAGGTCAGCCCTGCTGTTGCGTTTCTCGCCCGGGACGATGCGAGCTGGGTGAATGGCCAGATTTTGATGGTCAATGGCGTGAGTGCCTCCTGTTGTGTATTACGATATGTCTGTATTGATAGTTGCCCCATTTTTAGGGTTTTACGGTTTAATTGATGCGACTTCGAGTATTTTTTGAATCAAAGTGTATCATATGCTCATGGTACTTTCTGGAACCGTTTCGCATGTGCTTCTAGCCACAAAATGAATCTTATGGAATTGTGTATCCCATCGTTCACAGACTCCGCCCGCCATATTGGTAAAATCCTTCTCGAGACGCGCCGTGTATCTCACCGCAAAACTTGCGGTGTATAGTTGCCCTGAGCGGAGGTTCATTTTTTGCTGTAATACCTTCTGATCTTCTTCCTCGTTTGACGTTGTTGGAACCGATCCAGAATAGCAGACATTGTGTGTAAATCGTATAATCATGTGCTAGTCGGTAAACCCTTCGTCAATGACTTCTGCCGAGCGCAGAAGGAACTAGGTGTTGCCAGTGGACGAATGTGCTGGATGAAGCATGTACAATCCGCGTATGCAAGGCAACTTCAATATCGTCATACTTTACGGGACATCACTATTCAGTAAGACACATCAAACATATATTTGTTCTCTGGGACATATACAGGGGACACGAAAGGCAGACATTTAAACACAACACACCCTCGTTGTAGAGCACTTCTGCAGCATCACGCCAAGCCCGCCTGAGATCTCGTTCGTGGGCCTGTTCCTAGCGGTCGAACAGTCTTTTTGTCGTAATTTCTGTACAGTGTGCTGTCAAGGACATGAGCAGTGAAAGCGTTGCGATACAGTGGCGACATACGAGGTAGTTATTCCAGAGGTATATTGATCCTCCAAGGCCTCTTTGGTCCACCAATCTGTCTTCGGATCTGGGAGGTCCAGACTATCGAAGCTAAATACACCTGCCGCAACGGCAAACCAACAGAAGACGGCAAAAATTGGGCAATCATCACTTCGATAAGTAGGCGACATGTAGAGGGTGTCGTTGTTGGTTCCCCGTCCACGAGCGAAGAAGATTGTTGACGTGGACGTTGACAAAATTCCAAGGTCGCAGTTCTCCACCACCATCTGCGTCCAAACCTATTAAATGACAAGGATTAGCTATTATTTTTGAGGCACTTCAGGGTTACGGGTAAACTTACTTGGACGATTATTCGTGTACGAGCTTCGGGGTTACTGGTAAGGGGGCCAGGCCATACGAAACGAATAGCAGTTCCTTCGGGAATCCGAACATTAGGGTCTTTCGGAATCGATTGCAGCTCGCCAAGAGTGTCTTTGTAAGCGGTGGGCGTTTTGTTTTCAATTGTGATGCTCATCGGCGGCGGTAGGCCCTCCTCGGAGGGTTTACAGACTAGCATGCCATCAGGAATAACGTTTCCTGAAGGAGCCGAGGACAGGTAGGGAAATTTCTTGCCAAAGTCGTGGCTCAGAGATTTCGTCTCAATAGCACGTAGCGCTGCCAACGCAGGACGGAACAGCGTTGCTTGAGACCAAGCTTCTATATCTTTCTCGCTACAGATCACCTGGGGTAAATTGCCAGCTGTAAAATAAGGATGTATCCTGGCGACAGGTTCGGAATAGCCGTTCGCATCCACCAAGGGCAGAGCCAACTGAAGCGTCTCCAACGCGCGGTCGAGGAGTTGAGACACGAGCCTAGGCAAATAGACCACTTTCTGGAGTTGGTCAGTGACGGTAAGGGTGATTTCGGTTTGTGTCAAGTCCTTTGTGCCTTCCAGTTTGCCACGTTGGTATCTACCAGGAAGGTCAGGGGGCATGACGCAGAGTACGTCCTTCAGAGTTTTGATCGCCGATATATCAGGTCGACCAAACGTGATGGCTTTGACCCACGAAAGCTCCTCGGCGGAACGTAAGTAAGGAATTTGTGAGGAAGTAGTAGTGTCTTGTGCAGGTCCCTGTAAGCAAATGTCGCCGCTGCTATCGGCCCTGCGCCTGTCTGAAACCTTGACTGCTTTCGGTGTCGCTGCTGGATCATTATCTGGCAGTGTGCGTTGATGTCGCTGCTTGGGTCGTGGCGTAGAAGCATCCATATAGGAATAATACAGGTGACCTTTGGCGAGATGTTAAGGGGAGACAGAAGACTGTGTTCAGCGCATCGTAAACTGGGTTCTTAAATACGCACTACAGGCGCTAGTTCTCCACAGCTGCGGGCGTGCCTACGCCATGAGGTTTGATGTAATTGTTAGGCTGGCAACCACGGCGCGGCAGCTTGTGGCATGGGTTCTGTACGAAGTGTATGAGCGCTCTCTTCTGCGGGAAGAGAATAATAGGGCTTAGCCTGGACTTAAATACTTCTTACGGGAAATTCGCTATTGTCCTGTTGGCTCATTAGTGGATATTTCTTAAACGTTGAGCAACACGATTGTCTCAGATTTGAAACGTACCTTTACAGAGGCAAATCTGAAATATAGGACAGCCTGTGAGGCAACCACCTGAGATTCCGTCGCCATGACTGAATCAAGGCATACGGCGATGGTCTTATGAACAGCGAGCTTGCACATGTCGTATCATTGGTCGTGAATAAGCGAGTATCCACCACAGAGCGTCGCATAATTCTCACTCGAATCTGGAACAGTTGGCGACCATTGGGGTAACCGAGCGAGATATGGCAACCGGCATACGGCAAATATTCCATCCTGAAATTTTACTCTGATGGCAGCAGACACGGTGCGATTGTACTCAGTACACTCAGGTTTGAATAGCGAGATCTCAGATCTTGAAGGTACAATCCCACTCGAGCGCCTATGCTCTAGGTGGCTATATAAAGACCGACCAATGCTAGACACTCCAGCTCATACACCCTTCATTTCGATTCAAAGCGAAGACTCCCCATTCCTGCTACATCTTCATGTCGATTCTGGTTTTTCCCGATCAACACTCCAATCCATCCCTCGAAACTTTCAGCTTACGTCGCACCGATGATCCCCAGTCCGACTTACGTCTATCCGTACGGAATCTCCATCCCATACACAAAGGACGCTCCAGTGTATACCGAGCTACATTGGAGGGTGATGTAGAGCCTCAAGAAGTCGCCTGCAAAGTTGTCTATGGGAAGCGCTCTATTGCCAAATTGCACAACGAAGTTGAGATCTATCAGCACCTTCACGACCTCCAAGGTGGCGTCATTCCCTACTGTTTGGGCCTTTTCCAGGGAGAAATGGAAGACGGACAGGCGGGGTGTTTGATTACGAAGTACTGTGGTAAACCTGTAGACGTCGAGCTGGCTTTCATGAACTGGACGTTTAAGTACGTTTCTCTTATTTTCACCAAATACGGTCTATGACATGCATAACTTCTTCTTAGGATGGAAACTATCAAGGCACTCTCTGCAATTCATGCCAAGGGAGTCAAACACAATGATTTTTCTGAGCGCAACATTCTAGTGGGAAAGGATCGAAGACCAATCATCATTGATTTCGATTGCGCACAGAAGGAAGAATGCAAAGTGACGGACGACGTCCATTTTCATACCGAAGAGCCTTTGCCCGAAGTATTCGGATGCCAGGAATTGTTCTCAGCCGCGAAGTTGGCTGATGCGTGGACTCCCCGTCAGTACAACTCTTCTTCGAAGGGGAGTGATTCCTAATATTACATTAATCTACAGGTGTCATCCCCTTCTTGCGGGGATACTCACCTGTGAAGTATGCGGAGTCCGTGGAGACGCTGATGTCGGCAGCTCCTGACGTCGTTCCTCGCGATGTAGCACGCTTCCATGCTGAGTATGCCATGGAGCGCTACAAGAAGGCACTTAGCAAGAGAGAAGCATGTGAACCATATGAACTCTAGATCTTTTACGCTGCACCGTATTACATATGTCAGCGTGGAGAATTACAATTTGTGCACCCCTTGATCAGCATGCAGGAGTCATTAGTCCACTTTATGGGCGCGTTAATAACGCCAGCCTCGTGCACCCCCCATTGGCAATGACAGACATCGACTTTGATGTAGGGTGAACAACTATGGAGGTCAACCTACGTGGGATGTACAATGTCACACGCACTTTTCTCCCGCTGCTCATTACGCGCAGTGGGAGGAAACAATCGTCAACTTGATGCATAGCTGAGAACGTTCCATCCATTGGGAAATGCGTATCCGATGCGCGTATTACAGACATTTATGATAGAGGTGGTGATACGCCACTAGCAGCGCGCTTTGTCGAGCGCGCAGCGCGCCCGGACGTTGGGCGCCGTTGCCGTTAGTGGCTGGTGCGTTTGGAGGATGCGCGAGTCAGTATCCGCGGCGGTGGCCGCTAATGTCCCGCCGTGATTGTCTCGGCAACACGTCGGACACTAAAGTAAGGAGACTGGTCTTATCCACCCGGATGATTAACGTTGGCGCCCTTTTCGAAGCTCGTAGTACCAGAATGTTATGATCATGTTGTAACAACATCAGTATATGGCCTCCGCACCTCTGAACTGCAGGAGCAGAAACTAACCTAAGTTGGCTCGGTCATCGGCCGCATCGGAGAAATTCGCTATTCTCTTCAGCGTTCTACAGCAGCTTCCTGTCTTACCTTCGCAAGAAGTATCAGGCCAATGCCACCGAGCGCTCGTCAAATGCCGAAGTGTTTCAACAGCGTTCAAATACAGGAATTCCAGAGATTGTCTATCAAGACTCTCACCCGTCCACGATGTCTGCACACACGGGTAAGTCATGTCGTTCGCCATGTAGAACGTCAGGTATAGACAGCAGAACGCAGGAGTCGGCTTTGTGCCAACCAAGCGCTACGACACCTACCCCGCCATCGATCCGATCAAATCCACTTTGACGGGCAAAGTCGTGCTCATCACGGGCGCATCGCGGGGGATCGGTAGGCCAATGGCCATCGCATTCGCGCAGGCGGCGGTTTCTGGACTCGTCCTCCTTGCGCGCTCGGACACTGCGACCACTGAGGCGGCATGTCTGGCGGCGCAGCGACCCGGACATTCGCTCAAGGTCTTGACGCTTGCGGTCGATATTACGAACTTAGAGCAGGTCTCCGACGCAGCCAGGCGAGTCGAAGAGATGTTCGGACGCCTTGATGTCATAATCAACAACGCCGGGTACGCGGATCCTTGGAAGACGATGGGTGAAACGGACCCCAACGAGTGGTGGAGGACATGGGAGGTCAACATGCGAGGGACGTTCAATGTCACACACGCGTTCCTCCCTCTCCTCACCAAGTGCGGAGGCGACAGGACTATCATGAATCTAGTCAGTGCAGCGGCACACTGGGCCATAAAACACTGCTCGGCATACCAGGTACGAGTTCCGGCGAACAAATTTATTGGCTGCTAAGTTCACCTCCTCTAGACGTCCAAGTTTGCGCTGATGCGGTTCACGGAACTTCTCATGGAGGACCACGGAGATCAGGGTGTCCTTGCATATGCAGTCCATCCTTGCGCAACGCCGACTGACATGAATGCGGATTTGCCTGAAGAGGTGAAGAAGAGACTGATCGACACTCCGGAACTGGCCGCGCACAGTATAGTGTGGCTTGCAAGGGAGCGGAGGGAATGGCTCGGCGGCCGCTACGTCAGCACGCAGTGGGACGTCGACGAGCTACTACAAAAGACGCAGGAAATCGTGAAGGGGGACAAGCTGAAGTTTAGGATGGTCGTGTGAGCAATCTAAGACGGTATGAGAGTAAAGATGGAGAGTAAAACCACGTCGTAGTGTTGTCCATGATGTCCTACGATGTAGTTTATTGGTAGGGTGCGCTTGAGAACCATATCAGTGTCTTTGGGATGTGCAGCGTTACTCTATGTACTCACGTTTCGACCGCTCGACCCAAACGCAAGTGTTCTCACGACGATCCCGCAAGATGTCAGCTCATGGTACTGCAAGTAGATCACCGATCATAAACTTGCCAACGGAAGGCATCTAACAATGCCACTACCCCCCAAAAAGTCCGTAGAAGCAGCACTGAGATACAAACAAGTCCCCGAGATACTCTGAGAAGGAAGAAAATGCTCGACGTCGTAGAGGAAGTTTAGATCACGTCTGGTCTTGGTAAGCCGCAGGCCAGAGGAGTGACGTTGACACAAAGTGTGGTCTGCTCGATATAGGAGAGGACAGCGACAGCATCCTTATCAAGTTCTCATTATCTATGCAGAGTACCGGAAGAACGTCCTTGGGAGACGCCAGATATTTTGCGTAGAAGGACAGTCGATTCCTAATGAACAAGATCCGACCAGTGAAGTCGGACGGTGAAAACTAGTCTATTCCGCAAATCTGGACTTACCTGCACTTATGGTTTCGCTGGAATAAGTGGTACGTAGCTGAAGTCTGAGTGGGAGAAACAGGCTCACTCTGGGACGTGATAGCCTTGTCAGTGAAACGGTAAATGAGTATAGCTTACTATTCACTACAAGGTTGATGTAGACTATACGTGACAAGGATGAGTCATGAAATTGTTACGACACAGAATACGCTGTATGATGCGCAGAGATAACACCAAGCATGCATATTACCGAGCGGGTGATTCTATAGAATTGACGCCGTTGATGTCCGACTGATGAGGAAAAGTAAATTTGAAATTTGCAACGCATGATGCCTGTGTGGTGATTTGGATCGAGTGCCTGAATTAAAGTTATCAGCTAGCAAGCTAGCCACAAGGTGTTAGCTAGTCTACGCACGGATGAACATGCAGAAGTAGTCACATCTGTGCGGTTGTCGTACAGTAAAATGAAACAGACAGACAACAGGATGCCTCTCCTCGCATCGCAGAACGAACGTCATGCGATGAAACAGATGGTGGGTGTTGGGTATAAGAAAAACTAAGAACCGTACGGCACACCTTCCTTGAGTAGCCCCGCGTGAGACTGGCTGGACATCAGATATCGGGATAATAGCAAAGCCGCAAGAGTGTGCTCCCTTGGTAGATCTGGCATTCAAATTTGTTACGCCAAGACTGTATCCGTCTCCAATGGAATTGAGGGTGTATTAAACACGTAAATTTCGAACGCGCATGCAGTGTAAATCCTTCCGGAACGCGCTGAACAGTACTTTTTCCGTGGTTTGGGCCATCACATCAATCACTTTCGGAGTTGCAGATGGGAAACGCCGAAAACCGGAGCGATTGAGATTTGGGATCCAGTTTGTTGGTAATCACCGCTGACCGCTGACGTTAAGGGGAGTCATAGCAGAGAGACTCAGAAATGGTTTGGCGACTCACCCAAGTACCATGCAATGCGGCAAAACTGGGGGACGAGGTTGCAATTGTGAACGCTCTCAGTCGCGCGACGCGTCACTAGGCGCTGGTCGGCCATCGCCGATCCTCTGTATTCCGTGTCTCCCGCGGGAAATTCTGAGTCCGTTTTTCCCGGAGTGAGCTCATCCCGTTCTTCCCGGGCCAAGCTCGTCGGAGAGATCGAAGTTCCAGATAACATATCGGTACCCAGCCTCAGTTATTCATGCGCCGAGGCTCCTCAGGCCGCAACGACACCGTGACACATCCGGGGCAGTCAAAGCTGGACTTGTCGTCAAGGCCTATATCAGAGAGATTGAAGTTGCTGGGCAGAGCCAGTGCTGTACAGCACTGTATAACATTCCATCAGCCACGCAGATCCCTGATAGATTGACCAAATTACCTGGGATATTTCCTCTCCTCATGCTGCAGGTCTACCATCTACCAGCTTTGCTTGATCAGCGTCAAAGTACGTTGATGATTCAGCCTGTTTCTCACCGAGACGCTCACTCCGCCCATCGGTCTTTCTGTCAGCTTAGTGGCGTACGCGCCCTGCAGGCAACAGAAGATGCTCAGCCGATTCGAATGATCATGGATTAGTGTTCACCCACAGCCGGTGTGCGTCCTCTCGGCATTCCAAGGCCGGACATCGCCTGCAGCCTGGATAAGAGGTATAAAGCTCGCACTTTGGGTCCACAGTGTTCCCATCCAAACAGCATTCCTCTCCACGATGCATAACGGTACATCTTTTACGGAGATCCCAGACTTTACTCAGGATCCTCATAACGGTTGGTCGCGTTCCCTACTACATCATAAGTGTAGTGTGATCATCGTGGAATACAGGGTTCTCCTTTGTCCCTACTCTCCACCACGACACTTACCCCTTCATCGATCCCAGCACTGCTGACCTTTCAGGAAAGGTCGTGCTCATCACTGGTGCGTCCAAGGGCATCGGGAAGGGCATAGCCCTCGCATTCGCCAAGGCTGGTGCGTCGGGCCTCATCCTCATCGCACGCTCGAACATGAAGGCCCTTGAGGCCGAGTGTCTCGCGGCACAGCGCCCAGGGCAGGCTTTGAAGGTGCTGGCGCTCTCCGGCGTTGACACCACGGACCCGTCGCACGTCACCGAGGCTGCGAAGAAGGCTAAGGAGACTTTCGGACGCCTGGATGTCCTCATCAACAACGCAGGCCTCATGGAGTCTATGCACCTGATTGCCGAGTCCGACCCGCTCGAGTGGTGGAAGGTCTGGGAGGTGAACATCCGTGGGACGTACAACGTCACGCGCGCTTTTCTTCCCCTGCTTATCGAATGCGGCGGCGACAAGACGATCATAAACATGTCAAGTGCGGCGGCGCACCACATCCTACCCATGGGCTCCGCGTACCTGGTACTGTCCGTTTTGCACCTGTTGCGTGCACCCTACTGACAACTGCTCCTCGTCGCCAGACAACGAAGCTCGCTATGCTGCGCTTCACGGAACTGCTCGTGACTGAGTACGGCTCTCAAGGTGTCATCGCTTATGCTGTCCATCCCGGATCCATCAGAACGGACATGGGGCTGTTCTTGGGCAAAGACTGGGAGCATACGCTCATAGACACCATGGCACTGGCCACGGACACGCTCCTGTGGCTGTTGCGAGAGCGTCGGGCGTGGCTCTCCGGACGCTACGTGAAGTGCTTGTGGGATATGGAGGAAGTCCTGGCGAAGAAGCAGGAGATCATCGACGGTGACAAGCTCAAGGTCAGGATGATTGTCTGAATGGATGCTGAGAGAATATATGAGGCGGAGGGTAGTACCAAAGTAGTGACCGTCGTACTCCTAAAGACCGCAGTGCCTTGCAGATGATGTAACCGCCAGTCATATTCGTAGAAGCATGATTGTGACAATCATATTGAAATCATTGGAGGCCCGTTCGATAAACTGATTCCTCTCACCATAATTCAAGACCTTGGACCCTGGACCGGTCAAATAAGTAATCCATAACCACGGCTATATGAATTCATTAGCATTATTGAGGTCCTGAAATTTCCGATGTCTGTCGCTACCGAGAATAAGAGGATAAATTACAGCAACAGCACTTCAATCACTCCACTCTGGCGTCACAAACCGCAAGCTATCAATGCTGCTCATGCTCACCGCCGAGACGGGATCAGGCGGCGGAGCAAGAGTATTCCCCGACGACACCGGGGTAGACGACAGTCCGGGACCAAGTTCCGTAGACACCTTCAGCTTAGAGGGCCGAAGGAACGCGTTGGGGAGCGCATGACTCGTCTGAGTTGGTTCACCCTTCTCCTTCTCCCCCCTCTCCTTTATCAGCTTCTTCGCCGGCTTATCCTTGACCTTCTCCTTTCTCTTGGTCTTCCATCGACTCTTGCGCTCACCGGTCTCACCGACACTAACAGTGGACGTGATGGTGGTCATTGCCATGTGCATTGGGACCACGACCTTCGCGCCCTTGGCCCCGGACTCGTATGAACTTGCACGGGCTCCTGGATCTTCATACGACTGTGGCATATACGAGCTGAAAGGCGGCCCGTCATCCAATAGTGAAGACAGTGGCGAACGCGGACGTGATATTGGAATGGGAAGAGAAGACGACAGAGCTTCCTCATCCGCAGGTGGTGTCTGCGGACGCGCACGCACGGGCGGACTCCGCGAAGTATGCCACAGCAAGGATTCCATAGATGAGAAGGTTGCCAGCGCAGGAGGAGGCGAACCTGATCTTGGGCTACTATCGACATCGCGTCGCGTCCTGGGATTGTCAGATGTGCCCGCCCACGCAGACGAGACGACTGACACCCGGTTTTCCGGGGCGCTGGGTTTTCTCGGACGTGCCTGTCGCGTGCACTGCCACTGCCTTGGCAGATCGTCTGCCCAGGATTCCCATTCCCGCTCAGAGTTACTATCGCTTTCGTTGGACTCTTCATCTGAGCTCTCGTCACCACTGAAGTCACCCGCAAGGTAGTGGGGGTGTGCGCCTGTCCAAATAGGGTCGTCCGCATCAGAGTCCGGGCTCATTGGATCAGTGTCGCCAACGTTAGACCCCTCAGATTTATCCTCACGTCCACCGTCGTCATCAGGTTCGCTGTCGCTGCTTTCCTCTCTTGTGACACGTCGAGCTCGTGTCTTGTCTTGAATATAATCAGTCGCTTCCGAGCCAAGCAGCCAAGCCTCTGTTGCACGTCCAACCTCGCCAAGGCCGGCACGCCGTGCGCGAGTGGCAACGGCGAGACGCCATTCTGGATATGGACAAGGAGCCTTCAATGACGTCCCTGTGCTGGTGGTTGGGGCATGCCTATGGGTCTCTTGTGGACTTGTATGGAGGGAGTTCGCTGCCCGGGAGGACGGCGACGCATGCGATGTGTCAGGGAACCTGTACCCCTCAACTGGATGGGATTGAGGAGACAAGGGAGAACGATCTGGGGAAAAGAACGAGGAAACACACGTGCGAGGGGCATCCCTATGTAGAACTCTCAGAACGTTGGTAAACGCTGGAAACAGAGTGCATCAGCATCCAGGTATCAAACGCGTGAACGGACGTGGCGGCTGATCGCGAACAGCAGCGATAAAGATGGTCTAAAGCTTTATCAACACACCTTCATCCGTCAACATATCCATAATCACCCAAACAGCTTCATCCTCTACCTTTGCATCGTCTTCGAGACCTTCATGCATGATACCTGCATTGCTACCTATGTGGGCCAGCTCATCTTTCGATCCGCGGCGCCACCAACCGCCCCCATCGAGGCTCCTGCGCTCTCTGTGCTCTTCAGTTGCCGTACTTGATAATGCACCGACGCCTGCTCGGGACTGAATCTCATGAGCTTGAGAGGGTGGATACACCCGAAATTTGGCGCACACGATGCGCGAATGCCCGTGCGTGTCGCCTTCGAGATCGCTCTCCTCTACCGGTGAGCTGGGATGTTGCTGTATGTGCGAGCGCGCCTGTAGCGCTGGTGAGACGAGAGGCGTACGTGCCATGCTGCGCGACGGACTCGCCATTGGAATTGGCATGGGAGTGGCAGAGGAAGGCGGAGAGGTCGGGCGTTGAGGTGAGAGCGTGCGCCGGAACATGTGGAGCTGCAAGTGCTCGGCCCCGCGTAGAGCTAGCAGCGCGCTCATAGATGAGCTATGCGCTGGCGAGGGATCCTAAGAATAAGTTCAGCTTCCATTCAGGTACGCCTCAAACAAAATGGCGCAGCGCCCAACACTGTTTCCGCGTTGACTGGCAGCGCCCGACGGTCAACCCCTCGCTGCGAGTGGCGTCAACACAAATCATCAGATGGATCATCCGCGATAGATCGAGACACATACAGAAGCCGTCGGGACTCACATTACGGTGATTGTAGAGCTTAAAGACGCCCTGGTGGATGACAAGCCATCGCACGCGCCATTCCATCTTCCTACGCCTGCCTCTCTCCCTCTGCGAATCTTTCGCTTCCTCGCCCTGGTCATCCTCCTTGCGCTTCGTTCGGTGCTTTCGCAGAACGTCTCCAGGTGTCGCAGGGGCAACGCGGAGAGCCCACACGCGCGCCTCGAAGTATGGATGGACATAGTCGCCCAGTACACCACGCGGAAGGGATACGAGACCGGGCCCTGCATGTAGCTCGAGGAGCTCGTACGAACGGAACCCATACCACGACAGGTGAAAGTGATCCTCGAGAAGTTGGCTGGTAGAGAACGCGATAAGAGAATACCGCTCAGGAATAGTAGTAGAAGGTTGGTTATGAGAAGAGGACGAAGCTCCAGCCGTGGACGCAGGTACAGATGGGCCTGGCGTATATTTGAATTTGAGGTACTGCGCGTCGAACTCGAGCTCAGAGTCAGTCTCAGAGCCGTTAGAGCCGTTGGCGTCCGTTCCAAAAGTGATGGGAGAAATTGGACGAGGTTTGCGACTTATAGCAGAAGGGATAACTGAGGTGGTGGGTGAAAGGAACTTGGCGAGCAAGCACTGTTTCACCTGGCCAATCGACCATGATGGCTGCAAGTGCGTGACCAGCCACTGATCAGTGGGTACTGTGGCGGGTCAGGAGACGACATATGAGGGAGATGGAGGACACGCACCGAACCTGCAAGCTATGGGCAGCGACGGAGAGGTCGGATGGCTCATTCAAGCACAACGTCCACGTCAAATCGGCGATCGCAATCCATGTGCCCTTCGGCTCTTCCCGGCATCTTGCGAGATTAGGGTTCACCGGTATTGGCGGAGCACTGATGAAACGTCGAGTTGTAGTATAAGAGGGAGAATTATGCAGGTTGTAGTTAGAGCCAAAAGAGACGTTCGACACGACAGCAGGATGATATACATCTAGGCACGGGTGACGTCTTCGCTGGTCTTTGCAAAGAGAATCAGGATTTTTGACGAAATTTATCTGGTGATAACGTAGCAAGCTACATTGCAATTAATCAAGACGGTGCTACGTATACGCGCGCTCACTTGGCTGACGGGCAAGAAACAACCTCAGGATACTTACCTGCCATAAAAGTTAATACACCTACCGCTTTCAGACCTCAGGGTCGCAGATAAACTACACCAAGTAATAACTTGCACCTCTACATAGAAAGCTGTGAATCATATATACGCAATGACCTCGAAAACCCTTCTAACGAAATTAAATTGAAGCCATAACCAGAACTTTCAAACAATATCATCCTGGATCTTCGTGTGTCGCCCTCCGCATCGAATCTCCTGCTTTACGCCTCTAGCTAACTGATGTCACAATCGCAGCTAACACAGGGGCAGACAAGTGATTCCCCCTGCTTTAGAACAAGCCAAAAAATACTATGTGCTGCAAGCTTATGCGTATCAATGAGTGATGCGAGGGGTAGGGGCGAAACAGAGGCACTCAACTATGTAGGCGTTAGGCAGGGATGTGAAAATGCCAGGACACCGCCGTTACCCGCGATTGACTCCATTCAGCCTATACGCAAGAGAATTTGCTGCCAAAGTCGCCAATTTAAGATTGTCGCTTCAGTGACTTGACAAATGCATCGTTACCTACTACTTCGCTGCGAAGGTTGGGCATGCCCCGAAGTCAACGGCCCCTGAGTTACTTGTAGCTCCCGTATTTGACGGGCAGGGGAATAACGCGAGCGGTTGTTACGTCGCACGGATTTTTACCTCCTTCACCTTCCACCAATCGAGCGGATCGCTGAGCGCGAGCGGTCTGGGATGCTCCATATAACCGTCATCGATCCCCAGTCATCCGTTCTACCTTCCAGCCGCATTCGCGACTTCCTCGGGGTCCGCGAAATCCGTTGTGAGTGGAAGCAATTTAACTAATTGTACAGCCGCCGCACCACAGACCTGTAGTCTGCACAGGTTCGCGTCCTACGAGAAACGAGAAGGAAGCCAGAAAAATTGCTTCAGAAAATGCAGCCTGGAAACACTCAGGCAATATTTAACCACGCATCAAATTGAAACAAGGAGGCGATGTTGAAGTGGATTGTCACGATGTGCTGGACCTGTCATTTTGGCAAAAGATGCATTCGAAACCGGGTGAGCGCCGAATTTTTATCCTAGATATGCTTCGGGTTACTACAATCTAGACATGTGAGCATTGATACCATGTATGCCAACCAATACGCACACGTAAGATCCGCGGGACGGGTCAGTCGCACCTCCGCAGCTCTCTGATTTCTCCGTACCGTCAGATGACCAGCTTGACCTTAAGCTTATCTCCAGCTACGATCTCCTTCTCCTTGGCGGACAGCTCATCCACGTCCCATATGAAGCTCACGTACCGCCCGGCCAGCCACGGCCTGCGCTCCCGCGCGAGCCATACAACGCCGTTCGCCGCCAGTTCAAGCGTATCAATAAGCATGCTCTGCATAACGTCGGGTAACGCCTTAGCCATGTCGGTGGCAATCGCACCGGGGTCGGCAGCATAGGCGAGGACGCCCTGGTCCCCGTGTTCCGCCATAATACATTCTGTGAAACGTAACAGTGCTAACTTGGACGTCTAAGGATGCACAAACAATCAGGTTGGCGTGTCATCCAGTAGTAGGAGAAAGCGTACCGTGTAGGCAGAACCCTGAGGCAGAACGAGGTGGGCAGCAATGCTCGACATGTTGATGATAGTCTTGTCGCCTCCGCTCTCGATGAGGAGCGGGAGGAAGGAGCGTGTGACGTTGAACGTCCCACGAACATTAACTTCCCAGGTTTTCCACCACTCGTTAGGGTCCGACTTGATAATGGGGAGAAGCGTCTCCATAAAACCAGCATTGTTAATCACGACGTCCAGGCGTCCGAAGGTCTCTTGAACCTTCCTCGCAGCGTCGTCGACATGCCCGGGGTCCGTGGCATCAACGCTAGAGAGCGTCAGCACTTTCAGTGGACGCCCGGGACGCTGCACAGCGAGGCACTCTGCCTTGAGAGTCTCCATGTCGGAGCGCGCAACGAGCACGAGGCCCAACACGCCAACTCTTGCAAAGGTTAGCGCGGTCGCCTTGCCGATGCCTTTGGATGCGCCTGTGACGAGCACAACCTTGCCCGGTAGGTCGACCTTGGCGAGGTCGATGGCGGGATACGAATCATGGTGTGCAGTAGGCACAAAGGTGCGGCCTGTGCTCAGTCGTTGGTGAACTGTGATTGCACGAAAGAAAATCACGGCTTACCGTTGTGGGGATCGAGAAGGAAGTCCGGGACGTCGCGGGCAGGGGAAGTAACATCGGACATGGCTAAGAAGGCAACGTCTGATGCGGTTTTAGGAATGTCTGAATGTGAGAAGATCTGGTTAAGTGATGCGAGCTTTTAACTTACGATGTAACGTGGCTTGATAATCAGCGTTTCGAGCAGCTCAACGCGAAGGTCTTCCCGAGATGCTGAATCATTCACGATTTCGCTGACGAAGAACAACGCGTCGCAAAGTAAGGAGTCATTGCTTACGCAGCATTAAGCCTCCCTGGCGGCCAGGGGCATGCACTGCGCACGCAGTCAGAGACCAGACATGTACGTGGAAAAAACATTTGTGAAATTTATGGATAGATACGAACACTTGCGTGAAATGCGACTCATCCTCATTCAACTGCATTTCTGCATTCAAAATTTGCCAGGTTGCTACCGGAAACAACAAGACGCATATACACAACACACCTTTCGGACTGGTTCTGCGGAGTAATAGGCCCTCGCACATAGGGCGGACCTTGGTTGTCGCCCCCTATTGGAGATGAACCCCTGGGGCCCTGACCAATCGTGAGCTTTCATTTTGCAACCCGACCTACGCTGTGTTCTTTCCAAATTCGATGATCGACCGAGAGAGGATAGATAAGCGCTGGTACACCGCAGAAGTGCAGAAGTGACACAATAGGCAGTTGCTGTAGAACAATACTGTCCACCTATTCTCCGCGTAAGCTATCACCGTCCTATATAGGTCCGTTGATGCACAGCACGATACTGGACTAATTTTATGACTTGAATCCCTCATGAATTTTCACCCAAACGGGGTTTCTTCTATAGATTATTATCAAATTTCCAGTAGCGCAACAATCGGCTGTATCAAACAACTTCACGCTTCAAGTACTATTCACACATAACAGCTTCTCGAGCCAGCTTCGCTGCGTCACCTTATCATTTCGATCATACCATCATTCTGACCTTCAGCTTATCACCCGCCACGATCTCCTGCTTCTTCGCCAAGAGCTCCTCGACGTCCCACTGGCAGCTGACATAGCGGCCAGAAAGCCAGTCACGACGCTCCTTGACGAGCCACACGAGCGTGTCCGTGGCACTCGCCAAGGTGTCTACGACAACTTCCTGGTATTTCTCTCCTATGGACGCCGTTATGTCCGTCGGAATCGAACCGGGATGTACAGCGTAGGCGATTACACCTTGAGACCCGTACTCCAACGCGACCAGCTCGGTGAGGCGCAAAATCGCCAGCTTCGAGGTCTGGTAACAAGTGAACGCGTGGGCAGACGAGGAAAGGCAGAGATGAACGAGCATACCAGATACGCAGAGCACGTGGGCACGATGAGGTGAGCAGAGAAACTCGACATGTTGATAATGGTCTTGTCACCGCCGCACTCGATTAGCAACGGGAGGAATGCACGTGTAACGTTGTACGTCCCGCGGATATTCACCTCCCAGACCTTCCACCACTCCGCAGGGTCGGAGTCTGCGACCAGGTGCAGGGGCTCTACCAGGCCCGCATTGTTGACGAGAATATCTAGGCGTCCAAAGGTTTCCTTGACCTTCTTAGCAGCATCTGCGACCTGTGTCGGGTCCGTCGTGTCAAACCCGGAGAGCGCAAGCACCTTCAGTGACTGTCCAGGACGCTGTGCAGTCAGGCACTCCGTCTCGAGGGCGGTCATGTTAGAACGAGCAACGAGGACCAAGCTCGACACCCCAGCTTTGGCGAACGCAATAGCGATGCCCTTGCCAATGCCTTTAGATGCGCCAGTGACCAGCACGACCTTGCCAACCAGGTTGGCCTTGGATATATCGATGGCGGGATACGTGTCGTGGCGTACGGTAGGCACGAAGGTGAGACCTGCGTTTCTGTGTCAGTGAATGTTCACGGTCTCAGATGGAACGCGACGGACCAGTGTGAGGATCCAAAGTGAAGTCTGGAGGCTCTCCGGATGGCATAGTAGACTCAGACATGGCGCAGAAGACGATGCTCGGATAGGACGACATGGCTTCTGATGCGACTCTTTATACCTTTCTTGCGGCAGCCGTTCGGGCAAGCGCGTACGCTTGCACAAGATGTATTCAATTGCCGGAGGTATGCACGCCTCAGGATGCTGGCCGGATGTGCGAAGCTCTGCGAGCAACGAGGGGCTGAATCATCCACATCTTACGGCGGTGATTTAGCGATGTGTGGCATCAGTGTAGCCAACGCAAACCCGGAGATCAGACTTGCAAATAGTGGGATACTGTAACGGGATATTGCTTGAGGTCGAAATGGCAACTGCTACAGAACGTACCCGTGGGAATTTTCACGAGCCCTGGTCGGTTGCAAGTTGACTTGCGGTTCTGCAAATTCTCTACCAGAAGAAGAGACTGGACACGCCGGGAAGCACGGAGTTATCATCGACCGCAGACCCAGGCCGAGGGTGAGGTGGGCGGCACGGTGAGACACATCACCCCTGATCAGCCGACAAGTAGACACTTCATCATCGAGCTCAATTTCAAGAGAGATCTCACCGTCTTTGAGCTTACCACCATCCAGATCCTCCATCTCTGCGTTCTCCATCGAGGTGAGTCAACTGGTGGATATTCTTGTCACATTGTCAATGTTATGTTTTGATTCTGCTGAATCAATGTCGCCGAACATTTCTGGCGATTTTCCCAGTCGGTTTGATCACTGCCGATCATTTGCCCCGACAGGCCCATCCGGAGATGCTGCCGCCATTGGTATCAATTCCTACCATTCACCCTCCAAGGGATTGGGACATTCGTGATTTCCCCTTCTGCTGTTATTCAGTCTCAGGTGAAGTAGTAGCCAACTCCCGGAATCGATGCGCGGAAGATTACTGCAGGTGTATCAAGTGGGAATCGGCCTTTCGATAGTCTTCATGCTGGAGGGAGCGACCAAGACCAGGCCCGACACGCCAAGTTTGGCGAATGAGATCGCAAGTGCTTTGCCGACACCCTTGGACGTGCTGGTGAGAGAACTATCTTGCCAGAGAGGTTGACTTTGGGAGGATTGATGGCGGGATGAATGTCACGGTGCGTAGTGAGCACAAAGGTGAGGTCTGCATGTCCATCTCAGTGAGCGCCCACAGTCTGAGCAGAAATGCGACGTACCGGTGTAAACAGAGTGAAGTCTGGAAGGTTACTAGAGAAGGCAGTAGAGTCGGGCATTGTAGAAAGGACGATGCTCAAAGTTGCGAACTTCTCGACCTCATATATCGTTAGCCAGGCGGCGCATCACCGCTTGCCAAGCGACTACGTATACAGTATTCATTCTGGTTAGTATGAGCTTTGCCGCATTGCGTTCATCTGCGGCTTCGGATACTAGTCAGTGTACCGTTTCAATCTGCATCTCAGCGCGATGAAGGTGCTGTGTCAAACATCTACGCGTTACTCTAGTTGCCAGATACAGATTCAAAATGTAGGAGTTAATCACAGAGAAGCCCTATAGATAACACAGTAAGCATCTCAAAGATCAAAACAAGCTGAAGGTACCCCACTGGGCCTTGCTTCGGGCTTTCGCTACATGAATGACGAGGCTCACGGCAAGTTATGCATGTTACGACCCGAATCCTCTTGGATCAATCTACATTTCATTTTGACATTCACGGCACTCTCAATTGGAAACTGGCCTCCAGTAGTGCCGCCATCCGAGTCGAGGTAATTAAAGGATGAACGCAGAAGCCTTGGGCGCTCAACATAAGCGCCACCAGGTGCCGAAGTTGTTATGGAACAAAGTTGTCCGCTCGCCGCTTGGGCCTTGTCTCTGCTGTCTGCAGGAAACGTGACCTGAGCTAGCTTTATGCATTATGTCTTTACTTTCATACAAGGTTTCTGTATCAATAATTTATTTCACAGCTCAATGTCTGTGCTCCACCAACAGCATGATATTAAGTTGAGACTGCTCGCTCGCAGATGCTACTGTGGATGACTCAACGTCGACAATAGTGATAGTGAGGTATCAGTAAGGGTCACCATGCGCAGAGACGCTGCTAGGTATGTACTACAACACGAAGCTCACACAATCATCCTAAATTTCAACTTATCCCCCTCAATAATGTCTTCCTTCTTTGCCAACAACTCCTCAACATCCCATTCACAGCTTACATACCTTGCACTTAACCATTCTCTACGTTCGCGCACAAGCCAGACCATGGTGTGTGCCGCAAGCTCTGGAGTATCGATGAACGGCTTCTTGATTTCAGGTGGAACATGGGCGTTCATGTCGGTCGGCGTCCCGCAGGGATGAACCGCAAAGGCAATAATGCCTTGAGGGCCGTAATCTGCCACGATTGACTCGGTGACGCGCACGACGACGAATTTGGACGACTAACCAGTACATTCAGGTTCATGCGCGAGGTAACAAGATCAATGTGCTATTACCTGGTAAGTGGATAATGCTGGCATTGACTGGTGTGCAAGGATACTCACAATCAATTTGCCGCCTCCACAGTCAATGAGAAGAGGGATGAACGCTTGAGAGACGTTGTACGTCCCACGGATGTTGACTTCCCAGACCTTCCACCAGTCGACCGGATCGCTGTCCGCCAATAGCTTCAGCGGACTCATGTAGCCAGCGTTGCTAATGACGATGTCCAAGTCTTCTTGACCTTCCTGGCCGCATCACGACCTGCGTCTGGTTCGTAATGTCAACAGCGAGGGGAAGAATCATGACCGATTGACCAGGGCGCTGTGCCGCCAAGCATGCCGCCTCAACAGCTTCGGTGTCTCCGCGAGCGAGAAGCACAAGGCCAGAAGCCCCTGCTTGGGTGAAGGCGACTGCGATAGTCTTCCCAATGCCTCTCGATGCGCCGGTGACAAGAACGACCTTGCCTGACAGGTCGGCTTTGGTAGGGTCGATAGCTGGGTAAGTGTCATGGTGCGTGGTAGGGACGAAATAGGAACCTGCATCTGCGGTCGATGATCTCGAATGTAGTGAAAACATGGAATGACTGACCGGAATGGTGAGGCATTGTCGGCGTTGTCTGTACTCGAATGTAGGGGACCATCCACAGATCTGGAGCTTATATGGCTGCGATTCGCCTAACATACTCAGCCGTCAGTTGTGGATGTCGATGAACTGACGTCACTTACCAAACAAAATCTTTCCTCTGATATCGCCCGATGATCGGAGAAACATACTTACAGCCACGACCGCGACAAAGGTCTGGTCTTATGGGCAGACTTTGTCCATCCGAGGACGGTCGCGAGGTAGAGCATCTACCATTTGGTGTACTCACTTGATTCCATGCCCTCGGTGTTGAGGTCGGAGCCGTGTAACTTCTTGTTGTCGAGGGAGGTACCTTGCGTGCGGAGCGGTGCTTGGATATCTGCCGAGAGAGGTTGGATAAAGTCATGTTGCGAGCAGTGACTAGCATGAGAGGGAAACGGTGAAACATGAGGCTGGCCCTTCTGGCAACTGATAGGGATAACGAGTGCATCAAATACCGAAGATATGTACACCAATTTGAGGCGCTGAGTTCCACGTTCAAGTTCGTTAGTAGCCGCCCACCAGTGCGGTCACAGCGCATCGGCGAGAGTTCCTCGACGTAGTGTTCGTTCCGATGAACAATGTTCTGCGAGTGTCTTCCATTACTCGTTCTGCTTCGCGAACCTCTTGAAGAATCCGATTGGAACACATCCAGCCCCAGGAGGTAGGTAGGTGATTGCGGACGACTTGCGGGTCCGAGACTCCTGCGCCAAGTCTTGTCACGCTGATAGGTATGTACTACGGCCAAATGACCAGGACCGCCTCAGTCAGTTCGTGGTGACTGTTGTCCATAAGGTGCAAGACAAGTATCCGCGCCTCTCACGCTTCACGGCTCCGCTGAAGATAACAATGACACCCTCTCGACGTTCGTTGACTCGCAGGAGGCAGACCACTTCACTTCGAGTCACCCGCTGCCAAGTCGTCCTGACCGGCACTGGAGCCATCAAATCCTAGTTAGTACGATTCACAGCTATCCCACAACCCGAGTCATGACTGCTGTCGTGCATATAACATTATAAATGGAGAGGTGATCTGCGGCAAAACCGTACAAGGGCAACAACCCTCCACACACCAATAACAGCGGCACAATCCCGGATCTACAATGGGAAAGATAAGCCTGAAACAGATCACTACGGTGCGTCTTAGTCTGTGACACCATTGTCTCAATCACTGACGCAGCTGGTGGCATCTAGCGCCACCAGAACAGCGACGGCTCGACGAAGTCTGCACCATGGAAGCTCGGAAAAGGCGTTCGCGCGGGACGGCGCAACCCTGGACGCAATGACGGATATACCTGGAACGGTAGCAACTTCGTCTGCGGGTCAGATATTGACGGCGGTGGATACGGAATTGAGGAAGACTACCCGCACGAGCTCGAGTGTTCGAGCGGCGACACACATGCAGTCCGATATAAGGACGCGGAGATTCAGGTTCCTTCTCTGTACGACATCTCCCTCGGTGACATCGCGAAACCAGAGAGGAAGAAGAAGAAAGGTAACTCGATGCAAGTCATCGCAGATCTGAGCGAGCGCTGAATGATGTCGTGTAGTAGCGACAGGACCTGCGCGGGAGTTCGAGATGGTGGACTCAGTCCAGCGAGTGATCGTGCTGGATGACTTTGAGCTCGGGTACGAGGAGAGGGTAGAAGCCATTGAGGACGAGTGGGAAAGCATAGAGAGGGAAGACAAGATCCGACCATTGTATTCAGCGATCTTGGCTGGTACTCCAGGTTGAAGACAGATGACTGCACGGAACGTACTGATAATGAGACCCACCGAGAGGATAGAGGTCAGTAATATGACCGTGGAGCATAGTGGAGCTGGACAACGTACTTCCTGGAGAGAGTACAAATTCGCCATGGAGCCATCATGACCTGAGTAGCATAGTGTTGTATCAAAGTGCTGGTAACTACAGAGTGGACGCATCGGGGCGATGACGAACGTTCAAGGTGATCTGGAGAAACGTAATGCGACGGCGTGAGAGCTTCGGTGTAAGAGTCTACAATCGAACGCTATACAAGCCGCATGTACTCACACTAGCTGTCAAGTATACTACAATACAGACGACCTCCACGCAATGACGTTGTTGCAGTGTGGTGGAAATTTTCACCCCGCACACTTAGTATATTTCAGCGATTGTGGTCACTGGTAAAGTTACTCCGACACACCTGATATATCGAATTCATGGCAGATTTCCGATCGCGAGCAAGAGAACCGCGCATCGACCCACCAGCAATAGAACGTGTCCAGAGTTGTCGCCTCAGCATAGATGCAAGTACTGCCACTCTTCCCTTCTCACTATTCGGCATACTTTGAGCGACAGTTATGAGCTGTTCCGCGCGCCGTTGTCCGAATGGGCTACCGATAAGAGTCCACTAGAATGGCATATAAGGGCATCGTCCACCGGGTCTGGAATTTAGACGTTGTTGGAACTACAAGCACTCTTCTGAGAACACAAAAAAAGTATGAACGCCGTTTTAACGTTGACCTAGAGTTAGCATAAACGACTGTTGAGGAAAGAGGCTTGGACGTTGCCCAAGTCGCTGCTAGCTCCGAGTTATCCCGGACGGTTGATATAGCGTCCCGATATGGCAGGCGTAGTCGTCACCCTTGGTTAACAACAAATTTGCAGTACGGGAGTGAGGGGCTGACGATGCCCGTGTAAAATCTTGGAGTAACCATAGACACACTAATACCGCTGCTGTCGTCGAGGCAAATACACATCATAATTTGTGGAGCTGCAGATACCTGACTGAAACCACATATATTCTTAAAATCCTCCAGCATTTATGAAACAGTATCGCAGATGATCCAGAGGCTGTGAAGCAAGTATAGACGGGATCGTAAGAAATGTGACTATACGGCTAGCTGTAGTATAAGCAATGAGCCCTCAGCCGCATCCTCTCCTTGTGTATCGCAATGGACAGTCGAGCCTGCTTGAGGGCTTCTTCTTCAGGGGTGCCCTCCGGTGCCCGAGTTGCAAGCATCTCTGGGGTATCAGCATATTCGAGCGGCACAAAATATCCCATGTAGCGCAAAGATCCTGAAGCAGGTGTAGCGATCGGTGGTTATGCCATGGCACGGAGATACACGTACTGGGTTTCCATACGTCAACTGATTTACACGCCAACCAAAGCTCTTGACACTGGTCCCGCATTTCACGAGGCTCCGGAGTATTGAAGATGATATCTGTGGCAGCATAGCAATCATGCTTCTTTGCGCGGTCGAAGTCGATTATGAAAGGCTTGTTGTCGTTGCTAACCACAATGTTTCTTGGAGCAAAGTCACGATGCGCGACGCCCGCATTATGGATCTTTGACATAGCTATAATAAGATCGTATCTGCCGCAGGGACACGGTCGGGAGTATTGGTACGCCGCATTCTGCGGATAGTAGAGCTGCTTACCTGAAGGTCCAACTGGTGGCAAAAAACTCCTTGTACAAACGTTCCCCGCAATCCTGCAAAACGAGGCACGCCGAGGGACCATCCTCCAGTTCACCCTCGAAGAGCCCAAAACACCGCGGAACCACATCCCCTTGGAGCTCTGCGATCCGCCAGTACATGTCGACTTCATTTCGCAGTCGAGCGACGCCTCTCTTCCCCAATACAACCTTACAGATCACGGCTTGTGCGGGCTGGTTGGGGATTTGAAGAGTAGCGGTATAGATTACGGAGTGACCATGATGGATGCGCAGCGTATTCGTTGCTGCAAGTTGCAGATTGCTGTTCGCATCGTCATATCGAGCAAGCTCGTAGGTAGGTTTGGGAGATGTATAGGAATGTTGGTCTGGAAATCTGAGGGTGGACATAGCAGCAAGGTGACACCAGTACTAAGCAGTTGAAAGTTTATACATTAACGTTTCAAGCGTGACTTCTGCAGACGCGTCTGTGGCACAGCACGTGCACTGTTCAGATGAACCTAGAAAAGAACAATGGCATACGGCACCGTTTGTAATCGACAATGCCCTTCACTGCGTCCTGAATTAACGAGTACATATCAGCAGCAGAATTTCACAAATTGATCGTGTCGCAGTAGACTGCTAGTAGTGGACCATGGTGCACCCCGTCATCTCCAAAGATCCACCAATGACACCGAAGGATTAAACGGCGCTGGCGTTGACACGAAGGGGCCCCTACTCACGTCGTCACAAAATTTCATTCTATGGATAGGCGGTGAGTGGCTATACTCATGAAGATGCACGGTATTCATTACGACCACGTTTTGTGACTCGTACTACTTCATTTTCTCTCCATTCCTCCAGTAGTACACCCAAAGAGCGCCTATAGTTGTTCAGCAAACGTGTCAGTGATTACACGCATAGAAGCACCAATTGTGCGCATGCCTAGAACTCTTCTTGCTAGTAGGAGTTAGGTGAGAGCGTTGAGACTGGGGCTGGTACGCGTCGCCCACAGCGCGACCTACCAGTTCGCCTGCACGATAGACGTCCATGGAGCAAAATGCTAGCTTATCTGCATCTCGGGTTTGTCGGGCCGTTCATCGGTGCACAACGGACACATCCAAGACCGACTCCGAATGGCGACCAAGTCCAAACAATCGCGAGGTTCAAACTTCAGCAGAGAAAGCATACACGTTCTCAAGATCAGTACAGATGCAAATTTTGCTTTGACAAAAACATCATACACGTGCCCGGCCTCTCTTAATTTTCTCGTACACCGCTTTCAAACTTCGCTCCTCTTCCCCCAGCCCGAGTGCATCCGAGCCCGAGTCTCTCAGAGCTTCGAGTTCGTGCCCTCAAGGAAGCGCTTCTCCGCCTCATCGAAGTTGATCACGCTCCAGATGGCGTTGAGGTACTGCAATTTGTCAGCAACTTTGACGCAATGGATTATAAGAAAGGGGACATACATCGGCCTTCACGTTGAGGTACTGGAGGTAGAACGCGTGCTCCCAGATGTCGACGCCAATGATGGGCACGTGCGTCAGGAGAGGGTCCTGGTTCGCCGTGGTGACGATCTCGAGGCGCTTGTTGGACGGGTTCAAGCCCTACGGTACCGATTCTCACCTCAGCGCATGGTTAGCACCAATAGGCTGGACACTCACAAGCCAGCCCCACCCAGAGCCCTGAATGCCTGCGGTGGTGGTATTGAACTCCTTTTTGAAAGCGTCAAGAGAGCCGAACGTCTCAACGATGGCCTTCTTGAGCGGGCCGTCCCTGAGGGAACCACCAACGCCCTTACCCTCAGAAGACGCGCCAGCGAGGTTCTTCCAGAAGAGCGAGTGGTTGATGTGACCTAGAATTGCCCCCGCATCAGTTCACTTGCGCCTGAGTGAGATCGCAGGAAGATCGCGAGGAGTACGCACCACCGCCGTTGAACCGGAGGGCAGCCTGGAGGCCAATGCGCTCCCGAGGGGTGCTCGCCTTGGCGTAGGCTAGTTCAGCCGCGTTGAGAGCGGTCACGTAAGTTTGGTGGTGCTTCTTGTGGTGAAGCTCCATGATCTGCCTCGAGATGAAAGGCTCGAGGGTATCGTAGCGGTAGGGGAGGTCGGGGAGCTGGTGCTGTCCGGTAGCTGCGGCGGCCATGGTTGTACTGTGCTGGTCCGAGATGGAGGTTAGGAGAGAGAAGGACAGGAGCAGCGGCGGTATTTATGGTGGTGTTATCGACTCTCCTGATCACCTACTTATGCAAGACTGATGCCGATAGTGACGTTACTCTCACCACGTGATGCAATGGTTTGCTCAGCATTTGTTTTACACCGTCATCTTTCTCCCATGGATTAGTCCGACAGCCACAATCTCTCGCTCAGCTTCTGTTCTCCACTCTCGAAGCTTGGCGATGCGAGCACAGACCGGGAAGAAGGGTTCCCGAAGAGAGTCGTGCGATCGCGCGTTATGACGCGTGAATTGGTACGTGTTCGCAGATCTTCCTGCAATTCAATAGGCCGTTGCAAGCCTGACGACATTCCACTCGTCCTGGCACAAAGCGGAAGGAAATGCAGCAGCAGGATCTACGTTCAGCAGCTGGCAGGAGAAGCCTAGTGTTCATGAAAGAGGCAAAGACAACTCCCTAGACGAGTCTTCGTGATGATGATGCCAGCGATGCACGGCCCGGGTCGGCAGGCTCAGAAAGGGCGGACGGCTAAGGACTACAGCGATTATCAACTACAGGCTTGCGGATTTCAGGTGAATAGAGATCGCCTGTGCGTGAATCTCTCCGACGTTTAACAGGTGCAGACTTCGTCAGAAGTTTTCCTTTCTCATATGTTAGACCCATCCTTGTTTGACTGACAGTTGTAAGGCTCTCGATCAAAGGATAGAACTTCAAATGAAATCGTGATCTGCCCTGTATCATACGGCCTATGTTCATGACAGGAAGTACGTGACCGTGCCGTTCATCTTCATGCGCTGAACGTCGCAAAATTACAGTTGATCACGATTATGTATGCGCCGATCCGTTTCATTGTGAAGGCTAAACTGCAGCAATTTCGGAATGCCCGCATCCTTGGGTCCAGATGATCGTGATCTCGGATAGTTCTCCAGGTCGGACGCACCGCATACTCGTGTCTGTGGTTCTCTTGACTTCAGAACTTCAAGATCAGCAGGAAGAGCTGATTGTTCCTGTGGCTTCAGCGAAACGAAACGCGTATCTTAATAACTTGATTCTGCTTGTGTACTTCGTCCGCTGTCTAGTCGCCCCGCCGGTGTTTCCTGCTGTCGTCTGCTTGAAGGTAGATCGGGACAAAGGGCAACTGATCCATGAAACCGATCTACGCATATCCCGGAGGGACACACTGTAATAATTGCCAGAGGCCCGAGCTCTTCAGAGGCGCGCTTACCTCGGAATGGTACTTACGCTGCCTACCAATCGATTTCAAATCACTACATTGGTGAAGACGCTCTCTCGTATGGCACACTAACATGGTCCTGCCTTCGTGCCTGACCAGAACGTCGAAAATCCACACCTACGTAGGTCTGGTCGCAACCTTCAACTCGGTAACCGTCACATCCGATCACGTAGATCAAGCTTGTTCCAGCCCCGCTTTGTCGATGCCACCATGCGCCATTCTGAATGCTGTCTGCTTCTCAGAGCTCGTGATTGAAGAGAATAACTTTGATGGAGCCTGGACGCACTGGCCAACTTCGTCCGAAAGAGGAAGGACCAACAGTAAACCGATCGCACCGGTAATTTTCGCTATTCTTTCCAACCGTGCGACTCGATTTACTGTTCACCTAAAGCTTCGAGGAAAAACCATCGGAATGGATCCCGCCAGTCAATAAGATGGAGCTTGCGTTGCATCTGCCACTTGAGAACAACTTTGAATGCAGGATTCATCTGTCTGATTATCTGGAATGCCCTTGGTTCGATGCCGCGCTGCGGTTTGCGGACTTGCTATTCTCACTCACGGTAGTATACGTGTGGTCAGTGATATTGATGTTGGCGCCATATCAAGTATCTTTAACCCTACATGTATAACGAACGAAACGTCTAGCCACCCTGTTCAAAGTGGTCCGGGCGTTTTCAATACGGAATACGTTAATCCAGACTATCGTCGATCACCGAAATGCTTCGCATATTATCTCGCCCACAAGGGAAACACAGTGTGACAATACAGGCGGGCTATTGGGTTACATGGTGGCCTACCAGGTTTGTCCGTAGACAATGCTTCCATGGCTCAGTCCTCAGCATGAGCTACCCTTCGGAGTAAATAGGTAATGCGCTCCCGTGCATAGCTCTGAAGCTTCGAACGTATACGTTGTTCCTTCCATATTTCAGGTGCGAAGTCATTCAGAATAGCACTGAAGTCGGTAATATTCAGACACTCTTGTAGGATAGCCAAGACTTGTAGGATAGCCAAGACTTGTAGGATAGCCAAGACTTGTAGGATAGCCAAGACTTGTAGGATAGCCAAGACTTGTAGGATAGCCAAGACAGCGAGACAGTTTCGCCACGTACGAGTCGATAGAACCAACAATACTACTTAGTTATACCGTTAATTCTCGATCTGCGGAGAATATCCTGCTCATACAGTGCCCACTACTTGTCGGTTCCTCATTGAGCATGCCGTGCCAGGTCTTCCGGCGTAGCTGCCGATTTCACATCGACATAGCTTTGTGCGTTAGTGAGTGCAACCCTATTTCCTCAGGACGAGAACGTACGAGGTTTCCATGCATCCATAGACTCTGCTACGTTGCGCATCTCATTGCACATCAGCCATTCCTGATCGCCAACCAATGGCATCAGCTGGTCAAACACGATGTCGGTATTCGCGCTGGGACACGCGTGATCCTTCACGGCCTACTTGAAATTGATAATAACAGGTTTCCGGTGTCTCGCACAACAATCTTCGTTGCAGAAAAGTAATCGTGCCGTACGCGGAGCGAATGGATCTTCCGCATAGCTGTGACGACGTCTTTCCTAGAAATTATGCAGCATCAGCATGAAATCCAGGCATTAGAGATTGCAAACATCAGCTCAGCAATATCGGCACCGCAATATTCCAGGACGAGACATACGGCCTCTTCCTCCTCCACGTGTCCTTTGAAGAGTCCATGGCAACGAGGGATGACGTCGCCCTGCAAGTCCTTGAGATGATCGTACATGGCAGCCTCATGGTGGTCCCCACTATTGAGATCGTGCACACCACACGTTGCGAGTGAGTCGGTAAACATGTGTACTCAAGCTGGCTGACAAAAATATTCCCGTGTCCATCCAGACGCGTAGCATGAACAGACAGTTGCAGTTCACTATCTTGTTCATATGATTATGTGCGAGAGAAACTCTGGTGATTGGTCAGGGAATTAGATTCCGAGTTCGACTCGAAACTCAAATCCGAATCCCGGTCCAGACTGCATCCCTCATCCGAGTCCATGTTTGATGGGGTGATGTAGAGATCTAGCGTCGACCTGAGTGAGTATATGGCAGAATGCAGGTTGTTGGCCATTTCTGCTCTGACCCTTTCATACCGGATAGTGGACTGAGCGCTTCTGCGAACACTCGTGTAAATAAATATTTGTCAGCATGTTCTTCGTTCTGTGCATATGTTGATTTTCTCTACCACGGAGTTCTCGGGATACCTCAGTATCCAAAAAGCTTATAAGTTATAAGCATCTGTTCCAACTCACAAACTCTTACCCTATTCACATAAGTGAACAAGATGCATGTTAATCAATATATTTGAAGAGGTTTTTGGATTTTTGTACCTTGACAGAATCTCAAGATCTTGCCCAAGAAATTTGAATGTTCAGTCATTTTCACATCTTTCTGGCTCTCAGAAACAATCCAGGCATACCTACCCTCCAATATTTCCGTAGAAGTAGCTCACATAGTACTACTACATGTAAAAAAACTCCGAGGTAAAATGTGGAAAAGTGAGTGAGAAAAAGTCATGTGTCTCAAGGAGTGGTAGTGTCTCAAAGACCGGTAGATGACTGTGTATATGAGGGGGTGTGCCGACTGAACGGTCAGGCATGTTCGGCTATCCTTTCACAGTAATTCTCCCTCAATTGACAAATGTTTTATGAGACTCACCTATTGTTACAACGGTCCCTGGCATGGGCCATGCGAACGGGCTCCGGCCCGAGTTGGAACATTCTCGCAGTACGCAACTGCGATGTCGAGGCCTCACCTAGAGGCTAGACTTTTGGATATCACGTGCTATGATGTCACTAATCTAGAACATGACATCATGGTTCTCGACCTAGTCTAGGTACAGCCGACCCTAGACCTCGGTACGTATAGTCGGCCCGGCCTCATGGCCACCTCATGATGCTTATCGATGACACACCTATACCTCATGGTGTGCGCCTGACCTTGTACTGATAAGATGGACCAATGACGGCCATTGTATTACATTGTATGTACGAGTATATATACATGGCATGTATTTGATAGGTTCCCCAATCTGAACCTACCCATTCATAGACCATATCTGGTGCATGTTGGCTTGAGGACGATCGCTTGAGTCTTGCACCGGTCCCCGACGGGGCCGGTTGGCATTGACGACTTGAGCCTCCTAAAGGCTGGCGTGTACTCGGGTCGCCCCTTGGGTTCCCTCGTAACAAAAGGTTCAGATTTCCCTTGCTTGCCTGACCTACTACGGTCTAAGGCATCCACTGTATCTGGCGACACTTGACGACATTGATGATGATGACCTGTCGACCACGACTCTGATAATCGAAGACATTGATGATGGCTCCGACTCTGATGACCAAGATCTCTGATAATCCCTCAGTCCTGGATTGGACTTTAATGAATGACATTGACGATAACAGACATGACCATGAGCTGGATAGCTCACTGATAAGAATGGCAGAAGGATGGACGAGCAGTAGCAGAGACTACGCTACGTGCTCTTACTCTTATGTCTTGATCACTACCGCTGATGATTCATGATGAACGATGAACACCGACGATGCCGAACACCTACCCTCCAGAGGTGCACCCAGTTCGGTTGCCAGATGCTGCTTGAGGTCATGCTCATGACTGAGGCTGCCGCTAGAGACAGACTGATCACTGATCCTTGGAGAGGGGTCTGTCTGAGAGACCAATAGGCCGAGGAGGCTGAGGTAATCACTCTCGCAACCAGCAAGATGGTGTACAGGGTACAATGCTTCGAGACAAGCAACGGGCTGTTTAGCCGACGATGAACGAATTCGCAAAGCTGAAAGATACCTTATGACAAGAATGATCGAATAACAAGAAAGACGATCTCGACCGAACCCTCGATAATGGCTCTCGAGGCTAAACAAACCATCGCTCGAGTGGACATTCGCTATCCACTATAAATAAATGATACATCTTAGCTGATGACACCTAGTGAGGCGAGTTGCCCAGGGTGCAGAAAGATTGACAACTCAAGTATCTTACAAGTTGATTGACAAGAAAGGTTATTGCCAAAGGGCACAATCTCCGATGAAGGCCAAAGGCAATGATTAGCGCCAGAGGTTGGAATGACCAGCGTTATGAGCTCGAGGTCCTGATCGATGAATGCGGGAACTGGATACCTGAAGAATAAACCAGTTCGATTCTCTCGATGATGAACGGTGCCTGGGCTGGGGTACAACCCTGGGCCGGGGTACGCGCGATATCAGTGGTTGACACACCACATCCGAAAATGAATGTCGATCATGGCTCTCGACATTAAAGAAACCAACTTGAAGACCTTGATGCAATAACCAAAAGGTCTGATTGATGAACGACGGCTGAAGGGAGGCTCCAATGAACGCAGTGCTGGAAGAATATAAAGGCGAAGGGCACCACGGAGTTAACTGGAAGCAACATGATGACGATGCCCGAGCCTAGGCCGAAGGCTCGAGGAGGCGAACTTTCACGCCTTTCAATGAACAACGAATTGAAGAAAAAAAGATTTGGAGGTTAACAGTATGCGACACTCCAACCCGATGACAATATGGATATTGGCTCTTCATATAAACCAACGAACATTGAACGATATCTTACCGGAAGATGAATCGTGAGGGATTAAGTTCCCCGAACCTGATGAAGAAAGGGCGCTGGCAACCCTTATAAACCAAGCCCCTGGGAAGGGCACGCTTTTTGAAACACGCGAGGGGTTGTTCCCCGTGAATAGATGGCACCGATAAACAAGTACGATCAAAATCGACGTAACTTGAATGGTCATTGCCAGATGGCATGACTTTGTACGGACACTGGTGATCTGTATAAACCAGCCTGACGGAAGCCTTCAACAAGGCGCTTTCCATGACATGTGAGGGGTAGTTCCCCATGGATAGAAAGGACACTGGGTCACGGCCGACCCTTGGATTTGATGTAGGCCGAGGCCTCATCACTTGGATGATTTAGAGCAGCGATGAATGGCAATTTTGATGCCATGTGAGGGGTTGTTCCCCATGGATTAGGAATGACACACGAAACTGGAACACGCGATGAATAGGGCATCCATGGAATATGGACAGAGGCAGTCGATTCTATTCAACGCTGATGCACGATAAGACCTGACGAGAAACAATGACGAAGTACATGCCTGGGCCAGGGTACGAACCTGGGCCGGAGTACGAACGATATTAGAATATCGAACGGAACCTTGAGCAGGAGCTGATGCTCTCTGCTCCTGATGAATTACTGGAATATCGACTTGGACAAATGAACACAAAATAAAAGCCGAATGGCAGGACCGTGGCATTCACGGAATGTGAAGGAAGATAGTCGCTTTCATGCGACATTGTCCCAAGATAAGGCCATGGTCATCCCGATGATTAGAAACGTTGAAGGTCTCCTTCGGAGACAGTGACAGACACCGGCGCTCTGTAGAAACCAGTTGATACACAAATCAGCACTTGAAGAGTGCTTCCCCAGGAGTCTATGCTGGTGCAAATAGCCTGAGGGCCTGATAGTCTTATCGAATGACTTGACAAGAAACTTCGAAGAACCCCTTGTGTGGGTGATGCACATGTATACCGGAAATGCGAAGGGCTACACCAAACGGCTAGTCACCGGGCCCAATCTGAGACTGTAGAACCCCACCCGAAGTGAACCGGAAGTTCTAACACACCATCATGCTTGTGTGTTCGAACGGATGGAGCTTTGGAGCTCCAGCTTTTACAGGACCACTATCCCAGAACCGCCGACAGTGTCAGATGAGAGTCTGATCATACCTTAAAAGGATGAGGCAGGGACGTTCAAGACGAGTCTTTACAGAAGAATCGTGGTAAATCGGGACCACGATGACACTGTCCGACTTCTCAAAAAGAAACACATGTCTGCAATGACTATAAACTAGAAGGATCTTGCTCAGATGTCAAATGAGCACCACGAGTCCGTAATGACCTTAAACTAGAAGACAGCCGAATGCTCCAGTTGTGAAGAATGGTTTTCAAGTCGAGGGTGACTTGAGCCTTGAGCGGGAGCTAATAGGCATAGTAAGCGAGGATGAATATCCGAGCTGAACTAATTGGGCTTTATGAGCCCGGGTGACAAGCGAGAGCGAGGAACCCTACCACAGGGCTCAATTTTTTCCCGCCTTCCCTCCCCATGAAAACGACTCTTACCCATGATAGCCTAGAATAATTGGGCTTTTACCAATTTTGGTGCCAGGGTATAGAGGAGGTGTAAGCCTGCTGAAGGCTTACGGACCTGCAAAGGTCCACCGACAAGTGAGGCGAACGGGTCAAGCGGTGCAGAGCGCAGGGCTTAGCGAGCCGAGCTTCGAAAAGAAGTGACAAAGGAACTTCCATCACGAGTCCGAAGAGATACGTGAAGTAGCTTGAGGACAAGCGACCTGAAGGGAGCAACCGGCAAGAAGGTTGCGACTGTAAGGGAGGCGGAGCGCAGCGACGGCTCTGGCCTCTGGCTTTTTCTTTTTTTTCTTCACCAATTCCGCCTCTGATTTCAAGAATCATGCGAGGCCGCACTTCGACGATGAACGACAAAGACGCGGAATTTCTTTTCATTTCCCTCCGTCTTTTCGACTCCGGACTTTTCCCCTGGATTTCGATTTTTAGATTTTGACACTCAATCGAGGCGATTGAACCTTGAGCGGGAGCTTATGTTACAACGGTCCCTGGCATGGGCCATGCGAATGGGCTCCGGCCCGAGTTGGAACATTCTCACAGTACGCAACTGCGATGTCGAGGCCTCACCTAGAGGCTAGACTTTTGGATATCACGTGCTATGATGTCACTAATCTAGAACATGACATCATGGTTCTCGACCTAGTCTAGGTACAGCCGACCCTAGACCTCGGTACGTATAGTCGGCCCGGCCTCATGGCCACCTCATGATGCTTATCGATGACACACCTATACCTCATGGTGTGTGCCTGACCTTGTACTGATAAGATGGACCAATGACGGCCATTGTATTACATTGTATGTACGAGTATATATACATGGCATGTATTTGATAGGTTCCCCAATCTGAACCTACCCATTCATAGACCATATCTGGTGCATGTTGGCTTGAGGACGATCGCTTGAGTCTTGCACCGGTCCCCGACGGGGCCGGTTGGCATTGACGACTTGAGCCTCCTAAAGGCTGGCGTGTACTCGGGTCGCCCCTTGGGTTCCCTCGTAACACCTATCCCCTCTTCTTCTTTCCTTTCTCTCAACCCCTCCTCCCATCTCCATCAATCAGGTAAGTCTCATAAAATGTTTGTCACATGATCCGCTGAAACATAAACATAGGGAGCGAGAAGTCGGCTGGTTTTAGGAGCCTGTTGCTCTCACCTATCATGCCAGTCAGCTATCTTTCTGATCCCAATGCTCAAGACGACGCTTTTGAGCCCGTATCCCGTAGCTTTCGGATTCTATATCGTGAATTGTGGAAAAGGGGCGACTCAGACGAAACCGAGGACAGGCGCCAAGTCTTCATTCAAAGTCGTATTTCCATCCCAGATTACGAAAACTTGAAGAACAGCATGCAGTCCAGTGCTGTGAAGGTCGATTCTTCTTCAGGAGGTATCGTGGAAGATGACGACGATGATGCAGCAGCCGCATTAGCTAGCATCGACCCCGATGTCCCTCGGATTCCATTCGACTACACTCGGCTTGATTTGTCGTGGCTGCCTGCGACCATTGTAAGGGCTCATCGGTCCTTGCTGTCGACAGGAGTATAAGGATGCGATGGCGAGTTTCGAGGAAAATCACATGCCGGTCGTCTTGACTGGTCAGCCTGGCGTCGGTGTGTAGCATACGGTATTAAAAATGATACTGAATCTGACCTGCGCGAACAGGAAAGAGTCTATTCCTGATATACGCCCTGGTCGACCGGCTGATCAAAGGATTGCCGACCATTTACGCACCCCACGCCGATTCGTTCTTCTTATTTAGAGAGTCAGGCGCCTACCAATTCCCTGGAACTGAGATGGACGTCGCATTCCTATGCAAGGAGTTGTCCAATATACATGACGGGGACATTCCCGGAGGGAATATTAGCGGCACGGATGAAGGATGGATCTTGTTTGATTCGAATGAAAGTCAAGCGATGCCACGTTGGTATAGCGTCTATTTCGAGACGTGGAAGGTCATCCTTTCCTCTTTCCCGAAACCTAGCAGGTACAAGGAATGGGCGAAACAAGCAGGGGCTAACAAATATATCATGAAGCCCTGGTCCTGGTGTGAGATATACGCTGCGATGTATGTATGAAGGTATTGCAGCTGTTACAAGGATTTGACGAAATTTTGTTTCAGGCCACTGCAAATGACCGTATCTGGTCGTCAGCCCACTGATCGGGAACTTTGGGCCGCCTACAGTCAGTTTACTGCGTCTGCGCGCACCGTGTACTGGTGCTGCGTGCACCGTACGGAGTATCTGTCAGAAATTCGTGGCGCATTGGACAAATGTCAGGATCCCCATGCTCTGTTCCCACTAGCAGACGGTGGCTGGGATGATTCGGTGAGCAACGTACTAGTGATTGTAGGCCAGGCAACTTTGGACGGGAAGATCTATCGAGGCATCATGCACGGGAAGGTCGCCACTCCATTCATTTGGGACATGATTCATCAGCATGCGCAGCGTTTGTTAGGATCGTCCATGCGCCAAATCTACAATAACCTCTTGTCGGATCGTATCTCCAGAGGGACGGCGGGAAGCATCTTTGAAGATACCGCGTATCACGTCCTTTCAGCTGTCGGGACACAGAGCTACGCCGTTAGGTCTCTTCCGAGTGGTCATAATTCTTCCTCTCAGATGCAGTGGGACCTTTCTATAACTTCGCAAGCGGTCATCTTCGAGAAGATCTGTCAGATCTCCGGTAATCTGGTGCCACGCACGTACTACCGTCCTCTGAATTCAAATATTCCGAGTATTAATTCTTTCACCTTCGTTGACGGGACACCGATCCTATTTCGGTTCACAACCAGTCTGGATCACTCAATCGAAGTACAAGGACTACAAAGTGTCGCGAACATTCTTCCTACCAAGAGTCGGTATAGGAAGAAGTGGAAGTTGGTCTTCGTAGTTCCCACAGATATCGAACCAGAGTTTAAATACCAGCTCTACGAGCCATCCTCCTACCGCGAAACATGGTAGAAAAGAGTGGACCAATATGTGATGGGACTGAGCGCTGAGCAGTTGTTTCCGACTGCGTAACTTCACTTTGACTTTTGTTGCCGACATTCCACCTACTGATGCCGACATTCTTTCAGTGGGATGCAACGGGCAGTGGGCTCGTCTTCGGCGGATGCTAAGAAAATCAATTCTCCGCCGCATGCGAACGAGTCAAGCATGCTGGCTGGCACATCGGCTGCCGTGCCAGCGGCTCTTGCACCGTCGTCGCGCTCTAGTGGTGCCACGACACAGGCTCAAAGACCGACGCAAAAAAGGAAGCGAGCGAGCAGGAAATCAGACCAATAGAGTGCGAAGGCTCAGTCCCACGTTGGTGGTGGCGTACCCTTTGAAAGATCTGTTGGGTCGTTTGGAGAGAGAGCCCAATCCTAGCTTCACGGCGACGCATCAATTTCGCTGCACGGACCAGAACGAAGATGCGGACGAGGTCTCATCTTGTTTGGGAGTTTGCATTATGGCAGCTGATCGTTAGCCATGCTCAGTAGACGATCTTGCACGATTGAAGATGCGGCGTCAGGAATCAAACCATTCAGCCAAGCAGACCTTTGTCGATAAAAGTCAATAAAATATCATACAAAGCGGTCCATACAGCGATATTTATTCCTATAGCATGACAGAATAATCAAAAGTTCCGTAGCAAGGTCTGGGTGGATTAATGTGGCGGCGGGGACGGAGGACCTTCGAGGAGTGTGAGCACGGGTCATTGCCAGAACGAGAATGACGCACCGAACAAGCCAAGACGCGAGGGCACGGGCGACGGTGTTACAGCTGGCGCTGCACGAGGATTGGGCGACATCCCGACGTTCGCTGTCCACGATCAGATATAGGTTTAGTGTGTAGCAAATATAATTATGAGTAGAGGATAGACTAACGCCTCCATTGAGCCCACCTGGGCATGTTCATGGCAGCCCGTGCCGGGGATGGCGCAGGAACAGGCTCGGGAGTAGGAAGTGCCTTAGGCTTAGACTTAGACTTGCGACGCTCCTCGCGCTTATGCACTGTGCGCCAGGCAGGGGGTGCAGGCGCGTCGCCGAGGATGCCCTGAGGCGCAGGCGGAGCAGGAACGGGTTCTGGCTCCGGCGCTGCAGGCTGCTATGGTTTTGTAAAATGGTCGTACGAGATCAGATGCAGAGACCCACCTCCTCAACTGCACCACCATATTTCGCCTTTATGCTCTTCAGCTCGTCAATCTCACTGCACGGAGTACGATCAGGTAGGAGAAACGGATCCAGTGCAACAGACGCACTATTGTAGTTGTCTCTGTTCGTCTCTGAGCTTCCCGACCTCCTCTAGAAGAATGTGCATCTCATACGACAGGGCTTTGCTGAAGTCATTCATATATTTACTGGGACATGATTAGTAGAGATCAGCAGTGAACGACCAGGAAAACTCACTTGGAAGGAGGTGCATTGTAATTGTTGCCTCTGGACGACATGGCGGAGTCAGGGAGGATGTTGGACTTGACATGGCTGGAAAGAGACGCCGCGCCAGAACACGGAGATGGACGAGGATAGCCGCCACGAGGCTCGCTCACTCCTTCCTGCACCTGTTAAAAACAGGTAAAACCATGAAGAACTCTACCCTCTTGCCTGCGTTGCGTTGATCCATCCTATGGCAATTTAATACCACAGTAAGGTGCACCAAGTCGGGAGCATTCGATGTCTATTCTAACCGCGGAAGTATCTTTCCTGTAGATCTCCACGCTCTCAGGCATCTAAACCGATCAATGTTGGCGTCCAGCAGAGTACTGCATCGGCCCTAAAGCAGTTATATATGTTGGCGTCAACCGATTGTTATTGTTGGCGAAAACTTTGTCGACGTATTGGCATCGACTATTGCAACCAAATTGCAACCACATAAAGTGACGTCCGTCAGAAACGACGGCTGAAATATAGGCACTGCAGGTGCAGCGGTCCGTACTATATACCCTACAGTAACAAGATTCGTCCCTGGGAACACATAGGAATCAACATGGGTCCAATCCCTCTACCACATAACTCCACACGCATCGATCTAGCACAGGCTATCTCGTCTGCCATTAGTTGTCAACAGATCACTGTCTACGAAATACCTTCAGTCTACTCGCCGCGCCGTATGGGGGCTGCTCGTCCGACGCGCGTGCGCGTGCGGAGGCACCGCGTCGTAACCGCTCCGGCCAAGGTCGACAGGGAGTGCCGCGGTCTCGTCGAGCGTCTCTTCCGTTAGGAGTGCAGCTTCCTCGCCTGCATCCTCGGCCAGCAAGGTTGGTGTAGCCTCGGAGGGGCGGCGGAGGAAGGCCGGGGGTGTGACGAGATTGTTGAAGAGGAACTGCAAGAATCGGGTCAGTACTTACGGCGGACAAAATAAACAGAAGTAGGCATACCGTGCCGTATCTGAGTGGATAAAAAACACGAGCGTTAAATGGAGATGTCACGATATAAGGTTCGTTAATGACGTACACCAGCAGCGAGAACCCCAGCACCTGCAGCATCGAGATCGGCCAGACGATCGCTTCCCAGCCGAGTGCCAGGGATATGAGCCAGATGCTGAGCGTTCTGCATGTATCCGTAAGGCTGCGCGCGGTTGCGCTGACGTGCCGCGTGACGCTCAGCCCGCAGAAATTGAACAGCGAGATCGAGAGCGCGATTATGAACGCGGAGCCGAGCACCGTCGGTGTGTCGACCATCTGGTGCCACCCGCGCGGAAGGTCAAAGAACGGGGAGACGGACGCAAAGCGCGCGAGGATCGGCATCGCGAGCACGATGCTCAGCGCGCCAAAGAAACCCTCATACCCGACTGCCATGAAGGAGCCAACAGAGTAGTGAGACATGATTTTCTCTGTGGAGAGAGTTATTCTCAGGACAATGCAGGATTAAATACACTGCACTTGCCTTCGACAACGAACTGTGTCGCGGCACTAGGGATGGAATTTTAGCAAAAAGCAGAAGAAATAAGGCGTAAGCGTACAAAATCTGTGCGAAAAGGATGAAGAATACGCCTGAGGTAGAACTTGTCAGTACATGTTAAATCCACACGAGAAGGCTACTTACCAACCAGCACCTGAGTTACCTCAGGCTTGCCAGAAGGCGCGTCGTCAAGGAGGTCGGTCTCTTTGACCGCCTCCTTAATGAGCGAGCCGCTGTAGCCGACTAATGACACACCCCCCATCACGGTGATTAATGATATCCACCTGCGAAGAAATATTAACAATGCAATATAGAAGGTATAAAATAGCACTTACTGATACAGCCAGAGTCTGCGGCGGAGGAAAATGACAGAAAGCACTCCGACAAAGAGCACGAGTGCACCACGTGTCATCTGGTAGATAGACACTGGGGTGTATAAGAGCCCGACGTTCATGAGCTGCGGGAGACACATCAGCAAGAAACAAATAAATGAGTGCCATCCAGCAAAATGAACCGATGTTCATTGTCACGGCACCTTTTGACAATTGAACCTGCACGTCAGTTTCATATCCTCGCAGCGTTCGACTCCAATACGGAATGACATATTTGGCATACCAACAGTGTATGGACATACCGCCCATGAAGTACAACTCTAGCTGCTCTGCATGTACTCATGATTCGTTCAGAGTGTATAACTGCAGAAGAGCTGGAGATGCGCTGCCAGAATCCAAGTCGGAAGCCCCGTACGCGTACTGCCTCAGACGTCAGACAGGAACAGGGACAGTCGAGCGATCTGCGCGGAATGTGCTCAAGTTGCCAGCGGTCATACTCGAGAACGCAATATAGTGTTCCTCGACGGAAGTAGAAGCAATGAAGAAAGGAAAAATGCACGAACCGTGGTACCCGTAAGATCACACGCAGCAGGGAACCAGAACAGAAGGATACTCCAACCGCGCATAGGCTTCCCTGCAATCTGCATCTTCGACCCTTCAGCGGGTTCTTCCTCGGCATCGGTCGGGAGCTGTAGAGGAGTGGGTGATCTCCGTGTGGCAAGCCACGCGTATACCACGGGGAGGAAACCTATGAGATGCGATGAGTCATTGCATGAATCAAGGTGACGGATGGAAGACCCATTAGCATCCACCGTCTGCAATGGGTCGTTCGAGTTGGGCGGACACACCGCATCAAGCAGTGCCAGCACGCACCACATATGAAGATAGATGTGGTGGGCATCGAGACAGAAATTAGACTCACAAAGCATCTCTCCCACTAAATGGACGTAGAGGTTAGCAATCGGAAGGAAGGAGATGCTAACAATGACGTACGGAACATCTGCAACGTCTGCCATACGGGTTGCTCATAGAGTACATGATGTGCAGGATTTGGGTCGTTACAATCCTCAACGCATTGCATATCCTAGACAGGGCGACATGCCTCAAAAAGAGGTCAGGAAAAAAACTCGTACGCTACTCACCTGCCACTTGGTCCATAGCGAGTTGCTCGAACCCTTTCGTAAAAACGTGTCAACCACGCAGACTATTATAGGGTTAAACATGCCCACAGACCGTTATGAGCATTCCTGCGATGAGCGCAGGCACATAGAAGGACGGCATGGTGACGTCGTCGCCGTCGTCGAATAAAGCAAGTTGCTAGTGTGACTTTGCCGCTGGGGCCTTCGAGAGCAATGTGACGCGCGCCTGTCTGTGACCGACGCGTGATTAAGCGTGACACGCGCGGCATCGAGTCACATCTGTAGTATCGCGGCGAGCCCGCGCTCGCGCCGTTCAAATTCGAATTTTCCACGAATTTACAGGAATACTCCAGCGTAGTTTCTGCCTGCTCAAGTAGGAACTGGTGAGCGTAGAAGTCAATATTTGCGCGCAGATATTTCTCAATACGCACGGGCTCTTTTGTTGGAGTGTCCAGGGCCAAACGGCATTATTTCATGGATGTCTCCTCCACCATCGTCTGCCACAGGCCCTGCGCAGGACGACATGAAAGAGGATGATGCCGATTTCCTGCTGGAAGAAGACGATAGTAACGTTGAGCTCCAGCGTGTTCTCATGTCTCAGCATGAGAAGTCGCTCGGGGGCGTGGATGGCGTTGACAATGGCGACGGCGACGGCGACGCGACTAACGTAGATCTGCAGCGCGTTCTCATCGAAGAGCATGAACAACGCGGAGCACTATCCCCCGAGAATGCCCAACCTGAGACCAAAGTAGACTCTGCCTCACCCAGGTCCTCTCCTGATTTGGATCTTCCCGACGTCTCGCAGATTCTTGCCGATAACCAACAGCCCGCCGGACATACAACAAAACCTCCTAGTTTGGCCCTCTCTTGCAGTCGTGGATTCGCTACTCCCTCGCGTCCCACCCATGCCATTCGCCAGAATGAAACGTCGCCCTCTGATGATGATGACCAGTTACTTCCTTCAGGTGATGACGATTCAAAGGAAGACGGTGGCAATATTCCAACCCAAAGTAGGACTTCTCTCCGGGGGCTGAAGAAGACGGCCCAACCATCGGACCAGTCTGACGCGCTATTGCAGTCTACGCCTTCCGGTAGATCCACCGCCCATTCAGCTCGTCCACCCGAAGCACCCGTTTCTCCTGCCATTAGCCGATTAAAATCCAAAAACGAGCCTGGAAACACCCCTGACAGGAAGGCCGTTTCACCAACTGCTACCCCCGTGCGCGCCTCATACCGGCTCTCTCATAATGTGACGACAACACCGTCGGGATCGAAAAGTCGTAAAAGGCGCGCAAAATCCCCCGCTTCTCAGGGCGGATCTCCGGACTCGGAGCGACGAAGTCGTACGCGGAGACGTGTGGAGCCAAATGTCTTGGACACGGCTGTCGGCACCACCTTAACCCCCAAGACAGCCCAAAAGTCGACGTCTTCCTCAAACTCAAAGCCAGCTTCTTCGCGTACACAGTCCGGCTCGTCGACCGCGCGTACGTCTTCAGATCCGCAGACAGCCACACAAGGCCCATCTGGTCTTGTGATCAAACCCCCCCTTTCTACGCACTCATTCTCTCAGCCGGTCTTTGGAAAGTCCTCGCTGTCGCCCAGTGCTCCACGGCCAACGCCTAAGCACAGGGCCCAAACCCAATTGTCCCCTGGACAAGACATAGACGTTAAGCCGGAAGTACCGAAGTCCGCATCGTCGACTGTCTTCCCACGGATGACTCTTGCATCAACGTCTTCATTACTATCGCAGGCGAAGGACGAAGTTGAAAGGAGTGCTTCGCAGCGCTCGCGGCGCGGTTCCATTTCGAAGGCAGCGCGCATCACTCGCCACGAGGAGTTCTGGCATCTCGATGGGTCTGTCGTCGTTTTGATCGAGACGATAGCATTCAAGCTTCATCGTTCGAGACTATCAGTGCAGTCTGAATTTTTCAAGAGGTTGTTCTCAAACAGTCCCCCTCCCCAGGCTATTGCAGTCGATATCGATGGCGCAAGTGGGAGCAATGCAGAGGACAACGAAGTGCAGGAAGTCAATGTCCCGATGTTCAGTGGCTGCCCGCTCTACACTCTCACCAATGTGACAGTTCAAGACTTCGTCGAGCTGCTGAAGGCAGAGAAACTGGGAATGTAAGTGCTAGTGTATATCATCTTCCTGACCCGCTGCTGAACATTTGTCCAGTGCATATGCATTCAACCCTCCCCCATCCCCGATACTTGCTGCGATCCTCCGAGCAGCATACGCACTGGAATTTGGGACCATTCTCGAGTTTGCGACACACCGTCTTCAAGCCCTCTGGCCGTCCGATCTCGCACAACTTACGCCAGACAGCATCCCACATGCCGCCGAGGCCATCGTTCTAGCGCGGCAGTGCAATCTGCCTCAGGTGTGCAAGCGGGCCTTCTACGAGCTGCTGCGCTCGCCGAGTTTTGAGCAGGAAGCTGACGGCGACAATGATGAAGATGACGACAATGATATGTACGTCGACGAGCAGGAGGAGGCGGGGCGGCGACTCCAACATGCGGACCTCGTGCGCCTAATCTCCACGCGCGAGAAGCTGCGCAGTGAGTGGCTCCGCGTCGTGTGCACGCCTCCCGTACCGTCCGTGGTACCGTGTCCTCTCGAGCAGATACCCTCAGACATGCGCGATCCAGAGCGCGAACCGGAGCTCGTGCGCTGTCGTGCGACACGTGAAAAGAACAGCGAGCTGTGGATGCGCGCGGTGCTCAACGGGCCGACCCTCGTTGAGAGCGGCACTTATGACCCGCTATGTGCGCTGCAGACGCTCTGCGACATGGACTGGGCCGACATGGGTTATTGCCACGGGTGTGTCGGCGCAAGGAGAGAGCTGTGGGGGGAGAAAAGAGAGAAGCTGTGGAAAGACCTGGACGCGTGGTTGGGCTTGCCCATGGCGACAGCGTAGGGTCGTGCATTCTAATTTTGCGAGACTCAATCATGCTTAATCTGGACGAAGAGCAGATGTATGTTGTAATTTTTCACCCGAGACGGCATTTGAAACTGCAATGTATCCATGCGTATACAAGTGTCCCCAGAATGCCTGCCATCAGTGACTGCATCCTTATAGTGTACGACATTTACTGTTTCGTGTGCGTATGCGCCGTGTGAATTCAAATATCTTTCTGGTTGTTTTCCCGTTCACCATACCCTCGACAGTTCTTTCGCCGTTGATCCTCTTTCAATCGAGATTACTGTATCCATTCTTCGCGCAGCGTCTACGCTATTCATTCCATCTGCGATAGCTTATGCTAGCTATCAGCTCCGTAAAGCTTGGCCTTCCGACCTGGACAAGTTCAGCTGTGGTGACAGACCCGAAGAGGGCGAAGTTGATCACCATCGCGCAGCATTACAACGTGCCGGAAGTGCTCAAGCGGGCGTTCTACGAATTGCTACGAAGCCAATTTTAGCGGGATTTGAAAAACAATCGTAAAACTACTTCCCCGGGTGACAAAGACCTCATTCACCTTCTGGTAGTTCGCGACGAGCTGCAGTCTGCGTGGATTCAGACTGTGATACCCCTCCGTTCGCACGTAATATGCATCTCCAGCACTCTGACGATGCTGTCATAGCAAAGTGCCAAACCGCTTGGCAGAACAACATGTCTCAGTGGAATAGATGCGTCGCCGAGTCTGGTATCTTCCAGGAGGGGGAGGCTTTATCCTATTAGCGGCTTGGACCTCGTTGCTGGCTTGGACTGGGCTGGGCTGGGATATTGTGCTGGTTGTGCGGATTCACGCCGGAAGAATCTGGACTTATGGTTAAAGCTGTAAAGAGGAGTACAAGGGTAAATTTATTTAGGCTCTACTCACGATGTATGTGTTCACTATATGGTTATTGTTCTTGCTAAAACTTTGTTGTGAAGAACAGTGAGTACGGTGGCGGTTGCGTTTCCCAACAACACAAGCTTGTCACTGTTGGGTAATCTACAGTACCTGACAAGGATTCACCCACTGGTATCACTCTCTCGTGTGTTCCCCAGTTGCAAGAATAATTCAGATGCTTACAGCGGGGGCGAATGTAATTATGAACGCACGAAATTAGGACCAATTTCAATGCTCTTTCTGTACAACAGAATGACGTCCAAGCTCTTGACCGGTATTACGACCCTCTATAACGAGTCGGACGCTGTCGCCGTCCTCGCCCTACACGTTTCTCGCGCCCTGGGGATCCGGGCGCTCTGGCCTCCGGAATACAGGGCCCCGATCAAGATCGACCAATACACCCTTCCGACTTCTCTTGTTTGGGCCCTCGAGGATCACGATGTTCTCCTCCGAGACGTTACCGTGGATGACACCAGCCTCGTAGTATCCCTTGTGCGCTGCATGGAAAACTGTCAGCACACATGGACGCATAGTAGGACTTGAATGGTGACTCACCGCGGATGGCATCGCTTATTATGAGGATGAGCTCGCGAGTATTACTGAAGTCGTGGAGGCGTTTCGGGTGGACGATGGTCAGCTTTCTCGGGTAGACGACCCAGGTGCGTTCCCAGATATGCCCGTCACCGGCAAGGAACTGTGTACCTGGCATTTGAAGAAGTATTGCGGGGGAAACACACTGGAGGGCGTAGGGGATGATGGATGAGGAGAGCGAGGATGCGGCGGCAACGAAAGTGCTTTGTTCTATGTTCAGCCACAGACGTGTTGGAGGCACGTGTCGGATGCATTCCCACGGTCTCTGTAGCCTTGGCAAACTTCAAGTCTTCAAGAGAAACGTCATTCATGTAATTCTCGATATTGACCGGGACCAGCAGCAGTACGAGCTATTGCAATCAATGTATATGTAACCTCTAAATATCGTCCCGCAGCAACTACTTCCCATGTCTACTCTGCTGCTTCCTCTAACTGCATCTCGTTCATACTCTCTTCCTCGCGTTGATGATCAGAACAGTCAACTGCAGTTGGTCGTCTGCGGCGCAAAACCGTTGCAGGATTACTGCGGCAGCTCCTTGCTCGGGGCTGAACGTTGAACCTGCATCTCAAGATGTAATCTGCAAGTTCGTGACTGGGAATCGTCAGATGACCCGTAGGTTGCAAACTTGAAAAGAGGCTGAGGTATACAAACATCTCCTTCCAGTGCAAGGCGATGTTGTCCCTCGTCGTTACGGCCTCTTCGAGGGCAACGTTGGAGAGTATGAGGGTAAATGTGCGTGCCTGGTGTTAGAGTACTGCGGCGAGCAACTGCAGTACGCCCTATCCGATTTGGACTGGAATCTAAGGTAGCGTCGATCTTCAGTTTGTCGCTGCCACCAAATTGTTGCTGACTCGTTCTCAAAATTCAGTGTCTCCGGGCACTGAAGAAATTACATGAACACAACATAAGGCACAACAACGTTTGCGAGAGTAACGTTGTTGTTCGACCTGACGGACGTCCGGTGCTAGTTGATTTCAATCGTGCACGCGTGGACCATACTTGCCAAGCCGTCAAGATAATGACTCACAGCCGTGAGCCGTCTCCCGATGAGTTCGGTTGTATGGAATTGCATTCTGCCGCCGTGCATGCAGAGATATGGTCGCCAGGTGGGTGCTCTTTCACTCCACTCCGAGAGCATACTTGATAGTGCTTATCTGGATGGCAGGCGCGGTCATATGCTTCGGTATGACACTTGCTCTGGACCGCGCAGAGACTTCGGAAGAAATGGCTTCATGGGCACCGGCCGAGATTCCCCAGGAAGTAGCACTTGAAGAAGCTCGACAGGTGCTCGCTGAGTATTATGAAGCTCGACGGCTGAGAATGCAAGAAGACCCGTTAGTTGGAGATCTGAGGTATACCGTTCTCATTGTTGTTGCTATTCTTACTTGTGAAGTCAGTTGTTTCAAGTTTGTCGATGTGTTACGACTATCACATGCAGGAATAATGAAGGCTCATACTGTATGTGCGTCGCTGTTGACAGGGTTATGATACAGTGATGACTGCCATCAGTGCGCGCGGTGATGTTATGGACGCTGATAAGTCCTCCCTCCATCTCCTTGTAGCAACACCCGATCGAATTGACAATGATCTCATTACACCGTGACGATCCCGCCTAAAAGCGAGGCAAACTTTCTCTCCCACCGACTCTGATTGCTCAGTCCATGTCTACGCTCCAGCTTGCTCTCAATGCGCCAGGACTGCGCCACAGCCTTACACTCTGTTCCGATCCCACGATCTCAAATTGCAACCAGAGATCAGCGATGGAAGATCACTGCCCGACTACCACAGCGATTCACACCAGTTTTGCTTTGGCACCCTGAATGGTGCTGAACCTGCGATGTAGAACATCATTTGCAAGGTGGTCATTGGGAATAGTCCACTGATCCGTAGGTTGCATAAAGAGGCCGCCATTTATGACCGCCTTGTTCACTTGCAAGGCGATGCCATCCCGCGTTATTATTGGCCCATCTTCTTGCGAGGCATCTACGTGCTTGGTAGTACGCTTGGGCCGAGAAGGGCGCATATATGCGTGTCCAGTCCATTTCAGCCCTTCTTGTATCAAGTCCAACAGGATGTCCGTGAATCCAGCTGACCGAATCCGCAGATCTTCTTCCACCCCTACGTCCTCGACCGCTAGGGCCCACTGGTCGAGTTTGGCATTCAGCACTGGACCGTCAGCGAGGCATACAGCTCACTAATGCGCATCTCTCCTACCCTCATCTTTACATGATCGCCCAGATCGTATGTCCCGTTCTTTCGCCATCTGGTCATTCTTCCGCCCTCTTCCTGAGCCCTTCACTGACGAATGCGCCCCCGCATAAAAGTCCGCTGCCTCACCACCTCGGGGGCCCAGTCGATGTTCCCGTCGCGGCCATTGGGACGCGCCTTCATGCGGCGGCCGAGCAGATCCTCCTCGCGTGGGCACGCGTGATGGCATATTCGTCGTGACATACGTTCTTCCTTCTTCCCTCGCCTTCCGCACAAGATCCTCTCTAATGCCTTGTTCCACAGGTTGAGAATGGAGAAAGAGCGTCCGGAGGGGTACATCGTCGCGGGAGACCTCTATGCGCGAGTCTTTTTATTCACCCTCCTAGTTGGCTGATTTCCTTCTGTCTACCGCTCTCCACGATTTTTTTCCTACAGGGTGCGTCTATGCTTGAACGTCATCGCGTCTCTCCGGTCGTACAGAACTAACAAAGGAAGACATCGCCGCGACCGATGAAGCGGGCCTTGCCAATTCGCGCTCGAGACAGCGCATCTGCCCAGCCGGTGCCTGAGTGATTGCAAGTTCGTGGAGGCGTTAGCCATAGGTGAGGTGCGTAAATATATGTGATTTGATTTGATTGGTGTATGATTATTGCTTGGGTGTTATTGACAGCTTTTTGGCTGGAGACACGCCAAAATGCAAGTTACTCGTTACCATTGGCGGTGGTTCTTAGAATAGGATATGTCGGGGATAGGACCGTGTATGCGCTGGTCGTTGCGTCGGCATCCAAGGACCATATCGTACTGCTTTTTCGTTGGTTTATTTTACCAAGATGTTCAACGAGACGATAAGGAAACGTCACACACACATCTCTGGGATTGTATAATTTGCAGTCGTTCAACAGCACTCCTTATCGAGTTGATCGACGTTCAGTAGCCTCGTGTCGTCGCGGAGGCGCCCAAGGCGCCGCGCAGTTGGGTCTGCTGCCTGTTATGGGAAGCGTCGTACTTTGAATCGGGCAATGACTACTCTGGCAGATACAGTATGTATGCATCTGTGACTGGCCCTGTGTGATATGCACCCTGAGGCTGACAGATGTGAGAATGCTTGCAATAACTGCATAGCTATCTGCACAGAAAGTGAAGAAAGTGGATAAAAAAAGGATAACTCTATTTGCAAAAATTAGAATCAAGTTGAAGAAAAATCTTGTAAAAAGGAAGAGTCATACTGCCGCCGCTGGAGAGAAAGAAAACCAGATAGAAAAACCACAGCACCCAGGATTCCCGCGTGGTCCCCCACCGTGGTACTAACTAGACGGCACTCCGGTTAACTACGCAAATCGGACGGGATGCGGTGCTTTCGAAGTCCTATGGCCGTGGATACTCTAAGTTGCATTTTTTTCAGTCTTGATTTGTTGTAGAACATTTCCTCCGCGCGCAATGTCATGGTCAACGTCGCGCGCTCAAAATCAGAAGGAAGGCTAAAGACTATTTATCCTTAGGCCAGACCATCAATATAGGTATCGCCTTGGCAAATCCCCGTGCCATCATAATTTACGGTTCACTTGAATGGTGCATGCGATAATACCAAAGGAGGCGGCTTACCTGAAGTATTCTGTGCCCTTTTAAATTGCAATTTCATAAGAGTTGATCGGAGGTGAGTTCCCGTTACGGTAAATGTTGTGCTTCCCATTCTACAAACAACCGTCAACAAACTCTTGACTCGAATAATGACACAGAGTCATTCCTCGTCGCTCCTTGAACTCATCTCTATCCTACTTAGACGACACTGCCCATATCTTTCTCCGGTTACAATCTCGAGATATGGTAAGTCCTACGTTTGCTGTTTCGGAATATGGCACGTCTTCAACGTCTTTTGCAGGGCAATTATCTCTCAATCCCTGGTTCGTACCGTCATTATCTTTTGGTTTCGTGCTGATAGTTTCTTCGTAGTTACCACTAAGTTTACAACGCATGATGGGAACGACAAATTCGCCTATGCCGTCTGCGCTACGCAAGGTTGGAGGACTGGTCAGTCTTCGTATTTCCCTGCGCCCGCCACACTCCCCACTTGGGCCGTTGACTTCGACTTTTCGATGTATTGCAGTTATGGAGGACACGCACATTACTCAGCTAAACCTCGATCAGCGGGATGAGACCAATGCTCTATTCGCTGTTTTTGACGGACACTCGGGTATGCCCATTACGTATCCTCGGTAGCTGAATCGGAGATGAGATCTGTCATTTAACAGACATCGCTCCTTCGAAATTTGCCAGCGAGAACTTGCACAAGATATTGGTCGCAGGTACAGAGTATACTGAGAAAGCGTACCCAAAAGCCCTCAAGAAGGCATTCCTTGAAACTGACGCACAATTGAGCAAGTGTACGTTTCTCAACCACTTTACTTATTCTTTTGCATCTCGTTTACTACCACGTCGACTACGCACAGTCGTGGGCAATTTTGGGGGTTGCACTGCTACCGTCAGTCTGATTACACCTGAAGGCACAATATATGTTGTATGTTTTATCTTTTGTTCCACCGTATTCTCTTAACCACTGAATCTGTTATAGGCTAATGCCGGAGACTCACGAGCCGTACTCAGTGTCAAGGGAGAGGCCAAACCACTGTCTGTTGACCACAAGCCAAATGTCGAGAGTATGTCTGGGCAATTACCGTTTTCTTACGTTACTTATTCTTCTACAAATTTAGCGGAAAAGGCTCGTATCACTGGAGCAGGGGGGTTTGTAGAGAGAAACCGTGTTAATGGTCAGTTTATGGCCTGTGGCTCCTCCGTATTGTCTCACGGTTCCGAACGCAGGCGAAATAGCCATGTCACGAGCCTTGGGCGACTTTCGGTTGAAGAAGAATTCGGAACTTCCACCTGAAAAACAGGCGGTGACCTCCGACCCGGAAATTACGCAACACCAGCTTAGCGGGGAAGATGAGTTTCTTGTTCTGGCTTGTGATGGTTAGCAGCGGACCATCCTATGCCGAGTGTTAATTCTTGCCTAATTTAGTGTGTCGTAGGTATCTGGGATTGCGTCTCGTCGCAAGATGTCGTCAACATGGTCCGGCTTTTCCTTTCGCAAGGCATGACACTCCCGAAGGTCTGCGAGGAAATCTGCAACCACTGCATTGCTCCCAATGCAGACGGTGCCTTCGGAAACGACAACATGACTATCGTCATCGTGGCACTATTGCAAGGCCGTACCACGGAGGAGTGGTACAAGTGGATCACGGAGCGGACTACAAGTCGTTATGGGTATGAGACGCCGGAGAAACCTCCACAGCTATATTCTCCCACAGCTTTGAAATACTTCAAGGAGAAGATGGAGGTGTATGAAGAAGGGAAGCGGAAACGGAAGGAACTCAAAGCTCGCAAGTTACAAGCGGAAGATGGTGCAGGTGTTCCCGTTGTAGACAAGGCTGTCGACGAAGTTGGCGATCAAGACCATCAAGTCATTCAGTCGCAAGGAGACGATAGCAGAGAAGCGGGTGGTTTTCAGACCAAGCCTCAATTTGACGAAACCCAACCTTCGGGTGGTTCTGAAAATGTCGCGGAGGTCGCATCAGCGCAAACAGGATGAAGGAAACTGCACGGTCGCGTGTCGAGGAATCACTTCCAGCACCTATCGCAAGTTTAGATGTTGGGTTTGTAGGTGAATGATGTTGTCTGCGGAGTATACGACTCAGGGTTGTTGCAATTGTACAGTTTCCTCACGTCCTCTTTGAACCCACAACATGCAACCGCAAAACGTGGCTTGCGACGCACTCCGTTATTGTTAGTTCAGTGTTTCGTTGAATTCGTGGAAGCTGGACCTTATTTCTCATAGTGTGATCACCCGCTAGCTGCAGATGATTAGTGCGTTGTAGTGACTCTCTTCGTGCAACAACCGTTACTCGCTGATTGTTAATGTTTAACTGTCAGAGTATGCATAAATCTGAAGCTAAAACGGCAGGGTTGGATTAGGTTTCATATGACGTGCGTCGACCGCTTTGGGATTTTGTGCACTCATTGAATTCTTGTAGGCGTGAATTCCTGTCGGTGACCAGATGAACGCATCGTGGTTGTGCTAAACTCTCACGTCGATAAATACGAATGAAGGAGCGCGACCGTTGCAGGTGGTCTTCTACCGGCCGAGTGCATTGGCTGAGGGCGAAGTCACAACTCTCAGGTCTCCTGGGAATCGCTTCTTCACCCGCAGTCTGCGCGTACCCGGCGCCCACCGTTGGGGGGGATGTTCCTTCGCTGTTCCGTTGGCTAATGTAATGAGACCTCAACCCTGGGTTTTCTCACCGGAAGCAGTATCAGACCAGTTGGGTGTTTGGCAAGGATACTCACTGTCGTCCTGCCCCAGTCATCTCTCGCAGCTACTGGCCTGATGGACGCCAGTGCGGCATCACACGGCGAACTCGTGGTTCGCTCCGGCGCATCTCTCGCACTGTAACAGCAGTGAGAACGCCACGTAAGTCTTGTCTGCCTCACGTGGGGTGCGGTGTTGCCAACCTGAAGTTGACAAGGCTGGCAGGTGCTGTCCACTATCTCTTGTATCTATCTACGGAGGCAATGGGGAGATATCATCTGTTCAAGCTCGAATTCTTCTCATCCAAGGTAGCATCGTCCGACTGTGTCCAACGCAGGATCGGAAGCATAGCGTCACAGCACTGATAGACCGGTTGTTGTATATGGCTTTGACGCACGACACTGGAGGTTTCATCAACAGTCACCATATTGGACGTACACAACAACTGCAAAGTCGTACATTGTCCATCGTACAGACCCTATCATCTCTACACAACCTACAATGGGAGCTAATTCTGCCTGTGCTGCGAAACGCTCATCTTCTCCAGCGTGCCGGCATCACTCGCGGTGCCATCAAAGTAACGCCGCTTGCTACGGAGTCTAGGACGGTGTGTCCCACCCCATGCTGCTCAATGGTCTCTTGCTCGAACTGGACAATCTTCTGCTCGGTATCTGCTCCATATTCATCGCACATTTGCCTCATGATGCGTTCGCGGCTGAACCCTGGTCTGTCCGCGAGTTTATCGAGCATAAACTCCGCCATCGCCAAGGTGGCCATGGGATGAGAGCCCGACATCGCGCTCTTGCGCAAGAGGCGGAAAGTCATCTTCTCGAAGAGACTTCGCACGGTGAATGGAATCAGGTTCCCAGATGCGTCGTACACGAAATAGTCGACGTCTTTGAATTGCTCGATGAGCGCGATTTGGAGCTAAAGCGGGTCTGAGCGCTCGAAGCCTGGGACAGGCGAACCCGCGGTGATGTCGGTGACGGCGATCTTTTTACGATGGGGGAGATCACTCATGAGATCGAAGATGACAGGGTTACCGCCGGCCGCTGCGTATTGGTGGCTGTCTGGCAGGGATTTTCCACATATCTTCTTATGCTCTGGCCAGTGCGTTTTCTGGCAGTTACTGGCGACGAACGCATTCAGCACCGTAGCGGGAAGATGAACCACAGATAGACTCACTGAGAGCAGTAGTATACCCTGATTTTCAGCTTCGCATTGCAAACGCTGCAAACAGATAACTTGGTGCCCCGGCTGGATTCTTCAAGATCCTGCTGGCAATTTTGACAGCGAACGGGAGGCTTGGCTCCCAAGTTCCTAAATCCACTTGCTAGTCCAATGGCAACATCCACGTCTTTGTCCATAAGGTTTAGGACTAGATCCATATCCTGGCTTCTGTTGACAATATCGTGGACCACCGACACAACTGATTTTATAACAAAACAAGCTGGACGACCTCGGTAAACTGGCACAACCATGAACACCGGCAAGACTTACCGATAAAATCGTTCCTATGGAGTGTTGTCCATTCAAGGATAAATTCGTCATTCTCAGATGGTGAGTTGGGGAGCAGGTCTGTGGCAGAGTCCCACCATGCGCTCGCGAAAGTGAAAATGCGGCCAGGCTCTGCACGCTTTGCCTCTTCTGCAAAGCGCACAAGAAAGTCAACGTACGCCTGTCCTGCACCCTTCCGCAGCTGTTTCACGGAGAGCTCAGGACACAGGGCACGGTCCTCGGAGCCCATTAATGCCATCTCGCACGCGGCCTCGAGCCCTACAAGGATGTGTCGTTGACGCTCGTGCTCCGGGAGCAGCAGCCAGACCGTGCCAATCTGACCGTTATCCGAGAGTGAAAACTCGAGCGCCTGGGCAGCTAAGTGCTGTCTTTCCTTCGTGGTATCGCGTGTCTTCTGGAGCAACTCCTGCATCCTGTCGTCTGGGACCTCTAGAAAGATTTGCTGCGTGATGGAGAAGACATCAATCGCTGTGAGCGAGGCGAGGATCTTCTCCCAATCCTTGTTCCGGCGGACGCGGTCGACCTCGATGGGTGTGATGTTATAGTGAATATCCCAGTAAGTGTTTCTTGTCCTTCGGACGTCTTGTGTAGTCTCACCCTGCATGGATGCGTTCACTCCGTTATCAGAATTGTCAGAGTTCGGAGAAGTAGACACGATGTCGGAGACGGGAGCGGGATTAGGCTCGTGAGGCATATTGCTCTCCGTGGGTGGTGTACCGTTCACTATCGATCAGAGACTGCAGGTGAAGCTACGCGGGGAGAGCGGATATCGATACGAAGTGCAGACTCTCACGCAGAAGCCGCATCACGTTATTATCCCTGCCGAAAGTAAGTACTTGAAAGTCGAGAGACCACGGTTAGAAGCATATTCGTGTGTGGGTGAAATGATAAGAATTACAGACTTACAGTTCCATGGTCGGATTTCATAATAGCAGTTAAGTCCCCTTCGGACGCTGGTTGGAGCCCAGAGTCTAATCATATGACACAGACGGGTCGCCCTTAAGGGTAGATGTGTGATGCTGAGACTGGTATTTTATCGAGCCATTTTTCTGTAGCTCTGACGGTGAGGAGGATTTAGGCTGGATCGAGCACGTCGAGATAGTAGCATTGGCAGGCGTAGTCTCGAGCCGGCGCACGCGCACCATCACACGCGGCTGCTCGGAGTGCGCTCTGGCCCAGGTCGTGGACGTCCAGGAGACGGCGGAGGCGGAGTGCACCTGACTGTAGGTTTAAGCATAGCGATGGACGCGGTCATGACGCCAACTGGCAACTGCAGCAAAAAGGACTCACACGTGGCAATGATGTTCACATGCGGCGCTGACAATATTAATTCTGCTACACGGACGGCATTGAGTACGAGGCTAACGCGACCAAAGTGGATGTGCGAGTAGAACGAGACTCTGTGAACTCTTCCGTATGATGAGTTAAGGTTCTTCGTCTGCTTCTACATTTGCTCTTTTACACCTCTCTCGCTGCAAAAAAGAGTTCGGTCTCTGCCCTCATCAGAGCCTTCGTTGAGTCCTCGTTTCCTCATTCTATCTTTCTGTCTGTGATTGCACTCTGCTGACTGGCATACTCATCGATTGGGTGGTCGACCTGTAGTAATCCCAACACCTCGCAACGAACAATGCCTGACGATCTACATTCATCTCAGAGCCGGTGAAAACCTTCCTAGCAGTCGTCGTGTGTACATACCTTCAAACGGGTAGAGAACGGAAAGTATTCACTTCCCGACGAGCACGTATACGTGCGTAAGCTTGGAGCTGTCTTGGTATGCGGATTTATCTCGATATTTCATACCACTTCAATCTCATCTGGGATAACACCTCGATCTACGCAGATCGCAGCTCCGGCTTTGCCGCCGATATCCCAGCGCGCTCTCAGCTCCCTCTTCAAAGATGCTTCCGAGCGCCCCGCGCGTACTCCGAGAACGGTCCGCGTTATGTAGTGCATGCTGCGCAATGTGGGCCTGTGCAGACGTTATCCCCCCAGTGTCTGCGCATGCTCCCCCATTTCCGTTTCGCCTCCCCCGCACCCTGATTCGGTGGACTCACGGGAACTGGCAACCTCATGCAGGGTGTGGTGATGCAGCTGTTATATGTATGGCGCGTACCGTCACTGGAGTGGTCGGTGGTACACACTTCGCGAGCCAGCTCTTGTACACGCGCGGTGCGGCGTTACTCGATGGACCATTCTTCTGTGCATGCGAACTCCACGCATACTGGAGGGTGGCGCGCTCAGCATTATAAATATGAAGCCATTATTCTTGCGACAGACCGTTCAACGACGTCGCTTCCATCTGATCGTTTTGCATTACACTTCGATGCCTTGGGATAGATACGTAGATGAGTGAATAGGAGTCAGGCAAAAATGGTTCATCATGAAGATCGAAGTAGCGTGGATATGGGAGAGAAAGTACTGATTTATATCATGGACGAAGGAGGCACATAGAGGGCGGACAATTCGTCGCTCCTATACTCTGGCATCAGTAGCGGAAGCAGTGAAACATACGGAGGTGACGTTTCCAGCGGCACTTAGATAGAGGTAGGAGCAAGGACAGGAGAGACGTCTATACGAGCATGTGGTTGATTGCATCGCTACCGATTCCAGTAATCGTCGCCCACTGAGAAATGAGATTTAGACATGTTCCACTACGCAATATTCAAAGACCATATCGCAAGTGCAAGGGGACACCACAGCAGAATGTGCGATCGACCAACGCAGAGCGTTGTGCTCGTGTATACGACCTCCGGAGTATGTCGCAGGGCTCATACTCGCGTGCGCACGTCATCTGGGACTGGGTATTCAGAGAGTAGGTGGGAAATACTCACCTCAACGGTAAAAGCTAGCAGAGCCCCAGAAGATCGGGACAACCTGTTTTGAAGTGAAACAGCTCCGACGGATCATAATCGAAGAGTATTCGATGCGCCGCTGTTGGTCAAGAGGAAGTCTTAACATTCATAATTATTTAATGGCATGCGAATGGACCAAGGCTCGGAACACCATGTCACTCCGTCAGCGCCCAGATCAGAGTTGGCCTCTAGATTTGGGAGGCGCTTGACTCCCGCACTTGCAGACCACTGGCACGTGTCTGTTTCTTGCGTTCACGAATCGCTATGAGGATTAGAGAACGAAGCCTGGATCCTCCAGTCTCATTATGCCTTGTCCGTACACGAAGATGATGCATGCATGATGCTCATAGCTGAGCAGTTCTCATATTTGACAGTTGCTGGGCGCGCTCGTCCCGTAAGTTTTGCAACTGCCTATACTTCAGCTCTTTTTCAGCGGTACCATTCACACCCGCTCACCTTCAACAGTCGCCGAGCTGTGCGAATAGGTCAGCTGCTGACTCGCTTTGATCGGTGGTAGCGTATCGGCCTCCAAAGTCGTGTCCTGTCAAATATTGTGGGGTAAGTACTAGTAAGAAGAAGTACGTACAAAATGCCTTCGAGGCGTCACCGACTCCCTCAGTAATGCATGAGAATCGCGTCCAATCTCCAGCTGTTGCTGATGACTTGAGCTCTGTAGATCAGTAAGCCCGATGTGATGCAAATCCGATTTGCAATGCCACTGGTTTCTCTCCATTGCATGACGGTGACACTGGTGGTGCACGTTTAGCGAAAGCATCTTATAGGAAGTTGACAAACTGTTTCGAGCGGGTACTGTGTCACAGTTCGGACTCCCGTCGTTCGCATCTTGTAGAATAAACAGCACTTCAGACTCGTGTCCGAAGCTATCCGGAACCCCAAAGTCCTGCCAAGATGAGACCTGTCAGATTGTCAGCTCTGTGGTTTCGTGTTCAGAGAATTATTTTTGATCTATTGTGGTACCGCTTCACCCGGTATGCTCCCCGGTATGTCTCCTTCGACAATATTGTCACCTTGAGGGTGAGGTCATTCTGAATTGAAGAGTAGGGTGCCACTGTCGAATTTGGGGCTTGCCTTGCCGACTATCCTATCAAAAATAGTGCCGCTATCTCTCCGATATATTCGAGTAAGCGTGTCTGACCTTTCACACTCATTATCTACGCTGACCCGTCTCGGTGTCTTTCATAGACCAGCTAGCCGCCTGTTCACTCTCGCGCCCAACGTCACAGGTGAGTCCTCCTGACATCCGTCCAGCTGTCATTTTTGAACGAATCCGGAGTCAGGGACTAGTTCGATCTTGGCACGCTTTGCCACCTCGTTCATATGCAGCGATCGCGACAGCTCCTAACACAATGGTTCAATACTTCCGTCAGCAATCTTCCTGGTAATGATGGTACGTACTGTGATCTCACCTGTTGCAACTAGTTTTTAATATCTGGCAGTTCTGAATACCGGTAAAGCGTACTGAGCAGATGATGACACATATCTTATTTCGCATAATGCTATAGCAGGCTATGTCACGTTTCTCGCAGGTGAGTTTTACATCCCCATCTTCAACACCACGGCCATGATCAGCAAATGATCAGGGTAAGCGGATTCTCGGGAAATTCCACGAATGGTACTGGTGGCTAAATCTTCATGCAGGTATGGACGGGATGTTTTGTCCCCCAGATTTGAAACTTCTGCAAGGGTATTCTTCCGGAGGCGTGTTCCTGTTACAGTGATTGTCTGTGCGTGAGGATGGTTGAAGACTTCTTGGGCCAAAATGATTCACTCCACCCTTCTCGTGCCTTCCGATCCATGAATCTACCGCAAAATGATGTGATCTGGATGCACCTAGTCCCCTGTCGGTCAGACGAGGTCATCACTGTTTTCCACGAACAACACTGATTTTCGCACCTATTGCCAAGGTGTAAAGATATCAGGTGAATAGAGGAGTCGAGGCACCGGAGTTAGCCGAGGGTGGTGCTCAACCGGGTTGAAGGTTCTTAGTTTTCAGCTAGGAAGATGAGGATGGAGGGACTTCTTCCGTCTTCATTTTAGTCGCTGAAGTTTTCCAAATATACTTGGTTCGTATTCAATCCATTTTTAGCGACTCACACCATCTAGCCTCAACCTTGTTATAGCCGCGGTGATAACTCGGCGCCGCGGGCTGCTACGACTAGTGCCGAGTGTTATCTGACTTCTCTAGCATGCGTCCATCCCCTCGCGATCAGCTGTGCTTACGGCCACTCGCACGGTCGCTGCAATTGAACGTCCGCAGTGACGTAGGAGATGCTTCCACGGCACTCACACCTGCCGGCTGAGTATCTGCCGAAATATGTTTGGTGACGACACTCTGGGCGATATGTTGTCCAAAACGTCCTGAGTGGGTGGAGACTTCTCTGACAGAGGGCGCACGCGAGACAAGCAAAGCCTGGGAAAAAAATGAAAGCGGTTCCGCGAGAGATCCAGTGATCGACTGGATCGTGTATTCGCCGTTCAAGCGCTCACGCACTCACGTGCTGTGCTCCTCAAGAAGCCGGTTTGTCGCCGCAAAATTTCAAGTATTGACGATGTATGTTTCCTTCATTCTGATGGAGTCTCAAACTTCGTCGCCATTACTCACCTTAAAGTTGTATTAGCTTATCAAGTGCATCGTCGCTCATGGTTGCCATCGCCGCTGTCAGTACGCGCGGGGTAAACCGTACCTAATCTTCGTCGAAGAATCCCAGAATGCCAACATGCTCTCCGGGTGATGCGCCTTTCAGTCAACAACATTGACTATGAGGGAACTCTGATGCGTGCGCATCGGTCTTTTCTCACTCTCTGTGGGAAGACAGTGAAATAGACGTCCCACGGCTGGTGAGCTCTTCGCACCTCTTCCACTTTTCGCTCTGCAATCCAGTATGCTCGATCTTTCCAGTGTTCCCACCTTACAAGGTGCCACCAGCACCACGTTCTCTCGTCCTCCTTTCGACGATTCTTTGACGATTCCTGAGCTTTTCACCCATCACGCTGCTAATAGCCCTAGACACCCGCTGTTCAGGTATCCTGATGAGGGAAAGAAACTCACTACGATTTGCTACTCAGAGGCCTACCGTGGAATATGCAAAGCCGCCGAGTTCATGTCCGGTCATTTCAAACGCGTGGAGGAGAAGTATGCGCTGCAAGCACAGCAGGACGGGCTCGATGCTCCTACTATCGGGATCCTCGCGACATCTGGTTCGTTTGAGGTGATCTCTATCTCTGCGCCGATTCTGATACTCATTACTGCCCAGATACGATTACGTTCTTCTCACTCATTGTGGGAATCATGCACCTGGGGCTCATTCCATTCCCTATCTCGACTCGCAATTCCGCAACGGCCGTGGCGCACCTCGTCAAGAAGACCGGAGTTCTCCAGCTGATTGTTAGCTCGGATGCTGCGACCCAGAGGCTTGGCCACCATGCCAACGAGTTGTTGGCCAAAGATGGAGATAAAGTAGACATTGTTCCGATGCCCCACTTCTCAGATCTCTATAATGACGAGGAAGGCAAGGGGGTGAAGAAGATTCGGGAGCGAAATGTCGACAACGTGACGCTCATTCTGCATTCTTCTGGTAAGTTGCATTCATGGCCACCGCACATCTGGCTGACAATGTATCTTTTCCACTTAGGGTCTACCGCGTTTCCGAAACCCATTAGGCTCACTAGCTCCAATTTGATTCAAGGAGGAACAGCAGCATGTGCGTCTACGTTTGCTCGTTGATGTCGCGTCCGCTGATTTTTTTGTCGCCTTGTCTGTAGATTTCGGAGAGGTTGATATTTGTGGCCTCAACATAGCTGCCCATGCTTCACCCATGTTTCGTGAGCGGACCTGTCGCAACTAGTTGAAGTCTGTTTGGATATCGCTGACATTCTTACAGATGCCATGGGCACCATGAACATCGCAATGACCGTGCGTTACCCTTACATGATTTGTGTAAATGTTGTTCATCTGCTCACTTTCACAGTTGTGTACGGGCGCGTTCATAGGCTGCTTCAAGCCGGCTTCTCCACCTGTGGTCCCTACGCCGGAACTATTCTTGGACGCGATTGTCGCCACGGGTTGCAATATTGCCTTCGCAGTGCCCTCTTTTGTTGAGGTATTGTAAAGGAATATGATTTGCTACACGCACTACTTATTGCTTCCTGCAGGAATGGAGCAAATCCTCCGAGAACGTGTCGAAGATGCGGACGCTGAATATTTTGGTACATCTGTATTGCCATTGATTTTGCACGCGTCCACTCAATAGATTCTCCAGGCTTATGGCGGTGGACCGCTGAGCAAGGCTGTAGGAGACAGACTGTCCGCTGCAGGTGTCCCCTTAATCTCTGTATACGGCGCGTGAGTGGTGTGCACGCTGCTTCGCTGCGTCATCCAATGATGCACTTGCAGAACCGAATTCACCATGAATGTGTTCCTTCCTGATGTGTCGAAGCATCCAGGCTGGGAGTACTCGAAGGTCTCGCCACACACTGAAGTAGAAATGGTTCCTCAGGAAGATGCGGATGACCTTTTTGAACCTGTGATTCTTGTACGTTGATGTCGTACTTGCTGTCCGTGCAACACGTCTGAGGAACGATTGACGGTGTCTCTTCACTTCATCCCTTCAGGCAGGGCGCTACGTTAAGCCGTTTGTTATCAACACCACTATCAATGGAAGGCCTGCATATGCATCTAGCGATTTGCTCCAGAAGCATCCCACGTTACCTGGATATTACAGGGTGTATGGCCGTGTGGATGACCAGATCATGCTCTCAACCGGAGAGAAGGTATGCCTCTCCGACGCATACTATCGATCAGATACTGACATGTCTTTTAATGACAGACTAATCCCACTCCTTTGGGTGAGCGGAATAGAGATATTTCAAAGTTGCTTTTCAACAGTTGACGTTCGGGATGCAGAGGCGATATTTGTCACCGATCCTCACATTAAGCACGCACTCATGTTTGGGCGAGGTCGCTTCCAAAATGGCGTGCTTGTCCAACCCACGGAGCCGTTTGACTCCAGCGACGAAGGCGAATTGGCTGATTTCCGCAACAAGATATGGTAAGTGTCTGTTCTAGTGATTATGGAAGCATGCTTGATTGTCCTGTCATCCCAGGCCGACTGTAGAGCAAGTCAATGAATACGCGCCATCTCATTCAAGGGTATTTAAGGAGGTACAGATTCCGATACTTCCGTTCCTGAGGGAATCGGGCTGATGAGATTTCCAGATGATCATCGTGACGAATCCCTCAAAGCCCTTCCAGTTGACCGCGAAGGGAACAATTCGTCGCCAGATATGCATCGACGCCTACGCGGACGAAATTGAGGCGGTCTATAAGGCGGTGCAGGATTCATCCGATGTTGAAGTACCCATACCTGTCTCATGGACCAGTGACACCACGCTCGAGTTCATCAGAGAGCTGGTAGAACGGGTGATGCAGATGAAGTTGAGTGACGACGATGACCTCTTCCAGCAGGGATGTGACAGGTTCGATTCGGAGTTTTGTGCGAGCATCTAGCTATCTCTTTCTGATGCATGGCTTTCAGTCTGCAGGCGACTTGGATACGTAACACGATCATCCACGCTATTCGGACGTCGACGACGGCTTCGATGCACGATGTGCCCCATAACCTAGTGTACATGCACCCGAGCATCCGCATCCTCGGCGACTTCGTCTTCCACCTGGCTTCGACAGGTAAGAAGGCCAATGGGGCCTCCCAGGTAGAGATGAAGGCGAAAGAGATGCACGACTTGGTGAAGAAGTACGCTGCCACGATTTCTTTCCCGAAGCGCTTTGGAGGGAAAACCGCAGCTGCCGGGGACGCGCAGACCTTCTTGGTGACGGGTACCACTGGTCGCTTAGGATGCCATCTACTCTCTCAGCTCCTGCAGAAGCCAGACATCGTCAAGGTGTATGCATTGAACAGGGACTCCCGAGGCTCGGATGTTGCGCTGAGGGCGCGGCAGCAGGAGGCGTTCACGACTTGGGGCCTTGACGTCGTTCTGCTGGACTCAAAGAAACTTGAGTTGATCGCGAGCGACCTACCGAAAGAATATCTGGGTCTGAGCAAGGAGAAATATAATGAGGTAAGTGGTTCGTGAATAGACTCCAGATTCACGACGCTGACGGGACGCTAGATTCGGGACTCTGTGACAGCAGTCGTCCACAACGGTGAGACCCACGCTACGGTCAGACAGCTAACAACCTGACGCGAGAACGAATAGCCTGGCGAGTCGACTTCAACCTTTCTCTGTCCTCCTTCGAGCCTTTGATCGCCGGTGTCCGCAACTTGATCAATCTCTCCGCCGGATCTCCAAGCTCCACAGGCCCGCGGATTCTCTTTGTTAGCTCCATGGGTGTCCTCAGCAGTGAGTTAGTAGAATGATACAGTGGAATGCATATACTGAATAGATGCCCATTGAGACCCCACATCTATACCCGTGGCCGAAGAGCCAATTCTGGATCCAAAGGTTGCGATGGGCGCAGGGTACGGCGAGAGTAAGTGGGTCGCAGAGCAGCTCTTTGCGTACGCCGCGCAGCAAGGTGGGCTCCGCACGACCTCGGTGCACGTGGGCCAGATCAGCGGCGACACGCTCAACGGCGGGTGGAACACGAAAGAGTGGGTCGGCGCTCTCGTGAGCGCCGCGCAGGCCCTGGGCTGCGTGCCTTCACATGATGACGTACGTGCCTTAGTCTTCTCTGTCCCAGTATCCTAATCTGCTAAAATTGTTGTTGGACTCGATAGATCGTCGCGTGGCTCCCGGTTGACATCACCGCCTCGGCAATCCTCGACATGGTCGGCTCCAAGACCGTCGAACCCGTCCTGAACCTGGTGCATCCGCGCCCCGTACCATGGGATTCGCTCTTCGCGCCCGCAGCCGCACGCCTCAGCCTGCCGCTAGTCCCATACGCGGAGTGGCTCGCGCGGCTGGAGGCGGCAGCGGCAGCAGCCAAGACGGCGGGAAAGAATTCGAGCTCTCGGGAGGTGCAGCAGCAAGACACTGCTGTGACGCTGCTAGAGTTCTTCCGCAGGGGCAATTTCGATGGGCGCATAAGACTAAGCACGGAGAAGGCTCAGCGTTGCTCGGCAACGTTGGCGGAATTCCGGCAGTTGAACAAGGAGGATATGTTGAAGACGCTTGAGTATTGGGCGAAGGCGGGCATTCTGAAGTTGTGAGTAACTGCTGTGCTGTCTTTGATGTGCTTGAGATGCGTTTGAGGAGATATGGTGTCACTAGATAGCAGATATCCTGTGTGTTACTACGAAAGAGAAAACCAACATCGGTACGTCTCTGGTGGAGTGCTATCATATGCGAATAAGACATGCCTCAATCCATGATAACGGTTCCACGAACGTAAGTAATATCCATAAAAGCGGGACAACCAACGTCAGAATTCACGAGGAAACCAGGGGCGAATTGAAGCATGCGGTGTATCAACGAATATAGGATTCGAGTCTTGTGCCCAGCCAGTGGTCTGCAGCGAATCGAAGCGCAGCCCAGTTTTAGAATGAACTATTGAAGGAGCAGAAACCCTTCAGTGAGCGCGGCGCATCTCGCGCCGTTCTGCAATGAGTCTAAATCCGAGCTTAGCACAAAACGAGTGGCGAACTAGGGGCATCAAGTACAAATCATTCCCCAAAGTTGACCAAGTTGACAAACCATCCGCTCTCCTTTACGCGATGCTAACCTTCACGGGCGAAGATTTCGGCAAAGAACAACTGGCGGTCAGTAAAAGGGCTGGCTGATTTTTTGATTGGACGTGTACGTGCACACACTCCTATCACTGATCTTTACCTAACTTTATATCATAGGTAACCTAAGGGCCCATCCACAACTTTACAACTACCCTTTTGAGCCTTGCTGGCAGTGTATCGACGATCACATCGTTATAGATGCGGCGGATGTGTTGTCCGCAGGCGCCCTCATGCGCAGGTGCCTACATCTCGATCCTGCTGAGCGGGCCAGTGCTGTGGACTTGCTTTCGGATCCTTGGTTCCCTCGGGTCGATTAGCTAGGCTACATGTGAGTTATCCTTTATTTTCGGCCCCATTCCAAACAGGGTAGTTTCATCTATTACAGACGAGTGTATTCTAAACTCGTGGTACTTTTCTCTGAAGCATAGGTACACAAGATTCTCTAGGTACGGCGTCTAGTGCCCACTTCGGTGCCCGTGATTAAAATTCGGTTTCATAAGGTCGCTGACACTATAAGAAGCGTACCTGTGTACCGAGTTGAGCCACGCTTGTATTGACGTCCGATTGGATGGACGGAGAGCGAGGTTCAACATTTATCGGCTGTCTCTCTATATTACTCAGAGCAATTTCAGAAAACTGGCACTGGCATGAACTGTATTTCCCAAAGCCAACATGTGCAACAACCATTTCATACTGCACGGCACTACTGTATTTAACCACGACTTGGGATGCTCAAATATTGTAATTGTCGCACTTTCACAAAAATAAATGTCCATAGTGAGATATGAAACTCAAATACGGTGGATATAACACAATCAAGTCATGCCGCTCGCCTTCAGGCTTGCTTGGCTGGAGCAATATATCACATCCAGCCGACTCGATGGGCAGTCGCAAAACAGCTGTAAGCGGGCTGCAATCCACCTTCGAATGTAGCTAGATGGGACATCGAGGATATCATGGTGCACGAGGTTCACTTTGAAGACAACCTCGATGCGCCTCTTGGCACCGCAACCTGTATTGCAGTCAACCGCCAAAGCGGCGAGTTGGCTGTCGATTGGAACCCAGTCAGAGCAGTAACCAACAGGTCCGAGTATCCCCCGCTCTTTTACAGAGGCGTACTCTATCTTCAACTCAATTTCCACCAGGGTCAACCGAGTGAGGCTGGCGGTGTTCATTGTCAACTGGGAGTGGAAACCTTTGATCCATGCCGCGATTTCGGGCCCTGGGTCAGAAACATAACTGCCGGTTATCCACGGCACGATGAGTTTTAAAGAAGTTAACCGTGAATTCTGGGCCAGATCCAGAAACATTTCAGGTGGGGAAGGCAGGTCGTATACATGAAAAACAGACTGGGGACACAGTAGCGTCAGTTCTTCCAGGCTGTTCTTGGAGTTGCAAAGCAACTCCTGGTCGGTAACGCCGAGCGGAGTGGGTGAACTCTTATTGCACCACGTCAGGGCAAGAGTCTGAAGCTGTAACCTCAAAGGAGGCGCAAAGAGCCATGACAGGGGAGGAGGAACACCAGGGGTTATCTGTGTCGGATCATAGGAAAGAGTGAGGTCATGGATGTCGAGCTGGCGAGATGCTCCAGTGTTGCCTTCCGGAGCAGCATCCAGTGGACCAACTCCTGCTGTAGGATGAGACAGCTGAACTCCGGCAAAGTGTACCGCACGGAGCTTCGGACATTCCGCAAGTATTCGGCGGACGCGATACCCATCATACACTCTCGGGAATCCCACAGTCCACGAGTTTCCAAGGATCTCTCCCTTTAGCAGACGGAAACTCCGAACCATGGGGAAGTAAGAGGAGATGTCTCCATCCCAATCGACCAGTGCTTCGACTTCCTCGCAGTCCTGCAGGGCCACCTCCTCCACTCGACTGAGCATCTGCAGCACACGGAAAAGACCGTCACCGGGATACGAGTTACGGAAAACACCTTTAAAGGTGATGCATCGCACGAAGTCGCAAATGGCAGGCGATACTACGACGACTCGCTCCAATCGGGCGTACTGGTTGTCACCCGCGATGACGATGGTGTGAAAACTGTGAAGTCGAGATCGCGGAAGCCATGTTCGGCAAACTGTGCTGCACTTCTTCAGGGCTGCTGGATCGTACCAGAGATAGCCTATAATCATATCACGAATTTCTGGAGGCACGTAGACCATATTGTCGAGGAATAAATGGTGCGATGGACAGAGAAGATGTTGTGCTTCTTTGATTGTGGCCAGTTGATAGAAATGCCTGGGAAAAGGAATTGGACATGAGAACGAACGGTTTCTGCATTTATATGAGTGTAAGCGCAGCAGTTGTGGCGTATCGTGCACTGCATATCCCCCAGAGAGCGCTTGCACGTTTCCTACGTCAACGTGTGGCCGAAGAAATGCGTACGTGAGCGGCAGTAAAAGAAGCAGTGTAAAAAGGTTTATTTCCATTCCTGCCTCTTCGCTTTGTCGCTTAAAGCACATACCAGTATCTTTCCGTAATCAGGGAGCACAGCTCCATGTCGTGTTTCGCTTGCGTGGCGTTGCGGCTTTGCGTGGCATTGCGGCACAGAATGTAAAGCAACCGTGACTGCGAGATCAGGAGACAGACGTTTCGCCCCAAATTTAGCCAACATCGAGTCACAGATCATTCTTCTCCCTGTGACCCAGTCTGTGTCTACTCTGTTCTTTGGATCACAGACCACACAGCCTCAAAGTTTACTGCTTTCGCCCCCACGTATGGTCTCAGTCTCACATATCGAACTTACGCCATCTGTGTCGGTCTAACGGTGGCTGATGGACTGTGAACCCATATTGGTGGCGTGACGCATCGCTCGACTCGCTGAGGCCAGATTAGCTGAACGGTTTGACGATCATTGCGATCCTCAGTTACTCGATCGACTCCTGTCAAGTCCTGCATAGGCTCCGTCGCCTCTCAGTCTCACTCGCGCTCTCTCTACACACTCCCTGATGGACGTGCTTACTGCTCTCCTCTCGCCAGGGCGTGTCCTCCAGCGGGCACTGGCGTCTTCCCACTGTCTTCTCGCGCTGTTCCCTGCGGCTCGTCACTGCCGGCCGCATTCCAACTCGACCTTTGTCGTATCGCTGTCCTTCAGTATCCGCATGGACCCGCGCGTCGACATTGGCCAGACAGCATCTCAATGGTGCCAGGGCATGTCTCACGAGCGCTCGCAACAACCTCGGGCACATTCCTGCGGTAGCTGTCATCGTCCTCAGGCTACTGGAGCCAGGTGAGCGCATTCAAATTTCTACCGCGTCTGTCGAGTCTTAGACGTAGAGGTCGCAGTGCAGCAGCAGCATGCTGGGGGCCAGGAGTTATATTCCACGTCGTTCCATAAGGCCGCTTCACTGCGCTATGCTCTCGCATCGAGCGACTCTGGGTCTGGCCACGTTATGTGTAATACATCCGCCGAGTTCAGCATGTTCATGCACTCGCTGTTGTGATCGAGCGACGTGTCGACCTAGGGATGACATTGACGCGGAGCTGGTGAAGGCGCGGAATGCCTGTTACAAACTTGACTGACAGACGAGAGGTAAGTCGACAGAAAAGAAAAGCACTCACGGTCGACAAAACAACCAGGAGATTGTCAGGAGTACTGCAGTACTGCGAGACATACCGTTGTCCAGCAGTGTGCATCCACCATGAAGCTCCCGTGTAAAATGATAATTACTTCGAACCATATGCTGTTCAAGGTGTACAATTATTATTTTACATATACACACCAGCCTTTTTTCAAACATAGCATACTAGCTTCGTAGCATTATCATCGCACATTCTCTAACCGTGCTGCATTGTTCCGGTTGACCTTCTCTATATACCGGCATTTGATAATTATCATAAAACCTGTAAGCACTGATCATTCCCCCCGACTTTTCCTGCAGGCAACCTTCTTGATCTTCGTCGCCCTGTTTAGTACGACGTGCGTCCTTTGGAGGACTAGGGACCTTGCGCTCCAGCTCCTCATCCGGACATTTGTAAGTCTGTACCACCTCGAGTCGACCTGACTGATGGTCTGGGAACGAGCGTAAGCGATTCCCAATCCCTTTTTGCATCGCGCGAGCCCACAATCTGAATTCGGTGATAACCTTAAGATGGGACTGTAGGTTGACTTTGAGTATGACCTCTACTCGTTTCTCGTGGCCGCGATTGCAGTAAACCACCAATTCAGAAAGCACTGTATCGAGAAGGTCCCAGACAGCAGTGGAATCGTTGATCACTTCTGCTATCGTAAACCGATCTGCTATCTTCAGACCCGGTGTTGGCCAAGTTTAGGGCGAAACTTCTGTCACCCGATCTCGCAGTCACATTCTGTGCCGCTTCGCCACGCAAGCGAAAGTGCTTCAATATTGCTTTTTTAGGCGATAAAAGTGCGGTCCTGCGCCATTGATAGAATGAATCTTCATGAAGACACTGGTATGTGGGTGGCCATGCTGCTGATGAATTCTGACTCGGGGCTCCCCGGTTCAGCACTGAATAGATACTGCGCAAGCCTCGCTAAGCTCGTCCTCGGAATAACTTTCAACATCAAAGCCATGAGACGAGAATGGTAAGATAAAATTTTAACACTGCCGGCCGCTCACGTATGCGCTTTAGCGCGATGAAATAGGAAAACCTTCAAAGCGCTCTCAGGGGAAAACGCAGTGCACAGACCCCAAAGGATCTCCACAATCATCTCGCCTAGACTTATAAAAATCTAGAAATCGTGCGTTCTTATTTCCATTCCCCTTCCGATATCCTGAAACTCTCCGGAACATAACCACAACGTTTTCTGCACTCCATCGCATTCACTTCAGTATGGTGTACGTGCCTGCAGAGATCTCCGACATGATCATCGACAACATACAGGACGAACCTAAAGCACTTAGTACATCTAGCCTCATATCCCGTTCATGGCTTCCAAGGTCAAGAGCCCACAAGTTACGGTCCATCGACATCTCGACCAAGGACCGTTACACAGCGTTCGAGGAGATCATCAGTGCATCTCCCGTCATCTGTCACTACGTGCGCGACGTGACTATCGACGGTGATTCATGCGCAGTAGGGCCGTTTGGTGTTCTGCTCCGCATCCTGCTGCAGCTCCGTCGGGTGGAGAGCCTGACATTGCAAGCGGGATCAATTATTGGTTGACTGCAGGAGTGACGCCTCTCCCTACTTCCCAGAGATCGAAAACTTCTGCGTGGTTGGGCCTAGCGAGGTCTGGTCTTTCACAGGGTATGATGAACGCAGTATACGCAGACTGCTCCTTGCATGTCCCAAGCTTCATTTCGTACGATTGTTCGACATTGGCTTTCGACACGAATCGTTACCATTGGAACGCGCAGAACCACTTCCCTGCGTTGAGATTGACAGCTTAACGCTAAGTTCAAGCATAGATGGGCCTTCTTGTCCATCATGGCTAGCACGCCCTCCTTTTACACTACGTGTCAGGAAACTGGACTTATCATGGTTCAGCATGAACAAGAATTCATCGGAGTCGAGCATCGCCGCTCGGGATTTGCTACGGGGCCGGGAGGCAGTTGAAGAATTTGACATTGTCATATCGCGAATCTTCACCACTGCATATCGCCCCCAGGGATCACCTGGATTTATCGCAAATTTCGCAGCTACAGTCGCTGAAATTGGTCATAGGATGGTACTATGTTGATTCTCCATTTGGGGATCCCATCACTGCGTGGATTCAAGCCTGCCACTCTCAGGTCACAGCTTGCAACGCTGATCTCCCTCAGCTGGCCACATCAGTCTTCTCGCTGTCACTATGGTCGTCTGTCTGGGCCGCCTATTCTGTTCTTTCGATCTACACAGCCTCAAGGTTTACTGCGTTTGACTCTACGTGTGGTCTCGAGTTCTCACATCTGGGTCGGTCTAACGGTGGTGGATGGACTATGGAATTCAACCCGTACTGGTGGCATCATTTCTTGAGAGTTATGGGCTGAGCGATCGGCAAGGTGATTGCTGGAAGAAATGCGGCGCGCTTTGTGGCAGTGAGGGTGAGCGGGAGTATACTCCGCTGAGCCAAGCTGAAATGTGAGTCGGTACCTCATAACGCGCTTATTGGACAGCATGTTTTCGAAGTCTCTAACATCTCGGAATTCGGTACGCATGGTTCTCCAGCTTTGTTTCAGTGAATATCGTGTTCACCCTACTCGTTGTTGATTAACGGGATCAACTGGGCTCTTCAGCGGTGATGACATCCTAGTTATCTCGTTTCCGTCGTTTTGTCACCCCTTGGAGGCGCTCCACCAATCGGTTCTCATCTTGCTGCATCTCAATGGCTTGATCATAGCTGGAATTGCCAGAACTCCGCGAATGCACAGATATAGGAAGCAAGCGAAATAACTGCTACTTCGATCCTAGAATAGTGCGAATGCGACTGGAACGCGGGAGTTACTCAGTTAAGGTTCAGGGCGAATCGTTGTTCTTCATTTGTACACTGGCGATAGCAAGACTGAAACTCCTGAGTTTTCTGTCTAAATTTCTGATGCGATGCATGAGATATTGCAGTCCCACGATACCTACTACCGCCTCCGAATGGTGGAAGTCAGTTTCGTGTAACATTATCCCTCCGTATCACTAATCTCGAATAATAGGTGAGTGGACGAGAAGTGCGATTCTGTAACTTCTCGTTCTATTAGTCCTTGGAGACGGTCATCACCGTGACAGCACGCTATCACCATTTAAGTCATTGCTATCGTTCTTGACCGGTTTCGCGGGTGCACCCAGGAAGGAGGGAACCGTGCCAAAAGTAGCTGCCAGTTCCAGAACGGATCTCTTCTCGGGAACCCCTCGAGATCACTTCGCTGACTTCGTGTGCGATTGCATACCATTTCGAGGTGTGTCCGATTGTTCATCCTCAACGTATCTGAGTGGTTGGCAAAACACTGATAAGTATTCTCAAGACACGTTTGAGAGTTCTTCCAGCGAAGAATCTCGGAACGATTCGCAGCGCGTAGTCCGAGTCCCTGTAACGCATGTGTATTCTTAGCGTGAAGCTCTTCGCGGCGAATCGTCGTGCTTGCTACGCCACATCTTCTCTGTCCTCTGGCTCCAGCGCCACATCGTCGTTCATCTTCCCTTCGCCAACTCGGACCGTCCACATGCTGTGGTCTTACGCTTTCGATGCAGTGTAATAGCTCCGAAGTGACTCCGAGCTACTTCCCGCATCAGGGCGCGTGCGTCTTCGATTCTTGGGGACGTCTCTGCAGTGCAAGATACTGCGTCGAATGCCCCCTCGGGAGCTTTCGTCTTCGATTCTGTGGGGATGACTCTTCAGTGCGAGATACCACATCGAATAGTTCGCCCTGGGGCGCTTTCACCCTTGCACTCCACGCCTTCCATGCCTTCCTACTCTGGAAACCACGAGTCCCGAGGTCCCCTCGTGCGACATGCAGTTGCCTGTGCGAGCTTTCGGAGCGCAAGTCGACTTGTCTCGCGGAGTGTTCGTGGGTCACAAACTGCTTGCCCTGATAAGGAGGTCTGCCCGCGGACATGCTGTGGGTCGGTCAATGATTATTTGGCGGCTTCAGGCTTCTTTGTACCCGGCACCGTTCGGCGTCTTGGTGGCGGGGAAAACCGACTTGCTGCACGTTCGCAAGGCAGCGCCAGCATCTCTACCCCTGGCCATGACTATTCCAGTTAAGTCGAAAACGCTAGACGCATTTCGACGAAACTTACTTCAGGTACGTTGCTTATGAATTATCCCGAAACAGCAAATTCGTGTGGTCATGCGTGAAATTCAAAGGGGGTAGGCCAATCAGCAGCTAGAATTTCCGTCCAGAGCAGTCTATTTGATGCACTCCAAACAGAAAATAATGAAACGAGTTTCGTCGAAATGCGTCTATCGTTGTCGACTTAGCTGTCAAGCGAGGAGCTTTATCATTTTTACTTGTCGTAATGGGCTCTCTTGGTTTCGTCCACTCGGATGAAGACAATTACTGCACCATGATCACATTGACTTTCTCTATCATGATGTCGACATCTGTTTTCTATCCCTGTGGCTTTAATCTATAGTGTATGTCGCTTGGAGAACGACATCGCGCGCAGATTGATCAGCTTGCTTTATCGGTCTGTACTTTCTATGTGGCGCAATGCATTCCGCCCGACGAATCATCTACTTCGGTTTAGTTGTACATGGCGGTTAACGTTGTGGCGCGATATCTCCCAAGGATGGACAAGAGTGAATTCCACCATCGGTGCGCAATCATGATATCTTCCACGTTCGCGCGATGTTTCGTCCACTTATTTGCTTGTGTTAGTCTCCGAATCCCATGCAAACTGGATAAGATGTTCTTCATGAAGTTGGTGCATCGTAAGCTACTAACTGCATGACAGCATTGCCTCAACCTTGGCCCTGCAGTGTCGCAAAACATTCCATCATGCAACGGTCTAAGCGCTCAAACATCTCGGTCGTGTTTCGGCGCCTACGAAGGTCTTGTGGACTCGAGTAATCTTCGTATATAGTGCGCAATCACACCATGTCTACCTTATCTACGTCGTTCCTGGGCGATGTTCTCAAAGCGAAACACGCAGGTACGGACTTGGTTGCTCAGCAGGTGTGATATCTTGTGATTTGTCTCAGACTCTTTACCAGGGTTATTCGGCGATATGGAACGAGGTTCCGCGAACGTGGGCAGGCCCTACTATCTGGAGTAGTCAGGGTGTTCGCCCTGTTGTTTCACGCTTCATCGTTTGTTCTCCAGGACGCCATGGCTCTGAGCGTTCAGGGGCTTGCCGAGGATGCACCGAAGACACAGCGACGCTCCGATATCCGGCTGGTGGATGAATGGCTGGCTCTCAGACAGGCACGTCGCGTCGCAGTCTAAAGCAGCGCATGGAAAACATCAACCACCCATGATCAGGATCAGCATTCCCCAACGTCGAGCATACCACCCGCCATCTCCCGGGTCTCGGTCATCTGCGGGTGGAATCCGGCTCGATGGTGTGCAAGTGACCTGCGCACGGATCGCCGATCGACATCGCCTGCCTGTCTGGGACATGCTGGCCGGTTTCTGCTGGTGGCACGCGTGCGGTACTTAGCTCCTGCCGGTGTCCTCGCGCAATTACATCTGTCGATGCGCATCGATGCGCTGATTCTCGTCACGCTGGCTCGCGTCGTGCGAGAAGCTGGGAAGCACGAACTCAAATTACTTGCCTAGTGTGGATGCTCTGCATGTTCTCTGCACTCAGTACTCAGGGCCGGTGAGAGACCTCGGATGACGGTGCATTCACATCAGTCCGCGCCTCGGCTGGGAGTGTTAGACTATGGCTTCCGTCAATTGAACCTTCGTTCTCGTGTCAGTGGGCTGCGCCACTTCTGCACTCTGACTGATGTCGCTGCCTCGTTCACGTAGACTTCGCGAACCATGTGCTCCGGTTTGTTTACTCTTGAGACAGGCCGACTACCACATTCTGCAACCTATGTACTGAATACCCAGCCGCTTTCCACACGTTTGTCAACGTCGCGCCGTCCGGGGGACTACGCAATTCACACGTGTCCTCACGCGCAGTTACAGTGCGCCAGCGCCATATTGCACCCGGCACGCGAGGGCAAGTTGAGTCAGCTCTCACGTATTGATTCGGGGTTACGCGGTGCAGGGTTCACTATTCATTACTGTACGCACCAACACTAGTACTGCAGCTACGGTCGACGCACGCGCCATAAGCATCGTGATTTAGTCGGAGAACTCACCCTGAATTTTAGCTCGCGCTGTATTTGGAGCTGATATATCGTACAGCAACGGTGGGATAATCTAGTCTATTCAGCGCGGTGGAGCTGCGGTCTGCTCGGTAGGATCCGCACACTTTGCATGCGGCCGCTGCGCCAGGGAGGGGGACCGGGGCTCCGAAGACGTATGACACGTCAACGTCGCTGTCAAGGCTGGCATGGAGCACGGGAAGCAGTTTATCAACGATATTTAGAGCGACTCAGGCGCTGCTGGTCAGTTGAAGGCCTCGTCGGTCCTGCTGCTGGGTAGGCTATTAGGCTGATGCCTACTAGCGAGGTTGTGAAGCTGCTCCATTGAGTTTTCAGTTACTTCAATAGGACTCATTCAGTATCCTCTCCTGTTCTCAAGATTTCATTCGCTATTATGAGTTATGATCACTGCAATTTGAATTATGAACCCGTCAAATAATCGATGCATTGATGACAGTGTGAACACTACAAGCATAAGGCAAAGCAGCTGCGAATATCACTTGGCAGGTTCAGTGGCCTTTTCTCACATATAGCATGGAATGTTGACCATGGAGTTAAGGTCGATTCCACTGTGGTCCTCGCAGTCTTCTGGAGCGTTGAAGTGGAACATCGACCATATGTCGAACGTACACACCTGCCCAAAGCGGCATGCCGTTCCATATCATGCTGAAAATGGCAATCTTCTCGAACGGTTTGGGTCGCTTTGGATTCTATTATAAATGGTATCAGGGGCCCAGTTCACGACGGTATGAGGACAGAAAACTCGAGACATAGGAAATTTCCAACCTTGCAGCTGTATTTTTTAACCATGAGGCAGCAGCGTATGATTTTAGTGTCCTTCCTTCAGCACAAGCACTGAACTTGTTTGATCACAGCCTGAGCAGCGATGCGGAGGAGCACGCATTGGCATTGCCAGAATACCTGTGGACGTTATTCTTTCCACCTCTCTGTCTTTGTGCTTACTGCGGTGACCATATGCGCGGTTAAATGGCCAAGTGTTTATGACTTGCATCCTACAATGGAGACGGATACCATCAAGCGAAATCTGCCATCTCACGTGGAAGTATGACTATGTCCATGGTGGAAGCTCACTCTTGCTGACCGCATAGTCTTACAAGAAATTGTGATGCTCATACAGTCGAAGCCGCAAAGCGATCAATGTGGACGATCATCTGCAAGACCGCTTCGATGCAACATGGTACTACGTGGAGAGCATCCCTATAGCCCACATGTCGACGACATCAATCTTATCCTCATGAAATGGTGCCACTCAGCATGCGGTCCCCTGCTCTCTAAATGGTATAAAAGCCAGATTGCTTTGTGGCCAATAACCTCATCAGATCCTCGAGCTCTGTCTCCAAACACCCCCACAGCCCTCTGCATGCTCTCAAGCTTCAGCTACTAATCATTATGTTCTGCAAGATCACCCTGTTCACCATAGCCCTTGCTGTCACTGCATCCGCAAGTCCGGTCGCCCTGGATTCCCAGCCTGGCATTCGCATTTCACTGCACAAGCGCGGTAGTTTGAAGAAGTCCGACGGTTCCTTTGACTATGCTAAGGCAGCTACCGAGCTTGTCAAAGTCCAGAAGTACATACCTCTCACTGATTATGTTGTATGAGCGCTCATGCACAAATGTCGTCTGCAGCAAGCATCACCAGAACTTGATCAACCTCCAATGCAACAAGGGTTATCTTCCTGACAGTCTCTATGTAAGCAACTGTGCCTCGGGCTACGAGTAGAAGAGGATAGAAATTAGTTAGCTACCTAGGAGCCTGTTCAGCTCCTTATATACTGTAAACTAAAAGACTAGAAACTACCAGACCATTCTTGAGACATTGTCCTTACTAATCCTAACCCTACGGACCTTTCCCGGACCTTTCCATAGATGCCGGATTGCTAATCCGCACACCTTCAACACTCTATATCCCCGAGCCCATCACCCTCTCCAAGTGCCAGGCCTTGCCTTTGACTGACCAAGAGAACAACCTTGAATGGACAGGTACCATCTCCATTAGCACTCCTGCATCCAACTTCATCATCGACTTCGACACTGGCTTCGCTGATCTCTGGGTTCCATCTTCGTCCTGCTTTAGATGCAGCTCGCACAATACGTATGATCCATCCTCCTCTTCGACCAGCCAGGACAAGACTGGCACGTTCTTGATCTGCTATGGAGATGGGTCGACCGCTTCTGGCCTCGAATACGCTGACACGGGTTAGTACTATTTTTCCCACTTAATGGTGGATTTGTTATGCGGCAGCAAAACACGAGTGTCAAGTCGAGTCGTCATGAGACAAGGTCTTTGTCTAAGACACAAGTCCATTCAAGAGACCTGTCGGGCAGTAATGTCAGTTATGAGGGATTATCTTTAGTGCTTATAAGTTACAAATAAGGATGAAATCCAGGTTTAATAAGCAGGTCATATACAAGGATAATCTACCAAGATTATCCCTAGCAGGCTAAGCCGAAGATAATCCAAACTACCGAGATTATCTTCAACAGGCTGAGCCGAAGATAATCCAAACCACCGAGATTATCTTCAACAGGCTGAGCTGAAGATAATTCAAACCACCGAGATTATCTTTAACAGGCTGAGTCGAAGATAATCCAAACCACCGAGATTATCTTTAGCAGGCTGAGCTGAAGATAATCCTGTCTATCAAGTGGGATCATCTCAGGTTGGATTATAGCAAACAGGATTATTCAGTACAAGATTATCTCAACTAAGATCATCTCCATTACAGATTATCTCAGAATAATCCATCACTTACCCGCTCACATTGACTCATCCCAAACTACCCGTGCTCCGATCAAGCTCATGCCGCTGCTTCATCCGTGCTTGCTCTTGCTACCCACGGCAGTAGTAACCCCCTTGAGCTTTGTCAGGCAGAGTAAGCACTCATTGCACGTCCTGACATCAGCCAACGATGCACCTGACTGTAGTCGAGCTTTTCCCCATCCACATCATTCCTCGCTTTGCTGAAAGTCACCTCGCACTCTGCAGCCTTCCTTCCATACATCCTTGCCTTTTTCATCGCATATGCCTGAGCCCCCCTCTCCATGCCTTCCTTCTCCCCTACATTCCACCATGCCTCATCCATGCGCCGCCAAGCACGTATCGTCCGTCGAAACTCTTCATGTAATTTGTTGACCTCTTCGTTGTGGCGGTGTTTGTCGGCACGTGCGCGGAACCACTCCACTCGTTCTGCTGCAGGTGAAGCAAATGATTAATATATTTATTTGCTTAACCACCTCAATAAAATTAACTTACCTTCACTGCTCCAAGCAGCGACATCCTGCGCCATCGTTCCCGGTGGAGCGACATTCCAAAACCATGCGCGCACCTCCTTGCTATCTCCGAGGGAGCGAGCTACCTGTAGATTTTTGATGGTCAAGTCTTTCTTGAGATCGATCGCACGGAGGGTGTTGTCGTCATTGTCGATCCCGAGCTCGATTAACTGTTGTCAGTTGTGGTTATATCATTGCGCGAGACTCCGGCTATGTTCAGCCGCATTCTGAATCATCTTCTGTGCTCGCGTGTTGTCCTTCTGCTCCCGCACACATCTTTGTCAGTTATGAAAGATAATCCTTTCTATCAATAAGTAGCAAATTTTCATGAGAATTGCTACTTTTAAGTAGACTTATCTGTAGGTGCATAGATTAATTTAGGATAATCTTAATATAATCTTCCAGATAATCTGAGGATAATCTTCTGCATAATCTGAGAATAATCTGAAGATTAGCAATAAAATACAATTTAAACTTTGACACTAGCCAGGATTGAACCCTGGACCTTAGGTTGATTTTATTGAATATAATTCCAAGTGACACTTTAGACCACTTGACCATTAGGCCGTACATCACAACTATCTTATATTAAATTAGACATCTTTTTCTTGAAAAAGACTTAGCCAAATTCTGTCTATTAGAAAAGAGTAAGTAAAAGACACTTGACTTTTATCATAGATAGACAAGACTTATAAACAAACATTACTCTGAGTCTTATAGTCTTTTCTAATGCTTGCAGCCTTCATATAATGTAGTACAATATGTAATTAATAGAATATATGTTTCTACAGTTACTTCAGCAAAACAGAACTTTGCTATACAATTAGAAGATAGCTATAAAGATCTTGTATATATAAGTGCTCAGTCTATAATATAATAGACTCTAGAGTATAAACCTAAAATGAACAAATAAAATACTGTCTCTCAATAACTTGTTATATATTATAGATGACTATATTAAGATACTCTATAGTACTGCATGATAGTTTACAAAAACTGTAAGCTGTAGAACAAGCACAGTGCAACGGTCGGCGACGGCGACAGGCAGTCCTGCTGCCAGAGCACCCGAATGTCGCACCTCTTCTTCAGAATATCTGTGGTCGAAGGGAGAGAACGACTGACAGCAAATCTAGTAGCCTGCCGTTTAGTGCCGAGGTGTTTTAGACCTCTCTGTTATGCGTTATAGTAGGTCTCTCATTATAAAACATTACAAGCAGTACTGCCTACTCACAGGACTCAGTGCATGCCGACGTAGGTATTTTGAAATCATTGTCTAATTTAATATAAGATAGTTGTGATGTATGGCCTAATGGTCAAGTGGTCTAAAGTGTCACTTGGAATTATATTTTATAAAATCAACCTAAGGTCCAGGGTTCAATCCTGGCTAGTGTCAAAGTTAAAATTGCATTTTATTGCTAATCTTCAGATTATTCTCAGATTATCCAGAAGATTATCCTCAGATTATCTGGAAGATTATATTAAGATTATCCAGAAGATTATCCTAAATTAATCTATACACCTACAGATAAGTCTACTTAAAAGTAGCAATTCTCATGAAAATTTGCTACTTATTGATAGAAAAGATTATCTTTCATAACTGACATCACTGCCGCACATGCTTAGTCTTGTCGCTGAGGAACGCACCTTGATGCCGTAGTGATTCCTTGATGGCGCTGAGGAGATCGTGCGCCAGCCCAATCTGAATGCGTTTCTCGAAACTCGTCAGAATCTCCAACGCGAACGTCTTGTGCTCGCCGCTGCTGAAGTCGGAAGGAAGGGCCAGGGCTTCCGATTCCGGCCGACCATGCGTTTCGTCGTCCTCATCATCCTCAACCTCCTCTGCATCCGGCAGTTCAACTTTCGGCATGAAGGTCACTTGCTGTCGATGCCACTTGTCCAAGTTGCGTCGCAAGCTGCGGCGTTCAGATTCCAGGCTCGCGGACTCGGTGGCAGATATATCGTCACCGTCATTGTGCCTTCCCAACTGTGCCTGCAACACCAACCTGTGCAGATGTAAGATCATTAGAATAGAGAGATGGAGAGACACGTACTACCTCTGTTCCAGCTGCAGAGCAGTTTTCAGGAACTGCGCAGCACCCGATGGGGCCTTGCTCACTGCGAGATCCATCTGGTGTTCCTCAGGCTGCACCTCAATCTTAGCTAACTCTTGATATGCGCGACCGGCACTCAGAACTGAAATGGTGAGAGTCTAGCACAAAATATGGACGTGCGCGCATACCTTTGGCATTGTTCAATGTGTAGACGCTCTTTACTTGTTTTCCTTTCTGCTTGAGGTTCACGTCCATGGCCTCCCACCTCGCAACTTTCTCCGAGCCAGCAACTTCGGTCAAAGCATCGTACAGCTGAGCCTTGCATTCCTGCCCCTTGAAACCCTTGCTGAGTTTGCGTGCAAGAAAAGTCCCTGTTACACAGCATCAGCGCGATTCCGTGAGCTGCAACTGGGAGAACACACCAACGTTCTCCACTTTCCGCCAGTTCCAATAGTTGTGAATGTTGTTCAGAGTGTCGTGACGATGGCCCGCTCCCATCTCACGCATACTGAGTCCGGCCTGGTTGTGCTCAGCCCACGGATGCTCGACGCTCTCTCCATGTGTGAGTCCAGTGCCCCACGTGTAACACAGTGCATACAAGACTTGGCAAGCTTCCTTGTGGGCGAGCATGTGCAATTTGGGTAATAGCATCTGGATACGATTGACCAGGGGTATGAGATGCGGGAACCGTGCCCCAAACTGCTTGAATATGTTGACCTTGTAGATGCAGGTGACGTCGTAAGTAAATATAATATGCAGCAGTTCGTCCAGGCCAGCCAGAGCGCCGGCAAGGGCAAAGTCCATGTGGCCAAACCTAAAGTTGTGGGTGAGTGCGATGACGTGCCGCGCGGTGTCGAAAGTACCTCTCTCCCTTCTGTAGGTCTACCATCGCCCTCGGGCGGAAGCAGCCATGCCGTATGCATATGACAGCGACTATGCCGCTGACTTCGAGGTTGCGAAATTTCCCCGGGCGCTGTGCCCGCGCCACTTTGAACCCACTACATGTTTCCGGCTGTCTTCCTAGTGAGAGATCGCACCATTGAACACACAGGCTGACGCATCGCAGGCTCTGCCTCGATAGACTCCATATATTGTGTCATTTTGTCTGGATGTACGAAGTACCCCTGTCCTAATCCCAGGCTGATGTCATTCGGGTCATCGTGCTTTCGCTTTTTTTGCAAGCCGTGATTCCCATCGCCGCCGAGCTCACACGCGTGTATATATCTAGAGACAGCTGAATGCTAGGAAAGAGAGTATAGAATGAGTAAACACTTACGCGAGCGAAGCGGGAGTGTCCTTCCAATCTCGGGGCATATTCATGCCAGGCCATGGGCAGGTAAAACAGGGTACCGTGAGGGATTGAGGATCGCGATTTGGAAGTACCAAACCGTGGAAGTTGCCCGCGCACTTCATCATCGTGAGATGATGCCAAATTCGACTGATAATATTAAACTCCCTGTATCGATTCTGATGAGTGTCAGTGATCCTCGTCGCAGCACCAGCGATGAAAATGCTTACCTTTACTGTCTGTGGCGCTGAATTGTTCGACAGTCTTCTAAGGGCGTAGATGTAATCGTACGCCCCCTTCTTCAACATCAATGCATGCATGTGCCACTCTTTCAGGAGTGGCACGGTGAATGCACTTTCCAGGTGATCCAACGTCACTGGGAACAACCCAGCATGCAACATTTGAAAAACGCGGCCTGGTGCACCGGGGCAATGGCACCAGTGCGTCCTGACTTCGTGGACCCCGTTCGTGTGAGTAACGACCAATTTGGACGGGGAGACATGGTCCACCACATAGGGGCAGCATGCTCCGTAATGCCCTAGGCACAGCCTGTATCCCAGTGTCAACAAATCAACTTTATCGAAGAACTCGCCGTTCCAAACATCGATCCAGTGGAAAGGATCGTGGTGATGACCGTTCATGATACACTCCGCACAGAGTGCAGCGGACTGGAAGCAGTCTCAGCATCATGCCGCTGAGGGTGCCCCACATACACAGAGGCTGGGGATGTTCACATGAGCTTCTGTGGCCAAAAGGACTGCGAGCAGATCACGAAAATGGGGCTTCCATCCCGCGAACACCCTGGAGACACCGTTCTGCAGTAGTACACATAAGAAATCAAAGGAGTAGCATGCACATATACGACTTACCTTGACACGATCCTCCATAGCTTCCGCCTCAGCAGAAGCAATGTCATTTATCGTGACATCGGGACCATCAGTCAGCGCCGATGAGGGCCCCACCTCGGGGAGCGACTCGTCATCGATCGACAAAAGCTTGCGCTTTTTGGGTGGAGTCCCAGAGTTGAATACAATGCCAGTGCCAGACAGGAAATGGCGGCCGTCACTGTCGAGTCCCATCTTCTTGGAGACAAGGGCTACCTTGCGCCGAGGTGATTGGAAAGTAATTCCTTTCGCTTTAGCCGTCGGTCGATGCATCATTGAATGACTATTAACCACGCAGGTTAGACGCGTTTCTTGAAAAGACACAACAACTTACCTGACAGTGCAAAGAGACTGAGGCTCGTTGTGTCCGGTCCAGTCGCGAGGCCCCGAAATATTCGACTTGGTTCGCAATGCCTCGCCCGGATCTCTCAGCTTGCGGATTGCCCGCCGCAGAAGTCCCAAGTTGGGGTGATCGAGTAGCTACGGAAAAGTACATACTACGGGCCTAAGATCTATCGGAACCAATCTAACAATTTGCCCTGCAGCCTGACACATCCCGGAGGGATATCTGGTACGTCCCAAGACAAGCCGCTGCAGGACAACTTGGGATGAGAAATGTAATCTGCAAAGGGAACAGCAAACCACTCACCAAAGTGAATTTGGGCACAACAATGGCCTCACAAACTTTTGAATGCATAGTGTAAGTGAACGGGATGATATTGAAGGTTGAGACAACGAGCAAGAAGAAAAAAACTCACCTGCCAGAGTTGGTGATACCCTACGTTGTCGATATCCCTACGTCCACTCAACTGCTGGTAATACCAGCGGGAGCGGATGCATACCGAGGTCTCACGATGGCCGTATGGCCATCGGAGCACCACGGTGCTTGAGGAGGGAGGGCGGAAAGTCGGGGAGATGAGGCTTGATGCTTGAGGCGCGAGCTTGGGGAGCAAAGGGCTTGAGGCTGGAGGAGACTTGAGATTTGGCTAAGTCTCGCGCTGATAATTGTATTCGTGTGGAGCTCAAACCCATCAACCAAAATGGTAGGCCGTATACAGTGCTCGACAAACTCCGATAAGCGGAGTGTAAACTACAAGGGATCAGCCGCGGATAATCCCTTGTCTTATCCATCGTCCATCGTCATCCTCGTAGCCCACCACTTCCTCTCTGTGAGTTCAGTCTCACAAGTTCTTGTTCTCTTCATTTCTCCTCAAGTCCAGGGCATGAACGGGAGGCATATGCCTTTCGAACACCTCTGAGAATGACAGCTGCGCGCGAAGAGATGTTGTTCTCTTCGCCTGGCTGGTGGTCAGCAAGATCTCAAGACCTCAAGACCTCAGGCAGGCGACCGACTGAACGCTGTGTTTGCGACGCAGCTATCCCATTTTCCCGTAAGTTCCTGAACTATTGGTGTGCTCGATTGCAGCTGCATCCCCGCAGCGGTAAGTGTCTCAGACTTTGAGCTACATCTTGTAGTTCAAAGTACTCGAGTGATTCTCTCGCTAATTCTTTCACGCATTCGTATGTAGGCTATTACTTGTATACCGGTCTTGCTGTGTTGGTGTGTGAGCAACCTCGGGTCTCGCTTTTTTTTCGCTGAGGTTTCCTGAGGTATGCCGACCAGAGCTCAGAGTTTGTTCTACTCTGACTATGTGTTCTCACTGAAACAGAGGATGTCTACGAGACGTGGATGCAGATGTGGGCATGAGGCGAATGCAGGACCAGGACAACGGGCAAGGGGTCGATCAGGTGAAACTTTTCCTCAACCTTCTGCCTGTCGTGGGCGCTGAGCGATCTCATACCTCACACCAGCACGTGGTGGAAATCGTTCCAGGCCATCGGCCTCCCAAACCAGCAATGACCCAACATCGCGAGCGTTGGCGCTGCCGACTGCGTCGTCATCTCAGCAGGCGATCATTGACGGGGAGGGCGAGCTAGCTGGTAGGCAGAACTTACAATGCGCTAGCAGCTGTTTCTGATCATCCGAAACAGTAACCGATGAATTGAAGGCGTTTGATGGCATTTTGGCCACGGACTTTCCACTGCGTGAGGAGGGTGTGATTACCACTCCAAACGCGACTTACATACCCGAGTTCCCAGTCATACATGATGGGCAAATTGTCACAAGGCAGGATGGCCGATGGGGGCCTCAAGAATACTCGAGGTGGCTGCAGATGTATGACCGCAAGGTTATCCACCACATGTGCATCCCGACTTTGCAGAGCGTGGTGGAGGCAGATGCAATGGTGCTGTGGGATAAGATACGGGTATGGAAATGGGAGGTAGACACCACATGCAGCATGCCCGAGCTGGGCTTCCTGGTGGAGGACAAGCTCAAAGCACTCACCGAGACGGCCCTGCGTGTGACACACAGATTCAAACACAAGCTTGGCGATATGGTCTCAGAGAAGAACAAAGTCGGCATGCAGCTCCTGCTGATGCTCGCGCAATGCCTTGACCGTCTCCACCTCTTACTGACCTCTTGCAATCACGTGATTGCGCTGAGCGCACATGTGCAACACCTCACCCTCGAGTTGTGGAGGTACGTGAACTACTACTCAGTTGTCGTCGGTCACCTCGAGACCCTGACTCTGCACGGGAGTGTGAATTGGGATGTATTACCGGTCCGTGGTGCATTCACGAATGATGCGAGTGTCGCGCAATCAATGTTTCGCGTCGGCGTGCCATTTTGGTTCATCCAGATGAAGACCGACAAGACGAGGATCAAGAAGTGGGCATTCCCTGTGCCTATCAGCAACAAGCTAAGCCTCGAAATGTCATGGCCACACCTTCTCAGGAATGAGACCGATCTCACAGGGATCTTGAACTGCCCGGGAGATTGGCCCTTGAGGATGCTGCACGAGGCTACCAATGCCATCTGTGATGCGTGCCTGCCACCTTTGGAAGGCACATCTGAAAGCTCAAGTGCTGAGCAGCCCTCACAGAAGAAGCAAAAGGACGACAAGCAGCTGTCCGTTTAGCAAGGTGATGGCAACGTCGAGTCGCAGGCCTCGCACTCTGTGGCGGAGTCCTCCAAGAAGTCCAAGCGGTCGCATCGTGGCACGCGAGGAAAAAAGAATCACCACATCGAAGGTTCTAGCATGGAGACGTCACAGCCCGCCCATCCATCTTTGGCGCATGAGCGCAGCACATTAATCGGTGCTGCGTGAAACACCACACTCTCAGCTGTGCCGCCTTTGGCAGCTCCCACGCGGGCGGCAACGTACTTCTTCCCTCCGCCTTTCGTGCTTAGGTGCTCCGGCGACAAGCTTAGGTGGTATCTGCACAATTTCGTGCGGATCCGCGGATTTTGTCATTAACGTATTCTAGATCTGACAATTGGTGGCCTCCCGCTGAAGATAGCAGAATGGCGTGATGCGTTATGGGGGGATTACAGCCTGGACGAGGCGGTGGATGGCGGCAGTGCAATCACCACACCTATCAGCCAATATATACCCAAATGTCCATATAACCGAGGTGGAATATTTTGTGTAAATTTCCATAAAACCGAGTGTTGGCCAAGAATATAATATAGGATGGAGATATAGGGTTGGCCAAGATGAATAGGCTATATAGGCTGAGTCGCATATTTGGGAGTTAGCCAAGGGAGGCGCAGTTTGAAGTCTATATAGGTTGTCGGGCATTTTGGGGTCGGCCGCCATGTCTCTATATAGATTGTAGCTGAAATTGTGCCATTGGCCAAGAGTCATAAAATTCCAATCCTATATAGAGTTTGCAGACAGTTGGGCTTGGCCAAGTGGACCTATATAGAATCTTTGTGTAAATGGTCCACTTGGCCAAGGCACATGAAATTTCGATCCTATATAGCATCTCCTGAAATTTGGCCATGGCCAAGAGTACCCTATATAGATTTTTTGTGGAAATAGTGCCTGCGGCCAGGGGTCGAGAAATTTGCATTCTATATAGGATTGTCTGAAATTTGGCCTCGGCTGAAGATATCCTATATAGTTCTTGTGGAAATGGTGGCCTCGGCCGAGAGTCATCAAATTTCAACCTATATAGAGATATCTGAATTTTGGCCTTGGCTGAATATACACTATATAGTTCTTGCACAGATGTTGGCCTTGGCCGAAGGTAGTCGAATTTCTATTCTATATAGGGTCTTCTGAACTATGACATTGGCTGAGGATGCCCTATATAGGGTGATTGAAAATAATGGTCTCGGCTGAGACTCTTGAAATTTGTATCCTATATAGGATTCTCCACACTTTTGCTTCAGCGGAGTAGCATCCTCTATTTGTTTTAATCAGAAAGGGCAAAATTTCCTTCACACATAGGAGTTTTAAAGCTGAGGCCTTCACCCAGTGTATATATACAGGTTTCATCACATGTGATGCCATCAGCTGTAATGAGCCAGGTCAGACCACCTTCAGGGTTTGTGTAGGAGTTGGGCAGTCCTTTGCTGTCACATTCTGAGACCAATATCCTTCATATCAAATGATTCAGTGTCACTGAATTCAATTTAAGAGTAAACTAATTGTGAAGTATCTGCTAGAACCCCTGACGCACTACATACTGGGGAGTCATCAGTGCGAGATATGTCCCATATTCTACCCATGAGGTTTTGTTGATCTTTAACACCTCAAATACTGCCGAGCGCATATAGTGTGCTATGCATATCCTCTCACCTCCCTCCCATGCATCACAGCTATGTTCTAAAACTCTTCCCCAGATTCCTACCAATGTTCCAGGGCAGTAACCCAGCTCCATTTGCAGATCATCTAATCGAAGCACTGCCCATTTATGAGTACCCACACTGGCCAATAAATCAAGGCATGCATGCCAGGCTTTGCCATCCTGATGAGGAATTGTCCGTCGATTCGCAATAATCCCCATTGCTGTGAAATTTGAGGGCCACCGTTGAACATTCTCATGCGTCCGCTGTAGAAAATTCTCATGCTGAATCTTCAACTTGCTAGAGATGCCTGCAAAATAGAGTGGCCGGTTTATCAGGCATAAAGTTGTGTTCAGCAACTGCTCAACAAATGAGGTCCTCTCCAGCCAATTACCGACCGGTTCGTTTCGTAATGAGACAGATGGAACGAGATTTGTCTGAAGCATGCATGCTCTTCTCAGATCATATAAATGTGGCATTGATGTCCAAACTCACATTATGTCCTTGTGCAAACCATCCAGCAGAGATGTCCAGAGAGTCTGGGTTGAACCGTCCACCGGGGGCTGCAATGAACAGATCTGCATCTGTCTGAAAGTTTCCACCTTGTGAAACTGTTCTCTGAAGTAACTGGTTTATTTCACAAGTCGCATCATTGTAGTCGTTCTAGGGCTTATATTAGCAAGTGACAGCAGTTAGAGAGAAGACTTACTATACGTGCTTGTCCCAAGATACCTGGCAGATACCATGTAAGAACCTTATTGTTCGTGTCCAGAATAACTGCAGGCTCTAAGATGACTAGCATTGGTCCTTGGCAGTCCTGCTTGCCATTCTTCTTCAGCACTCCCTTGTCCATCACATAACAATTGACATGAACTTAGTAACACGGCAAATCAATATGCATCCGATTGAAACAAGCAAAAATGACAAACTGGGATTCAGAAGCGCACAGGCAACAACAGTGACAATATAGTCCAGCTCCACGGCATGGGGTGCCGATGTGAAATTCACATGTTGAGCCATAAGGGATTTTTCCTTCAATGCCTGCTGCTGGAGGCGTGTTCTGCATGATCATAAGCAACACAAATGTAGATCATGGAATCAAACAGACCTTATTCTCTCGCGTTCAATGTCAGCGACTGGAGCAGTGTGCCTATGAGTATTATAAAAACCAGTAGCCTCCTTCAGCAACTCCGATAACCTCTTCCACAGAAATTCATCAAGTGTCAGTGCACTGTATGCAGAATTCACGTCAGTAAAGAAAAGGAGGTAAGCCTGTCAGACTAAAATACCCCTTCGTCATCTCAGCTGTTTTATGACCTTTTTCATCCGACAATCTATGCTCCTGTGCATGCCAACGACATTTATGTGATTGAGGAAGACTATGTCGAAATCTTCCGCCTTGAAAAGTCATCAGACAATGAAAATAGGATTATAAAAAATTGCACAGTGCCAGCACATCATGCAAAGTTGTCACATGATCACGAGTTTCCCACAGTCATGTGACCTCATGACTGCAGCGCATTCTCCAAGGTTCCTTTATGTCAGAGTCTCTCCACCGAAATGAGAGAAAACATTGACCAACTCATTTGTGTAGTTTTCATATAGTATCACTACAGACATATCGAACGCAGACCACAAAATTCATATCAAAAGCAAATCACAAAAATTGATACTGTACAAAGACAACACATTTAGGGAGAAAAAGAAAGCATACAATGACCACACATATTGTACAAAGGGTAAGCGATGGGCAAGAAACAGAAAGCATATGACAATAACTGATATCGTACAAAGGGCAAGTGGTGGGCAAGAAATCGAAAGCATATGACAACAACTGATATCGTACAAAGGGAAAGGAGTGGGTAACAAAGACACGGTATGATATGTCCTAAACTACTGCTGAATAACCTTCACCCAGGCGCCTTGGTTGAACTCCTTCAGAAGCCTGCCATCCTGCGGAGGCTCAAAGCTCCACTCAGCATGACAATGCTTGCAGCGATAGCAATGAGTCTGGGGAGAAGTGCCCTTACGATCGAAAAAGACGAAAGTGCCTAAGTGAAGACAAGTGTCGCATTGCATTGGAACCCGATTGCCATAGGGGCTGATCCTGGGATGATCCCAGATGTACTCTGAGATGGTCAGCTTGTAGGACTCTGCCCATGCTCGCTTACGCCTGGCCTTATCCAAATCACCAGTCATCGCATCACCACGGCTGATGACATGATCCTGAGTGGTTTCTTCCAAGAGAATGACCCTGGAGTGCCTGCCCAATGGGCCTGAACTGGCGAGAAGTTCGCTCATCAGCAGGTCACCGACAGTGGCTCCTTCAATAAACACACGGCGCACGAATCCAAAAAAGAAGGGGGCCGCACTGATAGAAGACAGTGCCGGTGCTGTGAATGCCAAAACCCGGGGGAGCTTGTAGCTAAATCGTGCATGTGTAAAAATGCTAATATCGAGTGGAGGGTAATGGGAAGACCATACCGTGTACAAACTGTGACCAAGTCTTCCCCAGGAGCTGCCTTTGACACCACGGAACCACAAGCCAGCAGCGCAAATGTTGTCGGCACCTCTCGGGAGAGTGCCATCAGGTCTTCACAGACAACAAATTTGAAGAACTGTGACGAATCAGTGAATGCAAGGTCCCATCGGTCATGAGAGACTTACAGTATCAATTGTGCCTACCCAGTGGCTGCTGTAAAACAAGTCATCGGTGTCGTCGTGCGAGTGTGTATAAATAAGAATTAGCATGCAGGTAGGCTTGTAGCTAGTGACACAGGAGAAGATCAGGATCAGCTCTGAGTCAATGTGAAAGGCAGATGACATACGATCGAATTTTCGACACTATGTTGAGCATATGAAGATGATGACCTTCTGTGGCCTCTGAGCCTTCCAAGTCAAAGACGACATCCAGCCGGTTTAGGAACTCTCTGCAGTCAACGTAATAGGCTCGAAGATACTCCTCCACAAGATTGGCGATGGTACCATACTCAGACAGCGAGCGCAGGCGCAGATGAACCAAAACCAAAGATGAGGTATCCAACCTTGCGGTCTGTGATATCTCAGGCTTGCCGAGAATCCGAAGACCTTTCGTCAATGGTACCCAAGGTTTTTCCGCAGATTGGACACTATACAGGCCCTGATAACCCTCAGACATCAGCTTCTGTGGGAGTAAAGAATGCATATAACCTACATGGTATACCTGCATCGCACCACCGCCACGCTTTGTAGCGCAGGCCAGACATTCAAACCGCATCTGCTCAGTCATATTCCACTGCTGGAGATCTGGAATGCAATGCAAGCAAACAGCTCTGCCGCAGTTAGGACGGTCACAGTCGACCAAGTCTCCACCTTGTTGGCAGAGAAAGCAATACTAGGTGCATTGAGTCAGCAAGACTCATATGTTGAAGAGAGAAAACACACCACATCAGAATTGGAGATGACATTGGAAACAACTGACACCGGGCTTGGCAGCTGAGAGACCACATGCAGGTCATCGGAGGCTTGTAACATTCCAGAGGCTAATATCATAAGAATAAAGATGCACTGCCGAAAATTGAACAACGCACCATTGTCGAGTGGGCCACGTTCACCTGTCCGCAACCCCACAGACATCTGTGCCATCTGAAAGACCTTGTGATGTTGACGCTTCGGTGGGTGAGTAGGAGGAGGTGTAGTTAGATCGGGGGTGAGTGCGCTGCGCTCATGTTCACTAACAGTGGCGGCGGTAGACACTACAGGACAAGCCAAGAGTCGACTGCTTCGGCGTCAAGGGGCATCCACTTTAGCAGCAGATGCACGTCCTTTCGGCCTGTGTATGACTCCGTGAGATGGGCGGCTCTGAAAGACAGGTGAGGGCTGGACAGGAACACTTTGTTCATCCTCGTCCTCGTCATCATCCTCGTCCTCGTCCTCATCATTGTCCTCATCCTCGTTCTTGTCCTCCTCCTTGCCCTCCTCCTCGATGACCTCCTTGATGCCCTCCTCGACATCTGACACAGGTGTATAGCTCTGCGGCTGGTGGATTGTCTCCTCCGATTCCTCGTCGGTATTATCCAATTCATCCGTCTCCTCTGACTCGTCATTGGACAGAGGTGGGCTTCCTGTGCGATCGCGATTTACTACGAACATGTCACCTCAGTCCGAGTCGTCATCCAGAATCTCCCCCTTCAACTGACCAGCTTCATCGGCATCTTCATACGAACCTCTATGCGAAAGGCTCCCCCTGTCCTCTCCGCTTCCCCTCGACTAGAACTGCTTCTAATCATCCACATCCATCATCTCGTCCACACTCGGAGTCGATTGCGACATAGCATCTTCTTGAGGGGTCATGTGAGGCATCGGCGAATGCACGGTAGAGTCTGTCATCAACATATCAAATGAAATGTTGCTTACTTGACAAACATTTTCACTATTAGAAACATAGAAACATACCAGGTCTGTCCTTTTGCGAAGTTCGGCCAGAGGAGTAAGCCGGTGGCGCAGATCTACGGTATGAGATGCCTCCCCCAATCAGTTGATCGGCCGGATCGAGATTGAAAGCTTGATGCCGGTCCTGGCTTGTACCCACAGTCGCAAGATCCTCCGGGATTGAGTGCAGATTGGAGGTAGAGTGCCTGACACCAGACTGTGGGGTAGAGGTCTGATGGGCAGGCTGAGCAGACTGTGCGCGCTTCCCGGACTGGCTGTGCATGGTAGAATATACAAAAGCAGTGAAATAGATGTCTGAGAATAAGCAGGAGAGGCACAGCAACTGAAATATAGCAGAGATCAGACAGCAAGGATAGAGCAAGAGAGAGAGAGAGAGATAGATCAGATTACAGTGATTGCAATCAAAAGGACTTGTGCGCGCGAGCCCATGGAGATCACGTGATATGCTTGGAGGGCCGGACTTCCCGAAATCTAGTGGACAGTGGCTGAAATTTGATCGGAGTCCGAAAATCATCCAAATATAGCAATATTTCAGCCACCAGTGTACACCTTCTGCATATGGAAGGTGCTTGACGCGTCTGGTGTCTGGGGCACATGACCAAACAAACATGGCCAAATAGTTGGTTTTATGAGCTGGCGCAACTTCCTCTCTCTCTTTCTTCTCTACCACCACCATCCCCTTCCCAGCAAGCCGGCCACAAGTGGCTGAGCTTTGTTGCTGCATGTTGCCATGGGCATGCAGTGTCAAAGCTCAGTTATTTGTGCATGCCTTTGTAAGGTGACTGTTTCTTTTCCTGTAAATAGTATTATGTAATATGCACTTTACTGACATCATCCCATGGCTGGTCTTTGGCCAGTCATGGGGTACATGTGGGTTTTGGGGGATCACTGGGCATGCGGCGGTGAGCTGCAGAGGGCTCCGCATTGTGGGGGCGACCCACTCGCGTCCCTCACCTGGTACTTGAGATTTGGGGGATCACTGGGCATGCGGCGACGAGCTGCAGAGGGCTCCGCGTTGTGGGGGCGACCCACTCGCGCCTCTCACCCAGTATATATGGGAATTGGGGGATCACTGGGCATGCGGCGGTGAGCTGCAGAGGGCTCCGCATTGTGGGGGAGACCCACTCGCGTCCCTCACCTGGTACTTGAGATTTGGGGGATCACTGGGCATGCGGCGGCGAGCTGCAGAGGGCTCCGCGTTGTGGGGGCAACCCATTCGCGTCCCTCACCTGGTACTTGAGATTTGGGGGATCACTGGGCGTGCGGCGGCGAGCTGCAGAGGGCTCCGTGTTGTGGGGGCGACCCACTCGCGCCTCTCACCCAGTATATACGGGAATTGGGGGATTTTGCACTTCGGTGCCAATGCGCTTCGGCGTACTTGCGTCTAGGCGCATATGTGCTCTGCACATTACATTGTCGCTGGCCATCAGCCTTGTGCTGTGCGAGTCATGCGTGGAGCCGCCATTGGCCTGCTCCACAAGGTCAGTCTTTTTTACTTGTTTGTTTCTTTTTGCATGGTATGGTGCGAGTACAGGAAGTGTAAGGAAGATGTGGTAAGTACTCCACAGCACATCATACAGATACTGACAAGGGTTCTTCAGCATATGGTGGGTTTTATGGCAGTGGTGAAGACCAGGCCAAATCCTATAGTGGATTGAAAGAACCGGTGAGTTTTTTTCCTTGCATTTTGAAGAATACTGACCTCTTGATGTTTCCACAGCCTCTTACACATGTACTGAAAATTGACGACGGTCACTGCAGCGCGCAAGGTGAGCATTTTCTAACGTTTTCCGACTGTTTTCTGACTTCCTTTTGGTGTTTTGCAGATTGTATTTGTACTTTCCTTGTAGTCTATTTTCTTTCATTTTTCCCTTCTTCCTGGTGCTTGTGGCGAATGAGGGAGGGCCCGCCCTCAGTCATCACAAGTCACCTTTTGTTTTCCATCTTTGTAGTTAGAAAAAATTGTAATACTTGAGTTTGTATCCATGAAGCATGAATAAGGCGAAGCCATGCCGGTATGCCAGACGATGCACGGGCGCTTAAGTCACGTGATCACATCATGCGCCACCGTGTGCACTTTTTGAACCCTTGGCCCTGCCCAAATTTCCATCTTGCCTCTTCCCACCATCTGCTACAACAGCAATTCCAGTACTTTCATCCTTTCAAAAGCCCTACTATCAACCATGGCTGGCAAAGCTCGTTGGTCGAAGCCCTATGGCTCCATGATGGTGTTGTACTACCCTAAGTGGAGAGACAGCAAGCGTGGTGCACGTGCAGCTGTTGTGACAAAGGTCTCAGAGGCGATTACAGCAAGGGCGAATGCAAAGGGATGGGACAGGCCCAAGGTCAACACTCAAGTACGTCGACATGGTAAATTTTTTCAGTCTACATCTTCTCACTTCCTGCATAGCAAATCAGCAACTGGTTCGCAAATAATAAGGCTGCATTGGATCTCAGAATCATTCCCGGCACGACAGATCGCAAGTTCTCTCTCGCAGATGCTGAACGCATGGCCAAGGATGACAATTATCCCGATCTGACTGAAGGTGAAGGTGGGGCTGATCCCGCCACTGTGGACGACGATGACATAGAGCCATTCTCGGTGGAGGAAAATGCAGCTGATGTGCGAAAGAAGATGATGGGGCAGAAGTGGTCTTTGCGAAAGACTGCGCACTGGGCATGACGAGAGGAGCTGTTGGAAAGGATTGGCCAGGAGCATCCTGATGCGAAGGATCAAGTTGAGAAATTGGTCTGATATACCAAGGCATTTGTAGATAAATGGCATGACCTAGCCGACGAGGAGCGAGATGAACTGAAAGTGCTTGCTGCGAAGAAGACGGAGGAGTCGCAGATGGATCGAGCTGGGCAAATTGCCTATGCTCAAAAGCATCTTGGCAGGATGGGTGAAGACTTCATCCAGACTGTGGAGACAAAGATGGGAGGAAAGGTTCTCATCCTCCTGGCCTTGCCGACAGAGAAGCCCACACAAATTCAGCGCACCAAGTAAGTCTTGGCCATCATTATTTGCATTATTTTATTCACCGCCATCCTAGGCTTCAGTCACCTGATACTGGTGGCTTTCTGAAGTTCACCGACTCTGTCGATGACTGGCAGAAAGATTTGTGGAAGAAGTGGGGGATGTGGGCAATGAATGTCATGAGTAAGTCATACCCATGGAATATGAAGCAACATGCACTAATCAATGACTAGTTCCCGATGAGCTTAAGGATAATGATGCCGAAGAAGAGGATGAAATCGCACTCACCGATGTGCAGCACGAGATCGATGATGATGGCAATGCCATCGTTCCTGCATTTGAGGAGACGTGGAAGCTGACTCAAAAGCGTCATTTGGTCCGGGCCATTGTGACTCACCAGCATCGTAAGCTTCATTCTCAAAAGTGAATCTGTATCCATGCTGATGATATACATGCAGGAAAGATTGTTGATTCCAAGCGCGCAAAGTGCCCGTGGAAGAAGATCAGTGAAGATGTCCGCAAGTACATTGATGAGGCATGTTGGCCGGACAGCGTGGTCTTTGCTGAACCTTGGAACATCGGTGTTGACAACATCGATTTGCTCCTCAAGCACTGGGCGAATCGACAGGCTATTGGCTCAGTTGCTTTCCAATTTCTGGTAGCAGCTGGTGGAGGTGATGCCGTGAAGCCCAGGGGGAAAAAGCAGAAAGACGTCACTGATATGAATGTTGGCGATTCGGCAGATGAAGGGGACCAGGACGACAACGATAATGAGGTGGAGGTCAGAGTCAATTGTCACATGAAGGGCAAAGGCAAGCAGCCTGCCATGAGGAAGAAGCATGTTCCCCCACATTCTGAGGAGAAGTTCGACTTGGATAATGTTTCCAGCGGCGAGGATGACTCAGTGGGGGTAAAGACGAAGGCTGCGATGAACACGGCCAAGTCAACGCACACCGCCAATACTGCCTATGATGAGGAGGGATGGCAGCCATTTTCTGCACAGGATCTTGTCGATGTTCCTCGGATGGGAGAAGCGAGTTCATCTGGAGTTGCTGGTGCTTCGGCAGCAATTGCGCATGCAAGGAAACTCTATCCGAGGATCGCCAATCACCCGGAAGATATTATTCTGTGGCCCAGGTCAATGATGGTTGATGCCGACTGGTATAAGCATGATGTTAGCAGAATTGTGATCCCTCCGCCAGCATTTTCACTTCCGGATCCTGCTGAAAATGATGCAGCAGAGCTAGAGTGGGTTGACTGCCAGAAGGCGATTTTACTGACAACGTCTGCCCGATTCCAAGGCTTCAGGATACTTGACCTCGAACATATCGTTCAGCGACCATCAATGGCACAGTTGGATAATCCGGGATGTTTTGCTCCGCGGTTGCTGGCTGATGACACCGCTGGTATTCCTGAAGAATATGTAAAGGTGTGGAAATATGAGCCTGGAGTATGGCAAGCTATCGAGCATCCTCTTTGAGAGCAATGGACGCTTGCAGGCAATTGGGTTGGTGGTCTTCCACGCATTGTGCCATCCTATAAAGCCTTTCTGCAATGGAATTCCCCTCTGATGTGAGCGGTTACTGTTTTGGTCCAACTGATCGGGTCTCATGCTTGTTATTAGCAATAATCCGGAAGATGGATCGCCTGCTTCGGCAACTCAGCGATCTGAATTTCTTTTATCTCTGTCTACCTTTAAGGAGTACAGGCTTCTTGTCAAAGTCTGCCAACTCACTCCCGTAAGTCAATTTGCTTTCCGATAGATTATTCATCTGATCAGAGATGTAGTGTGTCACACTGATGCTCAAAGAATATCCTCGCCCAGCATGGGCATCATGGGAACTCGCACACCGTGAACTCCCTCCCGACTTCTGCACGCCGAAGGGAATTGAGATCTTCTGTGCTTATATTAAGGCACGACCGTATCAGGGATTTGAGATGCTGACCTCAGCTTTGGAGCTCTCACTCATGACATTGGCAATTGGCTTGGTACTGTGATTCATTGCCGAGCATAATGATCCACAGACAGTTGCACTTGGCCTTGATGACACCCTCGTGTTGCAGCTTCGTCGACTATGTTGGCTCTTTGCATGGCAGATTCGTGCATATACGAAGACCGCATATGCAGAGGGCGGCCTGACAGCAGATGAATTCTCAGCATACTCAGCGATGACAGGCCTCGTGGAGGAGCCAGTGATCGTAGAGCATCGGATGGTGTGTATGCTGCGAAAGCAAATGGATAAGACTGGTAGGTGGATTGGGCAAGGCCAACCTCATAGGTGCAAAAGGATCTGACATTCTGTGAGGGATGTCGTGGTCATGCTCTCCGCTGATGCAACTCTTAACGATGTTAACGAATATCTGACTGATGACTACATGCGACACTATCAGGAAAAGGTAGAGTCGGGTCCTGTGCGAACAGCAAAAGCTGCATGGCTGATCTCCCAACAGTTGATCAAGACTACATCAGCACCTGCCGATTCTCAAGCAGCCACGGCTGATAGCACTGCTGTGCAGCCACAGGTGAGGACATCCATCCATCTCCTTGATCATAGTGCTGAAGTTAAACAGGCCTCGTCTCAGCTGCAACGTCACCGAGCCCAGCCCACTCCTCCACCGGTAGAGTTTTTAGCTAATAGTGATGATGAACCGGCACCTCAGGAACGTCCGAAAACCCGCCAGTGACAACATCATCAGCAGGCTCCTCCTGTTGCGGCCGGAGAGCCTCCAGAGGAGGATCAATTGCAAGAGGAACCCACCAGGTTTTGTTGGCATGGTTTTTTATTGTCTTCACATTTGCTAATCGTGTTCATTTTTTAATCACAATAGATCTGCTGGAAAGAAGAGAACTCGGGCACAGGCCAAAGATGGAGGCACTGCTCCCAGTACCTCCAGTGCTGTCATTCCATGTCGCACTGGCCGAGTGACTGTAGCAACAAGGAAGGCTCAAGCAGCTGCAGCTGGGGTGACAGCAGTGACAGAGGTGACACCTGCTCAGGCGGCAAAGGCCAAGGCTCCTGCATGGAAAAAGAAGGGATCTTGGAAGTAGATATAATTTGCGCATTGTTATAACCTTGTCATGTTATGCAATATGAGAATCATGTTTTTTATGATTTGCACGAGGTAGAAAATCATATGACCAACACCAGGCAGCCAGCAAAATGATTACTCATTCATCACATAATTTGTATTTCATGGAGCATGTGGCCTGCACATGTTGATAAAGAGATTGCCCACCACATTTCTTCTCCCTTGCTTTCTCCCCACCACTTTCACCGGCATCACAATGTCTCCAAGAAGTCAAAAGCAGTTCAGGAAATCGAAGCGCCATCGCAGTTCAATTGAGGATGTTGACCTTGTAGAGGTTTGGGCACGCTGGGGCAGAAAGTGGGTGATGCGAGCTGTGCAAGGTACACCAAAGTCGAGTCCTGGGACAGGAAGGAGGAAGGGTACAGCTGTAGAAGGACCAAGCCAGACTTTAGCTGCACCCTCTGGAAATCACATTATTGGTGATGATGGCCTGGATCCGTTTGCTCTGGAACTGCTGTCAACTAGGACACGTAGTGGCAAGGTGAGTGAAGAATGATGGAGATGATGTTTGCTCACTTTTTCCACATTGTAGTCACAACAGGACCTGATGCATTCATGGCTTCCCTATCGGGCTGAGTATCTGTCGGAGATATTGGGCATGGAGGCACCTCCGGAGGATCGTGGATGCACTAATTGCAATGCACCTGATGGCCAGTTTCATTGTCGAGACTGCTGGGGGATCATTTTGAATGTCTCCGATGCTGCCTTGATTCACATCGCCGACAACCATTTCATCGTCTCGAACGCTGGGTTCAGAATCGGTTTGTCAAAATCTCTCTGGCTTCAATGGGGTTCGTCCTTCACCTGGGGCATGGCGGAAATGTATGTCCATGTGAATTTGGTGTCCAAGATGGATGGGAGGATGTCATTAATCTTGGGGGAGATCTCGGGCCGCAGCTGGAAGATGAAGGCCAGGTACATTTTTTGGGTGAAGATGTCGTAGATGATCGACAGGAGGGAGAGGTGGTTATTGCTTCATGCAATGGAGTCTATGTGCAAAAGGTAAAATGGTGTATATGTCCTGATGCAGCTCCTCGCCACATTCAGATGCTTCGAATGGCCCTTTATCCTGCCAGTCAGCTTCGCCCCAGAACAGCATTCACCTTTGATGTCCTCAAATATTTTAGTATTGATGCCATAGTTTGCAACACCTCGGCATCCAGGTTCTACACCAAGCTGCGACGGTTAACCAATAATGCTGCACCCCAAACTGTTCCTGTGAGTAATCTTAGTTATATGATAAGTCTCTTGGAGGTAATCTGCCTGTTTTAGGACCATTATAGGGAACTCATGAGGGTTTCCCGCCAGTGGCGAGATATTGCAGTTCAGAAATGGTTTGGCTTTGGCCATGACCTTCTTAAGAGCCCAGGTCGTGGGGAGTTGGCTTATTTTTGTCCGGCTTGCCCCCAACCATGTCTCAATTTACCTGAGAATTGGCAAGAAGATCCTGAAATGTGAGTGTGATAATAAATGATTTCAGAGCTCTGACTGAAATTCAAGATAAAGCGGTGTGTATTGTCGCACAATAGTGGCAGATGGAAACTTCACCTTGAAGCATATGAAGATGCGTCGGCCTGAGAATGATGTGCCTCTGACTAATGGTCAAGGATTCATGGTTGATGATGTGGAGTATCAAGATCATTTGAAGTGCACTAAAGAAACTATTGAGGTGTGTGCAATAAGATGAGTTGGAACTGCGATTGAGCTCTGGGAGATATCTGCAGAAATCTAGATGTGCAAATCACCATGCTGTGAATCAGGCCAATGCTAATCACCATAATCTGGAGGCCACAGGTGTTGGAGCATGTGTCTGTGCTCGCCATGGGTGTGTCATACCCCATTCAGTGGTTGACTTCCAAAAAGGAGAGAGGTAAGCGTATTCCAACCGATCACATCTCCTTTGCCAAACATTCCATCTCTGCACGACTGTCAGACAGATGAACATAGACTACTCCATCTGCCAGGCCCTTCTATATAACACTGAAGGGCTCCAGTTCATGGATGTGTGCTATGATGTTGCATGTCAGTGGTGGATTCACTTTCTGGAGCGCATTGCGGATAGCAAATATCTGAAGGTCGCAGACAAGATAAAGATCATTGCCTATGTGGGGAAGTTCCACCTTGGGGCCCACATTGCAGAGTGTTTTGCCAAGTTCTCCTTAAACTTCGAAAAAGATATGGGTGAGATTGAGGGTGAGGTTGTGGAGACGCTGTGGTCCAAAATGAATGGCACAGGTCCTTCAACACATGCAATGACCAAGGCATACCGATGAGAGGTTCTGAATGATCATTTTTGAGACTGGAACTGGATGAAGCTGCTGGGCATTGGTGGGCACTGTTCTTTTGCTGTTGCGCTGATGAGGGTTAACAGTACTTCAGTGAACATGCTCCGAACCAAGTATTCCAAGGCTGTCAAAGGTGAATCTGAAATGGAGCAAGAGTTTGTTGATCTCTCAACCATGATGACCGAGGACGATATCAAAGTGTGGACTGAGCAGGAGACCGTGGCTATGCGAGAGCGTGGTGATAAGTTGAACATATACAATGTCAACTTGGAGAAGGGTATGTGCATTCTCCAAGCCAGATTTCGTCTGATTGAGCAAACTGAGCCATAGCTCCATCCATGGGTGATATTCGCCTTCTGCTCACGACAGAAGAAAGACAGTCACCCAATGAGGAGGGTAGAGTCCTGGAAAGTGGAACAGTAACCTGGTTGAGCACTGGAATAAATATCGAAAAGACACAGTGAGCCAGTTAACATTCACTTCGGTCTCTTTGCTCAGTCTGTGCTTCAGAGATGACATACAAGTAATGGCAAAACACCTCACCAAGCGAAGCTCCACCACAGACAAGAATTCGGTGGAGACGAAGCGAAATTTGCTGCAGAAAAGAATTGATGGATTTCACAATCGCGCAACGGCACTATTAGATGGTGAAGACATTGAGCACTTAGAAATCTCCTCTAATGAGGTGGCAGATGAAGAGGGTTGGACCATGGAGGATGTGGAGGAGAATCCAGAAGATATTGAAGAGGAGGTGTTGCCAGAGAACATCACTCTCCTGCTTCCCTCCTCACTTGGCATTGAGCAATGCAAGACGGTGGGATGAGAGAGCATTGCACAGCAGGAGTTACAGCTACGGGTTGGCTAAGCCAATGACTGTCTTAAAGACTTGCGACTCTTGTTAGGTCACAAGTCTTTGCTTTTCCGGACCAAATTCAGGCACAATAAGTCTCAATGGCACAAAACCCGAAATGCAGCTGAGCTCAGGAAGATTGGTCAGCAAGAGCGCAAAATCATTAGATGATACAAGCGTGCTAGGAAAGCCCTGATCTGTTTAGGAGCAAGTGAACAGTTGTTGACACGATATCTTGACATTTAAAAGGAAGACACGAAGATGCCTGGAGATATTGTGGAGGAGAATAGAGTTAGGCAGAGGAATGATAGATTGGCGTGGTTTTGGAAACTTGGAGGTGAGAATGCTCGAAATGCACGGGGGGAAAGTGTGGACAATAATATGGAAGACGTCGGTCAAAATGCCATGAAGGAGGGTGAGTGACTATCTGTTTATGCCTGGTCAAACTTATTCACAGATGGTAATCACCATGTCAGTTGATCGAGTTAACTGACTGAGAGCAAAGGCACGATACACAAGGTACAAGAAGGAGGTACCGAAGGTGCGACATGAGATGTTATGGACTGTCCTGTGGTTTGAACGCAAGCAGCATGAGTGGCAGACCAGGGAGATGGAGGCAGTGAATGCAGGTCTATGTGGTCATGCATCCTATGCAGCAAAGCAAGGTGCAATGTGGAAGGACTTTGCACTTCAATCACAGCAGGCATTCAATGGTCAAATGATTGTCAGGTAGTCTGCGAGTTGCAAAGGTAGATATGCAAAATTAGCCAATAAATGTGTGTGACTGGCTATGTAGATTTGGACGAGTGTATCCTCTGGGACCTTAAAGAAGCATGGTGTCAGCAAGACCTTTAAGTTTGGATGCCTTAGCCTGGAGCACCATTTGTGTAGAAAGTTATATGGCCACGGCCAGAGTGTGGAAAACTCTCTATAGAATGAAAATTTCTAGATCATCGGCCGAGGCCACCATTTTCACAAACACTATATAGGGCATCCTTGGCCAATGCCAAAGTTCAGCAGACCTTATATACAACAGAAATTCCAGGACACTCGGCCAAGGCCACCATTTCCACAAGGAACTATATAGGATCTTTTTAGCCGAGGCCAAATTTCAGACAATCCTATATAGAATGCAAATTTCTCGACCCTTGGCCGCAGGCATTATTTCCACAAAATCTATATAGGGTACCCTTGGCCATGGCCAAATTTCAGGAGATGCTATATAGGATCGAAATTTCATGTGCCTTGGCCAAGTGGACCATTTACACAAAGATTCTATATAGGTCCACTTGGCCAAGCCCAACTGTCTGCAAACTCTATATAGGATTGGAATTTTATGACTCTTGGCCAATGGCACGATTTCAGCTATAATATATATAGAGACATGGCGGCCGACCCCAAAATGCCCGACAACCTATATAGACTTCAAATTGTGCCTCCCTTGGCTAACTCCCAAATATGCGACTCAGCCTATATAGCCTAATTGTCTTGGCCAACCCTATATCTCCATCCTATATTATATTTTTGGCCAACACTCGGTTTTATGGAAATTTACACAAAATGTTCCACCTCGGTTATATGGAAGTTTAGGTATATATTGGCTGAATGGGCTCCAATCACAGCGAGCGGAAGTGTCGATGCCTCTGTAAAGGGTGAGATGGGGGTGACTGAGGGCCCAATCCGCATGAGTGACGCCGCGGGCCCCATGTCACAAGTGAATTTCGCGAGTAAGGCTGGCTCTGCGAAAAAGGTGAAGGATAGGCACGAGCGACAGCAGAATATTCGCCGTCTCTTCACTGCGACCGGCCGCATGAGCTTCTACGTCAAGACTGCACAACCGCATTTCGGCATGGACTTAATTTCAGCGGATGAGGTAGACAAGCTGTGCGAGAAGCTGTTGTGGGAGGTTCACGAGACCAACTGGCATTGTGAGCTGCATGTGTTGGATGCTCGTCTATTGGACATGAGCAAGTGGAGCTCCATGCACTGCTGGGAATGCGAGGCACAACTCGCGAAAGTGTGGGACAAGCAGGACTCCGGCTCAGGTCTAACGGTCGCACCATGTTAGAACTCATGCGACGTTGTCTTCTGCTGGGTGCGTGCTCCTGCGCAGGGATGGCTGTCGTGCAAAAAATTCTTGGCCGCTTTCATTGCCATTATGCAGCGATGGCCAGAACTTCCGGAAGGCTTACAACTGGATGCGCGCAAGGTTCTCGCCTATGAGGCGGACGAATATAATCTCTTGCAAGAGAACGTCATCCGATTCTACATGACGATGTTCGTGCGTCACTTTCACTGTCTGCCCATCGCGCCCATCCAATATGCTTAGTCCGCCGTTCGTGTTTTCTCGCAGATTGTTGTTTTGTATATTGTTGTATGAATGACATGTTCGCATTTTTGCGTGTTCAATACTTCTTGGGTGATTTTTCTTTCCCAATGATCTTACTGTGTTGAGTTGTGCTCGGAATCAGGGTAAGTAGTTATGTTGTGTGCTATACCCTCTCGTGCTCATTGCTCTCTCCCGTAGGCTTTCAGTTTGCATGCAATTCCCCTCCCCGATAGATCTGCAATAGCGAAACAGGCCAAGTAGTTATGTTGCACGCTAGACCTTTGTTACTCATTGCTGTCTCCCGTAGGCTTTCAGCTCACGCGCAATGCCCCTCCCTGATAGATCTGCAGTAGTGGATGGCTCGACGCTTTTTGTGTACGTATATTTGCTCGAAAACTTACAGTATAAAATGCCAGCCATGAATGCACTGACCTTCAGCTCCAGAATATGGCTCCCGTTCGCACCGATCCTCATGTCAAAACCATCGTTGACGGCTTCCTGCCTCGGCGTGATGTCCTGGTCTCGTCCTTGATAATGTGCGCTGTCCAGCCCGACGAACGTCACGCCGTCATGGCGAGCTGTGGCGTTAACAATGCGGACAACCTCGGCATGCTCTTCAAGATTGTAACCATGGTTCAAAATCTTGCTACTGAATAGTTTCTTACCTTTGCCCAGTGTCGTGCGACTCCGAAATGTGCCCGCCATCTCAAGCGGCTCCGAGCGCAAATGACGACGGCCAATATGGCGCAATGCCATGAGGATGTCGCTGCGCTTCGCCCGCGCCCCATACTCGGTGGTGCGGCCTATTTGCGCTCTGACAGCCCCGAGTCTGAGGTGACGATGCCACCGACGAGCCCCATGGTTGACACCAGCTTGCCGCCGAGTTCTCCCATCACATCACTGGCCTTGCGTCACTGTGGGCGTCCTCCGTTGGACTCTGGCAATGTCTCGGTGCTTGTGGTGTGCAAGGTAAGTCTTGTCTAGTGTTTGATGCCAAGCATGCTAATGCTCTATTCAGGGATCAGACATTCCTCTCGTTATTCCAGCACGGGGAATACTTCGCCACGATTACCTCGAATTCACCTTCAAGCAGAGTTTTATCGAGACCATGCTCGTCGATGACGTGTGAGGCTTGTCGCCCTACCAGCACTACTGCCCTCGCCTGCGTAAGTTTACAGATTATCTGAAGCACACCGACAAGCAGTACTTGCTACCCGGGGACATCCCCATCTACCACGAGAAGGGGAGCACGTGGCGTCCGACCGAAGCTCAGATCTCTAACATACAGGCTGCGGTGAGCACGCGTCTCCCTGCGCTCCTGGCTACCATGGACACGTTCGCGAAGAGCAATCCCAACACTCCATCATCCTCTTCATCCGGCTCTCGGTATATCCCCTCAACTCCTTCGACCAGCGGGAACTCCAAGGCCGGGAGTAGCCTGAGCTCCAGCACGCGCGTGGGCAAGTGCGCGTTATCACCGAACATGGAGATGGAGGGGAGGAGATCGAAACAGATGGACAACGGCAAGGTGTGTGAGGTGACAGACTACGATATAGAGCTGACGGATGATGAGGTGGAGGCGGAGATTGTGCCTAACGATGACATTTCGGGTGAGGTCATCGAGATTGTCGAAGGCAAAGAGATCCACTACATAATGTAGACCGACCTAATTCGGAATAGCTCACCCAACCAGAGTCTCAACAGGAAGATAGATATTACTTTTTGAATGGGGAAGTGTCCGTGTAGTTCAACCTGGTGAGATCAAATCTGCATGCGTTCAATCTGAAGATTCTCCACTTAGCATCGGCACATCCTTAGTGGTAACGCAGCCAATAACACTATATTTTGCATATTGCAAGGCTAAACTAACGAGTCTGATCAGGGTTACCATGTCTCAGGTGCGGCGTTATCGGAAGAGCCAGTATATCCACTAGGAATGTTTAAAGATCACAACCGTGGAATGCTGGTGAGTTAATCTCACCTCGTTGTATCAGAAGTGCACTGACGATGCCAGCAACCTCGCTCGACGATAGTAAATGCATTAGTTGGAAGCCGGGCGAGCTCAGCATACTTGACGAAAAACATGCGGAGTATCAGGCGTTCAAACTCGGCAGCGTGCAAAGAAAGGAACTCCTTGATGTTACGGCGGAGGCGTTACAGAAGGCCTCTCCTCGCCTTCAGAACATGCAACTATTGACGGTTCGTAAGGTGAGTGTCACTCTCGTCAGTATTTCATTCAAATATGCTAAGGAATTGACATACAGAAGGTTCTCCACTTCTTCAAGAACGATAGGGTTCAGAAGATTCAAGGTGGCGGATGCATTCCTCCCAATGCACGCATGCTATTTTCTACGCGCATCCGTCACGATGGTGCCAGCGCATTGTGGGCGAATTCTGAGGAGGGGCGGAAGGTATGGAATGCTTCGCTGGAACGTGAGAAGGTGAGCGGTGTGGTGAATGATGGCAACCGCCTGGGACTTATCTCCTCACTCAGGGCCTCGCTTTTCAAGAAGCTGCCAGCGGAGGAGCAGAAGGAGTGGGCCGAGAAAGCGGATGCACTGTGCAAGGAGGAGGAAAATATGAGCCTCGATGAGGCCATCACCGCGTAAGTCCAGAGCACATTTTTGGTATTATTGAAGCTCATCGGTGATGGCAGCAACCAGGAGACCCTCTTCGTCACAGTGGCCATGGGTCTGAAGGCCTTGATTGGAAGCGAACGCGGGCAAGCCGGTGAGGACGTCGGCTTCCATGTGAAGATGGTCTACAAACCCCAAGATGGAGCTACTCGTTTCACTTGGTAAGTTCACACCCTTGTTTGTATTATCTCGTTCTCATGTCATTCTCAGCATGGACGTTATGCTGAATCAAGAATCGGGACGCTTTTCAACATTCGAAGGGGGTAGCGAAGCCGAACGCTTGCGGTGGATGTGCTTTGCGGAGCAAGTGTTTTGTAAGTTTTAGGCTGTGCGTTCACCTGGGTCCCTAAACCTTACAGTAGTACCCGCAGCTGTCAACTGGAAGGCTGACGACGTGACTGGCAAGCCCGTTCTTCTACAAATGGAGGATGACTGGACCCCCATGCGCGTGGGGAAGACCCTCAAGGAATACTTGAAAGGTTTATGGGGTATGTACTTCTCGTTTTGAAATATGTTTTATTGTACTAACTATGTGAAATAGACTTTTCTCACCATCCAGTCATGGATCCTCCCGATCTCCCGTGGAACGAGCTCAACGATCCCGTGTGCGACGTGGTGCCCGAGACGTGGCATGGATCTCTTGGGGATCCAGAGAAGATGAAGGCCGCGGAAGTCATGGCCCTTTACCTTCAGATGCACGACTGTCAGGATACCGCCGCGGCCTTCCACTTCGTGGTACACCCTGAAGACATCGAAGGTCGCAAGAACGTCAATATTCTAGGTGAATTGTCCCATGGCGGCCACGTCATAATTCTTGAGTCGGAAGAGGATGACGACGACGACGATAGTGTAGTCGTCCTCTCCCCATCATGCAGGAAACTTAACCTTACGAAGTTGAAGGGTGCTCGCATGTCGAAGGAGAACAAACGCTGAAGTGACCGCGAGTGCGGCGAGGGAGAGCACGAGGGCGAGCGTGAACATGGCGTTGATGGACAGCACCACGATGATGATGGAGGACAGCATGACAGCATCGGCGGTGGACACGATGATGATGACGATGGAGGACAGTGCGACAACATCGATGGAGGACAGATGAGGAGGGGACGGAGGCACAACCAACCTCCACGGTGCGTGCTCCGTTGTGTAACCACTATCTGTCACTAATAGAATACCGACAGTGAGCCTGAGTCTGCATCGACCGCTAAGGGTGCACACGATGATGACGACGATGGAGGACATCACAACGGCGACGACGGAGGACAGCGCGATGATGATGATGTCAGTGCCGGTCAGCTCAATGGCGATACAGATGCGGAAGGCGAGGATGATTCGGACGTGTGCCCCAAGGACAGGTGAGATGGCGAGAAGGTAGCGAAGGCAGCAAAGATGAGGAGGGGATGGAGGCGCAAACAACCTCCATGGTGCATGCTCCATTGTGTAACCACTTCATTTGTCACTAACAGAATACCGACAGTGAGCCTGAGTCTGCATCAAATGCGAAGGGTGGACACCACGATGATGACGACGGAGGACAGCGCAACGACGACAACATCAGTGCCAGTCAGCTCAACAGCGATACAGATGTGAAAGGCGAGGATGATCCAGACGTGCGCCCCAAGGACAGGCGGGATGGCAAGAAGGTAGCGAAGGCAGCGAAGACGAGGAGGGGATGGAAGCGCAAACAACCTCCACGGTGTGTGCTCCGTTGTGTAACCACTTTATTTGTCACTAATAGAATACCTACAGTGAGCCCGAGTCTGCATCGAACATGAGGGGTGGCGGTCGGGCTCCAGCAAAGAAACCTCGGTATGTTATCATTACTTATTTTACACACTTTCTCATTGTATCTACAGTGTCGCGGGCAGTGTTGCTGGTGAGAAGCGACTAACACAGGCTGCGACTCTGCCGCGCAAGTCTACCCGTATCGCTATCCCTACTAAACGCAAGAGATTCTCGAAGTAAGGCCGGTGTAAGGTTCAGTCGCATTTTCTCCGCGCATGCCTTTACTATTATTCTTCGGTGTCATTCTGTTGTTTCATGATTGAGATAATCCTTAGATAATCCCTTACAAACCCCCACTCATCCTTTGTTGATCTCTATGCTATTTATACAGGATAATCCTTAGATAATCCCTTACAACACCTGCTCATCTTCCTTCAATTCTTATGATATTTAACAGTGGATAATCTGCTGGTATGAGTTGTGTTAGTTACATCAGTGGAGATTATACAAGAGGATGATCTCTTGGATTATCATTCTCTTTTACAAGTTGAGGGATCATATATAGCAGATAATCATAGGATTATCCATGTCTAATCCTACTATGTACAGCATGTTAGGAGGGTTAAAGCACCCTAAGTGATTTGAGATAATCCAAGCATAATCTTGGTAGATTATCCTTGTACATGACCTGCTTATTAAACCCGGATTTCATCCTTAATTGTAACTTATAAGCACTAAAGATTATCCTTTATAACTGACAATGATGCGTCGGGCGATGTCCTCACACTGAAGGTCAATTAGAGTTCATTCTTATGACTCGCAGTAGCTGTCTGCTACTAACGGTCAATCTCAGTTAAAGGCAAGTGAAAAGCTGGTTTAATGGTAACCAGGTTGAGATGAAGATCCAGCTCGATGAGGTCGACTACTTATACAAAAGGTATCCGCAGTACTACGTCGTAATACGGGATCGTTCATTGGGTGGATAAGGTGAAACAACGTCGAGGCAAGGCAAGGGTGAGGAAGTAATATGTATGAGAAAGCTGAGTAAGATCATGAGAGATAATCAGTACTAATGGGGATAACTAGTCGTGTATCAGAACAAGGTAGCAGTGAGGTGAACATGCATGTCTCGCATGTGCGATAAGAAGAAGGTCCGGAGTTGGATCCGGTGTAACCCTAGACTAGGGGTTCTGGACATCTGGGTAGAGAATCGGAGGTTGCATTCCGATGAGTCACGTGGTAGATCACGTGGTCTGGTAAAGTAAAGGGAACAAAGAAAAGAAAAAGAAAAGACGTGCTGTAACTGAGGAGCATTGTAACATCAGCTCCCGTCTAATGTTTCTTGTCCCACAAGAAATATTGTAGTCTTCATCATCGTCGGGGGCAGTCCCGAACATAATGATCACCTCCACATCTGTAGCACGTTCATTGGCTGGTTCGTGGTCCTTGTTCATGTGTACGTCCATCACGATAGGAATGACTGCAATGCAAAAAAGTTGATGCAAGTGAGAAGGAGGGTTGTGATAGCGGGTATCGACCAGTAGGTACATATGAACGAGGAGGGCAAGGTCGAACAGGAATTGGTTCTGGTGATGAGCGGGGAGTGGATGCGGGTCTTGCATTACTGGCGTATCCGAGGATATGCCTGATGTTTTCATCCCCATGCACCCTCCAGATCTCCTGTGCTGTACGGGTGACCGTACTGCGCATCAAAGACTAGACTTGGTCAACTCTGGTTCGGGCTCTACTCGTCCTTTCCTCTGCTGCGATAAGCTCTTGTCTGGCTGTCTGCATCCACTCGACAACTTCTAATGCTCGCTGCATAGAAACCACTGCTTGTCGATCTTGCAGGCGATTTTATAGGGCAACGAGAATGTCTGTGAAGTCGACAGGAATGCGGATGGCCGAGATCAGACATGTGGCAAATTCATCCGATGTGTGACTGAGTTCGATCGAAGGTGAGGGCAATGAGGTGCGGATAAAGGGTGTCTGTGTTCGAGAGGGTACTCCATTGACAAGTGTAGGTGATGCGAGGGTATTCATAATCATGGAAGCGACTTCAGCGAGTATGTTATGAACAAGGTCATCAAATTCCCACGGAGATAAGAACTGTTTGGTCAGTTCCAAGCATCATTCTGATCACCCCAGCCGTTAGCATGTGGGTTGTCTCGTGTGAAGAGCGTGTGTTCAACGAGTCGTCTGATAAGGATTCGGTGGATGATCCAAAGAAAAGTGAGGGTTGTGCAGTGGAGGATGATTAGGAAGATAATAAGGAAGGCCGTCATGGTAGTTATTCCAGTTTCCTCATCCTCTACTTGATTCCGCTGATCCTTTTATATGCATCGAGGGTTTGCTTTGCGTTCTGTAAATTGTGGGCAGGTTCCCACAAGTTTTCTGCTGATGAATATCCCTTCCACTTGACTAGGTACCTCAGGTGACCTCGGTATGTCTTGTGATTCAGGATGGCTTCAACTTCGTACTCTTCTTCATTATCAATGACATCAGGTGGTGGGTTCACGTAATTTGGACCATGTATGTTGTTTTCGCGATAAGGGGATAGAAGGGCAGCGTGGAATACAGAGTGAACTTGCCAGGTCTTTGGGAGTTTGAGATGATAGTTAGCTGATCCGATGACTTCAATGATTTTGAATGGCCCCTCACACTTAGGTGCTACCTTGCGCGAGGCGTAGTTGACCTTCAGATTCCTTGAGTCTAGCCAGACCTTCTGTCCTAGTGTAAACTTCAGCGATCCTTGTCTGACTCGGTCCACCATCTGTTGTCGGGCTAACTCGTGCATGGCTAATGCTTCTCGCCTTATCTTCTGCAACATGTCAAGCCTGGATTCAACCAATGGAATGTTCATGGTTGGGAATACGGAAGGGAGTCCACGTGGTTCATATCTCATCATGATGTGGAATGGGCTCATCTTCCGTGCTGAGTGTTCCCTCGTGTTATGACAAAACTCAAGGTCTGGCAGGTGATCAGCCCATGTTTCAGGTTTGTTTCCGCAATAGAGTCGAAGATAGATTTCTAGTTCCTGGTTGACTCATTCTGTTTCTCCGTCCATCTGAGGGTGATAAGCTGTGCTCATCGATGATCTAATCTGGAGTAGTCAATTTAACTCTTGGAAGACCTTGGATGCATATTGAGGTCCTCTATCCGAGATAATTCGGTCAGGTAATCCAAATCGCGAGTAGACTTTGTTGTGAAAAATCTTGGCTGTCCCTTCAGCGGTGATTATTTTGAGGCAGGGCGTAAGAATCACCCCTTCGTAAGGTCATGGTCTACTATGACCATAATTGAATCAAAACTGTTGGAAACAGGGAGGTCGGTGATAAAATCGGTGGTGCAACAGGAAAATGGTAATACGTGTGGGTCTGCGGGAATTGGTTCCAAAGGAATACGAGTTGGATGAGTATTCGGTTTCATCTGTTGACAGGTGGCATAGCCTTCAACATACTGTGCATCATTCTTCCAATGGTGGGGCCTCTTCGTATAGTGAAGACTGCAGTTCCAGTCTCTTTGTTCATCAAAGGTGATTCCTTCCTGATGGGTTCAAATATCCTAATAACTGGTTCTCCTGCGATGTAGGAGATAAATAGATCGTCATTATCAAGCTGATCCATAGAGGGTTCTAATGGTGGGTCATCTGGTTCGGTGTCATTCCGCACTGCGGGTAACTCGCCACGCTCAGTGTTATTGGCCATGATTTCTCTGATAGATTCCGAATGTCCAAATGAGGTTGGAGAAGTTTCAGTGGTGATTAACTCTGGAAGGTCATCTTCCTTGAAAATTGAAACTTCTTCATCTGGTACCTCTTCGACGGTGGGTTTCAGTGGCCATTTGGCACCTTTGCCAAACCAAAAGTCACCGATCTCCCAATTGATCATCAGATTGAGGCGTTTAAGCCACGGCATGCTGAGAAGTATATTCTCTTTGCCAATGCTAGTCAAGAGGAAGCAAGTAAGTGTCTTCCTTCCTCCAATTTTCATCATCTTCCAGGTACAGTGGGTAATGGTACCCATCTGATTTGGTGTGCTGTCCGCATTTACGACTTTAATCAGTTTTGGTAATTCCCATTTGATGAAATCATTTTCTTCCGCAAAGCGAATATGCATGAACATTTTGGCTGCAGTGGAATCGATCAAGGCTTCTGTTGCAACATCTTCCTTCTCTCCCAACAAAATATTCACAGTGATTGAATTTTCGCTAGTGTTACAAATAACAAGGGGAGATATGGTAAGATGCGACGGTCCATGCGTTACTAGTGGCCGTTGTTTCAAAAACCCAACCAGCTTCGTTCTTCATCAGTCATGTCATTGAAGACATTTCGCACATAGGCGATCTGTTCCTCTCTGGTTTCTTCCTTTGGCATCTCCTTCTTTTGTGCGAGATCTTCTCACATCTTCTTGATCTATGTGATCGTATCTGTGTCCAACCCGGGCTGTATCATTCTAGCACGGGTGAAACTTCCAGACTGGAAGTGGAATTGTCTGTCGTTGGCCATATGGCCCTTCTTTTCACATAGGAAACATAATCCTTCTTTCAATCTCTTCTGTCGTTCATCCGGGATAATGTGAGATATTGATACGATCAACATCCATCGTGTTCGGATCCTTCATAGAAGTCAAGTAGTAGGGACGATGGGTGGATTGGCCTTTTCCTCGTGTCATCGTAGTGGCTCCTCGCTTGAAGATCTGAGCAGATCTCCATTGGTTGTCAAACTGTGAGGTGTATTTGTACCACTTGTCAAGTGTCTTGGGCATGCTTTCCATCCCATATATCCTTTGTCGGAGTGGGTCATTAAGTCCCCACTTGAAATATTCGATATTTCCGGCATCTTCTAATTTCGCCTTGGATTCAAGTGATCAGAATTCGGCAATAAAGTCATCTGCAGTACGAGTTCCTTGCTTGATGTTACACAGCAAGATACGAGTGGTTTCTTCAATATTTTCATCGCCAAATATGAAGCTCTGCGCCCATGATCCTGCTGTTCCTCCTTGCATGTGTGACAGCACGAATGCAATCTTCTGAAAATTCCCTAAGCTTCGAATGGTCTGAACCGTTGAAGATCTCGGGTTTTCTAAAACTAAGTTCCTTCTGGCTAACATGGTGATGACCTTCATCCATGGTAACTGTAGCCATTGGTGGTATGTTAACGGGTACGATTGGTGTAAGAGTCGGTTGGGGTATGGGATTCTGGACAGGGGGGTTCTAAGGGGCGTCTGGTCTTTCTCCTTGATAAGAGATCAGTATACCACTGTCTGCGATATGTAGTAATATGAGCTCTCTAACGTTATGGGGTAGAGTTGCTTCATAGTCACCACCTGGGTGATCAATGTGTTGATCTGGTCTGACGAATAAAGGTCGTCCGTTTAAAATGTGTACATTCCTCTGTGTGTCCCACTCTGCCTGAGATGGGAGGAGATCGATGTACTGCTTGGGAAGAGCAGTCGGGTTGATAAAGTTCAAATCCAGCATGGATAAATTCTTCTGTGTGACCTACATCTACACATAGACTGCACACCATCCTCAACTAAGTGGGTTCATTCATCATCGGCTAACAAGCCCATAGTGTGTCTTCTGTCTTTAAACTGATACACCTATTTGCTAATTGCTCAAGTGATTACCTCAGCCTCCTCGGCCTATTGGTCTCTCAGACAGACACCTCTCTGAAGATGAGTGATCAGTCTATCCCTTCAGCTGCCTCGATTACAAAGTAATCTCAAATGGTGCTTTAGCAATTGAATCCGAATGTATCATTCAGTCTTCTAGATTCGGTCCAGCCAGTAGTTCGTTGTTAGACTTTGGGAAGTCACAGAGAGTAATAAGATCTCGACCTAATGTTACGCGGCCATCATTGTCATTTATGAAAGATAATAAATATCTTTTAAACTCAGATAATCCTTTGAATCATCCTTGGGATTATCTCAAAGATTATCTTCAGACATTCAAAGATTATCCTTTGCTAACTTAGGAGCCTGCTTATCCTCTCATGCTGTTAACTAGCACAATTTATTATTACCCATAACTGACATCACTGACGTGGCAGCAAAACATGAGTGTCAAGTCGAGTTGTCATGAGACAGGGTCTTTGTCTAAGACACAAGTCCATTCAAGAGACACGTTGGGCGATGTCCTCGCACTGAAGGTCAATTAGAGTTCATTCTTATGACTCGCAGTAGCTGTCTGCTACTAACGGTCAATCTCAGTTAAAGGCAAGTGAAAAGCTGGTTTAATGGTAACCAGGTTGAGATGAAGATCTAGCTCGATGAGGTCGACTACTTATACAAAAGGTATCCGCAGTACTACGCAGTAATACGGGATTGTTCATTGGGTGGATAAGGTGAAACAATGTCGAGGCGAGGCAAGGGTGAGGAAGTAATATGTATAAGCTGAGTAAGATCATGAGAGATAATCAGTACTAATGGAGATAACTAGTCGTGTATCAGAACGAGGTAGCAGTAAGGCGAACATGCATGTCTCGCATGTGCGATAAGAAGAAGGTCCGGAGTTGGATCCGGTGTAACCCTAGACTAGGGGTTCTGGACATCTGGGTAGAGAATCGGAGGTTGCATTCCGATGAGTCACGTGGTAGATCATGTGGTCTGGTAAAGTAAAGGGAACAAAGAAAAGAAAAAGAAAAGACGTGCTGTAACTGAGGAGCATTGTAACAGAATTGATACTGACCTTACATCAGGAAAATCTCAATTTGACTTTGCCGCTTTTACTACTTATTCTTCCTTGATTACTCCTTTTGGAGCTTGTGTAAGTCAAATCAAGCTGATCTTGATACTTATCGGGCTTGTTTCCTTGAATAAGTCCAAAAAGGGAACAAAGCGAGCTAAAGTAAAAATGGGATTTTCCTGATGTAGTTTCATTTAGTCTCTCTTACCAGTGTAACTGTCGCCAGTCAAGCCCTCGCTGCTGTGACCAATGAGTCTGGCCTGCTCCCACAGAGTCCTGCTGACGGTCTGATGGAATTGGCCTTTCAGGCTATCTCTTAACTCTAATCTGTGCGCCATATCTCTTCGTCGATGGTCTCACACTCTAACATATCGCACAGAGCCCTTTCCCCTTCACTGCGTCCAGCGAGGGTGCAATTTCCCAGAGTGTCTTCACTTTCAAGCTCACATCCAATGGCGCCGAGTTATATATGGGCAGCACTGACTCTTCGCTCTACAGCAGCGACATTGAGTATCATGGCCTCTCCTCCTCGTCTGGTTTCTGGCAGATTGGTGGCGCGTCCATGATGGTCAATGGTCAGACAGTAACTTTCGGCTTTGGCACCATCATTGACTCTGGCATCACGCTCGCATTTGGCCCCTCCGACGGTGTTGCCCAACTCTATGCTGCTATCCCTGGATCCTAGCAGGGAAGTGGTAAAACTTACACTGCTTCCCCTGCAACAGCGAATTTACCGTTGGCTTCAGTTGGGGTGGCCAGACTTGGCAGATTGACCCGAGCATGTAAGTATTTTCACATATATGAGATGATGGGCAAAACTCACCACCTTTTTGGAATAGCTTCAACCTCGGTACCGCTGCATCAGGAAAACCCAACTTTCTTTTAAGAGAACACTTAACTGCCTGAAACAGACTTATAGTTCTTATATAAGAAAATAAGGACAAAAAGGGCATAAGCCATATTACATTAAGTGTCTGAAATCCAACTTATTGAGACTTATTTGAGAACTTATAGCCTTAAATAAGGGTTTTCAGAGCAAAAGGTCTTTAAGGAAAAGTGGGGTTTTCCTGATATGGGAGCGGTTCTGACCAGTGTGTCAGTGCCATTGGTGCCAATAATAATCTCGGCCTTAGCTCCAACACCTGGCTCCTCAGTGACTGCTCGCTTGCACAACATCTGGCAAGATTTGATCTTCCCTCTACACTTCCAGTTTCATGTCCAATGTGTACACTGTTTTCTTCATGGATAAAATGCTGTTGGCTTCACTACTTTGGCATGATTGCACGATTGTGCAAATGAGTTATCTTCTGACCCTGTTTCTTGCTCAAGCTATCGTGTGATTGTGGTATATATGTATCACTGTGATGTATTCCTTTGCAATGTACTGTATCATTACGACCACTCCAGCGTCGGGTGTGACATGTGATGAAAAGTTTCAGTCTGGCGGCATGGCGGGCAGCTCAGAGACATGTGACACGTTGATCTGACAGTGCCGCAGGTGGCAGAAAATGGATGTGGGAGGCTCGAAAACTGGTGTGACATGCCTCATCAGGTGGCGGAGAGCCTAGTGACAATGTGACACTGGCCAAATACCGGTGAGGATGAGGCCCGTGTTATGTGTGACAAACGGAGTGGTCATAATGATACAGTATTGTATAACTTCTTAAATGACCAACGATACAGCTTGTGACGTTCAGACTACGGTTGGCCGAGTGATATCGATCTCAGGCTGCCATCGTATTCCATGTCTAAAGGTAGTAAAGAATCTCATCTGCACTCCATTTGTGGGCGCATTCAACCCTGTCAAGCACATCGCACACTCAGCTTCTGTTGCATATTGCACGCTACCGGGAGGCACGCAGTATGCTATCTTCCATGTGCCCTGGACCAAGACGACTAAGCAACTTGGCACCGACATCATTGCTACCGAATTTGGTGACCCAAGCTCTGCTGTCATTGCCCTGCGCCATCATCTGCAGGCAAATGCCCGTGTCCCCGTGCATGCTCCCTTCTTCGCGTTCAAAATGAGTGACACGACGAGTTGGGTGCTGATGACCCACGACTGGTTCCTCAATCGCGCCAATGCGGCCTGGGCAGCGGCCAGCTTCGAGCACCTCACAGGACACTGCTTTCGCATTGGAGGAGTGACTGAGCTTCTGCTTTGCGGTACTCATCCGGATGTGGTCGCGATGCAGGGTAGCTGAAAACCATGCGCTTTTCTCGAGTATTGGTGAAAAATTGAGTCTATTTTACCTCTCTTTATCTTGCGGTCATTTACTTCTTCTTATTTGCAACTGGCTTCCACTGCTATGGACTCCTTCAAGAAGAAGTACTCTCTGTAGTCTACTGTACTTGCAACTGTATGTTTGCTCTCGCTGTAATGCTTCTCCACTGCTGTCGCGTTGTCCACACTGTAATGCATGTTACTACATTCTCCCGCTTTTTGCTGCGGAACACTAGCCCTAGGTTGGGGAAGTCAGCGGGCTCACGTTGAGCCACGACTGTTGTGGGCTGCACTCCTTGGGTGGTTAGCCATGTTAATCAGCACTCTTAGATGCAGTTTGGCTCAACTCTTTGGTTACGAGTGTATCTCTGCATGTTTTTCCTATCGCTGCAGGATCTGAGCTGAGCAATATATACTATGTCTGTCTCTGTGATTATTATCTGAGTTACTGTGGTGGAAGCAGTCATTGAGGAAGAGATGCTCTCGCTGGCTCTTCTCAGAACGATCTTATCAGCGAGATGCGTAGATCTCCTGATCACACGTCCTGTGTTCTCTCTGGTCGCATCTCGGCACATTACTAACAACAACCACAACCACAACCACCATGTTGTCATCCCAGCCTCGACAAATGTGGGATTTTATTATCGCCGATAGCTCATCCAACCCTCTATACCCGCCCCATGATGGGCATCCAGCGTACGGAGTTGGCATTCCTGACATTGGGCAAATGCAGCCAGACACACCCTCACCATCATCCACCAGTCCAATCGCACATCCATCCTCGCAGCATGCCAATCAGCTCATCGTCACTTCCTCTACCACTCGGTCTGTCGCACTCAGGAGTCATCATTGTTTGTCCTAGGACGGATGACTGCCGTTCACAGCGGACTTCATGCTTGCTCATGTTCCCACTGGGCAACTGAGTTGGATTATGTAAGGGGTTGGTACAGAGGGTCCTTGGTTGATGCTTTCACTTCGTATGCTTTATTCACAAGTACTCTTCCCCTCCTTTCTTATGGCGTAACCCCCATCCACCTACATGATCTTATCACCGGTGATCCTGTACTCCAGGTAGCGGAGTTCTAGTCCGGCCAATGTCCCGCTCATGCCATCGTAGATTTGCTGCTCCATACATACTTGGTTCATTGAGGCCTGTCATAGATATGTCCTAAGCCTACTAGGGCGAAGGCGGATATTGTATTGTGAACATTGTAAACAGGATAATGTCTTGTTGCAGTTTCTCTGGGCCACGCACAATGAGGGCAATATGCCCAGTATACCTTCTCAGCTCATTATCGATGCCTTCCTTACCCTCACGAGCCTGAGAATTTGAAGGGAATCAATGAAGATTTGATGCGGGTTTGTCAAGAAGATAATGGAATTCCACACAGCAATGAAGTTGAAGAGTTACAGAAGACCCTGAAGTATGGAAATGAGGCATCAACACTCAGCACGTCCTAGTAAGAAAAGTGCTTGATACTATTCGGCGTCGTGCCAGTGCATACCTATAGTCTTATCACTGGATTTTATCTTCAAGGTACACCACCACTTGAGTAATTCATCGGCTCGATATCCAGCCGGAAATGATCTGCCTGACAACCCGGGTGCCTCCGACAGATGTCCCTCAGACAACGAGTGGATAAATGGCTCGTTTGTCCGTACATTGTCCATCTCAGACAATCCTGGGATAAATATTCTATTTGTCTGTTCGTCAACAACACGGCATTCCACCGGTGTTTCCCGGTTATCCCTTCAATATTAAGAATGTGTTATTTGTGTGAGGTCCACACAGTGATATCACATGGATGTCCATCAGAGATATCGAGAGGATGTTTGACCACCTCGATTACCACGAGAATATGTCATCAGCAGAATTTATTCCCTCCTATCACGATCAGCTACTAATCTTCAGTCCGATGGATTGTTATGACCATTGTACATCCACAGATGCACCAGCCTCCAGCGTTTGGCAACGTTCTGAGTCAGTCAGATGGACACTATATTCAGAGTCAGGAGCTTCGAAACAGTAGTCAGCAGATGGCTGAAAATTGGAGATTCTACACAGGTGTAGATTATGGACAGCTACACTAGACAGGATTACATTCTTGATTTCTTTTGACATATTCTGTGTTCTGAGTTTGTTGTGTCTGAGAAATTGAAATGGTCACGTGGGTGTCAGTTAACTGGCTGTCGAAATCCCAACTTCAACTTGTTGCTCTGTGATGAGTGTTGACAACTCTGCCTCCACTCATGCATATGCCAGCTGTCACCATTGGAAATGCTCAATAATTTTCATTTCAGCATTTCACATCCGTCCTTGGCACCCTCTGCATCTAGTAGCAGCCAGCTGGCATCTGCACAACAACCAGCTCAGCCACTCTTTCAACCCTCTCCGACACCCTCTCCTTCACGTGAACAATCTCCATCTCTTCCTGATCAGATTTCTGGCCCCCTGCCTCAAAGGCGACGTGCAGAAACTGACTCCTTGGATGATACCACTACTTTGACTCCTCGAGGCTGTAAGCGGCTAAAGACCTATGGACATTCCATTTGCAACTCAGCCAACATCTCACCAGAATGCCTTGATTCTTTTACGGAGGTTTGTTCAAAAATTTGCCCCCACGCACCACTGACTTTTGTGGCACCGTGGACAGTATGTCCGCTGATGGCAGCACCAATGAGGAAGATGACTTGTGTAGATCATTCTGGCTGTTCGTTGATGGGCAGCTTCTCTCACTGCGAGAGATGATTGAAGAGGCTGCACCAAATGATGAGCAGCAGCAGTGCAAGAAGTGGACTGCATACGTATATTAATTATGCAACAGTGCCCTTTTTGACTTGATATCTTTTTAAGATTTTTCACGACCAGGTTACAGGAGGATCTGAGGCTATATCCAGGGAATGCACTCCCATCCGCTGATCGAATGCGCACACATGCTCAAGTGGGTTCGCACGCGCTGGTTGAGCATGGATGGCAAGAGCAGGTTAATGCTGCACTCCAGGCAATGTTCACATAATTTACATTCATGCTCTTCCGTCGTTCGTATCTACCTTCATTTTGCTTTCTTTGCATATAGAATAATTCAGAGTACCGTAGAAATACCATTCTAATGTTTTGGCCATTTTCGGCTGGCTCGTTGGGGGGAGACGAGGTCGCAGAGTTCCCGATGAAATAAATTCTAGACAAAATACAGATGTCTCATGAACAAACAGCGATGGATGTCCAGCTGACGTCTGCCTGTGTTTATCCACTAGATGTCCAGCTGATGGCTCCTGGATGTCGAGAGTGTGTTGAGTCAGCATCCAGATCATTTCTCCACCCAACAACGGTAGCATTTATCTCACGGACGTCTGGCGGAAATGATCTGCTGGATATCACGGAGACATCCGGCCGTTGACCCTATTCTCATTTATCCAGCCGTTGTCCGGCTTGTCTGGTGGTGTAGTCCTCGTACTGGTATTCGGGATCTGGCGTCTAACTTTTGAAACCTGCTATCAAAAACTGTCGGCGTGGAAGCCCCTTGGGTCTATCTTACAGAGAAGACTTCGCTCTTATCTGAGAGGTACAGAGCTTGGCAGTCGAAGGACTGCACAGAACCACCACTCGCGATGGTATAAGATAGCGGTTACACGTCGTACTGTGCACACAGCATCTCTAGATACTGACAGTCGTCGACCGTGACGATGCCGAGCACGATTTTACCGCCTGTCCGGCACCATGTCCCTCCCACCAGAACGAAGGAAAATTGTAAGTCCTTTTTATATTCTTGATGCAATTGTGCTCAGGCCTCTGCGATCTAGTGGATTACGCAGATCTAGCTGTTATCGATCTGTCGAAAGCGCACACTCCGGAGGGCCGTGCTCTGCTCGCGATAGAGCTGTGCGACGCTATAGCCGCACAGGGCTTCTTCTATGCCATCAACCATGGCTACACGCAAGCCCAGGTAAATGCTACAACGCACATGCACGCCGACAATTCCAGCTGAGCGCGAATGCAGAACGACCGCATGTTCGACATTGCAAACGTCCCGTTCTCTCTCGCGGACGAGGAGAAGCGGCTCTACACCGGGAATGTCAAGGAGAGCGGGACGTACCAGGGGTTCAAGCCGCGCCAATTATGGGTGTGCCCTTACCTTCCCTTGCACCGCCGCAATTTTCGCTGATCGGCCTTCTGACAGCACATCGATGGAGGAGTACACGATCAAGTCGAGCACTATAACAGTACGCCGCTCATCATACATTGTTCCCTCGTCTTTGATCTCATGGGCGTCATCAGTCAACCGTGACGTTACTAAGAGGCAGCACCCGAAGGCCATGCGACCTTTCTTGCCCGAGATCGAAGCCTTCGCACAGTTCAACCACTACAGTGTAGTCCATACCATTCTCAGGTACATCGCCCCAGGTCACCATCTTACCTGAGTAGCAGCTGATGACTGACCGGCCTGTAGGTTGCTTGCACTAGGACTTGGCCTTCCTGAAGATAGTCTCGTAGATCAGCACAACTTCTCCACCGCGGGGGAGTCTTCCGGTATGTCTCACTACGTCGTACTCCGAGCGCGCCGACTGAACGAACGATGGCCTTCCTACAGTCCGCTTCATGAATTAGTATGCCGAAATCCCTCGAGCATCCGCGCTCGCACCTGATCCTCTAACAAATTGACAGCTATCCCCGTACAGGAGACGAAGAAACGAAGACGAACAATGTCTGGCTCAAAGGGCATACAGGTACAGCCCTCACCACAACTACTCACCCAATTGCTCACTCCACCACACAGATATCGGCAGCATCACGGTCCTCTGGAGCCAGCCCATCGCCGGGCTGCAAATCCTGTCTCCCGACGGAAAATGGCGCTGGATCAAGCACATCGACAATGCCCTCGTACGCATTCACCTCAGTCTTATCTCCTCAAGGCACGCGCTAACTCGCTCCTGCTCCGCAGGTTATCAACGCGGGCGACGCGCTCGAGCTTCTCTCCGGCGGGGCGTACAAGGCGACGATCCACCGCGTCGTCCAGCCGCCGCCCGACCAGTGCGCCTGCCCGCGCCTCGGTGTGTTCTATTTCGCGATGCCGGACGACGGCGTGCGCCTCGTTCCGCACGCACGCTCCAGTGTCGGTGGTGGAGAGTGTGTGGGCGCGCCGACGATGGAGGCGTGGCGCAAGGGACGGACGGCTGCATACGGGCTCGTGCCGTTGCGCCGGCGCGCTGACGGGGTGGAGGAGGAGACGGTCGAGGGTGTCGTGGTGCGGCATTATAATTGAGGGCGTTTCGCTCCTTCCTTCATTTCCTGGAGCAGGCTTGTGTGCGCTTAGACTAACCCATAGTATTTCCTGGCCACCGTACTCCTGGATACTGTGTCTCTGGTTGAGCTGTGTATGTGCTGTCTTCAGCCTGAGATATGTTAGTCTACGACCACCTCGTTTCGATGTAAATCATGAGCACGTCCAGCACATTATCTACTTGAAGACTGACTGCAATCTTGATCCTTGAATACAGAATACTTCACATGTGTTCTGTGTAGCACGATAGAGCGGTCAAAGAACGTCGGACGATAGGTTGTTATACTACCATGCGGTCATCACGCCAGCAGTACGGCTCGCCTCGCTCCCTCTTCCGAAGTGCTTCGAGAAACATGGCATGATACGCTTGCGCTTGCTTGAGTGCATCGTCCGGCGGCATGTCCTTGGGTGCCTGCGTAGCGAGTAATTCTGGCGACTCTGCAAACTCGATAGGAACGTGATACCACAGGTACGGGATGACCCCTACGGGGAAATGAGCACCATGGATGCAGCGGAGAGGCCAAAACGTACTAGGAAGCCATGCATCGGCCGACACGGCTGCCCTGTGCAGCTCGTGGCAGCCGAACTCGTAGACGTCGGGTTTCACTTGGTCGAATTTGATATCCATCTGGAGCTTGCAGTCGTGCTCTTGCGCGACGTCGAAATCGATAATGATAGGCCGTCCGCCCTCGCTTACGACGATGTTACATTCGCGGACGTCGTTGTGTTGGACGCCATGGCGGTGTATCTCCTGTAGGGAATCGAGCACTTGACGTCTGAGTTGCCAATCGGGTTAGTGAAGGAACCGAGTCGCTGACGAGATTCATAGGCTCGCCTAAACTCCCTGGCCCTAAAGCACAAAATTTTGACGAGTTCCGCCCCACAGTATTCCAGGAGTAAGCAGGCCGCAAGTCCGTCTTCCAGTTCACCTTCGTACAAGCCTAAGCACCGAGGAATTACTCGACCCTGTAGAGCGCGAAGCTTGTCATATATTCTGGCTTCGTGGTGCAAGCTGTCCCTGGATCGACGGCCGTAGGCGACCTTGCAAACGACATCTTGTGACGCCAGCTCTGGAGATGTAGCATGAGCGGTGGCGCGATATACCACCGACAACCGTTTGCCCTCGTGTATAGACTTCACGTCGGTGAGAGTTATATCGGCATACGTGTGCTCGTCGATGGCTTCTAAGCCGTAGAAACTTATAGGATCGCGAGAATGAAGAGCTGGAAAGCGAAGTAGGGGCATGGTCGATGATATAATACCTCAGCCTGAGGATGCGACCGGGTGTATTGGCGAGCCTGAGTTTTTCGGTTGGCGGTCCTGCTGAGATCTAGATCTATGTAGTAACCTCGATCGTTCGCAATCGAGGCTGTTCCGTTTCCGAGCACTCATGATCATACTGCAAGCATCCACGGGCACGAATACGTCGCCATGCCTGCATGCGCAATCTTCACTGAACTCATCTTACCCGAGCACCCCTTCCCTCAAGAGCCTTTTCCGTTTGCTATTGCTATGTCTCGACCTTATTCCCAGAGCGCGTCAGGAACGTGCCGTACCACCTTACTTGTGGTAACGCTCGTAAGCAGCCTTCCAGTGGGGTGGCGGACGGGATGGAGGACGAGACCGTCGAGGGCGTCGTGATGCGGCGGCACTATAATCGAGGCTAACGCTCCTTCGTCTGTCCCTTCTTTTCTTCCCTTGGACTCCCGTGTGTTCGTCGCGTGCGTGTTTGATCGTCCCGCGGATCCTCCTCCGCGTTGCCACGCAGTGCGAAAACTCCGAAAATTCGCAGTCCTTCGTCAGAGTGTGCTTCGCGCCTCAGCACATGCCCAGGTGCCAAGCCCCACGCCCGCGGTCTTCCCTTCCGTCCTTCCTCCGAGTGCCCGCCCTAGCAGCGCCCTCCCGCCGAGATGCGCGCCCGCCTCGGATTAGCGGCTGCGCACGGGTGACGGCGTCGACGTGCGTCCGGGCGACGCGCGTGCGATGTGATGTGGTGGGGGCCACTGCTGTTTCAGCGAGCGGCGAGGGCGAGTGGGATTCTCATGTACCGAGCGCTGTCCGACCCCGATCGCTCGTGAACGGCCAGCGGGATCGCGTGTACGCTGTTACCGGTTCACGGGTTCACCGGGGCCCAGGCCGAAAAGTCGCGTCAATTCCCGCAGGACGCGCTGTCAGCGCTCGAGTACGTACGGAGTACGCGAAACCGAGTACCTGAATGGCGCCGCGCGCGCGACAGATTCGCGGTGCCGTGATACTTGGCGAGGAACGAGCATTTTGACCGATGCGGCACGGTTATATTCATTTCGATCTGGGCGTGTCTGCGCACACCGGGGATCTCTTGGAGTCGGGCATGACACGGCGCTTGATGAGAAAGCGGAGGGGGGAATCGGGCGAGCTCGACGCTGGTTATCGGAAAGACGCTCGAGGTATATGTGTGTGTGTACCTACGAGAGCTCTAATTCTCGCCAGAACGGAGCGTACTTTGCAGAGCGCGTCACGAAGGGGGGGCATACTTGAAGGTGGCGCGCTGTGGGGGTTCATGAACTCGTGCAGGAGCGTTATCCGATCTGAGCACTGGGCGAACGGGATCTCGCCGTTCGACTCCCAGCAGCCCCATAGGTGGGGTATGAGACGCACAATTTGAGTGATACGGTGCCGCGCTCGAGCTCCAGGGTCTCGGAAAGACGCTCGTGCTCGAACGTTGGAGCATTGGAGCGCATCGCGGCCGAGCTGGAAGGGTGGCGTCGGGGTCGTGAAAACATCGTGAATTCGTACAAACGTAGCCGAAAAGAAAAAAATAGCAGTACAGCATCGACAATCGACAGCGACTTTCAAACCGGAAAAAAAAGCTACACACAGCGCGGCGGCCTCGCAACGCGAAAGCCAAAAACAAAATATGAACAACAGGAAGGGGGTATAGGGTATATACGCCTCATCGAACGCGACGACAGACACGGGGGGACGGGGACGGGGCGCGTCAGGCGGAGCGGATGGGGCCCCACTCGACGTCCATGGGCACGGCGCGCGGGAAGACGTCGGGCAGCGTCTCCGAGCTGCTGTTGCTGCTGCTGCCGCTGCTGCTGTGCGCGTCGGCGAGGGCCTGTACGCGCGCGGCGCGGGGCCCGCGCTTGTGCTGCCCCCTGCGCGACTCCTTCGGGTACTCACACCGGAGCGAGCGGCGCGCGCACTGGCTACAGCAACACCGCAAAAAAAATAAAGTAAAAGAAGGCCAGTCAGCAACGCGCGCACCCGCACCACAACCAAAAAAAAAGCGCACGCACTTGCAGCGCAGCTCGGCACTGCCGGGGACGGGCGGCCCACACGCGATCTTGCGCTCGCGGCAGAACAGGCAGGCCATGACCGGCTTCTTCTTCGGGGGCTCGCGCGGGCCGCCGGTGGTGGTGAGCCGGAAGAGCGCCTGGCCGGGCTTGCCCTCGCGGTCCGGGAGCGGGAGCTCGTCGAGCGAGAGCGGGGCGGGGTACGGGTAGCCGACAGCGTGCACCTGCGCCACGGGCTTCTTCCGCGGGCGGCCGCGCGGGCGGGGGGCCGGCGCGGCGGCGGACGGCGGGGTGGAGGCGGAGGCGGCTGGCTGCGGGGTCGCGGCGGGGAGGGAGACGGCGCGCTTCGGCTCGTGCTCGGGGGCGGGCTCGGGGAGCGGGGTGATGGCGGCGGCGAGGGTGTAGCTGCGGAAGGGGGAGGGGTGGTGCAGGGCGACGGGGAGGGACGCGCCGAAGTCGAGGTCCTCGCTGTCGCCGTAGGCGGAGTCGCTGAGGGGCGAGATCGGGGCGGTGTCGTCGTAGCCGTAGTCGGCATCGGCGTACTGGAGGTCGGCGGCGTACTGGTCCTCGCCGGGGACGGCGAGGCCGGGGCTGGCGGGGAAGGACGGCGCGAGAGGGCCGCCGCCGTAGACGGGCCAGGAGGCGGCGATCGGCTGATCGTCTTGGGGCTCCTGCTTGAAGTGGGCGAGGCTGCCGGCGATGACGTAGGCGGGCTGATGATCCCTGCCGTACCGCGAAGGCGAAGGCGGACTGCCCGCGTCGGCGTGCGAAAGCTGTCAGAGGGGAGCCTCAATCGCTGTGCTCGCGGAGATCGACGGCGCGCGACCCACCTCGGGACCCACCTCCTGCGAGCCGTAGGGGCGAGGATCCGCGGGAACGCACGCCGCGTGCCCCGCCGCAAACTCCGTCGATGTCCCCGCGTACGAAGCCGCGTTCACGTGGGCCTGCTGCGACGCATACTGCACGTCGTCGAGAAGTCAGCCCAGCATGAGATGCGCGCGATCGAGCGGGCCCACGCACCTGTCCCGCTCTCAGCCCACAAACGTCCACAGAGACCTGCGTGCCGTCGACCGCGAACTCCGCCGCGTGGTGCACGAACGGCATGCACCCACTCGGCGACGACAGCGCGTTGTCGCTGTCGTTCATGAACTGTCCAAATGCCTCCTCTGCATGCTTCCCAAACCGGGACGACAGGTCGATGTCCAGGTCATCGTCCGCATACGCATACTGCGCGTAACGCGCCGCGCTCGACGTCGCATACTGCGGATACGCGACGCCGCGGTAGTCCTGCTCCGCAACCTCGACGCCGTACAACTGGTCGGCGGCGGCGAACGCGCGCTGATCGACGACGGGCGCAATTTGGATCCGCGAGTACATCGTGTCGTGTCGGAGCGTCGCGGAATCAAATCGGGGTCGCAGCGCCGAAGGGAGCTATAGAGGACGTATATCGAGGCAGGAATGGAAAAGGAGGAATAAACAGACGAGGGCCCGCACGAACCGACGCACTAGTTCTTATCCTGCGCCCGCGAAATGGACCCCGAGAGAAGGGAACGCGCGTGAGCAATTCGAACGACTAACGGGAGATTTGTCCTCTCAGATGCCACCAGCGCCCGTATCCTGCTGCATTCATTCCCCACATTCTGGCACGGTGCGTTCACATCAGATAGGGCTCGCATCAACTCCCTGTCGGCCCTACCCGTATGTCCATCCTGAGCCCAACCTGAGCCCCCTGCGAACCTCGGCAGCGCTACGAAGCCCTGGCTGCTTACGCACGCGGGGGCAATTTGTCGGTCGCCCTGCCCGATGTTGTTGCGCGGATCCTGCACACCCCCTCCGCACGGGACCCCCCCACCCCCTTTGCCGACTTAACAACACCCTGCGCGAGCTTATTACCCTCGCCAGACGCCACCGGACCGCAACAGTGAAGGTGCGCAGGAGGACGGTAGCAGCACGCAGCCCACCGCGCGCTCCCGGGGTCCCGCGCGCACACTCCGAAGCCGCGATGACCCGAACTCGATCTCGCGCGATCAGCGGTTTATCATAGTATGTAGTGCACTTGGCCAACGCCTTCCTGCTCCCGTCGACATGCGAGACGAGAAAGAGAAAAGAGCGGCTTAGACGTTCGCGGCTTAGCGCACCGCACCGTCAGATGAGGGGGTCACCAGTCTGGGAGAGACCGCTGCGTCTGTACGTACGCACGCGGGGGCAGCCTCTCGCAGCACGGGGGGAGGGGGGTGGGGGGAACTAGCCGAGGGAGGAGGGACCCTGCGCCCACGCCCACGCCTCTGCAGCAGCGTACCGTGACCTGCTGCCCGCCCGACTCCGAATTCGCTACTCGCGGGCCTGACAGCGATTCAGACGTATACGTCGAGTCGAAGTGTCCACGTCGCATACCATACCATACCATACCATACGTACGTCTTCCCATTCGGAGCCCGGGTCCCCCCACCCGGCCGACACCCTGCGTGCGAAGCCCGCGGATCCTGCCCAGCAGCAGCAGCCCGAGAAGGCCCCGTACCCCGCTCCACATTTCACCGCGTGCTCTATAGTCTATACGACGTCCGCTCCAAATACAGCGCGAGCTAGATAAAATACGGGCTGGGCTCCCCCACATTCAATATTCGATCGCGGCGGGGCCTCCCGTACGGTATAGCCGCAAGTGGCGCGTACGAACAGCGCCGCGCAAGGCCCGAGGTCAATACGTGGGAGCTGCGCGAGCTTACTCGACGGTGCGCGTGCGCGTGCCGCGGTAATAGCACACTCTAACTGCGCAGCGCGAGTCCTACTAAGTCCTGCACGTTCTGCGCGCGGTTCGGTCGCAAGCAGCTGGTGAGCCGATGATGGGCCGAGCGCCATGACTGAAGGGAGAGGACCCCCGACACTGCGGGCCAACCCCTCCAGTGAAATCGTGACGCCTGCTTCAAGCCCGAGAAGACATATCGTGTATGGCAGCATCTCCGAGCCCGCGCAGCGAACGTGGTGGGCCAGCGACTCGAACTGGGCGCGACGCATGAGATATCGCTGGTAAGCTACGATCGAGCGTCATTTCTACGATAGAAAGGAGGGGAGAGCAGCTGCCGCTACAGCAAAGATCACATCGATAGGCCCCTCCAACGGAATCCGTTCACAGCGCGGACTGCGAAATCAAACGCGCCGGTAATTCAGGTGGGTGGTGGCGCCGCCTGGGCCGCTCGCACCCAGGTGTAAGCGGCAGGTCCCACCTATCGGGAGCTCTTTTTTGCAGACCGCCCAAAAGCCGCCTGCGCACGATTTTTTGACCATGGGCCTAACGATATGATCTTTGCTCTGTAACGGTGAACAGCGAGGTCGTGCGGGCGCGAGAAGACGGACCGCGAGGAAACCCCCACCCCCCCCCCACACAGTGGTGCTGCCAGCTACTTTGAACAGCCGCGCGGAGAGTCCCCGAGTCCCCGAGTCCGCGCAGATGTTCGGAGTTCGCACCTGGGGGCGGACCGGTGAAGTCAGCGACCGCACATCGGAGAGTGACCAAGAACGACTGATGACCCATTGGGATCGAACTCCAGCCGAGGGTTCGTGAGCGCGTAAGCAGTAACTTACCGACTTCCTCGTACAAATGCCCATACGCGTCACGCCGATTGGCGCCGAGGCCTGAGGTGCTGCTGCTGGTCGCACGAAGAACCAGATGGTGCGGATTGGATGACTGCGGACATGCGGTGAGCAGGGTGAATTCGAACGATGCGTAGGGGAGCGCCGTGCGTGGCTTACGCAGACATCTCCAGGAGCTCCGACCGCCAGAGCTTCTTCGGATAAATTAGAGGATGACAGAAACCTAGACCGACTCACCGGTTTCAGTGTCTATACAACAGATGAATATTCGATTGGGGAGATAAGGTCGCCCGAGTGCATACTTACCTGCAACGACAGAAAAGGGAGCCTCACGTGATGCATCACCAGGGGAAGCGGGTATACATACGCGCATGGACGTGAAGCTCGAAGCTCGAAGGCCAATACCGTAGATTGTGTTTCTGACCAGTGGATTAAATGCTACTTGCTCCGAATGCTGCGTGATATTACAGTTCAGTCGTTCAATCGTTCAATCGAGTGCCAGTGGATGACATTGCTCCCTTAAACGCTACTTGCTCCGAATGCTGCATGAATTACAATTCAATCATTCAATCGAGTGCCAGTGGATGATATTGCTCCCTTACATCGTGGGACCGGCCAAAATTGGACGTACACACATGTCTATACATTGTGGTGTTTCGTGCAGTGCCCGAGGTCTTTCCGATGCAAAATGGCGCTCGGCCCATCCCGACTTGGCTGCTGAAACCGAACCGTAACCAGGCGCCCCCCATGGTGGGCAATTGTCAAACGTGTCGCAAGCGGCGCGCCATTCACCTTCCTGGCCATGCGTACGTAGGCCGGACTCAGCTTGTGACGTCTGTGAGACGGCGTCGAACGAGCACCCGTCCGGAGCTTGGTCTCGAGAGTAAACAAGCACCAGCACCTGACTCGCGAAATAGACGTGTACGAAGGAGCGACGCCAGTCAGAGTGCAGAAGGCACAGCCCACGCAGAAGGCGCAGCCCAGCACGAAGGCGCAATCGCAGGGGCCCCAGTGGCACGAGAACGATTAGGTTCGCCCGAGTCGACAGAAGCCTACGGTAGTGCAACACGTCCAGCCGATGCGCGGACTGATGCGGGCGCACCGTCGTCCGAGGCCCCTCGCCGGCCCTGAGCGCAGAGGGCAGAGGGCGTGCAGCGCGTCCGCACTAGGCAAGTAATTTGAGTTTGGGCTTCCGAGCTTCTCGCACGACGCGAGGCAGCGTGTACGAGAATCAGCGCATCGATAGACGTAATCGCGCAGAACGGCGGCAGGAGCTACCGCACGCCCCACCAGCAGAAACAGGCCAGCGCGTCCCAGACAGGCAGTTGTCGTCGATCGCGCAGGTCACTTGCGCACACCCTGCGATTATCGAATCGGACGCCACCTGCCAGATGACCAGGACCCGGGAGATGGCGCGTGGTTTGCGCTCGACGTTGGGAAATGCTGATCCCGAGTTGACGTATCTTCCCTGCACTACTTTAGACTGCGACGTGCCTGTCGTCGCGAGCCGGCCATCCATCCACAGCCGGACACCGGGGGGTCGCTGTGTCTTCGGTATGTCCTCGGTGAGCGCCTGAACCTTCAGAGCCATGGCGTCCTAGAGAACAAACGATGAAGCAACGGGGAGCGTGAAAAAACACCAGGACGCACGCACCGAGTACTCGACATTGTCGGAGGCTGCTCACGTTTTCGGAACCACGTTCCATATCGCCGAATCACTCTGGCGAAGAGTTTCCGTTTCGACTGAAACAATCACAGGATATCGCACCTCATGTTCGTCATGCTGAACAACCATGTTCTCAGCTGCGCATTCTGAGTCGGGAATAACTTCCAGGAACGCCATAGATAAGATAGATGTGGTGTGATTGCACACCAAATGCGAAGATCATTCGAGTCCACAAGACCTTCGTAGGCGCCGAAACACGGAACGACATCGTAAGCCTTGAGCGCCCATAATCTCGTCTCTGGTGAACTGCAGGGTCGTCGTTAAAGCCATGCTGTTAAGCAGTCAGCGGCTTGAGATGAGACGACTTCACACGCGACGTTTGCGCTACAGCCTGAGAGAAGTCTGACCCAAACAAATAAGTCAACGAGGCGTGGAAGATAGCGTGATTGCGCACCGATGGTGGAATTCACTCGCGTCGATATCGCGCCACAACGTTAATCGCCTTATACGAGGTAAACCGAAGTAGATGATTCGTCAGGCTGAACGCATTGCGGAACAAGGTAAGCTGATGCTGTCTGCAATGCCGTTCTCCACGCGACAATCAGAGCCACAGGGGCAGAGAACAGATGTCGACATCCTCATAGAGAAAGTCAACATGATAAATCAGTAATAGTCTTCATCCAAGTGGGCGGATCGAGGAAACCAAGATCTGGCACGTTACGGCAACGAAAAAAGAGATAACAGGATGGATGGTCCTCGCTTGAGTAGACACGGTCGGGGTCGTGGCATCTCAACTATCACAGCCAAGTACCGACAATCGAGATGCTGACACTACCTTGCGAACCCGCAGCAAGTCTGTCTTCCCGGTCAACAACACGCCGAACGGTACCGGAGACGAATAAGCCAGATGCATTCGCCAAAAGCCATTAACCGACCCACTGCGTGTCCGTGTGCGGACCTGCTTGCCAAGACATGCACTTTGTGACCCACGAACACTCCGCGAGTCGATGGAACTTGCACTCCGAAGGCTCGCATAGGCAACTGCTTGTTGCTTGAGGGGATCTCAGGGCTCACGCTGGTTTCCAGTGCAGGAAGGCGTGGAAGGCGTGGAGTACAATGGTTAAAGCTCCCGAGGGCAAATTACTCAATGCGGTATCTTGCGCTGAAGAGTCCTCCCCACCGGATCAAAGACGAAAGCTCCCGGGGGGCATTTGACGCAGTATTTTGTACTGAAGAGTCTTCCCCAAGAATCGAAGGTGCACGCAATGCACCCCGATGCGGGAAGTAGCTCGGATCCACTTCGGAGCTATTACACTGCATCGAAAGTGTAAGACCACAGCGTATAGACGGTCCGAGTTGGCGAAGGGAAGACGAGCGACAATGTGGCGTTGGAGCCAGAGGATCTGAGAAGATGTGGCGTAGCAAGCACGACAATTCGCCGCGAAGAGCTTCACGCTAAGGATACACATGCGTTACAGGGACTCGGACTACGCGCTGCGAATCGTTCCGAGATTCTTCGCTGGAAGAACTCTCAAACGTGTCTTGAGAATACTGATCAGTGTTTTGCCAACCACTCAGATACGCTGAGGATGAACAGTCGGACGCACCTCGAAAGGGTATGCAATCGCACACGAAGTCAGCGAAGCGATCTTGAGGGGTTCTCGAGAAGAGATCTAGAATTGGCAGCTACTTTTGGCACGGTTCCCTCCTTCCTGGGTACACCCGCGAAACCGGTCAAGAACGGTAGCAATGACTTGAATGGTGATAGTATGCTGTGATGACCGTCTCCAAGGACTAATAGAACGAGAAGTTACAGAATCGCACTTCTCGTCCACTCACCTATTATTCGAGATTAGTGATACGGAGGAATAATGTTACACGGGACTGACTTCCACCATTCGGAGGCGGTAGTAGATATCGTGGGACTGCAATATCTCATGCATCGCATCAGAAACCTAGACAGAAAACTCCGGAGTTTCAGTCTTGCTATCGCCAGTGTACAAATGAAGAACAACGATTCGCCCTGAAACTTAACTAAGTAACTCCCGCATTCCAGTCGCATTCGCACTATTCTAGGATCGAAGTAGCAGTTACTTCACTTGCCTCCTATATCTGTGCATTCGCGGAGTTCTGGCAATTCCAGCTATGATCAAGCCATTGAGATGTAGCAAGATGACAACCAATTGGTGGAGCGCCTCCAAGGGGTGACAAAACGACGGAAACGAGATAACTAAGATGTCGTCACCGCTGAAGAGCCCCAACGATCCCGTTAATCAACAACGAGTAGGGTGAACACGATGTTCACTGAAACAAAGCTGGAGAAGCATGCGTACCGAATTCCGAGATGTTAGAGACTTCGAAAACATGTTGTCCAATAAGCGCGTTATGAGGTACCGACTCACATTTCAGCTTGGCTTAGCGGAGTGTAACCTTCGCCCACTCTCACTGCCACAAAGCGCGCCGCACTTCTTCCAGCAATCACCTTGCCGATCGCTCAGCCCATAACTCTCAAGAAATGATGCCACCAGTACGGGTTGAATTCCATAGTCCATCCACCACCGTTAGACCGACCCAGATGTGAGAGCTCGAGACCACACGTAGAGTCAAACGCAGTAAACCTTCAGGCTGTGTAGATCGAAAGAACAGAGTAGGCGGCCCAGACAGACGACCATAGTGACAGCGAGAAGACTGATGTGTGACCCAGTGTTGGCCAAATTTAGGGCGAAACTTCTGTCACCCGATCTCGCAGTCACATTCTGTGCCGCTTCGCCACGCAAGCGAAAGTGCTTCAATATTGCTTTTTTAGGTGATAAAAGGGCGATACTGCGCCATTGATCTGTAGAATGAATCTACATGAAGCCACTGGTATGTGAGTGGCCGTGCTGTTGATGAATTCTGGGCTCCGGTTCGGCACTGAGTAGATACTGCGCAAGCCTCGCGAAGCTCGTCCTCGGAATAACTTTCAACATCAAAGCCATGAGACGAGAATGGTAAGATAAAATTTTAACACTGCCGCTCACGTATGCGCTTTAGCGGCTCATGTGATGAAATAGGAAAACCTTCAAAGCGCTCTCAGGGGAAAATGCAGTGCACAGACCCCGATCTCCGACATGATCATCGACAACATACAGGACGAACTTAAAGACCTTAGTGCATCCAGCCTCATATCCCGTTCATGGCTTCCAAGGTCGAGAGCCCACAAGTTACGGTCTATCGTCATCTCGACCAAGGATCGTTATACAGCGTTCGAGGAGATCATCAGTGCATCTCCCGTCATCTGTCACTACGTGCGCGACGTGACTATCGACGGTCATTCATGCGCAGTAGGGCCATTTGGTCTTTTGCTCCGCATCCTGCTGCAGCTCCGTCGGGTGGAGAGCCTGACCTTGCGAAACTGCAAGCGGGATCAATTATTGGTTGACTGCAGGAGTGACGCTTCTCCCTACTTCCCAGAGATCGAAAACTTCTGCGTGGTTGGGCCTAGCGAGGTCTGGTCTTTCACAGGGTATGATGACCGCAGTATACGCCGACTGCTCCTCGCATGTCCCAAGCTTCATGTCGTACGATTGTTCGACATTGGCTTTCGACACGAAGCGTTATCATTGGGACGCGCAGAACCACTTCCCTGCGTTGAGATTGACACCTTAACGCTAAGTTCAAGCATAGATGGGCCTTCTTGTCCATCATGGCTAGCGCGCCCTCCTTTTAGACTACGTGTCAGGAAACTGAACTTATCATGGTTCAGCATGAACAAGAATTCATCGGAGTCGAGCATCGCCGTTCGGGATTTGCTACGGGGAGCCGGGAGGCAGTTGAAGAGTTTGACATTGTCATATCGCGAATCTTCACCACTGCATATCGCCCCCAGGGATCACCTGGATTTATCGCAAATTTCGCAGCTACAGTCGCTGAAATTGGTCATAGGATGGTACAATGTGGATTCTTCCCATCACTGCGTGGATTCAAGCCTGCCGCTCTCAGGTCACAGCTTGTAACGCTGATCTCCCTCAGCTGGCCGAGGTGAAAATAGAGCTGAAGATAGCAGATCAGTTTACGATAGCAGAAGTGATCGACGATTCCACCGCTGTCTGGGACCTTCTCGATACAGTGCTTTCCGAATTGGTGGTTTACTGCAATCGCAGTCACGAGAAACGAGTGGAGGTCATACTCAAAGTCAACCTACAGTCCCATCTTAAGGTTATCACCGAATTCAGATTGTGGGCTCGCGCGATGCAAAAAGGGATTGGGAATCGCTTACGCTCGTTCCCAGACCATCAGTCAGGTCGACTCGAGGTGGTACAGACTTACAAATGTCCGGACGAGGGGCTGGAGCGCAAGGTCCCTAGTCCTCCAAAGGATGCACTTCATACTAAACAGGGCGACGAAGATCAAGAAGGTTGCCTGCAGGAAAAGTCGGGCGGAATGATCAGTGCTTACGAGCTTTATGATAATTATTAAATGCCGATATATCGAGAAGGTCAACCCGAACAATGCAGCACGGTTAGAGAATGTGTGATGATAATGCTACGAAGCTAGTATGCTATGTTTGAAAAAAGGCCCATGTGTATATGTAAAATAATAATTGTACACCTTGAACAGCATATGGTTCGAAGTATGCAATTATTATTTTACGCAGGAGCTTCATTGTGGATGCACACTGCTGGACGACGGTATGTCTCGCAGTACTCCTGACAATCACCTGGTAGTTTTGTTGACCGTGAGTGCTTTTCTTTTCTGTCGACTTATCTCTCGTCCGTCAGTCAAGTTTGTTACAGGCATTCCGCACCTTCACCAGCTCCGCGTCAATGGCATCCGTAGGTCGACACGTCGCTCGATCACAGCGAGTGCATGAACATGCTGAACTCGGCGGGTGTATTACACATAACGTGGCCAGATGCAGAGTCGCTCGATGGGACAAACATAACGCAGTGAAGCGGCCTTATGGAACGACGTGGAATATAACTCCTGGCCCCCAGCATGCTGCTGCTGCACTGCGACCTCTACGTCTAAGACTCGACAGACGCGGTAGAAATTTGAATGCGCTCACCTGGCTCCAGTAGCCTGAGGTCGATGACAGCTACCGCAGGAATGTGCCCGAGGTTGTTGCGAGCGCTCGTGAGACATGTCCTGGCGCCATTGAGATGCTGTCTAGCCAATGTCGACGCGCGGTCCATGCGGATACCGAAGGACAGCGGTACGACAAAGGTCGAGTTGGAATGCGGCCGGCAGTGACGAGCCGCAGGGAACAGTGCGAGAAGACAGTGGGAAGACGTCAGTGCCCGCTGGAGGACACGCCCTGGCGAGAGGAGGAGAGCAGTAAGCAAGTCCATCAGGGAGTGTGTAGAGAGAGCGCGAGTGAGACTGAGGGGCGACGGAGCCTATGCAGGACTTGACACGAGTCGATCGAGTAAACTGAAGGTCGCAATGATCGTCAAACCGTTCAGCCAATCTGGCCTCAGGCCTTGGGGCGACTCGAGCGTTGCGTCCAAGAAATGACGCCACCAATATGGGTTCACAGTCCATCCGCCACCGTTAGACCGACACAGATGGCGTAAATTCGATATGTGAGACTGAGACCATACCTAGGGCCAAAGGCAGTAAACTTTGAGGCTGTGTTCTGTGATCCATTTGAAAGAACAGAGTGGGCGACACCGTGACCTGAGACTGACAACGGTGACAGCGAGAAGAATGATCTGTGACCTGGTATTGGCTAAATCTGGGGCGAAACGTCTGTCACCTGATCTCGCAGTCACGGTTGCTTTACATTCTGTGCCGCAATGCCACGCAAAGCCGCAACGCCACGCAAGCGAAACACGACATGGAGCTGTGCTCCCTGATTACGGAAAGACACTGGTATGTGAGCGACTGACTCGTTCCCGTCTTCGGCGCCGATCACAACTTGGATGACGCAAGCCTTCCGCGAGCGGAATGGCTTTAAGCGACAAAGCGAGGAGACAGGAATGGAAATAAAACCTTTTACACTGCTTCTTTTACTGCCGCTCACGTACGCATTTCTTCGGCCACACGCTGGCGCAGGAAACGTGCAAGCGCTCTCTGGGGGATATGCAGTGCACGATACGCCACAACTGCTGCGCTTACACTCATATAAATGCAGAGACCGTTCGTTCTCATGTCCAATTCCTTTCCCCAGGCACTTCTATCAACTGGCCACAATCAAATAAGCACAACATCTTCTCTGTCCATCGCACCATTTATTCCTCGACAATATGGTCTACGTGCCTCCAGAAATTCGTGATATGATTATAGACTATCTGTGGTACGATTCAGCAGCCCTGCAGAAGTGCTGCCTGATGTGTCGAGCATGGCTTCCGCGATCTCGACTTCACAGTTTTCACACCATTGTCATCGCGGGTGACAACCAGTACGCCAGATTCGAGCGAGTCATCGAAGCATCGCCTGCCCTTTGTGACTACGTGCGTTGCGTCACCTTCAAAGGTTTCGACAGCTGGTATCCCGGTGGTGGTCTTTTCAACGTGTTACGCATGCTCAGTCGAGTGGAGGAGGTAGCCCTGCAGGATTGCGAGTACGTGGAAGCACTGGTCGATTGGGATGGAGACATCTCCTCTTACTTCCCCATGGTTCGGAGTTTCCGTCTGCTAAAGGGAGAGATCCTTGGAAGCTCGTGGGCTGTGGGATTGTCGAGAGTGTATGATGGGTATCGCATCCGCCGAATACTTGCGGAATGTCCGAAGCTCCGTGCGGTACACTTTGCCGGAGTTCAGCTGTCTCATCCTACAGCAGGAGTTGGTCCACTGGATGCTGCTCCGGAAGGCAACACTGGAGCATCTCGCCAGCTCGACATCCATGACCTCACTCTTTCCTATGATCCGACACAGATAACCCCTGGTGTTCCTCCTCCCCTGTCATGGCTCTTTGCGCCTCCTTTGAAGTTACAGCTTCAGAATCTTGCCCTGATGTGGTGCGAAAAGAGTTCACTCACTCCGCTTGGCATTACCGACCAGGAATTGCTTTGCAACTCCAAGGACAGCCTGGAAGAGCTGACACTACTGTGTCCGGAAACTGCATTTCACCCATTCGAAATGCCTTCCCCACCCCAAATGTTTTTAGATCTGGCCCAGAATTCGCGGTTAACGTCTTTAAAACTGATAGTGCCGTGGATAACCGGCTTTGACCCAGGACCTGAAATCGCAAGATGGATCAAAGCTTTCCACTCCCAGTTGGCGATCAACAGCGCCAGCCTCACTCGGTTGACCCGGGTGGAAATTGAGTTGAAGATAGAGTACCCCTCTGTAAAAGACCGGGCGCTATTCCAACCTGTTGGTTACTGCTCTGACTGGGTTCCAATCGACAGCCAACTCGCCGCTTTGGCGGTTGACTGCAATACAGGTTGCGGTGCCAAGAGGCGCATCGAGGTTGTCTTCAAAGTGAACCTCGTGCACCATGATATCCTCGATGTCTCGTCTAGCTACATTCGAAAGTGGATCGCAGCCCGCTTACAGCTGTTTTGCGACTGCCCATCGAGTCGGCTGGATGTGATATACTCCATCCAAGCAAGCCTGAAGGCTCGGTACCAGCAGCATTACTTGAATGTGTTATATCCGCCGGGTTTGAGTTTGATATCTCTTTATCACTTATTTTCGTGAAATTGCGACAATTACAATATTTGAGCATCCCGACTTGTGGTTAAATACATTAGTGCCGTGCAGTAGGAAATGGTCGTTGCACATGTTGGCTTTGGGAAATACAGTTCATGCCAGTGCCAGTTTCCTGAAATTGCTCTGAGTAATGTAGAGAGACAGCCGATAAATGTTGCACCTTGCTCTCTGTCCATCCAATCGGATGTCAATACAAGCGTGGCTCAACTCGGTACATAGGTACTAGTATGCTTCTTATAGTGCCAGCGACCTTATGAAACCGATTTTTAATCACGGGCACCGAAGTGGGCAGCGGCACTAGACGCCGTACCTAGAGAATCTTGTGTACTTATGCTTCAGAGAAAAGTACCACGAGTTTAGAATACACTCGTCTGTAATAGGTGAAACTACCCTGTTTGAATTGGGGCCGAAGTTAAAGGATAACATACATGTAGCCTAGCTAATCGACCCCAGCAAACAAAGGATCCGAAAGCAAGTTCACAGCACTGGCCTGTTCCGCAGGATCGAGGTGTAGGCGCCTGCGCATGAGAGCGCCTGTGGATAGTACATCCGCCTCATCTATGACTTTGTGATTCCTGATACACAACTCGAAAGGACAGTGGATTGGCCCCTAGATTACCTACGATATGAAGTTGAATAAAGACTACAGATAGGAAGGTGTAGACATACATGTTGAATCAAAGAATCGGCCAGCCCATTTACTGACTGTTAGTTGATCTGCGCTAAAGTCTTCGCACGTGTAGCACAGCATCGTGTACAGGAGATAGGATAGTTCATCAAGGTTGAATCTTTGGAACGGTTTGTACTTGAAAAGTACTCCACCGGTGACGATCTCAAAAATCTGGGATACAGACTCATTAATTGACATCCGCAGTAGCGTCACGAAAAGGTCACTGCATACCAAGCATCCGAAGGTCCATATATCCACCTTTTCGTTCCATGGTCCCCAAATTAGGATTTCGGGGAGGAGGAAGTGGATAAGCAGTGATTTCGTCGATTCTATGGTCAGTGATTGGTTGGGCTGCGGCAATTGGTGAGCATGGAAAGCACATAGAATGTTTCGACCTGCCGCTCCCAAAGTCTCCAACCACAAATGTTCTGTTCATAGCCTCAGCGAGAGTAGGCAATAGAAGCTGTTGTGAAACCGCAACCGGATGGCCCCATCATAGGATGCACTTGGATGACGACGACGAGACTGGTCAGATGTAAGGAGTGCCTCAAAGTTTTCAGTGGACATGCGAATGCTGAAGAAGATGCTGTCGTGCTTCGAATCTATATGTACCACGCCGCATTTATGTACATGGGCAATTCCACGCAGCACATGTAGCAGAGTACGTTTAGCGAGCGGAAGAGGGAAGGGTTGACGATGAGAATCAAAAAGGGAATTTACGTCTCCGCCAAGGACTTGAGTAACGAAACACATGTGGTCGCCCGCACTTCTTTTATCTGGAAAGGTGAAATCCGACAGGAGCCGAAGACAATGAGTAGGAGTTGAAGAGAGTGACGACATCTGAAAACTGCACAAGGCTATGAGGCCTACATAGGACTATGTAGTAGGGACCTGGCTAGCCGAGTGCTAGCCGAGCCTACATAGTCCTACATAGGCAGCTGTAGACCTCCGAGCAAAGTACCAGTTGCAGATGGATATCAGCTTGAGAGCTTCCAGTTCCCAAATCAGACGGCGTCGCACGAGATCGGTGCTATGACCTCTGAGAATCTTGATAGCGACATGCGAATTCTCCCTGTCAGACATTTATGAGAAAGAAGAAACTGGTTAAAAAAATTGTCGAGGCGTACTTTTGATCGCGAGCCAGCCAAGTGCTCGAGTGCGTACCCCAACCAAGCTTCCGCGCGATGACATAGCGGTCATTTGGGCAAATGGTTTCAGAGAACTCGATTTCAGGCCAGCCATAACCGCGTTGAGCTGGAACAACCAGCGTGTAAGGATATTAGAGGAATAGAGTAGTCGAGGCATCGGAGTTAGCCGAGGCGTTGAATACGCGCTCAACCGCGTAGATGGGTTTTTCGTCTTTACTTTACTCGCTGAAAACTTGCCTTCCGAATACACTCGGTTCAGTGCATTTCCCGCGACTTAAGGACCACCAAAGGCCGCAAAAGCCTTATACATTTTTGCACTTGCCGCTGATACCACCTCGGTATTAGTGAAGTCTATTCTAGCTAGGCAACAAACCCCTTTTCTACACCCCTTCGAAAAGACCTTGCTTCTATCACCTTCTCTGTCGACATGCCGGCCAAGAGGAACCCTACAAGCTCCACTGTGACCGTCACCACTGGAGTTGGTGGAATGAAGACAAGGCGTAGTACCGTTCAGGACACCGCCGACGACGATGATAACGTCGATGATCGCGGCCAATCCACTGACAAGAATGAACCGGTACCACCTGCCGACGTTCATGATGACGCCGGTGACCCGTCTCGTGAGGCTGATCCCTCGCGATCGGGCAGATCAGAGCGCGATGGTGTCGTCGATACGCCGGGCGACCGTGATGCTCGCACGGGCGCTGCAGACGACAACACGGTCGGTGATCAGCACCGTGTACCTGATACTAACATGGATGAGCCGCAGCTCAGCCAGTTATGGAACGACACGGAGGACCTCCTTGCTGCCATAAAGGTGAGGTTCAATGAGTCCGACGTATCCTACCAGCAGGCCATCAGCTATGCTAATCGGGCCACCCGTGAGGCCAATGCTACCCGCGCTAGAGCCGTGAACGCTCAAAGGGACTTTGAGGAGGCGATTGGTAAGATTCGCTCCTCCATACTCCGCATTAAGAAGCGGGAGAACCCCGAGATTGACGACTTAGAGACCCCGCTACGCGAGTTTTCATCTCGCGCGGCAGACGAGGCAACTCATCAGTCGAGGCCGCCCGTTGGCGTTGAAGGCGATCGGCCGCAGTCTCCGCCGATCAACTCGGACGACTATGTCGAGAGGTCGCTCGACATGCTGTTCCGGCCCCGCGACCGAAACGAGACGGATGTCATGTACAATCTTCGTCTCGATGGCCAAACCCGCTTTTTGGATGCGCGTGGGGCAGAACAACGGCGTCGAGAGCGCGAGGCCCGCATCAACGAGACCTGGCAGCAGGCCGAGTCCCGCGTAGACATGCGTGCGCGTTGGGGTAGTGCGATGCCCTTCGCCACGCTGCGCACCGCATTTGGTGATGCACCGCCGCCGGAACCACCTGGTGGTGGTGGTGGTAACAACAACCCGCCGCGTCGTGGAGGTTTGCCCGCGCGTGGTCGCGGACCACACTCCTCCGGTCGGGGATTCCGTTCTGGTGGATTCCCTGGTGGAGGCGGTGATGGCGGTCCTCCGGATGGCGATGGCGACTCGAGTCCGCATGGTAGCGGCTCGGATGGAGATGACGGAGATGATGACGAGAGCTCCGAGAGGCCGTCTGTCCGTAATCTTGACAGGCATGCAACACGGAGTCCCAGCTACTTACAGGGTAGACATAGCATGCCCCGTGGTAGTGTACCTCGTCAGCAACAACAGCCACAGCCGGGATATACGTTACCCGCTGTTGACGCCCAGTGAAAAACGCATATTCTAAGAACGAACCAAGACGCACCAGATCGCGGCTTGACTTGGACTATCGCAGGAGGTCGAACCAAATCCCACCTAGTCAAACACGTGTGAGAGATCCTGTGATTTGGCGCCTCGATCCTGTACGAGATCCTGTCTGCGTAGCACTTTGCTCGATGTCCCTGCCAGGCCTGCCATCGGTTGAAACTTGTCTACACATGTGACTTGGCTTTGGTGCATCTCTAACTATACACAATATTTGCTCTTACTAGTGTACTTGTCTCCCGCACACGAATATCATCGCTTTGCCTGCCACACCGAACTCTTCTGCGCGATCATGCCTGCAAGCAAACGTCAGTATCAGTGCGACTGCGAGAAACACTGTGGTGGCCGACAGAAGGTGGTTAGTTGGGCTACGTACTATGGGCATGCTGAGTTTCGTGCGAAGACATCCCAAACATTCGCGGACTTTGTAGCAGACCTCCCTGGTACACGCATCTTCTCGCATGCCGCTTCATGGCCTTCCGAGGGGAACACAAGTCAATTGCGAGGGAGAAAATGTGCTCGTGTGGAGAATGAAATCTACGAGATGTTGGAACAGGTATGTCTCCATGCTCCTACATTTCAGCAAGCTGCCTGACATATTTTCGGCTGCACACAGATGGAGAGCTCGACAATCGCACCTTCGTTTGATGAACTTCCCGGGCCTGATATGGATTGCGAATCTCCTGGTCTTGGACCAAGTACAGAAACCTCCGAATTTACACCTACATGCACTCTCCACCTCGCACATGATCACATCACCCTATCCGATGTTGATGAGCATGAGGATGAAGACATGGATCCTGGGAGCATAGCAGCCACCCGAGGGTCAGAGGATGCCGCGTCTAGTTCTCAGATGCGAGACGACACACGTTCGGGACTTGGACCAGAGACAGAATTGGAAGCAGACCGCACGGCAACGATAGAGGAGATCAAGATAGCAGAGGAGTTTATTCGTTTACTGAAGCAGGCTTCACTAGAGACTAGCGGGCTTGATGCTAATACCATACATCGCCTCCACCATCCCATCGAGGCCCCCCTTGATATCGACGATCCCGATCTGCTGCTATCGATTGAAATATTCCTCTCCGTGACTAACGCATCACAAGCGACATACACAGCCGTGCGCGGTGCAATCCTCCACCGTTACCCCGAGAATACCATCCTCACTTTTGACCAGGTGAAGAGCAAGATTGCCGAGCTGAGCGGCGTAGTCCCCATTATCCAAGACATGTGTGTCAACACATGTCTAGCCTACACTGGTCCATTCGCCGAGCTAGACCAGTGCCCGACATGTGGAGAACTGCGCTATGATACTACGAGCAATGGCAAGAAGCGCATCGCTCGCCAAGAATTTCACACCATTCCAGTCGGTCCTCAGTTACAGGCTCTGTGGAGATCTCGTGAAGGTGCTACGGCCATGCGTCATCGTAGTCGTCGCACACATGAGATTCTGGAGCGGCTTCGCGAGCATAATAACCAGCTGTACGAATACGACGACGTATACCACGGATCTGCCTATCTCAAAGCTGTTCTCGAGAATCAGATCGGCACCGACGACATGGTCCTTCTTATGTCGATTGACGGTGCGCAGCTTTATGAAAGCAAGGCCTCGGATTGCTGGATCTACATCTGGGTAGTTCTAGATCTAGCACCGGAGCTTCGTTACAAGAAGAAGCACGTCCTCCCTGGTGGTTTCATACCCGGTCCGCATAAACCCAAGAATCTCGACTCCTTTCTGTTTCCTGGCCTTGGGCATCTAATGGCACTACAGAAGGATGGTCTTTACATCTGGGATGCTTCAGATGAACACACTTTCCGATCGAATCCATTTCTAGCCATGGTGACGGCCGATGGTCCTGGAATGGCTCATGTGAATGGTCTGGTGGGTCATCACGGAGCTCAAGGTTGTCGTCTCTACTGTCCACTCAAAGGACGCCATAAAGCCGGTGGCCCGCACTATTATCCAGCTCTTCTCAAGCCAGTAGACTACGAGGTCGACGGTTGCGATCACGATGATGTCTCCTGGCGTACTCTCATGCCGTTGTCTCCGGAGCAGTATGCAGAGAACCTTGTTTACGTGCGCACATCCCCTAACGATACTCAATATAAGGCGCGCCGCAAGCAGACTGGTATCGCCAAGCCGAGTATTCTCAGCGGCCTCTCTCGTATTCTGCTTCCACCTACATGCTGTGCGCTTGATCTCATGCACCTCGCATCTCTCAATATTCCAGACCTGCTCATCCCTCTATTCCGTGGAACGCTCGAGTGCGACAAAGATGACGATAAATCAGAGTGGGATTGGGTAGTTCTTGTAGGTGAGATCTGGCAGATTCACGGCAAGATGGTTGCAGATGCACGCCCGTATCTTCCTGGGTCATTTGACTGACCACCGCGAAATCCTGCAGAGAAGATATCTAGTGGATACAAGGCCAAGGAATTTCTGAATTATGTCTACGGCTTTCTCCCGGCTCTCTTGCGACCGATTCTGCCTGAAAAATATTGGCGTAACTTTTGCAAACTCGTACTCGCTGTTCGGATATTTCACCAGCGCAAGCTCACTTCTGCACAGCTCAAGCTTGCACATACAACAATGCTCGAGTTCATTGAGGAGTTTGAACTTCTCTATTACCAACGTCTTCCTTCTCGTCTACATTTCTGTCGACCTTGCACTCACACCCTCGGACATCTGGGCCCCGAAGTAGTTCGTCTTGGTCCACTTATTTACTACACTCAGTGGACAATGGAGCGCACGATTGGAAATCTTGGCGAAGAGATCAAACAGCCATCTAATCCTTACGCCAATTTATCACAACGTGGTTTACGGCGTTCTCAAGTCAATGCGGTGAAGATTATGGTACCTCATCTCGGCGTCCTAGGAGAGAAGGACAATTCTCAGGATGAAAAGACGGTGCAACTTAATAGTGGGTACAATCTCCGGCATCCTCGGCAAAAGGCAGGACAGCATATTCGGGCTGTAGGAGAAGTTAATGCAATTCGGAGGTACATGATAGACCACGGGCTACTCACATCCATGGCGGCGAAGGATTGGGATCCAAAACTGGCCAAGTGGGCTCGTTTGGGCCTACCGAATGGACAGATAGCACGTTCGGTATATGGCGAGAGCAAACGTACTGACGAAAATGTGCGCATGTCTTGCAATGTCAAAGTACGCACGATCCACTTGCAATCATATATATTGACATCGAGGACCTTTTTTAAGCTCGATATTAATGGGACAACTCATTTCGGTGAAGTTCAGTATTACTTTCAAGCTGAAACAGGTCACGCACAAAGTTCGGCCCTTGCAGTGATACGTTTATATTCTGAGCCAGATGCGATCATCTTGCAGCGCTCCTACAACACCGTATGGATGTGTCATCCTCAAGGGGATGCTGCGCTAATGGTTGTGGATATTGAGAACATCATTGCAGTCGTTGGCATGATTCCAGAACCATTCTATGGTGGTGCAGGAGCCGGAGAGCAGGCGGAGAGATCAGATCGATTTTTTGTTGTTGAGAAGACAGGCTTGGAGGTTGGACTGATGGCGGGCGAGTTGCAATCAGTGGAGAACGATTGAATTAGTAGAGAAATATTAGGTTAATCGATATAGTCGAAAAATGTGAGGGTTTGTTCAAGTGGATCAGAAGTTGGTATAACAGTAAATGGAGAACTAGCGGAAGGTGTGCTATGAGCGGATATACAGAGTTCAATCTCTTCAGGACAAGACGTAGGTACTGGTGTGAACCAGCCGGATGGCCGGGGTGGAGTTGCTGGCAGGAGATGTAGGATGGGTGCTAGTGCGATAGCTTTGGTCTCTTCCTCTTCAACGGAGTCTTCCTTGGCCACAGCATCTACCTGGGGTATGAGGTCTTCCTCAGCTACGATGTCTCCCTCAGCTACAGCTGCTACATTGTCTCCCTCGGCTACGGCTACGATGTTTTCCCGAGCGGGAGCATGTTCCTCGGCTGTGAGAACTACTCCTACTGCATGCTCTCTGTTAATTCTGCATATTTGTAGATGTCAGTCAGTTATTGAGAGTGACACAAAGGAGCACACTCACCCGGATTGTAGTTCTGCGAGCTGATTGAATGCCGGTGGAAGGATACTCTGCAGAAGAGAGATGCCTTTGCCGATTTCGACAAAATATAGTAAGCCGAGAGTGTTAAGATTATGAGTCTGATCTGCGAGTTTGAAAGCCAGGAGTTCACAGACACGGGATAGCTCCAGAAGGCGCGAATGATAGTGGTGCACGGTAGGATCCTCGGGAGAGGAGTATTGAGATGACGCCTCGAATGTCTCAAGAAATGCACGGAAAACTGGAGGTATATGAATGCCAGGAGAAGAGAGATTTTCAGGTTCTAAAAGAGATTCTTCCTCAGTGTGGCTGGAAGTAGACGACGGCATAGTTGCAAGTACAGTCTACGAAGTATGAATTCTGTGACTCCAGAGCACCCAAGCGAAGAACGATCACGTGATAGCGACTCTGCTATTCGAACGCGTCATAGCATGTCATAGTAAGGCCACTACAATCCACGATATTATCCTCCTGCATCCAGTCGAACAGAACTCCAGATCATTATGCCCATTATACCAGCGGCTTTTTCTGCACATTCACGTTCTCCTTGCAATGTCGGTCAACCGCACCTTCTTAGTCCCATTAGGTATCACTCACAAGAGCACTGCGATGACGACGACATCGCTGTCATGCCTGGCCCATCTCGCCCATCAGACACATTCACACTCTCGGGCCCAGTAAATCCCGATTTTACACCGCTCATATATCATAGCAGACACACTTCAAGATCAAATACACCTTTTCCATCCACGCAAGGACAGAACACACCCAGTTGGGAGTTTTCTTCGCGCAGAGTATGTGTATTTATATATTAAGCTGGAAATTACTGACCATACAAAATAAGCCATCATTATCTATGTCAGGTAATGCGGTCCCACAAACAATCGCCAACGCAAACCATGAAACTCTGTTGAAATTTCAAAATCAAGCATATCTTGGCCTGCGTGACGCTTATATGCGCCAAAAGATGGAAATACACGCGCTGAATGCACGGGAACAAATTCTAAAGTAAGTTCGAAGTTTTATCTCTCACTTTTTGCGCATATATGCTGCTTATTACCTTGTTCCGCAGGGAGACATATTCGAAACTTGTTGAAGCCGTGCCGCAAGCAGTCCTCCTCATGAACAGCGAACCCTCTCAGCCATCAAACTTTCCCGGTTCTTCTGACATCTCAGGACCACGCACTCTGTCTTTTTCGACTAGCGGTGGAGCACCCCTTTGCAAGAGCGACTATCCGGGTGTTCGTTTCTGGACGTTTGATGAGTGGAACGCATATAGGAAGATTCTAATCATGGAGGGAGGAATTCTACAGATCCCTGAAAGTATCAATGCCGACCACAGCACAGATGAACAGCAAGAAAGCGAAGATCGGTGGAGCAAGAAACCCAATGCTACCAAGAAGAAAAAGACCATACGCCGGGCACTGTACCTGGAGGATGAACACGGTGAAACCGTCAGCGACAATCGGGCCGGCGAGATTCAGCGCGTTGCCAGAGAAATTTGGGCACAACTATGGAACGAGGGCCATGCGCCGGAGACTTGGGGTGCAAAAACTGCGAACGTCGCAGCTTTCTATTATAAGCAGATGAGTCTTCGCTGTCCTGAACTGAGACTTTGCCATGGAGACTGGAAAGCCGAACGCCTTGCGATCGACTCCTACTCTCAGTGGCACACTACTCGGTCTAAAGGCGACGAGATGAAATCTGCCTCTCGGTCTCGTTCTCGTGCTCATTCCCGTGCTCATTCGAAATGTAAGGCCCGCTCTGCATCAGACATGGACTCTTCCGAAGACGACTCTCAACCAACCAAGCGCGTCAAAGCAACCATGTCTTCTTCCACCCCATCTTCGAACTCAATATCGATATCTAATCCTACTCCTGATACTGTACACTCTCGAGAGTCTGCAAATCCTGCCGTGAATGTTCAATCGTCTTCCAGTAGCGCCGTCGCTCTTATCTCTGCTATCGCTATCACTCCTGCCGAATCCGGATCACCTGTTGCCAACGAGGACGACGAAGAGCTTGAATATATTGATGCTAGTCTTGGACTTGCCGGCTCTGCTTGTGACCCCACTACGGCTTCAGGACAGCGAGATGATATGGACCCTGGCACCCACGAACGACAGCAGACGCCTATCGCAAGCACTTCAGTCCCGACCACAGCTCGAAACCCGACAAACTCAATGGTGCGTCCTTGAAATATATTATTGTCCAGTTGTTCTCATTGTAATGGGTGCCGTCGCATCTCAACTCAGCCTCTTGATCCTCTGTATGTACATTCCATCTTTACAGCAAACTCATGCTGAACTTTAGATTCAAGTGCCGACATGTTCGATATGACTCCTGCTACAGCACAAACAGCAACAACCTCAACATCTGCTGCTACTGTAATCCCTCCGGCATCCGAACTTCCAGCACTTACTTCCGGCGATATCGTGACGGACTCGGTTCGTACAGCGGTACCTACAATGCAACCGAAGAAGAAGAAAAAATCGCCCAAGATGTTCGCCAACAGCTCAAGCACCGCATCGTGAGTCTCATCCCCTCTATCATTTATGCTTATTGTCGGCTTCCAGGAATTTGTTTGCAAAAGACTGGCTCAAGACTCATGAAGGAGAATCCCGAGAACAATTCCAATCCGCGTGGGAGGCCCTCGAATCAGCGGAACGGAAGGTGAGTTATCTATATCAACGCTTGAATCTGCGCTGATCGCAGTTTTATTACAGATGTATGAGGACAGGAGTGCAGCCACCATCGCTGCACTGAAGGCAGAGAAAGCTGCTGCAAAGAGAGCTGAGAAGGCTGCGAAGGTATCGGGAAAGAAGAAGGCAGGGCAAGTGACGCTCCCCGCCAGCGCGGGCACGAAAAAGGTACCTTATCTCACTCTTTATCTATGCTATGACACATATTCACTGACTCTACTTATATTACAGGTGTTGGGCAGCATCCAGGTGTGAAAATGGGGACGACGGCGAACGCAGGGAGTGCGGATGTGTGCGGTTGCGTGCCAGTGCGCGGGTGCGTACGCGGGCAGGGGGATGGGCGCGCGCGTGCGTGCGGGGGTGTGTAGGTGCGAGGGCGGGGGTACGGGCAGGAGCGGGAGCAGGGGCAGGAGCGGCAGCGGCAGCGGCGGCGGGGGCAGAAGCGGGGGCGAGAGCGGGGGCGGGGGCGGGGCCAGGGGTGGGAGCAGGGGCGGGGGCGCGGGCGTGAGTGGAGCACACCGAAGTAGATCGCGCGATGTCGCAGGAGCTCGCACGACGGCGAGGGTGCTCACACGACGTCGAGTGTAGTCACAGTGTATTAAATCACGACAATACAATGTTTTACAGCGGCTTAATATTCAACTAGATGCGAAATGCCTCGATTCTCCCGCTTGGCACTGTGCTAGCCTGCGACCACATTTGATTGGGCTCGCGCAAGATCGCATATAGTCCAAATTTTCGCGGCTGGTCGCAGCTGGTCACAGCCACGACCTCGTGCGACTTGCTGCGATCTCACAATACGCGTTTTCCACTGGGGTTGATGACTCGTTCATGCGTGATGGTGTGAAAACTATCCGCGAGATGATCAGGAAGAAAGTCGGACGGGCACTACCTGATAGTAATGCTCTGAAAAATATGAAAAATATACCTCTGCCTGACAAGTATTCAGGCCCAGTGGAAAACGCGTATTGTGAGATCGCAGCAAGTCGCACGAGGTCGTGGCTGTGACCAGCTGCGACCAGCCGCGAAAATTTGGACTATATGCGATCTTGCGCGAGCCCAATCAAACGTGGTCGCAGGCTAGCACAGTGCCAAGCGGGAGAATCGAGGCATTTCGCATCTAGTCGAATATTAAGCTGCTGTATAATAATTGTATTGTCGTGATTTAATACACTGTGACTACACTCGACGTCATGTGAGCACCCTCGCCATCGTGCGAGCTCCTGCGACATCGCGCGATCTACTTCGACCTGCTCCGCTCACACCCCCGCCCCCGCTCCCACCCCTGCCTGCGCCCCCGCCCCCATTCCCGCCCCCGCCCCCGCTCCTGCCCGTACCCCCGCCCTCGCACCTACGCACCCCTGCACCTACGCACCCCTGCACGCACGCGCGCGCCCATCCCCCTGCCCGCGCACGCACCCGCGCACTGGCGCGCAACCGCACACATCCGCACTCCCTGTGTTCGCCGTCGTCCCCGTTTTCACACCTGGATGCTGCCCAACACCTGTAATATAAGTAGAGTTAGTGAATATGTGTCATAGCATAGATAAAGAATGAGATAAGGTAGAGAGGTCTGCTACAAAGTCGGTGCAAGCACAGCTGTTCACGCTCAGGCTGACTGGATAGTCGAGGTCATCCAGATGGCTTCTCGCGCTCGAAGTGTGCATAAAGGCCCGGCGAGCTCGTTAGTCGGGGTCGTCGGAAGAGAGATGTGTGACCGCGGAGCCTGCTACAGGGGGCGGGGGGTTTTGGACGCCGCAAATGAACCTCTCGCAGTGCGAGACGATCGCCTCGGTGCGCTCAGTCCTCGCTCGATCCATGTGCCCCCCGCCCGCGCGCCCAAATATCGATCCTCTGACCCCGGATTTCCCGGTATATGCGCCAGAAGTCGACGTGCCGTGTCCGCATCCACATCCTTGTACTCACCTGGTCATCCTAACTTACCCCATCCCCCCACTTCTCAACTTCTCGATGCGGGTCATGTCTATCGTGCGCGCCAGGGTCGCGAATCGGCGAATGCGGCGCGCGGACGGGACTGCTCGGATGTCTTCATTTGGCTTTGGAGCCTGGAATGCGGCACGCGTACCGCGCCCAGCCGCTTGAGATTGAGGGGCTAGTCAGTGCCCCCCAATTGAAGGCGCAGATGGAAAGATCATGGGGATCTCAACGAATGTGGATAGTATCGGATCGCCTTCTTATCGGAAGATTAGCATAACATGATCCACACTTGCACGTAGGCAGTACTTACTACCGTAATCAGCAGCAACGCTGCAAGTACACCAGAGGGGGTCTCTCGACCATCTGATAAGTAAATTTAAGGACATTTCAGGTGCCTGGATGCCTGACACAGAAACTGTCGCCGTACCTCGTCAATAGGGGCACATCAGAGGATTACAGTCAGGAAGACAAACACACATTCACATAGTCCGGATGTGTCGCAATGTGCACCACGCGTGCACCAGAAAGCAGTGCAAACTTGTTCTCCCGGAACTGCTGCGAGATTAGACAGGGAATGAGATGTAGAACAGTTCGCACTGTGCGGGGTGCGGGCAGCTGTGCGCACTCGAGTGTGGCATGACCGTCACATTGAGGCAGAGAAGGCTGTTGAGCCACTTCTCGACGGTGTCTTCGGCCACATATAAAATCGGTGTCTCGAGCTTGCAGTGTGCACGCTTTCGGCAGTGCCTTGACGATGGGCTTCTTGAAGCTCGAGCTTACCGCTGCATCGTCTTCACCCGCGGCGGTGTCTTTAGTACGCGAGGGGTGGGTGCTCTCATGGAGCTGTTGGATGAGCTTGAGTGAGAGTAATCGGCCGGTATAATAAGCATCGTGCTCTGGAGGTCAGAGCGACTGGATGCAGGAGGACAAGAGCGCAGACGTGGTGGCGACATGAGTACGGTGACGCGTCCATGTCTCTGTCACATGATGAGCTCGGCGTGGGTGCAAAGAGATGATATAAGTGCAAGTACACTGGGCACAAGTACAACATATAGTATATAGCTAATTGAGACACGCGTGCAGGCAAAATTCGACAGATGGCGGCCTTACGTCGAGCAAAGTGCAATTCAGATGGGACATGGTACAGGATCGACGCGTCAAATCACAGGATGTCTCGCACGTGTTCGACCAGGTGAGATCTGGTTCGACCGCTTGCGATAGTCCAAGTCAAGCCGCGATCTGATGCGTCTTGGTTTGTTCTTGGAATATGCGTTTTTCACTGGGATTCAGGTGAGGATGATCTCGAAGTTTTCGAATCGTGGTTGAAGTCCCTATTGCGATGGCTTCGGCTTTATCGCATGTGCGGACCAGACCTCGATGAGGAACGGCTCCAACTTATGGGCCAATTTCTCAAGGGTAAGGCTGCCGACTGGTACAATGACAATGTCGACACACCTCACAATAATGTAAAGTGGAATTTCGAAGATGCCGCGTGTGCCATTTTCTGGCGGTTCTTGTATCACGCAACCGCAGGAAATGCGGCTGATAAATTCTACGCAGTAATATACATGAAGGATGGCGGAGTAAACGGTGTATGGGATGAGCTAGCTAAGTATGCTGCCCGTATGCCTCAGCCGCCCGATGACTACACGTTCGCGCGAACCTTTGTCAAGGCGCTTCCGGACGAAGTCTGCATCCCTCTGTTCAGATCAAAGGATGTTTCCGTCGAGACCACTCCGCTTACCACATTGCTGCGTCTCGCTGTTCAGCAAGAACACAACAACCAGGTCGTTTCACGAAATCGTGTCAAACGTTCCGCGCCTGCGCCCGTACCCACGCCGGCGAAAACTACTTCTACCCAAGACACTCATGGCCAGAGCTCATCTGTGAAGCACCCCGACCATGGGAAGTCGACGCGATTTGTGCGCGTCGTGCGTCGCAATGATTTTCGTCGTGATGGCGGATCTGGAAACCGTCCGCTGCAGAGCACGAATCGCTCATTGCAAGCCCCGCCGCAGTCCACGCAGAAGGACGGGCGGCCTACTAACTTCTCTGGAAATCGTGGCGGACCGTCAGGAAACCTTGCGAACGTCCGGTGTTACAACTGTGGTGAGTACGGCCACTTGTCACCGAACTGCCCGAAGCCCAAGGGCCCAAAGCTCCACGCGGCTCGTGTAATTGACGAGCGAGAAGCCGCGGAGGCAGAACCTGCCCAGGATGATGCGCAGGAGCATCCGGAGGTAGCTGAGGATGAGCACACTTTTGTGCATGATAATGTCGCACCCAATGCAGGAAATGGCGAACCCGAGGACGAGACGGTTGCACTCATCGAGGGCTCACAGTATGATCCAGAGGAGGAGAGCAACCCTCTGGAGGAGTACTTTGACCTCGAAGATGATGAGGTCATGTACTACGGGTCGATGCGCATCGTTGAGGATGAAGATTCTGCAGAATCCGAGCCCTCGCGCGAAACACTCTCCGTGTTCGAGCATGAGATGCTTCGACTCCAGACCGAGATTACGGCTGGAGGAGATGCTACAGCACTTGTTGGAGATGCTGACAATGCTGCTGTGTCCGCTGTATTTACAAATCCACCGGCATACCAGGATGAGTCCTCGGAGCCGCTGTTGTTCGAATCGGACACAGATGTGGATGACGACGAAATGCCGCCACTTGTGGCAATTCCAGATGCTGAGGAAAATAGTGACAGCATCTCGGAAGTTAATACTAATGGCGCTCTTGAGTCATGGCTTGCAGGTCCTCCGATGGATGCTATCCACGGCCTGTATGCCCTCAATGGTGACCTCCTTTCAAACCTACAACAGTACGGCCGGTACATCGACATATTGTACGGCCAATTGCTGTGGACCCAACGCGAGCTTGCCCGCAGCGTCGTAGAGCAAGGAAACTTGCTGCGCGACCCGTTTGATCGCGTGTGGGCGCTGACCGAATTCATGTGGCGGCGCAAGCGAATTCGTGCACGGCTTCTAGTGCAGCGTGATATTCTTGCTGCAATGCCGTTGCCTGACCGCGGTGACTATGAGGACGACCCGTCGCCCGCCGCGGTGTTCAATGCAATATCGGACATCCTCTTCGAGGACCCCGACGATGCTCCGCCTGTATATGAGCATCAGGACTTTGCGCCAACATCAGTATCGCTGTGTGCAATGGCCGCTACGCCGGCGCCTGCAGCATTACCCGTGGTAACTCGTGCCATGATACGGCGCCAGCAGACTTGTCGTCGGCCAGACGTGTCGTGTCTTGACCAGACTTGTCTCACGGGCTACGTTACTGTCAATGGCCTACAGGCCCTCATCCTGTTTGATTCGGGGAGTACGACAGACTCGATCTCTCCGGAGTTTGCTCGCGTAGCGGGAATCTCGATCTTGGAACTCGAGAACCCCGTAATCCTTCAACTTGGATGTGTTGGTAGTCGCTCACGAATTAATTATGGTGTGAGAGTTCCTGTTATTTGTGGAACCTTCCAGGATGATGTCTACTTAGATGTCGTCAATCTTGATCGATATGACGTTGTACTGGGAACACCATTCATGCGTAAGTTCGGTGTCATTCTTGACTTTGCGAACAGCATCATCCGCTTCCATGGACAACAAATTCATGCACTCCTGCCAGGGGAGGAGGAAGCTGGTGCTAATCGGCGAAAAAAGACGTTTCCTATGCGTCATGCTCATGCTAGCAGCATTGCCGCTGTGAATACTCCAAGCCCTACGTCCTGTTCGGACTGACTAGCCGCTCGAAGAGACAGCAATGGTGAGGTGACCGGAACCTCAGCGCAGACGATTCGACTGCATCGAATCACCACGGATGTACACGGTTTGGCAAACACTATGAATATTGAGCGATGCTCGAGAATTCGCGACAAGATTCTTGAGCAGAATGCAGATTTGTTGGAGCCTGTGCCACCAGGCCTCCCTCCATTGCGAGAGGTTGTGCATATGATCCCTCTAATTGACGAGCAGAAGAGATATAATTATTATCTTCCGAAGGACAAATTGATCGGATGTCACTTCAAGGTAGTGACTGATCACCGTGCACTTATATTTCTCAAGGACAAGCGCAAGGTGCCGCAGCGACTCGAGCGGTGGATCGAGTACCTCAGCCAATTTGACTATGAAATTGTGCATGTTCAAGGCACAACAAACCGAGTCGCAGACTCATTCTCCCGCTACTTTGCAGAAGAAGGTGTGGACATGCTGCACGACCCACAGGATTATGTGTCAGCCGATATCCGACTTGACCCGTGAGGAGAAACCCTCTCTGGGAATCGCATGGCGGAAATCCGTGCTCAGCGTATAATTGAGCCGGTTGAGCAGCGCGTGCAGGAAGCGACTGAACTTGCTGCGCACCGCCCCACAGACGTACTGCAAACTAGTGCAGGTACTGGCGAAGATCCTACCGCATTAGATTCTGAAGTTGCAGGCCCTCCGCTTGATGTTATAGTTGAGCGGATTGTTGATTTCAAGGCAACAGTGAAGGACGGGTACAAGGACGATATGTTCTTCGCCAAGGTCCTAGAGCATTCTGATGATCACAAGGCTTTCGCCGTTCAAGACGGATTTATCTGGCACCGTCAGAGTGCGAGAGACAATTTTCTGTGTATTCCGCGGGTGCTAGTACATCACCGGAATCTCACGGAAATCATTATTGACCAAGCGCATGTCACACTGGGTCATTTGGGGAACCGACGTACCTCCGACTATGTTCGTCGCTGGTATTGGTGGCCAGATGTCGGAAAGGACATTGCAAAGTTCTGCGCGAGTTGCGGAACATGTCAGACATCGAAATCTGCTACCCAGCGTCCTCTCGGATTGTTACACAGCATGCCGGTTGCAGCACGCCCATGGGACTCGATCGGTATGGATTTCGTGGGACCATTCCCGGAATCCCAAGGTCATGACTATCTGTGGGTTATCATTGATCGTCTAACATCAATGGTACATTTAGTACCCACCAATACAACGGCAAAAGCGTCGGAAATCGCTTGGTTATATTTCAGGGAAGTCGTCCGACTTCACGGCCTACCTGAGTCGATCATCTCCGACCGAGATTCAAAGTTTACGTCGAAGTTTTGGAGCGAACTGCACCGCCTTCTGGGCAGTCAGTTGCTCATGTCGACATCATTTCATCCGCAGACCGACGGCGCTTCGGAGCGGTCGATCCGCACTGTCTCGCAAATCCTACGAAGTCTGGTCAGGCCAGATCAGATGGACTGGGTTGAAAAGATACCGTTGGTCGAGTTTGCAATAAACTCGAGCATCAACGCGTCCACGGGGTTCGCTCCGTTCGAGTTGAACAGCGGATACATGCCGCAGATGATACGGGATCTTGCTCGAGAGCCGGCAATGCCGGGGGTGAAGGTGTTCACCGAATGCACGCTGGAAAATCTGTCGATCGCGCACGATTCAATTATCGCTAGCAGGGTGGTACAGACTCACCATGCTAACCTGAGACGACGTTCTGAGCACCCAGAATTGGGCTCAGAAGGCGAAAGTCTTGTAGGAAAGTTACTTTACCTGTCCACAGAGAACCTCTCTCTGCCGAAAGGGAGGGCCAAGAAACTGACCCCAAGGTTCATTGGGCCATATAAGGTGCTAAAGGCGCACCCTGAGACATCCAGCTATACCCTGGATCTGTCTAGTGAGCTCAGGAGGAGGAGAATCCATCCTACCTTCCATGCCTCCAGGCTCCGGCATCATGAGCCTAATGACAATGTCCTATTCCCTTCTAGAGATCCTAGGGCATTCTATGACTTTGGAAATGAGTCAGAAGACGAATTTTTGGTGGATGAAATTGTTGCTCACCAGTGGAAAGGCAATTCTATCCAATTCCTTGTCAGGTTTGACGATGGAGACACACTGTGGGAACCATATGTCGAATGCAAAGACCTGGAAGCATTAGACCGTTACCTGGAGCTTCTAGGAGTGTCCGACTGGCGTCGTTTGCCACGCTCGGGATGGCCGCGCGAGCAGCGCGAGTAGGTCGCGTTTGCGCGCGAACGTTCGGCGAGCACTAACAGGACTTCGAGCTCGACGCGCGTTCAAGTCACGAGACGCCGACGCGTCGAGATTCGGTCTTTTCTTACGCCCAGCGCTTGTGACTGAATCTCGCCATTCGGTCATTTTGCTTCTTTCTCTCACAAGCACCTGGCTTGCTGGTGAAGTAGCTCACCAGCAATTATTCGTGCTGCGCTATTAGGCGCGAATAAATTTGGGTTTTGTTCTGCATTCTCCGGGACTGTTTTGGCCATGCCGCGTTCGAAGGCAGACTACGACTACCCGATGTCGGAAGGAGAACGTGAACACCGTGAGTTCGAGGATCATACTCACATGCGTCGATCTGAATCTCGCGAAGGCGGCGTTCATCGCCCTCGCTCAGAATCACCCGGGGAGGTGACGGTACGCCTTCCCACACCGATAAGGCTCCCTTGGCGATACAAGGAGGAGCTCCGCAGCATCCTGCATGACCGAGGCTGCCTGACGTGTGATAAATATGCGGACCACGTCAAGGATCACGGCAAGGTCAGCAAGGCATACAAGGATGCCGTGCATGACCTCGAGTTGACCGTCGGGAAGCGTCAGTGGGACCAGGCATACAATGCGGGCTACCTCCATGGGATAGATGAAGGTCAAGCCATGGCTGCGCAAGCCAATCGTGACGACCTTATAATTCAGCTCAACAAGCACATTGCAGAGCTGGAGAACATCGTTGAACAGACCAATGCATCCCGTGCTCAGTTCACCTTTTCGTACCCCGTGGGAGGCTCTTCCTCTGTAGGGGGGGGTCCGTCACATAACATAGACCACCATGCTCCGGTGATTTTCACGGCTAAGCCTACCGTCCAGTCTGCTGGAGCATCAGCCAAGTCGAGGCCTACCTCCATGCCTGTGTCAATAGCCAAACTTGACCGGATGATCAAGGATGCGATGGTTCCTAACCATTGGAGATCTGCAGAGGCACTTCAGCACTGGTTGCAAGAGGCTCAACCAGCGCTGCTTGCGAACCAAAGCACACCTGTCCAGCGCTACTTGCAGAAGATGTGGCATGCTCCGGAATGGTTCAACCTGGAGACGTGCACTCCCTTCTGGAATGATTCATGTGCGACATGGGTCAACTACTTGACAACTAACCCGAAGAAAGAGGTCATGGGCCTCATTCATGTCGGCGAGAATGGCTTATTCAATGAGGAGTCGTTCCGCATCATTCACGGAGTTCGCCTGCTAGCTGACGTGCAGGTGAAGATGAGTATTAACAGGAGGACCCATCGCGCAAATGTTCTTGCTCGTCTCCAGGAGCTTTTCCAAGACCCACAAGCCTATGCTCGGGAATTGAAGGCCGCTGGCACGACTATAGCCAGTGTCCTCAAGTTGCAGCCTATTCCGGAGTCGAACAATTATCGTCTCCGCGACGTTGCAATTCACTGTGCGAAATGCGGCATCACTATGCAGATGGCACAAGACGCACTGTCGGTTTGGGCCCGCGGAACTCTTCCCGGACCGAATGCAGAGGCGGCGCCGGAGCAACCTGCTCCGGGACCATCAAATATTGCCCCTACTGCCGCTGACAGCACCCAGGACGGCCATGCCACCATAGCCGGCGATCCTGTGGGCAACACGCCGACTGAACCCGTTCCCAGACAGGACGCGGTGATGACGGATGTGAATCCTGCAGCGGTCAATGGCAACCCGGCTTAAATATGCCTATCGCGCGGCGATGGATCCGTGTGGGTCCCCGCTGTACCTTAAGGCTGCCATTGCCTCTGGCCTCCACCCTGCGCAGTCACTGCTCCTTTATCCGCGTCGAGTGTGCGCGAGTGCTCGACGTTAATCAGGAATCTCGGCCCTAAACCGGGAATTATGCAATCCGTCTCGCTCGTCGGGCGGTTCTCTTCAAACCCCTACTCAAATCGCAGGTTCAACAGCCTGCTGTATTTCGCTCCCCCCCGGACTCGCTTTGGAGGAGGAGGGTGTAAGGATATTAGAGGAATAGAGTAGTCGAGGCATCGGAGTTAGCCGAGGCGTTGAATACGCGCTCAACCGCGTAGATGGGTTTTTCGTCTTTACTTTACTCGCTGAAAACTTGCCTTCCGAATACACTCGGTTCAGTGCATTTCCCGCGACTTAAGGACCACCAAAGGCCGCAAAAGCCTTATACAGCGGCTCTTCGAAGGTCAAGTCAACATTGACTTTCCCGGGGTCGACAGAGAAAAGTTGATCGGTAGATTCGACAGGATTTGCAGCGGTACTCGAGCGTGGTATTCTCGAGACTGTAACGAATGAGGGCGGACGGAGTTTCACGCGACACAGTGCTGAACCGAAAAACAAGGCCATGGTTTTATTTAATTCGTGTAATTGAGAACAGTTCTCGTCCTCATCGATCATCGATCATCCCGTGTGTCTGATACAGCAGTCTGAGAGATGGACAGCGAGATGCTTACATAACTGAGTGGGTCCAGTATCCTGAATTTAGCTGAACAGGACTCAAACAGGACTATTAACTTGAAGCGATGAGTAAACACGAGGCATGGAACACAATTTAACACACGTGGCCAGATGCAATATTAATTTCGACTTGCACTACAGTCACGATAGGAATCACGTTCGAAGGCGTACCGTGACGCTCTTGAACTTTTGAAGTTGTTCTCGTTCTCTTCTTTCCAAGTACTCGCCAGGATGTTGCGTGGGCGAACCCTGATTGATTTTGGCCCCTCCAAGATTGCGTTTCGACAAGTTCGGGGAACTTTGTAAGGTTTTATTCGCGAAACCGGGGCCAATTCGACGAACGACTAACATTAGGTTATCCGCAAGTTGGGCTGGGACAGCTTTGCGAGAGCATGGATCCCGAGTACGTGGACTCTCCTTATGCTATAAATAATAAGGGTGATTTGACGCCGTGTCGTGCTCATATAGCATTTGTCTCATAGATTTCTTCAGGTGTCGCGCTCGAGCCTTGTCGACATCAGGGTGATCGCAGGACATTACCAGGTGTTCCCATTCCCATCCGTGTTCCACTTTATCTCCACATATCGCGACCTCAGGCAGGAGTGTATCGAAGATATCAACCTCATACGCTACTAGTTAGGCTCTGGCATGTACGACGAGATACAATTCTCCGGCGGACGAGCCTGTTGAGTATATGCACAACGACTGTCGCGTTATCCGCGCCGCATCTTCATACTTGCAGAGTCTCATTCGTCGCATGCCTTGAGTGATGCTTCCGAGGGACGGCTGCAGCACCAGACTTGGTATACCTCCCTTTTAGGCGGTAGTGTGCGAGACTCGAGTCGTGGACCGTGACTGTGCCAGTCCAAGTCACGATCGCGTGACGTCACAAATTAGATAAGTAGTGAATTTCCATATACGGGAACCTACTTAAGAGCGGCCGCCCTGAATGTCGTGCCGTGCTCCTCTTCGGCGTGTCCATCGATGGCGTATCAAGTCAAGGAGATCCCGACAAAGCCCTACGATGGGCAGAAACCTGGCACTTCCGGTCTCAGGAAGAGGTGAGTCCCAGATAGTGATGCCGAGCGGGCGAGAACAGAGACAACATCGCTGACAACATCACAGGGTGAAGGTCTTCCAGCAGGAGGTATGAATTATCTGTGTGTATGTGGGGACAAGTATTGACGGTCTGTGCACAGCATTACACCGAGAATTTTGTACAGGCCATCTTTGACTCAATCGACCCCAAGGGGTCTACTCTCGTCATCGGTGGTGACGGCCGTTTCTTCTCCCCGGAGACTGTGCAAACGATCCTTCAGATCGGCTCTGCGAACGGAGTCGCGAAATTCATCATAGGCCACAATGCCATTCTGTCTACCCCCGCTGCCTCGAACGTGATCCGCAAGTACAAGGCAAACGGTGGTATCCTGCTCACCGCCAGCCACAACCCTGGCGGTCCCAACAATGATTTCGGTATCAAGTACAACGTGTCCAACGGGGGTCCGGCCCCGGAGAACGTGACGAACAAGATCTTCGAGAAATCGAAGGTCATCGCGTCATACAAGGTCATCGAGCTGCCCCCTCTTGACCTCTCCAAGATCGGCAGCTTTACGTATGGCCCGACCAAGGTCGAGATCATCGACTCCGTCACGGACTACGTGCTGCTGCTCAAATCAATCTTCGACTTCCCGCTCATCAAGTCGTTCTTGCTCACGAACGCAACCTCGTTCCGCGTACTGTTCGACGGTATGCACGGAGTCACGGGTCCATACGGCAGCGCGATCTTCGTGGACGAGTTGGGGCTACCCGCGTCCTCGGTGCAGAACGCGGTGCCTCTGCCCGACTTCGGCGGAGGACACCCTGACCCTAACCTCACGTACGCGCACGAGCTCGTGGACCGCGTCGAGGCGGAGAACATCCAGTTCGGCGCGGCGAGCGACGGTGACGGTGACCGGAACATGATCTACGGCAAGGGTGCGTTCGTGACGCCGAGCGACAGTGTCGCGATCATTGCAGATTGGGCACAGGACGCGATCCCGTACTTTAAGAACGGAATTAAGGGTCTCGCGCGCAGCATGCCTACCAGCGGCCAGATCGATTATGTTGCGAAGAAGAAGGGTCTGGCGTGCCATGTCGTGCCCACAGGTGCGACGAGGTCGTGTCGATGGATGATCCACACTAAAAAACCTCCTGCAGGCTGGAAATTCTTCGGAAACCTCATGGATGCTGGACAGCTGTCAATTTGCGGTGAGGAATCGTTTGGCACAGGGTCAGACCACATCCGGGAGAAAGACGGTGTGTGGGCGATCGTCGGTAAGTGTCTTATCCTACATCATTCTGCTATCTGTTAATTACGGCGCCAGCATGGTTGAACATCCTCGCGTATGCGAACAAGCAGTCGCCAAACGAGCTCCTCGGTATAAACGAGCTGCTGCAGAAGCACTATGCGGTCTACGGGCGCTCGTTCTTCTCGCGCTATGACTACGAGGAGGTCTCCTCTGAGGGTGCGCAGCAGCTCGTGGATGCGCTGAACGCGCACATCAGCAAGGGTTCACTTGCGAAGACATCGCACACGTCCAAGACGACCGGGCAGACGTTCGAAGTCTCGGAGGTATACAACTTCGACTACACGGACCCGATCGACAAGAGCGTGTCGAAGAACCAGGGCCAGGTAGTGAAGTTCACCGACGGCAGCCGAGTCGTGTTCCGCCTCAGCGGCACCGGCAGCCACGGCGCGACCGTGCGGATGTATGTCGAGCGTTATGTCGTGCCGGAGAAAGGCTTGGAGGAGCTCCGGAAGAACACCGCGGAAGGCCTCAAGGGTCTCATCGAGGTCGCACTGGAGATCAGCAACTTGACCAAGTTCTTGGGCAGGGAGAAGCCAACCGTCATCACGTAGCATTGTCGTTCATTGGTCTGGTCTGCGAGAATAATCTTCCCGGAGCAAACATGCACGTCCGGTTGTACTGTGTACATATAGACTTGGAGTAGAAAGTATAAGAACGAATATCACAAGAATATTAACATTTCAGTCGAATGAGGAACGTGCCCTACATTTCCACACTCGCTCGTCATAGCCGGGTTGGGTGAATTCACATACGTACGACGAGGAACTGCTCCGGAACCTCCGGACTCTCGTATGATGAGAGACGTACATCAATAGTGATGGTACCGTCTTCTTCCACGATTGGGACTCGTTCGACCTGGTGATATTGAGCTGAATACCTGCTTAGCGACCACGCATGGACACATACTTGATACACTCTCGTGTTGGATCCGAAATGCGTGAGGGTCGGTGGGCACTGACGGACGAGAGACAAGATTAGCTCGGAAGAGACGACAGGAGCGTCCCCAGACGTGAGGAGTGGCCGATTAACGTGGACAGTGCGCAGCCTGTGCGCTTCCGCAAGACAGGGCCCTAGCTCGTCCTGCATCACACTCAGTCACAGTATGTACGGCTCGTACGGGCGGACTCGTACCAGCGCATCCTGGTCCATGACGACGAACAGCTGCTCGAGTAACGGACAGCAGTGGCAGACGTCTGCGATCGCACTGAGGCTCACGGGCATGCGGTGTATGGAGAATCGCCTGAGTCGCAGGCCGTGCACTTTCACGATCGCGTGGCAGAACACGTCGCTCAGCGTGGGCTCGATCTCCCCACCGATTGTAGACATGTGGAACTGCTCGAGCGGCGCGGGCGCCAGTAGGGCGAGGACGTCCGTGTCCCACCAGTGGGTACGGCGTGCGGCAGCGTGCACTATCGATTCGGGCGCCATGCGCGCGGCGAGCGTGATAGAACGCAGATGGACGAGAGCACCCGTGCGGGCGCATTGCTCGCTTAAGTGTTTCATATCCTGCGAGGTTCATAAATATTTGAGGAGTCAGAGTCTTGTGCCAGATGACTTACAAAATGGTCCGAGATGCCTTCCAAGCCCAAGCTCAGGAGCCCGTTCTCGCTTGCTGCCAGAATCGCTAGCACTCCTCGTTCGGTCACTTTCCGACACCCGGCAAGGTAAAGGTGCTCGAGCTTAGAGATGTGCGGGGCGAGCATTTCTAATAGCGTGTCAGTCACTGCCGCAGGAGACTATTGTCCACACGTTACCAATTTGTCTCACAGCAGTGAAGGCAAAGGACGTTGGCTCACCTTGCAGATGAGGCTGAGATGCCGCAGCGTGTCGCCCGTATACCGCATCCAGCAGGGTAGAGTGTTGATCACTGCGCTGCTGGGCATGATCAGGGTGATCTTGCGCAGGCGGCTAAATCTCGCAAGGATGGATGGGTCATAGCGGCCGTGATGCGAGCCGTTGATCTCGAGCTCCTTGAGTTGCGTGCAGAACAGGAGCGCTTCGAGCACGCTGGACGTCAGAGACCCATCGCGAGTCCAGGTACAAGATTTGAGGTTGACGCAATTTATGATGCCCCTCAGACAGATGTCAAGTACATTCTCCTGATCTGCAGACTGGAGGGCTTTCGGAAAGTCACAGATGACTGAGTGAAATAGTCAGTTCATCTCCTCTCCGGACTAGAGTGGCACATAGCGATCACTGGGTGCCAAGATCTGGCTCCGCGGGTGAAGTCGCGTTTCACAGCACCATAGCTGTAAACAAAATAGAGCACGAACCCAGCCTCTTAACGTGCGATGCGAGCGTAGGATGATCGGAGAGTGTCCTGAACAGTTTCTTCACCTGGGATCTCGGTGAGACATGCTCCCTAGCCGTGTAAACACATACCTTCGCCTTCGCCTCCTTCTGCCATGCATAGATGAATGCATGCTCGTACAACAGAGGAATGGCAAAAGCGCGAAAATAATGGTCGACCAGACAGAGAGCAGCAAGATGATTTGGGCGAAGGATATGTCGCAAAATTAGAGGTAGAACTTCGAGTGGCAGATCCAAGAAGCGAGCCATTTGGCTTCTGGTGACTCCCCGACAACTATTTTTCAGCGTCCACTGCTACCCACCTTTTCGCGCGGATGCCCACTAATGGCGGTGGATGCCCTTATGCTGCGGGAAAGTGTTTACAGATGGCAGCTATATGTCCAGCATTGATGCACAATGCTCGCTACTCCCGCCTGCTTCTAAGGCATGCATTTATTGTGTACCTTCCATGTCCAGCGTCGACGCACAGCGTCCGCTGCTACCCGCCTTTTAGTGCGGATGCCCATCGATGGCGGTGGATGCCCTCAGACTGCGAGGAAGTGTTTACCGATGGCTCTATGACCAGCGTCGATGCACAGTGCCCGCTGCTCCTGCCTGTGACTGCGGATGCCGAGGTAGTGGTCTACCTGTCACTCACCTTACCCCTATTTGTGTTGTTCATGAATATCGTCCTCTGCTACTCTAACGACACCGTGGACCATCGTGACATGAGAAGTGTGTTTACAGAACATGATGTTATGGTCAGCATTGAGACACAGTGCCCGCACTGCCCGTCCTGTAACGCGAGTTCTTTCGCATGCGAGCATTCTCTTCCATCGCATTGCTGTTGTCGACCCCTTGTCCGCGAGCCGTCGCACTACCTGTATACCCCAGCTCGAGATCCAGCAGTGTGCAGCACTTCCATATTATGCTCCATGTGCACATCGTGCATCGGGCATCGTGGTGAGTGGGGTCAAGTATGCACAGTGACTGTGCTGGCATTCTTCACGCAACCTGTAATTACTCTTTCAAATCATGACGTGCAGCTCTCGCTCTTTGCTACCTGTGGAAGTGTCACACTTGATGTGTGAACATGCAGCTATGTCCCGCTTGCTTTTTTGTGTATGGTGCAGAATATCTGGCACATCCGCGTACAACATCCTAAGTGTTTCACACAAGGAAGCATACACTTCTTCCACATATAACAACAGCTGGAGAGCCTACTTAGTCTCATGCATCCTTGATGGATTTCGTGGGACAGTGCGCTTGTTGAAGCAGCTCCCTGAGTTCGGGGTTTTTCCCACTGGGTTTTCCCTTGCCCTCAAATCAACTTCGATGCACTGGGAGCTGTGTAGATGAGTACACATTGATCGGAGCGATTTCTGTCCTGGATGTGTTGTATCCTAGATTTCTGTAGTGTACTGTGCACGGGTACATAGCAGAGATCTAGGTGCGACAACCCGGCGTTCCTGAATGGGACCAATGCCGGTAATCTACCTACCTACCTACCTACCTACCTCTGCAATTGGCGCCTGCGCGTTTGGTAAGGCAGGTTACTCCCACGCTCATGATTTCGAACTCAGATGACCAACAGTAACACTTGCCCTTCTTGAAACACTGCACTGCATACGACATCGCTATGTCCGACGTCGAGGAGGACACAGTCCTGCATAGTTCTGGACCTGCGGAAGAGCACGAGGAAGAGCACGAAGAGGCAGAGGAGGAAGAAGAAGAGCCTCGCAAGGGCAGGAGACACGACTATGATGAGGACGAGGACGAAGAGGACGAAGAGGAAGAGGACGAAGAAGAAGAAGAGGAAGATGTAGGTGCAGAGAGAGGAAAGAAGAGGGCAAAGGTACGTCCGACTGAAAATTTGAAGCTGCTTTTTGAGCTTCAGCTTCACTTAGCATCGGCACAAACGACCTGCAGTGAACCGCTTCCTCGATGTGGAGGCCGAGGTTGACGAAGATGAAGAGGAGGAAGAAGAAGACGATGAGTACGGAAAAGGTGCGCTATTCAGTATGTATACTGGTCGCCTAGACTGACTGCGCTGTGGTTGCAGACGAGTTCATCGCCGAAGTTGGTGGCGAAGGCGACGAAGATGATGTGGCAAGAAGAAAAGCGGACCATGCACGGTTCGATAGGCGAGAAAGAGAACTCAATGACCAGGATCTTGCGAAAATCGCAGAGGATGTCAGTCAGCGCTACAGACGGACGGCAGTTCGATACTCTGGCGACATGAGCGATATTCCTCAACGGCTGCTTATGCCATCAGTTCACGATGCCAATTTGTGGCAGGTCCGTGTTAGGGTACGTCATTCTATCTATCTCTGAGAGAATACGCTGAGGTTTGCACTTAGCCGGGTAAAGAACGCGACCTCGTATTCAGCCTTATGCGAAAAACCATCGACTTGGAGTACTCAAATCGACCATTGCAAATCCTCTCTGCCTTCCAACGAGATTCCCTGCCAGGAATGATATACGTGGAGGCGCGCAGTGCCAAGCAGGTCAATGACGCCTGCAATGGTTTGGTCGGCATCTTCCCCAGTCGTGGCATCGTCCTAGTTCCTATTGAAGAAATGGCAAGTCTATTGCAGATCAAGAAGCAAGACTTGACTGTCACTCCTGGCAGCTGGGTGCGCATTCGTCGCGGAAAGTACCAAGGAGATCTTGCCCAAGTCATGGATATCACTGAGAATGGCGAGGAAGTGGGCCTTAAGTTCATTCCCAGAATCGACCTTAACCCGAAGGACGATGGGGCAATTGATGGCCTTGGGAAGAAGCGCAAAAAAGCTGGCTCGGGCCTATCGTCTTTCACTATGCGTCCTCCTCAGCGATTCTTCAATTACGAAGAGGTCGTGAAGGTATACGGGCGAAAGGGGGTATCAAAGCGCAACCAGGTGTATGTCTTTCAAAATGATACTTACAAGGACGGGTTCATAGAGAAGGACTTCCGTCTGACCGCTCTGCAACTGGACAACGTCAACCCTACACTTGACGAGATTACTCGCTTTACGCGAGGGCAGGATGGGGCTGAGAACGAAACAAACGTCGATCTTTCCATCATTGCAGAGGCTTCTCGAAAGGCAGCGATTGCGGTGTTGCAGCCCGGTGACCATGTCGAAGTTTTCGAAGGAGAGCAAGCTGGTGTGCACGGGACAGTGCATTCCATTGAACAAGATGTTGTGACAATTGAGCCTGTGGGCGTTGACTTCGATGGTCAGCGAATACAGATTCCTGCCAGGAGCGTTCGGAAACGCTTTAAACCTGGAGACCATGTCAAAGTAATGGCTGGTCAAAATGCGGACGAGACGGGACTGGTGGTTTCTGTCATCGACAACGTCGTTACGTTCTTGTCTGACATGTCCATGCAAGAGGTGAGAGTCTGACCTTTTGATCGTGCAATGCTTCTGACATTCAGCCGTAGATTTCTGTTTTCTCCAAAGACTTGCGTGAAGCGGCGGAAGTTGGTACAGGAACGAATGTTGTTGGCAACTACGAACTCCATGATCTTGTACAGCTCGAGTACGTGCATTATACTACACCGTATTACCTCCCATTCATCCTTGGCACAGCGCCCAGACAGTTGGTGTCATTTTCAAGACTGAAAGAGATTCATTCCGTGTACTTGATCAGAACGGCCAAGTGCGGTTGGTTCAGCCACATCAGATATCTATGCGGCGGGACTCGAATAGAGCTATTGCCACCGACGCCGAAGGACACGAACTTCGCGTCAACGACAATGTCAAAGAGGTTGACGGGGAGGTATGTAGTGCCAGGTTCTAATGACCGTACTTTTTCTTACCGTTCGATACACTCAGGGTCGGAAAGGACGTGTCCTACATACTCATCAGTCCTTCTTCGCATTCTTGTACAATCGCGACTACACGGAGAATGGCGGTGTATTCGTTACGCGTGCGCGATCACTGGTATCGGTAGCTCCAAAGGGCAACCTCATGAAACTCGGCGCTGCTGATCTGTCGAAGATGAACCCTGCTCTCGGCGGTGGCGCTGGTGGTATGGTTGGCTCCGGAAACATTGGTCGGGGTCCACGCGATCGTCTCATCGGTGTCACAGTAGTTGTCGTCAAGGGTCCAAACAAGGGCTATGTTGGCACCATCAAGGACACCAACGGTCCTATCGCGCGTGTTGAGCTCTATACTGGCAATAAGGTGATCACAATTGACAAGGGGAAGCTCAGGAGACGCCTGTGAGCAAATGCATTTGCACGTTGTATTGCGCGCTAACATCTGTCACTTCAGTCCCACTGGTCAAGTTGAAGCACTTGAAGGTCACTTCAGCTCCATGGGACAACCTCGTAACAACTTTAGCATCAATCCAATAGGGCGCACCCCCAATCCCTACAATCAGGGCGGCCGAACTCCTGCATGGGGCGCTACGGGTCGTACACCAAATCCATATGCCGCTGTTGATGGCCGCACCCCCGCTTGGAGTGCCTCTTCTCGCACACCAAATCCCTATGCTGATACCGGGAAAACGCCTACCTGGAATGCGTCGTCACGCACTCCTAACCCGTACGGTCAGGACGGTGGGCGCACGCCAGCGTGGAATTCAGCAGTGCGTACGCCAAATCCATACAATAATGCACAGTTGGGTGGAACATCGCCAGCAAATCCCTCGAGCTCAAGCTGGGGTGGCGCGACGCCAGGACGGTCAAGTGGTGCCGGAGGCGGGTGGGGCTCACCATCTGGGGGTGGCTGGGGTGAAGGCGCAAATACTTGGGTAGGCTATTCTTTGCATTCACGATGCGGTGGTCTGATGAGACTTGCTGTAGGGAGAGCCGGTCGCCAGTGCTCCCACGCCCTTTGTGGCACCCACACCTGCGTTCGCTGATCCATTTCCAGCTACTCCCGGCATGATGTATGGCGGTGGAATGCCTACGCCAGGAGTTGGCTTGTACGAAACCCCGGGTGCTGGGTTCGAAGCCACCGCAGAGACGCCCGGCTTATCCGGCGGCGCTTATAGCGGTGTAGAGACGAGGTTCGGTGAGCACCTTCACACTCCATTCGACTCTGAGCTCTAGCTGATGTGTGGTTTGCAGAAGCAAGTGTGAAATGGCTGACGGAACCCGAGATCGCATCGAAGCGGGGAATGATCGTTGAAGTGAAGAACTCGTTTGGTGAGAACGGGTGGCACAAAGGCGACTACGAGGGTCGGCAGGCGGTGGTACTCACCGTGTCGGACATGCACAATCAATTCGGCGCGCGTGCACGCGTACGCTTCCTCCAGCCGATCGACCCTGACGTGGACGTACACACGATACCCGTCGAGTTCCTGTGGCCGGTGCATCCTGAGCGCACGGAGGATGATGCGCTCGTCCTGCATGGCCCGCAGAAGGGTCAAGAAGCCAAGGTGCACGCTGTCCAGCAGGGCGGTGTCATGGTCGTCACGACCAAGGCGTATGTGGTTCTCGAGATCACGTCGGAGAAGCTCTGCAAGATGTGGAACATCGACGACGACGGAAACCGAATACGATGATTGTACTTCTATGTTTTGCTTGGATTGTTTCACCTCCATTCTTGCATCGTTATTATTTTGTTCGTTTCTCTGTAATTTGCATGCGAGAAAATCTGAATTGCTTGAGAGGTTCCCATACCGCAACAAACTAACGAGACGCTACAGAAAAACTCTGGAGCTAAGAGGAGCAGTTCAGACCTCAAGGGCTCTTCCTGCTCTCCAGCTTTCGGCCTTCTCTTCAATGCATTGCCGCCCACAGCCTCTCAATTTACATGCAAACCGACCACTTCGGCCATCTCACTGCTATCTGTCTCTAGGGCTTCCAAAGCCACAACACGCGAATTCGCAGCACGCTTTCTCTTGCGGAGAACAGGCAGCACGGTGGACGCATCGGCATTGGCTGCACCCTCCATGAGGGGGGGTTCGTCTACAGTGACAGTGCCAGGCTCGGCATCGACGCCCGCGGTGACTTCTGGCTCTGCATCGATCCCCAAGGCCACGTCAGAGTCAGCGTTAGGGTCAACGTTCGCGGACGAATCACCGCGGCGTACGAACGGCTTCGGGGGCTTCTCCGGGCGGAGGTTCTCATGTATGACGGATGCTAGGGAGTAGATCCTGTACAGATGCAGAACCGCCTGCTCTTTGTCCTTTGCCTGTAGTCCCGACGATGTCAGCGATGTGTTGCGAGTATCATCGGGGTGCGCACCTCGATCATTAGATCCATGTCGACTGGCAAGTCTAAAGGTAGGCCTGCGCAGCGGTCTGCATGTGCGCGCTTCTCCATCACGGTTTGTGCGCCTGGGCGCGGTTCGGAGAGGTGCTGCTTCGGGCGGATACCGCGCGGTGCCCACGTCGCTAAGATCTGCGGGAGGAGCTCAGCGAGCGGGTGTGTACTCGGCTACATTACAAGGAGCATCAAAAATTTGAAGTAAAAGAAAAATGATAGGTGGACGCACGTTGATCCAGTTGTGGTGGTAGTCGAACTGCAAGCAGGTGAACAAAATTTAAAAGAGAGACAGAACACGATGGGGAGGGACGCACCACGAGCGGGATCTCTAGCTCGCGGCAGACCGGGAGGAGCTCGTCCGCGCTGTAGCACATCTCGTCGTTCTCGAGCACTATCCTGTCGCGCATCTCCTGCGTGAGCCGCGTGCGGAACGTCTCGCGGAAGCGTTCGAGCGTCGCGGGCTTGTCGCCGTAGACGCCCTGCGTCGGAGGTCAAAGCTCTGAATGTAGGACGATGACGTGGACGCACCCCCATGTGCAAGATGATCACGCTGTCTTTGTCGAGTTCCATGTACCGCAACATCTGGCAGTGGTCTAGTCGCTCGTCAACTTCAGCCGCATCGCATAAGTGGATAGGATGTACGTACAGTCTAGCTCGCGCACGGACGCCGTGATAACGTTCTCATGCGGTGACGCAAGCTGCGTGAACTATGGCGTGCATTAACAATGAGCTTCGAGCTAATGCACAAATCGTACTTGGCCTGGATGTGCAGTCAATCGATGACCGAAGCGCTTCGCCAAGTCTCCTGCAGCCTAAGAGAAATAAGTACGATAATACGTGAGAGCGAGCGGCGCACATACCTTGAGTTCTTTAGCAGCATATTCGAGAGAATAGCCGTGTATACTATGTGATGCGAAGGGAAACATTTCGGAGGACACTCGGAAAAATCGAATATTATTATCCTCATTCCACTGCGAATTGGAACCAATCAACCGAACGCTTAGCGGAGCACAACACTGAATAACTCTATATACCTGTATAATTTTGATGAGGTCCCTGGAGTTTTGCAGGCCAAGATCCTTAGCATATTGTAGACCATTTTTGCGGATGGTCTCCATACGACAAGTACGGGAGCAGAACACGGGATTAGGCTTGAGCGCACGGAGAATAGTGTTAAGACACGCATATCCCAATCGTCCTACAAGGTCACATGAAGGTCAACACTCCTCACATAGTGAGCGTACTCGGCCTACCTTTGAAGGCGGTCTCTTTTTGCACTACTGGAGGGATGTCGTACACCACGGGCTCTTCGTTCTTCCCGCGCCGCATTCTCTTCTTCGTCGGCGATTCCTCTGCCTCTTCGAGATCCGTTAATGGACTCTCGACTCCGACCTCATTTGCCTCTGCGTCGGCAGTCAGAGTAACTTCTGTGTAAGTTACGCTCTTCTTGACACGAGCTGACCGACGTAAGACGACCGTCTCGCTCTGGGTTACTGCGTCAACGGGGACCTCTATGTCAGGAATTGAACGTGGTGCGATGATGTGCTTGCGTTTTGCCATGATATCTGGGGAACTCTGAAAATCTGAGAATGGGCGTGCAAATGCGAGTGCTCGAGGACAGGGTCGAGTTGCCAGGCGCAACATACGGAAGGCAAGAAACATACCCCTGTTCCTGTCAAGACCATTTGTTGCGATTCCAACTGCGATCGTGAGCGGTAGCGAAACGTCGCCAACGCATCCGATCGGGACCCTGACTATGGGTTAGGGTCCATGCGGAGACGGTGCAGTGATAGAGAGGCATTTATACCCAGTTCCCTCAGAACGAGGGAAAGAAGAAAGAAGAGTGATGTTGATGAAGACTCCAGCACGTTCTACATCAATGCAATTCCAACCAGGTTTCGAGACGGCAGAATAACACGAGGCGCTATACATGCCAATAGTCCAAGCTTACCGATAACTTAAATCACATGCAGGTCGTCCACGAAGAGCCCACAACGAAGATAAAGTTATTCGTTCAAGCGCCAGAGGAACCACTACTGAACTCTAGACTCCGCCGGGTATTCGAAGAGGGCAGGTGACACATGTTCCCTCCTTCTCGCTGCGCCCGACGGTGATGCCGCCAGAGTGCGTAGCATACACAACACCAGATAGTATCCGGGATCCTCACCTTTATCTTGGTATCCAGGAACTTAAAGAACCCTTCTTGGAGACAATGATCATGGCGCAAGTTCGAGGTCATCTTCAAGAAGTTCTTCCAATGCTCTCCAAGCCGACGCACAGCTCTCCACGACTGCACGTTCTGCTAGCACTTGTGAGAGGGCAAGCCGTGTCTTTGGTCTGTTGGACGGAAGATTCTGGTCATAGCCCCATTAATAGCAGTAGAATGTAATTGCGAAGAAAACACACGTCAAGCATTTCGCCAAGCTCTGCGGAACTGAGTTCAGGATGCGCCCCGATCTGCGTGATGCGGTGTGCACAGAGCACACAGAGGTCTGTGGCTATACCGGAGAGGATGCGTCTCGATAGCGCATCAGAATCATGCACGGTACCTTCATCCTCACCACCATCCGCGAGTACGTGCTCCAGCTGAACCTGCATCTCGGCAACGCGTCCAAGGAGACGCACAAATTCATCGAGATCCTGCTCTGCTCCAGAAGACCTCATGTTGCGAAAAGCAGCCCAGAGCCATAGGTGTACGCTGACTTGCGCATCGCTGTTGATACACAGAAAGCGGCGCAGATTGGATCCGCTCTGCGAATATGTATCGTTCTCAAGATCAGGTCGGAAGACCAGGGTGCTATCCTCCAAGACCACCGACCAACGGGACCGCGTCCATCCGCTAACAAGCCTCTCGTACATATCCACGTTCATTGGATGTAACGAGCTGCGCAGGTCGTAGATATTCCACGACAAGATGTCGTTCTCGTTGCCCTCAAGCGAGAAGCCATATCGCGTGAGGAGAGTTGCGTTAGAGAGGCGCGCTCCGTATGTGTTGAAGACCTCGCTATGTGCTGGGACAAAGAGGTTTGTTACCATGTCACAGGTATCGGTGCTCGGCGGAAAGACCTTGCTCGAGGACGGCTGGGTGGGGCTGCCGGAGGATTCTTCGCGGTCGTGCGGACATTCAGAGAGAGATCCGCATGTCGGACAGACGTCGTAGTCGCTCTGTGAACTACGGAATCAGAGGGATTTTGTTGAATGTAAACGTGATTACTTCTAGGTGAACATGATTCTCATGGATATGGTTGAATCTGCGGAACATTATACGCAGTAATATGAGCAGTCTTTAGAGTGCACTGGATAGAGAAAATAATCCACTCACGCATCCGCGATGGGGACCATGGACAATCCATGGTATGCGTCAACAAGGAAGGCCCGCGAGCTGACAAGTGAATACGCATGCAGAAACCCTGACAGCGTGTTTGAACTCGAGAGACTTGACAAGAGGGGTTCCACAATTGTCGCATAGTATTCGCGGCTTTCGTCCTAGTTGAGTATTAGCACATGTTCATAGGTGCACTTAGAATAGATACGCGCACAAGGATCAGCGCACCACTCTCATCTAGGAATTCCTTCTCTACTTCCGTGCCAGTTAGCCAAAGGCGTCCCTGCATACCATCTTCATCTGCATCGTCTGTCCCCCACAAGAGTGCGATTGGGACAATATCGGTCGGCAGGGATTGCAAGTACCCATACCATCTCGACGCAGAGCCATTCAACCTGTTCGCGTTTCAACTACCACGCAGGTGAAAGACAACTTCAGGCACTCACAGTTCAGAATAGACCGCTAACGCGAGCGCGAGATGGGCGCCATGGCCATAGGGCACAAACGGGATGAGCGACGCACGCGAGCACGATTTACAGGAGAGTAGCGCAGACTTGGGGATGGTGACGACTACAATCGGTCAGGAAAGAAGCGGTGGCGGTTGAGTGCGCTCACGAGTAGAGAGCGGGAGGATCTCCGTCGTGGAAAGCACCCTGATCCCGGTTGCAGGTTCATCTACCAGTTGAATCCGCCCATCGATCTGGATGTGGCTGGCTGACGTCCATTCCAACAACACAGAGAGTCGCCGCCTCATCCTCGGCTTAGCGTCGCAGGTCGAGAAGGCTGCAGTTCTCGTTGGTCTCTATACTATCTGCGGGATGAGTTCCTACGCCCTTATGAATGTCCGTCACTCCGATTGCCCAGTATCCAATAACCTGTACAGGGCTCCTATGAGCATACCAAATTGATAGTTCGAGTAAAAAGAGTCAACGAACCTGTCTTACTGAGCTCTGATGGGCTAGTCACTAGATCAAGCAGAGGTGATCGAGGGTCCGTCCGTCGCGGAGATTGGCGGAGTCCAGGGTCCATGTCAGACTGTCTGTCAAGTTTCTTCCACTGGCAGGATACTGTATATACGAGATGGATGTGCTCTAGCGTGTCATCATATTTTACACCAATATTATTGAACGGTTACCCTCTGCACAAGGTTTCCATTCAATAGGGGCTTCCGCCGCTATTGTAGGAGATAGATCCATATCGTTTCGTGTGATCGAACGTCCCCGTCAGACGTCGTGTAGAGAGCATGCCTTGACAGGCAGATCGAATATACACATCCGAGATCTTGGTTAGATCCACCTTGCACGATCAAGTACTTCTGCACTTCTTTTGTATGTTCATACTCTGCAGAACCTAAATAGATGGGACCCAGCGCTTGATGACAATTCGCCTTCGCGTAATGCTGGCTTGATGTCCAATCTGTCCATTGGTCTGCCTCTCGCCTTAGTTAATTACTATCGCTGCTCTTCGCTAGAAATTCTTGTTGACATGTATACTCCAGGATATGGGCCCTCCACGTTGGTCCCTGAGGCAGATACTGGGCATCCTTGTATTGTATCCCTCCCGGCAAAGGTGACAGAAAATATACAGCACACCGCATCATATCTACGGAACATCTCTTGCAAGTCGAAGTGAATGTACGTGCTCTGTAACTTGGCTCTCCATGATTACACTTTCAGTGCCGTTCATGATCAAGTCCAGAGACCGATTCAACTCCCAGCTAAAATATGCTCTAGGCGTACTCTCGGCAAAGGGGGCCGGACACTCCTACCTTTTGACCGTCAATGATCATTCTTTGTCGTCGTTGCGAAGCTGAGATTGAACACGAAAACAAGGGCTTATCCATACCGGGAAGGGCTTATTTTTTTAACCGCAAATAATCCGTGAATGGTACCGTGGTCCGTATTTGCATCTGCTTGGTTGCGTGGGTCCATCTTTTGACTGACCCAAACAACTTCCATATTTAGTACGTTCCAATCCGAGCCAACTAGCGTCTTTCTAGCCGAGGGCCTTTACACCCTTTCCGCGACCTGGGTACTTAAACCGAGCGTTTACCTATCAACATGGCTATCCGTATCCATTCCCCCCAATTTATTCCCTCCTTATTTCTTCCCCGCCTCACCGATGAGACTTGCAGTGACGCGCGATCTCCTCAGGCTGAAGCTACTGCGCACACCTCGCAGGACCTTGCGCATTACGTCTATCGAGAAGTCTCTCAAAGCTTCCCACGCAGTTATCGCTCTAGCGAGGAAAAGATCGCGTCGCCCTATGACCGACAGTTTATACAGAGGCTGTCCTCGCCTTATGAAGAAACCTGTATATGGCGATAGCAAACTTCTACTGCAGTATGTTATGCCTTTTAGGGCACCAACTCGGCTGCCGCGCAAATTACCGCAACCTGACATGCCTGATGTTAAACATGAGGACGTCATGGCTTATGCACCGGACCTTGCCCGTACTCCTGTGGAATTAATTCGCAAGGGCTTGCCGGGAATGCATAGGCAGTAAGTTCAATGATGTCACTTTCCAGATTTACCTCCCATGCTGATGCTCGGTCTTACCTGTCCAACAGTGTCCCGCCAATCCTCCTTGGCGTACGCTGTGACCCACCAAAGACCGTGTTACGGAAGGTCAAGGGAATGTCTGTGCCCGATTCTAGGCTGGCGGAGTGCCCAACGCACATTTTCGCCGTCTACGGACCATCATGGGGGTCTACTTCGCCCGCAGACCGTTACCTCCAGAAACTCCGCGCCCGCCGCCTCGTCACCTATTACCCAATTCATGCCCTCATGTTCCTTGCGCATTGTGGCAACCTTCCTCCCATCGAGGATTACCGTCTGCGACTCGCAATCCTTCACGTTACGCCTCCGACCGCGACGGTCGAAGCAGCATCCATTATCCGTGTTCCGCTGGTTCCGATTTACGTTCCCGCCCCCGTCGCGTTCCAGCTCCTCGAACATTATATCTACTTCTCGAACGTGCCGCATCTCGAAGCAGAACTTCTCCCCTCCGAATTACCTCCGCCACCGCGGGCCCCTGGTATTATTAGTCACGACGACCGCGTTGCCGCGTATGCGTACGCGCTCGCTACGCAGCAGGATATGACCATCAACAGGCTTTCGAGGCATGCGAAGCTGGTCTATCGTCTGTATCAGAACGTGGTATGGTTAGCGGTCAAGGACAGTGGTTTGTGGGCGGCCATTAACTTCACATGGGAGTCGTTGACGAGCGCGATGAGAATGATGCAACAGTGGGGGATGACAGTCTAGGGAACGGCTTCATTTAAGTATCGTCGTCGAGTTTTCACGGCTCTGTGTTATCATGTTATCGTGTTATTGAGTGATCGAATTGTTGTCAGGAGTATGTATGCAGAGTCGACGTATAGTTTCTGTAGCGACATTGTCTTATTGTCATATCATGCTCCGTAATAGCACATCGTATAGCATAGTGATGGGAAGATTGAGGCTTAATTGTTTTAACAATGTCACGAAGAACACGAAACGCATCCAGACAGCTTGCATTATGGAGATGGCGGTACATACACATGATGAAAAATACTCGACGGCAGTGAGGACTGGTATCTGTGATATTTACACCAAATGCAGCTCGTAAGGCTCACAGAGCAGCCTTCTGTCGGGAGACCACGGATCCACCGTCGACAGTGATATGTGCACCGGTGATGTACGCAGATGCAGGGCTAGCCAGGAAGAGCACTATCATGCAGTGGCAGCCCCAAGCGAGTGAGTCTTCTGATCAGCAGCATGATGCGTATCGACTTACCAATTCCTGCGATGTCTCTAGGGTGACCAACACGACCTGGACAGAAGGAAGTGAGAGGCTGCGTATGTGAGTGCACGGTATAGGAACAAACCCATTGGGTTATTCGAATCGAGGCTATCGCCTTTGGTCTTGAACCCATACGCAGTCATCTTGGAGGGGAACGTCCTGTTTGATCCCGCAACAACGAATGAGCCAATCAGACAGAGGATTTGCATATCTTGGAACTACTCACCCTGGAAGGATCGCGTTCACTCTGTAGAAACAGACGTCAGATAGTAGCCGTGCGAATGCAAAGAAAGAACTACGTTATGCGCTTCGGGAGCAGAGTTACAGCCAGCTGCGATGTCAGATGATTCACAGCAGCTTTGCTTGTAGCATCTGAATGGACAATGAACAAAACCTTAGTGTGTTTATATACAATGTACTAAACGTATGAGACTGACAGCTCCATAGACCCGAGCCCTTGGCAGCGAGGGACGTTTCCGTTGAAGTAGCGATAAGTGAGGCAACGGACGAGACGTTAATAACGCGCCCTGGGTCTACATTCGTCGAACCTTTCGCAAGAAGATCAGTGAGCCTGTGCGCTGAGTCTCAGCATCGATGAAAAGTCTTAAGTCAGCATGAGTGCGCTTACCCAACGGTCACTAAAACCATGAGTGCTCGTAAGTGATGCGCCACGCAGAAGCCTGTTCAGACGTACTGTAGAATACACTCTTGACGTTCAACGCCATAAGTCGATCCCAGCCCTCCTTCTCGGGAAAACTATGAACACTGTGTCACAGGCAAATTTTGTTGCAAGGACATGACTGCAATACCTGTCATATGGTGCTCCCCAGCTGATGCCGGAGTTGTTAACGAGGATGTGAATCTTGGATTCCCTCTCCTTGATAGCTGCAACCAGACTGTCACAACCTGCCTTCGTCTGGACGCCATGCCGGGCTCAGTAACATCCACGGCCGATAAAACTGCTCAAGCTCACCGTCAAATCCGCTATGAAGTAATGACAGCTGCCCGGGCCCTTCTCGTTAAGAGCACTGCACACCTGCCACCCGGTATGCAAACATTCATATAGTTGCAACACACAACGCCGGACTACTGACCTCCTGCAGTTGCTTCTCCTTGCGTGCGGCGATGTAGACCTTGGCCCCGTTCTGCACGAACGCGGAAGCGATCATCGTCCCAATGCCCGACCCTCCGCCAGTTACCACCGCTGCCCGCGCATCAGCTTCTCAAAGCAGTGGGATGTGTGTGCGAGGACGTACCGACTTTACCTTCCACACCATAAAGCCTGTCGATTCTCAAGTCTTCGGCGATGGAAGCTATTACACATGTACAGCGCGTTTAGCATGAGCGCGCGCGCGCTCTAGTCCACCATTGCGACGGAGACTCTAGACACACCTGACATTTCGCCGTCAATGTGGTTTGCACAGACTTTGGAAGGCAACGAATATGCCTCGAGCAGAGATGGTCAACCTTGGGGAGGTGCCTGCTCGCCGCATGCGTCTATAAACCGGATGGCTTGCATAATCCGGTAACCTCGCTGCGAGTCGGGGATGCATTCTGAAGTCAAATATCACGAGGATGTCATCTAGCAGCTAGCGATCCACGGGACCTCAATAAAATTGCACAAGCTAGAGCTGTGTTCATAAAGTAACAACAATAGGTATAAACGAACTTTAACGATATATAAGATAGGAATCCCCAACGATTGAGAAGACCGTTCTCGTACTAGCCAGCGTAGAATCACCGACGCTTGCTGAGCACTTTAACGCACGCAGCCTTGATGACCTGCGCCGCCTTCTCGCACTCCTTGCGTGGGAGCGCGGAGGTAAGCGCTAGGCGTACGCTGGGACGGGCCTCGGTGAGCTCCTGGCCGCGAAGGCGGTGCGCACGCGTGACCATAACACCCTGCACGAGACATTCCTCGACTATCTCCTGCAAGAGGCGCTCCTCCAAGTCGATATCGGGCTGCGGGGTATCACGCGACTGCGCTGACATGGGATTTGACGGCTTGCTGGGAGTGCTGGGAGTGGTAGGCGGGTGCGCAGGCACAGCGGACCGCACATTGATGTGGATGATCGGGCTGGCGGGGTGCGACGGGATGGAGACGCAGTCAATCTTGTCCAGGATTGAACGCACCGCGCGCACGTTCTCCTGAAGCGTGCTCAGAATTGAGGGCGTGTTGCGAAGGATATTGATACCCTCCGATGCCGCCACGGCAAGCATGGCGGGCATCGCGGCAGAGAACACGAACGAGGTTCCGTTGATCCGCTGGTGGTCGACGACAACGCGCGAGCCAGCGCAGAACCCACCGCAGGCCGTGAGGCCATTCGCGAGCGAGCCCACCAGCATGTCCACTTGAGACGCCTGAAACGTCGTGTTAGGTCGCCTACGCCCCGCAGCTCCCCAACGCACTCACCGGAACGTTGTAGAGCTCCGTAAGCCCACGGCCGGTCCTACCGACGCCCCCAAACGATACGCTCTCGTCCAGAATAAGCCGGTACTTGTACTTGAACTTCAGCTCCACCTGTCCTTCGCCCGTCAGCAGAGTCGCCCATCAGGCGCGGGCTGTACCCACCAGCTTCGGCAAGTCCGACATCGCCCCATCATGGTCAAAGATGCCCTCCGTCACGATGAACCGCCGCGTCAGCGGTGCCTTCTTCTTCCGCCGCTCCTTCTCTACGCTCTCCAGCACTTGCTCCAGGCTCTCCATGTTGTCGTGGTCATACCACCGCACCGTGCAGCGCGAAATCTGCAGGCCCTTCTGAATCGCAAAGTTCACCCCACGGTCCGCGACAATCACGTCCCCCCGCTTGCAAAACGCGGGTATCACCGAGCCGACCGTCGAGAATGCCTGCGAGTATATGATGGCCGCTTCAGTGCCGAGGAAGTCGGCGATGTCCTGCTCCAGCTGGATGTGCACATCTGCGGCGGTAACGCACACACCGTGTCAGCGTCCTTCCCACGGCACACGCGCCAGGCACGGACGGACGTGGACGTACCCTGCGTCCCGTAGAACCCTGGCGGTCCACAGCTCCCAAGCCCGTACTTGCGCAGCGTCTCCACGCCTCGGTCCTTGATGTCCTGGTTCCCGGCCAGCCCAGTAAAGTTGTAGCTCGCCAGGTTAACGACCGTCTTGCCCGATGCCAGCTTAGGCTTCGGACCCGTCGGTCCAACAATGATCGGAGCCGCAGCAAGGTCTGCCTGCTGTCTCGCAGTGAGAGGTTGCCCGAGCGGCTCTGGAGTCCATTCCGACACCAGGTCATCGATTTCCTGTGGAGAGACAATAAGTGCACTTGGAACTTCGACGACCCCGCGGGGACGCACCTTTTCGTCGAACTGGATAAAGTGCTTGCCCGAGTGGTCCGCACGCGTGCGCGACTGCAGCAGAGTGCGTATGGCGAAGATGATGAGGATCACCTCAAGCAGCGTCCGCCCCGGGTCGTTCTGATGCGACGACTTCACGTATCGCGCGACGACCGCCGAACCGGGTATTTTAGAGAAAGTGGTCTCTAACGTCGAGAGAGAATACGTAGCAAAAGAAACGAAAGGCTCCCAGCTCGTCGTCGTGCCGCTCATGGTGGTCGAAAGTTGAGGATGATCAGCTGCAAGGGAGAGAATTTAAGGGCACCCTGTAGCGTGACTCGCGTGACTTCGTGACGTATAATCCCCACCGAGTTAATTCTGTCTCAAATTGCACGATGTTCAGCCGGTTTTATGAATGCTCGAGGTATGTTGTAGAACAGGAGAGGTACGTGATCAGAATTTTAGACAGGACCTCTTTTTTCACTGATGCCTCTCACGTTCCCTCCCACTTCCTCGGATCAAAGATCAGATTGTACATAAGCATATTCTGTATGGTCACACTGAGGGAGGTTGTCTATATGAGAATTCGCATTGGAGCAGGGTGAAGGTATGATGATGCTAATGAGTTGGAGTGGGAGGTAAGGAGAATTTCGAACCCTGACGTCGTTTTGAACAGCACGACACACAGCTCACTTTCCGAAGATCTGAAAAAGTACATTCGGGATGTGCTCCAAGGGAGGAGTATCATGCGACATTCTCTAGTTCTGAGGAAGGCTTTCTGGAGAATTGGGAGAATTATCGCTTGTGCAAAGTCGGTGTTGTACCTGGCTTTGTTCTTACTTACCTTCCTTTTCTGGACAGAAATTACCATATTTGAACGCACACTGTTACGGTTTGGTGCCACACCGTGACTCTCCCTGTCGAGAGTCACGCTCCTTCAACTTCGTCGGCGTCGGCGAGCTCGAGCCTCGTGCTCGTCGAACAGTCTCCTCGGCAAACGCATATCGCAGCGGGCACTATGGCAAGCTCTACCTCAAGTCTCGCTCCTCCATCTCCGACCAATGTCAAGCCAAGGCGCATGACCTCGCCGTCGTTGCCTCCACCATCGCCTCTCGATCTGGTCAGTCTCCCTCACAGAGTAATTCGGATCTCTCGTTGAGTGCCTGGGCTGTTAGCCAGAACCTGTCTATGGACATCGACGACCACCGTCTCCTCTTCGGCAGAGCTTGACATTGGACCCGAAGACAGGCGAACTCAGCGACGACGGTTCCACTCTCGAATCTATCGACTCGCGACCCTGGGGCGAACAACGCTCGCGTTCGCCAACCCCATCTGTAGCCAAATTCGCCGCAAACATTGCTCAGCGGGTAGGATCGCTCATGAGCCCCCGTGCCAACAATCATCTTCCGACAGACGACGAGCTTGAAGCAGAAGCGGAGAGGGAGCGAGAGAGAAGCAGGCGTGAGGCCGAACGTATCATAATGACGGAAGCGGAGGACAGACGAACAGTGGAAGAACGCGTCCTAGCCATGTTGCACGGAGATGGTGGTCCGCCCAACTCGTTACCTTCGCCGTCGCGTGCACAGACGATGCCAGCCACACCGCCTTCGCCTTCCTCGTCGCAGAAGGACGCCAGCTGGTGGTATTTGGCGAAAACCAAGCTCACGCCGACTAAAGAGCCTCTTACTCCAGCGCAACAGATCATACAGGAAACGAAAGCACGCGAAAAGGAATTGGAGAAGGACAAGAAGAAGACTGAGAAGATGAAACAGAAAAGCAAGGAATGGCCGTCGTCTGGAGATGGGAGATTGGATGGTCCGTCGTTCGTACAGCCTGGACTGGCGACTGCTCCAGTTACACCACCGCGCGCTATCCCGCCACGCCCCATCTCTGCAGCGTCGTCTTCTCCCGTCCCGTTCCCCCGCGGCCAGCCCAGCACTCCTCCTAGTCTGGCAGCTTCTCCACTACGTTCAAACGATGGCCGTGCGCCTCCTCCACTGTACGCGCAATTTGACTCTCAGGGTACGCTGGACGTGCCAGGGACTCTGCTTACGATTGTCAAGCGTTTTGAAAAGCTGGAGAAGTGGACTGTAGGTCACGTCCGGGCTCTAGAGGAGCGCATGGATGACGTTGAACGATGGTTAGTAGAGAAGGATAAAGGCGAGAAGGAGAAAGGCAGTACAGACGGCGAGAATGGTGATGCAGCCGCTGCTATGGATGAAGTGAGAGAGGAGCTCGCAGAGCTCCAAGGCCGTCTAAGTGAGTTGGGTCGCGAAATGGCGAAGATGATTACAGCGCCTGGCAATCTTTCCTCTGGGCCTTCACGAAATTCCGCATCCATCACTCGGGCTCCGTCTGCCACGTCCTCTGTTGCGGTCTCATCTACGTCCATTGCGGTGCGGTCCTTTTCTAACCAAGTTTCTACGAGCCCTACGACTACTCCTCCGAAGATCTCGGGTTCCACCAGTCCACCTATCGGCTCCCAGAACTCCCGGACACGTTTGCCATACCCCACGGGCGACTATGCTACACCACCAGAAACAGCATTGCTCAGCCAAGGCCCATTCTCGCCTCCCAACTCGCCGCCTTCTTCACTTATATCTACTTCGAAGACGAGGCAGACATCCATCTCGGGCCTACCTACCGAGAATTCTTCCGCCAGTGTTTCTCCAGCTGGACTTCCACGTTCGGCGTCTCCCATGACGTCTGCAAGCCCGTCTTCTCTTCCCCGTCCCAATCCATCGGCGTATCGCCAGGACAGCATGAGTCCCACCCCCCGGAAACGTTATACAGTTGCGTTGGGTGGGCCGATCATGTCAGCAAGTCGTATTGATCGCGAGCAGCCAGCAACACCCCATTCTCGTACCCAATCGCGGGAAATCAGCACCGCCTTTTTCTCGACGTCTCCTGCATCAGCCTATGACGATACCCAAGATATCACCGACGATTCTGACAGTTCACTCGGAAAGGATGATACCATCGGGAAGTCGATGGCGAGGCATAATGAACTGGCCGTCGCCTCCGATCCTTCCTCGAAGTCGAGAGCACGCGTGCGGCCTCAATCGATGTATTCTCCGATGGCGCCAGCCCTCGCTGCACCATCACCCGTCACGCCACTTAATGTCCGTCTCCGTTCGCGTTCAACAGACAGGTTTGGACTGGGTATCTCCCACCCTAGCTTTACACCCGTTCCGCCCACTTCTGGGAAGTTCGTGGATCCGCTTGTCGTCCGCAGACAGACGAAGGAGGCACTAGCGACTGCCTTCCCAGATCCTCCGAAAGTCATGCCCGGAAAACCTAAGGTTCCCGTTGGCCAGCTTGTCGCGTATTTTGACCAGGAGAAGCAGTGAGGGCGTTCGTGCATAAGCGTACTTCTTGATTGACCTCAGCGGACAGAAACTAAATTCTTTTGTTGCTTTCAGTGCATCCATTTCATCATGATCTCGTGTAGACTGTATGTTGCTTATTTAGCTTGCATTCCTTCATGAAGCTTGAAGCTTTGACGAGCTGTACTTTGCATATATGACGTTACGATTGCTATGACAAATTCATGTTCGGTGGTTATGCAGATCGCTTGCCTGAGCCTGAGCACATCCCCAACGTTGACTTCGACAAGTCGTGCTAGGATGGATACTATGTATACACAATAATATACACCACTCCGAGACGAAAACTCTACGACAACCCAAAGGGACAAAAAATATCCACACACCAGCGCTATCTACCGTTCGACTTCTTTTTCTTGTTCTTTGCCTCCCGTTCTTTCTCTTTCCTTGCCTTCTCCTTTTCGGCGTCTGCCTTGGCCTTGGCGTGTGCGGCGTCGTTCAGGCCGAGTCTGTTGCGTGCGATCTACCACGGGAAAGTAAGACGTAACTCGTGCGCGCATGGGCAATAACATACCTCATAGGCATAGAACTAGCGACCAGCATGAGCACAATGACATGCATCAGTACATTGCGTTAAACAGAATGGGCAAATACGAACCTGCATTCGTGTCACTACACCCAAGATTCAGCGCACGAATTGCGTAGAAAGTGATAATGCCTGCTCACCAAACATTGTGTTCTTCTCGTCGTACTCCCCGCGCGCGTCCGTGCGGATCAGTGAGCCGAAGTTGTAGTCCTGGACTTTTTTCTCGTACCTGCGGCGCTCACAATCACGAACGTACAATATACGGCGCAGGCGGGTCACTCACGCCTGCATGAATTTCCTCCACCTCTCCTTGCCTTCGGCGCTCTTCATCCACTCCTCGTCGATCTTCAAGACTGTGTCGTACGGCTCCTCTGCCAGCTCCGGGAACTCGGACTTTATGTGCTCGAAGATCTCGTCGTCCAGCCTGAGACACCGCGCAGGTATCAGCACGACGTCTAAGTACTACCGAAACACGCACTTAGTCAACCTCAGGTTGCATGGGTCCACCTTCTCCAGGAGGTTCCAATAAGTCTGTTGGCAGAAACGCAGACGTGAATTGTGTGCGGTAGCATACAATTTGTAGACGCACCTGGGCATGTTCGACGGCTTTCACGGCAAACCTGTGTTTTGTAGTAAATATCTCGCCCTTCTGTTCCTCTGGTCGTCCAAATGACACGTCACTTACTGTTTCTCAATCTACTTCGATGAAATATTGAGCACTGCCCGAAGAGCAATCAATTCAGCGAAAACATCTCACCTCAACCAGATTTTGCGCAGTGTTCGGGTCGAATCCGGTGGTCATGATGTCGTTTGCAGACAATCCGGTAAGGGAACGTAAGGAGTGCTATAGTCGCTGGCAGAGCTAGGCTGAATGTCGGATCGGAGCAGTGGCTGTAATTGAACACGGAGAATTGCAGGTCATATGATCTCGCCATTCACTGGCAAGGTGTTCACAAAACCGTATCAGACGATGCACGCAGCAAAACGACAGGATATGCGAGGATATACAAAGGAACAGCTACGAGATACAGCAAGGTCGACATAAATTATAAGCGAAACTGGATTTTCATATCGTACTTTTGCCCACATCCAGCCCGAAACGCTTGAGCTTTTCGAAGTATTTCTGCACCCGGCTCGCGACCTGTCGCGCCGTCCGCCGTGAATTCATCGCCTGCGATATCTTGAGCCACCTGACCACCATTTGTGAGACAACAGTTAAGTTTCAAGTGGACATACGGTCGGCTTACCGATTCTTCTCGCCCTCCGGGATCTCCTCCAGCAGGCGCTCGAGCAGATGCTGCTCCGAAACGGACCACGCCTGCTTGTATGTCTCGGACTTCTGCTTACTCTTCTCCTTCTGCGGTGCAGCAGAAGAAGAAGCAGGCTCCGGGGGCAAGTCCGCTGACTTCGGTGCAGTTTCGCGTCTTCCCTTTGGCTTCGCGCGCACATCTGCAGGAGGGGCTGCTTCTTTCGCCTTCCTAGTTTGACGGCGCTCCCGCACAGGCTTCCCATGAACAGGTGGGTGTGAAGGAGGTAGACCAGAGACAGCCGAGAGAGGAGACGTAACCGACGTGGGCGGCGTGTCCACGTCCATCGGCACAACCTCAGAGCCAGATCCAAGCATCGACGGATCGCCTTCAGCGTCTCCGTCTCCATACGCGTTACACGAAATGTCCACCTCTGCACTCTCGTCCGCCTGATCCCGACGCACAAAAACGCCATTCGCACGGGGCCGCCGCAGTCCGCCGAACCCTGGTACAGAGGTATCGTCAAGACGGCGCTTCTTGAGCTCACGAATCTTCTCCCGCTCGCGTGCACTCCGGCATACCTCCGGGTCTACCTCTTCCTCCTCGTCTTCCGACATTTCAGCTAGGTAGCTGTAAGCAGCCAGGACAGGATCGACCATGTGGACGCGAGCGTCCTTGACTAGCTTTTGAAGCTCAGAAAGTTCAGAGTGCTGTATTGCAGGCGGCTCATTGCGCTGTGCATACGCCTGTCGGCAACCGACGGCGAGCTCTTTGAGGGGCGTCGGGTCTGGAAAAAATCAGAACCAAGATGGGGAGTAGAGGAGAAATTATATTCACCGCAGCCCTTGAAGAGAGACCAGTCAATATCATCTGGCAATGGGGGCATGTAGTCCAGTTGTCCGCTCAATCTAGTGGAGCTAGCTTTCAGCTGCCCAGCCCTAAGCACTAAGTAAATACTTCAGATGGAACGAGGAACACACCTTGTCACCGACATCATCCAGTGAATCAGGAGGGGCCTCTGCAACTTCATCTCTTAATTCCCTTAGGCGTGTTATGTCGGACTGCGTTTGTGCAAGCAAATCTCTCTGCGACTGAATGAACGTCGACAGCGCGTCCAAACTGCGGCTGATGAGCACACATATTTCCTGGAGATTCTAGGGTATGCTTACGTTTTGGCGCGCTTTTCTTCCATTGAAATGCTGACATGGACAGATACAAGGCAGACTGATGGAGTGTGTGGGTGGTATAGAAGAAAAGTGAAGTGAGCGCTCGAGGACAGAGTGCAGGGTCAGCGGAAAGTCTCGAGAAATTCTCCCAAATTCACAAAAATGTCACGGTCGCGTGACTACAGTTTGTGACGCTCAAAAGAGGATCATGATACAGTGCTCCAGCAATGGAAGACGAACAGAAACGCAAGACAAATTATGATGATTCCATATGGCAGACTGATACAATAAAGACAAGTAGAAGTGCATCTATATACTACAAACTCTGGCAGAACATCTTCCCGCGCCGTACCTGCACTCTACACAGCTCCACCTCCGTAGGCATGGCAAGGAGGGACGCAAAGACGATGCCAGTTGAGTCTGCGAGGCCCATAGAGCCGATCTTAAACTCCCGCTCCTGTTTCGAGTGCTCCGGGTCCACGTCCTCGGAACTGTCGTGCCGTTCCTGGTTAATGCGGTAAAAGACGTTGACGCTGAAGGGCGGTCGACGTCAGAAAGACGGCGTCCGGAATCAAGGAAATACTTACTACGCCAAACCGCCACATATTCCTTCAATGCTTATAAGGAAAAAGACGAGGAAGAAACTGAGACCTTCTGACTGGTCTCCGAAAATCCCGACGGCAGATTCAAAGGTCAGTGTACTCAGAACAATTGCCTGAAGGATCGCCGGTAGCGAGAGGAGACGACCGGGCAGTGGTGGGAGACCAATAGAGATCGAAGAGCGGGAGAAGAACACGGTCGTCTGATATACCAACTGCGAGCATTTTTGTCCAATATTACGATCCGTGAATTCTGCTCAGATGAAGTAGTACGCACCTGCCAGAGTGGATAGTAGTCCCTAATAGAGTGTATGAGTTTGCTCATAAGCCAGTACTGGTCTGGTGAAGGTACAGGATATACTAGGGTTGGTGCAACACCCTACGACGACATCTATGAGCCAAATCGCGGTAAATGTGAATGGCTAAACCATCTTACCTGATTGATAATGTATTCAAACTAACAAAAGGTTGCAAAATCATCAGTCGCAGAACACATATAGCATGAATGAGACTCGCCAGATACACGCAGACTGCAACAAATATTGGTTGAAATACGCATCATTGATGAAGAATTTGACTACTTACACAGTGGTAACATGTACCTCGTCAACAGAGGCTTGGCCAGCCTCCACTTATCACTAGCTGACAGGCCAACGGGACGCTTGTGCTCGACGTCTACTTCTGGCTCCGAAGGCAACGGACCATCCTCATCGTCGGTGGTAGATAGTGCGGCATATGGGATAACGGAAGGTGCTGGTTCTTCATAGGACGACGAATTCATAGAGGAAAACGCAGAGGAGCGGGGCAGAAGGAGGAAATACGCCAACGGAATGGCGAGAGGAAGGACCTACCATACTCGGTCAATAATTCATACTTCACGGCGCAATTGAGAGGCCGTATAGACGCACAGAGGACAATCCAACACCGATACGGACACCTAGTCCCCTGAGTTCCCACCAGAGAAATGCACCGACAAGACCAGCCGCACCAGTTCCCGAAGCAAAATAGCTGGATGAGTAGAATATTCAGTTGAGATTTGTCCCCGTGAAACTCATTACTTACCTGACGCTGCGACCTGCAACGGAAGGGGGATGATATCGTACCGATAACTGCAAAAAGGTAAGTTCACCCAGTCCTTGCAGATTTATTCGCATCAGCAAATGAACTCTAAACGACATAACCGAGACCATACCTGAAGAGAATGATGCAAGCGATATCCCCAGAAGTCTCATAGACAGGCTATCAGATAGAGCTACGACCTACGACATCAGGTATCGTCATATTGGAACACGGTCTTTGGAACGCGGACAACAAACTCACTATCATGCCGCTGACACTGATAACACAGCAGCCAAGTAGACGCCGTGAGTATCGTATTCGACCCTTCAGCAGATACGGCCATCCAAGTTTGGCAACAAGGGCTGGAAAAATGTTGCAGAATGCAATGATACCTTTCGGCGTAGATGGCGGCACGAGGTCAAGTGCAGCGGACAGAATGATGACGTAGAGGACTTGGCGCGTTTGACAGAAATTAAGAGGATAGTTGAAGATAGCTAATGAGATTGGACACACCATTATTGATGAAACCAAAAAGAAAGAAGGACAGTCCAAGTCGCAGGAGCAGTCCCGATGACCCTGTTGATAAACACAGGTCAATTCCGTTCTAAAAGGTCATACTTCCAGTAGCAGTGCGACCTCGAAGACATGGCTATGCCTACTTCTCCTTCCACATCTCGGTCGACGAGTCTGCTAGCCTTCAGGATACCCGTAAAAAGAGAGCAGTTTCACTCACCTTCCTTCAAGTCACCTTCCGCACTGTCTCCCGAAAGAAGTGACGCACCCTCTCCTGATATATCTACGGTGAGACGATCGCTCGTAGACTCCCTACGACTTTGCACCTGATTGATAGCGGCAGCATTAGTCTGAGTATGTGGTTCAAATGGTGTGAGCATTGGTTGTAATTCGTAGTTGTCCGAGATAACGTCAAGTAGCGAATTCACCATTCACACTTGACATGGTGGGAAGGAGTATTCGTCCTGAGTTCCGTGCTGGTTGCATGTATGACAGTCACGCACGTGGGGCGCTCGGAACATCTAATAGCAAGCTGAAAATGTATTTAAACCATAAAATCACAAGTAGCCGCACAAAAAATGAGGAAACTGACTTGGTACTCCGCCAACTATGAAAGATCGTGCTAGTGTCGTTCAGAGAGACTCTGGGACATGGTCGGAGTAACTTGAGGTGGTTCAGATATGCTTACGTAAGGACTTCTCTGAATTGGCTCGGGCAGCGCTAAGTACCGTACATGCCCGCTACTGACCGGTCCCCGAATCCCTCGCGGGGCCGGCTTACAGGCTTCAAGCATTTGATTTCGAATGTCAAGAATATTTCTGTACGGTCCATGTGCATTCGGTATGTAACTGACAACTTCTGACGCAAACAAATAGCTCACATCTACTCAGGTTGAAGTGTGCTGGCTAGTACGTGTGTATGAGGTACTGTATACCCTTCACTCGCTGGACATCGAAATTTCCCAGTGCTGACCAGGTATGTAGGGGTGGCGCTCTGAGGAGTATCCGTTGGACGCAAAAGTTTCCAAAACACCCACACAGCATGGCTCAGCGAAGGCTGAAGCATATACTCAATGACCTCGTCGCTCACCCTTCAGTTATTGGTACTTTGAAGCTTGCGGATATTTCATATGACATCCACCAGTCCCCTACGCCCACAAGGCTTCCGCATTGCGAAGATGCTCTTTTGGACTTGCAAGACCACTTTAACCTGGACAACTTGCATTTCATGCTCCAGAAGTACCTTCTTGGGCAAGACATTTTCCTTTTGTCTCAGCCTGGTCCGTATGCGCGACATCTGGCTATGACGTTCTGCAGGTAGGCATACCATGGAAACTCATTTATCCTTACCCATGCTTCGCATTGCAGTTTGATCAACTCTGAATATGAGTACATCGCGCTGCATCGAGACATTGGAGAGACTGAACTGAAACAGGGTAGGGAGATCAGAGCAGGAGGTAACCTACTCTACGTAGATAGTCCGGCAGTTTCTGCGGCGAAACATGGTCGTGTTCTCATCATAGAAGGCATAGAGAAAGCCGAGCGAGGCATCATGCCCGTAAGTAGGTCCGATTAATCGCTTCTACACTTCTCATAATTCTTCATAGGTTCTGAACAATTTGCTGGAAAATCGGGAGATCAATCTAGATGATGGGACACATGTTATCCATCCTCACAGGTACTCTCTTCTTGATTCCTCCTCCACTGGTACTTCTGCAGGAAAGATCTTCATTCCTGCGCACAAGAATTTCAGAGTAATTGCTATTGCGGCTCCCGTCCCTCCATATCCTGGCTATCCTTTAGACCCGCCGTTCCGCAGCCGTTTCCAAGCTCGTTTCGTCGACCCTGTCGGGTCACTTCTCACGCTCAGCAACAGCTCAGCTTCAGACAACTCCCCTCTCTTCCGGACACTGCGAGACATAATCTTATCTACGCAATATGCCAGCGAGTCCCGCCATGCTCTCGACGCAGTTGCCAAATCTACCCTTCCCGCCTTCCCGCAGACAGCCTTGCGCAAGCTTCGTGCTCTCTTGTCCGCTTTCCCTCCTCCAGAGCAGCTATCCTCAGCTCAACTTGCGCGACTCATGCTTACTATCCACCCCGCCTTGATCCACGCACCATTCATCGCGTGGGCTATGCTTTCCAGCAAATCGGAAGAATCTGGATTGGGTCAGCTTGGAAGTCCATCGCTGACAGGGAATGGCGATCATCTCGGTCTCCTGGGCTATTATCTGTCCAAGATCGAACGAGTCAACGAACGTACTGCTCGGATCACGTTTGAGGGCACGGAAGGTGCATCTACGGTGTCGCTTGATGTCTCTGCAGGTCCGAAGAAGCTACTCTCCTTTCCATTCGAAGATCCCGACAAACTTGGCTTCTACGCGACGGACAGATTCATGGGGCTCCTCGCCTCGATGCTCCAGGCGCATGCCCTCGGCTGGGATATCTCTTATGTTCCACCTGCGCTGCCGTCCACCGCATCCTGCTCTACCTCTTTACTGGTCAAGACGTTCGGTGCAGTGCTGGGCTATGAACTGGAAGGAATCCACCTCTACAAGGAGCTGGGTGGCAGAGAGCTGCTGATGCGCCGTAAGATTGGAGATGGGGGCGCGACAAACTGGGAGCCAAGGTCAGTTAACGTGTAATAAATTCCGGTCTGACTTAAGTGTGGATACGACAGCCCTCTTATCCAAGGAGCATGGACGGGACGACTGGTTCATCTCTCCGGCATCGACGTGATTGGATCGACCGCAGGGTCTCTGGCACGATTGATCCAAGACAGGGAGACAGAGCTTTGGGAGAACAAACGGATTGTCTCCCAAGCTTCCGACGAGGAAGTGAGTCTGTTATCGAGACAGTGACTGTAAGATTATTGACGTCAGGCTAGCAAGCAACTGGGGAACTCTCAGTCGCTCACCCTGCCTTCCGCATCATCAGCACGGCCTCGAAGTCCCTTCCTCTGAGAGATTGGCTGTCAGACGAGCATGCGAACATGTTCTTCCCCGTAGCCGCACAGCCCATGGGCAGGGACGAAGAGGCTTCCATCCTCCTGCACACCGGCTGCTCGCCCTCTGTCGTCACCACGCTGCTCACATTTGCAGAGAAATACAGATCAAGCATGACCTCCGATTCCGTACAGAAGAATCGTAAGCTCGGTACCAGGTCGTTGGTCAGGATTGCGCGGCACGTCGCCAAGTTCCCCGGGCATAACGACTTGCACTCATTATTCAGCCGTTCGGTTCTTGCAGAGTTCTTGCCCACAACCGAGGCTATGAATCTGCAAGAACTGTTTGAGGAAAGTGGTATCAAGAAGCGGACACCTGCAGTGCGTATGACACGGGCGCTCTGATAATTGAGATTGAATCTCTCTGCAGTTTAACCCATCGCCAGAGATCCAGGACGGCGGTCTTCTCTTTCCAGCGCCGAGTGACCCTAACAATGCTAGTGCGGAGCCCATATTCATACCATTCTTCGATGAGTCGCAGGATGCTGAAGGTGTCGCATCGCATGTGCCGCACATGGATCACTTCTACGACAACAGCTTGCAGACGGGTTTGATGCGCGATCTCGCTATTGACCTTGAAGCGCTGGGCGAACATCTAGTTTTACTTGGAAATCAGGTACGCAGCTCTGGTCCCTAGTCCATGGAATCTGGTGGGCTGAGCTCTCGCAGGGAGTGGGAAAGAACAAGATTGTTGATAGGTCAGTGGTTTCTGTTCAATTTTGACCCTTCACTGTCCCTAAACGATATACCTTGACAGACTCTGTCAGGTAAGACTGTTGTTGTTAACTTGGAATTCTTCCTTAGCTAGCCCATTCTCAGCTCCTCGGACGTCCTAGAGAGTACATCCAACTGCACCGCGATACGACAGTGAACCAGCTGATGTTCCAGACAGTATTAGAAGGCGGAGTGATTAAGTACACCGACTCTCCTCTACTGAGAGCCATCAAATTGGGACGCGTCATCGTCATAGATGAAGCAGACAAGGCTGCGGAGCACGTAGTGGCGATCTTCCGAAGTCTCGCTGGGTATGGCCAGCTCACACTCCCCGACGGTCGGCGCGTATGCCGGGAGAGAAAGCGAGAAGGGGACATTGTGGTACATCCAAAGTTCCGTCTGATCTTGTTGGCCAATAGACCCGGATACCGTGAGCCTCGTTTCAGCCTTGTCTTCTTAACGGTTCATATTCATGTTCGTCGTCTGTTAGCATTCCTGGGCAACCATTTCCTTCAGGTTCTTGGCGACAACTTCAGCTGCCATGCTGTGACCAACCCCGACATGAGCAGCGAGAGAAAGCTTCTTTCGCAACTCGCACCTGAGCTCAGCGAAGACATGATTCTTCGTTTAGTGGCTGTATTCCATGATTTGCGAGCTGCGTTCGATAGCGGAGCGTTGACTTATCCATACTCCCTCAGAGGTGCGTAAACCGTGTTATCTGAAATTGCTTTTGCCGATGACGATTGTCTCAGAATTGATCAACATTGTTCGGCACATGCAGTCATATCCCAAGGATTCGCTAGAGACAACTCTTCGAAACGTCTTCGATTTCGATGTTTATAAGCCAGACACCATTGAGAAATTGGCTGCCATTTTGGACCATCACGGGTTTGACTTTTGCACGTTTGGTAGTTCCGTTCTGACCTGTGCCGCTGTAGTTTGGCCGTGAAGCGCTTAGGAATCGACGCTGCCAGAGAGGTTTCGAGGAAGAAAATCGTCGATGTCCAGTTTGAACCAAAAGGCAGAACCGATCTCTCGAACCCCAAGTTTGGCAAAGAAGATCCTAATAATGAGCCACACGTCGGTGGAAATACCTGGGCTGGTGGAGTGAGCTATTTCCCCTACCACTCTCCTTTCTGTTAATGCTCACTCGCCGCAAGACTGGTGGTCGAGACACTGCCGGTCTTGGCGGCCGCGGAGGTTACATGCGTCTCTTCAAGGGCCACGACATCAAACAAGTATGTCCTTCAGCTTTTTTCAGGTATTTAGGTTTTTTTTGCTAATTACATTTGCTAGATCTCGGATGAGTTGAAGAATGACGTCCCTGATCACATTAAAGAGCAGGCTCGAGAGATGGCTCGCCAGGAACTAGCTCGCAGACTCGAGGAACTCAACATGAGCGCGGGTGAGGCGAGGGGATACGGCGCACTGCTAACCGCAGTGGGTTCACATATTGCGCAACTGCATGATTTACTGGAGAGTAAGCAGCATACGAACTTTCCGGCGTTTGCTCGTTGACGTGGATATTGCAGACCTTGCGGCCAAGGAAGAAGAGCGTGTGTGGGTCAAGCGTCAGACCGATGGCGAGCTTGATGACAGTCGCTTGACTGAAGGCTTAACGGGAGAAGCGACAGTGTACAAACGGCGTGGAATGGCGAAGCCTGAGATGGGGCGTCCACAGATAAAGTATGTTTCGTAATCTATTACAGTCCCATTCAACTGATGCAAATACACTGCAGGCCTAAACGCATCAGATTCCTCTTCGACATAAGCGCTTCTATGTAGGTTGTCGTTGAGCCATATTCCCACACACATTGACGATCTTCCGCAGGTACCGTTTTCAGTATGACGGGCGCCTGAAGAGGAGTATGGAGACCGGTTGGTGTTGACTAATTCATGTGCGAAGGGCAATGAATAAGTTTTTGTCAGCGGTGATGTTGATGGAAACCTTCGACCGCCTTACAAGGAAGGACAAGTATGTTTGGGATGTGAGTACGGGTAACGTTTATACTTATCTGTAAACTAACCCACGACTTAGATATACGGTCACGTAAGTACCGAAATCCGCAGTTTCACAGTCTCTGACTCCGTTTTGCTATGTGTATGGTAGTCTGGGGACTCCGCGGAAATTCCGTTGGTGGAGTTTGACAAGCCACCGGCCGAACTTCGGGATCGATGGAAGGTGGTCGAGAAAATGGAGATGGTCACGCAGTACACCTTTGCGGGTGATTACACGAGTGAGAATTTCTCTCCTTAGCTCTCTCCTCCTAACTGTTGTTCATTCTCTGTAGCGGAGGCCATTGACAAGGCCGTCACGGAAGTTGCCAAGTTCGACGCTGGTCAGTTGCTCTTTGCTCCGTAACCTTCACTTTCATCATCACCTCTAAACAGATGACTGGTTCGTTATTGCGGTCACCGACGCCAATTTTGCGCGTTATAATATTACGGCTGAGGATCTCCAACGGGTGATGACCCGCCAACCTAAAGTCAACACGGCCCTTATCTGCATAGGCGAAGGAGCTGAAGCCGCATGGTAAATTTTACGCATCCCTTTGCCACCGTATCTCTCTCATCTCTCCCTTTCCCAGGATCCCGCAGAAACTGCAGGGTCGTGGTTTCCGTGTCTCAAATACAGCGGACATACCTACTGTTCTACGGAGCATTCTATCCACGATGGTTGATCGTTGAGGGAATGTATGACAATACTGTGTTTTTGTGAAGTATTTCTAGTGTAGCCAACTACAATTGAGACGTGTTCAGGACCGTTGCTGGTGTTTGCTCTCATCGCCGAGTGTATGACCGACTCGTCACTTGTCGCGCGCTAATGTATCTGTCGACCTCGGATGCTACCTGTTAGCTTGTTGCAGCACTCAACAAGTTGAGCTAGGCAGTCGTCTGCGATTGCAGTCCCTTCTGTTGGTTGTTGCCTGCAGTTCTGAAACCTTGTCGCCAATCACTAATCTAACTCCCAACTCCGTTGCGCGACACCTTGCATCACCACAGCCATGGCAGCGTACTTCTTTGCATCACCGGTGGACGTAGACGTGAAATTGGAGGGAGAAGATGACCGGAAGAAGGTCGAGTTGAAGGGAGAGAAAGACAAGGCTATCTCATGTCCCGTCTATTACGATGGTGACGCCGTTGCTGGCCAGGCACGTACTAATCACGCCCGTTCGTGTCTCATACATAACCAGGGAAGTCTCTAGGTGACAGTGCGCGTTCGGGATGGCAAGAAATTTGCTCATGATGGTATCAAAGTAGAGTTCATTGGCAGCATTGGTGAGTTATCGTTCAGCATACCGGAATTTGTTCCAACTCCAGCCCTCAGAACTGTTCTATGACCGAGGTCATCACCATGAATTCCTATCTCTATCACAAGAGCTGGCTGCACCAGGGGAGATGCGGGCAGCTCAGACATACGACTTTTTGTTCAAGAATGTTGAGAAGCAGTATGAGAGTTACCAGGGCATCAATGTGAAGCTACGGTTTGTGCAGTGTTTTCAAGGGTGGGCGTTCCTTAGATGACAGTCCACTCTTCTAGGTACTTGATCCGAGTAACAATATCCAGAAGATTAGCAGACGTCACCAAAGAGCGGGAGATATGGGTACATTCGTACAGAATGCCTCCAGACAGCAACAACTCAATCAAGATGGAGGTTGGTATTGAGGACTGTCTACACATCGAGTTCGAGTACAACAAGTCTAAGTACGTGGCGTCGCGTTGTGATTGTGCTGGTTCCTCATGGACACGCTGGTTGCTACCTGCAGGTACCATTTGAAGGACGTCATCGTTGGCAAGATCTACTTTCTACTCGTTCGAATCAAAATCAAGCATATGGAGCTCTCCATTATTCGGCGTGAAACCACGGGCGCACCACCGAACCAATACAATGAAAGTGAGACAATCACGAAATTCGAGATTATGGACGGCGCGCCAGTACGAGGTTCGTGTTGTCGTTCCTCCTCTTTGCAGCTACCGATGTTTGGCGCAGGAGAGACGATTCCCATACGTCTCTTCCTTGGCGGCTTCGACCTGACGCCGACGTTCCGTGAGGTAAACAAGAAATTCAGTGTGCGATACTACCTCAACTTGGTCCTCATCGACGAGGAGAACCGGCGATATTTCAAACAGCAAGTATGTGACACGTTGATTCTGACTGCACCGCAATCGTCTGATTCGAGTGCGTTAGGAAATCACTGTTTTCAGAATACCGGAGGTGAGTATGGTATTTCGACTGCTTCGCGGTTATCTGACGTCCTCTTCAGAACTGATGTCTGGACTTTGTACTTATTATACGTATATCTTATTCCTGGGATTGCTGAGTACCTCTCACGAAACGTCTTGCACCACGATTGCACCTCACGAGGTAGGTTCCAATTCGCCACCATATAACGTTACAGACATTGTTCGATAAGGATACATACTCGTTGCCGGGTGCACGCGATGGTACGAATACACAGAAACGCCATAAAGTAGCGCCGTTTTCAAGACACCCACCTGGCGACACCTAGCCTCTCGTGCTGTTTCTCGCCCACCTTGCTCTGTCTGTGCAACTTCCTCCTGACTTTGATGGGTGTAGGTGTGTAGGGGTCCACAACAGCATTCGCTCCTCTTTGTCTCTCCGCAGACGTGATGTCCACCTCAACAGCGATGCTCTCACGCGTGAAAGCCACATACGGGTCCGGTGTCATCCTCCTCGGCACGTTCCCAACGCTCTTGATTCTCATCGCTGTTCCCCCAGGCAATTCCGCCTCGTCGCTAGCGATGGAGCTCGACGTGATCGCTCCAGTGGTATCAGCGCTCAGTGTCTTCGCTGTCCTTAGCCCAGTATCCGCGTAACTCTGGGATGGTGTTCCGGACAGCGGAACAGCGTTCATAGACATGGGGGTGGGCAACGAGGCTTCTAGCGACTCTGGATCCATCGTCTCACCCTGCAAGACTGTGTCAACAATCAGGGCATTCTCAATCGAGGCTCGCCGGAGCATGCGCTGCTCGAGCAAATCCTGCCGAAGTGTGCTGCGCCAGCATCGCGACGTGGGGTGCGTGCTTGACTGCCTCGAGATTGGAATACTGGTTGCACCATCGTCTGTTACGGTCAACATTTCCACACCCGGATCGGGAGTGACGCGTCCTCTAATCTTGCCCGTGGCAGAGAAATTCGGATTTCTCTCATAAGCTGCGCGCCAGAGGGGAACCTGATAGTTCAGCTCTTCATTCGGGTGCTGTGTAGCGGTACGCGGCGGGGTGCAAGGGAACTGCACCGCGAGAGCATGAACAGCTTCCATCGAGTCGGACCCACAACTGTCTCGTTCCTGCTCCATCAGGTAGTGTCCGCCCGCGATCGTTTGGCGACTCCGTGCAGAGTACGCACGCTTAGCTGTCACAATGACCGCGGGTTCTATAGTGGACACTGTGGTAGCGGTCGCAGGCGGGCTGTCAGGGATTGCTTCTGCTTCGAAGGTTAGTGGAGGAACGGGCGCTACGGGGCTGGTAAGGCTCTTTAGGCCCTCGAAGTCCGGTGGAAGGGATTTACTGCGGGGCAGCGTATGCTCGCGGAATGACTCGGTATTCAGGAGCGCCTTGTGGAGGCTCAGGGAGGAGAAGCGGCGCAACTGGAGAACGGGAGTGTCGTCCGTGGTGTAGTGCACAGTGACGCGCTTTTGGCGCCGTTCATCAATATCAGTAAAGCGAGGGCGCAGAGCGGCTCTGGCGGGTCTGTCTAAGTTGATAGTTCTCTGCAGGAAAGGGGCTGAGGACGGGGGTCGCGAATGCACCGAGGCACGATTTGGGCGAAGCCATGATGATCGTGCGGTTTTCTCGCCTGGCACATGAAATGCGAAGACTTTCGCCTCTACCATTTGGGTGGGAGTCGGAGACCCAGGCGCAGCCTCTGGGTCAAAGGCATGACCGCTGAGGTGCACAAATGTGCTATTCCGAGGGTTAGAGATGAGGGTACGCAACGTGGACCTGCGGCGCGATTGAACATCTGCAGATCGGAAAATGTGGAAGTCCTCCACTCGGTCGACACTGAAAAGAAGATGAGAATGCTGTATTACGTTGGCGAAATTTGCAGGCACAAACTGACCCGTTGATAACACCGATGATCAAACACGCTCTACCGAGGAGTCGGAGGATTCGCCTAGTGAGGACAACTGCGTAACCTCCAGATGCGAATCCAACCAGAACTTCCACCGTACCAAGCAGGAAGCCTGCTATAATCCACAAGAGACCGTGGAAAAGATGGGTCTTCACCTGAATTCCGTCCGGCGTGGCCTCGCTGCGACGTTGGCGGAATGCTTTATTTAGCCGGTGTAAGGCAACACAGAGATGGATGCCCTGATACAGGACCAGAAGCGCCAGGGTAACGATGTCGAAAACCGTGTGAGCACTGTTGTTCGTGAACCCAACCGCGACCATGTGCTGGACTCCAAACGTTCCTGAAGGAGCTGTGTAGGAGATACTCGGGATAACCAAAAGAAAAGTGCGTACGATAGGAAATGCCAAAGAAAGATGCCAGTCCGTTCAATGCAATGATCACGGGTATAACAAATAGAAGGGAATACATCACGATCGCTCGGAATTGTGCAGAAATAATCAGGAAGAGTTCCGAATTGGTGTAGAGAAGGAGGAAGAGTGTGTAGAGGAGAAGAGGAACAAAGGACGCAGTACCTGTTATGTGGCGGTGAGCTCTGGATGTGTTCCGGATGCACAGGGCGTACCGATGAAAATGTCCAATGGTCTGAAAATCTGCAGCGAATCGCCAACCTTAGGGATGATATGGACCAGCGCATCTATCAGTGACAGAGCGAAATAGGTAAACCCCTCTGCGGCAAGTATAATGGGTTTTCTGCAACGGGACATGAATAAGCGTCTGTTGCTCTACCGATTAACGTCAATACAAATAGTCATCGCCTGGCTGCGCAGAAAGGTATCCTGACGCGACCCATGAGTATTAACACATCTCGCGCGACTCACCTGTCATAGCCAAGCCTTGCTAGCACCAAGCCCAGACAGAAGAAGATCTCAAGACCGGAAGGAATAACCAGAATACCAGACTCGAGCCTGGTGAGCGATTGGCAGCGCAAGGTCGAGGCCAAGGAAAGACAGATTTCACCCATTTAGTAATGAGCCGTCTTATTCTTCTGCAATAAAAGGATAAATAGACGCATTCCAGACGCCAGTGGGGTAATACAAGAAAGCAGTCTCGGAAACGAATGGAGCGCAGACTTGCTGCGAGAAAGAACGTCGCCTGCACGTCGAACGAACGAAGGAGAGGGAAGGAGTAACCTGTGGGTAAGATTTCATTGCAGCGCCTGAGACAGTATTTCTGACAGTGATGACGGTTGCTTAGTTGTCGATGTTAATTATGGCGGTGGGAACTTGGTTCTCGCCGGTGGTCACCGTGGCGATTACTGTGACTGCCTTTTCTAGATCATCGTGTCGTCAGGGACGTTCGTCCAACCCTCGATCTGTTCAGACTGCTAACCGTTCCTCTACATGTTGAGGGGTGAACGAGGGTACAACTAACAGCCAGTTTGAGACGAAGCAGGTCCAGGGAACTTATAGCCCAAGGTTCCGCCAAACGAACGAGGGCATGTGCAATCGTCTTCCTCACTACCTGTTCCGAAGAGAAATGAATGATACGTAAAACTCCTCCAACATGCGAACCGTCGAAGTACTGTAGTGAACACACAGTCAAACTCAACGGTATGTGGTGCGGCCACGCAGACCAAACGAGGCCAACAATTCATGTCCGTGTACCACCAATGTGGAGAGGGATACAGAAATCTCACCTCATGCCTACCACAACCCTGGACACAGTACAGACATGTGTCACCCTCGAGGTTACCTTACCGCATGTTTTCCGTGTTGCCAAAAGGCAGGAGTTGACTAGAACAGTTGAACAGTTTGGGTAGAAGTTCCGACCTGTGTATAATTCGGATATTATTCTCCAATCGACAAGCGAAGTCCAGAAAATGTGACTGTGCCGTGACATGATGTCACTGGCCATGGGTGCGCAGCCCTAGACTAGGGTTAAGCTTATATTGCTTGGACTTGGTCACCGGTGGGAGACAATCATGAACGTTCAGCTTGACTTCCACTCACACCGCACCCAGCTCATCTGCACAGCCGTTGCGGCATCACTAGCTACAGCCGGCCTACTTTCTGCTTTCCAGCGGTACAATCGTCAACAGAAACGAAGAGAACTTGACGAGAGCATTCATCGCTCGATTTCTGGGCAAGAGGCAAAGCATCCCCTCGAGGATTTGTGTGAAAAGAAAATCAAGCGAAAATCCAAATCACACCTCTCGCTGGAGGATGATGTCAATAAATCGGATATTTCTCTTGGAATTGCCGCGCAGCTTGAGAGTGGACCGTATGAGTACGACGAAGAGCTGGTGAGGGAGCAGTTGGCGCGGAACTATGCATTCTTCGGAGAGGAGGGAATGGCCAAGATCAGGAAGGGAATGGTCGTCGTTATAGGCTGCGGAGGCGTCGGCAGCTGGGCCGCAATTATGCTGGCCAGATCGTACGCTTACCATGCGAAGGTCCCCGAGTTGTTTCGCGCTAACTGTCAATCTGCAGAGGGGTCTCGAAAATACGCCTTGTCGACTTCGACTATGTGACATTGTCCTCGCTGAACAGGCATGCTGCGGCAGTTCTGTCCGACGTTGGAACGCCCAAGGTGAAGTGCATTGAGCGCACGCTGAAGCAGATCTCGCGGTGGATCGAGGTCGACTCCCGTGTTGATATCTGGCGAAAGGATCAGGGAGGGGAGTTGCTGGAAGGTGCAGACTGGGTGATAGGTGATTTTCTCAGCCTTGTTTTCAGCATATTGCTGACAGAAATTATTCAGACGCAATTGACAATATCACTACCAAGGTGGACCTGCTGAAATATTGTCACGACCATAACATCAAAGTCCGTCGCCATTCCACATACTTCGTAGGCGTGTCTTCATGTTACCACGCAGGTGTTCTCGTCAATGGGCTCAGGTGCCAAGTCCGACCCAACGCGCGTGCAGATTAGCGACATATCATGTACTATGTACGACCCGCTTGCCCGGTCTGTCCGCCGTGGTCTGCGATTGGAGGGTATAGCATCCGGGATCCCAGTTGTCTACTCCACGGAAGTTCCTGGCGATGTCAAGCTTCTTCCACTCCCCGAAGACGAGTTCGAGAAGGGAGATGTGAGGGAGCTGGGCGTCTTCGACGATTTTCGCGTGCGCATTATCCCAGTAATTGGTGAGCTATAAATCGAGATGGAAGCAGCAAGTGCTGATTTCTCCTGTATCTTCAGGCCCACTTCCTTCCATCTTTGGACTGAATATCGCGACATATATCCTATGCGAGCTCGCGGGGAAGCCGATCACGAATCCTCTTCCTGTAAAGTTCCGCAAGAAGCTGTACGAGCGCCTCTACCGTGAGCTCCTGCACCGAGAAGAAAAGCTCGCCGGGGAGCCAATCAAGTATGCATTCCTGCGTCTCTGACCTCGAATTACCTGACATCGCTCTTCCTCCTCCAGCAAATTGCCAATAGACGAAGACGACGTGGGACTCATTTTCGAAGACATCCACCGCGGACGCTCCGTAATCCCCCCATATCCCGTGCCTTCGCGCCCAACGCTTGTGCGCTGGGACCCTGCGCAGCCGCTTTCACTGGAAAATTGTGTACCCATGGAACACGCAGAGGCGGAGCGGCACGTTGCAGAATGCTACGGTGGTTCGAAGACAGCGGAGGAGTTGTGGGGCGCCCATGCTGCCGAGGTGGTGAGTCGGAGGAGAGAGGAAATTAGGAAGGTGCGGGAGTGGGTGCTATAATTACGGACTTGGATTCGTTCGGTCAAAGTTGCTATTAGTTATTCGCTCCTCTTGTCGAGAATGCGCACGTATGGAGCACAGAAAGCACCGGTAAGCCGACATTGGTGACGCAGGAACTGTCATTGGCGGAATGCTCATCAGTGATGATGATGAGGGGCATTTCGTATCAAAAGGTGGGTTATCCATCATTTGATTATTACTACTACCCTACACTGACTATCATCACTAGCACCCGTCTGACAAATTCACATAAACTGACAGCATAATAAGAGGAAGGGGGTGGATAACAACATTCCTGGGACGATAATGTGGTCTTCCATTTACAAGTAGTGTTAAATGCTCTCATGTACGCCGATCTCCAGCAAGTTACGATGATGGAGGACAGAACGTGACAGTATAGTCAGCCACAAGGCTGGAAGCGCAAGACCACAAAGCAGTACCGCTGCTCTCGTCGTAGGCATAGCAGTATGAGTTCGGACAGTTGTCCTCTGTCGCGTGGGCCCATTCAGTCAGTCACTCTGCACAACGGAAAGTAAGAAGCGACACTCACTAAAGTAGGAATAGTACTGAACGCCAGACGAAGGACATGTCGCGGCGGTGTCGTAATTACCGGTGCAGCAATTCGGAGAGTTACCTGCGATGTGCATTACGTCAATATACGATGAACAGATGAAAGCAGGTAGCTCATTTACTCGGATCACCGTCCAAGTTGGCTTCGCACGCGCTCTTGCATCCAACCGGGAATCCAGTTGAGTCGTATGGGCCAATAAGGGCCGCAGGACCTGCGCATTAGACGCGAAGGTTTAACTTCAAATATAAGGTGTTAGGATGCCAGCTCAGACGACGAACAGTTAGGTCCGAGGTCGACGTCGCAGTCGGCCTCTCCGCATCCCGCATTGTTGGTGATGGAGACGGGCAAGTTGTACCCGTCAACCAGCGATACTGATATGTACGCAGACGCAGTGAGTGGCAATGTCAGCGAGAACCTAATCAGGAGAGCTCACCGTCGTAATAATCGGCAGCGCCATTGGTACCCAAGGTGAACTCCGCCAGGGACGCTGGAGGAATACCCTATATATGTCGCCAAAGCGTCAACCAGTATATCGCAATGCAAATAAAGAAGACTAACGGTTCCTGTGGAGGGGTCACAGACTAGGCCGCCATTGCAACCGCCAGAAGGGCACTGAGTGGCTGGGTTGGTATCGCTGAAGTCGCAATCACGGCGACCCTTGACATTGGGAGTTAACAGATACACTGCAACATGATACGTCCGGTACTCACCCAAATACGGCCTGCGGTCCAGCCTTCGGGAACAGTAAAAGAGACAGACGTGTAAGCACCGGCTTCCCATCTTTGTGGCTCATAAATTAGTAGATTCTTCTTATGAAAACAATCCTGAAAGAAAGTGCTGTACTAACCCAGTGGTGTAATCCGGAGTAACGGATCCAGCACCAGTGAATATCTACATCGAACACAGAAATGAGACGGCGGAACAAACGGTCGATTGTGGGTCATGTATTCACAGCAGGCCTGCAGTGACATGGTCGCTCAATGAGTGGCGTAGAAGTGGGTGACTTTATGTGACGTACCATATGGTGAAGGGACAGCCATTGTAAACCGTGAACGTCCTGTCCGCGGCCGACAACAGAGCTGAAGCCAGAACGATGAAGACTGCCGAGTTCTTCATCTGGATGACTGATGGAAATTTGAGTATGGGAGTAATGCGATGTGGGGGCCTTGCGACCCCGACTATCCCCTCGAAGACATCTTTTATAGCTTTCGACTGGGACGGTCATATGGTCCAGGTCGAACGAGTGCAACCATGGGATCGCAGTATAGTTAGTTGATCATCTCATGATGACGGAACCCTTTTTTTCCAAAAAGGACCAGTGCAGCCGATGTCTGTGTAGAGCAGACCATGCGGGCCGCCGACGTTCCATTGTCGCGTAGACTGTAACGCCAGCGCAGATTCTGGACGCAGGGAGCCGCATGGCCGCACTTTGTCATAATTTCAAGGTCGTCCATGTGATGGTATGCATGACAATGTTGCAGGCGGAAGATGACGAGTAGCATCATGTCAGCTGAAGCCATCATATCAGCTTTCGGAGTTCAAGTTGCTATTGTGGGGGCATCGCAGGTTGTGCTCAGTCTTTGGTAACATATCAAGCGAAGAAGGCACAAGTGAAAGCCTCAAGATTCAAGCAAGCGAAGGTCCAATCAAGAATCCAAGGAAATCAGGAACCTTCTAAATGGTAAAGCAGGCCCGGCTTCTGAGCCCAGTCACGCCTGCAGAGTTAGCCAGCGGTTCCTTCGAATACAGCAGTTGCCAAATCTGGATAGATGATCTGACTGCGGCGCCTCGCAACATACTATTACCAGGTGGTCGGCCCAGCGCATCATAATCGATGATGATAGTTACTGACGAGCTTGACATCCAGAATCCGCTAACAAGCAGCGACAACATTGATCCGGGCATCTAATTCGTTCTGGAGGGCGCAACTTCACACCGTAGAGTGCGGTACTGGCTTGACATGATCAGGGTTTTGACAGCGTGGACACAAGGAGCAGCGGTACGAAGGTCGTCGTTCGACGTCATGTGTATCCCCAGAAGATTTTGAGGTTTGCCCACATGTGGTACCTGTCTCGCCTACACCAGGGCTGAGTCTCGGGTATTGGCTGGGACCGGACTTTCGAGATCAGCCTTTGACAACGAAACTGTTCTCCAGCCATCGTCATATGTTAGGGGCCAGACCAACTGAGTGTCATCTCGGCCAGATATCTTGTACCACATGGTCATCTGCAACATGAACTATCTCGTGAAGATTGAAGGTGAGGTTCGGCATCTTGAATATGATAGACACGCCCCACCATTAATCTATGTGAGGGGAGCCCTGAGAACGTAGTTGCCCTCGTATTTGGGCATCAGGTATGAGACAACCGTGGGCCTAAGCCATGGACGTTCATCATGGAACGGGCCCGAAGAAAACGTGCGTCGGATCAGCCCGAATTCTGGAGATGCTGAGCTATGACGTTTTACGGTGTGCCTCCATCAGAGATTCGAGTACGGTATGTCAACGATATATTAGTGATTATCCTAGGCATAAGGTCCGTCGAATCTGTAATTATTGCAGATTGCTGGACAAAGCAATATATAGGACAGTATGCTTGGTAGATTTCATCGGCACTACCGCAGTGCGGAACTCTTGCAAGATATGGCCACTGTACTCGGATGTCACGGCATTGTATCAACCACTATAACCGATAATCGGACGAGCAGCATGCACCAGCGCTGTAGCTGATGGTGAACCACAATATGTAAGATTCAGCTGAAGCAGTCCTGGCATGTCTATCGGAGTTGTGGTGCTCATCATTGCGGCATTCATGCTGCTGATATACAAATTTTGCCTGTGTTATGCAGGTAGGGCTTTCCTTTAGTGATCAAACAACGCAGAAGTGATGTCAGGCTTGCCGTCCATATGAGAAGAATCGGAAACGAGCCAAATTATCAGTGGCATCCTGAAAGAGAAAAGCTCTCGATCGGCATCCTTCTGTCGACTGCTACATACGACGAGCAAAATTATGATTCACTCTGAGTGAATGTATGAATGTTGCAGGCTGCTCAGGTTCCTCAATGCGAGGATGTTCGATAATCGGAAGCACAAATAGGATAGGCCATCAGCACTTACAACGTCCTGCTAGAAGGCCTTAGCAGCCAGGGCAAACTTACGAACTTAGGAGAGAGTTGGAAGTCACTCTACTAATGGTGAAATTCAGTGCTAACCTCCAACTCTTGTTTATTTGGCTAAAACGAGCACTGGACTCTTTTTGGAGAACCTTGCCAATGATTGTCATACCAGAAGGAAGGGTCTCAAACTTACAACAGTGCCGCAGGATAGAATTCTGACAGGATCATACAGCTAATTGATGAGAACGACAGTCGGACCAGCGAATACGTTACAGAGCATCGTTAGAGAATGAACCGGAGCATCTAGGACTGCTCGACACACGCAGCGTCACATCGACCATCGTTGCCTCTCTCACCGGCTGCTGCCGCTGGCAATTGCAGTGGCCTTCAGTGCCGCTCGCCTCTCTCTGATCTTAGCCAAAGCACTATTCTTCGACACTGGCCTCCGCGCAGTCGAGGAGTTCGGAAACACCTGACTACAGTTAACATCAGGGACAGACCGTCAAAGGGATAGGTCTACATCTGCAGATCATGCCCAACTCACCGGTTCCACCACAACAGAAGTTCGTTGACTTCTTCTTGCTCATCAACATCTTCAAACAAATCAAGAATCGAATTGTAAAAACGCTCTGAGTCGGTGGCTGTGTCTGTCCTGGAAAATACGGGAGATGAAGACAAAGCGAATCGAACCTGTCGCGAAAACAGTGAGAAACACGTCCGAACAAGAGGTGCTCATACCTGAGTGGCAACATAACCAATGGAAGCTGGGGTAACTTTAGTCATTCCATGTATACGCGCATTACCAGCTCGAGTAGCCTTCGGTTCTCTCTCGACAGAACTAGGCGACGTGAAGATATGTTTGTACACCTAATGCGTGTTAGTGTTCGACTCTATCTGGACGTGGTATGATATAACTTACCGAAACGAGAAGGCCGCTACGAAAAAGACCATTCCACGGGTCTTCCGCATCGTATATCGAGTTACGGTACAAGAAAATGGGCCATTGGTCACCGGAGATCACCGTTTCCCCATCTCGCAACAGCTGCTTAGTCCTACAATTGTTCGTGAGTGAAATATGAATCCACATCAGAGGAAGAACTAACTCATCGTTGGACCAGTCCATACCAGCTGGACATAACAAAGATCCAGTACGCTCGTGGTGGAATCCACGATCCACTTTCACATTACGTGAGAGCGGTGGATAAAGAGACTGACCCTTCGAAGTGATCCAATCCAGGATGGCGCCCTTCAGGCTTTTCGTGTCGTCGGACCTCGCACTAGCAGCACCTTTCTGTATCTGAGACCTATGAATATCCAAGCCCATCCAAAGAGATCCTGTTACGAACCAGACTTGCAACTACTGCCACCTCTTCTTCAGAGCCATTTATTAGGCGTTCTTCGAGACCTGGAATCATTTGAAGGAGCGTGACAAAAATTTTGTGCTCTCTTCTTTCTCTAGAGCTCTCATCGGCATCGAAGGAGGTTGAAACTGAGAAGTAATGTGACGAACTCGTTGGTGAACATATCCTCAGGTTGCTCTGCAAGTTCACTCATACGAAGAAGACCGTTAGTGATAAGTGCTTGCACATTTGTGAGTGTGTGCACAGTCCTGCCGAAATGGTGCCCATGGTGCACAAGAGGATCCGAAAGGCAACTGTTCGGGCATAGATAATTTTCATTCGTTGTACATCAGCAGAAACATCAGGTATTTTGCACGGCGCACGCACGCTTTTTTCCTCGGACCCATGTGAAGGGCATTTTCTCTTTCTCGTTGCCGAGTGGATGGGTCATGATCATCTGCCATGGTTTCCGAACGCGAGGGTAGACTGAGAGAAGGAGGTAGTATACGTCTAACTTAGGGCCTGTGCGACAACGCTGGCCTCTATATTGTACCGGTGGCATTTCTGGCTAATACCCATGGAAGCTCCCGATGCCTCTAGTTCACTTTGTTGCGAAGCCGCGTGCCGTCATGCACCGAGTAAACTAGCGACGTATGACCATAATCAGTGCTTATTTCGAACTTAATGCTGCATCGTAACCACACGAGGTGACCGAGGGACTACCATACCATTTGGATCAAAGCGACCGCGTCAGAGGTGAGAAGCATTAGAAAAGTTTACAGTGGCGCGTTTACCGCATATCACAGAGCCGCGATCGCCGTACCAACCTTGATAGCATCTGGCACGCACAGATGACAACGAGTTGACAGGCGAAGGAGAGAACCAATGAATCGGCACTGTCCTGCAATGAGCAAAACTGACTGCGACTAGAGGGACTAGATAGTACATGTTGCTGCGAGAACTAGTGGCATAGGTCTTTCCAGACCCTGATACTGCGGTGCCGTGTCAGGGCTGCGTGCTTTACTCGGCTAAGCACGACTGGGATCAATCCATCCGGACCTACGGCGAAGCTTCAGAGAGTATCGTCACGAGCTTGGCTTGGGAACAAAGACGCTGAAGCGCATCGCAGAGGCTACGGATTGATCGAGGTGTTTTCGAGCACTGGAAGCGTCTACAAGGACCAGATGCGTCTACATGGGCTGAAAGTGTCTGGTATCCATAACACAATGTCGCATTCACCGACGCTGTGTTGCAAGTTGAAGGAGACGCCTTCCGGCCAATCGCAGCCAGCGCACATAAAAGCTGGGCGAGAACTTGTTCTCCAGCCACAAACGTCCCCTCTTCGACCGCCGTTACTACCATGCCTGTCGAAAGATCTGACCCTAGAATCCGAAGGTACCTCCACCGTATTCGGATCTCAGCGAACGCTGTTTATGAGTATGACTGCAACAAGGGTGGCTTACGTGTGTGGTATTGGTGAGACGACTCCACGTCCTGATGCATGGCTTCGCTGAAACCAGACAATACCATACCAGGCCTGTCAACAGTGAAGGTGAACGTGTAACACCCTCGGACTTGGATGAACATCACAAGTCCCACCGCATCCATAATCCCTGCTGTCTATGCCTGTTGATAGCAGATGGACGTGAGGCCGTTGAAGCAGCAATCTTCGTCCCGCTCCGTGGGCGCGCAACAGGTGAATATGTAGCTGCGTGTGCAAAAAGCAGCTGTGGATACTATGGTGAATATACAGCTTGATTTCCAATAACTAAAGGCGATACTTAATAGCTGCAAACCAGTCCACTTGGAGCGGATCTATGCTAAGACTGGGCTTCCTATACGCTACTATCCTCCAAGGGGTGAGTTGGAAAGGTTCGGGCCTACGAAGCATGAAATACTCACCATACAATGTCTAGATGAGCTTGAACCTGTCCCTGCACCAGTCGAAATACACGCCAACGTACAGATTGAAGGTGAGTAAGCGATCAACCTTCATCGAGTTGCAGAGCTGACTCCAGAATGAGAGTGCCGTATTGCGGATGCGCCCCAGTGGACGCGAGGGCAATCCCATACCGAGGCGCTAGTCCAGCTCTTGCGCCTGAACTCCTCCGTTCGTCCCGGACTCGAGCAGGCTGATTTTGAGGCGCTCTTCTTGAAATGCACCTGCGGTTTGATCATGATGCGGATGGCGTTCTGCTACCACGAGTGTGCTGTACAGAAACATGCACATCAGGAGATAGCAGTGCAAGAAGTTATCGATCTTACTATCGATGACTCCGACGAGGATGCATAATAGATATCGTACCGATGCGTTGATGACTCAATGCGAGATGACTGTGAATAACTGTATCAGGAGCTGCACGGAACCAGATCAATACCGCCCAAAAAGTGAATTTTAGGCGCTCACCGTTGACCGCCACTCAGTTATGCCACAGACTCTGTTTTCCACGCACTGCGCAGCTGAACCTTGGCCTCGAAGCTTTGCATGAGGTCCTGACCCTCAGGTGGCTGGAGCTTAGCAAAGTTACCTGGAAGCAGTTCTGCGAAGATGTCCCCGAAGTCTCTGCGATGTATCCGATGAGCTGTCGATGGCAACGACCCAAAAAGGTGAGTGCGCAGTGACGCTCGGCTAACCAACAGAGGTGCTAAAGACTAAAGTAAGAATCGAACGGCAACTGCCGGCAAGGATTTGCGTGGCGTGATCGAATCGTAATCTAGATGCTTAATGTGCAAAGGTACAAGTAGGAAAGAATTATGGAGATCGACACAGTCAATTTATTCTCAATCATGCGCGCACATGATTAAATTTCAGTTCACAAAATTTTCCAAAAAATGCAGCGCTCTTCTTCACTTCCTCACCTCCTCACAAACGTCTCGAGCCGCCACTGGTAGAGGGATGAGAGCTCTCCCTTTAATCTAAAAACACGTCAGCTGGCTCCGGCGAGCTCTAGAGAAAACTCACATGTGTATATGGTCGGGTCGTAGTTGTGAAGAGTGCAGCTGCACTGTGTCACCAACCTGAAGCCCTTGCGGAAACTGAGAAGCGTTACCTTATGCCATGTAAATGCTCTCTCGGGAATTGTGCTGGGCGGACGAAATTTGTGAAGGGAGCCTTTTGCGGCTTCGACTTTGAAATTTATGGACTCAAATGCCTGCGCAATACAGGCTAAGTGCAACACAGAGTGGACTCAAAAGCAAGCATACCGATACTAGCTCACACCATCCGACGGATCCCTGAGCTTTAAATATGCATTTGAAAGTCTGCAAGGTGAATTCAGAGGGTACTGAGTCCATAGATCTTCAACTTACTGCATGATGCCGCCCGCTCACTACAATTGTTCGATTCATGGTCGATGGGTCGTAGACGAGAGAGGAGAAGAATCGAGTAGCAAGTAGAGGATAGGGAATGGACGCTGTATGTTCGGTGAGCGTAGACGGCCAGAGTCAAAGTCCGCCACGCGAGAAGTCTCAGCTCAGCTACCTGGGGCACACTTGCAAAAGGGTAACTTTCCCAGTGTCACATCGCAGAGACAACTTTTGTGGTATGTTGGACCAAGTTAGCCTAAATTGCTTTTATCCATTCACAAATTGATGTTCAGGCCCTGCATCTTATAGCCATGAACTCTATGAATTCCTACTGCGGTGTAAGGGGCCCTGCATTGTTTCAGTCAGATCTCTATAAGTAGCCATCAAAGGTTTAAAAACTCGCCATATAGGGCTGCATAGCTTTGGGGATAATACACTGTATACCTCGGGTGGTACATAAAGGGCACGTTATTCCTGGCGCGAGGACTGATGGCGTAGTTCAATACTGCACGATATTCGATATCAGGAACCCCAAGAGGAGGCCACAGGTTGCTCTGGCGATGCCAAAGCAGCTCTGTACGCTGTCGACACTTGAGGCAGCCCATCTAACACGAAATCTAGATGGCATTGACAAGCTGCAGCTGTAATTAGTATGGAAGTACTGATAGGGACTCAACCCACCAATTCTCGGAGGCAAGAAGTCCCAAAGTGGGAATGCCGACGAAATCGGCCACCAGCCCCTGGAAAGTGATCTCGTAGCTAGACCATGGCGGGATAGAAGGCTGTACGATGCTAGGATAAAATGCTATAGAGAATGAGAGGTGGGTGGGTAGAAAGGGATGCGACCGGAACGGGAAGGGGCGGCAGAAGGACTCAAGTGAAGGAAACAGGTGAAACCCGCGGACCCGACACCACTTGTAAAGTCGGCGCAAAAGTCAACTTTTGGTTAGCTCCATTTAGCCACTCATCTTCTTAATTAAGGAGGTCCTCTTCTTATTTGGGCAATTAAAGCCAATAATGGGCCCTTATTTTTCCTTAATCAAGGAAATAACACCAGTAAGCAAAAGTTGACGTAACCGGCGTCAATTGTCCGGCTCGCAGGCGCCCATTGAGGGTTTCAACAGCTGGCCTGTGAACGAGCTGGGCGAAGTCCTGAAATGGGGCCAAAACAACGACAGCATAGATCCGGCACGAGCATTGCCCAATGGTCTGCCTCAGCATACTCAGTTGCGTAGTCATTCCGGGGAGTGAAGTGTGCGCGATCACTGCACGTGCCAAAACATGTCAACAATGCATCAACAAAGAGGACACATCAACAGCGCACAACAAAATTTTACGGTGGCCGGCTTGCCTTAAATTCACCACCCTTTGCTTGCTCTCTCTCTAACTTTCACCCCCGCGTGGCCCCGCCACTGCGATTGTCCGCCCCCATCTTGGCGTCTTCTCGTTCAGTACGTCCATCTCCTCTCGGGGACTGTGCTATCCAATGGGTTCGAAGGAGACCTATATCGCCCACTGGATGGCGCAGTTTCTACCATTCATATCCGCCGCTAGCACGGAGTCTGCGCGGACGGCAGGCTGCACGAGTTTGAAGGAGACCTGTATCGCTCGTGCTGCCTGCGGCCTGCTTTCTGCCGGCTGCTTTCTGCAAAGGCCCGTTGTTCGACCCATGCGGGGGCTGATACTGTGCGCCACAGAGAAAAGTGTCGCCAGCATGTCTTTGGTGGTAAGCCTGCTCACTTGCCAGCAGTTTCTCCCTACTGACCCCCTTCCATAGGCCGGCTTGGACTACTGTGGGAAAGCCTCCATGAGAGAGCACCTGGAGGCGGTCTGGGGGGCAGAAGGGGGCAGGGGTGAAGGCCCGGACCACGCCACTCCCGCCGTTGCTCTGCAGGGCCTGAACAGGTATGCTCTGTTCACTTTCCATCTCAATGCGGCACTACTAACCTTGGTTGCAGCCCGAGCGATGGCTCCAATGGGGGCTCTCATCCACGGGATATATCGAACACCGCACCTGCCTTGTGCGACTTCACGCAGGCAGAAGCCGCTCTCCAAGTTTGTGCTGAGGGCCTGGGCCCTGGTCGCAATGCGCGCTGTCAATACTACTTTGAGAAGAGGACGGCCGCTCGCGCCACCGCTCGTGCCAAAAAAAAGAAGGCCAGTGCAATACACGTCCAGAGCATGGCCTCTCTTTCCCAGCAGAAGATGCCCGGGGGTTACATCGGCAGTCGCATCAAATCCGAGCGCCCACCCCGGCGAAAAATCATCGGGTGTGCTAATGGGTGAGCGTGCACTCTAGGGCCCTTTGGTGCAACTGAGCTCACATCTGAGGCAGAGCGGCTGCGTACATCTGTGACTCAGAAGGGAGGCTCATCATCTACAGGTCATTCGCAGGGCCGGCCACTGTCCGCGCCAACTCTGCGGCTATGGCTGCTGTAGAGTACCTGCAACACAGTGGCGTCAAGCCGACATATTCCAGCTCCACTCGAGGAAACTTCCTGCAGTATTATTTTACTTTGCATCGGGACAATCAGGTGGTGAGCACTTTCCTTTGTGGGCGTGAGCTTCCTGTAACTGACCATAGCGAGACAGAGGCCACGCATGTCTCTCTACTACTTAAAACACATCGACGTTGTGCGCGAGCTCGGGAATCTCCTCAAGCCAGTGGTCGCCCTCATAAACGGTGAGTTTGAATGTCACTGCCGTATGCATGGCCTAACGTGCAGGCCATTCCAGGTATCTTCAAGTCTCGATTTCCCGACCTATATGCCCATTACGCTGCCACTCTCGACTACGTTCTGGAAAAGGATGCAGGCCTGGAGGCCCTGTTCTACCCATTTGCATCATTTGCCCTCAACGCCGGCATCGTAGTCACCTTGCCCCATCTCGACTCCACCAACTATGGTCCCGGCTTGTGCTGCATCATGCCGTATGGAACATTTGACCTTGCGCAAGATTGTCGAATTGGCATCGCCAAGCTTGGCTATGAGATCGAGGTAGGCCCCGGAGTGCCTGTGTTCATTCCATCGGCGATGTTTACCCACTACAACACCATCCTGATCTCCAAGGGGATGCGAGGGTCTCTTGTGTTTTGGACTGGCGGCTCAATATTCCAGTGGGTTGAGCTAGGTGGCAAAATGGTTTCTGAGCTTTCTGGTCCTGAGCATGAGGTGTATATCAAAGGCCTTGCTGCTCGAATTTTGGCCGGTCTTGCTCGGTTCCCTATGCACATGTAGCGGCACGGCGTACATTAGAAAGGTTTTAAAACGTTTGCGTGGCGACAGAATTAATAAACAGCCCTCTGCCTACTTATAACTTGTGTGTTGAACATAGAACGGTGCCGCTATAGCCAGCCCGTCCTCACCTCTTGCGCACTACCCTCGCCCCTTGTCCTCCAACGGCCCCAAGACACTGCTCTTTAACCAACAATAGCGCCAACTGTGCCGTGGCTCTGTTCTGCCAATCCTGGACTAATTTTGGAATCTGAGGTCGCAGCGTGAAGAAATCTTCCGCGGTAATGTTGACTGAGCCATCAGCATGTCACAGTAAGAGAGCAAAGCGATTATAATACTCATTAATTGCGCTCGGAGGGAGGAGTGGGTGGGTGGAGAGCGAGTGGGTGGAGAGTGGGTGAGGGGGTTAGAGATGAAGGGGGCGGAATACGTGGAGTATATGTGACGAGCAGGCACTGCGCGTTTGCTCGTTCAGAGCCCACAAGAAGCACCGGCTAAGTGTGGAGTTCAACTAGACGTAGTGGCCTCTACTCGCCTTCTATCGCGATCGTTCCACCAATTAAGGAAACTGTAGAGATCTCACTGGGGCTGGCATCACTCTACATCGCCTGTCTTCACCTGTTACGATGCCGTCCGGACATCTTTGAGATGCTGCTTGGTTCCAGAAGGCATATTGGTTCTTACATTCGTCTTTGGGGAGTTGGTAAGCATACGGTTCTCATTGCGAGTCGCTTGGTCACTCACCTCCATAATCAACACAGAGCAGTTGAGCTGAAGTCAAAATGACTGTGACTAACGGTCACATCCTATTTTCTGAGGTAAAAAATTTGCCAGTATTACATGCTACCTAAGGCTCGACGTGGGCACTGCCATGTGGTGTTGTCTCACACACACAGCATCGCAAGTGTGTGCTGTAATGTTTCTCTTCTGAGACCCTCAGCAAACTACAGCCATCTGTCAGCCTTCGCGATATCATTTGTTTAACTGGCATTCTCGAACGTCCCGCAGGTGCAAGGCAGCGATGCTCGTACCCCATGATCCGGATGCCAAGCATTTTTGACCTCATAGACACCGTGTGCTGTTTCAATTGTCTACTTTTAACCCCACAGGTTCTGGTGCCGGGTAAGCCCTTGTGCTTCTATGAATGGGAAATGAGCCCATGCGTAGCTGACGATCGTGTCCGCCAACCACCCTCCTGTCTTCCACGGTCAGTTCACGAGTGTCATTGTAACATTGTCTCGATTTTTGGAAGCGGCATGCGTGGCCAAACCTGCATTCGTGGTGATGTTCGCTTTTGGGCAACTCGCAACAAGATGCCGCTGGTGCCTCCTGGTATATATGGTGCAGGTGAGATCCTCTTCCGAGCCATCCCCTTTCCACAATGGACCCCACTGCAGTTGATTGGGCGTCAATACTCGACCAAGCCAGAGGTCACTTCAATCTGCCACATCCTCGCAAGTATTTTCCGTTTCAAATGTTTGTATATTATTACTGACTATGCTCTGTCAGTGGGGCATATGGCACAGGCTTTGCATGTCAACCCTGAACACCTCGCTCTCCACCCGGCTAATCAAGAGCCCGACGTTTCCTCTGCGGTATCGTACTCTGCTACAGAGTTTTTGGCTGCTCTTGGCCCGGGAGCTGCCGCTGGCACCTCTCCTTTTGGGGCTGCCGGCGCCCTTGCTGGAGCTGGTGGCGTCCCTGGCACCCTGCCGGGTGTCCTCACACAGGGGCCTGCTTTCGCTGTCGCCCCGATTATGGCTCAGGGAAACTACCCCGGGGTGCTATTGCAAGTCATTTTGACCGCACAACCAGCATCGACCGAGCTTCAGCCCATGGTGCCCATGGGTTTGCCCGACCTCACGATCGGCCAACACTTCCCACAGGGAGTAAACCCTGTTGCAGTAGGCTCCATCTATTTCCAGCCGCTCGGGCCTAATGAATCGCTGCTGGTCACCCCCTCACCTGGTCCGGTGTTGGACCAGCCGTCCAGGATGTCCCAGCTAGAGGACTGGGCCCCCGTTTTGCACGGGGTTGCATATGAGGCTCACGACGTGTTACTTGGGACCATCTTCGCTGATGACAATAGCGATCCCTTTGCAACCGGTACCCCTGTACGCTCGACTGCACGCGAGACGTTTCTTGACATTAGGGCATGCTTCGAGGATCAGGAGTTGCGGAAGAGGAATCCGTTATCACGCCGCCTTCCCGAACAGTGTAGGTGCATTAGTTAGTGATACAAATTTCTTGCTAATGTATTAAAAGAACTCCAGATTGGGTATCCGATGACATAGTGACCCTCGTAAGCCTATTCCACTGCACCTCTGCTAGTACTTATTTACCTTCGCAGATAGCAGACTCCCTCGGCAACTTCAGGTCTCGGCTGAAGGATCTCGCACAGAAACTCATCGACATCGACCCTATCAACGACCGCAACCCTCTCCCCGTACAGATGTATAAAAGTTTTTATCTGCACGCTCCCGACATCAACGCAGACAGTGATGGGCCTGCGCCTCCATCCCTCGTTCGCCAAAGAGCCATAACTTTGAGGGAGCACGAACTGTTCATGCACCGTGGCACCGCGCTACCGAACGTGAGATGGCACCTTATTCGCTGAGGATACAGGCTAACAGCAGGGTGTAGGGCCGATTCCAACACGACTATAGCAACCCGGTGCTATTCCGCTTGGTAGAGAGAGCATTCTATGAGGGAAACACCTTCGGCGGCCAACATTCACTCGCCCGGGCAATTGACGCAATTTATAGAAAGTACTTCCCGAACGTCCCGGACGAGGAAGTACCTTTCTGCACATCCATCCCAATCACCACCATCACCCTATGCGCCACTGTAGTGAGTTAACGCCTTCATTTCGTATGATTTGACTTCTGATTTAGGAATAAAGATTGCGAACGTGCTTGATCAACATTGCAAAACCGGCTTCTTCGACCACATCCGCTTTCACCGCGATAAATACCGCATGTTATTTACGGACATTCACAACGAGCTCTATCTGGCGCTGCAGGACCCAGCATTCGGCCCTGTTTATCGTGATTTTTTGCAGCAGCATGCTGAGTCGTAAGCCCGTTCCTCCTGCACCAGGGCTATTGGTATTAAACCAATGTTTTTGCAGGTTCCTTCGAGGCCGCCTGTTGCCAGTACCGGGCGCTGGCGAGGGGCTGTAAACATGTTCGTTCCGGTTTGCCTCTCTGTCCTCATGCGGTGTATGTTAGTCATGGCGGGTCTCTCGTGTTGTTGAACGTGTACAATGTATCCATGCGATGAATGTTATTTTGGACGCAATACAATGTGAACGGGTTGCGACAAGTCACTTGAACTAGACTGATGCCAGGTGGTGGAACAGTCGTGGAAGCCTGGATTTGTAAGTGGCATTCGCCGGCATCTGAGCAAGGCCAAAGCCCTCCAAAACTCCGAGGCCGTACGTTCGTATAAAAACCCGCTGCTCACTGCTTCCTCCCTACCTTGCGTGCCAGAGCAGGTTGCTCACATTTCTGTACATAATTTCTGTTTTCGTCTGACCTGAGTGTTCGCTAAGCTTATCGTGATGACATCTGCACCTAGAGAGCCCTCCCGCATACCCACTGCTGTCCGCAAGTTGCTTTCCTCAATGTCGCGCTCTCAGCCCACGCTGACATTTTCACCCACTTTCACCTCATTCGTTTCCTCAGTTCCACAATCTAACACCCACACCACCAGTCACGAGCTAGTTCCCTCTGCAGCGAGTGCCAAACTGGTCCCTGAAATTGCGCCGACGAGCACACGTGGCTTGGAGAGTAACATGCACTACCCCACCAAAGGCAGCGTTGCACCCGCTGTCCCATCGTATGATGCGGTACGAAGACTTCACTAATGGCACTATATGGCATGCGCTGAGCATATCATTAGACCCCGGTTGTCCGTGAATTAATGTCTACAAGGGGCTTCCCAGAGAGGGCAGATGATGCGGAGTGCCTCCTGGCCCTTGTTCGCAGGGCGCGGGACCATTAGAGCCACTTGAAGAGCACCATGGAGGATGCTGTTCGGTGCAGTCTCATACAACTGCATCTGTATCAGGCGGAGTTGAAGAGAGTGCGAAGACAATTGGTGGAGGCAGAGAGGAGTGTCGGAGAAGTTCGCACCTGGATCCGCGACAGAGGCATTCCAGTTGGTGTGGCTCTGATGCAGGCAGGTATCATGGATTAGATTGAGGAAGACCTTAGCGATGATGATAGGAGCGCGTTCTAGTTTCTTTCACCGAGTTCTTACCCTCTATTGACCCTCAACTTCAGCTCGTTTACTACTGATACCTCTGATTGTTTTGATACAGGACATATGACTGATTCATGTAACTATACAAGTGTTGCGAGCGAACTGGACGCACCTGTGGCTACCTCTGAGAACCTGACGAATCCCGTGGGAACCGCCCCAGAGGTGTGGCACTCAACCAGAGAGCTTCAGCAGGCAGGTGAATGACGGGTCTCATAAAAGGTCTGATACGGGGTAAGAAAGTCAATCGTTGTTTATCCCATCGTTCGCAGCTGTTTGATCATGTCCTCAGAGTCAGACATTCGAGCTACAAAACCCTCTTTCTCCACTGGGGTGCACAAGAGACGGAAAGGAGACTCCTCTGAGGAAGAGGACAGTGGAGGTTCAGCGACATGATTTGTTCTCGTTCATTCATTTCGCTGATTAATACAGTCGGTGGCGTCATCCAGTTTCAAAGCGAGAAGCTGAACGGATTGCATGGCCCTGCAGGTATATGCTCTCTTGAGCCACAGTGCGGAGAGGACTTATATGTACAGAAGAAGCTACAAGTCGGGATGCGGAGAAGATAGAATGTGGAGTGCAAACTGACCCCTCACCAAGCATAGGTCGGCTGGTTGTATACAGTTATGTTGCGATGCTTATGCCGGTTTGGGAATATAGGAACTGGGAGTTCTGCAGCCACCGACGTCCCGCCGATACCAGAGCAGGTTACTGCATTACAAGCAGAGATCGACTCTTTGAATGCTGAAGTTTTCTATTATCGCGATATGTGGTTGAGTGAAATTCGGCACGCAGAGCTTTTGGCACGTCTTGTGCCCGAGGACACTGTAGTCTACTATTCTCAGGCTCGAGGTGAAGAGTTGTCCCCATCTCCTCGTCGTAAGCAGGCCTTCGGTTGCATCCATGTACCTTTGGACTCATACACTTTAAAACAGATGATTTTGTACGTGCCGGTGAATCATAGCTGGCGGTCTACACCGGCATCATTCAGCCTGGCATTTGTAATGGATATCATGTTTATAGCCATTTTGCGCTGTAATCAGAGATTCCATCGGATTGAAGAATTGTCGCATGACTGCACATTGAATCTGTCGCACTGTCAGGTCTCACGGCAACCAAGACATGTGCAAGGACACTCTTCTATATCGACATGCAGCGTTGATCAATTGGTTTCAGATATATCCAGTGAGCTTCCCATGGCAAGTCTCTACTTGGTCCGACATAAACGAGACGACCAGGTGAATTATTTCCTACAGCTGAATTATGTTGCTCTTCCCTTGCTTTCATGGAGTCCTATGAGAACTGCGTCTGTGGCAGGAGCTTTTCGCAATCTAGTGCATTTTCGCATCATCAGAGAGCATGCCAGAAAGCTAAAAAGCGACTCTCTGATGCACTGCTCAAGGCGAAGGAAACATGGTCTTCCAGGAAAAAGTGTAGGCTTGAAATTTCGAAGCCTGCAGAGGCACCAGCATCAAGTTCAAATACAGTGCTCGTGCAGGTACGTACTATTATCAGAAAGTTGGGAGGTTTTTATGTTGACAATGTCACGTAGCCAACACAAGTGGGCGGAGAGGATGCGGACGCCGTGAACCTAATGCCGGTACGGTCTATTACTGCAATAATCGCAGGGGGCCTTTGCATTAACTATCCGGCGTAGCCCGTGCCAGAAGTGGGCAGAGAAGATGTGGACGATTCTAATCTTTCACTATTGGAATGCTGACCCTGGTCTCACAGACTCAATCAGCGCTTGCCTCGACGGTTCAGAGATTTACTTCCTGAACCTGCCCCATCTCTTCCCCCTTCGTCGGTTTCGCCGCATAAGCTTTCTCCGTTATCAGAATCGACATCTACTTCTTTGATGGAACATCCAGTGAACGCGATGTCTCCACAATCTCATTCAGCTATCGAGTCATTGGCTCACAGAATACAAGGGTTCTTGACAACACCGCATAATAAATTTGGTTTGTTCCATCGATACTGGACAAATGCTCTTCCTTTGCACGATCTGGAGGAGCTGCTGTCGTTGGAAGACCTGTCTGAGTCTCCGGGTGCAGCTGAATTTGCTAATGATACTTTCCAGCGATACTTTCCATATCCAAATGCAACGTCCTTCCGTCTCAGCGACTGGTACTGGAATGGGGGCGTGCAGAAATCTCAATCAAGCTTCAAAGCATTGCTGGATATTATCAGCGATCCCGAATACGATCCTGCCGATGTTCGAGCTGCGCATTGGGACGATATCAACAGGCAGCTTGCTAGTGACCAGCCCGGAGAATGGGCGGATGACGATGCCGGCTGAAATCACACTCCCGTGACTATATCGGTACCATATCATCGTCAACGTGGTGTCTCGATGGATCCCCAAAATGGACCCAAAGATTACGCGGTTGTCGACTTCCATCATCGCAGCTTGTGCGATATTATCCGGGAGAAAATTTCAAACCCAGTGGACGCGTTGCATTTTCACTACGAGCCATTTCAGCTACTTTGGCAGCCCGGAGACGTTCCAAACCCCATCCAAGTTCACGGCGAACTTTATACGTCACCAGCATTTATCGAGTCCCATCACGAGCTGCAAGACTCCCCTCCCAAACTTGGTTGTGATTTGCAACGTGTCATCGTCGCAATGATGTTTTGGTCAGATGCGACGCACCTGACTAGCTTTGGAAATGCCAAACTGTGTCCCCTCTATCTGTTCTTCGGAAATGAATCCAAGTATCACCAATGCAAGCCCTCATGTCACCTGTGTAATCATGTTGCATATTTTCAGTCGGTTTGTATCATCTCCCTGATTATGAATTAAAAATGTACTGACATATATAGCTTCCGGATTCCTTCAAGGATTTTGCATCTGGCCAAACTGCTGACGGCCATATGCCAAATGCAGCATTCTTCACCCACTGTTATCGCGAACTTACCCATGCTCAGTGAAAAATTCTGCTCAACAATGAGTTCCTCTATGCCTGGGAGCATGGAAAAGTAATCACATGTTGTGACGGGGTTCAACAATGCTTTTATCCTCGCATATTTACATATTCTGCAGACTATCCTGAGAAGTAATGTTGAGTTCTCATCCAGTGATCGATACTGATGCGATTTCTACAGGATACTTCTTACTAGTATCCGAAACATGGGCCAATGCCCTTGTCCCCGCTGTCTCATCCCGCTATCTCGTGTTCACAACATTGGGAAGGCAATGGATATGAAACAGCGTGAAATGTTGGCTCGGAAGGACGATGCTCATCGCCGGCAGACTATCGCTGCCGCTAGGTCACTAATCTATGAAGGAAACCTTCAAGTCAACTGCGCAGCCGTCGAAAACCTTCTTCGTGATAAATCTTTTGTTCCGACTGCGGTATGCAAGCTTAACGACCCACTCATCTCCCTGATTCACTCGTTTGTACACAGAAGGCATTTTCGGACCGGCTCTCTCCGTTCGGATTTAACATGTTTAAGATGTTTGTGGTCGACTTGATGCACGAGTGGGAAATTGGAACGGGACGATCTATTTTCACCCATTTACTTCATATCTTGGAGTCAGTAGATGGCACACTTCTCGCTGAGCTAGATCATCGGTGAGATACTCCTATAAAACCGGCATCGCGCGTGACTTACATCTTACAGTTTCAGAGCAGTGCCAACTTTTGCTGGAGCTATACGGCGTTTTTGTCGAAACTGCTCCGAAATGAAACAAATGGCAGCACGAGATATTGAAGATATTTTGCAGGTTCGTGTGATCAAGCACTTCCCTCATGTATCTGCTTAATTTATGTCCGTCAGTGTGCCATTCCTGTCTTTGATGGTCTTCTTCCAGAGCCACATAATGGACAGGTTCTCAAACTCCTATTCATCACTGAGCATTGGCACAGTTTGGCCAAACTGCGTATGCACACCAATTGTACTCTCCAGCTTCTGGACGATGTCACTGTCTCATTGGGAGACATGCTGCGTCATTTCAGTGAGCAAACGTGCAAAGCCTTTCCAACGAGGGAGCTTCGATGAGAGGCGGAAGCTCGGGCTCGCCGTGAAAGTAAGAAGATGGCAGCGCGGGCAGACGAAGCTCCTGTGTTTCTGAGATCCGGCGGAACTGCTCGTAGGCCGAAGGCATTCAACCTCGATACTTACAAGGCCCACGCACTTGGTGACTACCCTGCAACTATCAGATGGCTTGGCACCACAGATTCATACTCGACGGAGCCGGTGCGCATCCGACCACAGTTGCTTGAATGTCGATATTAACACATGGGTGCTTTTTTTCCAGGGAGAGCTTGAGCACCGCACTTCTAAGGCGCGGTATGCTCGCACTAGTCACAAGCAATATATCAGACAAATTACCCAGATAGAGTGACGTCAAGCGCGAATTCACCGCATTCAGGAACGGTCCCAGAAGAAAGTCAGGCACTACCAGGATGAAGGAAGTCTTGATGCAGTGGATGTGCATTATGCGATGGGAAAGTCACAGAATCATCCTGTGTATATTCCAGATTTTGTGCGCAGAAATACAGGCGATCCAGCTACCAAGGTTCCGTGGTTTTCTTTATTTTAGAGGTACTGATACTCATCCATTTTCAGGATTTTGTTGCGAAGCTGAAGAAACATTTACTCCCACGCATCAAGGCAATGATAGGCAGAGAGGCAACATTTTCTGGTCAAGAACAATCGCCCTTGGTACCTGTGATCGAGAACAATTCCGCACGCCGCGACCATGATTCTGTGTTCTTCAAAGGCGACCACATGTACGAGCACCATATCCTAAAGGTCAATTATACAACATATAATGTTCGGCGATCACACGATATCATCAACCCTTCTACGGACAATCAGGACATCTTATTGCTAGCCAGGTTTGATGATCCCGAAGATGCCACTTCTATGCACCCATTCTTGTATGCGCGCGTTCTTGGTATCTACCATGTCAACGTTGTGTATACAGGGACTGGCATGGCCGATTACACTCCACGGAGACTGGATTTTCTCTGGGTGCGATGGTTCCAGTACGTCGGAGATTCGACAAATTGGAGCCAACACAAGCTCGACACTGTTGAATTTCCCCCGATGGCAGACGAAGAGACTTTCAGATTCATCGATCCGGATGACGTTCTACGTGCCTGTCATATTATTCCAACCTTCAAAGGAGGGAAGATTCATGCGGATGAGATTGGTCTCTCACACTGTGCTAACGATGCGGAAGATTGGCGATTTTACCATGTTAATAGGTGCACAAAGTTCAACTTCCGTGGCTGAAATGCTCTAACCACAGCGTGCAGATTTGTTGATTGGGACATGCTGATGCGCTACCATCGAGGCTTAGGAATAGGACATGTTCACGCAGATGGTCCTACGCCAATTGTCTTGAGTGCCGTTTGCACAAATCCTCTTGAAGGTTCCAACGACATTTCCGACTCAGGAATGAGCGTCGATGTCGAGGGAGATGGACTCTCGTCTGCTCCACCAGATGGTATCTTACAGGCTGAGGGGGAAGACTCCGATGATGACAACCTGGAGTTGACTCTTGAGAATTTGGAGGATGACATGTGGGATTCGGACAGTGAGGACAACGAAGAGCCAGAGTTGGATGACTCTGATTCTGAGGAGATGTGACCAGAGTCTGCCATGCTGCACAAGTCGCGGTTGAAGGCCGCTTTGCACAACTGCATTAGACGATCCATCGAAAAAGGCCTCTGTAGGTTTGCAGATCCTTGCGGCAGTCAGAGACTCACGCATCTTTACAGCACCTTCCCATCCGGGCCTTGGTGACTGTACATCCGAGCATAGCGCATGTCGCGAACATCCATCTTCTTCCACTGCCGAACATGGTTTGTCCTACTGCTTATTCTTTGTTCGAAGTGTCTGACATCCTTCATTGGATCTAGATCACTTGCTTAGGGGTTCATCGTGCAACTCGGCCTCTATATGCCCATGTGTTTATCCTTCTTGCTACTCAGTTCTTTTTGCTGTTGGCCTTCCCAATACTGCCTGCATCATCGCTGTTGATGTAAATGTCTGCATGCTCCAGCGTGTGTCAGGGCATTATTTCATCATGTTGTACATGAGCTATCTGGAGTGTAAACGCATCCTCGATGCGCTCAAGATTTATCAGAGCGGCGGAAGAGAATACCCATATATCTACCATTTATCGCAGGGTTTTGTGTATGAGGACATGATGCCCTTGTCCGACTCGGGCCGAGTTAACGGCGACAGAGTGCGCCGCATTTAAGCGCCCGCCCATCGACACAGCGCACATCGGCGCAGCCCATCAGAGTTTTGGCCTTCATACGTCTTCAATTTATCCACAGCTACCGCTTCAGCATATCCTCTGCAACTCAGCTAATCATGCTATAATTCGGGACGCGTCAGGGGTTGAGGTATGGAAATAGACCCCTCAGGCTCATGCCGGTAAGCTCGATCTTTCGACGAGCCAAGCCTGGCACTTGCGGGCTTGATTTTGTGCTACAGGATTTCCTCATTTCCTTCATATTCACAGATGATCACAACCGTTCTTGTCTCCCCGCTAGCTCCCCAGTTTCTATGCATATTCCACACACTGCGACCCTGCCCACATGGGCGTTTTGGTGGTCTCCGTACGGGCAGGTCCATCCGTTGTAGTGCCATGTCTAGCTGCGTGTGTAAACCCAATATTGGGCGGGCGCATGTCAAACCAGACTTGGACATCATGGATAAACTTGAACTTTGATTGTCGGTGCGCCTCCGGCTCTGAAAATGCAAAGTCGAACACCCATATTAAAGGGCTGCGGGCATCTACGTCCGATTTGAGGCCGTGCTCTACGCTATACAGGTGGTCGAGCTCTTCAACTTCGCTGGAAGTCATGTTATTCAAAAATCCAGGAGCATGGGCACAGCTTTGCAGCACCATGTCGTGTCATCAGCCCTCCATCGGGTGCCTTTATCTATGTAGAGCACCCAATTCGAGCGAAATTTCGACTCCAACGCTTTTGTGAAGGGAACTGGTGAGCAGAAGATCTTCCATGTGAGTCATTCGTGTAGTTTGAGCTTGTCCTTCACTGACATGTGCTTTACCCTGGGTTGTGCAGCGCAACATGCGATGACTTCTGACTTCTTATTTGGGCAGTGGAGAAGACTCATCCGACAAGGAAATTCGCAATTCGTATATATTGTACGAGAGCCGATCGGCCTCGCGTACTAGAGACCTATACCGGGACAGAGACACTCACACCGTGCTGCACATATACGACAAGTGGTTCATACACGGCGGCGCGAATTTACACGCTGATGCCACTATACTAATATACTGGCTCTGCAGAGACGCATTCAGCTGCGGGAGAGGAATCAGGAAATCTGTCGGAAAGCACCTATGTGGCCACGAACAAGCTATCAAATCCATCGTTTGTGTGTCGCTGGACACAATCTCGCTTGGGGCAGACTACAAGGCGGTCGGGCTTGTTCAACCGATCACGAGACTGCCCCAAAATAAATAAAAACCTGAGTTCTGAACTGAGTACGAGATCACGAGTATGTCCTACTCAGTCTCCGAGAGACTAGATTACCACTGAGGTGTGTCTGACAGAGCCTTTCACCGAGCATGATACAGTGGAGTGCAGGCACCGGCAGATGGCTACAGCGTGGAGTGGACATCATCAGTATGGAGGTATCCCTTTGGAGATTCCAATGATACGCGAAAGCGTCACTGAAGAGCCAGTAGAACAGGAGGCGGAGGAGGAAGAGTTGCTCCCGCTCGAGCTGGAAGAGCCGACGCTGCGCCCGGAGGATATTTCTCTTCCACGTCGACATGCAGCCCTCCGTAGCTTCAAGGAACTTGGAAGTTGTTGGAAGCGGAATCTGAGACCCCAAAGTTTTGCCTGTCCCTACTCCTTCCACCGAACTCCCAAGTGCTGAACTACTGTCTTCCACTGAGTCGATTCCTTTCCCGTCTCCAATTCCTCCTTCAGAATCGTCATCTCATCTCAGCATATCTCTGTCGACTCTGACAAGTCCTACAGAATTCTCTGTGATGCCTACACCTTCTAGCATGCTTGCACCTACAGTTCCGTGCACAATTGAGTGGCATCCAGCCCTGCAATTCAGTAGTCTCTCTGGGGACTCCCTTGATCTGCCGGAGGGCCTTGATAATTCCTTTGAACCAACCTTCTTGCGACCGAGCGGATCAGTCTCCCCCTCTCAAGGCTTCACTCGCCGTCATTGACACCCACGCCGGCTAACGTGCCGCTCTCTCCGGGTGTTCCATCACCTACTCCGATATCCCCTGAGCCACCGCTGATCCTTTCGCACACTCCTTGGTCCGTATCGTCGATCTCTAGTTCCTCAATATCTGATGCCCTGTCGCTGTTGGAGGTGTCATCCATTGTGAAGCCCTCCATTATCGCACCTTCGACAGAGCCATCTCTCCTTTCTACAGCTCGCTCTCCATCACCGGTCCCAATGAGAGCGGTATGTAATCACGCATCTGCTTTTCGCTCTTGACTGATCCTCTTTTCAGGTGTCGCCACGTGAAATACCCCTGCCGCCTTCGCCTTCACTGCCATCCATTACGATGTGTTAGCCTGAGCACACCCCACCACGAGGCGTCTTCTGTGATGTCGACCATAGAGACGATTCCATCCGAGGCTCCGGGCACGATTTACTGTTTGTTGCAATATTTGCATGATGCTGACACAGTTAAAGGAGAGGAGAACAGAGAGTTAGCGGACAATGTTCAACAACTCAGGGAGGATGTGGCAGACCTCGCGGACTACCTTCGTCAAGTTTGTCCTCATTCGGAGACCCCCCCCCCCCAGTTCCTCACAAGGATAGATCGGTAGAAGGGAGTAGCATTATTTCCTTTCCTCGTTCGTCAGTCGAAGGCATTGTGGTTCCTCCTCTGCCCTCAGCAGCTAGCCCAGGCATAGTCGTGTCTGCTCCATGACCAGGTCCAACAGAACCACGAGATCTCACCAGAGTCGGTGTGAGGGTCACAATTGTACCTGAAGACCCTGTGAGGATTTCGTCCCCAGAGTCATCTGAGAGTGGTGTTTTGTCCTTCCTGTCATCTCATCATTCCAATGATCTTAGTCTTCTCGAGTTGGAGACGTATCCGATGCGCGTCCCATCACCATCCTGGCCGTCTGATTCCAGTCCCTCCCCAGAATTATCACTACGTTCATCATCGGTGTCAGTGAGACCTCAGTCTTCATTAGCGTATTCGTCCGATGTTAGCGAGCCTGTACCAGAAGCGTTCCCTGCTCCTATGCCATGGCTTCATCTGCGACACCGCCACCCTCATCTCCTACGCCACCTCCATCGTCTCCATCTCCGTCATCATCATCCAGTGGCACCGCTCAACCTGTACCTACTCTCAACCTTGGTCAGCTCAGGGATATGCTGGAAGGCATCCGGGATCAAGTTGAAGGTCTGTTGCATGGTCAACATGCTACTAATCGTGGATTGGATGAATTACGCAACAGACAAATGGAGCAGCATTGGCAGGATTGCTGAGACAAGATTCGTAGAATGGAAGAAGCTCTTCAATGCCTGGTTGATCTGGCTCAACAAGCACAATGACCTCCTCCTCATGACGATTTCTCAAAGTCTGTTTATCCTTCGGATAAATCGCTGCTGGAGCACCTAGCTCGAGCTAGGGCACAGGGCGATAGGGCCAGCATAGAGGCACCACCTGTAGTAGCCCCCGTACGTCATCATGCTGGGCCTTCATTCGACGAGCAACTTGCGGAGTTAATGGCAGCCGGTCCTCCCCCTCCACAGCCCCCGGTGCAAGAACCACCTCCCTTGGTTCCTCTAAGGTACCGCCTGGGACCTAGGACATCTCGTCCTCGGAGTTCCAGTCTGGCCTTCGAGGCGGACCTTCCTCGACGTCCTGGTACTGTACCTATCCCACAACCTGTAGCACCTCATGCTCCTTTTCAACCACATCGACGTCGTGCAGTGCGGCCACCACAGTTTGGTCCTCCGCCCTTTGAAGCTGAGGGAGAAGGACAATATCCTCCTCCGGTCGTACCGACAGGCCATGCTGGACCGGAAGGAGGTCGTCAACCTCGTCCTCCAAGCAATATTGATTTTTGGACAGGGTTCTTCGTGATTGTGCGGCTCATCGTCCGGATCTCTCAGATGGATGGTACACTGGTCCACCTGTGAGTTTTGTGCAACACTGGTTACATCCAGACTTACACACATTGTTCTGCAATAGGGCCATGTTAGACAACCCACTGCCCGACCGGATCTAGGTGGTGATGACTCCCGACGCCGTTCTAGCGCTCTGGTAGTTCCGCCCCCTGGTGTCTTCACTGGGTACCAGGATCGGCAGGAGTGCCATCTGCCTTTGTCCCCACACCGGTATGTTACTGTGCTTCTTATTGTTTTGGCTCGAGAAGACACCTCCTCTTCTAGACTGTACTGCAACTGCCTCTGACATGGAATGAGTTAATGACAGTTTGCGGGTAAGCATCTTGAGTTGAAACCTGTTATTTGAGGCTAATGTCCTTCTCTCCAGAACAACCAGGATGCTACAGCAGCTTCTATTGATCAGGGCAAGAGATAGTGCGATATTTGACCGACTTAAATCGTTGGTTATCGCAAGACGTCCTTGACCATCAACGGAAGATACGGTCAGTACATGCGCGGTTACGCGAACTTGGCGATCACATGGACTGTGCACTTCCTGTTAGGCAGCCTCAGAGTAAGTTGTTTACTTCTTGCATTGGTTGATATAGTGGTGCTCAGGGAACTTCAGTGGCAGCATCTGTACCCGCTGGTGGGATTGTTCGGCCGCCTCCTGTACTCACACCTGGAGTTCAGATGACTGGCGTTGTGCCTCACCAAGTCCTGCCGGAAGGATTTGTGCCACAAACTGTTCACGTTCAACCTCAGCCTGAGTTCCGTAGAATGCACTACCCTGATGTCAGGATGCCGACTCCAGATTTCTCCCCTGTCATACCTCGGCAGTCTCATCTTCAACAAGCACAAGGTATTCCCGTTGTTCCTGATCCAAATTTCTACCCGCAACCCCAACAACTACAACAGCCGCAGCAAACTTATGTGTACCAGCCTCTTACTCCGAATGAAACGGAGGGTGTTGTTCCGAGATTCCCTTAATCGAGCGAAGGGAGTGAGGAGGACGCTCCTCCACGAATCACCATCATCCCTCCCCCCCAAATGCCGCAAGGTCCCCAGGGACCGCCTGTCACGATTGTTCCCCCTCAACCTATACCCATGGTCGAGTCCACCGTAATGCGCTTGCCTCCATCGCGAACGCCTTCTATATGGTCACGTCCTTCTGAGGAATACAGTGACTATGAGGTTCCGAGACACACACCTCCGCCTGACGCGATCCACGTTCTAGCTCTAGCTCCAGTGGTGCCTACGGAACCTCGGGTTGGTTCACCTCGACAACCCGATGCTCCCCGCACTCAGCCGCTCGAGGCCCCTCCAGCTCTGCCACCTGCTCCTATTGCTCCTACTGCTCCTGCCGCGCATCCTCCAATTATCGTTCAACCGCTTCCGCCTAGCATCTCTCAAGTTGTGGAAAGGCGGCTCGCTTTGACTCGACCTCCAAGGTCTCCCATGCCTCAGAGGGAAGAGCCGTCTCACGGGGAGCCTGCCACGATTGTAGTTCGTACACATTCCCCAGAATGGTCACCATGTCGGGTCAGCTACCATCGCACGCATCGCTCTCGTTCAAGATTACCGACGCCCGGACTTCTCGTTGTTGTACAGCTGCCTTCCATGGGCCCATATCCTGGAGGACAGCTGCAAATGCCGCACCCTGTTCCTCCTAGTGTTCCTGTTATCGTGCAGAGGACTCGATCGCGAACAAGATTACCCAGTCCTATTATAATCCACTCTGACAGGGGTCATTCTCCCAGCATAGACAGAGATGGTCGGCGGCGTAGACCTCGCTCACCGACCGGCGTTGTAGAAGGCGATCCTCACAGATGCTCCCCATCACCAACCGTCCTGCATCGACGATTGCGTCCCACAATGAGAAGAATATTCTCCCAGATGAGCCTCGAGGTCGCCTCTCATAGTAGTGTGCCACGGGTCACGGTCCCCCACCATTCAACTCCCTGGTGATGTTCGGAGATCACCACCCATCATAATCGATGGTGACTGCCATCGCTCTCGTTCTCCAACACTAGTGCATCGTGAGGAACTTATGATCGTCCGAGTGCCGACTTCGCGCAGAGCGAGAATATGACGAAGGCCTTCGCGCAGAACCCCATCTCCTGCAGAATATGAAGAGGGTCGAAGACCTTCGCATAAATCTCGGTTCTATATACCACGCTCGGAACGAGAACATGAAGGTGACCGCCTGCCCTCGCCAATGCGCCCTTACTCACCGGAACGACATCCCTGCTGTCCTCGACCACCGCGCGCTGAACGCGAACGTGAACCTCACCGTATTTCACCAAGTGAGCTGGAACCCTCAAGTTCACCCCCTCGCCTTGTCCGCTCTCTGTCTCGTCGAGCGCCTACTATCATTCGCACAGGTACAGGTCATCGAGAATCGCGCAGGGGCTCTCCAGGTCCAACTGTGGTTCATGTTGACGAACCCGAACATATTCAAGTGCAGTCACCCACCGAACCTGTGCCTCATGTAGCCCAAGTCCGATCTCGTAGACGGCCTAGTGAAGGTGCGTGTTACTTAGAAGTTATATCATAGAAGTGCTCATTAGTCCGCAGTAACTCTACGGAGGTATAGCCGAGCTACCCCGGAAGGTAAGTCTCTCATATGACATTGACTCCGTCGTGTTGATTATCTGTCAGAGGAACACCACATAGAGGTTTCTCGAACTCCTAGTCATGGTACAGTAGCTTTCATTGAAGTCTTTGTACGCTCAGCTTTAACACCATTATCTATCCAGTTTCTGCGCAGCGTTTAGTTTACGAAGAGGCAGACCGGCCGACTCCAGGCAGTATGTGCTTTTGTCTCATTACAGGTCTTTTCTGCTAACTATGTCTCAAGTCACACGTGTGTCGACTCAGCGAACCGCTCGCACTGCTCGTACCGAGCCGATCGCTCCACCTGTGGAAGAAGAGGAAGAAGACATCCCTCATATTTCCGTTGTTATTCATTCAGTGGAGCATGTGCCTACAGCCTCGCGCCCTCGGGCTGGTATTCCTAGTGTCGCTGTGGTACCACCGGAAGAAGCCGAAGAGCCTTATCTTCCCGAAGAACTGCCTGCGGAACCTGGAGTGAGGGGAATTTATACGTACTACTATGGAAATTCAGCGCTGCAGACTGTATGGTCTAGAAGACCTTTGATTCGCAGACACAGAACGCGAACGTCAGGAACGGTTTGGGGAACTCGAGCAACAGCTTACTGGTACGATTGATGCCTTGCGGGATGGAGCCTTCTCTCCTTTCTACAGCTCACCCACCATCACCGGCACCAATGAGGGCAGTATGCTGATCACGCGTTTACTTTTCCCTGCTTAACTGATGCTCTTCTCAGGTGTTGCCACGCGGAGTACCTCTGTTGCGTTCACCTTCACTTTCTCCTCCGTCAGTTACAATGAGTGTCAGCCTGAGCATACCCCGCCACGAGGTGCCTTCCCTGATGTCGACCATAGAGATGATTCCGTCCGAGGCTCGAGTACGATTTTAACTCGCGACGTTAACCGTTTGTTGCAAAATTTGCATAACGCTGATGCAGTTATAAGAGAGGAGAACAGAGAGTAGCGGAAAATGTCCCCTAGCTCAGGGAGGAAGTGGCAGACCTTGCCGAATACCTACTCATCACGTTTGTCCACATCTGGAGCCGACTCCCCAGTTCCTCACAAGGATAGATCGGTGAGAGGAGCAGCCTTATTTCTTGTTCTCGCTCGGCCGAAGACGGCTGCTCTACGACCAGAACCACGAGATTCCACGCGAGTTAAAGGGGATGCGTTGAATACATCTCCGATTCAAGTATACTGATGTCGTCGAAGTAATGAGATGTGCAGCATACTGTATGCCTGGACTGCGGGGTCAATCGGGCGCTCAATGGGATAGCAGGACACTCTCCTTCTGGATCGCTGTGTGATATTCACCGTGCAGCCACATTGTACTTCCTCACTGGCTATTCAGGTTCATGTGAGGTCGAAACTACAGCGAGACCATCGTTGTAAGTATCCATGATCTCATTAGAAGCCTCGCCGGATTGTGGGAGTGCATGTAGCAGAACCGTACTTATTAACCGTCTCACACAGCCCACAATTGTTGAACAACCTGTGAGTTTACCGGTCTGAATATGTAAGGTTTCTGCATTATAATCAGACAGCGCCCATCAACATGGATTGTAACTCTGTTGCACTGTCGTGGTAGACTGCAAGCTCCAGGTCAGCACATGATTGGTGGAATATTAGCAACCAGGTGCCAACAATTTTCCAGACATTATCTGAACTGCAGTTACGACAATGCCTGATGTTTCCCCAAATATCTGAGATGATTGTGCCAACCCCTCCTAAAACGTCGTCGTGATCATGGTTCATGACAGTGGATGTGAAAGAATTGCGACTGTGAGCCAATCACTGACCGTGGCAGACAGTTTGACATCGGCTTGCTGGAATAACTATGAAATACTTGTCGAATGATCAGCTGGATTGTCGTTAAGGTTCATTTGTATGGAGGTCATTTGGTTACGGTTCGCTTAAGGACAGATGCCGTGATGCCGACGCATGGCTCTCGCGTGGTTCATCCAGGAGACCTCAGTCACCTCCTACGGGCGCTAATATTTTTCCTTAGCACCTGCCATTCGTCCCGCACGTCGTGCTCCTCGTGCGTCGGCTCGAGCTCATCGTTGCTGACGACGAGCTCTACTACATGCATGCTCAAAAAATTCTCCTATATTTTCATTCCACTTATTATCATGTACATGGCAAGAAGTATTCATCATGAATATGTAAGATGCTCTAGCGGTAGATAACCTGGTTCAAGAAGTTGCGCGGTTGCGAGTACCTGGCCATGGTGTCGACACCGACACCGGGCCTGTTTAGTGAAGCATGACTTACGCCATGGTACATGACCATTAAGACCCTCAAAATTTGGCATATTTTAAAGGACTTCCGTGTATTCTGGCATCAAGAATCACCATGGAGAGACGAGTGAGCGAGAGGAAACGTCGCGTTTGTGACGCGGCGCGGGGCCAGTGACATCTCCGCGTCAACTTCGACATTTTTGCCTCGCGAGCCTCCTACAGCAGCAACAACAGCGGGTGGTACAAGATTTTTGGGTTATATGCTTGCTACTGGTGTATGAATTCATTCAGATTATCGCTATATCTTACAAATTAATGCCCCGTGAATGGTGCACCATTCTTGTGAGCTTGGTACCCAGAGTGTCACAGTTGTGTGAGCTGTCTCCCTGCGTTCCGCTGAGAGTGACGACCAGGAGAGTGCCCGGCAAGCGAGGTAGTGAATTCAGACAAGATGTCGCGCTTCACAGAGTCGTAGGTCAACGTTCTTTGGCAGAGATCCTGCGTTGTGGTACTGCACGTCTCTCGCAGTCGTCGATTTGCGAGGAGACATTATGAACCTCCCTGTAAATCTCAAGGTGATTTTTTGTGAGACATAACAGTGCCCTACGCCGCAGCGCATGCCCCCTGGAAATGCTGCATGAACTGACATTCAGTAGGGTCTGCAAGCCAGCCGATGTACTCATATCAAGGTGTAAACAGACACACCGTCGCGCTTAGATCATTCTAGATACACTACCACATACATCGCCCTGTGATTAATGGATTGCGACCTCGCGAACAGCCTGCGCAGCAGCAGCTCGCGCTAGCTCCGCACATGCGAGCCGAGCAGCGCCGCGATCTCGTAGCAGCACACCAGCAAGAGCTGCCCAACGAGGTCCACCAGCGCCGAGTTCAACAGCAGCACCCACACGTCCGGATCGAGGTTGCGCGTCCACAGGAAATCCGTCGTCACCCGCGCGAGGAAGAGCGATACGACAAACCCACCATCAGGCCCGACGACACACGAGAAAGGTAAGAGGGAAACTCCACGCACCGTGAACCCGAAGAACAGACCTGGAGCACCATGAAGAGGAAGGAGAGCCGGAGCCAGCCGAACGCGAACACCGTCGCGAGGAACGCGACGTCGACGGGGAGGCTGATCAGCAGGAGGGTGGTCATGGCCAGGCGCGGGCTGGGGTGCGGGCTCTTTTCGTACGCTTCGTCTGCCGCTGGCAGGTCGGACAAGACCGTTGGCAGTGCGGAGGTCGCTGCGTGCAGCGCCGTCGAGAGACGGGAGACAAACACGGAGCCAACAACCCCCGAAAGGCCTGATAACAACAACAGTCACACTGACATACACCAACACCTGCGACGGAAGAACGTCTACCTGTGGCGACAACTGCGACGAGGGCGTAGCCAATGTATTGGCCGACGAACCTGTCCAGTACGAGGCCTGTCCCGACTCCCACTGCTGATGATCATCTCGCCGAATAAGGGCAGCCATCCTTCCGTGAGTAGATGCTTGACAGTGCGGCTCAGGAATACTGTCGCTCTTCGCCGCACGAGCTGGAGGAAAGCGTGCGATTTCTGTCGAGGCATCTCACATCGCGGAGAAAGCGGAGTGGATCGTGAACAACAACGGTCTTGAATATACCATCACGTACGTGTTGTGGAGATTACCGTCCGGTTATGCATACTAAGTGGACCTGCACAGTGTCGTTCAAGCGAAGGTTGAGGACATCACTCTTCCGGATGGGATTGAGCAAGTGGACGTCGTCATCTCAGAGTGGATGGACAATGCACTCCTCTACGAGCTGGAGTCGGGACGCGTGGGCGCGGAAGGCGGACTTGAGATGGGTGAGGGTCTCAGAAGACGCGACTGCATGGGTCCAGGAGACGCTCTCACTCGAAGAAGGCCTCGAGCTATGCCATCGACATTCAACAGTAGGAGGGTTTCCAGAGGGTGTGAGGTGGATAAGAGAGCTTGTCGCCGCCATATTGCGGGCAGCAGCCGCCCGAGCTTCTGCACAGGCCCGGTGTCGGTGTCGACGCCATGGCCAGGTACTTACTCGCAACTGCGCAACTTCTTGAACCAGGTCATCTACCCCGAGAGCATCTTACATATTCATGATGAATACTTCTTGCTATGTACATAGTAATTAGTAGAATGAAAATATTTAGGAGAATTTTTTGAGCATGCATGTAGTAGAGCTCGTCGTCAGCAACGATGAGCTCGAGCCGACGCACGAGGAGCACGACGTGCGGGACGAATGGCAGGTGCTAAGGAAAAATATTAGCGCCCGTAGGAGGTGACTGAGGTCTCCTGGATGAACCACGCGAGAGCCATGCGTCGGCATCACGGCATCTGTCCTTAAACGAACCGTAACCAAACGACCTCCATACATTTGAGCCCGCACTTAGGCAAGATTAAATGCGCAAATAATGCACTATTCATCTTGCTCGAAGCCCATCTGTACGCCACCTTGTTTTCAACTCCGCCCGGTCATACCAGCGTCTCCCGAATTTCCCGATGTCTGGATTAACGTTATCTTGGGATAAGGCTCTGTCTGCGAGACTCTGTAATACAGTAGGCCGAGACGAGTTCAGTTTTAAACGGTCAGCGATTGGTGCTAATAGTAAATGCAACATACCTACCCACCCACCCACGGCCGCTTGCCGTTGATTCGCTGTGTTTCTTCCAGCTCTGCACAACTCGTCCTTGCGGGCAGATCACTAAGCGCAGCTGGCGGCACTCATCTGGGGACAGGTCCGCTATCCCCGAATGCCCATATGGGAGCACATCGGTGCCCCGACAGGATCGACAGGCATGTCGCTGTGTTTCCTGTTTGCCTCATAACTCCGCCTTGCAGGATAAGGATTCATACAATCAAGGCACTTCACTTAAACCAAACTTCATACTTTCGGATGTGCACATCGTCATGAGATCCCTTCGAAATGATCATAAGTCAAGGCGGAAAGGAGGGTGCAGGATGTCACTTACTGTACTTGGCCTTGTCAATTCTCTAGGAATGAACAATGAAATGGGAAAACCTGTCTGGAGATGTACCAGAGACAACGCATGGAAGTTTCCAGTTCTGTTTGAGTCGCAAGACGACCTAGCTACTTATGCTGTAGAGGTAGTACTACTAGTCTAACCACACGTCAAATAATCACTCACAAGAAGCACGATCATAGTAAATTTCCGCTGGCAAGGAAAATAATATGGATTTGCGGTTCGTGGGGGGTGCTTGTAAAGCGGTCTGTATAATCACAGAGTCGGACTCTAAGCATGTTCACGTCCAGGGGTGCTTACAGTGAATAAGTTTGATCACTTTCCAACAATATCTAACCTCTCAAGCTTCATTTTTCAGTGTACGCGCTTCTGGACACTCTTAAGGGAAGAAGGAAACGGCCTATGTTTCGCGGGCGCTAAATCTGAGGGACGGGCGCTTTGAGTGAGGAATTTGTACTTGTTTGTCCCCTGGGACTTAACTTACAATAATTAGCTCACGACGAGCAGGCAGAAGGGATCCAGTCACCACCCGACGCTAACGTACATCAGTACTGTTGCATGACAGAATGTCTTTACCTTGCTCGAGCGCTCAATCCTGAGTTTGTGCAGCGTCTACATTACGGCGCTGAAGACGGGCGCCCTAGGCATACGGCTGATCGGCCTTCGCCCGACGTTGCGAAGCTGACCGCTCGTAAGTACTGTTACTACTGTAAGTACGAATTCCAACCTTTGAGTGATCAAAAAGCAAATTCTGTCCGCTTTTTCTGTTACGGATGTACCGGCAGCCCCACCGCAGCACGCCGCACCGCCACTCGTCACCTCTGAATCTGCAACCACTATATGTCCCGGAAGTTCCATGGCCAAAAAGCCTCGGACTTGGGTCAGGCAGTGAGCCATGGCCCATACCTGTCCCACGCGGTTTTTCGGTTCTACCTAGTGCCCTCAACTCAACGCTCTGCGTATCCCACCACCGGCCGGCTTATTATACCCTCCGGATGGCTGTGATTCCGCCTCAACTCGGGAATCGGAGCTCTATCGCGCGCACAAATATTCTTGCCCACTAGAAGTTCTGAATCTTCCGATGCAACTGATTTTCAACGGTTTGTCTGTCCATTAACACTTCGTGATGGTAGAAGACTCATATGTCCGATTTACAGAGGTCGTCGATCTCGCATTCACGAAGCAGATTTCCAGTAGAGAAGCTCGGCATCGGCCATTTGTGTCGGGCATGAAATGCATATGAAACACCTTGTTTATGGCCGTCATCCGAGTCCCAAATCTGGCTGAGACGAAATCCCATAAATGCGTCGGCCATACAGATGATTCATTACAGCATTGTCCCATCTACATTGGCACCCTCACACCACCCAGGAATATCGCTCTCGGAGCTACAGCTCGTCCTTTCTCAGTACCTCTTGTGATTGCGTAGTGTCGTCGAGTTGCGGAAGCCGGAACCGGTTGCTTCTAATTGGCGCCAGGAAACGCAGCTAGGGGACTTAACGCAGTTGTAGTGCTCTTCCTAAACATACCATCCCCCCCAACCCCCGAACATTTGCCCATCTGGACTCAGTGGTGGGGAGATGGCAGAGACATATGGAGGAGCACTTCCCGATGTTCCCGATCACTTGACTATCCCGCAGTTCATGCTCGATAGCCATCACGTCACTAGGCCAGTCATAAAGGCCCCTAAGCCTTGGTACATTAACCCCACGACAGGGTATTCACTCTATCCTGACGAGGCATGTATCCCGGTCCCTGGATTGTCCGTTTACTCACTTTGACAGCTAGATTCGAGCACGAGTCTATGGGCTGGCGAATTCGCTGAGCTCTAGATGGCGTATAGGCAAGTCTCATGCCATTTCTTCCGTCCCTTTTCTGGTTCTCATTTTACTTTGTCAGGAGAGGATGATGTCGGTGTGTTCAGCATACTCTAATTCAAAATAGACGAGTTCTTAGCTGTGCGCAGTGTGTATCTATAGCCCAAATAATATTGGTATGTGTAACCGACGCCATCCTTCCGGCTGACTGACGTACGTCATGGCTGCAGATTATCCCGGGGTGATTTGGTAGGCTTCGACGCGTTTGTCGGGATGATCAAATTCTCAGTTTGTCCCTCTATCTTAGGGCGATCCACAGGCTTGGGGCCATTGTAACGTGAGTCTCACATATTTCTCGTGCAAGATATTTATCTATGACCATCTTTGTCCACAGTGCAGCCAACCCCTCGTACAACGCAGAAGAACTGAAGCACCAGTTGGTGATATCGAAAGCCAAGCTGATTATTGCGCACCCTTGGAATCATGCTATCGCGCTCGTGGCTGCAACCGATGCAGGAATCCCTAGTGATCATATCCTAATGATGGAAGCACCCGAATCGGGAACCGCAACATATCCTGCGGTCCAGCAATTGACCGCTGAAGGCTTGTCCATGCCACAACTGTATGAAGAGCGGCGTCTGAGGCCTGGAGAGGCCAAGACAAAGCTGGCTTTCCTCAGTTTCTCCAGTGGCACGACCGGCAAACCCAAGGTATAGACAGATTATGCGCAACTTCATTGTACTTATGATGATGTTTCAGGCAGTGTGTATCTCGCACTACAATCTGATCGCCAACGTCACACAAGTGGCACAGCGGGCGACAGCAACAGAATTCCCGTCAGAAGACCTCAAGCCGATCCGAGTTGGGGACGTCGCATTAGGTGGTATGTCTTCTTTTGTATCTGCAGCTTGTATTCGATGATCTAACGAATCGTAGTTCTACCATTCTTCCGTGAGTGACGCAGTGCATAGCTCCAATTTTGAAATATTCACATACACTGCAGATATCTTTGGTCTTGTTATCTCCGTGCATTTTATGGTCTATTACGGGGTGTGTGTGGATTGTGTGCTCGCGATAGGCAGCATTTATGATCATGCAAAACAGCATTCGCTTGTGGTGCTTCCGAAGTTCGAGCTTCTACAAGTTTTGCACGTCATTCAGCGCTATCGGGTTAATTCTCTGCAGTACGCTTGATTCTTTGGCTTTTTTCCGTCCCGAATTGATCCTCAACTGAATAGAGTCGTCCCACCTATCATGGTTCTGCTCTGCAAAGTAGGTCTAGCAGAATGTCCTTGCACTATATCTAAGCTGTCATACAGCACCCTGCTGTTGAAAAATTTGATCTTAGCTCGATTCGATTCTGCCTTAGTGGCGGAGCCCCGCTCTCTGCTGAGCTCACAAATCTGGTAGGGGAGAAATTCCCTCACATTCTACACATTGGCCAAGCGTACGGTGAGTTTTCGAGTGTCCAGACATGTAGTTCTGGTACTGATGCACTGGGATTGCAGGAATGACAGAGACTTGCACAGCTGTGACGTTTCCACATATAGCAAAGCGGCTAGGGACGCTAGGGAGTGCTGGGCGCTTGCTCGATGGTGTCGTTCCTCGTGTACTGAAGCGTGATGGCTCTCTCGCTGGGGTGAACGAACCCGGAGAGTTGGTCGTAAGCGGGCCGTCGATGACTCTGGGCTATCTCGACAATGAGGAGGCGTGAGTATCGATGTTGTCTGCCCGATATACAGTTAACTCAATTGTGGTTGTTATCAGGACTCGGGAAACTTTCAAAGATGGGTGTGTTCACTAGAACAAAGTAATTAATGTATAGACGCTGACATGCTATCCAGTTGGATCCATACGGGAGACGAAGTAGTATTCAATGAAGAGGGGGACCTCTTCGTAGTGGACCGTATCAAGGTAATCATTTCCCGTTCACATATGTTACCGCTCTCACGGTCACCTCCCGTAGGAATTGATAAAGGTCAAGGGCTTCCAAGGTTGGTGATTTTGTTCAGGCGGGATTCTCAATTGTTTTCAACATGGGTTGTAGTGGCACCCGCGGAACTTGAGGGACACATCCTGGAGCACCCAGATGTGTCCGACACCTGCGTCGTGTCGATTTCGGACGAATATCGCGGGGAGATACCGCTCGCTTTTGTCGCGCTTAGCGGCGGCGCAGTTGAGCGTATGAAGAAAATACCCTCGGTTGGCCCCCAAATCAAGGCGTCTATTATGAAGGTCAGTTCGCGCTATTGCTCAAATTGTCTGTGCCGCATGATGATTGGATTCTCCCCGCTGTTAGCACGTCGCCGACCGGACGATCCATTACAAACACCTGTCAGGCGGTGTCGAGTTCATTCAAGCAATCCCGAAGAACCCGAGCGGGAAGCTGCTCCGACGAGTGTTGCGCGACCAGGCCAGGGAGCTGCAGAAGCAAGGGAAATTATCGTCCCAACTGAAGGCTAAGCTATGAAGCAATCTGTTGTGTTCGGCCATACGTATTTTGGTGATCCGTTTTGTGCATATCTTGGAGGTAGAATATATCCTCTATACACTTCCTTACCACTCGTCCGATGTCGAGGCTGTAGTGTGATCTCTGCGTCATGAGCCATCACCGTCGTGGCGGTATCCTGCACATATCCAAACATGGAGTTGAGCATCCTAGACCGTCGACCGTGAAGGGGCCTCTCGAGCCTCACGCAGAACTTAGCTTCACGAACTAGATCCCAGGGCCATTACATCACAGAAGAATGACCAGGAGTAAGTTACAGGGTATTGTCCTCACGTGGGGAGATCGACCTGATCTCGGGATCAATTGGCGGCTTCTCTTCTTCTTGAGCTAAGGAGGCATGAACCAATGACTCGGAGATGGGGATTTTTTCCTCTCAAGAGAAATCCGAAGACCATCGTGCAGCCAACGTGAGCGTTTTTCAGCCTGACGCACAGTAAAATGAATCGACGAAGAGTTGCGAGAGAAACAAGCAACACGTACTGTCCACACTCGACCGTTCGTGACGACTCGCTCGAGATTTGGTACCCGCTCCATAATGGTTTGGACATTAACGCGGGTGAGGAACAACCGCTGACCGTGTGAGGAATGATGATCGCCGAGGTCGCTTAGAGTATGCAGACTCTTAGATCGTGAGAGACAGTCTGAGAACGACCACTACAGCACAGATCAGCAGGGTTTCATAGCTCTATAAACGTGTGTAGCGCACAATCTCCTTCGCAGGAATGCCAACAGCGAAACGCTCCATCTCTGAGCACCGCGCGCAGATCATGCGTACGGCATCAAGGCTAAGCTGGCAGTTCAAGAAAGCAACATGGGTGAGTGTAGCTTCATGCGCATTGAGCAGATCTTTGATGAAGCTGTCGCCGACGACGAGCTTGTCCGAGAGCTTGAGCGTAATGGACGTCAGCGGACAGGACCACGTGCGCGTCAGGGTGATCACGGAATTCCACAGCGTGGGGGTGGTGGAAGGTGCGAGCGCGCAGTGGGTGTCGACGGTGAGATGACGAAGTTTGGTCAGTGGCCCAATGGTCAGAGGAAGTGCACGAGGCGATTCCTGAAAGTTCGCATAATTAGCCAATCGTACAGGAGATAATCAAAATAAAATTTTACCCAGCTCGTGAAAGACAAACTCTCCAAGAGAGGAGTATGGGCTGTCGATCGGAATATGGAGGTATGATCGATCTTAGCGCAGCCCACAACGTGCAGGCCGGTAAGATTAGGTAGGTTACCGAGCACCGTTTCAAGAACGCAGTCATTCAACTCGTTCATGGCCTTCGTAAATAAATAAAAATTAGGTGGAAAATTCATCAGACACTGAGGACACGCACGTAGAACGTCAATGAGGTCAAAGTCGATCCTAGCAAACTTGACCACACGGGTAGCACGTCGACTACATTCCAAGTGCTGCCGTCAAGAGTGAGATTACGCAGCCCCGTGACCTTGACAAGCTGCTCAGATTGTTCGGTAGTGAGGCTGGCGTTCACGCGTAGGTTCTGCAGATTGTCCTTGCCTTGCAAAGCTAGGAGAAAAGACGACAGCACGTTTGGGGTACACGTGAAAGACGAAAGGTTTTTGCACGTAGCAATCGTGCGGGAGCAGTCATTCATAAAGTTTGGGTGCGGCAAATTCTTCACTGTGGGAACGGATCGTACATCTATGCAGTTTTAGGATTCAAAAGCCTACGCGCACTACCAGTATGATGACGTACCAATATGTCGGACATGGACAGCTAGACTCGGATGCGCAAGGACAGATGCAAAAGGCGACATGATCTACTTTCTTTTCAATGCTGATGCCGTTTGGAGACAAAGAAATATTCACCGCAGGATAGCGCTTCGCCCCACTCATCTTGAAGACCAGCGTACGATATAATCTGGGAATAACTCCCGCAAGAAAAGAACGGCTAACGAGAGACACTGAAAGCAAATCATTACCATGGAGGTAAGCAAATATCAGTTCCAAACAGTCCAAGTTCAAGTTATCTGCGGAAACCATGGCGGTGACTGGCGAAATTCTGTAACGGAAGACTGGGTTAGTCTGTGAGACGGAGTTTAGCGGAGTTTCGGATATAGAAATTCCAACCGCTTTTGTCAATCTCCTTCTCGGCCCGGAGGTAGCCAAATCTCTCGATAGACTGGTAGGTCACGTTTTGCGATCGACTCAGTTGAGGGACATTAACCTTGCATTAACTTCAATCTTCATCGTCGTCGACAACGATGCCGGGCACCAGTGTTTCGCTCGACTCGCTCAGCTCACCATCATTATCACCACCACCACCCGATGAGCACCAAACATCCACCTCGAACAGCGGAGCTGCGTGCCTCGACATGGACAGCGGCTCAGAGCTCTCAGAGCTCACGGAGGAGGAGCAGGAAAACGAGGGCCGCGAGAACGGTTCGCGTACCGGCGATTCCGGAAACTCTTCCAGCCGCGACAGCAGGACGAAACGCGGGATAGTCCCGCCCCCAATGTGGGAGTGGGCCAAGAACAACAAGAAGGGCGGCGACTGGCGCACGAGGCTGATCGAAGAGGAGGAGGAGGAGGAGCTCCCGGGCCCCGCGAAGGCGATGGAGGAAGAGGAGGACGAAGACCTGGATGCCCGCGACCGTGACCGCGACCGCGAGGACGGGCGCGAAGAGCTGCCCGGCCCCGCCCACCGTCGCTTGGACCGCCTGCCCACACCACGCACCCCACCGTACCCGCGCCCATCACCCGACAGAGATGGGGGGCCTGCGTACGACAGTGAATCCGTCGCTGATGAGGAGGAAGAGGACGACGAGGCCGAGCACGAGGCCACGCCCGACGCCGCGCCTGAGCTCACCGACGACGAGGGTGAGGGCGAGGGTGGCGACGAAGATGATTCAGCGGAGAAGACTGCGCTGCCTGCGGAGGGGGACGAATCTGAGGGCGAGGACGCGGGCGCAGAGGACGTGGAAATGCAACAGGACGCGGAGCCCGCCACGGTGGATTCGGTCACACCGGTCGAGGCGGGAGCGCTGATGGACGTGGACGAGCCTTCGCCGCCGATACCGGTCGCTCCCGCGGGATTGTCAATCATGGCGGGTTCGACGGTGATCGAGCCCATCTCTTCCTCGTCGACATCTCCGTCCGGATCACCGTCGTCCTCTCGTTCACCCTCCCCGGAAGCAGAGGCAGAGCAGGATGCGCACAGCGAACACGAACCGGAGGCGGAAGAGGTACTTCCGGAGGCCAAGACGCCCGGCGGCCGCACCTCTCGAACGAGGAAGGCCAAGGCGCGCACAAGGGCTGCCAGGAAGGCCAAAGTAGAGGCGGGCGACGTTGACATGGACCACACCGGTGCGCTAGACATGGATGAGGTTGATGGCGATGGCGTAGAAGCAGAAGAGGCTGAGGTCGACTCGGCAGAACTAGAGCTGGAGCTGGATTTGGATCTACAGCCAGCCCACCGTGCAGAAGCCCTTGACGTTCTCGCGACAATTGAACTCAAATTCGCGTTGTTGCGGGAGCGTTTGTACGTTGAGAAGATGGAAGGCCTTGCATGGGAGGAAAATTTGGTGGCTGAGGGTACGTTTTCTTTCTTTATATTATTCTCTGTATACTGATGACAATCCTGGAACAACGACTAGGTACACATCCTGAAATGCTGCACCTTCATACTGAACTGTCGAAGAGACGTGACAAGCGTCTGGAGCTTGCCAGTCGCAGACGAGACTACGAGGTCTCCAATGTCACGAAACGTCGCAAACTAGACGAAGACGCCGTATGGAGTTGGTGGCAGGTGAGACGCGTACTCTACACGTGACTTCAACCTGCCTGATCACGCGAATTGACTTGGGCATCCCGTGCTTGCTACTGTTAGTTCGTCCGAGATGATCTGCAGACCGAAATGATCTCAGAAACGAATAGGAAAAGACGTCGTCTCGAGAGAGAGCGCCGAGCCATGGAACGTCCCCAGCCTGGTAAGTGTTTGTCTAATACATAGTTTCAACTTACTGAAGTCGGAATGTCGGTATCAGCCCGTCGCATTCCAAGTGCACCCATTGATGCTCCTCCACCCCCCACATTGCGCGAAATAGTGAAGAACCATCCTTACAACTCATTATCATCGAGCGCTCCACATTCGCACCGTCCAAGGAGTTATGCATCCGCCACACCTCTTGTATATCCTCAACTGACAGTATTGTCGCAACCTGAGGCACTCGCCGACTGCGACTTTCTGAATCAACACCGCCGTGCTGCCGCAGGATTTGATCCTCACAGGCCAATGCAGATGAACACAGTGCTTGGGTCTGCTCCTCACGCATACGAGCCTTATAACATAGGCATGCTTGATAGTCCCGGGACTGGAAACCGCTTTGGTCCTCCACCTTTATTTCCACACCACGCTCTTCCCCACTCGCAGATTCAAGGACCTGGCATCACGCAAGGGTTTCCCGTACATGGCGGACGGCCCCCACACCCAACGTTTCATCCTTCTCAGGTCCTCGACCAAGATATGAATTCCGTGCACGCGCCTGGATCGATCAACATGCAGGGAGGGAGTCATGTCCAGCAATATCCTATCTTAGGCGGACCCGCCAATCTGATGAGGCGTTCTATTTCGCCGGTACCAGTGCAGTCGCTCAATAGTGGTCCGGGCCTGGGCATGTCAATTGGCATAAGTGCACCGCCGTTACCCCCAGGTCTTTCGGGATCGAAATCTAACGGGTGGGACTTATCTGGGCATTCTTTATTTCCTGGGGGAAGTAAAGAGGCTAGAAGACCCAATGGCGACATCGACGGGCGAGAGAGGGAAAGAGAGCGAGAACGTTATGGAGACAGCTTCAAGCTCAGAGATCGGGAGAAGACGGAGAGGGAGCGCGAGTTTGAACTTGAGCGCGAACGGGAACGAGAACGCGAGCGGGATCCGGATAGAATGTATCATATGCAGATGCTCCAGCAGCAGCAGCACTCTGTCCACCAGCACCCGCACCAACATGTTCATGCTGCTCCGGGGCAGGCGTCCCATCACCAGTTGGGTCCGCATCATCACCATCATCATCACCATCACGTTCATCACCACCACCCCCAGCCCTCTGCCGGACCTAGCGGGCATAGTTCTCCTATTGCTGGATTATCCACACCTGCGATGGGCCCAGTGCAAGGCCAACGTGAGTTCGAGACTCGACGTCCGCATTCTGGTGCACCTCCCGAAGTCATCGAACTACCTGTGTCTGGTTCCAAGCAATCACCTCTCATGTCATCTCTCTGGAAGGGTCCTGACGACCCACTGTCGTCTTCAGCTGATATAGGTCGAGAACGTGGTCGACCACTAGGTCCTCCTGCTGCTGTAGGTCCCCATGAACGCCTCATGACTCCGTTCGTGATGACACCCTCGCAGATCATGCAGGCGAAGTTCCCGGGTTCTCCGAGAAACGGTCCGGGTCCCCCCACAGCTCCTCCTTCGATTGCTCCTTCACGAAGGGGCTCATGGAGTGCATCGGAAGAGAGCGGTCTTGCTCGCCCTGCATCTGCATCAGCAGGACCTTCAGCTTCAGGTCGTTCTCGCGACGGCTCCGTCCATCGCAATTCGACATCGCGCGTGCAGCGTCCACCATCGACTCAGCCTCCGCAGAATTTGTTCGCGGGATCCCCGCGTAATAACGGCAGACAGCTGCCTCCTCCAGCAATGAGTCACTTGAACTCTACAGCCGCGTTTACTGCACCATTGCGTTCGCCTCGCTCAAATCCGCCATTGCTCCCACCACCGCCGCAGACGACACCAGCTTCATCGTCTACGGCACATTCGCCATCAATACGGCCCACTACACCGAAAACGGAAAGCCCTAGGGCTCATAGACACAGTCCGTCTTCTCCGGGCCAAACTAAAGCACCGTCTAGAACCGCCTCATCCAACGCGGAACCAAATTTCAACGCCCCTCCCGGTGCGACTTCCTCCATGGCCCCTTCCATCAATATCGTGAACATGAAGTCATCGGAATCCTTGTCGCTGTTCCCTACCTCGTCCGCGCTTCCCAATCCACCACTTCCACCCCCTCCTAGACTATCTAACGGTGGGATGTCAGAGCGGCACTCGCCTCGTCTCGGCGGTTCGTTAGCGCCAAAGATCGTTCCTGTGGATGGATCGTGATTGTACATAACTCTACTACCCTTGGTTTGCTTTTTTGTCTCCTCTCAGTTTCGTTTGTCCTCTGCCCCGCTGTGTATCGTTCAAGCTCCTAATGTATTTGGATTATATTCTGGCTGTGAATCTCCTGCGTCGTCGTGGGCGACGCGCCTAGCATGAGGTAAGTGCTTATCTTTCCACATAAATAACCCGGCCAAACAAATGCTGCGCCGACTTCCACTATCCGACCTATGAGGTGCTGTCCGACAGCTGGAATGCGCTATGGTGATACACATACACATTGATTCGCGTTTTACACACCCACTACTAACGCATACATAGTTCTACAACTAATGCTACACACACGTCATACAAGAAGAAATTACGAATGCTACAGAAATACGTCAACAGTCAAGCCAACGTAAGGTGATCCTGATGACACCTGGAAAGATATCCCATCGATCCGTCTCTTTGATGGAAATAGGGAATCGCGAAAACGAATAAGTTACAAGAAAGTCTCATCATGTGAAGTGGTTCGCAATCTCTCGCCTGTGCGAAGACAACATGGCCAGTGTGACGAAGGTTCCGAAGAAGAAACCGGTGAGAATGCAGGACGCCGTCATCACCAAGGACTCCAGCGATAACGCGGAAGAAGACCCTAGGATCGACCTCGAGCCCTGTTTCTCGGCAACCTCTTTCGCTGTCATCGGTACAGTCTCCTTCTCTGTTATCGTCATTGCATTCGTCGTGGCCGTAACAGAAGTCGCAGAAGTCGTAAGGTCAATCATGGACTTTGGCTCCGGCTCCGGCTCCAGCTCTGCCTGAGATGCTGTTTCTGATATGACCTCAGCAATGTCCAGGGGAGCGACCTCCTCGTTCTCGGTTGGGGTCCCAATGGTCGTCACAGAAGGCGTAGTCAGGTATCGGTGACACTGGTGTTTGGCCTGATAGGTCTTCGCCAGGTGCTCGAGGCCGCCCATGATATCCTGCATGCGGTTCGCGTCTGCAAGTTCTTGGACCTTGCTCGCCTCACGCATCTCCTCTCCGACGATGTGAACCATACCTCGGATGAGATCGCGGATCTCGGGGTGCTCGCGGACCCACCCCAGACCAGGCCAACGCGCGATGACAAACGCGAGGTCGCACACGGTGACGGTCGCGTATGTGAAGTCATCGAGCACGAGCTTATGGAAGTACGGACGCAGGAATGAGACCGCTAGACGAGTTGCACCCGTTGTCGTGTCGCGCATGCGTCGGTCTATAGACAAACGCAGGAACCGCTCCTGCATGTCCTCGCAGAACTGCCGATAGCTGGGCTTCTTGCGGATGTAATCCCAGCCAAGCTGGGACAGCGGCGACTCCTTCGCGGCTGGGTCGGGCGAGAGAAAGTAGGAAGGCAGTTTGGTCAGGATCTGGATGAGTGGGACGGATGCAAGGACCGCTGTGCCCGGGATGAAGCCCCACACGAGGACGTCCTGCGCCTCGAGGGCAAACCGATACCACTTCCAGTGGTCTTTATGCCGACTGAGAGATACATTTCAAACGGTTAGTCAAGTGTAGTGTAAGTGGTTCAAGATGTTATGCTTACTCTTTGGGATCGCCCTGTCGCAAGAGCTCAACAGCAGTCACCGCTCGTGAAGCTACTGCTTTCGCATCGATGATCGCGATCTCAACCGCATGCTTCACGCCATGGTGATATCTCCGAGTGGCTTCCCATATCGCCCACGCGAAACTGAAGGATGTCGACACATACGGTGATGACGACCGAGTCGTCCAGTTCATGTACTGCGCAACGTCGGCGTATGTGCTCTGTGTTGGAGTGCGATAGGGAGAAGGAGATGCAGAGTCGCGCAAGAAGTTCCCAGAAGAGACCTTATCATCAAAGAGCTGCCCTGAAAAATATGGCTCTGTTCGATCATAAAAGGGGGACGACTCCTTCGGAGTGTGGACGCGGAAGAGAAACGGGTTGCTATCAACTAGCTTCTTAAATGCTACGTCAGGACCAAACCCATACTGTGGTAGTGCATCGTGATCCTGGGACAGAGACTCAGAAGGGGAGTTGGGACCAGATACTGAGCCCATCGCGACGCCGAAGAGAATTCTGGGAGTCAACGGAGATGGAAGTGAAGACAAGTCTCAAGGCAACTGCGGCTCGCTCTATATCGTCCACGGAGCAGAACATGCAGATCCAACGCTGATAACTTGGAGAAAAACATGCGGAACCAATGAGGCCTGACCTGCCTCGACCCGGAATCGGATTGGACTAGCTAGATCTTGTGATCCGTCAGCGATTTGTATATCTTACGAGGTCCCTCTCCAAAAAGTGTTGTCAGATGCCGTTAGATCCTGTAGAAGTGAAAACATGCCGTGAAGTCTGAACATGGCTCAGCTGCTTAGAGGACGGAAGTGTATACGATCGAGATCTGGAATAGATCTGAGTACAAAGTGTCACTATGTCACGCTCACAGTCACGCATAGTTTTTGTTAGGCGCCCAAAGGCCTGCTTTGCTGTTCATAGGACCGGTATTGTATCGATTCAAAAGTGCAATCGTCCGGACCACATTCTTCTGCATAACCACCAAATTTATTGGCGTATTATTTACGGCCCAATTTGGAAGAGAAACTCTTGGTCGGAAAAGTCGCCATGGTGGTAAGCCCTTGGAGGTGTGCATTTACGGTCCCGCTGAATCCACCTTACAGAAGATCTCCGTACTTCAGCATGCGCCGTCGGCGCACCTTCCTGCTCGACCAGGAGATCCCACTCCAACTTCGCGGAATCTCGATCCACTCATGCATCCGTTTGCGAGGGGCCGTGAGCGAATGCGAGCGTTGAACGCCGCAAAGATGGAGCGCATGTTCGCCAAACCTTTTTTGGCAGCATTAGAAGGCCACGTAGATGCTGTGGAGACTATGGCCCGGAAACCAGAGAGTTTGAATGTGGTTGCGAGCGGGAGCTGGGATGGAGGTGTGTGCGTGCTGCTCTTGGCGCATATGTCTTCACTGTGATACTGACGTATAGACTCTGGCCGTCAGGATTAATTGTACATGATATATCACGGAGGACAAAAGTGATATACGTGGAACAAGCACACAAGGGCAAGGTGGCTGGGATATGCTTTGCTGATGGAGAGAGGCTGTTGAGCTGTGGTGTTGACCGGAACATCAAGCTGTGGGATATTCGACCATCTTCTTTGGGCGTTGACGAGGATGGTGCAGGGTCGTCAACGGTTAGACATCCGCGTGCTTAGTTTTATCCACAATTACTGACTTGCTCTAGAGCCGCAATCCTCTGAGCATCTTTCCAGGAAAGGCAGCGTTCAAGTGAGCCGCTAGTAATATCCGAGGAAAAGTGGACACTAATTCTCCCGCTCAACCAGTTCAATAGACCACCATCGATCCGATCCTCTCTTCGCCACCGCATCTAATCTCGTTCAAATATGGGATGAGACAAAGTAACAAATTCAACGAAATATTTCCTCACTGACTGATTGATGACTTGCGCCTACTATAGGAGTGCTGCGATATCCAACCTCACTTTTCCCACTTCCACGGAAACAATCTCCGGTGTACGCTTCAATCTGTCTGAGCCATCAGTCTTGGCCAGTATAGGCTCAGACCGGACGTTCACCTTGTATGATATTCGAACTGGGAAAGCAGAGCGTAGAATCATCATGCAGGTGCGTAACCTATACATCGAGGTATTACCAAAGTTTTGACCGGTTGTAAAGATGCGCAGTAATTCACTATCATGGTCGCCGACATTCCCAACGACGATACTTCTTGCATCAGAAGACCACAATCTATACACCTTTGATATCCGCTCGCTCAAGACGCCGACACAGATCTACAAGGCGCACGTCGCAGCGGTGATGAGCTGCGATTGGAGTCCGACAGGTCTCGAATTCGTGAGCGGCGGTTGGGATCGCACCGTACGCATATGGAAAGAGGGAGTCGGCTCTTCCCCAGAAATCTACCACACAAAACGGATGCAGAGGTCAGTCTGCCCGTACGTTGCTGTTACTTCACACTGAAATTTTGGCTATAGGGTATCGTCGACACTCTTCACTGCCGATGCACGATTCGTGCTTAGCGGGTCTGACGATGGGATCGTTCGGATCTGGAAGGCACATGCATCCGAGAAGCTGGGCGTCGTCACCGCGCGGGAACGTGCTGCAATCGAGTATCGCGAGAGCCTCAAGGAGCGATGGAAGATGGATAGCGAGGTTGGGAAGGTGTCACGGTATGAGTTCTCGTTACTCTCCTTGGACGTAACTCATTTCTAGCGTTCACAGAAGGCGACACATTCCGAAGCCGGTATATAAGGCGGCGCAGCTCAAGCGCACGATGCTGGACGCGCGGCGGGTCAAGGACGAACGCAGGCGGAAACATACCCGTGCAGGGGAGAGCAAACCGAAGGCAGAGAGGCAAAAGATGGTGATTGCAGAGCAGACGTAAACCTGTTCTACGTGCTGCAATCAGAATATGCCTCCGACCTTCCGCACACGTTGCACATCGACGAATCAGAGGATTCTACGCACCACGAATACTAAATTCGCAGGTAGAATGCTCTCAAACAACCTTGTTGAGATGAATGCGAAACACGCGCAGGTATTGCGGTCGTGTATGGTACTGCATCTTATGTTCAAGGAAATTTTCGTAAGTCAGTATTGAAATTCCAGCAGTTTTTTAATTTGTGGTAAGTTGAAATTATTTTTTGATTATGTAATAGAGTGATTACCGCTGTTGTGGCGGTGGCCATCTTCTTGCTTTCATCACCTTTGCAACAACCCGTCCTCTTTACCTTTCGCAATGTCTGATTCTGAAGGAGATATCTCCGACGAACTCTTGGAGTTGGCGGGAGCGACGGAAAAGAAGCGGAAGAAACGTCAAGCAAAGTCATCTACGCCAAAGCGGCGAAAAGCAGAGTGAGCTCCTTCACTTCGTCCCAGCGACTCGGAACTGTGCTCAGCTCAAGTCCGCAGTGTAATGGTTGATTCAGACTCAGATTCGGAGGAACCAGAAAGTGAAGAAGAGGACCAGACGAATCCCTACCCGCTGGAGGGAAAATACATCGACGATGCAGATAGACAACGGTGGGTGATCACCCAAGATCTGGGAGTTCTGTCACCCTAAATATTTTCATTATAGGTTGATGCAGATGTCTGAGATTGAGCGAGAAGAATTGCTTGCACAGCGGCAGGAGGAGATGCAACGAATACAAGACAAGCGGAACCTTGATCAGATGCTCAAAGCACAGAGTGGACATGGCGGCGAGGAGAGCGTGTCAAAGGCAGCGAAACGTCTCTCTTTTCTTTTCTCTAGGTATGAGTACTGTCACGCTCATAATGATCTGCTACAGGTCATCATGCAGTGCGCGGCGCTACGAAGGAGAAATCGAAGAAGCTGGACGAGCTCAAAGCAAAGCGCAGAGCGAAGGACGAGAAGAAGCGTGTACGCCTCCACACTGTTTTCGTCGCGTATCTGCAGACTGACGGTAGCAGACGAGGAACTCGCCCAAGCGAGACCGCTCATCCTCGCCTGTCGACATGGAGATGTCTGACGAGGAGGAAGAGGAAGAGGGCATGATCAGTAAGTACGAGGAGCTCGAGGAGAAGGAGCGCAAGATGTACGACAAGCACAAGTCCGAAGATGAGGTCGCGACCATCTTTGACCTCGAGAAGTGTAGGCTGTCGCGAGACATGCTTGCAAAACAGTGCATGAATCCCTGGTTCGAGGAGTATGTGAAAGGTTTGTCGTCTCTCGATGTTCCAATGTGCTCGTCCTCATCATATGCAGGCGCGTATGTACGGTACCTGATAGGCCAAAAGAATGGTCAACCAGTGTATCGAGTGTGTGAGATCGCGAGTGAGCACCATGTGTTCTGTTGAAGTGCTCCCGCTCTCAACTTCCCAAGGCGTCTCATCTACCAATACGAAGACGTACAAGATCAATGACACTCTCGTCAATGAGGAGCTTGAGCTGAAACATGGCTCGTCAATTCGGCGGTTCCCAATGGATAAGGTTTCCAACGGACCGTTCACGCAGGTGAGCCTCGCCCTGATCTTCTTCTCACTAATCCTCTAAACGCGTCTCTGCAGAAAGAGTTTGACCGCTTAACAAGCACGTTAGAGCTGGACAAGCTGAAGATGCCCTCTAAGCAACAGCTAGAAAAGAAGAGTGCCCAGATGAAGAAGCTCGCCGACCAGCGGATGACCGAGGTATGGACTCTGCTGACACATCCGACGTGCCTTCTCATCTCACTCGCGCTGCACCGCAGAGCGATATCACCGCCATGCTCGCCCGAAAGAGCCAGCTCAATGCAGCGAACACGAATAAGAGCAGGTTCTCAGGGGTGTCGATGACGATCGAGAGGTCGCGGCTGATGCAGGAGCGCACACTGGCGTTCCGGAGACAGGACTACGACCAAGTGTCCATCATCGACATGAAGCTAGCGGAACTGGATGCCTCCGCCCCGCATCGCCCCGAGAGCCATAGTCAGCACATCGACGATGTCTTGACCAGAGTGAACGAGCGGAATCGCAAGGCGAACATGGAGGCAGTGCGCAAGGCCGAGCAGCAAGAGGCCGAACGCAAGCGGCGCGAGCGCAAACTGCTCGCTGCTAACACTGCGAGCGGTACGGCGACGCCGACGTTGTCTACGGATCCTAGCACACGCCTGAAGACGGTTCCGAAGTTGATGATCTCAAGGTTGGTTTACTTCGTCTCTGCTCCTCCTCCCACGACCTGTGCGAATGTCTTGTGTGATGAGTCGGGCGTTGACCGCGTCTTGGTTTGCTGTCTTACTCGCTCGTCTAGGCCTGGAACACCGGCAATGCCTGGAACGGCACCTGGGACACCGTCTCTTCTCGCCGACGCCGCAACGTCGCGCGCGGCAACACCTCTTGCGCCATCTGCACTCTCAGAGAAGACGCCGCCCAATTCCCTCAGCAACAAGACCAACTTTGAGGCTTCTGTCATGAAGACTTTGGAGATTGACCTGGGCGATTTCTAGTCATTGGTCCTGGAACTTCTGGTGGAGTTTTGTTGCTGTCACCTTGCGCATTCGTACATAATTCTGCATTGATATTTATCGCTGATATCCAATAGAAAGATGTTTTACCACTACCATCTTGGCTGAGGTACTGTTTTTCGTTTGGCCTCCCTTTTCGTCTTGTACGCGCGCCTGACTTGGTCCAGATCCCCGCCTGCACCCACTCTGCTCTTGTGGCGAGTGAGATTAGGCTCTGTCAACTCGATTCTATGACTGGATTCTGACTATGCTTCTTACCTGCTCATCCTATCGTGTTGAAATCCAGAGCATTAGTCTCGGCGTGCGTCTCTGGCTATGTCGTTGACTTCGTTTGTATCGCAAGGACGTTGTTAGTCCCTATGGGTTAAATCTCAGTGAAGTAAATATTTTCTGAAGCTGGCTCAACTCTGGACGGGCATGTACCTTGGCAGTGATCTGAGTGCGGCCAACAATGTTGTGTGGAGGCTTTCCCAATCAAGTAACTTTCATGCTGTGCCGTTGGACGTGCGTATCAAACCAAGATAGGGGTCTGTCAGCGCAAGTCATTCCCTGCCAGCGCTCGAGAAAGTGTAAGCAACTCAAAATGCGGGAATCACTGTTCTCCAACTTTCCCCCGCACTGTCATCATCTCCTCGAGCTCCCAACCGTGGACACAATCAAGACGAATGCCTGGATCGTTCGCAGCCATCGTGGCCATACGGGTTTCGACCGGGCTGCTTTCAAGCATCACCAGCATCCTTCTCAATCTTGGCGTCATCTTGTGGGATCTCCTTTTGACCGCTTATAACGCAGTCGCATCCCCACGACCTGCGGACCGGGTCGTCCCAGAGGGATGTCCGGGCGCGGGAGGGCTCTGGCCGCTGTACGTTGCGCCAACGGACGCAGACAGCAGGAGCTCCTGCCCGGCACTGAATGCTATGGCTAACCACGGTAACAATGCTCGATTTAAGACACGTTTGCAGAACTGATTTTTAACGGTAGGGATCCTGCCGCACTCCGGGCGAGCTATTCCATTCAGGCAGCTGTTCTCCACCATCCGCTCCACGTACAACTTCTCGCCCAGCTTCTGCTTCTTCGTTCCCCACTTTGCTGCGCAGATGCTGGATAGGGATTATTGGACGGATTCGTTCGACTTGAGTGACCTCAACGTGCACAATGGCATTGAGCACGATGCCTCGTTGACGCGTGCGTCCTGTTTTTCCATCCGTCCACGAGACCTCCTCCTTCCCTGCAGATATGATCAGCGCATAGATGCCGCTGAGTCCTCCAATATCTGGTAGCTGTTGTGACCTATGCAAAAACCTTCGTAAACCTACTCCTAGGTCATGATAGCTCCCGGCTATCCAGGGATCATCTGCTTATGGGCCATGAGTCGTCCTGCTTGCCACTTTTCCCAGCAGTCTACAGACCTATTCAGAGCTCCAGTACTTATGATTTACAAGTTCGTGACCACGCAGAAAACACTTGCTAACGTATTCTGCGCAGGCGAAGACACTTACCACATGAGCGACCAGTTGAGGCCCGTGGCCAGCCTCGTCGATGATCTTCTAGCGAATGGCACCGGGCCAGGAGGGGACCTGACCCCCGGAGATCTCTCCCGGGTCTTGGGCAAGCGGCGTACGCACGCAAAGCTCACAAACGGGCAGTTCAGCCTTTCAACGTTCCACAAGATGTTCGGGAGTTCCAAGTTCGTCATCCCGTCCGCTAGTCTTCATTTCGACATTTGCTGATCCCATTGGAATACCAGCTCTTCGACGCTCCTAACCATTTATGGCGGGCACGTCAAGGACCTCCGTCCGATCTTGCTCGAGGAGCGCATTCCTGAGGGGTGGCAGCCGCGCGTGCGCAGCCCGATGGGCCTGACACTCACGGAATTTAACGCGACAGTACTAAAGGTTGAGCTTGGGATCGAGGAGGAGGCGCGGGCAGGTTTCAGGGCGTGGTCGAAGTTGTTCGCGGGAACCGAAGGAAAGAAATTCATCTGAAGTGAAAATTCAGGTAAATATCCGGAGATGAATTTAGTCCAGCGGCGTTCTTAGCCGCATTCCGATAGTGCTTGAGATATTATTGGGATGTAACTGTAGGACCGATTCTTATGTCGAATGCTGAACGCGATTGATCTTCAAGTTGAACAACCTGTCCGTGACATGCACATGTGACGTGTGGTACACCGTGACGCGTACATAGTGACAGTCTCCTCCCCAGAGTAGCCTGACAGCTTGTAGGAGTGGACTGTCAATTTGCCTTTCTTCGTGCCTCAGGATATCCGTGTCTGTACAGCGGCATTCAACGGCCATTTCAACACCCCAACTAGGAAAATATCTAGCTGAAGGGTACTAAGTAAACTTTGTGGTTCATCTCTCGGTTCTGTATACTCACCTCATGTTCTTATTTGCCGGCGGGTGTTCTTTAAATGGGCTTCAACTCGAGATATTCGCAGGTTTGTCGTGTACTCGTAGATCTCATAGCACCCCCCGGTTTCTTGCGCAAATTTCTCACTTGTGTGCCATATCTTTTGATAAACAGGGACATTTCGACGACATCTAATGGCATTGAGTGAGCTCAGCCAATGGTATCACCATCGCAAAAGCACCTTCTACATCTCGGAGGGTGTTTTATTGGTGGTTAATATGTGGCGCGACAGACTCCACGATATTGACACTCCGACTCTCGGAAATTCTCTTCTCTAGCCTAGGAGTGCTTCACTCACGTATGATACCCGGTACGGCTTCTACGCGAGTAACGTGTGAGCGAATGATCTTTGGACTCAGTGAATAACATCGCGCGATACAGTCGTCTCGTACCGGAAGCTTTAACTGACTGCAGCCGGAGTTTGGAGTATGCAATCCCAATGATTCAATTTCATACGGCAATCATCGATGAAGAGAGTCTAGATTTGAAGGACCATTCTTCTGGATATACATGAAGGACCATTATGGCGCGACGGGACGACGGATGAAGCGACGAATACAGCGGCATGTCCGTCGATCTGGCTTGGGCAGCAATACTGCATCCCTTTGCAAGGTCGGTGATCAAGCTTCATTGCGCCTGAGTGCACCTGGCACGGCTGTAAACGGCAACCTGAACGACGGTTGGGTTATGTCGATGCATAACTGATCATTTGAAACTGCAGATGACTCCCGTCTTACCTCCTCCCACAAACAACACTGTGCTTCTGTTCGGGACAACGCCGTCTAGAAGGTCATGCCAGCATCTCCAAAGTTCAGCGACGGTCAGACGCACACTCTCCCATTCTTTCTTAGGATCCATTGGTTGCCATACTGCAGAACCTTGGTCAATCTATAGTCTCGCAACAATGTCCATGTGCACACAAGAAGCTATCGCATGCCTGAACGAGGTGAACCGTATCCACGCGTCTATCGGTCACGTGTACGTGATACCCGTCCTCGTTCCTATGAGGCAGCAAGCGCACCTTTGTAACCAGAGGCCGACAGAATTGGCAAACTTGCTTTCCGCAGGTAGGAACTCTTGCTACTTATACATCACTGATGATGCGATTGCAGCAAAGCTGATAGTGGCAATATCCAACAGATATTGGTATATTCATTGCAGGTTGATGACTCGGGGCCACTAGTCGATGCAGGTGAGATAGAAATTGCAAGTAGTTATTCTTCCAGTTCTTGCAATTTGTCTGGTAGTAGAGGCGAACATGGTAGTTCACGCTTGGAAGGCCTTGCACCGCTGTAACCTGTGGTCATGTTTCCAATATAGTCCTCCTGTTGCTGATAACTGGCAGTTCCGAACTCGACAGTGTGAACTCCCTCCTGGGTCCGAACCGAAGGCAATACCAATAATATAGCCGAGGGACGCGGTCAGAGCAGCAGTTTCTGTTCTCAGAACTATAGTCAGTCTTGTCTGCCTTATCTCTCGCATCTGTGACCTAACTTTTTGTCTGCACAAAAATATAGGGAATATATGTCTAAGCTCATCTAGGATGCAGAAGCACGGTCATGATCGTCTGTCTGAACTTGGCAACCGCTGTATTCGATAAAAAGCTCACTCCACCGCTGCAGCGCCACATGTTACTGCACTCTGTGCCTTTCGATACCTCTCACGGCATCTTCATTGTATCGTCAATTCACTTTGACTAATAAGGTCCTGTTGCTTGGCAAAGGTTTTTCAAGCTGTCGCTTCAGCTGGCACGACCCTGACCGCCTTTACACTGCGTGGTTTTGGCTCCGATATTTACCTTCGTCACGACATGGAAGATCCGCGGTCCGCCTGGTCATGCTCCTTGCTTTCTTTTCAGGCGTCTGCTGCATTGACCTTGGGTGTTAATGGTTGCATCCTTGGGTCGAATATACTGTGGTCTCATAGATGCGCTCGGTCGCGCAGAACCAGGTGACCGTCCGGATTGAAAGCTATAAAGGTGTTCTATAAAGGACTGTCGAGATCGCAAGATCTTCATAGCACCACATTCTCATACATTTTCCGCTAGTCACGGAGATGAGGAACTTAGCTGTTGCCATTGCTCTAGCTTCGACTGCATCACTGACAACAACCAGAACGATGACCGTTCAGAATGCTTGTCCTTTTACTATCTGGTTTGTGATTTCAACGGACTCACTGTATCACTTATTGGATGACTATGTAATCATAGGCCTGCGGTGAGTATATCGTTTGACGATGTTGGTCCGTCATCTCATCTTCCGCCATATTACTTGCAGATGTTCACTGGTCCCGGATCTCCTCTGCCGAATTATACTACCGGGTTGGTACCGCGCATCGGGTTTATTGGTGAAAGAATCCACTCATTTGCGAACCACAAAGGTGGGAAGCCGGAGCTAACTCGGCAGTCTCCTTCACTGTTCCTGACAATTGGTCGACTGCCCGTATCTGGGTGAGCACCGATATTCCATCTTTCTGTACAATTTTTGATAGCTAATTTCAAGGCTCGCCGTGATTGCAACTTTTATGATACAAACCCAGCTACTCAGTGCGCGTCTGGCGGCTGTAATGGAGGTCTAGTCTGTGATGCTACGACAGGAACTGTAAGCTTATAAATTTTAGTTGCAGTGAATTGGTTGATACATTGGCGAACACGTAGGGTATTCCCCCCGCTTCTCTCGCTGAGTTTACCTTGGGCACCAATGGCGCTGCAGATTGGTACGACGGTGAGCGTCCTATCGAGTTCTCTCTGACACGGCCACTCACTATATCTGGACGCATATTAGTGTCGCTGGTCGATGGGTTCAACTTGCCCATGTCTATCACTAACAACGTGGGCTGCGCAGTGGCAGACTGTCCGGTGGACCTAGGACCAAATTGTACGCCGCTTTCCTGACATGGCAGCACCAAGTATCCGATATGGTCAATGTTCTCCCCTAATGTGCAGGTCCTGCAGCGCTTATTGGCCCGTTTGATTCTACTGGATCCCCGATCGGATGCAAGAGTGCCTGCGAGGCCGGTCTGAGCAGTGATTCTCGTAAATCGGGTCTATGCTCGTATTTGTTGACCGTGTACTAACACTGAGTGCACCTCCCAGGGAATTCTGCTAATTGCTGCACCGGAATTCACGACACGGCTGCGACGTGCCCTTCGTCTGGCGTAGAGTACTACTCCTACTTCAGTACGCTTCGCCTTTCACTTCTCATCCTGCAGAGCGAGCGACTGAACTGGTGCGCATCACAGAGAGCAACTGCCCGAACTCATACTGCTATGCTTACGACGAAAGTAGCGGTACCGCCTTGTGGACCTGCGACTCCACGCTCCAGGCCGACTATACCGTCACATTCTGCCCTTCCGTGTAACCTGCTGAAGGCTGCTGTTTCTTTTCAAGGAAAGCTTGAGTATGGAACGCAAGTCAAATTCGGCATGCGAGGCAGTTGCACTACGGTGTTCCCCACGGTTTTGAGCTGCGTTTTTTGGTCCTCTGCGCGACTGATGATATGTAGTAGTTGTATGATTCAATGTCGTGACGAACGTAACCCACTTTTTCATGGAAACGTCAACACTCATAAACACACCCACAACAAACAGCCCCAGCGATATAATGATGCTTATCCTCTCCAGCGGCCAGCTGCATACATCCAGATCATGATTACTCTTAAATTGCCGTGCAGACATACAGAATATTTTAAACCGGTTTGTCGAACACGTCGAACTCGGAGCAGTGAGCCTGAAGCCAAATGGGGGCCTGGTTGTGTCCCCGGGCACTCCGTTCTTGGCAATGTGATTGTGGCACGCAAGTGGCACGACCTGCGTAGCGGGAGACCGGCGAGCTTGCAGACGACCAAGTTCGAGAACTAGCAATTACAACTCAGAGTAAAATCAATCCCGCAATCCTGATACGATGGGCTTCATGCTGACCCCTTTAATGTTGCGCAGAATATTCCCCAGACGCCTATTTTCCACCGCCGTCTCGACGGATAGTCTCAGCTTCAACGGACGCATCCTTCCTTTCAGGTGGCTGCGCGATTCCTGTCAGTGTCCGCAGTGCGTGCATCCGTCTACGCGCCAGAAATTGCACAGGACTTCCGATATTCCTTTGGATGTACACCCGACTGCCAATGGGGTGAAACATGCAAACGACGGCCTACACATACGATGGGGGTCTGGACACGAGTCATACTACGCTGGTGAATTCCTCGAGCGGTATTCCTCGCCGCAGAGGTTGCACACCTTTCATGCGGACGTAGACCCGCATCCATGGGACGTTAAAGAGCTGCGATCGGCGACGGATCTGTATCTTTCGTACGCAAGCATTCAGACATCTTCAGGGTTGTCAACGGCTATCACACAGCTCGTACGATACGGCCTCCTCTTCGTGACGGGTGTTCCGAACGCTGAGTCGTCCAACGAGGCGTGCGAGCTGCGCAAGCTGGCGGAGCGCTTTGGCGAAATTCGTCCGACGTTCTATGGCGAGACCTGGGACGTGAAGGATGTGCGCAACAGTCGCAACATCGCGTACACTAACATTGATCTCGGACTTCACATGGATTTATTGTGCGTAGTACTGTCACCTTCCCCCTGGCTGCTGCTAAACGCGTAATTTTTTTAGGTATTTCCAGCACCCTCCGCGTTATCAGATCCTGCACTGCCTGCGGAACCGCGTCTCGGGCGGCACGTCCGTCTTCGTCGACGCGCTGCACGCCGCGTTAACCCTCCGCGCATGTAATCCCGCCGACTTCGTTACTCTGGCGTCCACCCCCGTCGCGTTCCACTACATCAACGACGGGCACCACCTGCACTTCGAGCACCCAACCATCCAGCTTGCCCCTACCCCCACACCCATGTCCGCATCAACATCCACGTTCAGCGCAGACTTGGACCCTGACGTACGCGCGATCCAGTACATCAACTATTCCCCGCCGTTCCAGGCACCTCTACCGTCGTCCACGCCCGCGCCATTCTACTCTGCACTCCAGCGCTTCGTCGAGCTGCTCGAATCTCCCGCCGCGCGATATGAGTACACGCTACGTGAAGGTGACGCGGTGCTGTTTGACAACCGCCGCGTGCTGCATGCGCGTACCGCGTTCCAGGACCACGAAGCTCTCCATGGGGAGGATGCAACGAGCCGGTGGCTCAAGGGGTGCTATCTTGAGGCCGATGCGGTGCTCGATCGCGGGCGGGTGTTGAGGCAGCAACTGTAGTAGTGTCGGTGAGCTGCGTTGTCGTTGATTACGCATGCGTGTACGATATTCCTCATAGTGCGTCTCTGCTCCACAGGTGTACTTACCTGTCATGGAATACAAGAGGAATCATATCCGGACGAGTGTCTGCTTAAGGTCGCCATCTACCACAGCCAAGGCAAGCCACAGCATCACTACGGGCCTATACTGTAATCTTTTTGTCCTAACATATCAGTACCGAACCATGAAACCTAACAGTACTGTTGTATAACTTCATAGGTACAAGACTCCCTGCAGCGGCTCAGGAGATAAAGACATCGGCAGCTAGGAGGTCGTATCTATGCGAGACGCGCACGCGAACAATAAAGAAACTAACGAGAACACACGCGATATAGAGCGAGATAGCGAGATGAACTTGCGGAGGAAAGCAAGAGGCACAACGAGGAAACGACTCAGCACGCACCAAAGGAGCGCCAATATCAACTTCGTCTCTGTCAACATCTTCCCACCAATTTATCCCTGATCTCCGGCACGCCCTCCAACCACGGGTGCTTCAACAGCTCAGAAGCAGACGCACGATCATTCTTGTCCAGCACCAAGCACCTCTCAATGAATGAGATAGCGAGATCCAGCTCGGTGTCCCCTTCGTCCGTCACGATGAACACCTGGTGCTGCAATAGGCGCTCTCTAACACTAGCAGGACGCAATATGTTCGATGGAATGTGGCGCAACGTGCCTGTGTCAATCGCAACGTACGGAACTGTGAACAATGCGGTGGGGTACAGAATTGGGGCGAGGTACCTACCATCGTTATTTGCAACGTTCTGAGCTCCCTCGCACATGTGTTGAGGAACCCGGTCGAGATTGTGGATCTCGAGGTATTTGGCAAGCATGTATTCGTCGTCTGGCCACTGTAGATCAACTGGGATGGAGAAGAGCTTCCTGCTTACCAGGGTTTCAAAAGTCTGTTTGCCATGAATTTGGGATGAGCGTCCTATACACCCTGAGGGAGTTCAAACATACCACGCATCCGAATGACCAGATATCGACCTTGGCATCCCAAGGCAGTCCCAAGATGATCTCAGGCGCTCGCAGCTGCAGTGGTTGCATGCGATTTGTTCGTTTCTGATGCAAGAACTGAGCTGTATGACGGAAAATGCGAACGAGTGAGCGATGGAAACCGAAAACGATGTGGCGGCGTACGCACCAGACCCAAAGTCCGAAAGTTGAAAAGTATACTGCGGGACATGAAGCGTCAAATATCCTGGGACAGGTAGCGGTTGGGACACAATAGTCTCCACATCGACACCGTCGATACGGCGGACCGGGTACTTCTTTGGAGGGCGAGACTCCAGATGAATGTTGATGAGTTCGTCCCTGAGCGACTGCTCAAACGACAGGAGAATGTTGTTTGGTTTGATATCTACATTTGTAGAATAACGCGGATGAGAGACTCTGCGATAAGAGACAATGTCCGTGCTCACCAGTGTGGACAACGCGACATTCGTCATGTAAATACTGAAGAGCCAAGCAGAGTTGCCAAACGAAGAGCTTGGCCAGCTTGCCCGCGAATCCTTTCTCGGCGACCACCATGTCTTGAATCTCCTCCAGGCTAAGACCAGCCACTTCGGTCAAGAGACACTGATATCTGACTGAGTGGCGAGTGATAATGAATTCGCCAATTAACTGGATACAATGTTCTGCACCGGGCGAAGAAGTGGGCTGGGAGATGCCGTAAAATACGAGGCTCATCGAGAATGGGATGTCCAGGGATTTTCACTTGTCCATACACGAAACGAGTTGCGTAGTCGGTGAGAATCTTCAACGCTAGTACGCGACCCTTCCTGTCAAATACCACAACTGCGCATCAGAACACATGTAGGATTGACAGCACAGGCAAAGCGGAGTATCGACATACTCGCGATCTTTGACCATCCATACTGTGGCGTAACCCCCCCAGCCCAACTTGCGGAGAATTTGGAATCGACCGTTGGGCCCGAGAACATCGCCAATGTTGACAGGTGCATAGCCATAACCGTCCTCAACTTTAAGCGTCACGGGTTCCTCATCGAAGAAATCCTCTTCACATACCACGTCGTTCGACGAGTCTGGCTCTCAGGGCTGCGAAGACACGGGTAAAGCTGTCGAAATTCAAGTCGATAGGGAGGGAACAACTCAGTCTTTCGGCTGTATTTTGAGGACGACGATACATAGGTTCCGAATCGAGCCGCGTCATTAACCGCGACAGTCACGGGTCACATGATCGTGACACGACCTCGTCTTCCTAGCACCGCAGACTCGGAGGGTAATATCTTCTAGAGCCTCAGTCTATAGGCTATGCTCGTTTTGTTTGTGACTCTCACCTTGCTTGAGAAATTAATGCAGACACTGAGAGGTATGTGGCGCTCTTAGGACCGTCGACTGGCGTTTTATTAGCCTATCTCATGTACATGATGGGTATTCAGCCCTCATAGTTTTCCATGCTGGACACAAAAATTAAGGAACGCGTGGCACATTTAAATCAGTGTCCCAGGAAATGCTTGACGTAATGAGGAACCCTGATAGTTCCCTGGCAATCGGACAAGTCCTTCGTGTGCTCTGTCGGGTATAACAGACTTGGGGAGAAGACGGTTACCTGTCAGGCGGTTCCCCTGGACGTCGATGCTTATGAGCACAGGAGGACGGGAAAGATAAGGTTCGACTGTGTGGCTATCGCCGCTCGTCCCGTGTAGCTGCTTAATTGTCCACCTTCCACAAAACATTTTAGCGGGTGACTCAAAGGTACCTTCGCTTTCAACGTGCCTACCAAGACGCTCCCAGTCCCATCCTCATTCTAGATCATCTCGGCACTATTGGCCTGCCTTTGATTAGGCGTGAAGCAGAGGTGCGATTATGCCTCATGCTGAACAAACACCGGTAGGGGAGGGTGAGCGCACTGTTATCGACAAGACCGTGCGTGACACATCAAAATGGATGCCGAACAGGTACGGTGACGCCAACTTCCCTTCTCGCAGTACACTGGGCATGCACAGGTCCGGTTTAAGGCCACTGTAGTCTTCTTACCCCCAAAATGTGTGCACAACTCAAAATTTCTGCAAGCAAACTGCGTTGGGAGCTCTACAAACTGCTCCCCTTCGAGACCGATTCTCGGTGCGTCTATTCTGTTATTACCGACGCTAGCTTATCAGTATATGTGCATTGCAGCTTCCTGCCTCATGTCGAATGTGTAGCACTGACCACCATTTGTGCGAGGTGCTGATTTTATTCCCAGCGCTGAGGAAGTCAATGGGATTCCGGCATCCGATGATCGTTGTCGTGCTGCCCTAAGTTCACTGGTGGTGACGCCCACGTCTCTCATGGCAGTCTGCAGTATACGACACCAGTGCAAAGAGTCTAATGCGGACGACGGTACTCGCCTGGTACATGGAGGTGACGTACGGAGTAAGGTTATCGGAGTGATCACGAACAAGTGCCGCGTCTCAGCCTCCTCCGTGCTACAATGTTGCTTCGTCCGGCGCTGTCTGCTCACATGTCTGTCATCGATCCTGCTGTCATGGGAGCACGCTTCGGGTGAGAAATCCCTGGATGATGTATTATTCTGACGCACAAATACTCCCTACGCGGATCTCCGAGGTGGCGCGCTGAAGGGCAGAGACACCTTCGCACCTCAACAATCTGGCCTTTCTCCTTAGCCCGGTGAGCGTTGTGTCACGCCAGAGGTTGCACAGACAATCGCGGGTCGGCTGGGCCGGAGCCCAAGCCGGTACGATTGCATCGACCACTTGGTCAACCTGGACGAAGCACCCATTTGAGGTTGACAATAGTGCACAAATTTTCCCTGCTGATTTGGCTGTCATGCTCCTGTCTATTGACTGCGGGGAGCATCGGTATGAGGGTTATTTGGGGAACGTGAGATCCATCATCTCTCTCATATTTACTTCGATGATTAATGTTCTAGTTCGCTTGAATGTTAGGAATTTCTACTTCTCGGTTACTCCATGCTCTCTAATGTTCGTCGCATCATCCTTGTAATCTAGCCTACCTGGACCAATAATAATGACACTCTACAGCGGAGACATCACCGACGCGACATCGCCCGCCGGACAGATTCACGCCAGCCTTCACGCGAAGAAAATCAGATTGGGTAAACTGATAGATCTGCGTACCTTCAGTGAGTACGTTTCATCACAGTAATGTCAGCTTCCTTTACCTCTCCTTAGTTGCACGAGATCTGAACCATATTGCTCTGAATGACGCAGGAATGCTTCGGGCGTCTACACAGAGCTCTGGAAATCAAAAGCGGACACAGACGTAGATGATTCCTCAACTACTCACCGAAGATCCAGCAATAATGATCCTCCTCGCCATCTGCACTTCGGCTCGAGCACCCGACGATCCAGCTTGGCGCTGCGACAACACTCACGTCTACGTCCACGCCCACATTCGTAACAGAAACAACGCACGATCATCAACTATTCTCCGCCGTCCCAAACGTCCCTACCTTTATCCACACTCGTGTCCTTCCATTCTGCGCTTTGTCTGGCTGGTCGAATCTTCCGCCACGCGGTATGCGCGCATGCTGCGTGAAGGCGATGTGATACGTTTGACAAACCCCCATGCTGCATGCGCGTAGCGCTTTTGAAGGCCGCGAGTGGAGAGGTGCCACCTCGAGGCGGTACCCGACCGCGGGCGGACGTTGACGTTGAGACGGCAACTGTAATAACAGCCGGAAACAGCGTCGTAATTGCTCATTGGGCTGCGGCGTATTAAAAAAAAACTTATACCATAACATATGTACACTCCCGCTCAGTATCTGCTACAGCCAAAGCAAGCCACAGGATCACAATGAACCCAAGGTCGTAAGATATCAGCGCCAAACCAAGAAACACAAGATTACTCTCGTACAACTCCAAGATAGGTGACGAATAACATAAACACACATTGCGGATGGGTATTGTCTATGTGAGATCGATGACATCCTTCGGGTCATAGTTAGTTTTCTTTCTCTTCCTTGGCGGCTCTCCGTCGGCCCTCGCAGGGACCGCTGTCGATATCGAGGGTGCAGCAGCCGGTGGTGCAGCAATAGTACCTGGCGGGGGAGCGTTGCTCGTGTAGACCGCCTGGAAGCGCACTGGTTGACCTGACATCCCCGGTACTAGTGTTTGAGACGCAGTCGGGATCGCCGGCGGCAGTGCGGCCATATATGTCACCGGCATCACCGGCAAGGTTCTTTGTGCATTCTGAGCCAGTAACGAGGCAGCTGGGAGAGCGGGTTTGGGTATGCTACTGCTGCTGGACTGTGCTGTAGCAGCGCCAGATTTCGCCTTCAGGAGGTCGATGATCTTATCGTAGTCCTCTGTGAGGATCGCTCTGAGCTGCGTCATGTCGTTGCTGATATCCTTCAGCAGGGTCAGGCCTTTCTTCTGGTCTGAAATCCAACGGACGGGCTCGTAGATTACATCCTTCTTGGAGACCTGCAAAGCAGATCATGAGTAAACCGGCCTGTTCGACCAGACGACGTCGCGACGAGAAACGGAAACACACCGTTAAGCCTTGCGGCGACGTCCGGACGGTATCCCAGGTGGCGATCGACCATGCATATCTCTGCAGGAAGTTCTCCACGTGCTTGCGCCTCGGCGCACCGATGCGCTGCCATGTCTGGCTTTTCTCTGGCTGCGACGTTAAGAAGGCGCGAACCGGAGCGCACTCTCCACAATTGCAAGTCCACTTCTGCAACTCCTTGAGTTTCGCCGAGGCGTCTGCTGGTCGCGGGCCAAGGACCTTTTCGGTATATGCGAGCATGATTCCGCGGAACGCAGAAGAGAAAGGAACGGTGCTCAGGGAGGTTTTGTATTTGGCAGCCAGCTTGCGCAGAGCCGGTACGAGTGGTACCAGATTGCTGGTGACGTAGTTGCTTTTCAGCACAGTCGGGCTTAGGAGGCGGTCGAGAATGGTGCTGGAGGCTTCTGGTACGCCGATGGCAATGCAACATTCGAGAGCAGCGATTACTTGTGAGACATCTGCAACTCCGGTTGCGTAGTTTAACGTTACCCAATTGTAATTTGGGGCAGGGGCTTGAACTGGTAAGTCGACCTTTAAGGCGTAGCGCTTCACCAACTTGACGATGACAGCCTGAAGCTCTTGACGTTGCTGGTCCGTGAAGGAAAATTGCTCTCTTTTGGCGTGAAGCTCTTCGAAGAAATCACGGAGCGCAGAGGCTTCCAGGGGCAACGCCTCCATCTTCGGGACAACGCTGTTATATCCTGTGCATTAGACAATGTTCATAGGCAAATTCACTAAGACTTACAAGGATACAACGAGCTGAGGTTGACCGCAGAGAATGAGAGCCTGAATGACTGAAGATATATCTGCACGGGCCACGATTCTTGGGTTCGCGCGGGCGGAATCCAAGTAAACTCCTATTGCTACTTTGCTCAGTTTCTCTAGTCCAGGTATAGGACGGCTGGGAGAGCGAGACTTCACGTAGGCACTCAGACCTGTCAAGAGCGGAAGCCAGATCTCTTTGACGCGCTGCTGAGCAACTTGGGGTGTCACGCCAGATGTATCTGTGAGCTTGTTAAAGACTACCTCCGCCAGATCATCGTTCTGCGTGGCGAGGCATGAGATAACATAGACCCGAGCGAGTTCTAAATGTGTTTTGGAATTCGAAGGGTCGACGGGTTGTCCCCAGGAGTACGACGGGGTCGATGCTGTCTTCGGAGGATAGAGATTGAGCTTGGATATAGCTGTGGATAGGAGGTCCTTGACAATGCGACTGCGTACATCCGTTTCTATGGCTTGGCCCTCCTTATGCAGGAACACAGCAAACTCGCGAATGAATTGAAGATCGGCTACCCCCTTGATCTGGGGCGTGATGCTAGAAGTAGTTCAATAATCAAGGAATATAATCAATTAGCAGAAATGAATACTCGCTTGTTTTCCAGATATGCAGTACCACCGAACTTATCCGCCAAAGATAGAAGAAGCCTCTTTTCATACTTTTCAGGCTTCTTGAGTGACTGGGCAGCTTTAGTGTATTGCTCCGTGATCCAGCTCTTGATGTGTGCAACAAACTCAGCGGAATGCTGCTGAGCCACCCACTTCTCGAACCTTTCCAAAAAGCCGAACCTCGCAATGTTACTCGGGTCCCTCTCTAAAGCACTCCCCAAGCTATAACTGGATATTAGGATGGGGCCCCATGCCGGGCAAGGTTACTCACATGGACTTGATTTCATCCAAGCCGAACGTCAAAACCGCGTGAAAAACGTTTTCGTCCCCCAGAGCCGAGATACTGCTTTCAGCGTCACATGCTTTTACGGCACGAACCCAGATAGACACGTCTCTCCAGACAACTGCAGCATGGCAGACACTCTCCGTGACGGCTCCCTTGTCCATAGTTGCATTGCGAAGTACGTAGTCGGTTAACTCAGTCTCTTCGCGTGTGGGCTTGCGTGAATCTGTCCCGTGGAGGATGTCGCATGCGTCAGTGAGGTCACCATCGTAGAGAATGTCGTTATTGGCCCAGTGCGGCCAGATTACGAGGACGGTACGGCGGTACCCTGAAAACCGCGTCAGAGAGCACTCGGCCGAAATTGAGAAACGGGAAACTTACAACGCTCGAGTGAACCAGCACCCTGGAACACTGATTGTCAGACTGAGTATAGGGGATATAACGATGAGAGCTCACGTTGCCTAGATAACCCTCGTACTCTTGGTCATCATAGTCACCAGCCTGGAGTATATCGGCTAGATTGGCGGGGATGGTTTCTGCGCCGTCGTCACAGTCAAGCTCGTCCCTGATGGGTGCTCCGTCCAGGTTGACGAAGTGGTCGATGCTGAGAGCTGTGTCCTCCACTTCTGCCATTCCCACGTCGTCCACGTCGTCCTCGTCATCCTCGTCATCATCATCGTAGCCCCCAAACCAGCTTCGGCGGCGCCCATAGCTGCCGCGCCCGTAATCTTCTGCATAGCCTGTGACGTGGCACACAACGCTCGCGAGGCCAACGTGGAACCCCAGCTGTTGAGCAAGGTTATTGAGGAGCGAAACTTTGTGAGCATCCGCGCCCTTCAGCGCGCTACCTCGGAGATTCGCCTGTGAGTATTTGTGGGTCAAAAGGTACAGCAGCTTCGCCGGCGCCTTCTGGCCTCTATCCTGCTTCCATGACAGGAGGACGTGCCGGAGCGGCTCGACAACAGACATTTGAGTAGACAGTGCAGGGCGCAACCCCGTTGTGGTATGTATGAGGTTGAACGATAGCGCGAGCCGGTACCCGCTAGTGATAGGCTTAATCTCGTGCATCACGTCCGTGTACCAGGCGAGCACTGTCGTCTGCATCAGGCTCTTCACACTGGTGTTGTACACCGCAGAAAGGCTTCCATGAGAGACGTGCGCGTCACCACCGGTGAACTTAGAAGGGAGCACGATAACGATCGTCGCAAACATGCCGTTGGCTTTCTCTGTACTGTAGTGAAGTCAGTATCTCGCACATATAATAGTGCATGCTACACACTCGACATGAGGCAAGAAACTAAAATGTGAAGATCAATACGCTGGGAGGAGACGATGACAGAAAGGACGCACTGAGAATCGGTCTCATACAGGAGCAGTTTGTAAAGCTCGCATCGCGGTTTGCTAGCAGCAATGTTGACACCCAGCTCCGCACACACTTCTTGAACGACCCTATCCAAAAAGAGGTTCCATGCAGGGCTGTCGAACCGGACCTGGGCATTCTCAGCGCATCTTCGCAACAGCGCGTGGCGGCGTCATCTTACCTGCTTAGCATCCATCTCCCAGGTGTCTCGGACAGTTTTGTCGATGACAGTGCGCTCGCCCTTTCCAAACGGAGCTTGTTCAGCTTGCGACTTGATCGCCTCCGCTTCGCGTACGCTCAGGGGCAGACCAACAGTTCCGAGATGATCAAGATTCAGGATTGGATTGGGAGCATCTGGGTACGTGCGGTTGAATGCAAAGGTGCCTTTGAATGCGAGATCTCCTGCTAAGATATCGCGGAAGTCTTCCTAGTGGACAGTCAAATGGATGGAAGAGGTGAGTTACGGCAGCCACGCACTCGAATGTCCTGCGATGGGTTTTCGACGGGAGGCCCCTCTTCCTCTTCCTCTTCAACTTCATCATCTTCGTCCTCATCATCTTCATCTTCTTCGCTGTCCTCTTCCTGCGCTTCGACGTCCGTTGGGACGGCCCGAGAGAGCACCGTCTTTCCCCCAAATTCGCTGTATGGAACGAATGTCCCACCTTGAGTTTCGATGACCCCTGTTTCTGAGCTTCCTTTCAATGGGAAATGTTCGGGTTCTTCATCGTCAGGCATTTCCGGGGGTGCCGATGCTGAGCTCCTGACAGTCTTGCCTCCAAGCTGTCCTGGAAAAGGTGCTACTATCTCTTCCTGAGCAACCGGAGGCGCACCATGGACATCTTTTCTGATATTGCCTGGTAGCTTGAATGCATCCTGCTATGTTGACCATTTCGTTAGGAGGAGGAGGCGGAGAATTAACAACGTACTCCCTGCGATTGATTCTCAGCCGAGGGTTCCAAATCCTCATCACTATCTCTCTCATCACCATGACCTCTCTCTACGTCCAAAGAAGCTGCCTGAGGTATGATTGTCTTTCCTCCCAAACGGTTGTGAGGGGTAGAAGTCCCGCTATTAGGCTCTCGCAGTACAGCTTTTGGAACATCTTCCGGCTTGATGCATTCCATGAAGAGTGGATTAGATGGAGGTGTGGATAGTTTCAGAGCCTCTTCATGATTGAAGTCCGAGAATCTTGCTTCATTTTCTTGCTCCACGTCTTGCTTCAAGGTCACATGCGCACCGGGTGAATCTGCAGGCACCGGTTCTTCCTTAACTTTTATGTCCAACATTTAATGATATGGATACTAATGATGATTACAATGAGGTCTGTTAGTAGGAAGATGTCAGTGTATGGTCTTGATGCAACATTTTGTTTCGGGACGCATACCTTTCAGGACCTGTATTATATCAACAAGGCCACAACTCCGAGATTATCGAAACAAAAGGTGCGTTGATGTCGCCTATGGTTCGCAGCTGTAACCAATTGTGCTCATCTGCTGGAGAGACGAGTGGGCAAGAGGGAGGCTTTCGAGAAAGAGGAGCCTAAGTCACAGATCACATGACCTGTGACTTTCGCGGACAGTCGCAAAGGAGTTCCCCATAATGACAGAAGAACTGCCTTGCGACGCAGGTGGCGTCAGGACGCTGCTACTATTGCTCAGTCCCGCCATATGCATATGCCAGTGTTCGGCTCTCCGGGGGCGCTGCAAGGCGCACTACAGGCATAATGCAGTGCAGAGGCACGGAATTCAAGTTATACCACTCTTTATCCACCCGCAAAGGCCTGAGTTTCCCGATATGAGGGATAATCGTGGACCAATGACTGCTTTGGCCCCGACATGTCGGGGAATATTATATTTACTTCTAGGCGGGAACCGCGCATGGCACACTTAGTCGACGCGACGCGTGCGTGCTTAGAGCACTAGCCCGTGCCATAAGTACGTACTATTCTGTGCTGCGGCCGCTCTGAGTACGTGTTCCTACTAGTACGCATCTCCCGGTGGATGTGACTTTTTGCCGTTTCCATGTGCACCCATAATCCACCTGACAGCTTTCGATCCTGAATACTCATCAATCTTTTCTACCCAATGGTCATTAGTAGAACTGGATGTATCACTGTCCGGTTCTGACTTGTGTATTTGATGTATCAAATCCTCACATACACCTGGCGCGATGGCCATCCATACTCACATCAAATCCCGGTGACACAGATTTGTGAAATCTTGACACGGAGGAAGCTATTCGCAGTTCCAATTGATCTACAGTGGCCAGAAGTCGAGGATGTACTTGCTAAACATCTTGAGATTCAGTCTCGGCCGGGTCCCTGAATATATGCGCGCGGGAGCTGGGAAGGTGATCAATGAGGATGGTGCGTACCTCGTTCCCCCACCATTGACCACCCTGTATGACACTTGATCAAGGTACACTGCTCCATATTCCACTGAGCTCGCTACATTCCACCAGTATCAGAGAGTGCTTATTACAGCACCAGGTCTAGATTGTAACCAACGAAATGGACACAGTGTTGGACCTTGCTATTTCATTCATTGAGAAGTGCCTGGTGCTGGACCGGCCTTCTGCCTCTGAACTGTTGCAGCACCTGTGGCTTGAAGGCATACAGGAGCTCAGGGATCAATTTTTGGGAAGGGATCAGAGCGATCGGGATTGATGTTGGTGACCGTGGCACTGTTATCGTTGCTGAGTACGTTCATTTCCTCCGCACGCTCCCTGTCGCTGTATGTCATGTATTTTATAGTTGATCTCTCCATTCAACAAGTATGGGACCAGAGCTCACCACTCACTGCTCATGATGTGCCCCCCAGACGCCCTGCTAACGTTAGGACGTTCCTCTTTGAGAATCAAGCTCTTGGACGTCCGTGGTAATCGATATCGGCCGGTAATCTGAGAGCAAGAAATCCAACTTGGGTCTGTCACAAATCACAAGAAGTGTGACTGACGCGCAATGCGTTCAGCGCGGCTAATAGTCACGGTAATCGCGACTTCACAACATGTTATCTGCTCCCCTGTTTTTGTATATCTGGGACAAACCTATATACCAAACGCTCCGGTTAATTCAATCACAAATACAAGCTGTGGATCCTGGGAAAAGTGGAAGAGATGCTCTCCCGACAGTCAGAGTCCGAGTCTCCAGAAATTGTCTCTGTTAATATGTCTTTAATCCGCTCGTTAGAAGGCCAGTCCGATCTTCGCTTGACATGAAAGGACATGAACGTATGCAGCGTGCGTACAATGCTCAGGTGAGCGTTGTTTCCGATCTGAGAAGTTGCTGTCGCAGGATCCCATGCTGAAAGAACTCTGCCAAGACTCGGAGTGCGGGCCAGCACTTGACGGCCATGACCGCAGCCAAACCTATTGGACGACGTTATTGGTCACCGTACAGACCCCGCCGTTGTTCCGTTCAACCCATGCGGTCCGTCTAAAGCCGTCGAACCTACGCAGCCGAATCCAAGAATTATTGCACTATCCATTTGCGTGCATATCTCAAAAATATGCTTCCAAATGCACATTGCCATACCATTACTCCACAGTCGTTTCTATGCCTCACTCACGAAATGGACCCGTTGAAGTCAGCAACAGGCAGATGGCAAGACCAAAAAGGTGCGTGATACGAAGAATGGACACGATGCCTCGACGAAATGATGTGCTGGCGAGATCTGACAGCCAAGCTTTCTACAATATGCCCGTTGCAAGTCAATTGAAGTGGGTAATTCGGGGTATATGCGGGGTAATCACTGCGAACCAATCACGCGGAAGTGCAAAGTGTGCAGACGAATGGTCACCTGGGTAGACGGACGCTATCGTTCAGTTGCATCCAATGAAGCCTCGAGATATTGTTAAAGTTTGTCTCGGTGCTCGAGGTATAAATATTTCGTGCACCTCGGTGTGCTTGTCGAAGCAGTCTTGCGTCAGAGCGGTCCCCCGTTTGTTCGCAATGGCTGTTGGAGGCACTGCTGCAGTTGCTCAGAATGCAGGCTATGCTCATCTCGTCGATCCGAACAGGAAGTGGTACAACAATCGACGGTAGTCGTTCGACTTCTTCTCCCAAAAGCATAGTATCCTGACCACATTTGCATGTAGTCTCATCGCCCTCCATGCCTGGATCTTTCTCTTGTAAGTATTCTTCTCAACTCTGAGGGCGAGTCCATGCTGATGTAGCAATCGTCGAAAGCCTCCTTACGTCCTGCACAAATGGTTTCGACGGCAGCTTGATGAACAGCTTCCAGTCATTGGGGCAGTGGGAGACGTACTTCAATCACCCTTCGGGCGGCGGACTGGGTCTTCTGAACGCAATTCAGGTACGCGCTCCGCTGGAGACTCACATAATTATCCGTTACCTTCCGCGGTAGAATATCGGCTCACTTGCAGGCTATCCTTTCGCTCCGTACCTCTCGGACGGACTGGGCCGTCGGCCAACCATCTGGATCGGTGCAGTTATCATGCTGGTCGGGGTAGCAGTCCAATCTTCAGCCTATAACCTCGGCATGTTCATCGGGGCAAGGTAGGCCATGCGATGATGGATTCCCTAGTGTTTTTCTAGCTGATGACGCTGGGCAGATTCTGCGTCGGATTTGGTTTGACATTTGCAGGTGAGAGCCACTGAACGTTGACTTTTCCAAACTCTGGGCTAATCAACGCGTAGCAAATGCCTCGCCGATGCTAGTCACCGAGATTTCGTATCCACCATATCGGGCACCGCTTACTTCCGTCTATAACTCCCTGTGGCACTCCGGAAACGTTATGTAAGTACCAGTTCACAGTATTCCAGCGTCAACACTTAGCTTCTGGCCTTGCTCAGTGCTTCCTGGACGACGTTCGGAACGTCAGGTATCCGCACTACTTGGTCATGGCGGATCCCGTCCCTCATGCAAGGCCTGCCGTCGGTCCTGCAAGTCATATTGATCTTCTTCGCCCCGGAGAGCCCTCGTTGGCTTATCTCGAAAGGCAAGGACTCTGAGGGACTTCGCACTCTCGCATACTATCACGCCGATGGCGACGAACAAGATCCGCTAGTGCAGTACGAGTATCAGGAGATCAAGGCTGCTATTAATATTGACCGTCAAGGTGCGTTTCTTTCGCATTTTTATTCAGCGTGTCAGATTGAATTCGCGCGTTTTAGCATCCAAAAACATAGGGTGGAAATCCCTGGTTGCCACACGTGGTAATAGAAAGCGGATCATCATCATCATTGCGATTGCTTGGTTCTCGCAGTGGTCTGGGAATGGTCTCGTATCATACTACCTGAACAAGGTTTTCGACACTATCGGCATTACAAGCCAAGTGATCCAGTTACTAATAACTGGGTATACCTTTTTTATACATTTTTTGTTATTTCTCGCTAATGATTGGCATCTCGTAGTATTCTCGCAGTATGGAATCTCGTTCTGGCCGTCGGTATATCGTTCTTCGTGGACAGGCTGGGCCGCCGCTTTCTTTTTTTGGCCTCGGCGGGCGGATGTTTGGTCTTCTTCATCATGCAGACCGTATGCTCTGCGCAGTACGCCATGCACAAGACGGCTGCGTTTGGGCACGCATATATCGCATTCATCTTCCTGTATTCGTTCGCCTACGAGTACGTTGTCTCGTAAATCTCGGTGGTGTACCCTGACATTGCTGTTGTAGCCTTGCCTTCTCGCCTCTCATCGTCACGTACTCGGTTGAGATCCTGCCATACTCGCTGCGCGCGAAGGGCTTCAACGTCTTCAACATCGTCATCTCGCTCGCGCTCATCTTCAACCAGTACGTCAACCCGATCGCGCTCGAGAAACTTGCATGGAAGTACTATGTGAGTCCCTCCTCCCGTGCTTGAGAATATGGAGCTCGTATCTGACACGTTTGCGTAGCTCGTGTACTGCTGCTGGATCGCGTTCGAGGTCGTCTTCCTCTACTTCACCGTCGTGGAGACGAAGAACCGGACACTTGAGGAGACGGCGGCGCTGTTCGATGGCGAGGACGTCGTCCTGGAGGTCACTGAGATCGCGCAAATTGAGCAGATCGAGGTTCACGAGGACCATGGATACGACGAGAAGAGGCTGGAGAAGGCATAACGATCCCTGTCGTCGCTATCACAGGGCAGAGCACGATCCCAACCCGAGTTCCTTGGACATGTGGACGCCTTGAGACGGAGGTGCTGACGCCTCGGATGTTGTGGTCAGTGTTTTCTGTACGACCCCCGACGCTGGGATACGCGTAGTGACTGTCGCATCTGTATTTGTACCCTCGATGCTGTATATCGCCGATCATCTCTGGGTCACGGAAGGACATACATGACTGGGGTTATCTTTGTCTGAATGCTGTCGCAGAGGCAACAAATTACATAACACTACAACTCGACCTCAGATGCAAGCTTGGGTAAATGTTGTATCCTAAAGAGAAACAGAAATAGTGCAGGTAGAACATGTGTGAGACGAAGACTGTCAACGGAAAACACGCAGGAGCAAGACCAATAAAATATCGAGAGTGCAAGGAAAGCAGTAAGCCCGTGCAGACGGTAGAAGACCAAGTTGCGTCCTAGGATGCCACATCTCGTTGAACATCCTGAAAGAAGCCGTGAGCCTTGACAGTGGCTAAATTGAAATGGACACACTTACTGTATCATCCAGAATCTATCACTCTACGTCGAACCCAAGAGTGTACCAATACAAAGACGACAGTGGAAATTGGCCAGCATAGTCCTCGACACGATCCTCAGCAGCTTCAAAAAACTCCTGAGGAAGCCAGGTACAGATCGAGGTATGGACACGTTGATCGCAAGCAATGATAATTAGATCTTCAATGTCCTCCACGTCAGCATGTTGCTTCTCTTGCACCGACCACCTCTCAGCAGAACGGTGGTCGACCCAGCCTTGCAGTTTCAATAAGAGCAGCGGAAGAATAGGCATAACAGGGAAATTGTGGCGTGTCTCGAGAAACTCGGCAGGGACGAATGGAATGCCCAGATCCCCACCAGGAATAAGGATGTCGACTTTGCACATGCGCCGCTGCCCGTCAGGAGAGTAGGGAAGGATGTACCAGAGGACTTGGTAGGTCGCATTCGTATCCTTCGATGGAACGAGATAGAAGTTGACGTCTCCGTCGACCAGCATCTGTTTGAGATCCTCCGGATCAGACTCAGGGTCTAACACGACAAGATCAACATCCTGAGGGAAAAATTGGTTATGAGAAAGGTCCATTGAACAAAACGCGTCCGCAACTTACGTTGGGACATCTGCTAGTTCCGTACAAAGCACAAGCAGTACTGCCGAAAAGACAGCATCTGAGTTGGCGTTGTCCGAATATGTCTACTGCCTTGCGTGCAACGTCGCGAATCTCGTCGTAGGTTGGGGCAGACATGAGTAATGAAGTTGAAGATCTGTGGGATGGTAGTTTGAACTGATGCAGGAGGGGAACAAAGGTGAAATTTCTGTAAGCGCCCGAAGTGGGCAAAGAAACCTAACCTAAACACCGACTTCAAGCGGCAATTACAAGCTCTTAGAAACAGATATAGCGCTCCTGCCAAGCTCCCTCAGTCTTCAGCGAAGTTATCTCTGAAGTCTGGTTGCGACATTTGCAAATACCAGGCATACTTATACCCAGGAACAAAACGACCACTGGCAGCTCACTAACCAGTTTCTCGTGATTGCGCGGGACCATCGCTGTAACAACCAGATGATTTCTCGTAGTGCTTCTGAGGCATCATTCATTCTGGTAGGACCCGAACAAGCACAGGAGCAGGAGAAAGGTGCAAGTATCTCGTCTTCCCTTTCGACTGCGACAGTCGACACAGTGAGTACCACACACGTTTTTAGTAGAATCGGACATAATCGAACTTCATCTACAGCAAATCCCTCACCCTTCGCCGGCAGCTGGTCTTCCAGCAGTCAGCCGTTCATTTGCTCACGACTGGTCACGTAGAGGAACCGGGGGAAAGCTGTCACTGCATGGACGACACTTTGTGGACGCACACGGGAGAGTGTGCAACCTCCGAGGCGTGAATGTGTCAGGCAGCTGCAAAACGTAGGTGGCCATTCCACCTACACTTCTCAGTGAAATGCGCGACGCGAAGGCGAAGCTTGTGGTGGTGATAGACGCGTCAATTTACTTGATGGCTCTATTCTCATCATTTGCGGTGGTAGGCGTTCGGAAATTGAAACAGAGTTCTGATGTAAGGTCGAAGCCCAGCGAACCATGATCACGACTCTTTCCTAGCAAACCACGCTGAAGTCACATTCGTCGACCGTCCATTTCCTCTAGAGGAGGCGCCCGAGCATTTCGCTCGGTTGCGCAGATGGGGCTTGACACTCAGTACGTAGGCTCAACATATTTCTCCAGTTATATTACTCATCGTACTTCAGTCCGGTTTCTGGTAACATGGGAAGCCATAGAACACGCCGGACCTGGCGTTTATGATCTAGAATACCTGGAATATCTTCGAAGCTTGCTTTCGCTTCTGCCGCAGTTTGGAATTACCGCATTCGTTGCGATGCACCAAGACGTGTGGTCACGCTATTCTGGTGGATCTGGTGCTCCAGCGTGGACACTTGAAGCTGTCGGTTTTGACCTTCATGGATTAGAAGAGCCTGGAGCAGCGTGGCTGAAGGGAGTCAAGGGTGGAGGACATGTTGAAGAAGAAAGAGGCTTGTGGCCTTGTGGATACCAAAAGCTTGCCGCGGCCACGATGGCGTGAGTACTAGCCAAGTCCCTGTCGTTCCCTTGCTGAGCAGCATTCTCGTCTAGGACTTGTTTCTGGGCGGGCGATACATTCGCGCCGAAGCTCAAGGTCAAACACCCTCAAGGCGAGGAAGTGTCGATTCAGACTTTCCTTCAGTCAACATTTTTGGATATGTGGGCGATAGTCGTTAAGACGGTTGGCAATCTAGAGGGCGTCCTCGGCTTCGAGGTAACAGTATGAACTCTTCCCTGATGAATCGAACTGACCGCTCCCCAGATTATGAACGAACCCCATAGAGGCTATATAGAACTTCAATCTATGCATGAATTCGATTATAATACTGACTTGCATCTCGGCCACGTCCGTAAGTGGAGAAACTACGAAATGTGACTGCATACGTTAACCGTCAACGGACTTAGCGACGGCTATCCAGTCTTTCATGCTGGGTGCAGGATACCCTACAGAGGTTGGACACTGGACGCGTTCTTGGCCATTCCCCACCCGTCTCACCTCCCAGAAGGTGATTAACACTTCCAGGCAGAAAGCGTGGAGAGACGACGGACCGACCGAAGGTCGGTGCTTGTGGGAGATGCACGGAGTGTGGGGCTGGGACAAAAGCAAGAATACAAGCGTCGTGCTGCGGGAGAGCTATTTCAAGAAACACCCGATGACTGGGCAGAAGGTAGTAGATCCGTACACTGGATTCATCCGTTAGATGCTGACGTGTTGAGTTGCCCACTCTTCAAGGTCGAATGGTACACCGACTTCTATTATCCCCTTATCAATCGGTGGACGGATCGCGTGCGGAGTGTATCGAACGCAGAGAAGATGGTCTTTTTGGAACCTATACCCAACGAGGTCCGCCTTCGTCATATCATTGCTATTGTTCTCCTCGCTGATACTGCGTGCAGTTTTGTCCCTCCTCCTGGACTGTAGAACGGCGGCCATCAAACATGGTTTACGCGCCTCATTGGTACGTTGTATTATATGTCGAGTGTTGATGTTCCTCAGCCCTACCTGCTAGGTACGATCTAAACGCACTTTTTTCCAAGGCCTTTGGCGACTTCTCGGTGAACGTGCAGGGCCTTTCGAGGGTACGGCCGCTTCTTACCCTCGCACTTATATTGACTAAGGTACTTGTGCCACAGGGTATGTTCATCCTTAGAGCATTGTACTGGGGCCAGCAAGGCGCCCGAGACAACTTCTCTCTGCAGATTCAGAACATTGTGGAGGAAGGATATAAGTCTCTCGGAGAGACGCCAGTTGTTATCGGTGAATGTGGGCTTCCCATGGACATGAAGTGAGTGTCTCTCTTGCTTTCATAGATGTAAGCACTCATCCTCCGTAACAATCAGCAAGGGCGAAGCATTTCAGACTGATAACTGGTTCTGGCAGTCACGCATGATGGATGCCATGATCACCGCGCTGGAGCGCTCGCTAGTTGGTTTCACGTATGCACGCCGTTTCAAATTTGTAGGCGTACTTGTGTATTGATGTTTCACCTGTAGGCTGTGGAACTACAACCCAGACAACAGTGATCATACGGGCGACGATTGGAACGGCGAAAACTTCTCTTGGTTCAGTCGCCGTCGCGCGCTGAGCGGTGCTTGGTTGGACCTTGCACAAGTGTCGCCTACCCTGGACAATGGTGCGCGCATCTTGCGCTCGGTGGTGCGTCCATACCCAGCCAAGACCGCCGGGGTCCCACTACGGTTTGATTACGAGATCAATACTGGGCAGTTTACGTTTGAATGGGCCAATCCTCAGACATCTGGAAAGCAAGATACCGCGAATTCCGGAGGGCATGCGAGCGTGAGGAGGCCGCCTCTCACGGACTATCCGGCATTGACAAGCAAGGAGACGGAGATCTTCATGCCGTCGATACTGGCGCATAGCCGGAAGGTGGTCATCGCGGGGCTGCACCCGCAGGACAGTTACCATTACGATGAGTCCAGACAGACGCTTACCATCATCGCAGACGACGCGACCCCGGGCGTGGTGCACCACGTCACTGTCTCGCTGGATCCGCCGTTAAAAGCGGTGTTTGAGCTTAACAGCTTCTGGAGCGACTTTGGTGCTCATGTTACTGCGGCGATGGTGCTCATCTTTGCGTTCATTGTGTACTCTGTGCTGTCGTACTTGGGTTATTAGTAGATGTCATGTCGAAGTTCTAGCAGGAATCTCCAAGGACTTGTAATAATTTGGAGATGGTGATCTGTCCACATCGTATCTGGTCGGGAAGTGAAACATTCCTGATTATTGTGCAGATATGGACACATCTTAGACATTTCGTTGCGGAGACAACGATTCATGATGCTCATCATGTTAGAGTAAAGGCAACTCCGACCCAGAGATTCGGGTTCATACGACGAACAATTACAGTAAGTGCTTTAGCTTGTTCTCTCGTACATAACATATGCACGCTACTTACCTCAACACTGGATGAAAGGCTCACGGGTCGTGCGTTGCTTGTCTCAGCTGGTCGGTTGGCGGGTGCATTCTCGCATATCTTCAAGTTCTCGGGCTTTATCTGTGCGCCATGTGGCATCAAGTACCGCTCCCAAATATACTGTCGGTGACTGGGATACCGAAGAACCTTTGAGAGACTACTAGTACACACCCGATAGCCGAAGATATTACCCAGTTTCTAATGGAGACAGATTGGGCTCGAGGTATCTCGTGCTTGGCAAAAAACTCGGCTGGGGTCTTTACTCCACGGTATGGCTTGTTCGAGACGGAAGGAAAGTGTTACACTCTCCAAGGGCGGAGTGAGGTGCACAAAGAGTTGCAGTGTTGATTTTCTTGCAGTCTCGATGGGCAGTATGCTGCCTTGAAGCTAATGACAGGCGAGCATCGATGCCGTGTCATTTAATGATGTTCCACCTGATACTTTTTTCCCGCAGCTTTCGCAAGTAATGCGCCACAAATACATGAGCTTGAGTATCTCCAGCGCATACGCGACCAGTCAGCTAGTCATCCTGGTCATGTACACGTTATTCAACTGCGGGACCATTTTCGCCTCCAAGGTCCCAATGGCAACCATCTCTGCTTGGTGACTGAGGCGCTGGGGGAAAGTCTCTACTCGTTTTCGAAGAGGTGGAAGAATTGTCGTCTACCTATGCCACTCGTCAAACGTATTGCTCTGCAGACCGTGCTGGCTCTCGATTATCTGCACAATTCCTGTGATATTATTCACACTGGTGAGATTTCTGTATTTCCTTAAAGCACTATTCATCACACTAAGTATCTCAGATGTAAAACCCGCAAATATTCTGATAGCTATACCCCCTGATCAGTTCCACCCATCCACGACTGCTGACATCAAGATGCAAGAGGACCCTGATGGTCGTATTATCACCCTGTTCAAGTCTGAGCCTATCCCATATCCTATTCCCGGCAACGCGAACCTAAATTCTGACCATGCATGGATTACCTTCGACGTGAAACTAGCGGATGTGGGGGTCGGTGTGTTCTCTTTTCTCTCCCCAACGTCTCAGCGCCTGACATTGTTGCGGCTACGTGAAGCCTGTTGGACCGACAAGGTCCACGAGCATTTCACCCCCATGATTCAAAGTCCAGCTTTGCGTGCACCGGAAGTCTGTCTTGGCGCAGGATGGGGCAAACCGGCCGACATTTGGAGCTTTGGTTGCACGGTACGCCCCTTGTACTGCCAAAGAAGCATCTCTCTCGAAACATCGCTGCATTTTCAGATCTATGAGCTTGCCATGGGAGAGTCCATGTTGCCAGCGGATATACAGCCGGAGTCAGTTCCTTTCTTGCACATGCTCCTCTTCGGTGATTATCCGCAGAGCATGGTGAAGAGGGGCAAGTACAGCCATTTCTTCTTCAATTCTGATGGTCAGTGCCATGTCTCACCATATATTGAATTTCTGATCCATTCCTGGTATCTCGAAGGCTCTCCGAAGTTTGTTCTGCCCGAGCGCGAGCCACTCACTGTGCAGATCCAAAAGCAGGGTTCACCTCCGGATGCGGAGGCTTTCATTGACTTCTTGAAGCTCATGTTCAAACTAGACCCTGCAGAAAGGGCGTCATGCGAGGATTTGTTGGCTCACAGGTGGTTGGCGCAATGAAAGAGTCAGCCAGTGTCACGTCCACCACTGGCAGGGTAACACTTCAAGGAGAAACCAGACTTGGATTACTTATTGGCTTTCTCAAACTGGTAAATAGCTATTAAATTGGCCAGTCCAATCACATATTCAACATCGCAAGAAATTAAAGGAAGCAGCTTGACAGATCACACTGAGTAAATATTCCCAGTCACACTGTTCTTGTGAGATCATATGCAACCTACCCCCTCTCTTCTGTCGAAGCTCAACATCTGTTCACCTGGGGTGGGCGACATGGCAGATGAACCAGCACCGGATGGCCCGACGTTGCTCTTCACGAGGAGTTCCTCCTCGCTCAAGCTCCTCGGACGGGTGTGCACTTTGGTGGTAATAGCGGAGGCTCGCCACTAGTATATTTACAATCGAAGTTGGACTCTCCCGTGGGTAGCTGTATGTGTGCATATAAGACACCGTGATGCCACCAACTCGTCAAGCATAAGCCATCAATAATGTCACACCGTCAATGAAGAGATTATATGATGATCAGAAATGGCCCGGGCGTATGCAAAAAATACTCCCACCAATTGCTAGCTTGTGCAGGGTGATCATCTCCACGAATCGCGGCCTCCACTTGAGACATCAGAGAACATCCTGGCGCACGACGGGGAAAACGATGAACACTGGAGGTGAAAGACTACTCGCCGCGAGGGACGCGACATGGTAGTCGTGAAAGTTTCTCCGGTACTCGTGTACTTGAAGTCGGCACTGAAGTGCAGTCGTGCCGTGAGGTCAGTTCCACCTCTGTGGGCTCCGGCATGTCTGTCAAACACCACTGTCAACCGATGTTCACAGCAAGAAGAGTAATAGCTCTGACCTGATCTCCGCGTAGGATGCCGCGTAACCGAAGAGCCGGTGGTTTTTATGTATTCACTGATGTCACGCTTCATAGTTTCTTTAACCTCTGTAGGATTCTAGTATGCCCTTAGATCTTTGGAATCTAATGCTAGTTGCTGCTCTAACTGTGGTGCTGGCAAAGGTATGAGTGGCGCCGTTCATGTCGAAGGCGTGGATGGACCGGGCTGGCAGGAGAACGATTTCTGGTGCGGTTGGACTCTGGCGTGCCCCACCACCCAGGCTCTTATGGATGAGGCCCTACGAATTGATACAGCAGTGTCATATCGACTTGCGTGCCTGCTCTTTCTGGGGAAGCTTGGAGTGCATTCACCTGGAAGGATAAATTGAACAACAAGAAACAAACAAAAAAGAAAAATGATAGTCCTCGATGATCCCGGTGATATGATGCATTCTGCTCGGCCATCTGCTTTCGGGTTATCAGAGAGGATACACAACACGAACGAACCTCCTTAAGTACGACGCGAGGCCTAACGACACGTCATGAGCCACACGAAAATATTGCCTAGCTGCCGTGATGCAACATTAAGAAACCGTGACCAAGAATTCGACCTCGACCTCGGGCCTTCGAAGCATCGTTCCGTTACGCACGTTGTTCGCTCATGCTTCAGCGGCACTTGAAAATTTTACTAACCAGGATATCTGAGAGAATGTTAACGGGAAGGCGAACGAGTTGAATGACTGAATCTGGTAAGTGGACCCGCAATTTGCATTCCGGAAAATCCGATCCGACAATTGCTAGTGCAATTCTCGAATGTCGTTTACAAGGAAGGAACAGGGACATGGAAAAGCGACCGAAGCACACCAGCTTTTGGACACATTTATTCGCGATGCAGCTGTTCCTCTATGTGGGGTCAGATCTTTCAGTTTCCACGACACAGACACAGTGGCCAGTGGTCTGATTCTGGACCCTATTGTTCAGAAGCGTCTGGCGAGAAAGGCAAATAGACCGACGCACTTCTTCAGAGACCTGTTATCCGCTCACCAGATGCTTCTAAGTCGCGCATATGCTGGCAAATCCTTGGGAGAGATCAACCACGACGACCCGGATCCAATAACTCGAGTCCACAGTTTGCACCCAGAATGCACAGTAATACTTTCGAACCGTGATTGAGGTAAGCAACTAACTGCGGAGAGACTATTGTTACTGTAGCACTTGCCTTCCTAAGCCAAATACCAGGTACAGACGGGAGAGTTGCGCACCATGAAGATAATATTGCTGTTTTCAGAAGTCATGTCGCGCGGCCAAATACACACAAATTTCCGCCTGAGCGACCTCCTACTTCGAACGCAGATATCTCCTCAACGGCTGGGCCGTTTCTCTCGATTCTTGCATTTTCGGACTCTCCTCGTCAGCGCGCAGGGCATGGTACCAACATATATACCCTTTCTCTGCTATATCTGTTCACTGTTTTCGGCAGCTTCCTTCTGGCTCAGAAGTGAGCTTGTCATCGTTGGATGGGTTGGAGAACATCAGGAGGTGGTGGAGGCTCTCTGGTAGTATGCTAGGCAGGGCAGGGATATGCATTTGTGGTCTGAGAGGATCTGGGTTGTATGTGATTTATCTCAGACTGCATAGCACATATTGGGAGGTTACAGAACTCATGCTACTGTCAAAGATTCCAGTGTATTTTGTGTATAGACTACATATAGGATTCATGTGTGCATCAGGAATGAAGGATGACAGTGCTGAAGATGGGGAATAATGGATTCAAGGGCTTGAGTATCATACCAACTGCAGCATGACCTCCACCATTCTGAGTGCCTTCTACCATCTGCTGCTTGCTTAAAACCATCCAGATATCAATATAGAATATGTAAGACATGAAAAATGCAAACCGGGGAATGTTTTTGACCATCTGGTAATGGGGTCCTAGTGCTATGATCACAGATTGGATCCCACAGTGAGAATCAGGACATGCTTACCTTCAAATTGCATACCATGCCCTCTCTATGATCCTAAGAAGTCCTCTCAGAACAATTTCTCCAGTACTGGGACTGCCTGCCGCACGCAAAGTCGGTTCTGAGCTAGTGTGACGACCACCAGATCCGCGAGTATTGAACGGTCCGAATATGTATGTTTCTTGATACCATGCCCTGCGCGCTGACGAGGAGAGTCCAAAAATGCAAGAATCGAGAGAAACGGCCCAGCCGTTGAGGAGATATCTGCGTTCGAAGTAGGAGGTCGCTCAGGAAATTTGTGTGTATTTGGCCGCGCGACAAGACTTCTGAAAACAGCAATAGATTAGGCGGCGGCGGTTTGGCGGTGGGTTCGATCAGCACTTACGCATATAGTAATTGTTGTTACAACTTTGTCCACGTTGGTTAGAGACAGCCTGAGTATCTAAGTAACGGCTGCAGCTCATAGAACCAATGTCCCATCTGCTGCAATCGCTACGGCACCTGAGACACCCCCATCCTGCTGCTGCTCTGCGGACAGCGAAGAGCTTGCAGCTTGTACGCGGTTTGGCGCAGCTCGCCCATTGCAAGCGGTCTCTGCTACCTTCCTGCGTGCCAGCGACGGGAGGTGCGACCATGCACCACATGGCATCTCAACCTGTCACCGATACCGCCAATTGGGTAGACAGAGAAGAGCGATTGGAAGATTATGGACCCAGAGGATACCACCCAGTTAGCGTAGGAGATGTACTGGGCTCCAGATATCGTGTTCAGCGGAAGCTCGGTTGGGGCGTATATTCCACCGTGTGGCTCGTTCGAAATGAGAGGTACGTGTCTAGCTCTGAAGCCGCCGTATTTTTGTTTGACTGCTCCGCTGTTTTTCGCTCTAGCGATGGAACCTACGCCGCTCTGAAGTTGCTGACAGGCGAGCTGGTTCTTTGGCTCTGCAGGTCCTTCTGACCCTTCCTTTCGGACAGCTTTGGCCACAGGTGCACCAGAGCTCCATGAACTCGAGTATCTTCTGCGTATACACAACGAGCCAACACAGCACCCCGGCCGCGTGCACGTTATTGACTTGTTGGACCACTTCTACATTGAAGGTCCCAATGGCAAACATCTCTGTCTCGTCACTGAGCTTCTATCCGAGAACGTTTACTCATTCTCCACAAATTGGAAGGATGAACGCATGCCCATACCTCTCGTAAAGAGGATCACTCGGCAGGTGATATTAGGTATCGATTATCTGCACAATGCCTGCGAATTAATCCACACTGGTGGGCCCGGTCTGTTTCATACCACATGCATACCACTCAGTCGCGACGGCATCCTCAGATATTAAACCCGCCAATATACTCATCGCGTTGCCGCGTGGCGGATTTAAACCGTCGTCCGCAGGCGTTGAAGTCTACGTTCAAGAGGGCCCTGGCGATCGTTCGATCTCCCGCTTCAGGTCTAACCCCCTTCTGTTCCCTATCCCCAGTGATCTGAACTCTGAATCTGCGTGGAGTGCCTTCGAGGTGAAATTGTCAGATGTGGGAGTCGGTCTGTTCTCGTTCTTTCTAGCTCTGCATCCCGAAGTGTCTGACTATTGTTAATGCGAGCAGCTTGCTGGGCCGACAAGACCGACGAACACTTCACACCGCTGATTCAAAGTCCTTCTTTGCGTGCTCCTGAAGTATATGTTGGGGCCGGGTGGGGAAAGCCAGCGGACATCTGGAGTCTTGGTTGCACGGTATGTGATGAGTCTTATGCCGAAGAGACGTCTGACGACATCGAAAATTTTGTCCGCCTTCAGGTGTACGAAATGATCATGGGAAAATCCATGATACGGGCGGGTACACAACAGGAGTCGATCCCGTTCTTGCACATGGTCCTTTTTGGTGATTACCCTCGGAACATTGTGGAGAGGGGCAAGTATAGTCACTTCTTCTTCAATGCTGATGGTTGGTGTCATGTCTTGCAATCGGATATCATATGCAACTCATCCACTAATACCTTGTGTGCCGCAGGTACCTCGAAGTTCGACATCCCCCGGCGTCTCCCCCTTGCTATGCAAATTCAAGGGCGGGGTCCTCCCCAGGATGCTGACATGTTCGTCGACTTCTTGAATCTCATGTTCAAGCTCGACCCCGCAGAGAGAGCTTCCTGCGAAGAGTTACTGGATCATCCTTGGTTGGCGCAATGACATGTCTTATCTTACTCAGTTACTCTCACCTTGCTTTGCTGTGTAACCAGATGCTATGTGTAATAGTTGTGACTTGAAGTTTCGCTATCTAATCGAGCACTACTTACAGAATGAACTGATAACAGAAGAACGTGGTAGATGTCTAAGACTGAGCCCGAAGGTACTCGCCGAGAGTGTGTAACATGTTGTGGTAGTCTACTTTCTGACTACCCTCCTTGTCGGAAAAATTTGAGTCAAAATGTTAGCTACCAAGCCGCTTCGTTTAATTTCTCCGCGAGGTTGTTTTTGGGATTGGATTGACCAATGTAACTACAGCTTACTAGCTCAAGGAAACCCACAACCGGAGTCTGAGTTGTCTTTGAAAAGTGACACGACTGTCGGTTCACGTAAGTCACAGATCATGTGATCCGTGACGACGCTTGACGCGTACCCCGTCGTGTCGGGTCTAAGTTAAAATATTCATTTTTGTACGTGATGGTAAGATATTAAAGGTGACCTCGTTGTTTACAGCTACACTTCGACTGGTGGTCTTCAAAAAACTTCGATTGTGCTACGGAATCTGCTTGAAGAATGTGATGAGCGATATAGAAGGACAACCAATTTACCTATCAGATTGGTCCATTCTGTTCATCCGTCTTTTTGGCCCACTAAGAAACAGAAAGTCAGCTATTAGAACCCGTAGACTACCGCGGTGATCACTTACATTAGTTGCCCAATCTGTCATAGCGCGTCGACTGCGCGCAAACAACGTTGACTCGAAGCCCTGTCTTCTTCCGCCGAACCCAGTCTTCTCCTCTAGCAAATCTACCCCGCGCCTCAGGGCCTCCGCGTATTCCCCTACTCTCTTCGCATTCGTTGCACGGCCGCACTCGCGGCCGTACCGCTGGAGCGCCTCCACCAGCACTTCGTCCAGCAGGTTTAGCAGCGATGCGGCGTGCTGCTGCAAGGCGTGCGTGCGTTCTGGGAAGATCGCTGGCGGAGGCATGGGCTGAAGGAGACGAATACGCTGAAGATCGCACCCCGTTACGTTCGAAATGTAGTCATCGACAACACTGTAGGCTAGAGCGAAGGCGATTCTCCCCATGCGCATGCTCCTTCGGGTTTCCTGATGCCTGGCATTGAAGAGACCCTGCAAGCGATGCTTCCAGTCAGCACTTCACGCATTGAAGCAGCGAAGGCAGTTGCACTGAACCTTGACCAAGTCGGCCATTGCATTATATGCAGGTAGCCACCCTGCGAAGACCTCTACTTCGACGAGCGATTCGCCACGCTCGTCTGCATCCTTGTGGTATGAGTCCCGCGCATCTTTCAGCAGGCGCGTCGTGTACGAGACGACCTTATCGAGCCCTCTGACACCCTTAGCGATGTTCTTCAGCTGCGCGAGTGCATCCTCGTCTGAGGAACCACATCGCTCGAGCAGGACGCGGAAGTCCTCGTGCGAGAGCGTGCGTCTCTCAGTGTCTCCTGCTGTTGAGATGTCTGTGCTATTGATGAGAACAGCTCATTCCCTTAACAGAAGGGGTCTCACCTCCAGGAGCCGCAACAGTTGAAGCGCCGGTGTGCATGGTGGAAGGTCCCGGCTCATTCGACACGTCTGGAGATAGAGAAACAATGCAGTTTCCTCGAATTATCGTTGCCTGGCTGTCCTCAGGTGAGACACTTGGAGGCATCTCAGGCTGTACAACGTACTCCTCAGAACGTGAGGCTCGACTTGGTGTAGAATCTTCGCAAGGAGGGAGGATGTCGAGCGGCGGATGCACGACATGTGATGAGGCGTCAAACTCGTACGGGATGAAGAACGAGCCTTGGGTGGGTTCATCCCGGAGGATAAGCAGCGGAGAATGAAATGGCGGGTACGCGTACTCGGTGTGAGGGATTGTCAGCGAGGGTGAAGGCGGATCTGCCTGAGGGGCGCTGTTCTGTCGTTTTCTGGCAAGATCGACAGAAGCAGTATGATTTGAAGAACTTGTGGTGGGTAATCGTTTTCGTGTAGACGCCGATCTTGCATATGCAGTTGGCTTATAGCGAGTGATCGCTGAGACTGTTTCCATAAATCTGGCTAGTACGTAGAACGATTCAAGCGTGATTTGTCGTGGGGACTTAGAGAAACGCACCATAATCTTCATGGCTGATTGAATCCTCAACGCCATATGTATTGAGCATATTTAGAGACATGACAGGGTGACTCGGGTTAACCGTTGGCACGGTGGACGCTGCGTAATGCAATGTGGCATCGGAGACAGGTTGCGGCGCGTGTTGCGAAGAATTTCTGTAGCTGCCTTTAAAGAATACAATGTCAGCGTGTCGCAGCCCAAGGATATTGTTGAGAAACCCCACTATATGCACTTGCATCGTGAGACTCGGAGGTGCCGCCTTGCGACGCCCTCGATCTCGAATGAATTTCGGTATAGTCATACGTGTCATCTTTTGGTTTTCCTTTCCCTCGACTCAATAATCCCATCTGCCCCATAGCCATCGGGGGGTCTCCTACAACGGACAACCTGATACCACGAATATCTGCCAACTTAGCAGCATCGACGAACTGTCCGGCATCGCTTTCGTTTTGTTGATTCCAAATAGTTTGTACATGCGTCTCCGACGTGGCTGTGCTCTCTGCAGGATTGAGTGCCGACATGGTAGAAGACGCAGAAAACGAAGCAACGTCACAGTAAACCGCAAAAGCGGTCAAAGCACGCGGCAGCGCGCGGGAGCATCTCAGATCTCAGCCACTGACGCGTATATACCTAATAATCCGATCACTGAGGTTATCTTGAAAGCACAATGAGAAATTGCGTACTCGGCGATCGCAACAACTGAGAATGGACAATAACAACACAGAAAACAGTTCCACCGTGTCCAAGGCCGTTTTGCGGGGAGTTGCAGATAAGCATTCAATGTGTCCCCTCCGTTCACGATATACAACTCGCGCCACAAAACAATTAGAAAGACATAAAGAGAATATTTCCAGCGCTCCGAAGGTTATACAGTTCACAGCTTGCTCTTCTCTGCCTTCTTGACGTACGCAATGCCAGCACCGAGACAGACCTACCATTGAGTCGTCAACGTGTTTAGTCACGACCAATCAAAATGCGAAAATCAACGCCGCCCACCTTTCCGGTACTCAGATTCTTGGTCTCAAACGTGACCTCTGTTGTACCATTGGGCCCAGGGCCGACCTCCCACACCGACGTCTCCAGTGCGTCGCCGGGCTTGACGGGCGACGTGAAGCGCAAACCAAAGTATTTGAGCGTATGCGGGTCATTCCCACCAATCGCAGATAGAATCCCCCGCGCAGCGAAACCGAAAGAAGAGAGGCCGTGCAGGATGACACCACCGAAGCCCGCTGCCTGTCCAATACGAGGATCTGCACCCTTTCAGCATCCACCGGATAATGTATGCTAAATGATTCACTGACCGATATGCAGCGCATTGTAGTCCCCGCTGAGTCGGTACATAATCGCCTGCTGAGGAGAGGTCTGGTCACGAACTACCCAGTCAGGCTTCCTGTCCTTCGGGATGGGCTTCGCCTGCGGTGCACCGGCGATGCGCTTGGAGAAGTTGGACCCGGTAGCTTTGGAGCCGAGGTTGAAGGAGGAGGACTAGGAACATAAGCCCACGGGTCAAGTTGAATACAACGCTGTTGTGAGCACAACCACGCACGTAGAGCTTTGCATAGGCTGTTCCCTGGCCGTCCACGAGCACAGACTCCTGATCAACGATAATGCCAGACTCTAGACACAGCGCGTTAGCCAGGCAGACAAAGATATCCGTGATACACACTGTTCTCGCTGACAGATACTATCCGTCTCTGAATCTTCCAGCCAGACCCGCTGACAGAAGGGAGAGGCTTCAACACTTCGATGGACTGGGATGCGTGCACCTTCCGAACGTCGTTTAGAGATACTATAGTGACATTAGGTGCATGCTAGACTCACAATACGGTTAGGGTCAAACTTTGGCAAGCCAGGGGCTTTCTTCCCTCCCGTGAGCAGCTTCCTGAAATCGACGACGTCTTGCTCGACACCTGGAGCACCGTGAGCGACACACTATCCTCGCCCTGCAAATGTGGGACACCAGACCTTTGAATGAGAGAACCACCGGATATGTCGGAAACGGCGCCCATGATTGGTCTGCACGTTAGGTTTAGCTACAATGCTCGATGAGCCATTTCCCTCGAAGGTCTCACCAAGCTCTATGACGACGTCAGCGAGTCATTGCTACGGATTCACAACGATTGTACACACCATTCACCAACGAATAGTCGTTATGCTTCGCCCCTATGCCAACTGCGTAGATCAACAAATCCCTCTTGTTCCATGTAACCTGTATTCACACAGATATTGAAACAAGTTCCCAGCAAACGTCGGCCTGACCCACTGGATGGTCGTCCTCCCGGAACCCAACAGCTCTTGCAAGGTCAATCTCAGACATCTTCCAGTCGTAGGTGTTAGTGACTCAGGTCGTGAGAGAAGGGCAGCAGCCTCATAAGAACCGTGAGTGGCATAAACTCATGATTCTTGCAAGGGGCTGTCTTCAATTGCCGAGGGCTGACCGAGTGACCGACATGATCATGGTCACCAGACACGTCCGGTGTCTTAGAGCCGGAAAATCACCTGGAAAGATGGCTATACACGCCAAAATAGAGTATAAAGTACGGCTACAGTACACGGTGTAGGCACTTCATGAAAGTAGAGGACATGACGTTCACAGGCCTCAAAGCAGGTTTTCAGACAGGCATGGCATGCAGGAAGTTGGAATTAATGTACGATCTTCACTAAGGACATGAGCTTCGTCTGCGGCTGGAAACAATACACGGTTATCCCGAGACTGCATAGGGTCTGACGCTGGGTAACTTTGCATACGAAAGCGCGCAAAGGATAAGACTTTCTCGGCAGGAGGACGGGTGTGCGATACTACGAGCCGTAAAAGCTTACGGTTTTTCTGAATCTGCAAGTGCCTTGACCAGTGTTAAGTCAAGTGAGATATGGCACTCATATATTTACGCAACCAAACATTTCATCACGCACGCAAATATAGATGATGGAAGAGTGAAGCTAGTATAATCGCCATGATCATCAGCAGAGTAGGTACCGGACGGTAGGGTAGGGTATCATACAACCTGGAAGTGGCTTGTCAGTAACTTCAGGCCTGCAAACAATGACGACAATACGCACCTTCGGAGCCAAGCTAACAATTTTGCCCCAACCCTTCATTCTTAGATCTGCACTGACGACACCACCTACACGCGTTCCGAGCAATTCCCTCTTGTTGTTCAGCAGCACTGCAGCGTTGTCGTCGAACCTGATGAGCCGTCCATCGGGTCTCCGCACTGCCTTCTTGGTGCGAACTATCACGGCGCGGCGAACGTCCCCCCGGCGCACCTTGTTGATCGCGGGTCCACCGGTCGTCGCAGAGATTGGGCGAGCGCGCTTGACGACGCAAACGATCTCGTCACCGACGCTGCCCCAGCCGTTGTTCACTTTCTGCTTGAGGACATTGACACACTCTACCAGGAGGGCCCCGGAATTGTCAATGACCTGCGCAGAGAGATTAGCAATCACAAAACGACTTGAAATAGAGGACCAACGTTGAGTGTACCCTTGAGGCCGATCATGGGTAGAGTCAAACTATTACGCTGTGTTTTGAGTCTCCATCGTTACACTACGATTATGTAAGCAAGCAGTAGATGGCAGGTAACGAATTGCTCGTAATGGGATTAGAAATAGATTGTAATCAGTGTAACAAACTAGTCTAACAATGGTAAGAAGCTAGGATCAGCTGGTGGATCATGATCGGCTTGGCTCGCTCTCTCCACTCGTCCACTGTCGGTGCCCCTCAGGAGCTTTCCTCTCCTCTCTTCCGTGATCCGACTGCTCAGACATTTCCAAGATGGCATCCCGCCGCGGAAGTGGTAGTGTGACCCTTCCAACGGGCCAGACCCTCGCCTTCCACACAAGGTCAAGCGAGGATGAGGACCTACCTCATGCCACCAAGAAGTACGCACTGATCTAACTCCTTTCCTGACTTCCATGCAATGCGTGTCTCCAACAGGAAGATGGCGGACCACCTCCGCAAGTACGAGAGCCTGTGAGTGTGCAACCGTTACATTCCGCGCCCAGGCTTGACCAGGGGCACCGTGTGCAGCTTCACGTTGACCCCGCAGAGGATGCGGATGATCGTGGAGGCGTTCAAGGAATCGCTCGAGTTGGGTCTTTCAAAAAATGGGCAGATTGTGGTAAGCACCCGTCTCTTCGCGAAGCAGCCGTGCTCTCAATGCTGCTGCTCGGGCGATCGCAGCCAATGATCCCGACGTATGTGTTCGGCTGGCCGACGGGAAAGGAGACGGGCGATTTCCTCGCCGTTGATCTGGGTGAGTATTATCTTGTGCGAACCTCGTATGTTCACGTCTGGCGATCAGTACCGTGTGCGGGGATGTGAGCGCTTGTTCGCATTCCATTCCTAGCATATTGCCCCACCTTTCTTGCATGGGGTCTAAGTGACGAGACATTACCACCATCATGTCGATCTACTCTTCTATTCGCACGCTGGCATTAGACTTGGTCGGTGCTTTCCACGATCTCTCGTCCGCGATGTCTCGAGGAGTGCTGCTGGAGTCCAGCTTTGTCTGTTAAGCTTACTCTGGACGAAGGATCGTGATTATGGAGGGTTGGCACTGCACATTTTATCGAAGTTGTTTGATCATTGTCCTTTACGCTAGGCACGTATGGGGAGGCGTAGATTCGCGTCTACGCGTCTACAACTATGCAACCTGCCGTATCTTCCTCTTTCTTGTTTGGGCGGTATTAGCCTTCACCGCTCCACGCTCGTGCTGATGCCAGTGCCTATGCTTACGTTCCTAATACAGGTGGCACGAACTTGCGTGTCTGCCTGGTTACACTGGAGGGCGAGGGCAAGTTCGAGATCACGCAGTCCAAGTACCGGCTCACGGAGGAGCAGAAACAAGAGGACGGGCAAAAGTTGTTTGACTTCTGCGCGGAGTGCCTCAAAGCCTTCATCGACTCCAACATCGACGGCGGGGCGATCAAGAAGGACTGCGTGCTCCCGCTCGGATTCACGGTGCGTCACAATTTACTCTGTTTCGTTGTGTCTAAGGGTGACCTCGCGTCTGCAGTTCTCCTACCCATGCTTGTAAGCCCCTTCGCGCTCACGTGCCCCTGCCCCAGCTGACCCTTGCGCGTAGACAAGATCGGATTGACCATGGTAAGCTCATTCGGTGGACGAAGGGGTTTGGAGCGCTCAACACCGAGGGGCATGACGTGGCCGAGATGTTCACGCGGAGTCTGGGGACGTATGTACGTCGTCATCTTCCTGTCCCGCTTGCGCCTAGTTGAGACTGTCGCCAGAATGTGCCCGCGGAGATTGTTGCACTGACGTGTGACACAACGGGAACGCTGATCGCGTCGCACTACGTGAATCCCAAGACGCGCATTGCATGCATCTTTGGCACGGGCTGCAACGCGGCGTACATGGAGCGCGTCGGTGACATTCCCAAGATCAAGCACCTGGGTATCGCGCCTGATGCTGAGATGGCGATTAACTGCGAATGGGTGCGTTCCTCGTTTATTTCCTTCTTTCATATCTTGTGAATAAATATGTCGCGTTGGTGGTAGGGTGCGTTTGACTCCTTCGAGCACGAGAACTTGCCTAGGACGAAGTATGACTCGATCATCGACGAGACGTCGAATAAGCCCGGCGAGCAATCATTCGAGGTGGGTTACACTTCAAAGCATTTCCTACTTCCCGCGGCATTCAATATATCCTGCAGAAATTGATTTCTGGACGATACCTTGGCGAGATCTTGCGTCTCATTATCTGCGAGCTCATCGACGAAGGTGTGCTGTTCTTGGGACAGAATACCTACAAGCTTGAGATTCCGTACTCCTTCGACACTGCCTTCCTGTCGCTCATGGAGAGGTCAGTACTGTTCTATTTCATATCCCTCACGGTTTACTTAGAGGTGCACTCAGTGACCCTACGGACGAGCTACTTATGATCATTGGGATCTTCACCCACTTCTTCGCAGTCGAGACGACCCTGGCCGAGCGCCAGTTCTTCCGCGCACTCGCAAAGCTTGTTGGGCGCCGTGCTGCACGTCTGAGCGCGTGCGGCATCGCTGCGATCGTCAGCAAGATGGGTTATTTAGAAGAGGGCTGCGCAGTCGGTGCAGACGGCTCTTTGTACAACGTAAGCGCTCTATCTACTGATATGCCTGCGGAAGTAACGGTTGTTGTGTTACCCAGAAATACCCTGGATTTGCGGAGAGGATACACGAGGGGCTGGCAGATATTTTTGGCGAGAAGGGACGGTACGTGAATTGACCGCTCGATGATTGGTGGGCAAGGGTCTGACTGCATTTGGTAGTAACATCATCACGTACCACGCCGAAGATGGTAGTGGTATTGGTAGCGCCATTGTTGCTGGTACGTGTCTGACGCTTACCTTCCCTTCAATTCAGCCTGATGAGCTGAGTATTGCGTTAGCTATGACGAAGGCCAGGAAGGATGCGGGCATCTACCCCACCTTGTAAGATCATTACCGTTAGCAATCACAGCATACGCCGGAGTAAGAAGTGAAAATCCAAACATATGTATGACCTAGCATCAGCATCTCACATCCGCTGCATTCGTTGCGGCTGTGTGTTTCTATCCCCATAGATGAGAACTGTTTGCGGATCTTTTGTATTCGTTCTATCTTTGTGTTTCCGCGACTGTAATCTCCCATTTGTTTTGCGATACACCAGCTTTCAATGCCTCTACCTCATGCACAGATAATACTGTATCATTTTGTCTGCGAACATCGCTGGACAGACCAAACCGTCGACTAGCTGAGGAAAGCATGCTCGCCCTGTCCCACACGCCAAACCTCGACCCCGCCCTCTCCACCGACGCCCACAATTCCGCGCGCCCAGTCCAGAGTGAGCACCTTCCCACCCTGATTGCCCTCCCACACTTTGAAGCTTGTCACTGCGCCCCGGACGCTGCGCAGATCCCATAGGCGGACGACGCCGTCGTACGCGCCTGAGAGTAGCTGGTGCTCTGAGCTGGATACAGGCTCGGATGGCGGTGAGGATTGGGCCGCGGGAGGGGGTACGGCGATACAGGATGGTGTAGCCGGGTGCGCGAGCGTCGCGAGGGAGGGTGTAGCAGTGGAGGAGGTCGCTGCGCGCAGGTCATACTGCGAGATCGTCCGGTCAGTTGAAGCAGCGAGAACGGTATTTCCGGACTGCGTCACGGCAAGGTCGAGGAATGGTTTCGACGCGGCGGTCTACAAGCAACGGCAAAAGCAGTGTTAGCCCAGTCAGAAAATGAGTAGGTAATCGAGGAAAACGCACGATAGTGTTGGTGCACACGCTGTTCTCGACGTCCCATGAACGAACGGTCGAGTCGAAGCCACAGCTATATGCCGCGGCGTCCCCCCCGCGAGTAAACACGACGCGCGAGACGCGTGCTGTGTGACTCTTCAGCACGCCGACCGGTGCCTTACGCTTGGGCCGCGGCTCGTCGTCGTGCGTGAACTTGCGGCGCTTTTTGCGGTCTGTGTGGGGCTGGACGTCCTCGAGGGGCACCTCGTCGCTATCAGGGATGGCGGCATCCCACAGCCCGATGAAGCTGTCCCAGGAGGAGGTGAGGAGATGCGCGCCTGAGGGACTCGCGGCGATGGAGGAGACGGGCGCTGTGTGCAGGTGCAGTGAGGCGAGGGGCTCCGTGCGTGGTGTGAAGTCGGGGGAATCGGAGGTGGAGAGGGTAAGTTTGGTAAGACGCGCTGTGAGGTCGTGCGAGGCGCTGGCAATGATGTGGCCATCGGGGGAGGAAGAGGGGACGATGCAGATACAGGTAATGGGTGCACTATGGGGCGTGCTAGTGTGCAGCAGCTGTTGGGAATAATCGAAGGTGCGGATTGAACCGTCGTAAGATGCGGTTAGGAAGTAGCTGTTGGGGGATCAGACTTGCTTGCCGAGTTATGATGAGGACAATGGCTGTACACCGCAGAAAGACCAATAACGGCATATCGTAGCTAAATACACTGACTTGCAATTTAAAGAACAAAAAAACATTTATTCCGACGAAGATACGGCACGAAATCGTACGTACTTACAAGCTTTTGATACGCACATACTGCGATGTACAGCCATTCCGCACTCGAGGAAATTCGGACTTACCTGGAAATCTGGCACGATACGGACGACACCCAATCTTCATGCGGTAGCGTCGACATCTTTTGAGGAGGCATCACCGACTCAAAATATTCAATTTCAAGCGTCTCTTCCTATACAAAAAACCATCAGCATCCAGACAAGTACTCCTCACAGACTGTCCACATACCTCACCAATGCCCTTCTCTGCACACCATTCCCCCAGAGTTGCACGAAGAATCTCACCTCGCACAAGAAAATCAAAAGGCACAGGCTTCAGAAGAGACAGAGCTTTGTTCACGAGCTGTGAAAGCTGGTAGCGCTTCCATGATGTGGGAATCATGAATTTTTGCGATGGGAGAGGGTAGGGTGTCTGTGTCGTAAAGACCACCGGGTGAGAGGGCTCAGCCGCGCTAGACATCGAAGCCATGGTTGATTTGGTGGACTATAATGTGCAGCCGATAGTACTAGGAAAGACTTTGAGTAGAAAGAACCAGTCCAAGGTTCAGATCCAAGATGTTGCCAGACACGGATATCCTGAGCGCGAAGGTTGAAGCAGAGTCTAAGTGTGAGTGTGAGTGGGAGACTACAGCGACCGTACCGAGCGCAAATAAGGTAAAATTTGAGCTTTTCAAGAGATATGTGGTAGAGACGACCACTTCAACGTTTTCGAAAAGCAAAGTTAAGGAGAATAATTAGTATCAGACCGGTTCACTGATGGTCTTGCAATGGACGGACGCAATAAAAAATTCTTGGCACTACGCGTGTTACGTAATGCACGCGACAAACGAGCGCCAAAAAAGATCATGCATTTCATTGAGTGGAGAAGTACATTCAATGGAGCGTAGATGTCATCAGAGTAGAGTATAGTATAGTACAACATATTATTCCAGAATTAAGTGTAAGAAAGGAGAGAATGACGAATGAGCTAAATTGGGTACTACAGCGCTGCAAAATGACGGTCCAGTCTGTATTATCATCATCGCGGCGTGACATGGCGCGCTTTGATCTCCTCGACATCCTGCAGCCAAGGGTTGGAGCAGTCCTGAGGTAGACACTCTATTGTTCGGCTCGAGCGGCAGGCACCTCCCGATGAACGACACAGCGAGTCGAGTTTACTCTCCGGACCGTCCATTGTAATGGGGACCAGTTATGTCGTTTGAAAAAATCTTTGACACTCTTCAGATGCAGCGGAGTCGTTTGAATGTGGTGCAATGAGCCTAGGTGTCCGAATCAGTCATCACACGGGACCGCCGACGATGTAACGCGATGTGTGCTCGGAGAGAGCAGAGAGATACACACCATCCCCGTTGACCACGTTTGGAGCTTCCGTGCACATATGTTGAGGGGCCTTGTCGAGGTCGTAGACCCCTAGTTGCCTGGCAAGAACATCCTCGACCGGCCATTGTGCAGTATCATCGACTGGGAAGAGGTGCTTGCCTACCAAAAGCTTGAATGTCTGCATGGCACATTCAAGGTACATATATAACTCCGGGTGAGCTCCAAATTTCTCAGACGTACCACTCTGTTCTCGTCTTTCCAGACAGCAAGTTGTGACGTAGCCATGGCAAGTCATATCGTGGATATTGAATTTTCTATCGGACATCAACTGTCTCGAACAACGATTAGCAGGATTTGTTCTGTCCCAATCATGCATTGCCTGTTGCCATACTCTGCAGTTATTGAATTCTTCTAGGCCCTATACGTTGCCTGTTGTCAGCTTCAAGTTCGCTGCACAGCGCTTAATACTTGCAGATATATGGCTCGTCGGAAAACAGACTGCTACAACGCGAAGCGTTCTTCAGAAGTATGATGTCACCGCTATCTCACGCTTGACATACTCTACTCATCGTATACTGACCGGCGTCCTCTAACTTTGGTGTATCTCTTCGAGCCGGTGTACAACAGGTGAGCATGTGTTCCACCGTTCGATTTGATCGACACACTTCGATATCTCTTGCATCACGCAGAAGGGCCCCACTATGTATATGCGGGCACCCATCGCACTGTGTCTCCGTTGAACGCTCATTTATCCCTTCTTCTGGTTCTGAGCGCTCCTCCACATGCAGTACCTCCCATTGTATCCCCGTTGAACTCTTTCTTATCTGTTCTTCTCCCTCTCTCCAAGTTCTCGATACTGATAGCAGCAGCCTTTCTCCGCCATAGTCCTCGAAGGTTCCTCATACCGCATCACCCGAGATGAGATATGCACTTGCATCTGATTGTTGGACAAACACAGTGGTCACCCGTGCTCAGATGGCCCTTTGCAGCCGTACCTGAGCCTGCGGATCAGCCTTGGCGTAGTGTTTTTCTGCTCATAAGATGTGGGGAAATGTGGGGAAAGTGCGGAAAAATCCACTGTTGTCGGTCACCTGAACAACTCAAGCGTATTTTGGTTGCAGTCGACATGGTCTTGGGTCGAGTAGTATAAAGACTTGTGATGTCTCCCGCACGTTTCTCAGCAGCCTCCGGACTTGCACCCGTTTCTCACAATTCACCATGGCTGCTGGCGGAGCGGTGTCCTCGGGCACAACGGTAGGATATGAGCACCTCCTCGATCCTAAGAGGAAGTGGAACACTAATCGACGGTAGGTCTACTCGATTTCCCGAGAGAATCTCGTGCTGAAGACGGTGTTATTTTGACAGGCTGATAACACTTCATGCTTGGATCGTCCTCCTGTGTGTAATCCTTGCTCATTGTTTTGTTGGTCACCCTCAGACAGAGGATATGCAGCGTCATCACGTCTTCCGCCAATGGATTCGATGGAAGTTTAATGAATAGTTTCCAGTCGCTGTCTCAATGGGAGATGTACTTCAACTATCCCTCCGGCGGCAAACTGGGTCTACTTAATGCCATTCAAGTAAGGCTACTAGTTGACTAGAGCTCTCTTTAACTCTTACCTCCGCCAGAACATTGGATCGCTCGCTGGCTATCCTTTCGCACCATACCTCTCCGATGGGTTGGGACGTCGACCCACCATTTTTATCGGTGCCACTATCATGTTGGTTGGTGTTGCTGTTCAGTCCGCAGCTTACAACCTTAGCATGTTCATCAGCGCACGGCAAGTGTTTCATCTCTTGACTCTCCAATGGGCTGCTCATGCCGTTGGACTTCACAGATTTTGCGTTGGCTTCGGTTTGACGTTTGCAAGTAAGCTTGCGCGTTGTTCACTTGTGGTATGGGACTGAACAATTACCAGCTAATGCGGCTCCTATGTTGGTCACGGAGATTTCATACCCGAAATATCGTGCGCCACTCACCTCGGTATATAATTCGTTGTGGTACTCCGGAAATGTTATGTAAGTCTTATGAAATTCAAACTGTCTGCCTAGTATCAAACCCATTGGCCACTGTGCAGTGCATCATGGACAACGTATGGTACCGCAAGGATCAACAACAACTGGTCGTGGCGAATCCCTTCTCTCATGCAGGGCATTCCATCAGTCTTCCAATTTATTCTGGTTCTCTTTGCACCGGAAAGTCCGAGGTGGCTCATCTCCAAGGGGAGAGATGCTGAAGGTCTTCGCATCCTTGCGTACTACCATGCGGACGGTGACGAGCAAGATCCTTTGGTCCAATACGAGTTTCAGGAAATCAAAGCAGCTATTGGGCTGGACCGTCAATGTATGCTATCCTTGAATGACGCGCAGAACCTCGCTCATTCATTCGATCGCTTTCAGCATCGAAGAACGTCGGCTGGACTTCCCTCGTCAAAACTGCAGGAAACAGAAGGCGTATCCTCATTATAACTGCTATTGGTTTTTTCTCGCAGTGGTCTGGCAACGGTTTAGTGTCCTACTATCTCCACGACGTTTTCGACGCGATTGGAATCAAGAGCGAGGCTATCCAGTTGCTGATCACGGCGTACGTTATCTTTATTGTTTGTCATGTGTTTGGAGACATTCTGATATTTGCGACCAGCATTCTGGCCGTCTGGAACTTGTTTTGGGCCATCGGAATTTCGTTCTACGTCGATCGACTTGGTCGTCGCCCCCTCTTCCTCGCTGCAGCGGGTGGTAGTTGCATTTTCTTCACCGTGCAGACCATCTGCTCCGCACAATTCGCGATCCACGGCACGCCTGCAGCTGCTCATGCAGTAATTGCGTCTATCTTCCTGTACTACGCGGCTTATGAGTGAGTCTATTTCTACCACGTTTTCGATACGGTATCCGATTCGTCATACTAGCCTTGCATTCACACCTCTCCTCGTGACTTACACTGTCGAGATTCTCCCGTTCCCCATACGTGCTAAGGGCCTCAATATCTCTGGTGTCGTCATCTCCTCCGCCCTCATCTTCAACCAATACGTCAACCCGATCGCGCTGAGCAAGCTCGCGTGGAAGTACTACGTGAGCATCTCTCCGGCGTCCACTTATTTCTTTCTACATCTGCAATTTGTCTAGATCGTCTACTGCTGCTGGACAGCGTTCGAATTCGTCTTCCTGTACTTCTTCATCATCGAGACGAAGAACCGCACGCTCGAAGAGACCGCGGCACTGTTCGATGGCGAGGACGTCGCGGAGCGCATCGCTTCTGCGCAGGCACAGCGTGAGGTCCGGGAGGATCTTCGTGGCCTGGACGAGAAGGACCCCGAGAAGCTGATAGTGTGATGTAGGACCCTACGAACGCGTCGTTGACGGCAGTGCCAGCGAATACTGTCGGGACTCCTTTTTCGTGTTTCGTATTTTTCAGCTCTGGATATTGTGTTGAAGACTTGTCGGTCTGCTGCATCTTGTATATCGTAACCTTGTACCATCAGGCTCACTATCCTCGTGTATTATACGTATCTTGGCATGGTTTATTAAGCACTCAACTCAGTGTCTATGCGAGTCTGGCCGCTCAGACTCTGACATAAAGTCGCGTCTGTCCACCGGAACGAGCCTAACATGTCGACCCTTCGTAATCGTCACGATTCTTCGTTAGCTACGATACATCCAAGCTCTCGCCCATCATCGCACACCGCGCCGCACAGCGTGTCCCCATCCCATCCGCGCCAGCAACATCTGAGAATTCAAAGGGTGTACCGGAACTCGGGCGCGCGGTCCCCCATGCGAAGGAGCTCCTCCCTGGTGTACTTGATGCCCTCCTCTCCTGCCTCGCGCAGGAGCCTGTCGCGGCGCGCGTTGATGCGGCGGTAGTTGAACACGGTGATGGGCACGACGATGAAGCCGATGCCAATGAACATCAGCTCGAGGGCGTCTGCAGCGAAGCGACGAAGATGAGGAAAAGTAAGGGAGAGGGTTAGTAAGTAAGGGAGAAGTGGGGACGCACGGCCCATGATGTAACGCGGGGAGTCCTTGGAGAGGTAAATGTTGCACGCGATTGCGCCGCCGAAGTTCCCAAGCCCGATCTGGAGCGCCATGCCGACGCCGCGCTTGTACTGACCCGCGATGTTGTTGCCCAGCCTGGGACACTGACGCAGTGAGCAATCCGTTCGGCGAGAACGGCAGAGAAACAAAGGGGGGAGAGAGAACGTCTGACAGAAAGAGAAGAGCGCATGCATAACAGAAAGATAAGAGTGTACGCATAGCACACTCATCAAAAGGTGTGGCGGGGAAGGGACACGCACCACGCGACGACTCCGGGGAACGCCGCATAGGTACCCGCGACACAGAAGAACGTGCCAAAATACTTGACGCCGCCGGGTACAGCGGAGATGTTAATCGCGAAGCCGACGAGCGCGATGACGAGCCCCGCGAAGATGAACGGGAAGCGGACCTTGATCCTGTCCGACCAGATCGCGAACGTGAGGAGGAGTATCGCTGCACGCGAGTGCGTGAGCGTAGTGTATCTTTGCGTGGGGAGGGGGAGAGGGGAGCGGACTTACTGGCGAAGACGTAGGGTGGGACGGTGAGTAGCTGGCTGATGGCGGTGTCGTAGCCGAATCTGCGCACGATCGTTCGCTCGTCAGCACCAGACCACCACGACAGGAAAGACGGAAAAACACAAAACGCGCGACTCACGTATTGATAATCGTCCTACACGCGCAAGTAAAATTAATGTCCACGGATCAGATCCAACCTTACAGAGCGCACGGACGGGCAGGGCGGCTTACGGTAAAAACAACGAGATCCCATACACTACACGCACGCATGCATCAGCGTCACACACCAAACTCAGCACCGGGCAAGCGCACTCACGCGGCGCGACGACAGACATGAAGATGAGGATTTGGAGCCACACCTGCCAGTCCGCGAGCGCATCATAGATGTGGCGCATCGCGAAGTGCTCCTCCTCGCCGACGGACGACGTGTCGTACTCTGCCCGGAGACAGGGCGCGTCAGCCAGAATGCGCTGCGAGGAGGGAAGGAAGATGCCACGCACTCTTGCGCCAGATGACGTACGCACGCTCCGCAGGTGTGAGGAACGTGGCGGTGTCGGGGAAGTCGACGAGGACTAGCATGCAGGGACCACAATCGGTCATCTCGACGATACACCGCAGGGCGGGCGTGATGCTCACCGAAGAACGCAATGAATCCGACAACAGCCGTAGCGATGCCCTCAATGATCTAACCCCCACACACAAGCAGTCAGTCCCCCATCAGCAACTCTTCAGCAGTTTGACAAAGAAAAAGAAAAAAAGAAACGACGCACGAAGATCCAGGACCACCCGAGCAGGCCCGCGGTGCCGGACATGAACGAGATGCCGAACGCAAGCAGGCCCGAAAACGCGCCCGCGATGGTAGCGCCACCGTAGAAGAGGCCGACGCGGTACTGCAACATGTGGCGCGGATACCAGAGGGTCAGGCTGCAGTGCCGGGTGGCGGGAGCACAGTTTGGCCAGGGTCAGGGGTCGTCAGCGGGTCAGTGGGGGTTGTCAGTGGATTCAGCAGCGGAAAAGGGTAGTTTGCAAGGGCAAGTTCAGTAGCATGCGTGGGAGTTGGCGACATCACGCGAGTTAGCGGGTCCGAATTCAGCCAGAGAGTGGTCATTGTGCGCTCAGTCAGCTGGTGCACCGACACGAGGAGAGATGACAGAGGGCGGACGCACTAGTAGACGACACCGGGGAAAAGCCCTGCCTCGGTGACGCCAAGGACGACGCGTGTGCCGACGAGCTGGGGATACCTGTAGGAGATAGTCAGTGCAGTGAGGTTGGATCCAGCAATGTGGCGTGGACGGGCGTACGTCTTTACGAGACCCATGAGCGCCCTGCCAGGGTGCAGGATTAGCGTGCGTGGGCAAGGGAGGGGAGGGGAGAGGGCGTACATGATCGTGCCCCAGAGCAGCTGGCAGGTGGGGAGTAATGAATATTGGATGGTGGGGGCGGGGTAGATGGGGACGTACTGTGATGCCTGGGAGCCATCTGTGCCGGTGAGTGTGAGTGCGAGGACGGAGGGTCAGTGCAGGACAGCTGGGGCGCACCTTGAGGGGCGGAACTTCTTCAGCACCAGACTGAGATGGGAATATGTCAGTTCTGATACGGGATGTGGGAAAGCGAGAATTATAACGCACTTCGCTGGGCATTCGAAGAGGCAGTAGGGCTGTGATCGCGGACGAAATGAAACTCAGAGACATGAGCAGGTGACTGTTAGGTGACGTACTATGAAATACATAGTCTGCAGAACAGATGGTGAGACGAGGTCAGACACGGCGGAAGAGACGGGAACCCGACGCGCACCAGAGCAATATTGTACTTATTACCCGTGAGATCAAGCTGGGTCGTCAGTCCTTGCAGTTTGGCGTTTCCTACCACAGTGATAGAACGTCGATATCACGTAGTTCGGGGTATACGCTGTGCGCACCGATATTTCCTCTATCCAAGAAGGAGCAGAGATACATGATAGTGAGTATGGGCAAGAGGCGCATGTCGACCTTGCGCCAGAGCCTGCGCTCCTGCTCTGGAGTGAGCGGGGGCGGGGTGTCATCGTCAGGCGCATCGCGTTCGATGGCCTCAACCTGACCCTTCTTGATGTTGCTCCCGGTGTCGCTCTCCTGCTTCGACATATCAACGACGTGTCAGATCAGAAAGCAGCTTCGAAGTTCTACAGTGGCAGTGGGAGGAGAAGAGCCGCGGAAGACCGGGGGTGGCATCCGCAGTGTTTATATGGGACTAGGGCTGGAGTTGGAAGACAGGCACAGAAGAGAAGGGACGATACTGTATGCAGGAATCGGGGTGCAGATCTTGGTACCCCACGGTTCCCCGCAGTGGCTAAGTAGTTCGCGCACAGCGTCTGAGACACATGCCACCGGAGAGAAGGAGGAGAGGGCGCCCATGTGACCCTCATATATATCCTCAGACAGAACATACGCGGGCGCGGAAGACCCCCCTGGAGAACGGTCTTCCGACGGCCCAGCGAGCGATTGCAGTCAGCAAGTCCTTCTTTTCCCTTTCGAGGGCTCCTTCCGGCCTCGAGAACGCAATTTATACGGCGTACTGACGAACCGGGTGCGACTTACGATTGTGCGACATCGTGATGCACGTGGTACATTCAGATAGAGAGACAGAACGACAGAAAAATGAAGGGAGGTGGTTAGCGGGTGGTTCTCAAGGACACATTAGCATCAGAAACTAAGACATGCGGACTTGGCAGTGGCATGGTTGCATGAGAGGCCGAATACCCAGCCGTAATCGTGGAGGAGCCGGTACCGAGCCTTGTGTTGGTGGGTCCGTGGGACCACATCACGCGTCCCACCGACGCGTCGCGTCACGTCACGCGTTTTGTCTGTTTCGACAAAGCGTATGAAATGGCCTATGCGGAATTTGGGACCTCTACATTTTAGTAAGTCCCGTCGCAGCTTAGTGTTTGAATATTCGTGAATGACAATACTGACAGCCCTCAAAACGAAGAGTTTGAGTGATCTCGTATTATCGCTCCCCAGAGTGATTGTTGTGGACATCTTCGGTGTGTTGGCTTGCTGGTCTTGGATCGTCGACAGAGGACATGTCGCATGTTGACAATTACCGGCGTCGTCTCAAACGCGTGCATTTCCGAGAGAACGTGATCCGGCCGCACTCATCTATGGCTCGCCCACCGGTGAATGTGCATGCATGCCCTCCCTGCTGGTCCGCTCATCCTTAGGACGCGAATTGATCACGCACGAGGTCAGAGTAAGCTTGAGGATGTACAACCCGATGGTGGATCTGCCCCGTACTCGTTCGTCTTGGACTGCGTTGCCCGATCGATGTTGTGATCGTGCGGGAGACAGCTGATCGTGACAGGTGCGTCTCCAATCTTGGATAGGCCTCGCTAGGATCTGCAGGTGCGGTACGCGCGAAGATGTAGCAGGGACCCTTTACTTCTGTCATGAGCTGAATTCCACCAGAAGAGTACGCACCTGGAGTAATCCAGATGCGTTGACTTCTCCGCGGTGCTCTCTGAATGCGGGTCGTGCATGCGATTATATTTGCCTCAGGCGCTCTCCATGAGACCGCTCACGCTGTTGCGCCGTTCACGACCGACGGTGCTGACCCATGTGGATGCGCCAGCGATCCGTGTGCATCTAGATGGTTGCGATCGTCCCGCAGACGCGGCGCAGATCTTGCTCCGAGAATATCTCGGATGCATCTGGCTTGCTTTGTGGCCATCTCTGAATCACACTCGGCGACATGCGACGACGTGAGAGGCCTCTGAAGTGTGACGGACTCGTCTACTGTATCTCCTAGGTGCGCGGCAGTGGAAAGGTCCAGTATCACTGGGTGAACAGAGAGGGGCCGGAGTCAGCCCAGGGTGGAGATACGCGCTCAACGGCGTTGAAGATTTTTTTCGTCTTTACTTCACTGGCTGAAAGCATACTCTCGGTCCAGTCCATTCCTAGCGACTCCAACACCACCTACAGACCACAAAAGCCGTATAGCCATTCACGCTGGGGCAGTATTTGTGGTGAGTAGAATAACGTGCGATGTGGAAGGACAGGCTGGCGCGCGAGTACGTGGATGACCCAAGTCGGCCCGAACGACAGCCTCTATGATATTGTGCGCGGATGCATCATGGAAGCCCTTGCTGACTGTCCTTACGACCCTTCCCCTGGTTGTCAAATACGAAGACGACAGATAGCAGAACGTGACTGATACATTAATGACGGTGGGACGTCGCCTTCAGGATCGTCCTGTCACTCACATGGCTCAGACTACAGTACACCTAGAGCACCTGTCACCGTCGACGCCTAACGCCGATCTATCGATGGTCGTGCGGCTCGAGCCAGTCGACGTGAGGTAGTCGAGAGATCAAGAAAACACAAGGGAGCGTGAAATCCGACGATGTGAGATCATAGCCTGAAACCTACCCGTGTTGAGCCTACATTTTATGCAATATACTTACTCCTCAGCCGCCGCCGCTGCGCAGCTCGACACCGGATCTCCATCGCCGCTAGCTGACCAACCACTAACAAAGATATGCTCTGTAGGGTGGTGACGAGGCTGACAAGACAACGGAGAACAGGTGATATAGAAGATCTACTCCACCGTGTATCTCGTACAACGTCTGTGGACGGTTCCATCTGACGAATGCATTCTCTAGGCGCACAGACCTGCTGAGAGCACGGTCATTTGGACATTCTCGGACTAGCGTTGTACAAGGACTGGTACCGCCTGCGTCGATGTCCTTTGAACCAATGCCAGGGCCCGTATTCACTACTATTCGTTGCGTCTCCCTGCATGGAAAAGGCTCTTCTCGATGTGGAGCGTGCTTACATAAGCACGTGTGTCGCACTCGGAGAAACGTCACGGTCGCTGCCATTTCCACACGTTCATGTTCGTGAGTCCTTCAGCCAACGGTTCAGTTCTTCAGCTGAGAGCGGCTTGCACTCGCATTGGAGTGTAGCGTACGCCGTCAACTACGCCGTCAACTGTGTCCAAGTCTCGTTAGCGCGGCGACGTCCACAGCCTTGCGCCTGGATGGTTAGCAGCTCGCCGTAATAGCGCAGGATGCCCGAAGCGCGGTGGCTTCTCATGACACTCCAACGTCGAGCGTGGAGATTGGCGCCTGCAAGTCAGACACGAGGCGCGCTCCTTCCCAGCGCCAAGCGCCGCCCTCCTTTTGTTCTTAAACTTAACTTAAAGCCCTTCGCCGCACGCTGACGACCACCACCTTGCCTCCACTGACGACGACCACCGCCACTATCACTACCACATCTACTAACACACATGGACCCGCAGCTATCGCAGGTACATTCGTCGACTGGCCATAATGACATATTGCGTGCCAGGCGGGTCGCACAAGCCGCGTCGTGTGAGTCTCGCGCTCTCTGTCGTACTCGCCGAGGGAGAAGTGACTGACAAAGCGTGCGCGCAGACGGGCTGGCCCTTCCCCCGTTCATGAACCCTGTCGCGGGTGAGCTCGTTGAGTACACCCCGCTCCCGAAGGAGGGCGCCGACGAGGACGAGGACGCGCCACGGGCGGCCCCGGGGACGCTGCTCGAAGTGAAGTACTTGCACGAGGAACTTGACCAGTTCCGCACCAAGTACGTGTTGAAGCCCGCGCCGTCCACCGCGCAGGAGGAGCCCGGCGAGCAGGGTGCGTCCGCCCGCTACGCCGCGTACGCGTTCACCGTTATCCGCCGCTTCAGCCCCTCCTCGGACGGGCAGGGGAACATGTTCAACGTCACCACGACGTTCCAGATAAACAGCAAGCCGCTCATCGAGGTCTGCCAGGAGGTTATCGGCCAGGGACAGGGCGTATCGTGGACTGCCAAGCCACTTCGGGTACGTCGTGTGGCGCTCATGAGTGGCGGCGGCCGTCGCTGACCAGCTCCAACAGATCGACCCGCAGCTGCTCCTCAGCTTCCTGCGCGAGCTGCAAGAGTGCGCAGCGAAGCTCGTTGACGCAGTGGACGCTGCAGAGCGCGAGAAGTACGCGCACCTGCAGCACCTACTGCAGTACCTAACGACGACGCATTCGAGCACGATCAGCACGCTCTCCTCACTCCTCGCGCACGGGGAGATCACGTTCGACCTGCTCTGGGCGCTCTACGTCCCGCGGAAGACGATCCTGTGCACGACGTGCCCCGTGACGGGCGAGCCGCGCACGGCGCGGCTCGTGCACGCCGAGCTCTGCCAGCAGCTCGACGTGCAGGCGCACCCCTTCCTGCCCGTGCACCACTCGCTCGGTGGGAGCGCGGGTTCGAAGAAGCAGGAGCAGCAGCTGCTGTGGCGCCTCACGATGGAGTACGTCGAGGCGGACGTCGGGCTCGCTGGCGCGCGCACGAATGAGATGGGCTCCGGTGCGGGCCCGCGCGTGGACGGGGAAGAGCCCGCAGCGCGCTTCGGGCTCGGGATGCTGAATGCGGCTCTGGAGGTGCATGCGTTTAAAGGGACGAGGAAGATTTCGAGCTTGTCGGCATACCCGATACAGTATTACACGGGCGTGGGCGGCGAGAATGGCTTGAGGGAGCGGCTGATCGCGCGCGGGAGGAAGTGGGCGGCGATCGCAGGCGGGATGCGCCATGTCGCGTATCGCGGACTGGCGTTCCGGTTCAAGCAGGTTGCGTACATCAAGACCAGTGTGAGTCGCTGCTGGTTAGGCTGTGTGGACGATGCACTGACGTCGTTCGCAGGTGAACTCGAGGATCATTGTCGATCGAAGTGAGCGTAGTCGTCGCACTTTCGTGTGTGAGCTGTGCTGACTGGAGTGCTCTTCGTTTATCCAGAAACGTTCCAGGATATCGTGCCGAACTACGGCAAGTTCCCGATCGTGACGAAGACGATATCTGGGAACGACCTCGACAGGTTCGCGCTCGTCGCAGGCGCGGTCACCGAATCTCTGAGCGAGGCGTCGGAGCTCTCCGAAGAGGATCTGATGCTCGCGTCCCCGATCGTGTACGGCTTCAGCCTGTCAGACAAGCAATGGTGTTAGTGCACTTTTCTCTACTCATCACTGCCTGCTGACACTCTGCATGATGGTGCTCGCATAGTGGAGTTTGCTGTTGACAATGTACGCGATCTAGAGTGGAATGACGACGCGTTCAACCACCTTGTCATCCCGGCAGAGCAGAAAATGGTACTCAAGACGCTCGTCGAATCGCACAACACCGGTGCGGCCGCCAAGTTCGATGACTTCGTGTCGGGGAAAGGCCTCGGGCTGGTCATCAATCTCTTCGGGAACCCTGGAACAGGTCAGATGAGATTCCTCGGAGATACGAACCGTTCTGATGTCGCGTTTTGATCGTAGGAAAGAGCCTGACTGCCGAGGGGATCAGCGAATGTGCGTGCTTTCTTCTCTCTTCTGCGTACGTGCCTGTTGCTCACCCGATTCATGTAGACCTGCGAAGTAAGGACCAAGGACTCGACTGAATGGCATTGTTCTTGATACTGACATCGGTGCTGCAGAACCTCTGTATGTGGTTGGAGCGGCGGAGCTGGGCACAACGGCAGAGGTCATGGACGCGAACCTCGCCACGGTGCTGAGGGCCGCCGCGGCGTGGGGCGCAGTGGTGCTCATCGACGAAGCGGACGTGTTCCTCGAGGAGCGCTCCCTGCACTTCCTCGAGCGCAACGCGATGGTTGCGGTCTTCCTTCGACAACTCGAGTGCGGGTATCTCCTCATTCCGTGAATTCGGTTATTGATGCAGATCGTGGCGCAGGTACTTCCGTGGTATTCTCTTCCTGACAACGAACCGCGTGCGCGTCTTCGACGAGGCGTTCCAGTCGCGCATCCACGTGTCCCTCCGGTACCACGACCTCTCCCCCGACGCGCGAAAGCATATCTGGGTGGCGTTCATGCAGCGGGTGAACGGGAATATCCCCGACGGCGGCTTGACGCGCGAGGAGCTGCGTGAGCTTGGGGAGAAGAAGGTGAACGGGCGGCAGATCAAGAACGTCGTCAAGACTGCGGGCGCGCTCGCCATCGGCCGGCAGGAGAAATTTGGGTACAGGCATTTGAGCCAGGTGCTGGGGTTGATGGAGCAGTTTGATTTTAGGTGCGTAGTGCTGTGCGATTTCGTTCTTGAAAATGGGTGTGCTGACGCCTCGGCGTGTGCAGTCATGCAATGTATCAATAGAGCATTCCGCCGTCGTGTATATAGTCGTTGGTCGCGCTCTCACTCGCTGTCTTGCTTGTACGTGGAGAAGACCGATGAGCTTGTGCTGTAGATTTCGAGAAGCTAAGTGCTCAGCTTTATTCACCGTCGCTGTCGCCTCAGAGCAAAGTCCTACCGCGTTGAGCACGTGCGACGGTTTATGTCCGAAAGAAGCAACCCAATTTCCTTTTTAGTGCTCGCTACCGCACTTCTGCGAAACGATGACGAGTTGCGGTCCGTGTGTTTCTCCCGAGCTGAGTCCACGTGTCTTACCTTCTACCCGTCGATGCGTTCTCATGCAGCCGCGCTGTCAGAACCTTGCACTGGACACGGCTAGTGCGAGGTCATCTGCCAGTCCGGTGGGCATGCCGGCCGTGCCATCGATTGAGTCGCAGGGAGAATCAGAAGATTAGAAGAGACTCTCATACGCACCATTATGTGGGTCTGGAGCTTCCGGCTAATTTGGGGGTATAAGACGCCTTTGAGGCGTCGACGTGACGGTGGTGGTGCGCTACGTACGATGAAGACTTTGAAGCTACTACGAAGCGTGGTTCTGCTGGTCGACATTCACATCGCTTCGGCGCTCCACTCTCCAAGGATATCGCCGTCGTATGACGCTGTGGTAGTAGATCCTTCGACTTTGGTCTTTATCTCTGATCCTGCGACTTATGTCAATCCGTTCATTGGGACGACAAATGGCGGCAATGTCTTCCCTGGTCCGTGTCACAAGCCCTGTTGGTGGTTCATTTGCTCATCGTGCGGCCTATCGCAACAGGTGCAACGATACCGCACGGGATGGTGAAGGCGGGCATGGATACCGATTCCCCTCATAACGTATGAGTGTTGTCACATCCACGTCGAGCCTCTGGTGATGACATTCGCTGCGTGGATCAGCAAGCCGGATATGACGCAAATGCGATATACAACGCCACTGGATTTTCTCCGTTACACGACGATGGCACCGGTGGGGTGAGTCGTCGTTCGGCGTCTGTATTGTTGGAGGAACTTATGGTGCTATGAGGCGGTCACCTTGTCGCAATTCAAACTCTGGCCGTTCGCATCGTGTGGAGTCGACAACACTTTTGAGTCGTGTCCGACGGCCATACAGAGCCGGAAAGTCCTGAGACAGCTCCTGCCGGACGGTCAGCGCTATGGCCTCGCATGCGGAATCCATCGATTGACGTGTTGTTCAGGTTCTCCCGATGATGCCGCGGAGCCTGGATATTTCGCGTCTAACTTGGTGAGAGAACGTGTCCGACACATTTTCGAACATGCAGAGATTCATCCGTGACCAGTCGACCGGTATTCGTGTCGAGCTGACGTCCACGCGTCGCGCCGCACTGCACCGGTATTCACCATTTTCCCGAGATTTTAGCTTAACTTTTGACTATGCGTATGCCAAGCTATACCTTTCCCTCGGGCACAGAATTCCCCAGACTGGCTGTAGACATCACAAATGATGGACAGCAGAGCAGCACCGAACCGGTGATGACACTGAATACGAGCACTGCACGAGTCGTCGGTTTGTTAATTTCCTGGCGTCCAGATTATGCAGCTCTGACTCAAACGCCGATCAGGAGGTGCATCCTTTGCGGCCTCGTTTGGCCCCGGGCGATACAGGGTTTATACTTGTGTCGATTTTCAAGGCGACGGCTATGACCTGGTATGTCAACCTGGAGAATATCGCTACCTCGTTCGTTCTGAATCAAAGAGCAGGGTGCACCTCTCGAATATGGGGCGTGGCTGGCGGACTACCCTGTGAAAAATAGCGTGGCAATTTCCCAGATGTATTCGAGTACGCATGTCTGACCATTTGTGCTCCTCATCTGCACTAATACGGATCGGTAGGTTTCGTTGACCAGCTAGGTGCCATGTTCACCTTTACGCCCAACGCCAACGGTAAGTCTTCCTGACATCCGTGGGGGGCTGTCGTTCTAAACATTTCCCGAGCCAGGGACAACATCGATTTTGGCACGCGTCGGCGTCTCATTTATCTCCTCCGCCCAGGCCTGCTCCAATGCCGAAGAAGAGATACCCGACTTCGACTTCGAGGGCGTGCGGTCCGCCTCGCGGGCACAGTGGAATGACATTCTCGCACGTGTGCAAGTGGACCCGCAGGGCGTCGACAGCGAGACCGTAGTGCTCTTCTACAGCTCGCTGTACAGGACGCATATCGTCCCTGCAGACTGTGAGCGCGGGCATGCGTCTGACCTCTGCTGTCTGAGCTGACTGAATGTGTACAAAGATACGGACGAGAACCCGTTGTGGAACTCGACGGAGCCGTACTATGACTCGTTCTACTGCAATGTGAGTAAGATGCTGGCCGTACAGATTGTTGGTTAACCTGTACATTAGTGGGACACGTTTCGAACTCTGTATCCGCTGTTGTCCCTCCACGACCCTGCCAATTTTGCGAGGATCGTTCGGGGGTTGATTAACATACAGCAACACGAAGGTGAGCGTTTAAAGTGCGCCAAATTGCCATTATTTATTATTTATGCCGAAGGATGGCTCCCCGAATGCCGCGGTGCGACGGCCCAGCAGTGGATACAAGGTGGCAGCAGTGAGCGATGCATATTAGGTTTGATGCCAGAGTCACTCACTGTCTGCTCTAGACGGCGATCCCATTCTTGGCGAATTTTTGGTCAAGTGCGTGCTTCCTCGGTGTGCCTTCGCTCGATATCCATTTCTCCGTATCGGATTGATCGTGCAGGTATCACCAACAAGCCGAACAGCTCAACGTCTCGTCGGCCGCTCTTTACGCAGCACTGCTCGCGGACGCGGAGGAACAGCCGCCGAACTGGGACCTTCAAGGACGCCAGCTGGATACCTGGAAAACTCTGGGTATGCCATTTGTACGACCGCAGGAGCAGAGTTTGGCTGAGATTTATCTGGCAGGGTATATTCCTCAGGATGTGTGGCAAATCAGTGGAACGAATACGAAGACGGTGTCGCGAACGCTGGAGGTGAGCGTTATGTCTTGTCTGTACTCGTGAACGTCGCTGAAATGGACTCCAGTACGCGTTCAACGACTTCGCTATTTCTCAAGTAGCGAAGGCTCTCAATAATACTGCGGACGCTGCCAAGGTCTGTACAGGATTACTTTGTTTCTGATGTGCGCTGCAACTCACATCACAGTACGTACAACGTGCGGGTAACTTCGTGAATGTCTGGAACCCAAATACGACTGTCCCAGGGCGAGAGGATATCGTCGGGATGATGCAGGTGTTACTTGCTCTCTCCGTCTCCCAAAGGTCCCCACTCACCACCTCTGCATAGCCGCGATTCGCAAACGGCACCTTCAACTACACGGATCCCCGGCATTGCAGCGTCAATGACCCCACACAGTCTACCTGCTATCTGAATGCAGTCAATTACGATGGCTTTTATGAGGATTCGCCAATCGTTGTGAGTGTGGTTTCTCAGACGTTGTCGAATGTGCTGATAAGGGACTTCTGCAGTATTCTCAGGTGCTGAGCGAGGTGTTTTAATGGAATGACAAACTGATTGCATCGCAGTTTGTACCCCAAGATATGGCCAGGTTGGTCGAACTGCAAGGTGGACGGGAGAACTTCATTGACCGGCTGAACTTTATCTTCGACGAGGTCAGTATTTGTCGCTTGAAACTGAATTTCCCATGAATATTTTTTTGATAAATGTTGGCATCCAGAATTATTACGACGAGACGGATGAGCCCTCGGAACAAATCCCCTTTATGTATCATTACGCAGATAACCCGGGCATGAGTACCCAGCGATCGCGGCAGGTCATAGCGCAGTGGTTCAATACCTCCGTCAACGGTTTACCTGGCAACGATGGTACGTACCTTCGCCTCATCTGGTGCAATTACCCCTCAATATCTGTCTGGTTGTTCTAGATTCTGGTGAGATATAGTGAGAAGACAATGATGCATATCTTATTCAGCATGACAGGTGCTATGGCAAGCTATGTCACGTTCTTCCTCGCAGGGCTGTATCCTGTACCCGCTACTCGGCAGTATCTGCTTTCCTCACCGTGGTTCCCTCAGATTTCTTTCTACAACCCCGCCTTCAACACCACGACCACGATCAAAGCAAACGGATTCTCGGGGAATCCCGCGAATGGTACCGGTGGCCAGGTCTTCGTGCAGGTACGCACAGTCGTGGTGTGGGGACACGCGACTATCCTCAATTGACTTGGCTGGCAGAACGTCACCATCGACGGCGTGCCGTGGAAATCGAACTGTTACCTCGAATGGGACGTCTTTGAGAGCGGTTCTACGATCGAGCTCGAATTGACAGACGACGCCAATGTGGTGTGCGGGGCAGATGACAGTGCGTTGCCACCGTCGTTGTCCACCGGTGGATTTGCTTGAGCTGTGCGAAGCTGTCGGGATACCAATTGGCGAAAATGTGTATAAATACTCCCTCACCACCCTTACTGAGACAGGTCAGTTGTCACTTGAATCAGTGTAGTCACTCTATCGAGTACATGGCATCTCGTCCAAGCACGCAGGTTACACGCCGCGCATATAGCTGTCAGAGTGTTCTCTGTGATGGAACCGCACGCTTCGGCCACCTGATAGGACGTTCAAAAGGTTCGAGTGATTTCCAGACGACTCGTCCGGTGGCTTCGAAACTGGTGTTCCGTGTCACAAGAGCACCCTTGAATGTGTCCTTCGCGGAAATAGTAAAGGGCCAGGTTGAATTTGAAGATAATCTTCACCACCCGTTTGTCGAAGCCGCCACCAGTGATGCAGTCATACGCCGCTGCGAGTGTAGTGGCGATTATTTTCTCCATTCAAAAATGAATTGCGGGCCACCAATTAATGCGCCTCTTGATGGAGTGCTCCGCTCAGTTGGTCAGGGTACATGCAGAAATGAGTTCGGAGCAATATGAAAGCAAAAAAACTTAATCCAGGGGATAAGATCGTCAAACTAATGTATCAGTACCACTAGCTTCAGTGGCTGTAACTGCGAATGGTGGGTGGGATCAACGGGTGTTCAGGGATAGAACGGCGTCAATCATACAGGCGGCTCCTGGTGTTGAACTGCAACTTTCGCGAGGCGACGCCGAGCGCACTCGGTGAGGAATTGCACCACACCGAGTTGAGAGGGTACTTCCAGGGACTCTATGTACGCCGCGAGAATGGGTGTCGTGGCGATTACAACCTGTACGATTCCTGCACTGTCCCAAGGGCCTATAAGGTGATTTTGAACATTGCGATCATTGGCTGGGTAGACGGTACGGACGCGGATACGTACTTATGGCATTTAGTCTCGTTCTGCTAGTAATGATCTTGCATCATCTCGTCGCCTCCTACTTTTTCAGATTACTCTCGAGGTGTCTTTGTTCTTGAATGCATCTGTTGGATTTTAATCACGTACTTACTGGGATAAAGTTTTGGGGATCTGCGAATGTAACATGTTGTGAACATTTCCCGGACGAGAATAGAGCAACGGACTTGGGAGAGTCAATTGGATTTTGGAGAGTGGCAACCTGCATCAAGAGTTTCTATGTTGCGATTTCTTCAAGACCGAGACAAAGCCGACGTTATCGTTATTCTAGAAACCTAATATTACTCGGTACATACCAAGTGTTCATACACATCAGAGCTGGCGTCCAAGAAACGCAAGTGGAGCGAGTTCCTCTTTTTGAGCCGTGGCAACTTCGTTGTAAGCAAGTCCTGACAGTTTTGCAGAAGGCGGCGAGGAGGCTGCATCAAATCGCAAATCTGAAACAGCACGTGCTTCATGCTAAACTCATCGAGCACAGCATCCATCCGAGCCCAATCTGTTTTGTCCACATCGTTGAAGAAAGCCTCGCCGTCGTAGATGTAAATTATGAAAATTATGATGGAAACCTGGCTGGGTATGATGGAGAGAATGTCGATTTGGGCATTGAGCAAGTGATAGACTAGGTCGAGGTCTTGACTATCGATGGTGAACCCGATGCTTTTGAGGTAAGGACACGACGACAATTGAAACGCTTTCCAGTCGACTGGAGTAACTGTTGCTCAAACATATTCTTCCGTCGGTATCATTCACAATTGCTATGTGCATGTGCTTACCTCCGCCTATTCCTTGGAGGACCCCAGGGTTCAACTGGAGTTCCAGGTCCATGACCCCTGTCGTGTTGATCAACTCGCCGAGAGCTGCGACGTCCACTAGATCATGGCACGTCACCCTTAATCGTTGGAGGATCCCGACAGCCACTACCCTGCGGAAGAGCTCGCACAACAGATTGACTCCCGGGCTATCGGAGTCGAGCACGAGCAATCTGATCGACATGTCCTTTGGGAGCTCGACGGAGGACAACGTCCGCGCGACGCCTTCCTGATCTTCATCTTCTACATCTAGCTCGACGCCTGATAACCGTAGGTTCTCGACGTGTCGGAAGAGTCTGAGAACGCTGAGAAAGTCCTCAAGCGACTCCTCCCCACTACCAGAAACCATGGCCAAGCTGAGTTTGCTAAGTTTGAACGCGGCCTTGGAGCAGGGTAGGTTACTCTGCGCGGACTTCTGCAGCTGCAGCCCGGCAAGTTCCAAGCCGCGCAGTCGGGATAAGCGGGTGAGGATCCTGGCTATGGCGCATGAGCTAACGTTCGGACGTTCGAAAACCTGCAATGTGTGCACGTCGCCGTTCGTTCCCAAGACATGTAGTTCGTGCACGTGTGGGATGAAGAGGAGATCCCGCCCTGCTTTGACAAGCTCCTCCAGGAAGGATGCAAACTGAACCACGCCATGGCCTGCCCATCTCCCCTCTATAATGTAAATGCTCTGCAAAAGGTGGTGGCGGCTGGAGTATATCCAGCAGCGGCAGACCAAGGAACACGATAATAGACTCGGCTTGTCATCGTGTAAATAATCCATGATCATGTCTTGGAGCTCTGGGGGAAGTCTTGGCACCTGGGATACAAATCTCGATTCCACGCCCTAAATATATCAGCGTATACCGTTTGATCTCATGTTGTTTCAAAGACCCACCATGACGAACAGAAGAAGCACGACAACGGGTAATCCCGAGCGTGTTCGACTTGCCAGAAGTTTGGCGAAACCAACTCTGCTAGACAAATTATACACTGCACATTTGCGTGAAATCAGCTAGTACTGTTGCTTACTTGCTCTTGTTCACAATCACCGTGGCAGGACTGAGGAAACAAGGTTGAGGGTGTCACGCTGTGCGCTTTACTCACGTGACGTGACCGACGCGTCAGATCTAGTCACGGTACTATTCTTTACCCTAATCATTCAACAAACTCTGGTAGACCATGCAACCTCTCCTTCTGCTTGTACAACAATGCTTCAAGTTGAAAGATATGCTTTATATCTTTCGGAGACACGCTCTCTGTTGTCTGGCAGCTCGTGCGAGTAAATCAGCTTTACTTAGTTCAGCGCTCGGAGGAATCTCGACCCCACGAGCCCATGAACGGAATCCTGTCTCTAACTTCAGAGCTATAAACCGCGTATTGTGCTTAGCCTTACTAGTGGAATTCTTTCTTCGTCCTCTGACAATATGATCTCACATGAAGAAACTGTGATTGGCGTCTGTCTTGCTTAACCTTACAATAAAGTTCTACAACATGCAGCGTCTTCTCGTGGATCTCTGGCAAGAACAGGTGCGTGACGTTTGATATTAGAACGCCTGTCGAGTCATCGGACCTGCAAACGGATTGGACAGATTGTCTTGATGCCCTGTTTCGAATACAGTTTATCATGCATGTCATACTGCCTAGAGGCATGGAAGATATACAAGATAAGTAGCTAAGGACGGACTTCCAAAAGACAAAACCCTGCTCCAAACCCGATGCCATTATCTACCTCTGACTCTGGAGATGGATGGTATGACTGTGCTGTATACCCTCTGCCGTAATATCCGCTCTGGTCTTACTCAACGGGAGATGCGACAGAGCCGTGTGTATTATTTCTCCATGCCTCTCATCGCGACCTGACTCATCTATCATCTCAGTTACATGCCTTCCCTACGATCGGCCCCTCGGCACTACATATCTTACAACGGCGCATTTCAATTCCTCTGTACTCCAAAGGGGACGCTGGTGACTTCTGATGTAACAGGATTCTGCTTTTTTGAGAACGAAATTGTCTCAGTACGGAGACTCCGCGTTCCACTGCTTGACCAATGACTCATTATCATTGAGGGATCAAGCTGGTCGATTGGTAGTGTAACTTCCTGGGCAAACAGGTATCGTTTTCCCAAGGCCGTGAAGGACGTGAGGCTATTCTATCACTCACCTCATGTCTTCAACTGATCGTTGTGCCCAAATCGCAGCAACTACAGACCAAATGTACATTTGAGATTGGATCTCAGGGAGGACCCATATCACGTAGGATTTATCCGGAGCCAGCTCACTCGGAACTTTGCTGTCTTACTTCCCGACGTGAGGCACGAGATTGCAAGAGCGTGTCTATTCCAAAAAAAAAACAATGGTAAGTCACGTCCTCTTGTTCGAAATGAAGGCTGCTAATCTCTCACGGAAGGGTGGACAGACGGCTCTGTGATGCCAGTCATGTAGCAAATCGTCGCGCGAGCCGTCGAGTTTCTGGAGCTCCCAGCATGTACGTTTGCATCAATTACCGGAGCGTAAACACAGATGACTATCGGGTAACAGATCGAAAGGATGACTGCCTGAATATTGCCATCGGCTGTACTATCAATATTATGATAATGCGAGCGATCATAACCCTGTTTCCGTCAAATTTGTGGCCGTAAGTTCCAAGATTCTAGGACTATGACTTGATGCTGACGCGGATTTTTGGTTGACTTGTAAGCATTGCGGGACCCCTCGTCTCGCGCTTACGCAAGGCGACCACGGCAACCAGAATTATGATAAAACATTTGAGGACCACCATATATGAGCAGAAACAGAGACAGGTGGAGTCTGGGGTCTGACAAACCTGTCTGTGTCTCTGCTACGTGCATGACAAATGCTGATACGCTCCACAATTACCCTAGAATAACATGATCGTATCACTCATAGGCAAAGCACGAGCAAAGAATACAGTGACTGCGGCTTCTTACGAAGAATTCTAGTCCATGTGCTGCTCCTAACCGTGCTTCGTCGAACGTACGTCCATGGTTGCTCATGCCCTTTGTTTAGCTTTCTGACGCTCCAGAGAAACGAGGTGGAGGACGTCATGTAGAAATGTGTCTGCTTCATAACGAGTCATGATGGAATGGCATGACCGCGACTCCGGCGCGTGTTCGAAGAACATCTCCGCGAACTTCGAAATTCTCCAATTACATTTGCCTGTTGAGTTGACACAAGCTGGGGCCTGCGAGTGGTAGTAGCTGCGGCTTGTGTCGTGGGCAGCGGGGTTCCTCTCGCGGCCTTTGTGCACACGCTGAGCGTCATATTCAACGACGGGAGAACTGGTGAGGCATTTCTCGATTACATATTCTCATGGAACGTGATTACAGCTTAGTGCTCCGGTAGAACTTCTGCTATTATTCGGGCCGCTTAATCATGCAAATTATGTGGCTACGGATGTGCGCTGCACATTGGCTGCACCAGGCTAAGAGGAACCTTTCCTCATTGTGAGAGTACCCGGGATGTATGTAATCGGGCTGCGTAAGCGGCGGTCTATCCACCGTTTTATTGCGGGCTTGCTCGATCTCTTCCTTCAGCTCCCATCTCCGTCAAACGGCCATTACAACTCCATGCGCGCATACGAATGCTCCTCTATTATATACTTGGTTCTTCAAGAGCTGTATGTCCCCTTCACCCTATATTTTGTTTCGCTGATCACCAGGCCAGCCGTATGCCATCCTCACAGTTGGACCCTCTGCTCGTCTTCGGAGCATACAGGTTCGTACGTCATGGGAGGGCGGTGTTTTCAAGAGGGAAATGATAAGGTAGACTGCACCATCCCCATATGGTTACCGCCGGACTCCAGTACAAGGGATCAATGTTTAAGGTCCGATGGTGGACGAACCACTGGGGGGGATCAACGGCCCGCAGCTTATCGAGGAAATGCGCAAGTTCCCAACGATCAAGGGTTGTTTATTCACTCCTTGAAGAGGTAGCATTATCCAAAGCTTTACCGTGAGTATTCTGTCACACTGCTTTCTAATTGTTGTGCAGACGGCTGAAGCCGGGTACACGTTGGGACCATCATTGATGACCAGCAACACGTGCTAATTATCCGCGACCTGGTATACTTCGTTCTTACTTGACGTGATTGACGAAATCACCATGGTCTTCCAGGATCTATATTCCCGCAACGGAAGATGGGTCGCTTAATTGGTTCTCCGTTGTCTCAGCTACTAACGTATGGACGGACTGGTTTAATGCCCCTATCGGCTCACATTGAGCACGTGCAAGCAACCGTATTTTTGCAGGCATTTCGATGTGTACGTATTTCTAACACTAAATTTCAGACGTCTCAAACGCCAATAGGCTGGGACCGGGACTATGCATTGGTTTTACCCTCGACAACACTGACGCGCGACTACATTAATCTCTTCCCGAAGGTCTTGAAGCCGTGCGGTTCTTTTAATGCAGCGAAGATGTATGCCTTGCTGTTGACATGCTGCAACTTTGGACGTATCTTTTCTCGCGTAGGGTAGCGTGTTCTACGAAAAAGGCACGTTCACGTCTGAAGCCAATTATGGAGGAACGACAGAGAAAGTTCGCCGAATTTGGGGAGGATTGGAACACGTATGCTGTATTTCATCTGGCTCTACGGTGTCAGGCGCCCTGCTGATGCTATATAACTGGTTACGCAGAACGGCGTGTCGATGTGGCCTATGAATGGAGCCAAGGAGAAGGACAGCGAGGAAGACTCTGGTGGAGAAAATCTTGGCTATGGGTTCCTCGCAATTCATACGTCATCCAAAGTGCGTTTCAAGTCGGATAGCTTTCACTGCTTTCAAATAATAATTTGTAATAATAGAACCTGCCTCATGCACTATCAGGCTGCAGCAAATCCGGAATATATGCAGCCTCTGGGAAGCAGTCGAGGGCGTCGTCAAGACAGAAGGTGGGGACATGGCGTATGTGAGCAAGATGCGACATCTCGACAGCTTTATGAGGGAATCTCAACGGGTCAACGGGATTCTCGGCAGCGTGGAGACAGCTGTAGGATTTTCTCTCTTTCTAATTCACGTTGTTCCGTGGTTCTTACAGCCTCAGTCTCTCGCAAAGCGATGAAGGACATCAGCCTGTCTAAAGGCATAATGTTCCCAAAAGGTAGGCCTGTCACTGCTGCGGCCACGCCAACGCACCTCGTCGAGGGGGCATGACCTCAATGCAGATGTTTTCGATGCGTTCCGGTTCTCCAATATGCGTGCCGGTGAAGGTGAGGACACAAAGTGTTAGTATCTGAGGAATCCTCCAGATAACAGCGCCTTCGGCATGCATGGTGAATTTCTAGGTTCACTTTTTCCTTTTTCCTAATGTCTGTGATGTTCTGCAAGACTTGGACGCTTTTTTGCAGCACACGAGCTCAGGGTAGTGCTCGTCTACATTGTGCTGAACTTCGATGTCGAGTTCGAGCGCAAGCGCGAGCGGCGTCCGGAAAACTTATGGATCAACATGGACGTCATACTACCCCGCACCACGCGAATGCGATGTTCAGGAAGCTCGGGTCTGCCTGTTCTGGGGCGTGAACTGATCTCAGATGCGGAGAATTTCTGTTATCTTACTTTCCTAGTGTTGTATTTGAAGCCAGCGCTATTGATACTGCTACAAACTCTCTGACTTGTTTGCATTGAAAGTTGTCGATAGTGGTGGTATTGCATCCGTTTCCCAATGTCAGTCTGCAGTGGGAAATTTTGGTTCTTTTTACGAGTTGGACGGTCTTCTTTACCGCCATTGACGTTGAGATTGAGTAGGACTGCCAGAAAGAATCTACAGATTGGCACGACATTCGGTACGCTCAAATTCAAAATGATGATTCTACACCGCCCAATTATGTGCCGATTTTTTACTACATCAATACAATTCCAACTTTCCTTAGTCCTTCCATAGGACTGTATAACTTTTCAGACCGCAGTTCCCTTGGCAGTGCCGGATCGTCGATCTCGCAAACCACGACGCCTTCCGCATATGGCATTCGGGTCAGAGCTCCTCGACGCAGCACGCTCCCCATCTTTAAACTCTCTCAGCTCTCTATCGTCACAGACCGTGGTCGCAACTGCGACGACGTCCATCACGTGTTCACGGTCCGTGTGCGGAGAGCATCTCTGCATGTGAGCTCTAGCTTGGGTCGCTTGCAAGGTGGAATCCCGCTTGCACTGGGGCTATGCCCAGTCCTAGCTTCAGATTGATCAACGGGCAACTGGAGAGCCATTTCCTACCCACGTTGTCATGGAGCGTGTATAGTCAATGAACTTTACTGTTCTGGCCCCTTGATCATTGGATTTAAGCGGACATAGGTATTCGCAACGTCGTGGTCGAATGCGGAAGAACCGAGTAGATAGAAGGCTCGTTGTGACGTATACCTCACCTGCAGGTCAGGGACATTGTGAGAACGCACTGAATGTGTGTAATTGAGCTGGTGTAAGCGGCCCTCAACGAAACCTTTATTAAGGATGCATTCTTGCACTACCTTTTCAGCTCATTCGAGATGGCCAGTTCAGCGTTCTATGCGTTCGTAGGTGTGCTTTCCGTCCTGTACTTCGTACAACGGGTGTCTAGGTCTTCCAGGGCTGTATGTTGTTCTCACACTTTCTTATTTGTTGCTGATCACTGGCCTAGCTACACGCCATCCCCACGGTTGGACCCTCCGCGCCTCTGCTCTCGTACATCGGAGCATATAAGTATGTCCGTCATGCGAAGACGATGCTTCAAGAGGGATATGATAAGGTAATGCTCTCGTATCACCGTCACTTCTCGCATTCATGTTTCCCGACTTCAGTACAAAGGATCGGTGTTTAAGATTCCGATGCTGGATCAATGGCTGGTGGTAGTCAGCGGCCCGAAGCTCGTCGAGGAACTGCGCATGCTTCCTGACGACCAGGCGTCATTCGTCCACTCGATAGAGGAGGTAGATTCGTCAAATGCTTTACTCTGTATCTCTCATCATGCTGATGGCACGTTGCATGTACAGACGACGCAAACCAGGTACACAATGGGACCATCCATCACTGATGACCCGTATCATGTGCCAATCATCCGCGACCAGCTCACGCGTGGTATACGGACTTTCCTACCTGACGTGACTGACGAGATCGACAAGGCCTTCCAGGATCTTATTCCCGCAACGGAAGATGGTTTGCTTAATCAGTTCTCTGCCTCGTCAGCTGCTCACGTATGAGCAGGGTGGATTGATGTTCCCGTATTGTCTGTAATGCGCCAAATTGTTGCACGTGCAAGCAACCGTGTTTTCGTCGGCCTGCCAAAGTGTGCGTACACCCTCTTGAATATAGCATTATATCGCAGGACTCTTATACTGAGCATACTAGGTCGGGACCAAGACTTTCTCGACTTAGCCATCGGTTTTACCCTCGACATCACTGAGACACGTGTCTATATCAACCTCTTCCCGAAAATTCTGAAGCCGTACGTATCCTTCAGTGCAGTATGCCTTGCAGGAGAACCGAGACTTTGAACTCCAGGATTGCTGGACGTATTTTCTCTCGCGTGAGGCGGGCGATACGGCGTGCAAGTTCACATCTGAAGCCCATTATGGAAGAACGGAAGAGGAAGTTGGCTGAATTTGGGGATGATTGGGCAAACAAGCCTGTACGTATGCTGTATTTTACCTGGTTCCTTTAGGTGTCCTGCTGATGCTACGTACCCGTTATGCAGAGCGACATGTTGATGTGGCTTATGGATGGAGCCAAGGAAAAGGAAAATTGGGAACATTCTGTGCTGGAGAGGTTTTTGGTTCTATGTTTCGCCGCAATTCATACCTCCTCCAATGTGCGTATCGCAGTGGACAGTTTTGGATCATTAGCTAACAATGTAGTGCTAATAGAGCATGACCCATGCACTATACCATATCGCGGCGAATCCGGGGTATATACAGCCTCTGCGGGAAGAAGTCGAGAGCATTGTCAAGGAGGAGGGTTGGAACAAGGCCTCCGTGAGCAAGATGCTCAAACTTGACAGCTTTATGAGAGAGTCGCAACGGTTCAACGGCATTGTCGGCAGTGCGTCACCAGTGGTGCAGGTTCCCTCTCTTTGTCACTGAATTCATGGGTTGTAACAGTTACAGTTTCGCGTAAAGCGATGAAGGATATTACACTGTCCAATGGCACCATGATACCAAAGGGAACCCTCATCGTTGCTGCAGCTGCACCGATGCACCTCGACAAGGAGAATTACCTTAATGCAGACGTTTTTGATCCGTTCCGGTTCTCCAACTTGCGTGCCGGTGAAGGCGAGGGCACGAAGTATCAGTTCGTCAGCACTTCTCCGGAATACATTCCCTTCGGCCATGGGAAACATGCTTGGTGTGTTCATATCCCTTATTTCCCATCCTCTAACTACTGATGTATTTAATATTCTTTAAGCCCTGGACGGTTCTTCGCGGCAAGCGAGCTCAAGGTGATGTTGGCGTATGTTGTGCTCAACTATGATATCAAATTCGAAGGCGGGGGTAAGCGTCCGGAGAACTTGTGGATAAACGCGTCCATCGTCCCTGCACCCGGGGTGAAAGTGATGTTCAGGAAGCGCCGATCTGCCGATTCGAAGGTGTAAGTTGACAGGGGGAAGTCGTTGATTGTCTTCGGTGGAGCGGCGGAAGTTCTGTTAGTGTAATTTTCTAGAGTTAGTGATAGAAAGCTGTACTTGACGCGAGTGCTCGCGAGATATGTGCGCATATCGCGCTACGTCACCATGTGACAGTCGCGTCGCGCTCTTTCCAACGTGAACTTTGACTCCGACAATATTCAGCTGTCTGCGACCGCACTCCCTCTGCATGCAGTTCATCTCCTTATTTTCTTCTTGGTTGTCCAATAGATTTCAAGCTTACAATAAAATCCTACCAACACTGTCGGCATGGATATCAACTCAGGGAACGCGCAAGCACCAGTTCTAAGGGCGTGTCTCGATGATCTCTCTGTAGATTACCTTGAGTTTCTGCCTTCTTCACTACTTCCTAAACTGCAGAAAGTCTATGATGAGGCAAAAATACGTGAGTCACGTTCTTCATTCTCGACGTGAACTTGTCATAATCAGCGGGCCTTTGTCAGTGCACAAAATGGGCGCGAACAGTGTCCGCCAGCCTCTTGAGTGGAATGCGGCCGTTCCAAATTTGCTGAAGTGGAGTTATTATCTTCATGTTGATGATGGTAAATCTCATAGTCGATCTCGCGTACAGCGAGCTGACGACCTGCCTCAGCTCCTTCCGACCTAGTAGAGTGTGTCATCAGCGCTCTCAAGATCCTGCTTCAATTGTTCGAAGGATGTACTCATGACCAGCTTGACGCCATGGGATATATTCCTAGTGATCAACCTATTGACATTGCCAGGTTCCTTCTAGTGGGTTCATTTCTATTAACTTGGGATAGTTGCTGACATATCTTTTATTCACGGGGTAGTTATATAACTCGAAGATAAAATTGTGTCAATATCTCCTGTATGTTCAGAATAAGTTCATTACTGATAATCGTTCTGACAAGCACTGTCAAGTCTGCGCTCTGTCGACCGTCCTTCAGAAGCCCTTTCTTATTTGAGGTGGCTTGTTGCAATCGATTCGGCGATTCGTGAAACCACCAAAAAGGTACCGTGGATAGAAAACCCGTGTGTCTTGTGTTATGGGAGTCTTTCTGCCATCTCAAAATGTGTTTTTTCGAGGATGCTTCATGCTATGTATGGGAGCGCACTCATCCTATCCGAGACATTTACTCTCGAAACTAAAACCGTCCTTGAACATGTACTCGAAGCGGCCGATCAGTCAAAGACTACAAGGATCGTTGATTTTACGTCAGAAATCATTCAGGCACACCTTGGCCTTGCTCTTGTGCTCAGCCAGCTAGGAATTGAGTCTGAGGCTCAGAAGTCAGTTGAATTTACCTCTCTATATCATGTACTCATATGCTGCTTTACTAGACATACAGAATGGGCAGTCAAATTTTTGCGCAGAAATGCGAGCGTAATACCAACAGGCGCTTTACGACGCATTCTTGTCCGTACGAACCAGCCTCCGCATCCAGTCCTCACAGCACTTGGTGGTGTGAAATGGCTAGACGAAGATATGAGAGACCCTCGGAAGGCGGAAAACTGGATGCAAAAGGTCTGCAGCCATTGTGGTGTCCATGATATTCAGAAGAGGCTCTTCCAATGTGCAGGATGCGCAACAGCATATTACTGGTTTGTCGTGCTTGTGGAGGCTCGTACTCGAAATTAAAGTGTTGTATAGCTCCAAAGAAGGCCAGCGCGGGGAGTGGAAAATGCACAAGTGTGTTTTGGGTTGACTGCCTGTCTGCAACTTCAACTGATTGGTCCATTTTTTGCAGAGCTAATTGCCGGCGAGTTTCCATCTTCTTTCTCAGTCGGTTACGATGAACTCAACTCTGCGCATCGTTGTTCAGCGAGCTTCAAGATACGAAAGCAAAAATAGAACGGATGCGAAGGCATGATCCCAAAGGTGCCCAACGCCTCTCCGACTGGATGAAATGGCGAACCTTGATACCAACACCGTTCTTCCATGCGCTCATCCATGCTTTCGCGTTGAAACGCGATTCGACCCGAGGACGCAAGTACATTTTCGTCGAGCTAGTGGAATACATGCCCAATGTCAAGGACCCGCGGTACAAGTTCCGCGTCATAGAATGCAGTGTGTTCCGCCTTGAGGACGTCGTCGCAGATGAAGGGGTGCACTCGGTCCTTATCTATGCCTGACATGGTCAAGCAATTTGACGCATTCATTGAGCGCACTCCGGGTGGAGACGCCGTGCCAATGATCGTCTTGAAGTATGGGATCGGATGTGGAACTTCAATGAGCTCAGGTGTGCTCGGGCTTTGTCTGACACCTGTCCTGATTCAATGCTGATGTCCGTGCAGTGACTACTAGTCCCAATCTGGTGGAAGACCTGCCCTACGATCCAAATTGGCGCAGACTTATCAATCAGGATGAGCATGATCCTCCTAGACTAATGAGTCTTTTGTCTGGGAAACCAGATGCCGAATTTTCGTTTTAACCGTTGAATCGCCTCATTATCTGAGTCTTCTACGATCCTGTTACAACGATGCTTTCGGAGACGCTCTCGTTCTATATTACTTCATAGATCTTCTGGAAGTGTCCATCTGCAGCTAGGAATTGAACAGCATACTGGCACCGGCTGAATAAGTACGGGAATGTACTTTTGATCAAAGGTCCGTGTATTATAGCTCTACTGAGTAGTTGATCTCTTTCTCTGTTCATGGTATACATGGCATATGTGGCACAAGCTTGCATCAAGCTACATGTCTGTTTGCATGCCGTGTCCTATCGTATAGTTCTTCGCGAACTCAAGGCGATGCTCGTGTATGTTGTGCTTAACTATGATATCAAGTTCGAACGTGGGGGTGAACGTTTCAAGAACTTATGAATTATCGCATCCAAAGTCCCTGTACTGAACTTGAAATTGGAAAATGATGTTCGGGCTGTGGCGGTCTGCCAATTTCGACCAATGCTAAGTATGGTACTCAGGTAGTAGATGGATGGAATGCTGTATATTCAATGGTTTTCAATGTTGCTGGTGAGAACTAGACCATCGAAATTGTGCAGCGTCAATCCCTGGTCTCCTCAGGCAGAGTAGACACTCTGCTTCAACCTTCGTGCCTCAGGATATTAGTGCTTGACACCAGTCCCTAACTTGTGCTACTTCTGTGCTACAATTCAACCATGTCCTGCTGCACTCATCAGCAGGCCGCAGGTGAACGACTTTGTGCGAGTGACACTCGCGTTCGCAAATTCCAGTCACGCTCGCGGATCGATCAACCACTGCAGGTTCAAGTTGAGCTAGTCTCCCAAAGGCAGACTGACACTCTGCTTCAACCTTCGTTCCTCAGGATATCCGTGTCTGGCGTCTGCTATCAATAAGGTGGTCCTTATCACCTGGACCTCACATGTACCTTAGCTAATAAGCCCGGTATATACCCCCTGGATTGCCGGGCTAACTAGCCTGAATTATCATATCTCCTGTAGTTGCCAATAATGCGGGCAATAACGCCGCCTCTCCTCTATGCCACAAGGCCTTATGTCATCGCTATCGCGCCCGATCTCCGAGATAGCGTCGGCATCGTAGATAACGGTGGCGCCGGTGCTGATGACGCGCCTCCCGCCCCGGATAAGTCCGGCAGCGCCTCCCGCCCCCTGCACGTGCGCTCCGCGACGCGCGCTCTCTCGCGCTCGTCGTGCCCGACGACGAGCGCGAGTATCTCCCTCGTCTTTCCACACTTTTTCTTCTTTCCTTTTGCATGTACGTTCGGCAGCGCCTCCCGCCCCTTGCACGTGCCCTCCGCGACGCGCGTCCTCTCACGCTCGTCGTGCCCGACGATGAGCACGAGTCTCTCCCTCGGTTTTCCACATTTTTTCTTCTTTCCTTTTGCATATTAGAGGGCATTTCTGATCTCTAACCTGTCTGTAATGTATACTACTATAAGGTTCTCCTGTTCACGTACACCGTTGCGAATCTTTCCATATCACGTGGCTGTGTTGAACGCGGGATAGGCGCTCATTGACGCTGCCTGGACGTTGTGCATAGCAGTGGCGCTGGCTCGTGCTAAACGTTTGCGGCGCGCTCACCAACGTCGCCGTTCTGGCGCGACAATTGAGGATGCCTACAGCCTCAAGGACATCAAAGGGATCCTCTCGATCAGTGAGGATCTCTATGCCCACCCGTCACAGTGCCTCGGCGATGGCTACCAGGACTCTCCGAGTTGCGAGTAAGGTGATGAAGCAGAAGGACATCTTACGGCAGCGGGATACAATGCGGGAGGTGGTTGAGAGGAGTGTTGCAGGTGCGACATAACTTCTATCCCTTAACACTAACTGACTCCTCAGGAAGGTTTGAGCGGGGAATCCCTGCAGCTGCTGTCAGAGCTTCGTGGAGAGGAGTTTGCAGATTCGGAGACGAGCAGGGATGTGAACGAATCGGCAATGTTACCAATCGAAGGGGATGACCAAATGGACTGGGAGACCCTCCCGGATGACGCAGAAGGCTCATTTGCACATGCCGTGCGGGACATTATTTGCAGTCGGTGAGTATTCCTCTTATCTCTGTCACCATTATTCTCATTACTCCGCAGATGGAAGACACGGTGGTACAAGGACACCCGCACCTGGCGACTTAGGCTCGAGCGTGCACAAGCAAATTGGGCTCCCCTCATCAGTAGCCTTACTGATCTCTACCTCTCATGGTGCCATCTTCCTCTGCAGCCTTGTGACTCTCCGCTCCATCATGATCCAGAGGCCTGTAGTCAAGATGATGAAGACTACAGCTTTACAATTGAGGTGATCGACATTTATTCCCTCGTCATGTCAGTGCACGTACCACGGACAAGGGAGAGCCGCTCGCAGGCTGAGGCAATTGCAGCTCAAGGCTATCTTCCTACCACGCCCATCTCGCCCACTCTCGCAATTTCATACAAAACTCTCGAATTATTCCGCCGGCTGCGTCTTCGGAAGCCATCATTTAGTGCAGAAGCTTTTACCAAGGTAATATGTGATTATTACGCGGTACGTATCCATTTTTCTTATGTTCGCTGTTACTTACAGTGCTATAGATTCCATATCGCCGAAGGTATCGCTCGGCATTGAGTGATGCCTTTGACATTTACCTCTCGATACATCGCGTTATCGACAAGCGTGTTCAGGCAGAACTTGGCCGTGGAACTCCGGACTGGCGTGTGCTCAATGCCTGTCCAGCATGCTGCTATGAGGTGAGCACGAGTCTGCCTGGTATTGTCAGCTGTCACTTGCTAATTAACGTGGTAACAGCTTGAGGACGAGCCAGATTTGAAGATCGGCCGTATGTACTGCTTCGATGGCAACAACTCCCTCAAGCGCTTGGCCAAGGTCGGCGAGCGCAACGTTGGCGACACCCGGTGTTTTGAAGACAGCGATTACTTTCTATCGCAAGACTTCGTAAACCAGTTCGCAGACGAAGTGAAGTCGAGTCGCAGTCAGGTCGCACAAGAAGTCGAGCCGCAAATCCTCCCAAGAGGCCAGGATGAAGAACAGTTCGATGACGCTGAGGGTGACCAAACGGACGCAATCAGCAGTGATCCGGTGACGCGTGGATGTATGCAGAACTGGAAGTCTGCAGCAGCGGAGGACAAGAAGAAGATGTGGGGGATTTTTGATGAGACCGGGATCTTCGCTAGTGCATGCCGCCACGGTTTCATACTGTGGATCGCGGACATGGTCCGTAGTGGCGAGTTGTAAGTAATTTCTGTATTCAAGTGTCATGCATTACTGACCGGTTTTCAGAGCAAAATACCCTCTGGCCATGGTGGCCAAGGTACTCCAGCTTCTCGGACCACGATCCATGGGCGGGTACGACATTGGGTGTAGCTTCACGCACACCATACATGACAGCTCGCTCAGTCCCGAGTTCCGCCATCTTCAAGCCCGCCTGTGTGTCAACGCCTTCCATGGTTACACGCATAACCATGCCTGTCAGACGCAGAACCACCCGAACGTCATCGAAGGCATGGGGCTCGAGGATTTGGAGACCATGGAGCGTATTTTTAGTAAGTCCAATGAGGTTGCACCTGTCACTCGATATGCAAGCCGCTATCGTCGGCGAACATTCGTCGACATGTTCTTCGGGCAGTGGGACGCCGATCGGTACCTCAGTCTGGGCAATTTTCTTTACAATAACTATCGACAAGCTCTTGATATCCTCAACAACGATGCGCAAGTCCTTGACGAAGCAGTGCGTTCACTAGACATTGGAGATGGCGACCTCGACAAGTGGCAGAAGGAGGAAACTGAGTATTTCTCAGTGTTAGGTCAAGAGCCTGAGTGGGATGTCCACGCTGTAGCATACGTCGAGTTATTGCAAGAACATTATGCATTAGAGTGAGTTTTTATTTATTTAATTGACGCTGCTAATGTCTTCCATAGAACGCGCCATGTCGACACCACCTCTCTCTTCCTGACATCCACTCCGGCAGATTACGAGTTCCTGCCCCCGCCGACACGTCCTTCTCCCAGCCGCATCTATAATCACGAATTGTCCCAAACGCGCAGACTGGAGACACAGCGGCGGCATATTGCAGAACGCCGTCAGCAGGTTTTACGTGATGTCATCGCCATGGAGGTGCACATGGGAATTGTCAACCGCTGGCAGACAACCTCAACAGAGTATATCGAGACCCTGCAGTATGTGAAGCTGCGTGAGTATCACCGCGCACTCGACAACTTGCAACGCCTGGTGGTGCAGCGGCTTTTTGAGCTGCACAACCTTAATCTCGCGCAAACAGGTAAGGGTCCTTGTAGTTGATCACGGACCATGCTCACAGTGTTATTTAGCTTATCGTGTCCGTACTCACATGGCTAAGTCACTGCAAACTCGGTGCAGAGCGATCCGGAATGCCGTCAATGTCTACAATGCACTCGCATGTCAAATGGATCCACCCCGCCCAACTCTGGATTGGAGCAAGGTCACTCACTACAGCTTCCTCGAGGAATTCAACCTCCTCCGCGATACACGCAACGACATCCGCGACAAGCCCTGGACACGTCCAGATATTCGTGCAGTCATGAAGCAGGCTCGACGCGTCGCACGCGCACGTGAAGAAATTCAGCGGCTAGACGTTGAAGTGCGTCGCGTTCACACGTCTATCTATGATGAGGTATGGGCCTTCGATATTACCCTTGCCCGACTCAAGGACAGAAATGATCCACTGTATGGTGCCGTCAATGACTTCTGCCATCGCCGCCGCCGTGTCAACACTTGGATCCTTGCTCGACTTAAACAGATACATGCCCTTGACAAGTTCACAGGTAACGGACAAGTGGGCACTAGAAAAGGTGCCTCAGTCCGCACAGACAATGGGCGGTCTTTAGATTTGTGTACCGTTCACGAGCTTGAAGAGCTCGATCATGAGGAGCGCGCGGAGGATCCACAGGATAACCTAGGCGAAGATGAGGACTCGAGTGGCGATATTGGTGGTATTGTTGACTACGTAGTGAATCTGCCTGTTCGTGAACTGTGATCTATCAATTGCATATACTCTTGCATTCTGGAATTGAGACTTGTGTTTGGATTCAACTGAGATTCTCGTAAGAAATATATATCTATCATAGCAGTACAGGAGAGATATTGAGACTCTGAAGATAATTATAATGTGAGGATAACGAAGTGATAGGATGTAGGCAGGTGGATTCACGGGCGAGCAAGCCAAAGTACTATCCGCTTGAGCAATCATTGAGTCGCGTCGATCGTACTGCGAAACTGTGGTTAGTCTCAGCCACTTGTCAATGCACATCACACCTCATCCCGACTCACTGCTCCGCATTGACTCTCCTTCACCAATGCAAACTGCTCTGCCTTCTTCGACAATTGAATCTCGAGGATGGTACGTCATTCTTGGAGGACAGCGGCCTGGGATTGTGGATACCCCGTGAGTTTTGGCATAACCATGGGTATCGGGAGCGATACTCACAAGATACAGGCCAATTATGAGTGGTGGAAAATTCTCCCCTGCTCTTCCGGTCTTGGTGAAGTGTCATACGCAAGCACAAGCCGAGGATGTCGAGCGATTCAATGATGTCGTCAAACCACTGAAGCATCTGGACGAGACTACTACCGAGGCGATCGTCGACTTGATCAATCAATCCTCGGTAACACCAACAATTCTACGTGCTCACCAAAACTTCTGGTGTGTTGTCTATGGGAATAGAAGTGGGATATTCATGTCCAAGTAAGTCTTACCTTAGGTTCGCACTTCCAGTGTACTTATCCATGCCAGTACCGAGGCAATAGCCCAGGTCAATGGCATGACAAAAGCCATCTTCAGGCGGATCTCCGAGCAGAATGGCTCTGCATTCAAGCGGGCACTGATCTACATGGTGACGAAGGGAGCCAGCGAGAAGGATCTGAGCGAGCAGAGAGCAGATAGCTTGAGCATTGGTAGGCATCAAGGTACCGTTACCGATCATCTTGTAACAGTTCGCTGCTGAGAATTCGATTCACAGATCCGCAGCTGAACAGCTTAAGCACCTCATTCCAGACCCAGTTCACCATGCGCGGTAAGTAGTGGAGTATATACGGTGATTGAGTAATCCTGATTCATATCTCTAGTGGAGCGTTCTGAGGACGTCTCTCACGCACAACCTTCTACACCTTCTGCACGTTCTCAGGCCCGTCAAGGCGCTATTGTCAGCAATGCGTCTATTCGTGCCCATTCGCCATCACGACAGCCTACCCCAGTGCAGCATGGAACACCATCTCGGAGCAGCCGTCAAGGTTCTGCTCGACACTCCGATGACTCCCAAGATCACGAATATGCGGCTGCTGCCTCCGGTCCTCCACCTGTGTATATCTATCAACACGTTCGAAATTTGGCAGGGATTGTGAAGACGCTGCTGGGACCCTGCACGGACTCGACACCAGCTCTCTCTCTTGGGCATCAAGCGGATGCATACCTGCAAGCTCATGGGTACAGTAATGATGCTAACATGACAATATGTCACGCATACAGCCTGAGCGGAACGTTGGAGGAATTCATCGAGAAGTTGGCTCCGAAGGGCATGCCGATCAAGGAGATTAAGTACTTATGGTGTCTCTGTGGTCCGTCGGACCGGGTATGGGCTGAAGTGGAGATCCAGTAATATTATGTTTTGCGCGATGTTCACGCGGTGACTTATCCTCCCTCATGTCACTTAAAGCTTATTGGTTGAAAGATACAGTCCTTAGAAATATATCACGTGATGTTGTTGCCTATGTGTTTTGCACTGTGGGTCCCATCCTCTGTTGACTGCTACGTTGAAAATTTCCCATGGCCAGAAGATCCTCGGAAAATGGCCCAGCCCGTCTCCTTTCCAAGGCCCGCAAAGTGTCCACCACAAAGGTGCGCTTTCCTTGGCGCTCTTCTGCTGGACGCAAGAGCGTCAAACGAACCCCTGCGGAGAAGGCCGTGCGAGCAGAGAAGCGCCAGGAGCGCCGTGTGACTGTCCATCAAGCTCTCTCGGCAGCTCATGCTCACATCAGGGAGGAAGCCGAGAAGCTCCATGCCGAGCTTGGTGGTCACAACGTGGACTGGTACATCCAGCAACTCATGCAGGATGCTCGCTCTTCGAGGGCAAAACGGGCCCCCAACCGTTGGAATGCGTACCTCAGTGCTGAGTTGAAGAGGTTTAATGCTGGTCCGTGACACCTACTGATAGCGTAGATCAAGATATACTGATCTACTAGATTTGGTTCCCTAGCACTACCTTCGGGCCAGACGGCATACAAATCGAACAACTTACCTCCCGAAATCAAGGCAAAGTGGGATGCAATGTCCCCCGAGGAGCGCATCACTATCACCGATCCATTGTTGAAGAATCTGCAGGATCAACGCGAGACGAAGCAACTTGCCGTGCAGAACGTGCCAATCAACGCATTCCATGACGTTCGTAGCAACTTAGCGAGTGTTCAAGAACAGGTATGTGGTCCGATGTCATCCAAATATAATTGTAGCTAAGTAATAATTTTCAGCTCGAGGCATTACACGCTCGCACTGGCACAGAGATTTTGATGATAGCAGTCAGATCGAGCAACGACCACTACAATAGACCGCATGTTTTCTTCATGAGCGATCGCCTCTCCGACTTCTTCACTGTTGTCTTAAGAACTCAGTTGGCGGATGTCGCCATGCAAATGGAGTCCTATTGTCTCAGCGGTATACAGGGTATGATTCTCAAATTCTCTTACTGTCGAGAGAAGTCTCTTAACTCCATCTTGTAGGTCTTGTGAGTAGGTCTCGCGACCAAGTCGCCGAACTCAAGGCTCGTATCAACAAAATGATTTATGACAAGCTGCGTGAGTATTTTACCTTCTACCTTTGTGATTTGTATCTGATGGCTGGACAGGTGCGGCTGCGGAAGTGGAGGTACCGCGGATGTACTACACAAACTTTGAGAAGAAGATCACTGAGAAGCACGCTGTTGTCATAGAAGGCTGGCCCCTCGGAAAATTTTGCTCACCGAGCGATCTCCGGTCTCGCACGGAACTTGAAGTGTTGTACAAAGCATGGGAGACCGGTGAGACGAGATTCCGCAAGATGTCTCGTGCGGAATACGAGACATGGGATGATTCTCGTTTCCGCGCTGCCCTCGAGAATGGCCATGACAACGATGAGCTTCCCGTTCCTGTGACTGCAGTCTCACTGCGCGCGCCCAATGGCACATCCATAGAGGACTTATCCACGGTTCATTCATCACCCTCCCCCATCACTGTTTCTGCTGACAGCAACACCTTTGCCAATGAAGCCGGGGGAGCCCGTGTTGTGCCCGATGGAGTACCGACCCATAGTCAAGCGTTGCTGGGTTCGCCGGCGGTGACTTCGACGGTGGTGACTTCGACGGCGGTGACTTCGACTGCGTCGACTACACGCAAGAGGCCCGCCAATGCAGCTGCTAACTCGAGTAACAAGCGGCGCAAGCAAGGACCCTTTCAGGACTTCGTCAATGTCGTGTCAGGTGTCGGGGGGGAGCTGGTGGCTGTCACGAAGAAGCCGCGTGCGACGCGCAAGGACAAGGGTGTGCCGAGGAAGAAGAAGGCCAAGGGTCCCGCAAATGACGAGAACGGCATGCCATCCTCGGGCAATGCTCCCGCCAATATCGTTCCCGCTCATGCGCTCCCCTCCGCCACTGCCGTCACCATGAACAGTGCACTGTCATCGGGCGACACCCACGTCATCTCCACAGCTGCTGTATACGCATCTCCCTCTGCCATGGCCACTACGAATACTACTCCCGTCTCCACCATGTAGGACCGTCGTTCTATACCTCTCGTTGCCGCTGAGGTTAGTCAACATATCACGGGTGGTCACGGAGCCGGTGGAGAACTTAGTAGAAAGTATCTCGCATCATGAATAGAAGTGTTTACTATGATTCTTTATGCCTTTATGCTCAATATGTCGAAAATTTGGACATTGCAAAGTTCTCAAGTATGAAAATGTGCATTGGACATTAACTAGCGGTGTTAATACTATATAGAGGTCAAGGATAGCATGTCTAAGCTCGACAGAAAGGGGGATAACAAGAATTAAGAAAAAATGTGGAAAACCGAGGGAGAGACTCGTGCTCATCGTCGGGCACGACGAGCGTGAGAGGACGCGCGTCGCGGGGGGCACGTGCAAGGGGCGGGAGGCGCTGCCGAACGTACATGCAAAAGGAAAGAAGAAAAAGTGTGGAAAGACGAGGGAGATACTCGCGCTCGTCGTCGGGCATGACGAGCGCGAGAGAGCGCGCGTCGCGGAGCGCACGTGCAGGGGGCGGGAGGCGCTGCCGGACTTATCCGGGGCGGGAGGCGCGTCATCAGCACCGGCGCCACCGTTATCTACGATGCCGACGCTATCTCGGAGATCGGGCGCGATAGCGATGACATAAGGCCTTGTGGCATAGAGGAGAGGCGGCGTTATTGCCCGCATTATTGGCAACTACAGGAGATATGATAATTCAGGCTAGTTAGCCCGGCAATCCAGGGGGTATATACCGGGCTTATTAGCTAAGGTACATGTGAGGTCCAGGTGGTCCTTATCGGTAGGTTGGGTATTTTCATCTCCGCAAATCACGTGCACACGCGACGCGTCAAAACGCGTTCTCATCTACCCATGCAAGTCTCGCGTTTCTGCCGCATCCTCATAGCTCTCTGGTGCCCAGGACATTCTCCTGTTATGTACTGTCTGTAGACTGAATGTATGTTCAGAAAATCCATGCCTCAGGGCCCTCAGAACAGCTAAATCCACTAGTACTGTATTTTAGGTGGGGGATATCAATATGCCGCACAGTTTACAACCATGGTAGTGGTAGCCAGAGTGACTCCCAATTAGTTTTCTGGATTTCTTCAACAGTCTTATGCTAGGAGGAACAAAATTATTGGGATGTGACAGTGTCCAAGTTCAAGCCAGAACTTTCACAACCCATCCTCAGTAGTTGCTTCTCTTGTTACCCTTTGGATGTGCTTTTGCTTGTCTCCTACAGCTTAAAAGGCATGCCATTTGACTGAGATATCTCAAATGTAACAACGACCGCTTCCCTGGAGTATGTAGTATCTGCGCGCCGTGGGCTTGCGGCGAGCGCTTGTTCTCTTATTTCCAGCTCCGACTCATTCTCTTGCAGGCGAGTTGATCGGTCACGCAATTCTTTCCCTGAAGTCCAAGCTCCGAACGAAATTGGGGACCTACCGATAAGCCCCCCGCGTTAAAAACTAGACTGAGTTGAGCACGCCCTGATCTCGTTCTGATTGCAACTGTCCTCCCTTTGTCGTAGACTCGTAAACCCTGGAAGACTAATAAAAACGCTGTATTGTACAGGCAGCACAGATATGGATACCCACTCGCACAATGCGCAAGTGCCAGCTCTTCGAGCATGTCTCGACTATCTCCTTGGAGATGTCGTCGAGATCCTTCCTGCTTCAGTGCTCCCTGAACTACAGAAAGTCTACGATGAGGTAAAAACATGTGAGTGCCCCTTGATTCTCAAACCTTAAATTTGTTCATTATGCGAGGTCAGTGCGCAAAATGGGGCCGGATAGTGTCCGCCATCCTCTTGAGTGGAATGCTTCAGTGCCGAACCTGCTGAAATGGAGTTACTACATCCATGTCGAGGATGGTAAGTCTTGTACTGCCGCATGTGGACAGGCTGAAGACTTGTCATGGTATGTCTCTCAGCACCCTCTGATTTGGTAGAGGATGTTATCAGCTGTCTCAAAATCTTGCTTCAAATCTTTGACGAATGTCCCGATGCTTATATCATTAGCATGGGGTTATCTCCTAGCGACCGACCCATGAACATTGCTACAATTAGACTCTTTCTAGTATATTTATTTCCATCGAATTACAATGTCCACTAATATCAATTTCCGTACACAATACAGACGTATAACTCACAGAAGAAATTGTGTCGATATTTGCTGTATGTTTGATGTCCTTTGTCTAGTTTTGTGAACACGTTGACGAGCACTTTCAAGTCTGGAAGATGTTGACCGCCCTTCAGATGCTGTTTTCTATCTGAGGTCACTTATTGATGTGGATTCGGCGTTATGTAGATCCCCCAGTGAAGTGCCATGGTTAGAGAATCCGTGCGTATTGTGTTATCGGAGTGCGTGTGATTTCTAAATCAGTGATGTCACATCTTTAGAGTGCTTTATTCTATGTACGGGGCTGCACTTGTTTCATCTGGAACGTTCACGGTCGAAACTAAGACTGTCCTTGAACATGTACTGGAGGCGGCAGATCAGTCGAGGTTTTCAAAGACTCTGGATCTCTCGTGGCATATTATTCAGGCTCGCCTTGGTCTCGCTCTTGTGCTTACCCGGTTGGGGGTTGACTCTGAGGCCCAGAAGTCAGTCTGTCGCACTCAGGCTTCTCCCTGTCATGTACTCACGCGGGACTATACCAGACACATAGAATGGGCAGTCAAATTTTTGCGCAGGAATGCAAGCCTAATGCCAGCGGCCAATCTACGACGTCTTCTCGTGCGTGTGGACAACCCCCCGCACCCAGTTCTCGTGGCACTTGGTGGCATGAAGTGGTTAGACGAAGATATGAGGAATCCTCGGAAAGCGGAAAATTGGATGCAAAAGACATGTAGCCATTGTGGTGTTCACGATCTTCAAAGGAGGCTTTTCCATTGTTCAGGATGCACTACGTCTTATTACTGGTTCGTCGTCTTGTTGGAGGCTTATGCCCGAAGTTCATGTCATCTTAAGTTCTAGAGAATGCCAGCGAGCGGAGTGGAAAATGCACAAGTGTGTACTTTGCTGCCTATTCTTGTCTGCTTCTTGAATTGATTAGTTCACTACTATAGAGATGCCTGCCGGTGAGCTCCGAGTATCCTTCTCGGTTTGACAAGATGAACCCAACTTCCTGCATCGTCACTCAGCGATCTTCAAGAAATGAAAGCTAAGATAGAACTGATGCGAAAGCACGATCCTCGAGGTGCACAACGCCTTTCCGACTGGTTGAAATGGCGAAACCTGACCCCGATGCCCCTCGTCCATGCACTTATCCACGCACTCTCGCTGAAACGAGACCCCACTCGTGGGAGCAGACACGCCTTCGCTGAGCTGGTGGAGCACATGCCACAAGTCAAGGACCCCCGGTACAAGTTCCGCGTTATCGAGTGCGGTGTCTTTCGCCTCGATCAAGCAGCGGCGGATTTTGACACCCGCTTGTCGGAGCTGGAGGGGAACACTCAGTCCTTCTCCATGCGCGACATGGTCAAGGACTTGGATTCGCTGGTTGAGCGCATGCCGGGTGGAGATGTGGTACCGATGGTTATCTTGAGATATGCGGTCGGATGTGGAACTTCCATAAACAGAGGTGTGTTCAGGCAGTGTTTGCCTGCTGATCTAGAATTACGCTAACATTCTTGCAGCGACGGCTAATCAAAAGCTGGTGAACGAGTTGCCATACGACCCAGATTGGCGTAGGCTGATCAACCAGGATGAAAATGATCCTCCGAAGCCAATGAATTTTCTATCGGGAAAGCCAGACACCGAATTTTCCTTTGAATTCTAACAACACTCGCTATTGTAATATCGTGTTTCTGTTATCGCGATACTTTGGAAAGTCTCTCGTTTTCAATTACTTTCTCAATATTTTGGAAGGAGAATAGCAATGGAGCGGCTTGATACTGTACCGTTTCTGCCCTGGGTGTGACAGCAACCACGCTAGTCACAGTCATGACGTTTCGGTCACCAGAACATGACAGAAACTACCTCGCAACTACTTGCTTTTGTACACACAAATGGACCCGAATCAGTCGCACAGGGACGTTCAAATAGTACCAAGAGCATGTCTTGACTACCTCCATGGAGCCCATCTTCAAGTTCTTCCTTCGTCACTACTTCCTGATATACAATGTGTTCGTAGAGAAATAAAAAGACGTGAGTCAGTTTCCCGTAGTACACGAAGCCTTGAGGGGTCGTTGCCGTACCTAATGGTGCTTCTCTGTCAGTGCATGACATGGGGCCGGACAGCATTCGACACCCACTTGAGTGGAATACAGCTTTGCCCAATCTATTGAAATGGAGTTACTATGTGCATGTACCTGACGGTAATTCTATCTTCGTTCAGAGATTGAATTCTTACTTATTCCTCTTAGTGCCGCCCGACATGGTCGAAGATGTCATCTCCACCCTCAAGATCCTGGTTCCGGTCTTCCAGAAATGCTCCACGAGGGAAATAAAAGCCATGGGTTTCCTTCCAAGTGACCAACCTGTCGAGGTTGCTCATTATCTTCTTGTGAGTTTGGTTTGGTCTGACAAAGCACGTGTGTTTCGCTGAGATTCAATGGCTGACGCAGCTATACAACTCAAGGCAGAAACTCTGTCAATACTTGTTGTACGTTGCGTCTCGTTGGCATATATCAATTGATTCGTCTTACGTGCTGTCAAGACTACCTGAAATCGATCGCCCGTCGGAAGCGCTCCCCTATCTGGAGTGGCTCGTCGAGAACGATACGTATTTCCACAGGGGCAGTGGTAATGTTCCGTGGTTAGAGAATCCGTGCGTGCATTTCGTGTCGGAGAACGCTTGCCTTGTTTATAACAGCTGGAGTAGGAGTCTATACTCAATGTACGCCAATGCGCTAGTTCTATCTGGCGTTTTCACAGCCAAAACGAAAGTTGCCCTGGAGCACGTCCTCGAAGCCGCCGACCAGTCCAGATTTACAAGGATAATGGATTTTACACCAAATATCCTCTCAGCTCGCCTCGGTCTCTCTCTTGTCCTTACTGAGTTGGGAGATCCTGAAGCACAGAAGTATGTACTTACTCCGATGTTTCGAAGCATTCCTGACCTCACTCCCCGGTAACAGGCACACAGAATGGGGCGTCAAATTCCTTCGAAGGAATGCGAGCCTTCTTCCTGAACGGGACCTCAGATATACGCTCATCCGTGCAAATCAGCCTCCGCATCCTGTACTTGTCGCCCTCGGAGGCGAGAAATGGTTTGTCGAAGACATGAGAAACCCTCGGAAAGCAGAAAATTGGATGCAGAAGACGTGCAAACACTGCGGCGTACATGACCTTCAGAAGACGCTCTTTCATTGTGCGGGGTGTACAACATCGTACTACTGGTTCGTTGCCATGACGAAATGTTTCTATCCCATTGACGTTGTATGAAGTTCTAAGGAATGCCAGCGTGCAGATTGGAAATCGCACAAGTGAGCACATTCATTATAATCCTCCATTTGTGACCTGACCTACATGCCTATTGGAATAGGATGACGTGCCGGCAAGCTTACAATTCGGTGTTGGCCGTTTGTTCTCCTGACTTTCCGTGTCATGATATAGGGACCTCCAAAAGACGAAGGCTCGGATAGAACAGATGCGGAAAACCGACCCTAGGACTGCCGAACGCCTCACTGACTGGCTCAAGTGGCGGAATCTGGTCCCCACATACGTCCTCCACGCCCTCATCCATGCGTTCAACCTGAAGCGGGACATCACCCGCGGGCGTAGGCACATCTTCGTGCAGCTGGTGGAGCACATGCCCCGCGTAAAGGACCTCCGGTACCGGTTCCGCGTCGTCCAGTGTGGCCTGTTCACTATCAAGGACATGACGTCCTCGCTCGATGGCCTTTTTGCACAACTGGCGAAGAAGGCAGGTGCAGAGCCCCTCACCATGCAAGGCCTCGTCAAGGACGTCGATGCCATGCTCGAGCGCATTCCGGGCGGGGACGCGGTGCCCATGATCACGCTGAAATACGGTATCGGATGTGGTACCTCGTTGAATCGATGTATGCGCTCGGTGTTATCCGCTGGTGTTCAGATTGAAGTGTGATACTGACTGTGTTGCAGTGACGACGAGCCAAGACCTCATTCGGGATCTGCCCTATGACCCAAACTGGCGCAGACTCATTAACCAGGACGAAAACGACCCTCCTCAGCCGTTGATCTTCTCGTCAAGGAAGCGGGATGCCGAGTTTGTGTTCTGACTTGACCCGTCTATGTTTGTCTATTTCGCTGCCGTGCTCTTGGATCGTTGCTATCTGATTCTCGTGTTGATTACTTATCTCATCCATTCTTAGCAGAATTTCAAGGGATCTTATAACGTCTGCTCTACGTGGCCCAAACGTCTCGCAATTCGACTGAGTGCACTCAAGCGCTTCATCTAGTTTGTTTCTGACGCCGAGGGTTAGTCGAGAGGTCGGACAATTTCGACGGATCTTGAAGTCTACTGCCGATTCTATACATCGGCAACTGACACTTGCGACCTCTGCAGACCCCCTGGCGTTCACTGTCGGCGACTCTCTCTGCTGCAGTCAGCACACGACGTGAACTCTTCACCTTCAATTGGTAAATTGCAAGTTGGACGCGTCAATTTTCTCGACACTGGTATCGTGATAATAGTCCCAGTGCCATTGACAGAAGATTGTGACTCACTACCGCCCATTACTGTAAGCTCGAAGCCGCCTCCACCTCCGACGACTGCGGTACTTATAGACCCTATCCATCACGTTGTCAGGAGGAAATTGTCCCGCTGTCCGATTCTCCTTCTATCATACCCAATAATATTGTCACCGTTTGGGAAAAAAATAACAATAGTATCTAGAACTTCAGCAAGCAGTCCGTGCGCATCTTCACGCACGCAGTGACGAGGCGCGACGCGGCCGCCGATAATATGGCGTTTCGCACGAGAACATGATATGCCGTTCGGCAGTGACCCCCTTGGGGAAAGCAGACGTCTGCGTTTGGGAGATTACCTTCATCAGCCTGCGACCACTCACCGCCACATATTCCTCGTGTTGTTGCATTGGTATTCATCTCGGGTCAGCTCCTAAGATATAAGCACCATGTCATACTTTGAGCTACCATTCATACCATCTCCACCGTGACTCCGCGGGCAAACCCCAGGTCTTTGAAGAATCAGGCCTTGAATATCTCCCTACCACCGCTCCCACTTCCATAGCAGACTCACACAGATATGCTCAAAGGCACAACGCAACTATTCACGCACAAGAGCGCGGAGGAAGCGATGGGGCCCGACACGGGCGTGCGCAGCAGCGCAGGCGGCGAAGGAAGAAGCACAAGCACACTTGGGAGTACGATTCGGCAGAAGCTGCAGGAGGTGAAGGATGCATCGAGGAGCATCGCAGGCCGCCGACGGTCGACGAGCTCAAAGCGGTCGTCGACGTCGACTCAGAGCGCGGGGAGTGAGTCTTCATTGGCGCGGAGCGACACCCCCGACTCCCTCAAGCCGCACCAGAGCGCGCAATGGCGCGCGCACGAGAGCGTCAGCATGCCCGAGCTACCCATCGTCGAGGATAAGGAGCAGCTGTCTGAGCACCAGGTGCTCACTTCGTCCCCGCCCCCGATGTCGCCGCCCGTCGCGGACGTTGCGGTCCCGCAGTTGCTGCAGCAGGGCGTGCCGATGCTCAAGGTATCTGCCAAGAAGCAGAAGCGGTTTGTTTTCCGGCTCGACGCGGACCAGGGTCAGATCGTCTGGCAGTCGAAGAAGCTGAAAATCAGTGAGTCTCTACCATCTATCATGTCCGATTGCTTACATCCCCGCAGTCCCGATAGAGAACATCAAGGAGCTGCGCGCGGGCGTAGACGCGCGCTACTACCGCGAGCAATTTCAGCTCGCGGCTGAGTACGAGGAGCGCTGGCTTACTATCGTCTACGTGCTCGACGGCGGGTATAAGACACTGCATCTAATCGCCGCGACCCGTGACGTGTTCCACCTGTGGGACACCACTCTGCGACGGCTGTACGCGGTGCGGCAGAAGCTCATGAGCGGCCTGGGGTACGCGGAAGTGCGGCAGGCGGTGTGGGAGAAGCAGTTCTGGCGTGGGGCCGGTGGCGAGACAGAGGACCAGAAGCTCAACTTCGAGGCGGTCGAGCGCATGTGCCGCAGGCTGAATATCAACCCGTCCAAGGAGGACTTGATGAGGAGGTTCGAGGTATGTCACTTGTGTATCAATACTCAGACAGATTATTCAAGTGCTTCGCAGGAAGCGGATAGCCAGGGCCTCGGATACCTTAACTTTGATGATTTCAAGCAGTTCGTGAAGGCCCTGAAAGCCCGCCCTGAAGTCGACCGTCTTTACAAGAAGATCACGGCAAACAGCGGCGGGCTCATGACATATGGCCAGTTCGAGCATTTCATGCTGTCGACGCAGAAGGTACGTTACCTTTACTTCTTCGTCCATTCTCGGGTAGTCATCTTCGTAGTCGTCTCTGGGAGATTCAGAGATGCAACGTGTATTCCTGCGGTTTGCAAGCAGCCCTACAGACGAGTCTCAAGATGTTCCGTCCTCTTCCCTACGGAACTCGCTCGATTTGTCTGTCCAGTCCGATTTCTTGCCTGCCGAATCAACAGAGCGCGTTCCTTCTTCCTCTTCCCCCGTGGGAGCCGATCTTAATACCGCTCCCTCCCTGCCCCCCTCGACAGTTTCCCTCTCACCCACGATCGAGACGGCGGTTACGACCCTCAAGGGCTTCACCTCGTTCTTGCTGTCGACGGAGAACTCGGCGTTCGCCGACCAGCACGGGAAGATCTGTCATGACATGACGCGACCGCTACCCGAGTACTTCATCGCGTCCTCGCACAACACTTACCTCGTCGGCCACCAGCTGGTTGGCGCGAGCACCGTCGAGGGATATATCCGCGCGCTGCTGCACAGTTGTCGGAGCGTCGAGCGTGAGTGATTTTATCGCAAGTCGGAGAGCCACGGATTACTGACAGTATTGCGAATGTGCGGTAGTGGACATTTACGATGGGGACGCAGAGCCGGTCGTGTACCATGGCCGCACGCTGACGTCCAAGGTGCCGCTCCGCGACGTCTGTATCGCGATCGCCAAATACGCGTTCGTCGTGTCACCTTATCCAGTCATCATATCCGCGGAGGTGCATTGCTCGATGCCGCAACAGGACATGATCGCGAGTATTATGTGCGAGGAGTTCGGTGCGGCTCTCGTGCGTGCGCCGATCGATGGCCGCATTGAAATCACCGCGTTGCCAAGCCCGGAGGAGCTGAAGGGCAAGATTCTGTTGAAGGTGCGTGCTAGCGATGTATCTCCTGCTGCTAGATATAAGGTGACACGGAGACGGCAGGCGAAAAATCTTTACGTCTCAGATACGGATAACATCCGCGAGAAGGAGGTGAGCGTCGACACCGAGTCGTCCTCTACCGAGATGTCCGCGTCCGATTCGGACTTCCCGAGCGAGGTCCAGCAGGAGTGGCGGAAGGCCCGTGAGAACGAGGCAGAGGTGATCAAGGGTGCGTATTCTGCTCTCCGATGCATTCTCAGCACAGCATCTCATGAGATGCGATTGTCATCACGCAGATCTGAAAACGGAGTTACAGAAGGCGCGCGGCGTCCTCGGCCGGGTAAGGACGCCCCGCAGTGACTCTGCGCTCTCCTCTGTCTCCGCCCTTGCATCTTCCTCCGTCGCGGTCCTTGCAACTTCACCCCGGCTGGAGGCATTGGACGCGCCCGCGGCCCCGCAACAGAAGGTGAAGGTGCGGATGTCGCTGGCCCTGGTCGCGCTGCTTGTGTATACGGTCGGGGTTAAGTGCCGGGGGTTGAATAAGAAGGAGGCGTATGCCCCCGTGCATGTCTTCTCGCTTTCGGAAAGGACGGCGAACCGGATCATGAAGCAGGGCAGTACAATGGATCTCGTGAAGCACAATCGCGGGCATCTCGTGAGGATATACCCCAAGGGCACGCGCATTGGTTCCACAAACTATGAGCCTCATCGATTTTGGGCGACTGGGGCGCAGCTGGTCGCGATCAATTGGCAGACATTTGGTGAGACATGTTTACGTCCGCTGTGGGCAAGGTGGGGCATACTGACTGCGGGTTGTTTAGACTTGGGATACATGATCAATCACGCAATGTTTCAGCGTAACGGACGGACGGGTTATGTGCTGAAGCCGCTGGCGCTGCGCAGCACGGACAAGCAGCTGCTCAGCAAGCGCACAAATCACTTTCTCGACGTCACTGTATGTATTCATTTGTCGATCTGTGGAACTGCCAACTCATGTGCATCTCTGCTAGATAATCTCTGCTCAGCAGCTGCCCAAGCCAAAAGATACACTTGGACGTGAACTTATAGAAAAGACTGTTTTGGACCCCTTAGTCGAAGTCTCCATCTACATCCCAGACTGGCTGCACATATCTCCGCACGCTACCGCTACTTTCCCTCCCGTTGGCTCAAAGTCTCGTCAGACTCCATCGCCGTCGTCGGGCGCGGCTGGTACACAGGTGCCCGCACGGACGGTGACCTGCCGGACGAGCGTCGTGAAGAACAATGGGTTCAACCCGGTGTGGGAACAGCGCCTGAGCCTCCCGTTCGACCTCGTCGGGGACATGCGTGACCTGGTATTCGTGCGGTTCACTGTGAAGCAGGAGGACAGGCTCGAAGAGGAGCCACTGGCGGTGTATTGTGCCAGCCTTGGCAGCTTGAATATGGGTGAGTGCGGTAGTGCGTGCATACGATCGAATTGGAATGCGTGGCTAATGGACATTGATTAGGTTATCGACACCTCCCGCTACACGACTCACAGCTGTCGCAGTATCTGTTTTCTACACTGTTCGTTCGGCTCAATATTCGGGATGTTTGACAGTTTATTGCTGTTTCTCTAGATTTTGATAGCTGCGCCTTCATTCAACGTGTTTATACTGTCCCATTTCGCTCGTCAGTGTTCTCCAGCTTCCAGCGCCATTGTATAATACCTCGCATTCCCATCATTGTCACCCATACATCGGACTTCAAACACCACAATTCACCTGACTTGCATTCCTACAGTAACTAATACCTATATATTTGCCATACGTGTAACATGTCATCGCATCTTGGGACTGTTCGAACCAACTCATTTCAACCGTGTCTTCACATCGTGCAGCGAATAGTAACGATTGTGTAAGGTGAATACATGGTTGACTGGACTCACTCGACTTCAGGGAATGCCGCCGCGGAACCTGGGAGACGGAGGCGGTGGGAAGAACCTGCGCCAGAGCGGGCGCACTGAACCTATTCGCTTGCCTCGCGCTTGAGGCGCGTCGATCACGTGCACCGCGTCGCGTAGACACAAGCACAGAAAAGTAGGTTAGAAAACCAACATGAAGTTGTGGCCACCATCAACTACCCCGAAAGCAAAACGCACAAAATGTGCAACTCTCCTCCTCTTTCTCACCCGCAACCAGACACGCCGGCGACCGTCCGACAAAACCACGGTCGAGACTGTGGCTAGCACGCGGTTGAGGCCACTCGTCGAGTCTAGTATTCAGAGCTTCACGGAGCCCGCGAGGAATGACAAGCACCCCGCGCGGACGACAAACCAGCAGGCGCAGGAGCACACACAGTGGAGACGCCGCCAGGAGGCGCCGCTCGAGCCATACCCTTCCTTTCGGTTGGTCATAGCACGGGCAATGAGACTATCCCCAGAACACCCGCTCCATATCTCCCTCCCTCAATTGCGCGGACTTCGCAGGCGTCCCAGGCGAAAGCCGGTACCGCAGGACTTGCGAGACCTCTACTCGCTCCCAAACACGTCGTTACAGAACGAGAGGTCCGCAGGGATCGCTGGAGCCCCGGGCAACGCCTGTTCGCGGAACTGCAACCCATCGAGCATGTTGGAACGCTGCAGTTCGTTGGATGCACAGAGAGAGGCGGATATTCATTCCAGGAGACTGCCGCTGCACCCAGTGAGTACCGTCCACTGTGCGGCCATAAGCTGATCTGATGGTGTTGCTTCCCGTAGAATGTAGTATTCGGCGATGAAGCTCAAAGCAAGTTCAGTAATACTGCAGTTACTCAGCACATGGCTTCAGGTGAACACCTGACTAGGGATTGTGCCCGTGTGGAGAGCCGTCGATGAACGAGAAGAGACAACCGCGGCAAGGAAAGTGGCAGTAGCAGTCGTGTGGCCCACAGGAACAACACGAACAAGACTAAACATAGAAACAGCAGCAGGAACAGCAACAGCAGCACCAAGAACAGCGGTAACAGCACGAGTGCTGGCTCCGATGCCCGCAAGCCGATGAGCCTGGTCCGGCCGGCTTTCTCGCTTGTCAGGCTGGGATTCAGGCGGTTGCGACCAAGATGACTCTACCACAAACACTGCAAGGCGGGGAAACTCGGTGGACAGTCGTACTGAAGAAGAGCCACTGAGTAACAACGGGCCCAGTCACAGTTGCTTCCGCGAAGGTGGCCAGTAGACGTGAGCTTGTCCCGTGGATGTAGCGCTGACGGCTAGCAGGCAAAGACTCAGAGAGTGGACCAAGGAAAGGAGTAAGAAGAGTTCAAGGGGCGACAGATGTAAGATCAGTAGCATGGTACATCTCGTTTGTGCTTCATACACGCGGTGTGGCATTCGTAGATCGATAGGGCAAACATTTACTTATCTCTCGTATCGTGACTGTCTGGGTCACTGCATGCCACCATTCACGACGAGTAGTCCATCGAATTACATGCCCTCAGGAATAAAATAAGCTGCAGCACGCACCCAGGTTCTCGGAGACACTGGACACCACCCCGTCAAATCGCTGGTGCTAAAAAATACCTGCATGGATCGCGAAGCTCGGAAGCACCTCTATCCCTGGAACGCTACGCCCCTCCTCGACGATTCCGCCATTCCGCCACCCGCAAATCCCGTACCTTCGAACGCGTCAGTGAAGTAGGCCAGTGAGGTGAAGGACTTCTGCGTACCTTCGCGCGTAATTTCAATGATGTCGGTGTCACCGAGCTTAGCATCACACAGGATGCACTGCTTCGCGGGCCGCACGAGCGTGTCCAAGCACGTCTTGTCGACGACGTGGCCGCACGGTTTCATCACTTTGGTGTGTTAATGTCAGGTGTCTCGGCTGTCAGCGCTTAGTACGCACAGTACATCAGTTTGTGGTTCGTCAGTGCGCTCTTGCACGACGGACATATCGGGTCCCTCTGGTCTTCTCGTGGGGTGAGCACTGCGGTGCCACTTTCTGTAGTAGGCGTAGAGTCCTGCGACCCCGAGGGCGCACCACGCACCGTGTCGAATGAGAACTTCACGGGTATAAGATTTTTTCGCCTATATCATATACGTCAACGGGTTTGAGTGTACACACTGCGGACGGAGAGAGAAGGAGACGCACGCAAGCGCATGAGGCGGATTCCCGCCTCGACACGTAGTGTGGATCTTGATGTCTGTCAGCGACGTCGGGGGCCCACTCGACGTGTATGTCGGCGTCAGCGAGGGCAGCCAGAAGTCCGGTAGCTTGGCCTTGAGCGCCTCCGCCTGCTCACGCTCGATCTGGCGGAGCGCTGCCTCTTCTGCCTCCTGCGTGAGGGTCTCAACGGCCGAGGAAGAAAACGAGAATTTTCGCTTCGTCCCACGAGCTGCGTGCGGGTCTCAGAGATTACAGTGAGGAAAAGACGAGGAAAAATTGGGCATACGTTCGTTCGACTCTGTGTCAGTCTTGGTGAGCGTTGAGGACGGCACAGCAAGGCCTAGCTGTCCCTTCTCGAACTCTAGCAGGACGCGTTCCCGCGCCACCTGCCGCGCCCTCTCTCTCTCATCCTCTGCCTCCCGCTTTAGCGCCTCTAGCCTCGCCTTCTGCCGCTTAATGTCACCAATTTGCGTCACTGCATGCACATTTTCGTTCCAGATGTCCGATCAGTATCTCAGAAACTGGGTAAAAATGCATGCGGGGCGCACAACGCACCCAGGTCGGTATATACGCACTCCTTACAAAATAGGTGCCCCTTGTGACACGCTACGGGATCCCGCGCGCGCTGCAGACAGAGCGCACACGCATCGAAGCGGCGCATGGACTCGTTTCCTAGACGTTGCTGCACAGCTTGTATACGTTACGAATCTCAGGGGTAGTTTCACTGGGTACGTACGCGCTTCGTGCCATAGTTGAGCTTCTTGTGCTCCGCATACGAGAAGACGGAAGACGCGGTGTTGTTCTTGCTGTGTTTCGTCATCGCGGGTAAGTCGCACAAAGATATAAGGCGTGGAAAATCCGGCGATATTGAGACAGACTCCGATGGGTAAGGTCAGTCATCTCTATCTTAAACAACAAGCACCCATACTCACATGTTGTACAAGTCTGAGTCTATGCAATCGAGGACCGGCGGTGTGGGGTAAGCCAGTAACAAACTTTGTAATGCGAACGGCGTTGAAAGCGTGGGAATCGCATATTGATACCCGATCATCGACAAACCCAAGTTCCACCGCCACTTCAAGTTCCTCACCACGCGGTCAGTGTCAATGCAAGGATGTGTGTTCAGAACTGTCGGTGATAATTGACCCTGCAATCAACTTCGCAACAGCAATGGAGGTAAGAAGACACCGAGACTGACCAATCCCACCGCAGGAACCCCGAGCCTCGCTCTGTCATAGGCTTCCCGAGGCGGACACGCACAGTATTAAACTGAATGAAGTGCCATTGAGTTGCTACGCAAATCTTTGAACTATCGCATCTTCCTCAGTGAGTCCTTCCATTGCTTGATCCACCGTACTAATTACTGAGCATAACCATAGGTTGTCTCAGCATTGTATTGACATCGGATTCGCTATGACGAAGACTGTTGACGAATTCACAGCGAAGCGCATCACATACGAAACTCCTGTGCTGGTCTCGACGGTCGTTGAGCGTTTGGACAAGGAGCTCAGCAAAGAGACCGGAGGACAAGCCGCGTTCCGCGTGCTTGCGACGGCCTCGTCCAAGGAAGAAATAGAGAAAGAGATCAACAAGATCACGGGTGGAAAAGACTTTGCGTATGTGCCTTTCGATGTGTGTGACCTTTGGCCTATTGTCTAACAATTTACCCACGCGTCGTTAGGTTATTTTCTGTCCTCTCACACCATCCCTGGTTGAATGGTTGGTTCGGGAGGAAGGACACTCCGCAGACGTACCTGTATACGTTGGGAAATCCGCTGGTGGCCCAGACGATGCTGCAGTACGACCTTTACACGGGACTTCACGTTCCCCCTAGGTTGCTGGTGCTCGAGAAAGCAGACCGGAGCGGGACGCAGATCATCTATATCCTCCCATCGTCACTCATCGCTGTCCCTGTTGGTGGCGAAGTCAACGAGCAGCTCAAGACAGCCGCCGAAGCTCTGGACGCGAAGTTAGAGAACTTGGTAGTGAGGGTTTCTGCCGTGTGAATGATAAACGTCCTCCCGAATATGTAGTGTCAAGCCACAGATGGCATGTGTATTATCTCAGTTCTAGCTGTAACTTTCCATTATCTGCGGGTCATGACTGCGAATTGGTGTCGCTTCCTCCAAAATGTTTTTCAATTTCGTTTCATCTACTCCTGGAGAACTAGTACCTGCCGACGCGAGAACGTTTTTTCACCCAGAAAGCTTCATTGAACAGTAAAATTTCTGGCAAATAAAGTGGCGATGGTTCGCATATTCTGAATGCAGAAATATGGAGAGTTTTTGAAGAAAGCTACGCAGTCTAGGCTTGTGTTAGACGATCTACCAGTTACTGATATAATCTTTGCGCGAACACAATGCACGACAAATTTGAATACAGAACTATAGCTTGTGTTCGGGAGGTAAAGACTCTCCGCCAAATTACCTGCTCTGCACGAGTGGACCGCTGTAGTCTAAGTACAACTTTAAACCCGGCGTTCCTGAATGGGACCAATATTTGCCGGTTACCTACCTACCTACTTAGGGCCTACCTCTCATCTCCACTTCGGTAAGGGTCATTGGTTCATCTACAGTACATTAGGGTAGTTCAGAGTAGAGGTTTCGAGCGGTTTTCGAGCTGGTTTTCGACCAGTTTTCGATCTGGCTTTCGACTCCCCGAGAAGCCCGAAAACTGTTTTCAACCTTGAACAACCCGCCGAAAACGGGTATCGGCTAGGCGCGGGCGACACTGTTGGGAGGCGGACTTCAAATAAGCCGCTCTACGGGAGAACCTCGGGCATGCCTACCGAGCTGTCGGTGACGCCAAAGTAGCTGTGCTCATCGTGCGCGACAGCGCCGCTGTCTCGAAATGCATCCCCCGACCTAAGCACTTATTGTCTGCCATGTTTAAGAGGTCTTTCATAATTTCCATGGGTATCACCCTTCCAGAATAAGTGAGCGGAAAAATTAATTTCTCCACCGGAAGACCTCGTCACTGTCGTCGACGACAGCGACGACGTGCCCGTCGTCGATGATCGGCATCTTGCACAGCTCACTTTCAGAGTCCGAAGTTGATGCCGAAGAAGCCGAAAACCGGCTTTGGGCCGTCGTCTCAAAACCAAAGTCGTTTTCGGATTTCTCCGGCCTCGAAAACCGCATCGAAAACCAGCTCGAAACCCGGTCGAAAATTCTACTCTGAACTACCCTATTGACGAACAACGCAGCGAGTCTTGTCTCTAGCTCTACGCTGGACTCGTCCAGCCAATCAGATATCGAGTTTGCATTGTCTCGCGGCCAATCAAATGTCTGGATTATAAGACTGGATCGTGGCGTCTTTTATCTCCTATATGTGCTTGTAAAACGATTTTCCACGAATGGCTGTTCTTGCTCTTGTTCATCATGCCGGTTATACGTATTGATGATAGCAACAGCGACTTGTCTGACATGGCCCGAAACTTTGGTCTTCTATATCGCGAATTGTGGAAAAGCAATGGGGTCGAGAAGCGGAATGTCTTCCTTCAGCAGTCTGTTTCAGTTCGAGTAGATTTGTGGGACATGATGGAGTCGAGAGGTAGTGTGGAAAGTGACAACAACTCTGTCTCCGATATCCCTGGCAGTACCTTTGACTACACTCTTCTTGACCTATCGTGGCTACCTAGGCCTATCGCAGGCAGTGCACAGAAGATACTCATTCGACAGGAGTATTTGGAGGCGATGGCAGCCTTCCACGAAGATGAAGATCCTGTCCTGTTGACTGGTCAGCCTGGCATTGGTGCATAGCATGCTGATTCATGTCATGATGGAACTGACCTGTGTGACCAGGAAAGACTCTGTTCCTAGTGTATGCTCTGGTCAAACGGCTCACTGAAGGTCAACCAACGATTTTCTCGACCGCTCCCCTCAAGTATTATTTGTTTCAAAACTCCGGTGCCTACCGATTTACAAGTGCCGACATGGATGGCTCAACATTACGTTCGGCGATCCTCGATCTACACAATGGAGTTGTTCCCGGAGGGAATTTCACAGAGGAGGATGCAGGATGGATTCTGTATGACTCGAATGCTGCACAAGGGCCACTGATCTGGGACAGCGAGGACTTCCTGCCGTGGAAGATGGTGTTTTCCACCTTGCCGAAATTGTCCAGATACAAGGAATGGGTCAAACAGAAAAATGCTGTGATGTATGTGATGAAACCCTGGTCCTGGTCTGAGATATGCGCTGGAGCGTATGTCGGATGGTTTTGCTGCTATGACGAAGATCTGATCAAATTCTATTTTAGGCCACTACAGACCTCCGGATCTCGTACTACTAAGGAACTTTGGGACGCCTATCATCGATTTGGTCCTTCCGCACGCATCGTATACAAATCAGACCACGTGGAGCACCGAAACGATATTTGTTTTGCATTGCGAAACTGTCGAGACCCTTCGATACTGTTCCCCCAAAATGAGGCCGCTTGGGATGAATCCAGCAATGTATTGGTGGTTGTGGAGCCGGCAACCATAGATGGGGTTGTCCACAGAAACATGTTGACCGGAAAGATCGCCACTCCATACATCATGAACATGGTTCACGAGGAGGCGGAGCATCTGCTGGGATTAGCCATGCGGCGAACTTACCAACATCTCTTGGCAGATAATATCTCCCGAGGAGCGGCGGGAATCGTATTCGAAGATATGGCCCATCACCTCCTCGGCGGTACTGCATCGTGCACTCGCTCCCTCAGAACTCTCCCACGAGGTGGTACTCGTTCCACTACCAAACGGAAGGACCTGACGATGAATTCCAGCGTGATCTTCGATAGTATCGCCCAGATATCCGGCAATGTGAGGCAGCGTACGTATTACCGTCCGCTGCCGCACTTCGCCGGTATCGATTCTTTCGCATTGATTGACGGGACACTGGTCCTGTTCCAGTTCACTATCACTGCAGATCATCCAGTCAAAGTCAAAGGACTCGAAAGCATTCAGACTCTTTTTGCTGAGCAGCCGATTGAACGCGAATGGATGTTGATTTTCGTGGTCCCTACAGCCATCGAACCTGACTTTAAACGTCAACTACTGCAGCCGGACTCATCTCGAAGAGAGTGGGATCAAAACGTGGACCAATGTGTGATGGGATTGACTCTTGAAGAGCTGTTTCCAACTGAGTATGTTTGCCTTTCCTTTTGATGCTTGTATTCCATTGGCTGACGACACTAATTGTACATACCGATAGCATTCATGCTACAAAGGTCGGTGCTTCCGATAAATATTCTCAGCCTGACGAAGTGACATCTCCTGCAGACAAGAAGGGCAAAGGATTGCAACGAGCTTCGAAGAAGAGGGAGAGGTCTGAGGATGCGGACGTGGATGCGGCTGAGCAGCCTCCTCCAAGCGGAAAGAAACTGGAGAGGACGCCGGCGACACATTTGCAGACACATCTGCAAACTCTGGAGGTATGTAAATCCACGCGATGTTCGCGACGGGAGACACTCACATGGCGAAGGGGACTCGTAAGCTTCCCAAACGTTCTGGGAGGAAGAATGAAACCGTCGAGATCCTGGAGGCAGCACCGGACACACACGAAGGTCCATCGACCGGACGTCGGAAAGGGATGTCCCGCAAATAGGTCGAACGCTGGCTACAAATGCGTCGCTTGTGCCGCTATTAGCCGTCTCCTGCTGAGTATGAGTAGCCGTGCTGTTCTTGGTGTTTATTGCTAATATCGTGATGATCGGTGAAAGAAATAGAAGAAAAAAAAAACAGAAAAAACAGCACTGTTTGTTTTGTGGCAGAAGGAAGCTACAACGCGGCGCTCGTTCGAGGATGATGATGGCACAGAAGATACTTATAAACACGGTGGTAGGACAACACTCTTGTAATGCTATTCCATCAATCGCGCAGCTTCACGGGAGACCCCTCCCACTCCTAGTAGCCTTTGTGGCCTCGCCCTATGCATCGCTGTGAAAGAACAGGTCATATTCCTCCTCGTGTGCTCCTTGTCCTGCGTGGTCCTCTCGTCAGCACATTTCAAGACATCCGAGCATAGTAAGGGCTCACGCTCTGTGTCTTCAGTACAGACTCGTGATTCTCGAGGCAGTGCGCGATTTCCTTCAACCCGCAGCTGACCGTTTCCCTCGTATAGTCGCAATGCGTCTGCAGGACGTAGTCTCGCGCTACCCACAGTGCGGGCATGACGCCGACGAAGCTGAACTCCTTTCCAAGGAACTACGGGCCCTTCACCTCCTCCGAGAGCATACACAGCACTCTGTTGAACTCGTCGAGTCCCCGGATTCTTTTGATGTCGCCGCAAAATCTGGGACTCCGGATAAAGGATCCGCATTCGACACAAAGGAGAACTCGAAATTCGAGTCCATCAAAATATTATACAGGGCTCCTTAACCAGGGTAGGCCTTCGAGGTCTGAAACAAGTTGATTGGCCTGAAATCCTTCGCAACGGCATTGGAGGTAAGAAGACACCGAGACTGACCAATCCCACCTCAGGAACCCCGAGCCTCGTTCTGTCATGGGCTCCCTGAGGCGGAAACGCACAGTATTCAACTGAATGAAGTGCCATTGAGTTGCTACTCAATCGTTTGAACTGAATCCCTCCATTTGATTGAACCACCCTACTAATTACTGAGCATACCCACAGGTGTCCCTGCGTTGCATTGACATCGGATTCGCTATGACGAAGACTGTTGACGAATTCACAGCGAAGCGCATCACATACGAAACTCCGGTTCTAGCCTCAACGGTCGTTGAGCGTTTGGACAAGCAGCTCAGCAAAGAGAGCGGAGGACAGGCCGCGTTCCGCGTGCTTGCGACGGCATCGTCCAAGGAAGAAATAGAGAAAGAGATCAACAAGATCACGGGTGGTGGAAAAGACTTTGCGCATGTGCCTTTAAATGTATAACGTTTGGCATATCGTCTAACAATTTACCCACGCGTCGCTAGGTTGTTTTCTGTCCTCTCACACCATCCCCGGTTGGTTCTGGAGGAAGGACACTCCGCAGACGTACCTGTATACGTTGGGAAATCCGCTGGTGGCCCAGACAATGCTGCAGTACGACCTTCACGCTCCGTACGGAACCGGAAATAACTCAAGGAACACCAAGTCGCGCATGGTATGGGATGATTTACGCGAGCACAGACTGGCGCTTCCTGAACATCACCTTCGCGTTGGGCGCAGGCAGCACGGTTGTGCTAATCCAAACATTCTTCGGTCGCTCACCCTCGTGCTCAAACTTGACGTCGTAATTCAGCGCGACATACGCCAGTGTCACCTTGAGCTCGTTGGCGGCGAAGAACCGGCCGGGGCTGCCGAAGCGAAAAGAACAGACCATTAAGCGATACAAATTCCAACAAAGCGGAACGCACCATGCATGCCTGCCATGGCCGAAGGGAATGTACTCGGGCGACGTGCTGACATACTGGTGCTTCGTGGCTTCTCCTTCCGCAGCGCGCATCTTGCAGAACCTGAACGGGTCGAAGACGTTCGGATTCGCGTAATATTCTTCGTCGAGATGTGTCGACATTGAGGCCGCCACCATTCGGGTCCCCGCAGGAATGAAGGTCCCATCAGACAGAGTGACATCCCGTAGTACTTTGCGGTGGAGCGCAGCTGCGCGGTGAAGAACGCTCAACGTTTGAGGATTACCAGGAAACATACGAGGTGCGGGAGACGTACTGCATTCGGTACCGTTCATGCGTTGCGACTCCTTCAGGAAACTATCCAACAACCACATCTTGTCGACGGAGGTCTTATCCCACCCGTGCGCCTTGCTAACGCTCTCGATCTCCTCTCGAAGAGGCTGGACGTACGCAGGGTTGGCCGCAAGGTGGTATAGGGCGTGCGTGAAGCTCTGGCCGAGCCGGAGGCAATATCAGAGGTAGCCGAAAAATGCTTGGGGTGAGGGACACACGTTAGATGAAGTGTGGATCGCTGCGAAGCACACGACCAAGACCCTGGGTATGACGGATTCGTCAGGGCGACCCCCACTGCGCGCTTCGTCCATTAACCACATGAGTAAGTCGTTCTGGTGATAATGGCATAATTTAGCACCGCAGCCCAGAAAAACCGGTATCAGTGAGACGCCAAGCATACAGGCTTATCTGACCAGTCCTCTCCGTACTCGGCCAATTTCTTCCTCCGCTCGTCTATGATGGGCCGTAAATGCGCGGTCGCGCGCCTGGTGGAGCTTCCTAGCCGCGAAAATAAGCGGCCAGCAATACTACAGAAGGCATGTCTAAGTCACTATCCTTCACGGCGGTGCAAAGTAGCTGAACCTTTGAACTCACGGCTGTAACACTGTAGGGAAAAAACCGATAATAACCTCTCCCATTATCACATCTGTCGTGAAGTCGATTGCGAGGTTGAGAAAGTCTCGGTCTCTACCTGTCCTCGCATGGTGAGAGTACCATTCTATATGCATTACTGGGGACGCACACTTGGGGACACCAACAAAAATGCGGCTGCTGGCGCGCGCGACAATCTGCGTCATGACGGAGAAGGCAGACACCTCGAGCCATCCTAGCCCACTTTTCAGCACCAGGTGTGACGGTAAGGACAAAGGCGTACCTTCATCATTGACTGGGATATGCTCCTCAAATGCCATCCCGACTTCGTCGATTACATCGGGCAGTAGCGCACTCAAGTTCCGCGTGAGCTGGCCGCGGACGACGCCGATATGGTACGCATCCTCGCTTACATCACGTCCGATGGTGTATTCGCTATGCAGCATCTATGCAACAGGTTGCTTAGTATAATTTAAATCTATACGTAGGAAGGATATATTGTGCTTGCCTCGTTCACTGCCTCGCCAAAGGACGCCTGGTCATCCGGGAGGCTGCGCAGCTCATCGATCAGCTTGGGGCCGGTGACTACGACGACCCATTGTTCGAACGTCGCGATCTTGAATACAGATCCCTTGTACTGACAACTTTGTGAGCCCGGAGTGTGCCAAATACAATCAGAATTAGAGCACTCACCTTGTTATATCCTTCCTGAATTACCCCTTGGGCATTCCGGAAGAAATTGATTGCTCCGAGGTAGGATAACACTGGGGCGGAGGGGCCGACAGCAGGAATGTGAGGGAGCTGTGCCGGTGGATTAACACCGCTTAACTGGAAGACGGAAGATGACGACATACCGCCTTGTTGGATCGCTTATGCGAGAAGTACAGGACAGAAATTAGGCCAATGAGCGCACACAGCAGTACAGTATTATCCATCGCGACCGAGCAGCTACTGCTGGTAGTTGACCGGGTGGAGAGGGATGAGTTTATGGACCGGCCCATGATATGGTGAGCTACATAAGTATCAGTGAGCGCTGGCGTGGGCTTCCTTGTACCCGTTACGGCGTTCTCGCATCACCCCAAGCAGGTGTGAACCGGGCGCATTATGAACACGAGTCTATCTTCTGGGTTCTGAGAATCAATCAATCTGGGTCTATTTGCGCTCCTGCACAGGCACTTCAGGGACGTCGTGGGTGTGGTGGGGAGCCTATCACAGGTCTCCGCTAGTACGCATGAGGAGGTGAGCAGAGCACCTCTATCAGCGCTTCCCGATGCCTATATCAGCGACTCCAGCTTACCTCGCACGAATATGGAGAAATGGCCAATCAACGCACGGATGGGGTTACTCTTGCTGGCCCATCAGCAGGTCGTGGGCACCGACTAATGGCCAGGCAGTGTGGTACTACTGTGAACTGTGAACGCATTACGGACATGGTGTACCGGACGAGCGGACACTGATAGGTACGGGCCGAACTGTTTCGCGTAGTAGGGTTTGAAGCTTCCGTTGATGACCGTCACGGTCCCATGTGATCGTTGACCATCTCATGTACGCGCACTACGCCCGCACCCACACAACACAAATCTTCTGCGGTGCATGTGGAAGACCGGTCGTGGCATTTGCTGCTGCCGTTTGCCTGTTATAGCTACCTAAATTTTGGGCTTGAATTACCAAATTAAAGAGTGTCGCCGAGGGCGCCTTCAATGCTGTGATGTGCACCAGGGCATCCCTGCCAAGAGCAAATAGAAGGGAGCAGGATGAGTAACCGGTGCGTGAGCGACGTTTATGTATGTTCTCCGGGTGGGAGCACTAGACATTGTTACAAAGAAGGTGAAAGATGAGTGAAAAGGCCGAACCACACACACCATATCGGGATTGATTTGGTACTCGAAAGGCCGCCAGGCGGCGGCGGAACTTGCTGCAGACAGAATTGCCACAAAACAAATAACGCACAACAACTGTGTAAAAAGGACACTTTCACTTTTGGGTCGGGAGAGCTTGCTCTCCGAGCAAGAATCTTCTAGCTTTGGCATCCAAATAGAGCCAGACAACGGCGAGCCAGGTGTGACGTGGATACCCCGCCTGCTCTGACTCTTGAATCCTCAGTCGCGCGGCTTCTTCGATTCAAGGATCATAAGTGACAGCCTCTTTGCAATGTTTTGCAGGCATAGCAAGAGCAGCGAGACTCAAGTATGGAACGCTATTATGTAATGGAGTCAGGACGAAGTACTCCGATTGAATATGCTACTATCCTAGGCACAGTTCTGCAAAGTGCGCATCAATATGCAAAATGCAAATATCTCGTCCAACTCTCAAATTTTCTTTGATAGGTTTGGTTAGTAGTTGTATGGACACTATCTAAACATGTTACAACCCTGTGTATGATAATTTGTTGATGTGGAAACAAATGGGAGAGCAATTGCATGGTTTTGCACCCCAATGTAAGTGCCGGAAATACAGCTGATATGGAGATCCTTCCTGCAGTACTCACCTAAAAATTTTACAACCCATAATATAAGCCTTTCTAACATGCAGCTACCTTCAGAGTGACCCCGATTGATGCCATGTGAAGTTGTTCTTGCTCTATGCTATGTTGCGAGAAAGACGCGTTACATCCATCCGCCACAGCGTGATGAAATTCAGACTCCGTCGCCCAAAGAGGCTTTGCAGAACTGTGCGTACCGCTCTGTGATCAAATTTGCCGGGCATGCCGAAGGGCGCTCATCGTGACAGGCTTGTGACAATTTTGCATTACCCTGCGCACTTGCACTCTCGTCGCCGGAAGGTCTCCGAGAACATAAGTTCTGGGAATTTTAACATGCTACTTAGATAACCTTGTAGAGGGGACATTATTGCACATAGACTGCAAGTTTCAAGGGATATCATGAAGTTGTCAGGGAGCTACGAGCAGTACACTGAAAGAGTTTGCAGAACTATGCCTAGGATAGTACCAGGAAGCATTGGCTAGAGTTCAGCAGTCTCCCTTGATCGGCAAAGCGGGCCAGCGATGGGAACCAGACCCAGAACACGTCGGCGAGTATCTCGCTTACCGTGACTCCATTTGCGCATTGCAGCCAACTGATTTTGACGAGTGAGTGGCTAAGCTAAGTTCCATACGTCACGCTTATTTGCTCTTCAGACGTTTTAAAATCATGCACGGAGCTCATGGTCTCACATGTGTCTGTAATTTTCAGATGTGCACGCATCCGCTGCCAACTATCCTCAGGATTTGCGAGAAGGGTGAATAACCATTCTCACGTTGGCAGGTACTCGTTCTCCAGGAGTAGGTGTAACGAAATTGAAAAACATTTTGGAGGAAGCGACACCAATTCGCAGTCATGACCCACAGATAATGGAAAGTTACAGCTAGAACTGGAGTAATACACATGCCATCTGTGGCTTGACACGACATTTCGGGACGACTCTCATCATTCACATGGGGAAACCCTCACCACCAAGTTCTCCAATTTCGCGTCCAGAGCATCGGCGGCTTTCTTGAGTTGCTCGTTGACTTTGCCACCGACCGGGACAGCTATGAGCGACGACGGGAGAATGTAGATGATTTGCATCCCGCTCCGGTCTGCTTTCTCAAGTACTAGCAGCCTGGGGGGAACGTGAAGTCCCGTGTAAAGGTCGTACTGCAGCATCGTCTGGGCCACCAGCGGATTTCCCAACGTATACAGGTACGTCTGTGGAGTGTCCTTCCTCCAGAACCAACCATCCGACCAGGGATGGTGTGAGGAGGACAGAAAACAACCTGACGACGCGTGGGTAAATTGTCAGACGACAGGCCAAAGGTTATACATTGAAAGGCACATACGCAAAGTCTTTTCCACCCGCGATCTTGTTGACCTCTAATTCTTCCTTGGACGAGGCCGCCGCAAGAACCATGTGAGTAACGGGAATGTGCGCGTATGGGAAGATGTCGAGATAAATCGCGCGTATACGGGGGCGGATGGGATTATGGTGGGCGAGACTTTGCTGGCCAATCCATGGTACGTGTTCAGCTGAACTTAGCTAGTGCTCAACTCACATTCGTTTCGCAGTCTGTTCGCGAATGTCGTTCCCGATCATGTGAAGATCTCGTTGGAATATCTTGATCTATGTCGCGCACTCCCCGGCACAGTGATTTTGCAGACCATGCAAACGCATGTTCGGCATTTCGGTTGACCACCAATGGTACGTCCCATCTTTTTCAATACCTTGCATCATTTACATTGAAGCTTTGCATGTACGCAGTGGTCGGCAGCCTTGGTTCAATAAGTTCAGGACTGCACTGAATCGCTGTCAGTCAGTCGACGACATCGAACGGCTTTTACGGGTGAAGGTGCAGCGATGGCGTGGAGTCGCACCTTTTCCTGGGAATGACTTGGAAGCAGACGACCTCCACGAGGTCAGTCAACCAGAGAGTATGGATGAAGTGCTGTCGGCAATATCTCTCGTCAGATAACACTTGTCTCTATCCTCGGTGCTGTAGTGGATCATGGGGGAATAGCCCGAAGATGCGGTTTCGAGTCATGGCCAACCACCATTGGATTCAGTAGCGGCTACAGAAATTGTTACAAGGCATTCCATTTAGCCTCAAAAAACCTATTAGCATACAAGACTGAACAATGCCAGAGGATCGCTCGACCTGGGAACAAGAGAGATTGACATTCATCATCGTTCACTCGAATAAATACGGAGATGCAAGCGTGTCCAGCTACTCAAGTTTTTGCGCATCTCCCTCGCCATCGCCTAGAGTGCCCCACCCAAATTCTGATAGGCATTCTTCAGTAAGGCCACCCGAACTGCACAAAATTGTCAATACACTCCCCGGGGAAACAACTTGCAGATAACGGAATACACACCAAGGATCATCTGGAGTACGGGCGACAACCGCGTCAGATCTGCAGGAAAAGTCAGTTTTTACAAGGTGCTAGATACCGCAGGAAAACACGTACGCGACCGGCGCAGCGTTGACGAGGAAGAACTGTGCGATGATGACACAGAGCACGGTAACGCGCGTGAACAAGCCTGACGCCATGTCGAATTTAAACTGAGCACGGATTCACAAAGGCTTCAAAATGTTCATCAGCGGCATTATTTAATACGCTGTCACTTCACGAATGCATGACTCACTATCCAGTACCTGCAAGGTGTCAAAGACAGGCTGGGTAAAATGTGGAAAGATGGAAAGACAGCCACTGCAGCATGCAGGGTTTTTATCTGTGCTGTATTTTGGCCATTCTCGTCAACGACCGCCCATAATTACACTGCCTCTGCGACGAGGATCGTGCAGCTGCGGTCGTCAGGCTCTGATGCAAGTTGCAGCCTGATACTGATCGCCGCGAAACGGGGGAGTGCGCGCTATGGGAAAAGATCATTGTCGAGAAAGCACATGTGTGATACTAGGCGCATTTGACTCAGTGGGAGACATCTAGGTTTCTGACATTGCAACGAGACGGCGTTACTCCTAGGTCAGTTCGGAAGACGGTTGTGAACATATCGACCAGCGGAAACATATGGACTGTCGGGTTTAGTAGAGCAGAGATGCTCCATCCGACGTAGAGGTAAATGATCGTTTCATGACCATTGACATGATGCGTCAGGAATCATCAGTGGATTGGTCGAATATGAGCCCTACTAGGCATTTCATCTGTCGTATCTGATTGGTTACTCATGATGACGACTGTCGACCCTGGTGAAAAGCTTCAGCTGTTGTGGCAAAGATCCCTCTCAGTATGTTCCCTACGCAACCGTAGTCAGTACTAGTACTCGCCTGCCTTAGACCAATCAACGCCTCTCCCGAGAGCGCAGTGGATTCAGAGTGAAGGGCTAAGATAGTACGTCTCGCATACTCCGCATGGCCACTGTCTGACTCCGTCATTGATCAACAAGACTTACAAGAAGCGTGCAATGCCCCAATTCTGGGAGCATCCGGAGACTTTGAGTGCGGGGATTGATGGGAGATGACCCAGAGCGTTGTGAGGCCTCAGTCACGGTGATAGACGCGTACCATCACACTTGTGACGTTTCGCGTTTGGCACAACTGCAATTTGCCATCCAGTTCCGTATACTAAGTACACGTGCAAAATCAGCAAGGCAAACTCCAACGGTCACACATCGTGCAACAGATCCAAATATTTAGGCTGTACGGTAGAGAATGATTGAGAGCAATCAATGTCGGTTCGTCAGTACATCGGGCACGATCGCCAATCACGTTGCCGCCAATGCCATGCAGCACGCACATCAACACCTTCATCAATATGAACAAAGACAGATGGTTGGCAGGTAAAGTGAGCGCTCACCTATGACTTGCAGTGAAACTCAGTGAGCTGATAGACCAACCAGTAGCTCTCCAACAATTCCCAAGTTCCTGTCTGATGACCTCGACAGGTCGAGTACCTGCTGCGTGCACTGCACCGCACTTCCTCACTAGAGAACACATCATGCTACGCAACGAAGGACGCATCGTAGAGTACGACGAACACGCCACCCAGCTCGCGGACCCCAACTTGATGTCCTACGCGTCACTCAAGAAAGGACGAGTTCACTATCCTGCAAGCAACGAACAGTATCCAATAGAGATTGTATTGAGATGAGTGTGCTGTGCCTTACAGTCTGGTGGGATATTCCGCCTCCGATCACGCGCCTGGAAATGATGGGATCTTCCAGGAACGCGGCCTATCCTCTGGTCTCTTTGTCCAAACAATCAATGACCGTCGAGACTAGCTTCGGAGTTTCGTATGTGATGCGCTTCGCTGTGAATTCGTCAACAGTCTTCGTCATAGCGAATCCGAAGTCAATGCAACGCAGGGACACCTGTGGGTATGCTCAGTAATTAGTAGGGTGGATCAATCAAATGGAGGGATTCAGTTCAAACGATTGAGTAGCAACTCAATGGCACTTCATTCAGTTGAATACTGTGCGTTTCCGCCTCAGGGAGCCCATGACAGAACGAGGCTCGGGGTTCCTGAGGTGGGATTGGTCAGTCTCGGTGTCTTCTTACCTCCAATGCCGTTGCGAAGGATTTCAGGCCAATCAACTTGTTTCAGACCTCGAAGGCCTACCCTGGGTAAGGAGCCCTGTATAATATTTTGATGGACTCGAATTTCGAGTTCTCCTTTGTGTCGAATGCAGATCCTTTATCCGGAGTCCCAGATTTTGCGGCGACATCAAAAGAATCCGGGGACTCGACGAATTCAACAGAGTGCTGTGTATGCTCTCGGAGGAGGTGAAGGGCCCGTAGTTCCTTGGAAAGGAGTTCAGCTTCGTCGGCGTCATGCCCGCACTGTGGGTAGCGCGAGACTACGTCCTGCAGACGCATCGCGACAATACGAGGGAGGCGGTCAGCGGCGGGTGAAATGAAATCGCGCAGTGCCCCGAGAATCATGAGTCTGTACTGAAGACACAGAGCGTGAGCCCTTATTACGCTCGGGATGTCTTGAAATCTGCTGATGAGAGGACCACGGACAAGGAGCACGCGAGGAGGTATATGACCTGTTCTTTCACAACGAGGCATAGGGCGAGGCCACAAAGGCTACTAGGAGTGGGAGGGGTCTCCCGTGAAGCCGCACGATTGATGAAATAGCATTACAAGAGTGTTGTGCTACCGCCGTGTTTATAAGTATCTTCTGTGCCATGATCATCCTCGAACGAGCGCCGTGTTGTAGCTTCAGCCACAAAACAAACTGTGCTGTTTTTTGTTCTTTTTTATTTTTATTTCTTTCACCAATCATCACAAAATTAGCAATAAACCCCAAGAACAGCGCGGCTACTCATACTGAGCAGGAGACGGCTAATAGCGACACAAGCGACGCATTCGTAGCCAGCGTAAGACCTATTTGCGGGACGTCCCTTTCCGACGTCCGGTGGATGGACCTTCGTGTGTGTCCAGTGGTTTGGGAAGCTTACGAGTCCCCTTCGCCATGTTAGTGTCGCCCATCGCAAACATCGCGTGGATTTACATACCTCCAGAGTTTGCAAACCTGTCGCTGATGTCCTCTTCGGTTTCTTTCCGCTTGGAGGAGGCTGCTCAGCCGCATCCACGTCCGCATCCTCAGACCTCTCCCTCTTCTTCGAAGCTTTCGGCAATCCTTTCCCCTTCTTGTCTGCAGGAGATGCCACTTCGTCAGGCTGAGAATATTCATCGGAGGCGCCAACCTTTGTAGCATCAATGCTATTGGTATGTACAATTAGTGTCGTCAGCTAATGGAATACAAGCATCAAAAGGAAAGGCAAACATACTCAGTTGGAAACAGCTCTTCAAGAGTCAGTCCCATCACATATTGATCCACGTTTTGATCCCACGTTCCTCGAGACGAGACCGGCTGCAATGGTTGGCGTTTAAAGTCAGGTTCGACTGCTGTAGGGACCACGAAAGTCAACATCCATTCGCGGTTAATCGGCTGCTCAGCAGAAAGGGTCTGAACGCTTTCGAATCCTTTGACTTTGACTGGATGATCTGGACTGATAGTGAACTGGAACAGGACCAGTGTCTCGTCAATCAACGCGAAAGAATCGATACCGGCGAAGTGCGGCAGTGGACGGTAATACGTACGCTGCCTCACGTTGCCAGATATCTGGGCGATACTATCGAAGATCATGCTGGAATTCATCGTCAGGTCCTTCCATTTGGTTGTGGAACAAGTACCATCTCGTGGGAGAGTTCTGAGGGAGCGAGTGCACGATGCAGTACCGCCGAGGAGGTGATGGGCCATATCTTCGAATATGATTCCCGCCGCTCCTCTGGAGATATCATGCGACAAGAGATGTCGGTAAGTTCGGCGCATGGCTAATCCCAACAGATGCTTTGCCTCCTCGTGAACCATGTTCATGATGTATGGAGTGGCGACCTTTCCGGTCAACATGTTTCTGTGGACAACCCCACCTTTGGTCGCCGGCTCCACAACCACCAATACATTGCTGGATTCATCCCAAGCGTCGTCACTTTGGGGGAACAGTATCGAAGGGTCTCGACAGTTTCGCAATGCAAGACGAATATCGCTTTGGTGCTCCACGGGGTCTGATTTGTATACGATGCGTGCGGAAGGACCAAATCGATGATAGGCATCCCAAAGTTCCTTAGTAGTAGGAGATTTGGAGGTCTGTAGTGGCCTAAAATAAAATTTGATCAGATCTTCGTCATAGCAGCAAAACCATCCGACATACGCTCCAGCGCATATCTCAGACCAGGACCAGGGTTTCATCACATACATCACAGCATTTTTCTGTTTGACCCATTCCTTGTATCTGGACAATTTCGGCGAGGTGGAAAACACCATCTTCCACGGCCGGAAGCTGGAGCTGTCCCAGTTCAGTGACCCTTGTGCCTCATTCGAGTCATACAGAATCCATCCTGCATCCTTCTCTTTGAAATTCCCTCCGGGAACATCTCCATTGTGTATAGCGCGGATCCCCGAACGTAACAGTGAGCCATCCATGTCGGCATTTGTAAATTGATAGGCACCGGAGTTTTGAAATAAAAAAATAGCCAAGGGAAGCGGTCGAAAGAATCGTCGGTTGACCTTCGGTGAGCCGTTTGGTCAGAGCGTACACTAGGAACAGAGTCTTCCCTGGTCACGCATATCAGTTCCATCGTGACATGAATCAGCATGCTACACACCAATACCGGGCTGACCAGTCAAGAGGACAGGACCTTGGTCTTCCTTGAAAGCTGCCATTGCCTCCGTATACTCCGGTCGAACGAGTATCTTCTGCGCACTGTCTGCGATAGGCATAGGTAGCCACGATAGGTCAAGAAGAGTGTAGTCAAATGTACTGCGAGGGATATCGGAGACAGAGTTGATGTCACTTTCCACACTACCTCCCGACTCCATCGTGTCCCACCAAAAATCTTCTTGAACTGAACTGGACTGCTGAAGGAAGACGTTCCGCTTCTCGACCCCGTTGTTTTTCCACAATTCGCGATATAGAAGACCAAAGTTTTGCGCTAAGTCAGACAAGTCGCTGTTGCCATCGTCGATACGCCAAACCGGCATGATGAACAAGAGCAAGAAGAGCCATTCGTGGAAAATCGTGTTTCACAAGCACATATAGGAGATAAATGACGCCCACGATCCAGTCTTACTTAATCCGGACATTTGGCCGCGAGACAGATTCGATATCTGATTGGCTGGACGAGTCCAGCGGCTATCGTTGGATATAGCAGGCGCTAGAGACAAGACTCGCGCTGCGGTGCGATGTGTGGTCAATGTCGATGAACTAATGACCCTTACCGAAGTGGAGATGAGAGGTATGTTGACGGAGAGTCTCTATCTCCCAGACACAAGTAGTTCTGTATTCGTTTCGTCGTGCATTATTTCCGTGCAAAGATTATACCAGTGACTCGGACTAATCGTCTAACGCAAGCGTAGACTGCGTAGTTTCCTCCAAAAACTCTCCGTATTTCTGCATTCAGAATATGCGAACCGTCACCACTTTATTTGCCAGAAATGTTACTGTTCAATGAAGCTTGCTGGGTGAAAAATATTCTCACGTCGGCAGCCTTAAGTGCTCGTTCTCCAAAAGTAAATGTAACAAAATTGAAAAACATTTTAGAAGAAGAGATACCGATTGGCAGTCATGACCCGCAGATAATGGAACGTTACAGCTAGAGCTGAGTTTATACACATGCCATCTGTGGCTTGACACTACATATTCGGGACGACTCTCATCTTTCACACGGCGGAAACACTCACCACCAAGTTCTGCAACTTCGCGTCCAGCGCTTCGGCTGCTTTCTTGAACTGCTGGTTGACTTCGCCACCGACAGGGACAGCAATGAGCGACGACGGGAGGATATAGATGATCTGCGTCCCGCTCCGGTCTGCTTTCTGGAGCACAAGCAACCTGGGAGGGACGTAAAGTCCTGGCGATCTCTGATATCGGTTGACCCGATTGTATGTATTCACCTTAGACTAGCTCCGTCTAGGGGAGACGTGCATGTTGCGATCGAAGGAGAGTGTTCTGAGGTACGTGCCAGTAGATGATCCGCAGCGCCGCCGCTCATGCGCATTGGCGTCTCCATGAGATGTTGTACGCAGTGAAAAAATAGCTCTTGAGGTCGACTGATCTATACTGGAAGGAGGGAGCCAACGGCGAGAGCGTTCCTGTGCGAGCTCCCGCGGACCATTTGGTGCAGATGGCAAGGCATCACAATTTGGTGTTTCGCCCAATGGGCATCGACGGTTTTATACTGCACCATGTTCGGCGAGTTCTGTATGAAACACTGCTACAACTCACTGCATCTATTGCGCACGCCCATCTCCCATCCCTTCCTGCGTCGCAAGATGGAATACTCCACTATGAGGCGGTCAGAGGAGAGTTTGTCATCGACGGGATCAAGTTGAACTTGCCACTTGTCTCATCCACCTCAGACGTATCCATGTTCTGAGGGAGCCAAGTGAGAACGTTACACCGGCGTTATAACGTTTGCTGGTTTCTCCTATAAACACGTGGGGTCAAAGGTCAAGGTTCTCCGGCGTGCGGGCGGAGAACAAAGAGCGCGAAACACGAGTAAATGGGTACATCACTCGGCCAGAGCGGCACCTTACCTTGGCTACTACAGTTTCTGAGAAAGTATGGCGCAGTGTGATCTCATCGCCAAGACTCACCGTCGGGTCTACTACTGTAACGTAAAGCAACTCATTGATGAAGACTGCTGACGGCGAGAAATTGGGATCTCTGCGCAGAAGTAAAACCAGTGCCGCAGTACCACCTTATTTATTTCTGCGCAGAGTATCTCGAATTCAGCCGACGATTCCAGAGCTGTTCCAACAGCAGAAAGCAACAACCAGTGGTCGACAAAAACAAAAGAACATAAAACGAGAGAACAAGGCCTGGAACAAGAACGTTGATTCCGCCGACGCCAGCAGCAGAGTGATCGTGGCGGCCACGTGTTGTGGATTACAGGAAGTGCTCTATATAGCGACCTGCAGCTCCGAGTCTCTTCCCCCTCTCTCTCCACGACGACCACGACGGCGACGAAGATGAGCGGCGACGAGTGCGAGTGCGAGCCCAGCACCAGTGTTGCCACTATCCGAGGGCTCAATCCTCTTAATATTTCCCTTCCGATTGCTGATTCCCCCTCCTCGCCGCATAGCGTGCTGCCGTCTCCGAGCAGCCCCTCCGGCGACTCAATCTCCTCGTTTCCCTCTGTTTCCTCCTCTTTTATGTTTTCCTCTGGCCCAGCCAGCCCACCTCGTGCGCCTGCTGACTCGGATCCGGAGGACAGCCAGGGTCTGATCATCCCGTCGCTAACCCTCCCCTCTGCCGGCCGCCACCCGACGCCATACGGCCAGACCCTCGGCGATCTCCGACTGCTGTTTCTCGCCCCTCGCTTCGCTGGGATAACTGCCCGTGCTCTGACTTCCGCACTCCTCGACGACAACGACGATGTTGTGGAGATCGACGGGTGGGAGCAGGGTGTGGACGCTGCTGCGGACGGCGTGCTGCGGGCGTCGACGCACTGGCTGGAGCAGCATGATGCGCACGGACTCGAGCACTTCGAACCCGCGCGGAACGTCGAGCTCGTCGAGCTGACCCCTTACGATCTCGGCGACGATGTGCGTGATGCACCCCTGCGCCGAGCGTAGCTGACGCGCGTTTGTGGTCTCCTTTCCAGGCAGAGACGATTGTCGCGCGCGTCTTAGCGAAAGTGCATGCCCCGTTCCAACAAGTGCACGGCGCGCTCAATCCTGATTCCGCGCCCAGCGCTGTGCTTGCGGGTCTCCTTGCCTCTCCATGCACGCCGCTGTACACTGCTCTCGTTCTCCTTCTGACGACAAGTGAGTATCTCGCTGCCTGTGACGCTATCTTGCGGTCAAAGTGGAATGATGCAGCATGGAGAATCATCGGAGCGTTTTATCTTTCTGTATGTTTCGGATGTGCGTGACCAGGAATGCTGCTTACATGCAAGTAGGTGTGGTCCGCAGGAAACCATCCCCAGTTCAATGCGAGATCCCGTGGCCCCCGTGTTAGCAGTATCCTCTTTCTGGTAGAAAGAAGGTTACTGTTAACTCGTGGGCCATTGCTTGTGTTACTCCACGATTTTTCTTGCGCACTCACTGTGTCCAGTCTTGCGTCTTAGATCAGTTTCGGTGTCGCTGTAGCATCGTATGTTTTCTGACGAGAGCTGACTCTGCGCCCGTAGCACCCTCTACAACGGAAAAGGCGCTCCTGGTTGCCTTGAGCCCCCATATCCCCCTTATTGTGTTCCCCCCACTTATATCGCAGCCATCACGGCCATCGTATCCGTCCTCTGCGTACCCCTATTTTCAGGCATACCTCGACCCACCCCCGGCAACCCTCCCGGGGACGGTTACGCTCTCGGCGTTCCGTCCCAGTTCAACGAGCGCTCTCCGTGCGGGCCTGTTCCGTACCCCCGAAACGCTCTCGGTGGTGCGCGCCGAGGCTGCCGCGCGTTTCCTGCGCTGGCGCGAGGTCGAGCGCGCGGTGGATGCAGTTCCTCCCTCTCCGTCCGTGCGGGAGCCGCCGAGTCATGGCAGCCTGCGCTGGGACAAGGCGGAGTGGGAAGCACAGTGGGAACACACGCTCTCCCAGGACGTGGCCGTCCGGCGGCGATCGCGTGCAGGCACAGCACGGAATCATGACCATGCCTCCGTACAAGGAGCGCACGCGCCTGCGCGCCCGGGGCCGCAGAGCGCGGACGATCGCTGCATGAATGCACTGGACCCGCTGCACATTCCGTCGCTCGTCGTCTTCTCGCTCTCATTGCTCAGCCCTCTGCGCACGCGCGTCGTCGGTGCGGTGAAGTCCGGGCTAGGGTGGAGATCCGCACCTACCGAGGAGGCGAGCGTTTCTAACGGTACGGAACGCATGAGTTTCGGGTTCGGTTCGGGACTTGGGCTGGCCCTTGTCGGAGCGTTTTGTGCGGGCATAGGTATCGGGCTGTTGGTCGCGCGGGGATGAGCTTTGGGATTGTCGGACACGACTCGGATTCAGATGGATTGGTCGGATAGCTAGCTGTAATTGTTTTTGTTTCATGTCGACGTCAGCTGTATTCTCGTGTATTTTCGTAATCTGCTTTCAAGGTGTGTTGTATCACGAACGACTTGCTGAGCGTGTGGTGAGTCAGAGCAAATTTAGCGGTGTACATGCAGTTCATGTGCCAACAAAGTTCTTGATGTTACGAAGTGCATGTAAACAATTCAGAGAAACAAAACACAGTGCAGTGCTGATACAAGGTGTACATCGTCAAGCAATTGAGTAATAAGCAAGCAACCGATAACTGCGTTGGCGTAGTCAAATACAAATCGTCGACAGAATCACACCGGGGGAGGTGTAGGTGGGCCTTGCGCACGCACGATAAGACGGTGGCACACAACACAACACAAGAAACACACACCGAAGAGACCCTCCTCTCCAGGTACAACGGGTAGCGGTGCACCAGCCGTCGCTAAACGGGGTTCAGGCGACAACAGCGGATTCGCTGAATACATCCGAAGACATCATTTGATCAGTAAGACGACAACAGAACCGGCCTTAACACAACTGCTTACGCTTCCACTGTGCCCACGCAGGCAAGTTCGGAGCGGGCGGCTCAGATGCACGCACGGCCTCGGGGGCAGGCAGCACCTTCGCCTTCGCCTTCTGGCGGAGCTCCTCGCGCTTGTTCACGGTACGCCATGCTGGGCGTGTAGGCGCGTCACCCGTAGCGCTCTCTGGGGGTGGCGGCGGCGCGGGTGTTGGCTGGGGCGGTTCTGCAGCGCCCTGCGCGAGGTATCAATGTACATGCGAGCGGCAGAGCGCCTCCTCACCTTACCTTGGGACGCCAATCTGGCGTGTACTCCCCACCGGCCCCCTGTTTGGACCTCGAACTCATGAGCTCTGAAATTTCACTGCGATGCATGTGCGATCGGATCGGATCTGTGAGTAAAGAGACAAGGGGGAAGGACGTACTATTGAAGCTGCCTGCGCTCGTCCCTGAGGCGACCGACCTCTGCGAGGAGGATGCGAACCTCGCTTGCGAGCGCCTTGCTGAAGTCATTGATGTATCTGGGGAGCCAAACGTTAAGAGGGCTGGCAATTACGCTTCATCGATGTGCGCACTTTGGCGGGGCGCCGTTGTAAGTATTTCCCCTGCCAGACATCTCAGTGGATATGAAAGATATTATTTGTCGAAGTAGAGCTCGGGGTAGATCCCGGTGGACGTCTCAAGGGAGAGACACCGCACACCTCCGCCGTTTCAGGGAACTTCAACTATTTAGGTTCACGTTCGACACGACACGCGGATCCAGCACCTGCGACACATGCCCATCACGGTGTTACTTCAACCTCAAACGTGAACATACTCACCGCTAATATGCCTGGCCCGAGCTAATAGGTCTCAGCGCAAACGTCGAGTGTCTTCAATCTCAACAAGTTTCGCACATAGACGCCCGTTATGCTTCGGTGCTTGCACGTGATCACGACGCGACGTAGTAGGTTGGACGCGTCCTCTCTTGCAACTTCCTTCTCTTCCACAGTAATCTCAAGGGATATGACAGGCATGCTCTCTGGCCTCACCAACACCAAGAAACGAAAGTCCACCGGGAGCATTCCCGACCCCCGACAAGGCGATGCTAAACGTCCGCGCAAGACGCTTGATACCTTCTTCTCGCCTCAGGTGGCCGCGACGGGCACCTCGAGGGACGACAAGGGAGCAAAGGCAACTGTAGAGCTTAACGAGGAGCAGAATAATGTGCTCAGGATGGTTGTGAATGAGGAGAAGAACGTTTTCTTTACTGGGGCCGCTGGTCAGTATGTTTTCACGGCCACCGGTCGGGCTTTGCTAGTTCTGACTCGTTTATTTTCAGGTACCGGCAAGTCGTTGCTATTGAGAGCTATTATTAACGCTCTAAGAAAAAAGCACGCCAAGAAGCCTGAAGTAATATCTGTGACAGCGAGCACAGGGATGGCGGCATCGAATATTGGTGGTAATGCGGCAGACTATTTTTCCTAGTGGAAAAAAAGTAATTTTCATTCTTAGGCATGACTATTCACTCATGGGGTGCAGTTACTCCTGGAATGCACAACATCGATAGGCAAATCAGCTGCATTAAGACTTGCAAACCCGCACACCGGCGCTGGAAGGCAACGAAGGTGCTCATTATCGACGAAGGTTTGTTAAGCCAAACTTTTCTGTCATTCTCAAAATCAGAGCCGTTGAGAAATATGAATCCGTAGTGTCAATGGTGGACGGGCAACTCTTCGACACTCTGGCGGCTCTCGCAAACAGCCTACGGAAGAAGACTGCGAAACCTTTCGGCGGGATCCAGGCGCGTGACACCACCAAAGTTCCACTGTACCACTCTTACCACCTTTTGTGCCTTTCGTCCGCAGCTCGTCATTACCGGCGACTTCTTTCAATTACCCCCTGTGACTAAGTCAAATACAGAACCATTCTTTGCCTTTGAAAGCGACGCCTGGAAAAAGTGCATCGATCACACCGTGACATTATCTCGAGTCTACAGGCAGAAAGATTCTCGTAAGCTTTCTTTCCCTTTCTTCTTTCCTGCATGAACTTTCTCCTGCTAGAATTCGTCTCTCTGCTAAATGAGCTCCGTCGAGGCACGATCTCACCCTCCGCACATCAAACTTTCTCCCGCCTCTCGCGCACACTTCCCCCTCTTCCCACCGGGCTCCTACCTACCGAGCTCTACCCGCTCCGCGCACAAGTCGAGCGCGCAAATACTACGCGTCTCGCAGCACTCCCCGGCGGGCCCGTCACTTTCGCTGCGCGCGACTCTGGGTCTTCGCAACGCGTGCTGGAACAGATGGTTGCTCCTGCGCGCCTCGTGCTCAAGCCTGACGCGCAGGTCATGCTCGTCAAGAATGTCGATGAGGGCCTCGTCAACGGTTGCGTCGGACGCGTGCTCGGGTTCTTTGGCGTTTCGTGCTGCGTTGCATCCGTTACTCCTGCAGAGAAAGCGCCAGGGATCTCTGCTACAAGCTCTAGCGCAGGTCCCAGGCCCAAGTCGACTGCACCGCCATCGACCAGCGGCAGCGCGAAGAACAACGGCGCTGTGCGGAACGTGCGAGTTGGAGCGGACGGGCGCACACCCATTGCCTTCAAGACAGGCCGGACGATCGAGGAGAAGGAGAATGTGGGACAAAAAACCTCCGATCTCAAGGGCAAGGGCAAGGGCGTGCGGAAGGACGACGAACTTTACCCGCTTGTCGAATTCCGCACTTCCCAGGTCGTCGAGATCGTCCTCCTGATCCGTGAGGAATTTCGCGTAGAAGACAATGAAGGGAAGCTGCTAGCACGGCGCGTACAGGTGGGTGTTACCGTTGTCCTGTTAAAATCTAAGAACTGAACAAGGGTTGGATAGGTCCCGCTTGTCCTCGCGTGGGCCATGTCAATTCATAAAAGCCAGGGCCAGACCATTCAGCATGTGAAGATCGATTTGGGGCGAGTTTTCGAGAAGGGTATGCAATCCATCGCATGTCCCGTCTTATTAAACGAATTTTGAATTCCGTGTAGGCCAGAGCTATGTTGCTCTCTCACGAGCCGCCTCCATGGACGGACTTCAGGTCCTCGGCTTCGATGCGGGAAAGGTGAGATTTGCAGACCCCCACTCAGTCAGCTGGACATATTTTTCATACATTTTCAGGTCAAAGCACATCCGAAAGTCATAGAGTGGTCTCTCGGGCTGGAGAAGACGGCGGAAAGGAAGCGGATATCTGCATGACCATAGAGATCTGATTTCTTCCTTAGCCTGGTTAAAAACTAATCATCCCATACGCATTCTTGTCCAGTATGGTAATACCTGCGAATTGCAAACATCCTTCATCTGCAGCGTACCAAACCTCCAAGTTTAAAATAAGTTGTGCAGGAGCCTCCCACTGCCCCAGTCAGGCTTGAACGTCCGACCTGTTTCTGTGGATCGTGTTCGAGCCTCCCAGCAGTGTTCGATCCTCACCAGCATCGGATTCACGCTCCCATGACACGACGCGAGCGTACCGTCCTTCTTATTTGTTCCTCTCCTCCATCATGTCCCCTGTCTCCCTCCGCATCTCCACCCAGTTTGCTGCGCGTGTGCACCCACTCTCGTATTCCCTCCTCGTCTTACCACCTCGCCTCGCTGCCTGAGCACCTCTCTCATGCCCAGCTCCGGCTCTCGCACCTGTGACAGGTCGTCGTTCTCGGGCACTGCTCGATCCAGTCGCCTTCATCTCAAGTTGACCAGTTTACCAGTTCACGTCAATGTGCTTCATCTACCGCTACTTCGAGTTTATCGGTCGGCTGTCAATTTACTTCGACCATCGCAAGCAAGCCATCTCAAGTTTACCGCAGGCTGTCAATTTGCTGCGACCATCACAAGCCTCGAGGCCCATCTATCAATTCCCACTTGCTTGCCCCTCCTGTGCCTCACAGTCCAATAACGCGTTGATGTCAGAGTTCTTGCCATACTAAATGCTTTTGTTGCTGATATAATCACCTTGCGCATGCAATCGTATTTTTTTCGAGGCATGCATATACTCACTTGAACACACGCACTTGCATGGCATATATGTACATATATACCAACATTCTGTTACGGCCGTCTGGGATTCTTGGCCAGTGGCCATGTGCATAGAAGCCAAAACCATAAGTGCAAATGCAATTTTTGTTGCTGCAGTATGGCCAGCTCCAGTCCATAACTTATCGTCCCATATACATTCTTGTTGACGGCACATTGTATGATGATCACTAACTCGGCGGGTCGCTCATTCACACAGAGACCCGCGGTCTAAATCTTACAGGAGAAGATATCTTCTCGCATCTTGGAGGCTTGTTCTTCAACACCTCTTCGAAGTCGAAGAAATGTAGTGTCACGGAAACTCCGAGCAAAAGCCTATCACACTGCCCCAGTGAGGCTCGAACTCACGACCTTCCGATGCCGCGAGCAATTCGTGGTTATAACAGTCGGACGCTGTGACCAACTCAGCCATGGGGCAACACAGAACACAATTTTCACAAGCATATATGAAGCTTTGCTTCCCACTTCCGCTTGCAGCTCTCCACAATCTCGCCGACTTGACTCGACCGCCCCATGAACGGACATTTTTAATGTTGACAAACGCTGGTTATCTTAAAGGAATCAGCCCCGTTCATCCGGTAAGTACTCACCACAGCTGAGCAAGCGGCGTTTCAGAGCGTGGCCACAGAGCACGTGTTTTCTGGAAGACTGGCTTTCCAGTTTCCCTTGAGTTTCCCTATACTTATCTCTCATCACCCAACACCTCACGTTCGCAATCATGGTCTTTCTGTTCTACGATGTTCTTGCATATCTCTTCTCTCTCCCTGGCTTCACGACTCGGGACGCTCTGTCGTTCGCCTCCACATGCAAGGAATACCAAATCAAGCGGTACGGTGTGCAATTCGCGTATGAATGCACCGTCGCCCAGCCTTCCTCAATAGCTTTCCGATCATTCTGTACATCTCTGCTCATTAAACACAACCAACACCCGGAACTCGACGGTCTGCCTTCTTTGCGGAGGCTCGTGGTCCCGAGGTTGGCGAATGACGCAGAGCAAACCAACGGTGAAAAGAATGTCTATGACAAACTTTTGGCGGAATTTTTCACGGAGCTACGAAACAGGACGTCTTGCAATTTGCTTTCTCTTTCCATAACCAACGTCAATGATATCTGGGAACTGAGTGCCACGCATGTGGCCACTTTATCTTCGCTTAAGGAGATAGATTTCCGTCACGTTACGGTTTCGGAGCTTCAGCTCTTCTGCCAGGACTTCAAGCCGAAGAAAGAACTCAAGCTCACACTGGGTAATATGATGCCGAGCGACGGCGTCCCCCAGGTCTTGGCGATTATCAGACCTCTTGAAAATCTCACATCGCTTACTCTGATAGAAGTGGAATATCCAAGGGAAGATGCAATCGGTCCGGCTCATCAATTCGAATTGGTTCAGGAATTGACTCTGGAAAAGACGCAAGTATCCATAAGCTATATGGCCCGCGTCTTCCCGAATGTGCGCAAGCTCAGGTTACGCCTGGAAAACTTTTTTGACAGAGTATACAAAGCGACTGACTGTTGGGAGACATTGGAACACCTTGACATTGATATGTCTGCTTTCGACGTATGGGACATTTCAGGCTGCAACGTTCGTTGGCTAGAGTTGGAACTATTGCACGAGGAGAATGGAGAACCCATCGATCGCGAGTCATACGAAGTCGTGTTGTCTGCGGATATTTGGGATAAAATGTCACCTGTGGCATTGACAGTGCAGATGCCTATTTGCCCTGGCCTTCTGACGCTCGCCAAGACTCTTACCCGGTGCTTCGGTGGACCCGGTGGGCTCAAATGCCTCGAACTACTGCTGTGGCAGGACCTTCGCGTTAGGTCTGACCATTTGGCTGATGAACCGGATGACTCGTTGGACGATGAATCGGACGACTCGTTGGATGATGAATCGGACGACTCGTTGGATGATGACTTGGACGACTCGTCGGCGGTTGGTGTTGTCTCCCAGTTGATGCAAAGGATGGTGAGTCATACTTTCTCTCGCATCTTTCGCACCGCTGACTCCCTGAATTGCACCAGTGTGATGTTTGGGAGCCTCTCTCAGGCACTTCACTCGTGTACTTCCGCATCTACATCATCACAGCTCGCGAAGTCGATCGCAAGGAGCTGTTCCAGGCGCTCGTGGAGGAGGTGAGGCAGCATCTGCCGTCGGTGCGCTATGTGTCGTTGGGCGTCGGTCCCGGTTCGGAGACTCGGCCGTTCAAATTGAAGCTCGATCCTGCCGGAAATCCTCATTGGCGATTTGTGTGGTACCGGATTCCTGAAGACGGCTCAGGGCCAAAGGAGATGGGCTTAAACATTGGTGAGAATCTGCGGAAGCAAATGTTAACTCCAGGATATGACTTCGACAAGCTCTCAACGTATGTGTGATTTTGTTTCTCAAGTGCGTCCGGATGCTTATGGTGTTACGCTATGAACAGTTACTCGCCGACACGGAGCGCTCAACAAGTTCGGTTTCGCGGGCTGAACCCTGACTCGGATGATGACGATGCAGATTCAGATTCGGATGCATGAAATTGGTTGCGACGCGATGGTATAGTGACCGTACGTCGTCCGTGTGATAGATCTGTATTTTCTATGTGATCTGGTGTCATTCTTTTTTGCCGTTAACTAAGGTGCATATGTCGTATGCCTCGCGCATCTCGATGAGCTCCATTATGTCTTTGATAGTTCCCGACCAGCGAAATACCATAGACTTGACCACATCCTCTTATCTCCCTGAGTAGCTCAACACACTAGCAGTCTAGCAGTCGACGCCCACCCCACAGCTCGAGACTGCACTTTTTCGACTTCGCGGGCTGGCAGCCGGGAATTTCCTGCGGCTGTCGATGCAAGACATATATTTGCACACGGATAAGCCATCGAATGGGTTGAAGCAACGACTCGTTGGCCATTCCCAGTAGATGGGAAAGATGTGTTTCTCTTTGTCCGACCGCATCGCCGCCACTGACAGATGGTTGGTCCAGCGTCTCGTCGTTCACGAACCGAGTGCAGTGCCAGTACTGCTGGCGCTTTGAGCGCGATGCGGCCGTAGCTCAGTGCATGGAGGCTAGTACTCATTATTTGGACAGCATTTACATTCACTTTCCAGGCTTTCATAATCCCATGTGCTTTCTCCTTCAACATGGAACAGAAACAACTCCCGAAATATGGTGCCGTGGAGTGGGTCAACCAAGCGAGGTCTACTTGAAAGTTATGTATCCCAAGAACACAATATTGTCGTAAAATGGTAAGAGAACTGTGTACCTGTGTATACCTCTAATATTATTACATCGTTGAATATCTGTCGCGTTGATCCTGAGGTTGACCGGCAGCTGTCGTCGCCGATGAGCAAGTCAGGGTAAGTCTTCCTGTATAGGTATCTCACCTTCCCCTTTCGGTACGACCCTGTCTCCTGACGTCATACACGGCCAAAACTCTATGGCACCGAAACGGGGCCTGAGAGCGGAGTCCTCGCAACAGCCCGTGTTCGGCCCCGTTACAAAGATTTTCGTCTAATGCTGTGATAGTAATTTAAACAAATGCCTAAACAGCCTCGATAATCGTGATCGATACAGCGGCGCAAATAGACCATAAGAGCTCGAATGCGGCACCATTCCAGGGCTGGCAGTCAGACCCCCCATCCAGCTGTTCACTTCGGTGCGATTCTGCTGCTGGTTTCGGCCTGTTCTATGGCTTCTGTGAGCCTCGAGCTGGCTGTTCATTTTTTTATATTTTCTGAACCCGGGTACTGCAGGCTTCATAATATCCTCATATCCGTGAAATTAACAGCACGTAGTGTAAACAAAGCAGGACAGGAATATGCATAGTAAATAGTCCATGTGGAGATGAAAAAGTTATTATGGCGATGCCACCGACAACAATAAACGCGCGAGGAAGTGATGATTTCACCACATGAGATTGTCCTGGATTGCGACCTGCCAGTCAACAGTCACAACCTCCCCTTTCTCCGATGCACCCAAGCCACGAAATGCCCTCAGATCATTTTGGAATGTCGCAGTAAAGAAACTAAGTAGATCATGTTAGTTCGCAAAAGAGAGACTCGACATAGTCTCACCTTTTGAGCGCATCTTCCTGCTCTTCCCGGGTCCCACCATGGGCACCCGCATCATTGCAAATGGCCACGAGCAGGTTGTCAACATAGTTCCAAAAACCACTGGCTAGATATAGAGGTTCCTCGATAGGTCCGGGCTGAGAAGATGGACCAGGCACTTCAGACGTGCCACTGCTGAGCCCAGCGTCTGCATCGTGTCCTCCGTCTGCAGCCCGAGGCTCTTCTGAACCATTGCAGGAGTCGATATCGGCATTGGTAGCTGGTAAGGCTGGCTCCGAGTCGCCAGGGCTCTGCGTCGCAGTCTGCTTCTTAAGACGCAGCACTTTCTTCGGCATGCAGTCGAAGCTGATTGCCGCCGAACGCTGTAGAAAAATATAGTCAATAACAACGACAAAATGAATTGTATTCACCCTTACGAGGAAAGCCATGCGCGCCCAGAGCGCAAGTGAGATTTCCATAGTCGACAGTGCCAGCTTTCGTGCCATGTTGCCGACATTGTCTTCCCTTCCGATTGCCTTATTGATCTATTTCGTAACGATGATCCCGAGAGGCCGCTGCAACGCCAAACAGGGGTCGCATTGGCACTGGATCAATGCCTCACGACTATGGCTGAACCAGGGCCACTGCTGAAGCACCGAAACCAGACCGGAGGCACAGACCAAAACCGCCCTCTCACATCCAGGATTTCGCCCGCTCACCGGCCAGAAATGGCCTTTCAAATCACGGGCGATTCGGACGACTCACATCCAACCCTCTCTGAAGGCTGGTAAAAAATACTGAAATGGCACAATATTATGGGTGTATTTAGGGGACATTTATGCTATGACAAAGATTTTCGTCTAATGCCTTTATAGTGCCTGCCCGTTTTGGCCGTGTACCGCGAAGCTCGACTGCCCTCATTGACAACGGACCAATCAGAGGATGAGGAAAGTCCCGATCTGAACTTAGGATACTGTATAAAAGGTGGATGACCGTCTTTCAACGTCTTTCATCTCTCTTCCTCTCTTTTCTCTCCCACTATTTCCGACACTCTCAGTTGCAAATACCTACAGCTTGGCCCGGCTCGTCTGTCAATTATTTATTCAACATACCCAAACGATTTAGAAGTGTGCGTTTCTCCTCGTCATACCCTTTACTACGGCAAGTGATCATTCTGCCGACATCGACTGGGACAGTCGATGTTGGTACCCACTAGACAATATTGCGGACAGAGTGCCAGATACAACAATTCTCGGAACGACAAATACAAGTACATTTGCCTGCTGACTTCAGAGCTCAACCACTTCTCAACCGCGCCCCCTACTGGACGAGCTTCTGCAGATCTATCGGCGAGCCATTGCTCGTGAGCGAGGCTTGAATAACCGCAACATCCGCAAGTGCGCCGCGCGCATCGCCCTTCCCGTCGTCCTCACCTGTGACTGCTTTGAGGAAGCGTGCGAGCTCTTGGGGGACACCATCAACGGGCTTGTCGATAATCTCCTCCGCCTCGCCCGTCTCCTTGCCGTTGGCGTCTTTCTGTACCGTCCTCAGCGTGATACGAAAGCGGCCGACGGACGACCCGCCATCGATGACCTGCACCTGGTTTACCGTGAGGTATCCGTCCGTGCCTGTTATCGTGATCCCGTTCCCGGCGGTCTGGGAGCGTGAAGGCAATGGCGCGGCGAAGGTCATCTCGATGATGCCGTGCGAGCCGTCCGCGCTCTGGACGACGGAATTGATCGTGTCGTGCGGCGCGAGCCATTTTTTGTTCAGGGATGCAAATCCTGAAAGCGTCTTCAGTGGGCTCGGGAGCAGTACGCGCAGCGCAGCGATGGTGTGCTGGACCGAAACTTGAGTGACTGTGAGTATGTTTTAGCAGGTTAATACTCACCACACCACCGTCCAACTGAGCGGGATTCGTTGTCATCAGTTCACTGTATTAAAAAGGCATCGAGGTCACTCACAAGGAAACCTCCCTGGTACTGTTCACGTATATAGTTATGTGAGTGTCTGTGGTTAGAAGTTCAGCTGGATGGCTTACATCCGGAACAGTCCGCCAAGGCGTGTTGTACCACTTGGATGTCTGGTCGATGTAGTTGACTACGCGGGCATTAAAGAAGGTAACCTTGCCAATCTTGCCCTCCTTGATCAGCTGCGCAGCAGTCTGATATCCAGTTTCCACCTCGAAGTTCTCTGCAACACGCCAGACGAGACCCTTAGGCTTGTATGTTGTTTCGTACTCCTTTATCAGCGCAAGTCCGCGCACTACGTCTGCGGCGACGGGTTTCTCGCTGAGCACATGTTTACCCGCGGCGAGGGCCCTCAGGATGATGCTCGGCTGGGTGGTGATGGGGAGGACGACGATCACAGCGGTGATGTCGGAGCGCCCCAGGAGTGCGTCGAGATTCGCGTTGGGCTGATCGTCAGAATAAACGGCTGGGGATGCTGCAAGCTTCAGTGCAGACTGTGCTTCGGAGGCCAGCCCAGCGGCACTCTTCTGGGAGCGGGAGTAGACAGCCTTGAGCTCTACCGCAGAGCTGCCTACCTTAGCGATAGCGGGCAGATGCGCTAGGGAAAGAGGTTGGTCAGTATCGGGAGTCTTCTGACGCACATTGTGCACGTACCTTCCTTGGCGAAGATACCAGACCCAAGAATTGCAATTCCTGTGGGGGCCATGACGATGGTGAGTGGGCAGAGGAAAAATTGACGGCGAACACTCAACGATTTATGGGCTGGAGTATCAGGCATGACCAGGATCATGATAAAGTCCCAACTCGCCATCTGCGGCTTCGCTGGTGACTGCCCGTTCATTCGGACAAATCTCGGTGAAGAGTAGTTGTTGACGCCCGGCATGCCGGGACGGACGGCACCTCGGGCCTTTGCCCGTAGAAAGCGACCTGCTCGAGCTGGTGCACTTGTCCAGGAAGCCATCCATATTGTTGTGGCTTTTCGACAGTATGTGCTCAAGGCCCCACATTACTCCATTCTCTGTTCTGGTGAGCATCTGTTTCATTGCCAGAAAACCAATCGTCGCGTCGTTTTCAACGGAGTAACTTTCAGCAGATACTGTATGTTTAGACCGGTCAGCAAGCATGCAGTGCCTTCTAGCAGTTTGTCCGAATCTCCGGGAGGTCGCGAACGATACGCCCTTGGCCCGATGACCACCAACTCTCTTGGTGTCAGCACGTCCCGGTATATTTTAGAACGGTATCGACTGTGCTGGGTTCTTGGTGCTGACACCCTTTGGTGAGGCTGCCATTTTGGCCGTCTCTCCTCACTCGTCCTTTCCGACGGAGCCCACACTGACGTTCCCCACGCTCCTTCACTCCTTTCACTCCCGAACCCCGCGCTCCGTGGCGGACTAACTTCGGCTCTCTCGTGTTGGATTTGCCGTCAAGAGAGATGATATCGGCCTGGGACGGTTTAAGAGAGTCTGCGCTGGCACTTGTGGCCTTGAATCTCTCGTCTTCCTTCACTGAAACATGATTGCACCAACCGCTCCTGCATACAAGCTTCCGAAGGAGTTTCTTTGGGGCTTCGCTACTGGTGAGTATAGACGCGCCCGTCGCGCTGTTCCAGGTTCCTCGCCATCTTGACCGACCGTTCGTTCCCAGCGAGCTTCCAGGTCGAGGGTTCCCTCGACGTCGACGGTCGCGGGAAGTCCGTATGGGACGAGTTCTCGCGCCAGCCGGGCAAGACCCTGGACGGGCGGGACGGTGACGTTGCGACGGACTCGTATAAACTTTGGAAGGAAGACCTCGACCTACTTGTGTCGTACGGTGTCACGTCGTACCGCTTTTCGATAGCGTGGTCTCGCATCATACCACTTGGCGGGCGGAACGATCCCGTCAACGAGCAGGGAATTCAGTTCTACTCAAATCTTATCGACGCCTTACTCGCGCGAGGTATTGTACCGTTCGTGGTGAGTGTTGTCGGATGCATCATCACCGAACGTTCCCCTGATTCATGTTTCTAGACAATATACCACTGGGATCTTCCTCAAGCTCTGCACGACAGGTACGGCGGCTGGCTGAACAAGGAGGAGATTGTGAAGGACTACGTAAACTACTCCCGAGTGAGTGTGATCGCAACCATTGTCCCGCGCTCTGTCACCGAGCACACACATTTTGCCTAGATTTGTTTTGAGCGCTTCGGTGATCGCGTGAAGTATTGGTAAATCCTATTGTTCGTGGGTCTGCGCTGTATCTATCTCACGCTCTGGTCAGGCTGACGATGAATGAGCCGTGGTGCATCTCAGTCCTCGCGTACGGACGCGGTGTCTTCGCTCCCGGACGGTCGAGTGACCGAATGCGCTCCCCTGAGGGCGACTCGTCGACGGAGCCGTGGATGTGCGTAACCTCCTGGACTGCATATTGACAGGTGCTGATGGTTTATTGGTTTAGCGTCGGACATAGTGTCATCTTGTCGCATGCGTATGCTGCCAAATTGTACCGCGAGGAATTCAAGCCGCACCAGGGCGGGCAGATCGGTATCACGCTCAACGGCGACTGGTCCATTCCGTACGATGACAGCCCGCAGAGTGAGCAGTTGCACGGATTGCACCATGGCAGTGAGTGAACTCACATTTTGATTTTCTTCTCTCCACAGACATTGAAGCAGCGCAGCATGCGCTCGATGTTGCAATAGGTGCGTGGCAGTCCGGCGTCCCACCTCTTTCCATTCGTCTGACGCGTTTATCTCTGCAACGGCCCGCTGACTTTGAGCCTTCATTCGTCCCATTCCAGGTTGGTTCGCTGTGAGTGTCCTTTCAGTTCAGTCGCGCACAAGCACCACCAGCGCGCGCGATATTGTTCCGCGCTGGCTTGTCAAGTGACTCCCGGCATCTAAACATCATAATTTTGACCATGCTGATAGATTTTCTGCCCTGTGTAGGACCCCATATACCTCGGGCATTATCCGGAATATCTGCGCACGATGCTGGGAGATCGCTTGCCGGTCTTCACCGCAGACGAACTGGCAGTCGTAAAGGGGTCGTCGGATTTTTATGGGATGAACACCTATACGACGAATTTGTGCAGTGAGTCGCGGTGCTGCTGGTGCTCGTATTTATGAATACTATTTTTTTGAACGGTAGAGGCCGGTGGGGACGATGAATTCCAGGGAAAGGTGGAATATACATTCACCAGGCCTGACGGAACGCAGCTCGGTACCCAGGGTAGGTCTATTCGGATTTGAACTCGTGTAGAGTATTGAAATTAGCATGCAGCCCACTGTGCTTGGCTCCAGGATTGTGAGTGTCACCTTATAATGATGTGGTGAGATTGGTCTCATCGACTGCTCTGAAGATCCTGAAGGATTCCGTGACCTTCTGAACTACCTCTGGAAGGTCAGTTATATGCCTTCAACAAATCTTTTTGGGCTAAATGAACTTCCGTGCAGCGGTACCGCAAACCAATTTAGTCAGTGGATCCGTGTAACCTGAAGTTCGCATGCTCATGTCACCGCAGCGTCACAGAAAACGGCTTCGCCGTCAAGGACGAGAACAACAAGCCGGTCGAGGAGGCGCTGTCCGATGCCGACCGCGTGCAGTATTTCCGCGGAACGACCACGGCTCTACTAGCTGCTGTGGCGGAAGATGGCGTGGATATTCGGGCATACTTCGGGTGGAGTGAGCATTCCTGTATGGCTTACCTTGCATTCATACTAACGGTCGATTCGTAGGTTTGCTTGACAACTTTGAATGGTAAGCTCAACCGTATTCGTTGTGTGAGCCTGGCTAATGTGCGCTGCAGGGCGGACGGCTACGTTACGCGGTTTGGAGTGACATACGTTGACTATGAGACGCAGAAGCGGTATCCGAAGGCTTCTGCAAAATTTATCTGTCAGGTGCGTGCATGGTCCTCCTGGTCTTCAGAATGCTGATGTGTTGCTTGTAGTGGTTTAAGGAGTATGTAGAGAAGGACGAGCTACCGATGGACGACGGCACATCACGCGTGGAACCCGAGAGGATTGGGGCCGGGGACGCACTTCTCGTGAGCGCTGTCGTGGCCTGATGTGGCTGTGAGTAAGTGTACTCAGACAGTGCGCAGGGTGGGTCGCCGAAGACGAAGAAGTCTCCGTTCGCGCGGTTGACAGCTCGGGTGTCCGCATTGCTGGGGGTGTGAATATGTCTGTCGCGCGGGGCGGCGTGGTTGGTGGAGATTGTCGGCGAATGATATCTGTCCTCTATGTTGTGTATTTTGGATGCGTGTACTTGTACCATGACGTTATTGCACTGTCTCTTTTTATGTGTGTTCTGTGTGTTCGGGGAGCACTAATTCGCGTAGGAGTGCCTGGGGGCAGGATGTACCCCGGATGTGCTTACGGAAGCATGGAGGTTGTCGGGGACGCCGAGCACGCCCGACTTGCGAGGGGATACCATGTCCACATATTCTGCGGATCCGGGCCACGCCGATGCTCCTGCTAGGCCTGATTCCACCGACGCGCCCGTTCAGCACGCCGACATCTCCTCCGCCGTCGACCACGACTCTAACGACGGCCCAGGCAAGAAGAAGAAGGGCCCTAAGCGTCGGAAGGTCAACCATGCCTGCCTCTACTGCCGCCGCAGCCATATGACCTGCGACGAAGGACGGCCCTGTCAGCGCTGGTGCGTCCCTATCTCTTCGCGGTGATGTTCATGCACTCATCTCTCTCGCCTTCAACTTGAATTCGGGCGTGGACTTGCAGTATCAAACGCGAGATCGGTCATCTGTGTCACGACGAGAAGAGACAGTCAGCGTCGACCAAGGAGAAGTCGACCCCCGCGACGGAACACACCATTCCAAACCCACCGGTGGATGTCGCGCGGGCAGCACCCGCAGGTACGCCAATGTCGCTCGCTGTCACGATGCTCATGCTGAGCGAGTTACCGCGCGCGCAGAGACACCACAATTCAGCTCACCCTCGATGTCCGCGAGCATGAACTCATGGCCCGGCATGGGCCTCAGCCTTGCCCAGAACGCCTTCCTATACCAACCCGAAAACGAATTCTCCGTGCTCTCGTGCGTCTTCGTCCCCTCTCGTGCGCTGCTCCTAACTGGCAGGCCCCAGAGACTTCCTCGAGTCGCTCGACGACGGCTCCTTCTTTAGCCAGCCGACCGGCGCCGGCTCCTCATTCATGTCGCCGCCCCCCTACACCAACTCGGTCCCACTCTCCGTCGACAATGCATACCTCGCGAACCCGCAGGAGCCCGCTGCGCCCGAGAAACCACCTGAAGAACCCGCGCCGATCGTTCTTCCCGCGGCGACAAAGACGGAAAAGTTCTTCCTCACGGCGGCGGACCAGGCGTCGGGGTCCCGCAATGAGCGCCTCAATATGGTCATTCGCAGCAAGTACGAGGCCGGCCTTCTTAAGCCGTACAACTATGTCAAGGGATACGCCCGGCTGTCCCGCTGGATGGACCGAAAGTGCGCCCCCCCAATGAAAGACCGTGTCGGTTGAGCTAACTGTACGCGCAGCGTGTCTCTCGAGTCGAAACAGAAGATTCTGCAGCCGTTGTCGGTCCTGCGGCCAAAGTTCAGGGTATGCCTTAGTCTCGGATTGCTTCCTTCGGTGTACTAATCGGTTCTGCAGGCCATCGCACAATCCGAGTCATTAACGGATATCGTGCGCCTATTTGTTTCTTGGCTATTTGTGCTGCTCACGAATTTCCCGCAGGATCTTGTCTTCATCGAGGAAGCCTTCGAGCGATTACTGCTCGACTACGACCGTGTGTTTTCTGCTATGGCCATCCCCGCGTGCCTATGGCGACGTACGGGCGAGATCTACAAGGCGAACCGCGAGTTCGCCGAGCTAGTGGGCGTTGATGGGTACATGCTGCGAGACGTGCGTCACAGCCCACTTTGTCGTCTCGAATGCTGAAGGTGTACCAGGGTCGGACGTGCATATACGAGCTCATGGCGGAGGACTCCGCAGTGAACTACTGGGAGGTATGTGCTCCGCACAATCTCCGCTTGCTGCTATTGATTTATTGGTCTTGCGCCAACGCAGAAGTATGGAAATGTGGCGTTCGACTCGAACCAGAAGGCGGTGCTGACGTCTTGTGTGCTACGATACAAGCCCCTACTACCCTCCTCGTCGGCGTCGTCGACGCCCGCGCGGGGGAAGGAGCGGGCGGGTGCGCCGAGTGAGGAGGGCTTCATCAGCTGTTGCTTTTCGTTTACGATACGCCGGGACCCGTATGGGATCCCGACGCTGATTGTGGGTAATTTCATCAAGTGTTGACTGGCATGCTTGTGTGATTATACGTGGCTGCCGTCCTGCGAGGGAGCGTTGGAGAGATTGAGCGGAGTGAGTACCTGATGTGTCTCAGTGTTGTACAGGATCCGTCAATATTTCGAATCCAACCCATTCGCAGTTGACGACTGAGGAAGCGAACAGGTCCGAAGTCTGGCCGTAAAGAAGCATTAGCAGACAATTTCACAGTTGGCACAAGGCTTAACTTGGAAGTTCATACAATCCCTCCCCAGCTCCTTGGACATTCCTGGGGCTTTGTCTGGCATATCGTAAGAGTGCCTCCAGCTCTCAACCGGGTAACAAAATTCAGCACAGCTAACCGGGAATCGCCTTCAGTGGGTGCATCGTTAACTACATCCGAAGTATCACAGCATACCGTGGCCGACTGTTTCGGAGGTGAGCCAATTAGCTGGAGTTCTAACTGTATAACCGCATACACCCACATAACATCTGCTAAGTGGCGTGTGCTGCTTCCGGGCCCATTGAAGACGCCTTCCGGCTTTGCGTCGCTCATCAAAAGGTGGCTCGCGCTGCACGACGCTCTAGATTCCTTGGTCCAGCGCAGATGGCTTGCACGGCATTATCGAATGACTTCGGCCACGCGCCAGCGTCCTCGAGTTCCGAGATGCCAGGAATGGCATCGCAAGCACGGTATCACGAGGGAGGATTGCGTAGAAGGAGGTCAATCGCAAAACGGGGGGCGAAGGGAAGATCACTGACAAATGCGATGATGTGCACCTAGCAGCACATCCTCAACCTTAGGGCGATCGCGGGCAAGCCTGGGTACGGCATGGTTAATGCGCGTGCAGCGATACGAAGGTTATATGTGATCAATGCATGCAGCCAAGCAGAACTTTGTAATGACTTTGTTGTGATCGTTGTAATTGGGAAGGACTAGACTCTTGTCGGAGAGAAAAAAGCGGGAGAGAAAGGTGGGGGGCGGTGGAAAGTGAATGAGCATTCTTTTATATGAATGCTCGCCTTACTCTTACATCGGGATTTTTCTCGACCTCTGATTGGTGCGTCACCAGTAGAGTTGTGCAATGATGTCAGGAGGAGAGTAGGCGATGACGTCAGTGTCGTACTGAAAGAGGAAGGGGAAGTATCAGGAAAGGAAAGATGTGAGAGTTGAAGTTGGGTTTTCCTGATGACGTCCAATTTTTCCGCCCTCACCTTTGGCAGCGAGGTGATATCGACCGTGGTGTCTGAACTAGTCTCGAACCGTATGAGAGGCCTCTGAGAGGTCCCCTGGCCATGGGAAATGTTGAGTTTGAATATTGACGTCGGCGCAACAGCAGCTTGCCCTCACATGATTTGCACATAATCATGACGCGAGCTTCTGCTCGGGTGAACGCTGAGCTCCCTCTGTGCAGTAGGAAAATATATGCATTGCACAACAGTTCAGCCGGCGAAAAGTGCTGAAAAAATTGCCACTCATTTCTTGGAAGCTATGCTAAAATTTTTATATGTGTCGTATGTCACATTGCCTCCTTCACATCTCAAGTTTTGTACGCATTTTGGCCGCGCCGTCGGCATGGTCAATCTCCGCCGTTCCCACGGGGGACCTCTCAGAAGATACTTCTTCCGAGGAATTTACCGCCTGCTGGCGCGGCTGACCTAAGCGGTCGCCCGATATGGCAACTCCGGCCGATCGCCCCTCGATCTCCGGCCCCGGCCGCGCCTGCCAGGGTCCTCCGCCGCTACTTACTGAGGCCTCCGCTCGACGTCCCCGCTGTGTCTGCCGCGTCATCTTCGTGTCGGGTTTGCACCTCAGCATGACACCGCGACTCGACTTGTGCCATGTACAATACGAATTTCATCTACTGTACTGACTAAGGAGCACATACCATAAACTAATAGAGCACTGTAAAGGTAATGAACTAGGATCATGAAAGCACAAGAAGGTCAGTGGACTAAGAAGCTCGGGTTGGCATGAGCTGAGCCGGGACTAGAGTAGCAGCAACAACAAGAAATAAGGAAGAAAGAATGTGGATGCAATATGCCTCTTGAGAGAAAGCACCACAGCTGCTCACTGAAGCTGGAGTTGCCAACGGGTGGACGGACTACCGTTCTTGCTGTTGCGCTCGCGCGCATCACCCCCTCTTAATGCACGCACGGTTTACCATGGTGAGGAGTGCTGTATGTCCTTTGGCGGCTTCCGGATATGCATTGAGGAATGCAGCATCATCGCGTCTGTACCTGCTTCCGCAGGACCAAGTCAGCACACCGGACAGTACTAGTAGTAAGTAATGACGAGGACTCCGTGCTCACTTGACCAGGTACTCCTCCGCAATTACCCTTCGCTGGTGGTATTTCGCGGCAAACCTGCTCTTGTTTTCACCCATCAACCAGTCCTTTGGCCAGTTCCGCAGCACGAGAGTGCCTCTATTCGGAATGCCGGTCTCCCAAAGCTCGACAATGTCGCACCAAGACTCTGATTTGACGTGCTGGCCGGCGCGAGGTATCGGAACGTTGAGGACACAGACATCGTGAGGTGGCATGGAGTACTCAGGTGCCTGTGGCTGTGGTGAAGCGGCTGGGGCAGCCATCAACGGTGGCATGAACCTCGCAGGGTCTTGCATATAAGATGATGTTGGACTGGCCTCGATCTGGGGACCTCGTGCACTGAATGTCATCACTGCCATGGAGGGAGATACTGGGACAGCGATCAGCATCAGCCGTCGAGTAGCTGGCCGTACCCACTGCGTGACAGAGGGTGAGAGCCCGCATACTGCATTGATGTTGATAGCTGAGCCTTATCAAATGCGTGTAGCTACCTTTGGAAGATGTACCACAATGACCGATGGGTGTTTGCCTGTTGCCGTGAGAGGAAGTTGGACACGACATTGCTCATGACGCTTGTCAGGTCTTCTCGTATGGACAGCAAACTATTCCGGAAGTTGCTCTCTGACACACTGGAGGCAGCGGCACCAAGGATATCAAAATCAGCCAGCTCTGAGGGGGGCTGCAGTGCATCAGCATGGCTCTCTTCATACATATAAAGTTCATCGAGCAAGTATCTGATCAATGTGTCCCACTGCGGTAATGTAACTAAGAAAAATGCAGCATCACAGTGTGGCAGAAAGACTCACATGCTCACCCTTTGCCCAGCCACCCCATCGCACCCTCGCCAAGGTCCATCTGTCGCTCGGTGGAGCAAACATGAATCGGTACTGAGCACCGCCTCTTCAGAAGCAGTGCATGGTAAATTCTCCATGAACGAGCTCGGTGATGCCAGCCTCCTTCGTGAACTCACCGAGCCACAGCTGAACCACATTATGCGAGATGGGAAGATGGGGCTGGATAATGCCATTTGCCCCGATCATCGGGAACAGATAGTCTTCATCCGTTAGAGGCCTTCCATAGTGTGCCATCTCGAGATATTCAATCCATACCGGGAGGTAGTGGTAGACGTTTGCAGATGGAAGTGATGGCTGGTCATAGATGTGGTATGTGTTTCCTTGGATACAGTGAATCTGAATAGCCTTGCAGTAATCAGATCGACAACGCTCACCCTCAAGATCATGCTCTACCGCCCCATTTCTGTCTTTCTGATTCTTCCTCTGCCAGCCCTTTCGGTCGACAAGTTCCAACTTGAAGAATGGTTTGGCGCCCCACGGACCTTGTGCATTGGGAATATAATGCTTGCGCTTCAATGCAGCTGTCTCAAAGTTCCTGGTTGGTTGAGCAGATAGTAAGTACCTGGTATGGCTGAACACGACTCATACTTACCTTGACCAAAGTGTCCAACCCGTGGCCGCAAATGCCCTGAACAGTAAATGTTTGCTGGTGAAGGTGCGGCTCTGCACGTCCTTCAGTGCCGTCTTCATGCTCATCTCTTGACAGATTCTCTCGGACCACTCCATCACTTGCTCGAGATACTCATATCTCATCGTGACCGAGTGCGTGCATTCTCCGCCATCTGCCGCACACTTGTTATTCACCGAGGTGAGTATATCTCTCACCTCAGCACATGTCGCCGGGTTACCAACCCAGTGCGGCATGCCTTCATTATAGCGCCAGGGTCCGCGATAAATATCTCCATCTCTGTTGCAGAATGACTTAAGGTCAGTATTTCTCGCAAAACCCAGAGGTGGATTACTTGCAGCTCTTCCCAGTACTTCTTTATAGTGGCGTGTGCACTCGCAGTGGTTGATGAGCTGTGACCTTCTTCGAAGCACTTGAACGTGATGTACAAAGCTAAAGCTTCTCCCGAACACTTCTTTGGTCGGCCACTGAATGCAGGCCTATGTGTCATATTGATATATCATAGAGTGAGAAGTGCAACACATATCTGATACATCAGTAGTTGTCACTACAACTCACCGGCGTTGATATATCATGCCTGTGCACATGACAAATCAAATCCTCGATCCTCTTTTGGATGACCTGGTCTTCCGGGGGAATCTTACTGGAGATCCAATCTGACAGATGGCGCATCATCAATCTGACAGATGGTGCATCACCAATCTCAGATGTGCATTGTCATCCCGCCTCTTTCCATACTCGGCCATGCCTTCTGGTGGTCAGGTAGGTAGGTCGACATTCCAGTATCTGCCCCGGCTTTGCATGCTGGCTTTGCTTAGGACTACATTGAATTCTTTTTTATTAGTTGTAGTTGTTTAGTTCTTTTGCAGTCATCCTTACCAAAGTTCAGTAAGCATCATTGACTGTGTAATGTTGTGCTCTGTAGTTGCGCTCTGTAGTTGTGCTCTGTAGTTCACATAGTTTGTAATTGAGTTAGCATTACAAAGCACGATATACGAGCTCGCGCTAGCTGTCAGTTTTGATATATCAGACAGGGTGCCGTGCCGTGCCAAGTGCTGCTGTCCTGTTGAGCCTATCAGTGGCTGATAGATCAAACCTCTAAGAAATGTGCTAAGTACAATTGTCGAAGCACTCCATTCAAATCATGCTTAAAATCACACAAGTTTCACAATGAGTGAGATCTGGTAAACATATATTATTATAGTAGGGTTTCTACCTACTGTACTACCAAGAATGTAACATCACGATGAACGCCTGCGGAATGCAAACCTAGCACACAAAATTGCATAGAAAAGAAGATGTTCGAATGTCGCTGAGACATTGTACCTTTTTACTCCTCCCTACTCATGCCATGCACCTACTTTTTCTTCTTCAATGGTGGCCCACTGAGACCTGCATCAGTATCACAGACAACTGGTCAATGACTAAACTTACCCGTACTGCCCTTCTGCAACCCGCTTCCCTCTGTGTGAGATCGGTGGCTTGGAAGGCTGATTCTCTGGTCCTGCAGCGACGATAGGTTGCTGTTTCCCACCGCATGACCAATGAGCATCGGCCTGCTTGGGTGCGACACGGATTCATGCAGGCCGGCCTGATTTCGCAGCGAGTGCCCCATCCTCCCTACCGGCATTCACTGTTTCTGTAGCTGCCAGAATCACGGGCACAGCATGCCTCTGACCTTGATGATGCTTGCATGCTGGACCTGTATCCACATTCGCACTTGCCACCGTGATTGAGGGTGGGGCAATATCCGCAGATTCGACAGTGCTGTTCAGCTCCTGATGGGATGGCAGAGATGAAGGATGTGCAGATGATACAAGGAGTGGAGGGGTAGTGGCTGATGTGACTGCAGGTGTTGCTGAACGAGATGAAGAGCGGGTGGCCGGAAATGAGCGAGAAAGGGACTCGGCTGGAGATACCGATGAAGCAGCTTCAGTTGGAGATGACGAGGACTGGGCTGCGAATGAAGGGGAAGAGCTCGCGCCCGATGATACTACTTCAGGGTGAGCGACATCCGATGTTGCACTGTAACTGCCACTTGGACCGGAGAGTGCATATGCGAGTTTCTGGGATCCCAAGCCTGTCATTTGACTGACAGAACCCATTCGATCCAGCACCGTGCCAAGCATGGCACTGTCGAGAGACATGGGCTGAAGGTTCGGCTCCAACTTGAATGCCGGCTCTGGGGGATCAAACTGCCATACTCCTGGGTTTGGCACCCATGCCAGTGCAGTATTTGCAGATGCAGAGAGCTGATCTCGGGAAGACGATGGGATGGAGGAAGCGTGAGCAGGGGACGATTGCACAGAGGGCTGAGAAGCTGATAAGGACAGGTGAGTATAGCTGATGGTCGTGAGAGTACGCATAGCCTCGGATGATGTAGATAGTTTTGCTGTAATGCCAGATTCTGTCGTAGTGACAGGTGTGTGAGCTACATTCTCCATGGTGCCTGACAAGCTTGATGCCTCCACACAAGGGATACGGTCCTCAGTGTCGGAATTATCTTCTATCTGGTATCGGATGTCATCGAGAGTAATTGGCGTCACCTCTCGGGATGTCTTTGATGAGCCTGGAGTGAGCGATGTCACGAGTGCTCACTTCTGACGGACAGCCATAGCTGATACATTGGTTAGTTGAGGCCGAACGTCAGAGCACATACAAGACTCACGAAATGCTATGGTAAGGAACTGCCCGAACGGCTCTATGAAATGGGCTTCAAATTCTGGTACAGTATTACTGAATTTGACATCATTGGAACCTTCCGCCGAGTGAAATCTGACACTCCATCAGCAAAGCTTTCGAGAATGAAGACAAAGGTAGACTTACACCATTGACCACAGATTCCCGCCATCTTCTGGGCTAGGTCCTCCTCCAAAAACCGAAAATCACCAACCAGTGGCCTTCACCATCGCACCCAAGAACTGATCGAACGTGGCTGGCATGTTGTACAACATCCTGTATATTTACATGAGGTGTGGAGCTTGGGGAGTGTCTGTAATAGCACATACCTCTGATATTCAGCCGGAGAGAACTCTCCATGGGCATGCACCTCCTCAGTCTGTGCTTTCTCAGCCTCGTGCTGAGCCTTCATCCACTTCACCTCTGCTGCAATCTCAGCGTGGACTTCCGGTGTCTCTGCTTCATACCGCTTCTGTGTGAGATGCCTGACGACTGTCACGACTTTGCCGTTTTTGATGTCCTTCTCCTTGATCTCCGCATCGATGTCCACCTTGACCTTCTCCTTGTAATATAGGTGTGAGTATACTTCAACGGCCTGTGGAAGATGCTTGACATGGTCGGCATCCTTTGGAATGAAGTCCTTGAGGATTACAGACTTGTCGGCAGAGTGCCCTTTGGGCTTGCGGTTATTGTACCAGTTGTTTAGTTGCTGTATCCCCATCAGATTTGTTCCAGCTATGCATAAAACATAATGCACCCTTTGTCGCAGAGAGATGGCCTCCGTTAGCTCCACCTCCTGCTCCGGTGTCAGCTGCGCCATCAGTTCAATGTCCAGAAACAGATGGGTGCACTCCGGATACCGAGCATCCCATTCAGTGTATAACGTTCTAAAGAAGGACTGCACCTTCTTGCGTTTCTGATGGTCAAGAAAGCGTGGCAGTCGCTCTGTCAGCCAGTCCAGTTCTTCATTGTTGGCCCATGTCGGTGAAGCCATCAAGAAGCAGACATCAAGAGATAAATCGACAAAGATGAGGAATGGGGGAAGGACATACCAATATGCATGTGTGTGGTGAGGTTGTGTACATGCAAGGTTAATTGACAGTTGCCAGCATGCATTTGATGCACGACCGGGAGATAAAATGCTGAATCTAAAGGTAAAGTGACATACCTGAGAGTCACTCTAAAGTGTTTGACAGAGCGCCAGGCCTAGGGAGCGCCCTAGTTGACTGACATAATTGTCCACGTGCACTAGCACTTTGACATGTCCCCAGAATTTCTTACTCTGCTAACCGAGCACGCCCGTCTTGGGAGTTATTTAATGGCATTCAACTCGTCAATCTCAACAGTTCTGCACTCACCTCTGTCATCTGTCATCTGTCATCTGTCTTACCTTCTGCCTCTATTTATCGTCATGCTTGTCCCACCGCAATTGTCTCCGGAAATCCCGGGCTGTTCGCTGGCTTTCGGAGATGCGTACGATTGGACATCGATAAGAGTTGCTCTTGAAGCGACCCTTGCTTGGGTTATTGCCTATGAATCTGGTATGTATCTTGACCTCTCAACACTTAGCTATGCTAACCTGTCAACAGGCAACTTCTGCCAGTGCAGACAGCCCAGGCGTGGTGAGCTGAAGTCCCATTGCTGAGTATGCAGGATCACTGACCTGCTGATAGGCGAGGGGGAGTTGGTCACCGAGCTCATGATGGTGTTCAGGAACGGCAGGGTAAACGAGTCTGTTGATGATGATGGCGAGTTTGATGTCGTGGACTCTGAGGATGAGGGGGTTGATGTAGTTACTGCTGCTCCTGCCATCTTCACTCTTCCCACTGTCACTGCTGCACCCACTGTCACCGCTGCACCCACCGTCGTTCCTCCTCCCACTGTCACTGCTCCTCCTGCTGTCGTCCCTCCTCCTGCTGTCACCACACTGGCGACTGCTGCACCCTTGAATACTGTCAAACCAAAAATGAGCATATGATCACTCAGCTAAGTAGGTAATCATATTGTTATATTGCACTCAGCTCACACGACGCATAGGGGCCGCAACACGAGGAGCGAACAAAATCGACGACAATACATTGTGCGTGAGGAATACTACCTGACGCCATTCACGAAACCACTCCCCAACGTGCCGTGTATCTTTATTAAATATGCGCACCGAGACTTTTCGCTATGTTTTCAATCAGTTGTCGCGGAAAGTCCGAATCTCGGGCTGTGGACACACCCATACACCTTCAAGGCACCCAACAATATGTGGTCCTTGAGAGTACTGCGCGGCATGGTGAAGCAGATCCACACATTTCAGTGGAATGAGTTGGTGAGGCAGGGACAGGAGCGGTACTACGAGAGCTGGAGGGATGACACCAGATGGGATGCCAGTGCTGCAGGCGCATGAGAAGAGCTCTGCACGCGCATGGCAGCATGGTGAAGTGCAAGTGAAAATGTCCGAGGGAACGTATTGGGGGATATATACTTGGAGTGGGGAGTGAAGATAATCTGCTGCCTAAGCAAGGAGTTAGATGTCAGGTGTAAAGGAGTTTCTGCATATGACAAGGAACATCACGATGGAAAATTTCCATTCCAGCGTATGAACATGCGGTAGACTATGTACATTCCAAATACATTCCAATAAGTCTGTACTCACCGATAATAACGGAACAATGCGCGGGGTAGCAAAGGTGCCTGCTATGCCACCACAACGCTGAATTGAGTTGTGAGTACTTATTATCATTGCTGTTATGCAGTATAAGGCGACTGGTTGTGGGGTTTTAAGTACAATGAACTGCTACCTACAAGCTTACTCACCGGAACTTTCATTGATAATCTGCGGAGATTTGAAGTGCTTGTGAAACAAAGCTTCGGACGAGATTTCAGTAGGATCGTTATCCGCTCGCTCATTGGCTGGGAGCACGTGAGGAAAACAGCACATGACCCAGCGGAGTTCAAACCTTGCCTCAGGTACTATATCAACGTGTCCTCCCTCGTTTCAACTCTTTCTTCACGACCACCTTGACCGGGGTCGCTGTGGCTCAGTACCCATTGTTGGGGCTGCCTGGATCCGCGATGTGTAGACTGACACTCCCTTGGGGGCCCACTTGGCTGCTGAACTGAGGGCTGCTTAGGCACTCTCCCCCCTTTGGAGGTATCTTGTGACTGCACTGCTCGCGATTGAAGGGTGGGTACAACCTGGCTGGGGAAGTGCTGTGGATGTTGTCTTCTTTTTTTCTTCTCATTCAGTTGTCTTCTTTTCTTGTCATTTGGTTGTCTTGTCATCATGAGTGACTTCTCTTTTTTATTGCTGCCATGGCTGATGAACTTCGTGCTGTCAGGGTAGCGTTAGGTTCCCCAGTTCTCATCGGTGTGGGTCATGGGTGTTCAGCGTTGGGGTCGCTATCTAAGAGGGTGCTAGGGTCCATGGGCATCTTGGATGAGTAGTCGTCATCCTCGGTGATGTGGTGGCTGGTTGTGCTAACATGTTTGTTCTAGCACAGGTCTCGCCATTGATGTTGTCCCAGGATTGTCGATGCGTGGTCTGTCAGGTATGTTTGTTCGCTTGTCTAGTAAGTCTCCTCATATGTTTGTACATTGCGTATGTTACTGATGACTTTCTCCGTAGAGTTTATTTTCCATTGTAGGTGATTTGGGTAGGCTGCCGCTGTTCTGCATAATGTGATGGCAGCAGTTGTGGATGCTAACTTGTTTGTTCTAGCACAGGTCCATCATACGCAGTGCACGGGGACTGGTGATGCATTGACTAAGGTGAAATTGATTCGTTCGTCAATGTCATGTTTATGTTACTGATAGTTTCCTTCTGGGAGTTAACCTTATAGGTTACCATGTGCTGTGAACAGTGGTAGTGGCTCCGCTGTTGTAGTGGAGTAGGTAGATCATAGAGCTTACTGAGATCTCATGTAGATGCGCAAGAGGTCAATGTGCTCCTATCGTGGTCGTGGTTCTATTGCCGTCGCTGTGTCAATGCCGCTACCGTTGTGTAGATACAGCCGTCATGTTGATGTCGTGATGATGGTGATACTCTCGTCGTCACCTAGTTGACACCATTGTATGGGTGCGAGGATAGGCCGACGATGCGCACGCGACAGACATCTGCGCTGTCATTGGCCGAGTTGCAAACAACTGATGGGGTCGACGTCCCGTCACGACCAGCGCAAGCTTCAACACCGCCTTTGAATGTGAGAACATCGACTTCGGTGGTGCTGTCACCACCAGTGTTGAGGGTGTTATGTATGTTGTGCATGTGCATAGCTAGCTGGTGGAGGTGCTGTGTTGTCGACCACGTCATGCAGTGGGTATCACGGTGTTGTCATTGCTGTTACATTTATGTCGACTGGGGTGGTACTGTGGGGGTCACATTGCGGTATATGACGAGGTATCCGTCGCTGTGTTTGAGAGAGTCGAGCATGTGGGCATCCTGTATTCATAGGTGTTTGGTAGTAGGTAGTTGGCGAGAATATATTATTATAGCATGAATTAAATTGGGTCCGACCTCTGCTTACGTACGGTATGGATGTTGTGCTAACTGTGTTTGTGTGAAACACGATATGCTTACTACCAAAGCCTATTGGCGTACAGTCTTCGATAGCTGCATTCTCATGAGTTCCTGTTTGCTTCAGTTGCTCAGTCATCTATGCATGGCGATGAAGGTGATGAAGCCGCACAAGGTGAGTTATTGAACTTGGCTCGTACAACGTGAAGCATACATACCTGTGAGAATGCAGCGAATGAAATAGGAGGGTGTACTCCACCACCAGAGCATGATATATCATGCCCCTGGATGCTCGTGTGACTTTGAAATTTGCTCTGCATACTCACTTGAATTTATTTCAGGACCTATACCCATTCAGTTCTGTGGCTAGCCGCTCTTTGCATTCCACGCAGTCACTCAGAAAAGGCACTAAGTCAGTGGTGCCAGAGTTATTTTTTGACACCTGCATGCTAATCTCTGCAACAGTGGTGAAAATTTTCACTGACCCTATTTTTGTTGTCCATCTTTATGTTTGCTAGCCTCGCTGACAAAATGAATCCTTGGAACAAGCTGAAGTCTTACTGCTGTGCCGTGGTCTATATCATGATGAGGAAGAAAAGAACGCCCAATTTTGAGCAATTCACCGTCTTAGAAGAAACCACTGATGGCATCAACTACAACCACTACATCGTTCCATGGACTCGCAACATCGTATGGCATACGGAATACGCATCTGTAGGCAACAAAGTATCTGCATGGACGTCCTTCTATACTGCTTCCACCACTGATGTGGGTGATAAAGATGTGCCATCATTTGATCTGTCTGAACTCTGTGGGCCAACTTCTGATATCCCTGATGATGATGAAGATGTAGATCTCTTCGACCTGGACCCCCGGTATTTAGAGAATGTAGAGAAATGGTGCAGGGGTGAGCTTCCGTGATTTTTCAAGTGTAGCTATCTAATATCTTTGCCCAGGATCATCCACTTCAGGAATGGGTTCCTGAAATTGATAACTATCTCGCCGAGATGCTGCGGCTGGAGGGGCATTGTGGTTTCGACACCGGGTGCTGCCAGTTCTGCAAGGAGGGCCCGGCAATGGTTCATTGTGAGGACTGTTTCGACCTCGCTATTTAATGCTGAACATGCACCGTTAATTTTCACAGGTGCACTCCTTTCCATCGCATGCAGGTCAGTCGGGTTTTATTACTCTTATTTGAAGGTACAACTGAGTTTCTTTTTTTGCAAACCTGTTTCAGAGATGGTGTGGCTCTCATTTTCGGTGCGATTCATTGAAAAATCTTGGACTGTGCATCCAGTTGGGTCACCCAGTTGGGCATAGGTGTCGTCTTCCTGTGTGAGCTACAGGTGATGACTTTATAGTCTTGTGTGTGAATGGTATCCACAAAGTTGGACTGGATTTTTGCGAGTGCAAGATAGCCGAAATTCATGTGATGCAACTGCTTCATGCGTGACTCCTCCCAGCCACATCGACGAACCCCAAGACAGCTGCTACTTTCCAGCTTTGCCGATATACACACCTTCTGATGACTCAATCCAAGACCTCTGGCTATGAATTCTACCAGAGCCTTGCCCAGCTGACCGATAACACCGGTGTGCAGACACCTAAGGTATGTGTTATGTCGACCTTCTGCTTTATCCATTGCTGATCCAATGTAGGATCGTTATCCTGCCTTCATGCGCATTATGCGTATGTGGAGGCATCTCAAAATGCTGAAATGAGCAGGATGAGGACATGATCCTGATGGTGTCAAGGCAATGACACCTGGGTCATGCGCAGTTCTTTGCCCAGCCTGTCCGCACCCTGGAAAAAATTTGCTGCCAGATTAGGAGGATGCTCCAGATGATCAAAAGTAAGTTCATGATTAGTTGTTTCGATTGGTAACTTACACGCAGTGATAGATGGTTATATCGCCTGTTTGTTGGACTCAATGCAAACTTCCACCTCAAGTGCAAGAAGGTATCTTTGGATAGTGTCGACCCTGGGCTAAATCATGGATATGCCTACTTTGTGGAGGAAAGCGCATACAAGGAATACCTCAGCATGTATGATTCCCTCATGACAGAAGAACAGAGTACTTGCAACAGTCATGATGCTGTCAAGCTGACGAACATAAGGGGCTCCATTGCAGGAACAGCTGCCAGCGGAGTTGGTGCCGTGACGTGTACGCGGCACGATATGAGGCTACCATGCAGTGTTGGTGACCTCCAAAAGGGAGAACGGTAGGCTGATCCTCGACATCATTCATGTTCCAGTGCTCATTGCTTGTGACACAGGTATGTCAACATGGACAACATTTTCTTCTCGGCCCTGGCGAATAGTGCCCCCAAGGACGTCGTTGTCTCCTACGATATTGCTTGTCAGTGGCATAGAAACCTGTGGAAATGGTACCACATTTACGAAGACTGTCCATTCAAGAAGGATGATCAAGATTTTGTCTTCCTGATCCCGAAATTCCACATCAATGCTCATCAAGATTCGTGCCAGATGAGCTTTTCCTTCCATAATACTCCGCACATTGGCGAGACGGATGGCGAGGGTGTTGAGCGGCCCTGGTCGGACTCAAACTTATATTCCTCGAGCACGAAGGAGATGGGCCCTGGTTCATGGTGTGACTTTCTTGACGATGCATTCGCAGATTACAATTGGCAGAAAATATGTGACATGCGTGAGTACTACGTCGAAGCTCACGCCGACATCTTTGGGCTAATAATACCAAAGCTGCTCTGTTCTTAACACGAATCAAAGCTGCACTACCGGAGCGCAATGAACAAGTCTTCACCTTTGTGGAACTGAACAGTGCGATCACGCCAGAGGATCGTGGTGAATGGACAACTACCATCGAAGCTTGGGAGAAGAACCCATCTCAAACCAATCTGTTTGTCATTACGCGTCCTGGTAAGTGCTTTTATTATGGTGCAGGACACCCTTTCTGATGCTCCGTGTGTTCAGCTGTGACTCAAGCAGCTGTACAGCTGCAGTTGGCCAACGAAGAGGCTGCAAAGTTGGAGAATGGCGAGCGCAGTGGGATAGTGTATGAGCTCCCCTCTCTGAGCATGATGATCATGGTCAGAATGGAGCTCCAGGAGCAACAGTAAGTGTTAGCCTGACTACTGTGGATGCATTCTCATAGTTCTCTCTTCAGATATCACCTTCGATGAGATGTCACCGGCCTTGGAACTCATAGTACAGATCTGCAATGTGCCAAAATTGTTGAGTGGCGAAACGCACTTCGGCACAAGATAGAGGGCTGGGCAGACACTCGGCAGCTATACATCCCTGTTTCCATGGCATTGCATGCATGAGCTGCTGCTGCCACTACCAGGGAGGTTCTTGTGCAAGATATGGCCCTTTATTTACCTTCGGAGTTACCCTTTAATATCCCCTGCGACTCTCGCCTTCGAAAATATGAATTGCACCTAAGGACTGCTCAGGCACATGATGCTTTGGAGGAGCTTCAGTGACATCTACAGCTGTGTACCCATATGTACAAGTTTAAGGACCAATTTGTCCATGGACAGCGGTACCTCACCTGCACCAGGTCGTGCATTGCACAAGTCCAGAACAAGGTAAATGCAGATGCTGCTCGCTATCGCCGTGCCTTCAACGCCATCAATTCACTGTCGACCCTGCTCGATGAGCCTTCAACACCTCACGACTTGGTCCTGCTGCAGGATGAAGATGTGCGAGGGATGACAGAGGGGGAGTCGAGCAAGACCCACAGCTGGAAGAAAATGTCTTGGATTTGGCGGAGACATGGCATGAGGAACAGCAGTGCGATGGACTCGGCCGTCAGTGAAGGTTTGTCAAATTTCACTTACTAGTACTTGACAACTGAAATGCTAACGCAATTCCTCAGAGCTCCGAATCGAGTGGTGCAAGGCTCGTGCTTGGGCCCATCGCTGGATCGAAGAGTGCCGCCAGCTGCCAGAGGAGATGCGCAGGGTTATCACCTTCCACGGTTGGATGGCGCAGTGGTGGCTGGACCGAGTCGATGCCATCCCTGCACGATCGAAAGAACATTTGGAAGGTGCCAATGCATATGCATTCTGTCAGGCGGAAATCTGGGAGTCAATGGAGAACTACTGCCAGTATATATGGCATGGCGTGCCTGCCTGACTGAAAGCAGGAGGCGATGTCAGCACTGGTGTCAATTCCAGCGAGGCTGCCCCTCTACAATATTCTCCTGCAATTGATTTTGCAGCTGTCCTTGGACCTGCTGCTGAGATACCTTCTGTTCCCGTGCCTACGCCATCAGTAGGCTAATATCGCACTGTGCTGCATATACCTGCATGTTCCTTTCGTGTGGCTAGATATATGTCTTTTGTTTCATCCTTTGTAGACAGATTGTTGCGCTCGTATGTTGATGTTGTGAGGGGAGTATTTTTTAAATAATCGTCAATTTTTCACATCAAAAGTAACATTCTCTATAAGGAAAACAGTAAGGGGTGACACAGGGCGGCACAGGAGGCGGGATTTTCGTGTGCTTGAAAGGGATCATAGAGATCTACAAAATCCAAGACAATCTACCGATCTACTGGAATGACGGGCGAAGCCAGTGCCATCGGCTACCTACAAGGGAGATCCAGGAGGAAGCCAATGGGTACGGAGTATGGAAAGTGAGCCCGGTGCGGGAATGGCTGGTAAGGACTGCAGAATGATGTATCAGAGCCTATGGTAGACACCACTGTCCATGTATCAGTCCGTGGTTTTAACCTTCATACTTGATATATCAGTATGCCAGGGACAGGTGCTGAATGCCTCTCGGAACTCAGGATCAACAACCAGTGCGCCCTCAGACGTTGAATCTCCATGCGAAATGTCTACGGCCTGACCCTCGGAAGGTTCGTACTGAGCAGCCCACTTCCGCATATGAGCCACAGTCTGTTCGTAACTGATATGCGTACTCGTGGCATGCTTGTATTGCTTCTTTCCGGCATCCTTTGCTTTGCGGAGTGCTTTGAGAGGTGTCACCACAGCTGAGGCTTTGCCCAAATGTCTCCGCTTTGGTGATGTGGGTGCTCCCAAAACCTCCACATTCATCTTCACCTTGGGTGCCTTTGTCCTCGTCATGGTTAAATAAGAGAAGGTCAGCAGAAGACAGCAGATGGGGAGGATGATGTTATGTCATGGCTCCTGTTCTCTCTTCACAGGCTGCCCGATTGATTTAGTCCCACGATTCTTTCGTTCAAGTTTCAGGATGCATTGGTTAAAGCCTGTACAGGTCAGAATGAAGCCCTCACATTGCGATGATTGGGCAGTCAAAAATAAATTTACGAGGTACAGAAAAAACATGTTTACACAATAATTTAAATGTTTACCTCCATAACAATGGAGTGACTCTAACAGCTTTGGCACCCCTGATTGTGCTGCTGCAATTTGTGACCAAGCCACCCAAGAAATGAGAGCAGAGAGCATGGCTGTGCATCGGTTCACACCTGATGTCCTACGAGTGCAGTGGTGATGACAGGGTAGTTGGGCCCATCCAAGGGTTAAGGTGGCTGCATGACGCAATGGTGACATTCATCATTGTGGCATCCAACGGGTTTATCCAGCCATCCCCGATGCTCACACTTGTCCCACTTGTGGTCATTGGCAGAAGGCCTTGATGAGCGTTGGGTAGCCCAGGTTGCTGATCACGTGCAGTGGCCAGGGATACGACACCTGTCCGATGAGTTCACCCAACTATCCCCGATGCTCACGCTTGTCTCGCTCGCAGTCATCAGCAGCAGCAGGAGTGTGACCATCATGCCTGTCAGTGTGCATGATGGGAAGGCCTTGATGAGCATCAGGTAGCCTGAGTTGCTGATTATGCACCTCCTGTTCCGTCTGCTTGATCTCCCATTGCAACTGAGGCCTCTTGCAGGCATTGAAGATATCTGCGGGGGCATCAGCACAAGGTGTCCAAAACAAGAGGGTAGAGTGAAGGATATAGGTCTCCTTTGACTTCACTCCAATCCCTCAAAAAACACCAATGGACTTACTTTCAGATTATTTATCTGGTGTCAGCAAGGCGAAAATCTTACCCACTGAACTTGAAACTGATGTTTAGCATCTGTTTACACGGGATGGTCCACACACCTGCATTCTCATTGAACTCAGCTCCCTGCACTCTGCCATAGATAATGTCCGACATCACATGAGGCACCTGTGGGAGCATGTATCTCGGGTTAAAGATGACTGCAAGCTGCCCCTTAGGTGCTTTAGGTGCGATTGACTTGACTTCCATCCGCTGGTCGTCGGGCCCAATCACACCATTCACGTCAGTGTAGATCCAGGGTCAGTCCTGGTCCATGAGCTTGTGCATCTTCATGACCGTCAGTTTCAGCATATTAGCAAGGTCCTCATATCCAGGGTGAGACAGGAGGCAGAGGAGAGCGATAGGAAGCACAAACCACATACAGTCATAAACAAGTGGAAGGGAATGAAAAGAGGGTAAGAATTTGGGAAGGACAGAGCCCAGTGGTGGTGGAAGTCTCCGACAGATGGTAGTATGCACAAATGAAGCACGTTGAGTGGCGAGAGTGTTGTGAGGAGAGAACAGTGAAATTGTGGTGGAAGTTTTACATCCACATGACTGACGCGTCAACGCGTCAGATGCACCAGATGCGCCACACTGTGTGTGCACTCAGCAAATGTAGAGGACCACCGATGACTTGTCGGGTACAGATAATGGCATGCGTGGAGTGTAGCAACATAACGTGCAACCTGAGTGTGTGTGCAGCCAGCCAATGGGAGCGCAATGGGAGCGCATACTGCAGCGGCAGAGGTTCTTTTGAGGAGAAAGTGCACAAAAGTATGATTTGGCTGGAGAAAGTAGCTCTGCACTTTAATTTATGCTAAGTGGGTAAATTTGGTGAATTTTCTGGCCCGTGCATGGGAGCCTGGTAAATTTATGGACCCACATACAGTAGCTAACCACTGGGGCTAAGAGCTAGTGCTGGGCTCTCTGCAGAGTGAACTTGGCACTAACAACCAGTTTTGAACACTTATGACGGTATAAGCCCACTTTTCAATGACAGATAATGATACTACAATGAGAAGCTGAGTACGACAGACCCAGTACAGTACAGACTGCACAGTAGATACACGAAAACTGGGGACAAGAAAGACATCTGAATCCAAACCACATGCCATTCCACCAATTTTCACGCACAGGGTCCCCCCACCATCAGACTGCCATATGTTTCAGCAGATACACAAGTTGACGCTGGTGGGAATAACATCCACCTCAATTTGTGAGGTATGAGGGCACAGAAAGAAGATGCACCGGATGTTGTTGGGCTGAGACAGTCCGCCATGGTGAGACACGTCAGCGTCAGGTTCAGATGGAGTGATGCCAGCATCTGATAGAGCAGCACCAGTACAGATCAGTCTCATCGAGAGCGCGGGCATTCTGTCACAGGGGCACACCTCGGTGAGTGCCACCAGTCATGAGCACACAAATTCACAATGTTCCGGAGTACTTTCAGGGTCAATGGAAACACGGTGGGCAAGCGACAGACTGGCAGACAGGGATGAGGGTGCTCATGCGATGAGGATGGAGGTCGTTGATGGAGGAGAGAACAAATGGAAAGCACGGCCGTGGGCGCCCGCAATGGCTAAATATTAGAGCTCATGCCAGTCATGCCAGTCTCGCAGTGAAGTCAATAGAAGAGCAGCAGCATAAGGGCGACAGAGAGCGGGTTGCGGGGGCGGAGAGACAGAGCTCGGAAAGCCTCCAAGTGATGGGAGGATGGCTTAGGTAAGCCTGGCCCACCTGGCCGTGATCGGCCATTTATCGCGTTTACGGTGCTGGGGTAAATAAAGGGGAAAAAACAAACATAGTGTGGTGGATTTATGGTGTGACCATGACATCTGAGTGAAGATCTTGCGGCAGTTTACAATGGGGCAGAGACACCGGGAGGAAGGGCTCTCATAAGGCGTCGTAGTCCGGGCAGGCGGCCAAGTAAATAAGTAAGTAAGTGTCGGGTAGTGAGGCTTTCAACGCCAGGCGCTGAAAGTGTTGCCCCATTACACGGCACATCAACACCATTAGAAATGTCCATTACAAAGCTGAAGAAAGACCCGCTTATGTACCCACGAGGCTACGAGGCTGTCAAATTCTCATGTGGAGGAATCTACGCAAGACGTGCGCATCCTCGTTCAAAATTCACGACCTCTCCCCGCGCGTTATATTCTAACCTATCAGCACCTCAGTCCCACCTCGTCTGGCTATTTGTTCTTGACTGCTGGGCTGACATCCTCGATTATATGATGTGGTCGAAAATGCGGTCGCGCCCCCTGACCTCTCCCGCCTTACCCCTCGCTCGAACACGTCAAGTCTTGATGCACGGCGCATCAGTGCGCATTGGACACGCTGGTGTTGTTTGTCTCTGACTTCGTCCCATTCTTCCGGTGTCTTCCGGAGAGCAGGTGATGTCCATGCACTCATACCCTGATTTTGTTTTATCTGACATGCTACATGGGTCCTCGTGCTCGCCTTGAACAGCTATAGTGTCGCCCATGTCACTTCCGACAATGGTAGCACCAGCAGCCTTCGATGTACAGCACGTAAAGGCCCTGTATGCCCAGATGCACCTTGCTAGACAGGAATTGGATAATCACAGTTTCAGAACAGTGCCAAGAACGTGCCAGGGTTGAAATAATTTTGACAGTGAGTGGCGGTTTGACGATGTGCACCCCAGTGTCATAGACAATGATTGTTTTTTTCACAGCAGAGAGAATGCAGCTCCGGGCTCGGGCTGCAGAGGCGGAGGGCTGGATCACAGCCCTTGGGCTCGAGAGTAAGTTTTGTGTTCACTCTTCAGATCAATCTATCTGAGAGTGATGCGTGCGCCAGCTGACCCTGTTCCTCACATCGATGAACCTCAGTATCTGGTCTACACCAGCGGCAGCCCTTCTGATCACCTCTATAATCTTGGGCCCTCAGGTCTGCGCCCAAGCTCACAGATGTCGAGCCTCACCCCAGAACCAAGTGAAGGACATTTAGCAGGAGGGGAACCAGATGAGGAGCATAATGACGAGGGGCTGAATGATGGTGAGGGGCGGACAGACAACAGGAGCATCGACCTGCAGCTCCAGGTGCCAGAAAATCACCGCTATGATAGCTCTTCTGCAGAGGTTCCTGTATCTGAAGATCAGCCTGTCGATGATGCACTTCAGGCTAGGTCTGATGGTGTGTATCTTGTTATTGTATGAGATGCAGACTCTAACATAGTAACATTTGATACAGGTGACACCACTTGATCTTTACAGCGTGAGGCAAGCAGTGCAGATGCACCATGTTCGGTTGCTGAGCGTAATGGTGTTCATTTGAATACTGGTAAGCATTCCCACTTTGTCCATCCGCTTCAACTGGCACTCAAAACACTGCCAGAGGTTCGAGCTTTCACAGTGGGCAACGGCAAATCAGCCGGTGCTGCACTAGCAGCTCTTGAAGGTGTGCACATGGTTTTCATGAACCATTTTCTTCATCTGCTTATTGTTATTTAATCACAGAGTATGCAAGTTCTCCAGTGTCATCTCTCATATGACAGAATATCCCTCCTGATTCCATCGTTGCTCAGGCTCGTGTGTCGCAATGTGACCTCTTCGACACCGAGGCCAGCGATAGTGATATTAGCCAAGCCCAACGAGGCATAGGTGGACCTCGCAAACTGTCGGACAATGACGTACATGCCTTCGGTGAAGATGGCAGATGGTCAGACAGTGACCCGGATGCCTTTGTTGGAAATCACGGACGGCCCAACAGCGACAATGGAGCCTTCGCTGAGGACAGCGGACTGTCAGACAGGGACCTTGATGCTCACTTGGAGTCATCTGACGATAGCGAGGAAAGGTATTGCAACACTGACTCTCCAGCACCTGGTCCACCTCATGGCAATAATGAAGTCGAATTCGAGGAGCATTATGAGTTTTTGAAGGACCAGGCTGAAGTCGGCCAACTTGCGCTTGACAGAGCAGCCGCAGAGGTTCAGGATGCAGTGAAAACACATGAAAACATGGATCGAGCATTGCGAGAGATGCAAAGGGAGCGAGTAGAGTGTGCGAAACATGTCTATGCCATTCAGGACAACCTGGAGGAGGTACTACTGAAGATGGGGCATTATCAAACCCGGCTCATCGCAGAGCATGATGACCAGAAGAGGCAAAAGCTGCGGGACAAAATCGAGTTGGCCATCCACCTGCAATACAAGATTCAAATGAAGCTGAAAGATGCAAAGCAATCACTGGAAATCAAGGTCAATCAAATCACCGGAGTGCATTGTCAGCATGCCAAGGCTGCTGGTGCTGTGGTGGCCGTGTGCAGGACCTTTGAAGCTGCCAAGGAGAAAGTGACCATGTTGATCAAGGAGCTGGCAGAAGTGGAACTCCTACGAGAGATGAGGAAGGCACTGCAGCTGCCTGAGGAGACACTGTTCACTTCAGGTGACTGGGAGTCATCTGATTCAGACTCGGACGTGGATGGTATGTGAGATAGTCACAATAATGAGCATGAATTGACTGCAGTTGTATAGCATTGCAATTAAATGACATACAAGAGGACACCATGGACAATCAGCAACTGAGCAAAGATAGTGGGGACAACGAAGATGAACACGAGTTGCATCAGCCAATAGCAAAAACATGGAAGCAATCATATCCAGTCAGTTCTGGTATGTGTTAGATTAGATCTATTTATTGTTGACAGCAGCTAAGACTCAGTTCTCATAGATGAAGACAAATCTTGGTCGCCCTCCACGTCACCTGAGCCACAATCTGCTATGGTGAAACGTGCATGACCTGCTGCTAATCAGACTCGTTCTGCGCCTGCTCATCGAGTTGGAAGGAATGACCATCTTACCAAGTTTGCGCACAATGCTTCATATTGCATGGAGGATATCTTGAAAGGCTTGGAACATGCGAAGACAATGCTGCGCTCCAGATGTCTGAAACATGCCAACAATCGGCAGCAGCCAAGCAATACAGAGACTGTTCATGGTCATCTAGCACCCTTATCCTCTGGTGACAAAGACATTATGCAATGTGGTTGCACCAAGATTAGCCATATCTTTGATCTGCTAGCCATGAAGGTATTTTCTACACCTTTACTGTCATATGCACCTTATGAATCTTAAAACTTTTTCAGGACCCCATTGGGCCTAATGCAGAAGTACCCAACAGAATAAAAGACAAAGAAGTTCTGTGAGCGGGTTACATCAATCAGTGCCATCTATACCTTGAGCTTCTGCTCAATGTCACTCACTCTATGCTGGATGACATGCTACGCCCTGAACTTGATCGCACACTTCGTGTGATGAATAACTCCTTTATGTGGCTTGTTGATGGTTTGGAGAATGGAGAACTAACATCAACTGATGTCTCTGGCTTGCAGAAGAGTTTGGAACACATGCAGTTGCAACTTCAGAAAAGGACAAGAGATCTGTCTGCTAAAGATATAGTCAAATAATGTAGTATTATTGCTCAAGTAAATATCTTCAACACATATAAACTAACATTGTGTCTTTTTCACTATGAGTATATGGCTGTTCATCTCTGTCATGAACCTTCTGGAAATTAGATACACTTGTTGCTAATTGTTCTAATTGTTCTTACATTACTAATAAATGTTGTAAATTTTCAACATGATCAGAAGTCCCATCGTAAGCTTTCAACATGTTCAAAGGTCTTGTCGTGAGTTTCTAACTTGATCAGAAGTCCTGTCATGAGTTTCTAACATGTTAAGAAGTCCTGTCGTGTATTTCTAACATGATCAGAAGTCACATGGTGTTACGCGGCAGCAAAACACGAGCGTCTAGTCGAGTCGTCACGAGACAAGGTCTTAGTCTAAGACACAAGTCCGTTCAAGTGACACTTCTGGCGATGTCCTCGCACTGAAGGTCAATCAGAGTTCATTCTTATGACTCGTAGTAGCTGTCTGCTACTGACGGTCGATCTCAGTTAAAGGCAAGTGAAAAACTGGTTTAATGGTAACCAGGTCGAGATGGGGATCCAGCTCGACGAGGTCATCTACTTATACAAAAGGTATCCACAGTACTATGCAGTAATACGGGATCGTTCATTGGCTAGATAAGGTGAGACGATGTCTGGGCAAGGTAACAGCAAGGAAGTAATATATATGAGAAAGCTGAGTAAGATCGTGAGAGATAATCAGTACTAATGGGGATAACGAGTCGTGTATCAGAACGAGGTAAAGATGAGGCATACATGCACGTCTTGCATGTGTGATAAGAAGAGGGTCCGGAGTTGGATCCGGTGTAACCCTAGACTAGGGGTTCTGGACATCTGGGTATAGAATTAGAGGTTGTGCTCCGATGAGTCACGTGTTGGATCATGTGGTCTGGTAAAGTAAAGGGGACAAAGAAAGGAAAAAGAAAAGACGTGCTATAACTGAGGAGCGTTGTAACATCAGCTCCCGTCTAACATTTCTTGTCCCACAAGAAATATTTGTAGTCTTCATCGTCATTGGGGACAGTCCCGGACATAATGATCACCTCCACATCTGTAGCACATCCTTCGGCCAGCTTGTGGTCCTTGTTCATGCGTACATCCATCACGATAGGGGTGACTGTGATGCGAAGAAGTCGATGCATGTGAGAAGGAGGGTTGCGATAATGGGAAGTGACCTGTAGGCACGTGTGAACGAGGGGGGCGAGGTCAAACAGGAATTGGTTCTGGTGATGAACGAGGAGTGGATGCGGGTCTCCCATCAATAGTGTATCTGAGGATGTGCCCAATGTCTTCGTCCCCATGCTCCCTCCAGATCTCCTGTGCTATACGACTGACTGTACTGCGCATCAGAGACCAGACTTGGTCGACTCTGGTTCGGGCTCTACTCGTCCTCTCCTCTGCTGCGATGAGCTCTTGTCTGGCCGTCTGCATCCACTTGACCATTTCTAATGTTCGTTGCATAGAAACCACTGCTTGTCGATCTTGCGGGCAATTTCGTAGGGCGACGAGAATATCTGTGAAGTCAACAGGGGTGCAGATGGCCGAGATCAGACGTGTAGCAAATTCTTGTTCGTCCGATGCATGACTGAGTTCGATTAAAGGTGAAGGTGATGAAGCGTGGATGAAGGGTGTTTGTGTTCGGGAGGGTATTCCATTGACAAGCGTAGGTGATGTGGGGGTGCTCATAATCGTAGAAACGACTTCAGCGAGTATGTTGTGAACAAGGTCGTCTATAGCAGAAGTGGGCATTGGTGATACGTTGTTTTCTCCTCCCTTTATACCTTTCGGTCATCAAGGGGATTGCGATTATCTGTGATGTGAAATAGAAAGTCGTGGATGTGGGTAACAATCAAATAGATAAAAATCCATTGGGCGATAAAGAGCATTCCCACAGAAATAAGAACTGCCTGGTCGGTTCCAGGCATCGTTCTGATCACCCCAGCCATTAGCATGTGGGTTGTCTCGTGTGAAGAGCGTGTGTTCGATGAGTTGTCTGATAAGGATTCGGTGGATGATCCAAAGGAAAGCGAGAGTTGTGCAGTGGAGGACGATTAGGAAGATAACTAGGAAGGCCGTCGTGGTAGTCATTCCAGTTTCCTCATCCTCTACTCGATTCCCCTCGTCCTTTTATATGCGTCGAGGGTCTGCTTTGCATTCTGTAAATTGTGGGCAGGTTTCCACGAGTTTTCTGCTGACGAATATCCCTTCCACTTGACTAAGTACCTCAGGTGACCTCAGTATGCCTTGTGATTCAGGATTGCTTCGACTTCGTACTCTTCTTCATTATCCACGACATCAGGTGGTGGGTTCACGTAATTCGGACCATGTATGTCATTTTCGTGATAAGGAGATAGAAGGGCGGCATGGAACACGGAATGAACTTGCCAGGTCTTCGGGAGTCTAAGGCGATAGTTGGCTGGTCCGATGACTTCAACAATTTCGAATGGCCCCTCACGCTTTGGAGCTATCTTGCACGAGGCATAGTTGACCTTCAGGTTCCTTGAGTCTAGCCAGACCTTCTGTCCTAGTGTAAACTTCGGCGATCCTTGTCTGACTCGGTCCGCCATCTGTTGTCGGGCTAACTCGTGCATGGCTAGCGCTTCTAGTCTTATCTTCTGCAACATGTCAAGCCTGGATTCAACTGATGGAATGTTTGTGTTTGGGAATACAGAAGGGAGTCCACGTGGTTCGTATCCCATCATGATACGAAATGGGCTCATCTTCCGTGCCGAGTGTTCCCTCGTGTTATGATAAAACTCGAGGTCTGGCAGGCAGTCAGCCCATGTTTCAGGGTTGTTTCCGCAATAGAGTCGAAGATAGATTTCCAGCTCCTGGTTGACTCGTTCTGTTTCTCCGTCCATCTGAGGGTGATAAGCTGTGCTCATCGATGATCTAATCTGGAGTAGTCGATTTAACTCTTGGAAGACCTTGGATGCGTATTGAGGTCCTCTATCCGAGATGATTCGGTCGGGTAATCCGAATCGTGAGTAAACTTTGTCATGAAAAATCTTGGCTGTCCTTTCAGCTGTGATCATTTTGAGACAGGGCGTAAGAATCACCCCCTTCGTAAGGTCATGGTCTACCACGACCAGAATTGAATCAAAGCCATTGGAAACAGGGAGGTCAGTGATAAAATCTGTGGTGCAACAGGAAAATGGTAATGCGTGTGGGTCTGCGGGGATTGGTTCCAAAGGAATACGAGTTGAGTGAGTATTCGGTTTCATCTGTTGACAGGCAGCATAGCCTTCGACGTAATTGTTGACAAATGCATACATGCCGGGCCACCAAAATTCACGACGTAGGAGTTCAAGAGTACTGAACTTTCCAGGGTGGCCCATGGCAGGGGAGTCGTGATGTAGTCGGACAAGGTCACGACGAAGAGGTTCGGATGGTGGAACATAAATCTTTCCCTTGTAAAGGATGACACCATCGTGAACTTCCCAATCGGAGAGCGAGGATTTCATTGGGAATGGCCCTTTGTGCGCGATCACTTCAAGGGCTTCATGAACAATGAGGTCCTTTGCTGCGTGATTTCTGATTTCGTTAAATAGCGTCGGGGAAATGGATTGCACAAACAGTGCATCGGGTAGAAGGATGTGATCTTCATTGTCACTTTCACTGTCATCAAGTCCATTATGACGAGATAGTGCATCAGATTGGATCATCTGAGTGCCAGGGACATGGATTAGGTGAAGATCATATTGTGATAGTTTGAGACTCCATCGTGCTTGTCGGCGGTTTAACTTCTGGGCTGTACGGAAGTACGTGAGGTTCTTGTGATCACTGCGAACTGCGACGGGATGAGGAGAGCCTTCTAGATAATGGTGCCATTCGGTAAGGGCTCAAATGATTCTGAGAAGTTCATGGTCGTAGATTTCGTAGTTTTGTTCAGCTGGATTGAGCGTCTGTGAAATGTAGGCACAAGGATGGAGTTCTCCATTGATATCAGCTTGTCGTAAAACTGCACCCGTAGCAAACTTGGAAGCGTCAGATTCGACAATAAAGGGTTTTGCTTTGTCGGGCAGCAACAACACTGGGCCAGTACTGAATCTTTGTTTCAATGTATCAAAAGCTGTCTGACATTCTGTTGTCCATTCAAAAGGTGGAGATCCAGCAGCAGTACGCGTAAGGTTCGTCAACGGTTTGGCAATATCCAAGAAGTTGGCAATAAATTTCCGGTAGAAGTTTCCAAACCCAAGGAAAGAGCGAACACCTTTTACCGTGCTTGGTTCAGGCCATTCTGCAATTCCTTTAAGTTTGATGGGGTCCATGCCAATGTAGTTTTCTTGAATGATCATGCCTAGGAATTCGACTTCCTTAACATCAAAGAAACACTTTTCCGGTTTAAGGAATAGGTCGTTGTCTTTGAGTCATTGGAGTACACATCGGGTTCGAACGTGATGTTCTTCCAAATTGTTCGAGAAGATGAGGATATCATCCATGTAAATGACTATCCATCCTTCATCGATCATGTCCTTGAAGAGCGCGTTCATCATCATTTGGAAAGTCGCCGAGGAGTTGCAGAGTCCAAAAAACATGACCATAGGTTCGAAAAGTCTGCAGTTTGTCTTAAACGCGCCCTTCCATTGGTCACCATCTTTGACTCTGATGTTGTTATATCCGGAGCGTAAATCCATTTTTGTAAAGATCGATGCACCCTTGAGTTGATCCATGAGCTCAGAAATGAGCGGAAGAGGGTAGGCGTTCTTCACCGTCCCTTCATTCAGGTATCGGTAGTCCTGACAGGGACGTAGTGCTCCATCTTTTTTTCCAACAAAGAAGAATGGCGAGGCCATGGGGGATTTCGACAGTCGAATGTATCCCTTTTGCAGATTTTCTTCCAAGAAGTCATCCATTGCTCCTTTTTCCTTGAGCGATAACGGATAGACTTTACAGTCGCGTGGAATAAAATTGGGTTTCAAGTCAATGGCGTGGTCCCAAGGCCTGGTTTCCGGGAAGCATTCAGCTGCTTTCTTTTCAAAGACTGACTTCAAATCGTGGAGGTAGTCGGGGACCAACTCTTCAACAGTTTTGGGTTTGTCTACAGCTGATGCTTCCTTGTGTGTCTGTTGTGCCAATTCCTGTAATTTACTGGATGGTTTATAAAAAACCGTATTCTGTGTACTACAGAATAATGGGGATCGAGTACTGTGTGTCATTCTTCCGATGGTGGGGCCTCTTCGTATAGTGATGACTGTGGTTCCAGTTCCTTCATTTGTCAAAGGTGATTCCTTTCTGATGGGTTTAAATATTCCAATAACTGGTTCTCCTGCAATATAGGAGACAACTAGATCGTCATCATCAAACTGATCCGTAGAGGGTTCTAATGGTGGGTTGTCTGGTTCGGTATCATTCCGCACTGCGGGTAACTTGCCACGCTCAGTGTCATCGGCCATGATTTCTCTGATAGATTCTGAATGTCCAAATGAAGTCGGAGAAGTTTCGGTGGTGATTAACTCCGGGAGGTCATCTTCCTTGAAAATTGAAATTTCTTCATCTGGTACCTCTTCGACAGTGGGTTTCGGTGGCCATTTGGCGTCTTTGCCAAACCAAAAGTCACTAGTTTCCCAATTAATCATTGGATTGAGGCGTTTAAGCCACGACATGCAGAGAAGTACATTCTCTTTGCCAATGCCGGTTAAGAGGAAGCGAGTAAGCGTCTTCCTTCCTCCAATCTTCATCATCTTCCAGGTACAGTGGGTAATGATACTCATCTGATTCGGCGTGCCATCTGCATTTACAACTTTAATCGGTTTCGGTAATTCCCATTTAAGGAAATCATTTTCTTCTGCAAATCGAATATGCATGAACGTTTCGGCCGCACCGGAATCGATCAAGGCTTCTGTTGCAACGTCTTCCTTCTCTTCCAACGAAATATTCACAGTGATTGAATTTCCGCTAGTGTTACAAATAATGAGGGGAGATACGGTAAGATACGACAGTCCATGTGTTACTAGTGGCCGTCGTTTCAAAAACCCAACTGGGTTCATTCTTCATCAGACATGTCGTTGAAGACGTTTCGCACATAGGCGATCTGTTCCTCTCTGATTTCTTCCTTCGGTATCTCCTTCTTCTGTACAAGATCTTCTCGCATCTTCTTGATCCATGTGATTGTGTCTGTGTCCAATTCGGGCTGTATCGTTCTAGCACGGGTGAAACTTCCAGATTGGGGGTGAAATTGTCTGTCATTGGCTATATGGCCCTTCTTTCCGCATAGGAAACATAATCCTTCTTTCATTCTCTCTGTCGTTCGTCCGGGGACAAGCGCGAGATATTGATATGATCAACATCCATCGCATTTGGATCCTTTGCAGAAGTCGAGTAGTAGGGACGATGGACAGATCGGCCCTTTCCTCGTGTCATCGTAGTGGCTCCTCGCTTGAAGATCTGAGCAGATCTCCATTGGTTATCAAACTGTGAGGCATATTCGTACCACTTGTCAAGTGTCTTGGGCATGCTTTTCATCCCATATATCCTTTGTCGGAGTGGGTCGTTAAGTCCCCACTTGAAATACTCGATATTTCCGGCATCTTCTAATTTCGCCTTGAATTCAAGCGATCGGAATTTGGCAATGTAGTCATCCGCGGTACGAGTCCCTTGCTTGATGTTACGTAGCAAGGTACGAGTGGTTTCTTCAATATTTTCATCGCCAAATGCTTTGTTCACACTCGCAATGAACTCTTTCCAATTTTCATAAGAAAGGAACTCATCATTGGTGAGTTCCGTTTCTATGAAGCTCTGCGCCCATGATCCTGCTGTCCCTCCTTGCATGTGCGACAGCACGAATGCAATCTTCTGATTATCCTCTTGGTAGACATGGCTATTTCCAGCCATGTAATTCTTGTATTGGTTTATAAATTCCCTGAGCTTCGAACGGTCTGAACCGTTGAAGATCTCGGGTTTTCTAAAACCAAGTTCCTTTTGACTAACATGATGACGACCTTCATCCATGGTAATTGTAGCCACTGGTGGAACGTCAATGATTACGATTGGTGCAAGAGTCGATTGTGGTATGGGATCCTGGGCAGGGGGGTTCCAAGGGGTGTCTGATCTTTCTCCTCGATAAGAGATCGGTATACCGCTGTCTGCGATATGTAGCAGTACAAGCTCTCCAACGTTATGGGGTAGATTTGCTTCGTAGTCACCACCTGGGTGATCGATGTGCTGGTCTGGTCTGATGAATAAGGGTCGTCCGTTTAAAACGTGTATGTTCCTCTGCGCGTCCCACTCTGCCTGAGATGGGAGGAGATCAATGTATTGCTTGGGAAGAGCAGTCGGGTTGATAAAGTTCAAATCCAGCGTGGATAAATTCTCCTGTGTGACCTACGTCTACACGTAGACTGCACACTGTCCTTAACTAAGTGGGTTCGTTTGTCGTCGGCTAACAAGCCCGTAGAGTGTCTTCTGTCTTCAAACTGATACACTTATTTGCTGATTGCTCGAGTGATTACCTCAGCCTCCTCGGCCTATTGGTCTCTCGGACAGACCCCTCTCCGAAGATGAATGATCAGTCTATCCCTTCAGCTACCTCAATTACAGAGTAATCTCAAATGGTGCTTTAGCAATCAAATCGGGTGTATCATTTTTAGTCTTCAAGGTTCGGTCCGGTCGGTAGTTTGTTGTTAGACTTTTGGGAAGTCACAGAGAGTAATAAGATCTCGACCTAATGTTACGCGGCAGCGAAACACGAGCGTCTAGTCGAGTCGTCACGAGACAAGGTCTTAGTCTAAGACATAAGTCCGTTCAAGTGACACTTCTGGCGATGTCCTCGCACTGAAGGTCAATTAGAGTTCATTCTTATGACTCGTAGTAGCTGTCTGCTACTGACGGTCGATCTCAGTTAAAGGCAAGTGAAAAACTGGTTTAATGGTAACCAGGTCGAGATGGGGATCCAGCTCGACGAGGTCATCTACTTATACAAAAGGTATCCACAGTACTATGCAGTAATACGGGATCGTTCATTGGCTAGATAAGGTGAGACGATGTCTGGGCAAGGTAACAGCAAGGAAGTAATATATATGAGAAAGCTGAGTAAGATCGTGAGAGATAATCAGTACTAATGGGGATAACGAGTCGTGTATCAGAACGAGGTAAAGATGAGGCATACATGCACGTCTTGCATGTGTGATAAGAAGAGGGTCCGGAGTTGGATCCGGTGTAACCCTAGACTAGGGGTTCTGGACATCTGGGTATAAAATCAGAGGTTGCGCTCCAATGAGTCACGTGTTGGATCATGTGGTCTGGTAAAGTAAAGGGGATGAAAAAAGGAAAAAGAAAAGATGCGCCATAACTGAGGAGCGTTGTAACACATGGTGAGTTTTTAACATGTTAAGAAGTCCCATCATGTATTTCTGACATGATCAGAAGTCCCGTTGTGTATTTCTAACATGATCAGAAGTCCTGTCATGAGTTTCTAACACATTAAGAAGTACAGCCGTGTATTTCTAACATGATCAGAAGTCCTGTCATGAGTTTCTAACATGTTAAGAAGTACAGTCGTGTATTTCTAACATGATCAGAAGTCACATGGTGAGTTTTTAACATGTTAAGAAGTACCGTCGTGTATTTCTAACATGATCAGAAGTGTCATCATGTATTTCTAACATAGTCAGAAGTCCCGTCGTGAATTTCTGACATGGCCAGAAGTACTGTCGTGAATTTCTAACATGGTCCATAGTCAGAAGTCTCATTGTGAGTTTCTAACATGATCAGAAGTACCGTTGTGTATTTTCAACATGTCCAAAAGTCTCCTTGTGAATTTCTAATGTGGACAGAAGTCCTGTTGTGAATTTCTAACGTGGCCAGAAGTCCTGTTATGAATTTCTGATGTGGCCAGAAGTACTGTTGTGAATTTCTAACATGATCCATGGTCAGAAGTCTCATCGTGAGTTTCTAACATGATCAGAAGTACCCTTGTGTGTTTTCAATATGTTCAAAATTCTCCTTGTGAATTTCTAACATGGTCAGAAGTCCCATCGTGAATTTCTGACATGACCAAAAGTCCTGTCATAAATTTCTGACATGTTCAGAGGTCCCGTCATGAGTTTCTGACATGTCCAGAGGTCTTGTCGTGAGTTTCTAACATGTTCAGAAGTCCCCTTCCTGAATTTCTTAGTATTGCAAACATTCAGTTTGGTCTGGTTCACATGTCATTTTCATAAAACCTGAACCTGAACCTACAGTAAACTCACTGAACCAGAACCAAGTCTGAACCATAGGTTTGGAACCAGTTTGAACCTCTGAACCTGAGATTTTTCAATCTAGCAATTCTGATGATAATGAGGGTCTTCAACCTGTATATACATGCTTATTAGTATTATTCATGTGTTACCCACCATCAAAATGCTTCAGTGAACAGTGTAAAATGGTAGTCTCATACTTGACCAAGACTGAGTATTATATAGAAGGATGCCATACAGAGTAGGTCTTTTGAATTTCAGCAGAATATAAGAGACTATAGTCAGCACATGTACTTTTCAGAAGTCTCCTCATGTATTTTCAACATGTTTAGAAGTCTACTTGTAAATTTCTACTAACTGTCATGGATCTTTAACAAGGACAGAAGTCTTGCTATGAATTTATAACAAGGACAGAAGTCACATCATGAATTTATAGCAAGGTCAAAAGTCCCATCGTGAATTTCTAACATGGTTAGAAGTCCTGTCGTGTATTTCTAACATGATTAGAAGTCCCATCATGAATTTTCAACATGTTCAAAAGTCTCCTTGTGAATTTCTAACATTTTCAGAAGTATCATTGTATATTTTCAACATGTTCAAAAGTCTCCTTGTGAATTTCTAACATAGTCAGAAGTCTGGTCATAGATTTCTGACACATTCAGTATTACCTTTATGAATTTTCAACATGCTCATAAGCCCTGTTGTGAATTTCCAACAAGCTTCATAGTATTGTTGTAAATTTCTAACACGGTGAAAGGTTATGTCATGAATTTCTAACAAGCTCTACAGTACTGTTCTATATTTCTAACATGTTCAGAAGTACTAGTGTGAATTTGTAATATATTTAGAAACAACATCATGTAACATGTTTAGTGCTGATTTGTGCAAACTGTCTTGCGAGGCCACAAGCAATGGAGCTAAGTAGAAGAAAATAAAACAAATATCCTCAGTGTTCCTTCATGTAACGAGTGCTATATATTGAGCATACCTAAGTAGAAGGAAATAAAACAAACATCTACAGCACATCAGCGTACTACTTGGGTATGCAGGTAGGTAAAGTAACTCACCCTCAGTGCTCCATCATGTAACAAGTGCTGAGGAGGGTCTGTACTTGTACTCTATGTTATGTTGTAGCTGTGCCAGTCAGGTATTGGAATTGTGGCAAATGGTTAGTTTCAAGATAACAAATGTGTGTATACTTATATGGTAAGCCTCTTTTCTGTTTGATCAGTCCATAAGGTATCCCTCCTGGCCTCCGCAGTCTCCATAGGATATGCCCAAATCCAACAAACTGTATAACTTGAAGTTCTCTTCATAATAAACTCACAGAGGTGCTTGCTGAGTAATACTTCTGAACATGTTAGAAATACACGACTGTACTTCTGACCGTGTTAGAAACACATGACCGTACTTCTGACCGTGTTAAAAACTCACCACTGGACTTCTGACCACGTTAAAAACTCACAACTGGACTTCTGAACATGTTAGAAATACATGACTGTACTTCTGACCATGTTAGAAACACACGACTGTACTTCTGACCATGTTAAAAACTCACAATGGGACTTCTGACCATGTTAGAAATTTACGATGGGACTTCTGACCATGTTAGAAATACACGATAGGACTTCTGACCATGTTAGAAACTCAGAACAGGACTTCTGACCATGTTGGAAACACACAACCATACTTCTGACCATGTTAAAAACACACGACCATACTTCTGACCATGTTGGAAACACACGACCATACTTCTGACTATGTTAGAAACTCACAACAGGACTTCTGACTGGGTTAGAAACTCACAAGGGTACTTCTGACCATGTTAGAAACTCACAACAAGACTTGAGACCATGTTGGAAATTCATCACGGAACTTCTGACCACATTGAAAATTCACGAGGAGACTTCTAAGAACAGCAAATTTTCACAATGGGACTTCTGAATGTGTTAGAAATTCACAACTAGACTTTTGAACATCTTAGAAACTCACAACCAGACTTTTGGATGTGTTAGAAATCCACAACTCAACTTCTAAAATGTTAAAAATTCACAACAGGACTTCTGAACATGGAAAAAAATCACAACAGAACCTTGGATCCATAGGATTTTGATGATAGCCAGTTGGCAGTGCACCTGAATGTTGCACTACAAGCAATGTGAGGACTTAAGTTTCGGAATTTTGTACAATGATGCCTTAGAGTTAGAATTTCACTACATATCAAGGGTGAAGCCTGCGCACTGAGTTTGACTTTCAAGCAATGGTGAGTGGACAGTGACAACAGGGAGACTAATGCCAACAATATTGTAAGTTATAACAAGATGTAAATCACTCCAAGAATTATAAAACTTATGCCTTAAGTTTACAAAACACAGGTAAATCTAACATAGTAAGATGAGAGATTCACGTGTAAGGTTTACCACAATGGCTCGTATTGTGAACATTTAACACTGGTGGTGGAGACGAACGGATATCACTCAAGTTGTTTCAGGCTACTTCAATGTTCGAACTTGAGCTTAATTGTGCACCTCAACTATGGTCCAGCATGGTGTTGCTCCAACACCAAGGAAGAAGTCTAAGGGCGGCCAAAAATTGACCATCAATTTCCTGCCATCATATGCCTCACTTAATAAACTGAGCAAGGCAAAGGTAGATGCTTGGTTCCGTGCAGAGAGCACATCAGATGGCTACAAGCAGTATGTCCGAGAAGGTAAGGCATGGATTGCAAAGTGGGCGGAGAGCATGAAAGGATCTGACGGTACCAGCATGGATGCCCTGGACAGCAGTGCAATAGCTGTTGCCTTTGATACAGTATCGGAGTACACCCCGAAAGCCCTCCACGCATTTGTCATATACAAGTGCGAGATTCAAGAAAACAGTTACAAGACTGCGGAGGGCATCCGGTCTGCATTCAAGCACTACTTCACTTAGTGAGTATTTTGATTATTTCTAGTAATGCAGTATGAGGACACTAATGCACTGTCAACTGATAGCACACACCTCTGTCAGGGCAATTTCTGGCGAAAAAACGGCACGACTGGGCAGTGGGAAGGGAATCCTGTGTTTGATCTGTCATACTCATCTTTCCATGAATCACTGAAGAAGGAGTATCAACGATCAAGTGATTCAAGTCACAGCCTCCCCATGCTTTCGAAGAACATCGAGAAAATGTTCGCATATGCAGACCATGCATGCTCCAGCAAGAAGATTTCAAAGACACAACAGCTCTTCTGGAAGGCTTTTGTGTCTATTGCATTCACCCTGTGGACAAGGTTCGTTGCTCTACAATTTCACTTGGATATTGATGCCCTTACGGCAACAGGTGTGATGAGGCCATCAATCTGACAGCGGGTGATGTGTGACTCTGTCTTGAAGACGAGCGTGATGGCACGCACTTTCACCACTTCACTCTGACCTGGTGCAAGACAAATCAAGACAATCCTGAGAAATGTACGCTTTCCGACTGAAGTTCTCAGTTGTCGCTGACTCACATTGCCACCTACAGCGAATAACTACGATATTCCACTTGACTCCACTATTCCACACCTCGACTGCTACATGCATACAATCAACTGGATGAACCACCTTGCTGAGCAGATGCAGCATCCACTCCAGAAAACTGATTTCATTTTTCCGGCCCTTGCATCCACGGGCAAGTTGAAGATTGGCACTGCAGTTGGCCATGCTGAGATCAAGAAGTTGCTTGAGCACTTTGTCTCAGGCATCGAACTTCTTGCTGTGTGGCCTGGCAAGTTTACGACACACTGCTTTCGATGTGGCGGGGCTCAGTGGTGCTTCATGTGGTGCCCAGATCGTAAATGGAGTCTAAAGGCTGTGAAGTGGCAGGGGGGCTGGTCACCAACAGAGAGTGTGCATCTCGAGGTACATTGCTATTGTTGAAGTAAAAGCTCATATCCAGCAGGTAACTACCCTCACTCGATATCTTCTCGATGAGGTCTGCAAGTACGAGCATGGCTATAGTGACATGGTCATGCCTAGCAGGAGCTTTGAGCACCACGTCACTTTTATGGGTGATGATGCAGTGCACCAATCAGGCCTGGCCATGGCTTCCTCTGACAGTATGACTCTCATTCTCGAGGAAATTCGTGCAAAACGAGTTGAGATTGCAAGAATAGTATCGAGTTTTCAGCCGTCTCAGGTGCTCACCACACCCGGTCATGTGCACCATCTCGGTGAGCCCATTGACACTCTAACAGGTGCTGCATTCAGATTCTGACTGTGATTAGGACCTAACACAAATCCTTTGAGCTGGACTCCCTCAGCCCCTCTCATCACAGATGCATTTCTCGGGCTTTCCGAGTCTGGGCCAGGGTCACGAGCTGTGTTGCATTCAGATACCGTCACCGACATTCACCACCACCAGAAAGTTAGACACCCCTCTGTCACTGCAGTGTCGCATAAGCCACTGTCCGTGCATGCATGCTTTAGTGCAGTCAGAACACAATGTATGTTGTTTACTCCTTCATAAGGTAAATCTCATACTGACTAGTAGATATTATTGCGCAGTGTTTAGCACCACCTGCTCCAACAGAGCTGTCTCGGTCATCCAACCACTTGTGGTGCCAGACCTGAAACCTCACGATCGAGGCGCGAGATGCCACAAGGTGATTGACCCCATCAGTCTCACTCCCGCATGCAAATCAGCACTGCCAGTCTCGAGTGAAAATTGCATCGCGGCTTCTCGACTGGTTTCAGCCAAGTGTGCAACTCACGCTGATGTCGCTGCAGTTGACCCTTCCAAACTGCGCATACCAGACACCCGCTCCCTAGAAGACTGTCTGCGCTACTGAAATTCAGGCGACAACGTGAAGGGTCTACTCCTGCCTCTCAAGGAGTGGCCGAAGCACTTCAAGCCTTCACAATACCGGAGCGAGGCCGTCAAATGGGGCAAGATACAGAAGGTCGTCGACAAGTACTACACAGCCTATGGCAGTAACAGGCAGACATTCGACCAGCTCTACCCAGGCCTTTCCACGAAATATACCCAGCTTGTCCGCGCCATCAATGCCACATGAGAGCAATGAGACGAGCTTGTGCACCGCCCCAGGAAACGGCGGAAGACTGCGGATTGAGCTGCTCAGCGACGGGCATTCTCGGTTGTCTATAAGAAGTTGAATTACCTTATGGTCGCTACAACTGCTGTCTATAACTTGTTGGGAGTGGGCCATTGCTTTGCATGGCAGGAATGATTCCTGAGGTTCTATGTTCCTCTTTTTCTCTTATCATTTAATTGTTTTCACATACTTTAATCATCTTGTATTACTCCTTAGTAGTTGATTACTTGTGAAGAATGATCCATTGCATTGCATAGCATGTTGTATTTTTATTAGGTATTTATGTCAAGGTTTCATCATTCATATTCACTTAAAACAGTCACTTTAGGTGAAAATCTAGTACAATTTGATGTTATACTAATAAGTATAAAGAATGCAAGTCTTTCTTGTTAGAGTATAATTTTTGGTACCTCTGAAACTCTGTTTTTATTCAAAATAAAATTATATAAAAATTCATATTATATCGATAGCAAAAAGAAATAAAGTATTAGAATGACTTATAATATTATTTAGATCCTCTAAGTATCATAAACAACTGCATTACAATATTTTAGTATGCTGTTCATCTAATATTTTACTTACAAATATTTGGTAGCAGTACTGCAATAGTCCAGCATGTCATCTATATGTCTATACAAAAAAGTTACAAGAAAATGCCACTGCTGTTTAAATGAAAGCATTATAATAGTCTATAATGTTATTCAATAACTGGTGTATTGCTTAGTAATATATAGTAAGCTTTTAACAATATTATACTTATAACTTACTTATAAGATGTCACCTGATTGTAGTTTATAAAAATATTATAGCAATGTATTAGAGTATGCAACACACTTTATAACAATAATATGTTATGTTATCACATGAGTCTTATATGTCAGTTGATATTATAGTATAATGTAAATCATTATTTATTTATAGCTGCCTGATAATAGTTTGACATATTACTAAGTATCTCAGAGTAGGATTATTTAAAACATGGCTTTAAAATGATATTACTCTGTTCTTTTATCAAAACAATACAAGAATGTTACTAAAAATTGTTAGTATACCTCTCCTTAAAAGCACCTTCAAAATTGCTTTAAAATGATACTACTATGTGGTTCTGGAAAAACTATATAAAAGTATAACCAAAAAGTGACTAGTATGCATTCTTCAAGACTCAGCCAAAAAATGGCTTTAAAATGACAATGTCATTTCACAAAAAGTGAATAAGCAATTACTTAAAAGTAACTAGCATGTATTCTAAAAGACTGAGCTGAAAAATGGCTTCAAAATGATATTACTATGTCATTTTATAAAATCTATATAAAACTATAACTAAAAAGTGATTGGTATGCATTCTAAAAGACTCGGCTGAAAAATGGCTTTAAAATGATATTACTATGTGATTTTGTGTAAAAAGTATATAAAAACATTACCAAAAAGTGACTAGTATGCATTTCAAAAAAATGAGCTTCAAAATGGCTTCAAAATGATACTACTATGTTGTTCTGCAAAAACTATATAAAAACATTACTAAAAAGTGACTAGTGTGCATTCTGAAAGACTCAGCTAAAAAGTAGCTTCAAAATGATATTATCAATTTATAAAATGTATATAAAAATATGACTAAAAAGGCATTCATTAATATTCAGCTTATAAGAATAACCTTAATAGCCTACAATGTCATGTACTTACTCTAAGGTAACTATCTGATAGAACTTTCTTAGAATCTTCGATTCTATAATTATGCCACAATTCTTCTAATATTTCTATAATTTTTTCGAAATTTTCTTCTATATCATCAGATTTTTTGTATGACATCTAATATTAGTTTGTAAGTGCCTTACAGTAGTCTGACATACTGCCTATCATTTTTAATGGAGACCTTACAATGCCCCATAATGTGATCTGATAATGCTTGATAAGCTCCTACAATATCTTACTACATAGTTTACTAACTTTTAGCAAGTTGCTCAGTACTCTAATGACCTTATAATAGCCTGGTATGGCACCTGGTATTTATTTGTAAGGCCTTATAATAGTCTGAAAGGCCACCTACTGTCAGTTTGTAGGTGTCTTACAACAATTTACAATGTCATCTACAAAATTCTAATATACCACCTACAAACCATGAATAGTCTATTATATACTTTACTGACTCCTAGTATGTCATATAATAATGTCTGGTAAGCATTCTACAATATTCTACTCCACTAAGTAGTATGAGTTTATAAGAGCCTTACATTGGTATACAAATTTATCTACAGACTTTTAATATATAAGAATCTCTACAAAAAATGACACTAGCAAGTGTGCCTATAAGAATCACTACAAAAATGTTACCAACAAGCCTATAAGAATCACTACAAAAAATGACACCAGAAACTGTTACAAATATGTGTCTAAAAGAATCACTACAAAAGATTATGCTAGAAACTGTTACTAATATGCCTACAAGAATCACTACAAAAAATAACAGCAGAAACTGTTACACATGTGCCTATAAGAATCAGTCTAAAAAATGACACTAGAAACTGTTACTAATGTGTCTACAAGAATCAGTACAAAAAATGTTACCAATGTGCCTATAAGAACCACTACAGAAAATCACAGGGGAAACTGTTACTAATGTGCCTACAAGACTCACTATAAAAAATCTTACCAATGTGTCTATAAGAACCACTACAAAAAATAACAGCAGAAACTGTTACACATGTGCCTATAAGAACCACTACAAATAACAACCGTAGAAACTGTTACTAATGTGCCTACAAGAATCATTACAAAAAATGTCACCAACATGCCTATAAGAACCACTACAAAAAATAACACCAGAAGCTGTTATGTGGCTATAAGAATCACTACAAAAAATGACGCTAAAAACTGTTACTAATGTGCCTATATGAATCACTATAAAAAATGTTACCAATGTGCATATAAGAATCACTACAAAAAATAACACTAGAAACTATAACCCATGTGTCTATAGCAACACATCAAAATGTATACAATAAATTGTTATTATATTATCTACTAAATCCTAGTATCATCTAATAATGTGTAGTAGGTGTCCTACAATGTTCCACTAGACATCAACTCCTCTACCAACTCCTAGTGTGCCATTTAATAATGTGTAGTAAGTGTCCTACAACATCCCACTATACATTGATAAGTTGTGTGGGTTGATAAGGGCCGCATTATTAAATAGTCTACAAAGTTACCTACTAACTCTTAGTATATTGCCTAGCAATGTTCAGCAAGTCAACAACACCCAATGATACTGACTCCTAATATATTTTGTAGTATGAGTTTGTAATAAGCGTACAATAGTCGGAAGTGTTACCTGGCATCACTTTGTAAGAATCTTCAGTAACCTTCAATAGTCTCTAGTAATTTCTTCTAAGTGTCCTAGTAAACATGTGACCCTACAATAGTGAGATATGTCATCTAGTGTCACTTTGTAAGATGCTTACAATAGCCTACAAAGTGTTGTATTGACTCCTAGTATGTCTAGTAGTGTTTAGGAAGCCTGCTTCAATGCCTCATTATACCATTTCTTGAATTCTATTACACCCTCTAGTATTGGTTTGTATGGCCTTACAATATTCAAATATGCCATCTAGTGTGGATGTGTAAGGAATTTACAATGGCCTACAATATTGTCTAGTTACATCTACAAGTCTACTATCATCAAAAGGCCATACCATAATTTTCCTGGTATTTCTTTTGCATTTTATTCTGCATGTTTGTCTTCAGCCACACGTCACATGGCCTGCAGGTCATGTTTCCCACCATATGGAACGTTAAGCACCCTAGAGCTCCGCAATTATTATTAAATACGGTCAGAAGCTATATAATAACAATATGTTTTATTATGCCGACAGCGAGGGCAAGTATCTAATGGTGAAGTAGTATAATTGTAGTATAATAGTAGTATAATGGTATCTAATCATTTTCGTGGTGTATAGAGATACCGTTGAGATACGGAAGATTCGCACCCAGTCCTCGCTTCAATCGCTCCTTTGAAACCATGGTCTTTGAGCCTGATAGGGCCACCAAAGAGGAGCGCACATCGGAGAGTGTGTGCTTGCTAGATGAGAAGAGGCGCTCCACTGCAATGCTGACACCAGGGATAGCCAGAATATCTCGCGCGATGCGAGAAAGGATGGGGAATGTTTTTGTGTGCATCTGTCAGTAATCAAAGATCAGTTCTGAATGTTGTCCTTGCAGTGTGTCAACTCATAAATACCTTCCATCACGGCAAGGCACCATCTTCATCAGTGCACGGATATAGATCATTGAAATACATGTCAAGCTCGCTAGCGGTATTTGCCGCAGGCACCACGCCAATTGCAGATGCAAAAACGGACTGTGCAGCATTTGGCTTGCTGGTGGTTGGCGCGACAGATGGAGCTCCATTGTCTGATGCTGTAGTAGTAGCCGCATACTTCTTGTAAAGTGCTTCAAACTCTTGACGTGCATGAGTTGGAATCTTCGGGTCCCAGAGATCCTCTTGCTCGAAGTATTTGAGTCTGATAGCTGGATGAAGAACTTGCAGTGAGAGTACATGGATCAGGATGATAAGAAAAGCATTCAGCTTGAAGGTGGCTCACCTGCACCAAGGAGTGGGTATTTCGAGACCAAAGCCTTGTTCATGTGGACTTCAAGCTTCTCCAGACCGTTCTTGAGAGCCTGCCTAAGTTGTGCTTGGTGTGCACCTTTGCACGCGAGCTCTTGAGATGGACCTCCATGAATTTGTAGAGAGGGAGGGTCATGCAGATTGTCGGTATCCCGGACTTGGAAAAGTGAAGAGTGACCTCACGAAAAGGCTTGAGCAAGTCAGAAGTGACTACGAGTCAGTGCGACAAGCCTTAAATATCATGAATACATAGTGTACGAGGAGAATCTCGGAGAGCACTTCAAGAAGCTCCCAATCTGCACGCCCAAGGTACCACTTCTTTTTCTTACAGCTAACTGCGCGTTTCTTTTTTTCGGTCAAGCCCTTGTCTAGCTGCTCTATCCACTGGTTGACTGCCTATTTGTCAGTCATTCTCAGTCAGGTATGCTGGTGTAAGTACATGTAGATCAATTCATACCGGACATAACAAGAGACCTCACTCGATCTCCGCATGGGTGGTGTTCCATCGAATAGGCATACCTCGAATGGGGACCAGATGCTTGTTCTTGGGATTGCAAAGCTGACGAATGAGTCGCTGCATGCGCTTGCGATAAACCTCTGAGTGTAAGATGTCAACGACAACAGCATGTAACTGTGGAGTGAGGGGACTACATGTGAGTCCTTGAGTACCCATATGGCATATTCAGGACCCGTTCACACATCTTGTCAATGGCAGACAGATGTTTCTTCGACTTTCGGCCAGTCTCGGATGCTTTACCTGCCCTCTGCTCGGCACCGACGTCACTGCCACATTCGCCCGCATCACTGTCTCCTTCCTCGGACTCCGTACTCTCTGCTGAATCCTGAAGTTCATCCACTGCCAGGAGTTTGCCAGACTGCTCCAATGATAACTCCTGCTCAGCCACCTTCATCTCCTCTTGGACGACTGGATCTTGGCTTGGATCATAGGTGAGGGGAAATTGGCGAGCGTCTTCATAGAGATCTTCGACATCAGGATCTGATGCAAGACCTAAGCTGTGCAGTATACATCTAATGAAGGCAGTAATCCAGATTTAAGCCTGTTAGTGTTTGAGAGATTCAAATAACATGCACTGTACAACCAGGTGAGTGACATGACCTGCACATCCAACCTGCACATCTTCAGCCTTCAGGTCTGTTCCATGACCTTCATTGATTTTCGTGCTCAGAGTACAATTTATGGTCCCATTGCTTGAGGCATTGTCTGCACTACTAGTGACTGATTTGGTCTGTTAGTATTCTCCAATCATCTAAGCTTGCATAGCACTTACTGAGCTTTTCTGCGGCCTTGCGTTTGCGAAGCGCCTTGTAGATCAGTCTCCCAGTTGTGGAGCCAGAGTGATCCCCGTCAAGAGGAGTCAGTTCCAGTACCTGCTCGATCAGGTTCCAGTTCTCATCTATCCAGAATCCAACGACACCGGCAAATGCGTAGACAGAGTTCTTGCTAGTCCATAAGTCACTCGCAATGGCAAGCTTGGACTCATTTTCCTGTCCAAGTTGAGTGAGACAGAGATCAATGTTTAATGATAGCAACAATTACCTTAATAATTGCATTCAGCCTTTGATCCAACGTTTCACACAGAATATCCAGATCTTGTTGCACAGTGTCTCCACCGGGAATGGTGTAGTTCTGAGGTAAGACGTATGTGAGACATTTATTCATCCCAGGTCTCTCCCCAAACGTGTAAGGTAAGTCATCCTCAATTATTGCCTTCACGAAGTGCTCTCAGAAACCCCTTTTTGTGACGTGCTTCTCGGGATTCTCCAGCCCGCGCTGTGTGAACTTGTGCATGATCTGTCTCTGCACAGTCTTACTAGATCCAGTATGAGATGTCTCAGGAGTGTCGTCAGCAACACCTGCCTGTCGTTGGAGCCAGGAATCAAATTTGTGATCTGATGGGAGGTGCGAGCACTTCTTCAAGTGTGATATGAAATTGCTTGAAGCAGGGAGTTGGATCGTCTCCTTTGAATGCTCTGTACAGCCCTTTGTACGAGGTGATGTCTGAAAAGTCCTTGTTGATAATCATTAGCAGAGGAATGACAAAAACTGACAGGAGAACTGCCGTACTTGCACCAATTGCATTCCCACTTCCAAATTGGCTTCTCCTTCTTTGTCTGTGCTATGGGTGTATAATGCGAGAATGCCCACTTCTGCTTCTGCGCGGGACGTCCAGGCTTCCCCTGGATTTCTTCAATATCACTGGGGTCACTCGGACTGTTCTCGCCCTCTGACACATCCGACTTGGCATCCTTCGACTCAAGAAAGTTCAACACTCAGCCTTCGTCTCTAGACTTAGATACATCCAGCAGGCTTACCTTGGACGTGTGTGCTTTTTTTGCTAATGGCTGTCCTTTCTTCACTTTGGAAAGCTGCTTCTGAGATGCGTAGATTATGTAAGTTCCATGCGCTTCAATGTACAACTAGTTTGTACCTTTGATGGCTTATCTTTTGTTTTCTTACCCTGTGAGAACCTTCGGTCACAAAAGAGGTCACAAGTGACACGAAGCGCAAACATACCTTGGCTGCCGGTACGTTCATAATTTGCTCGGCAACTTTGTCAAGTGTACTCCTGGACTTATCTGCTTCTGCTTTCGCCCTACGACCTACAGAGTACCTCAGACTCAATACTGACAGTTCACTGTTATAGATATCATCTGCATACCTCACTTCCCGAGTGTTGTTGAACCTCGCAGTTCCGGTGTCGGATGCTGCATAGCCAGGTCCTTTGGTCCAGAAGGGGTGACAGCTCCTGTGAGAGTCATCTGGGCCATTGGGCCAGATGAGGCTACACTTGTTGTCGGAAGTGAACTGCATACCCTGCGGAGACTTTCAGTGAGTGCTATGAATTGTGGTTCTTCAGAGACTGATTACTGACACTCGAGTAATAAGTGCAATGAGGGTGTCTACCCTCTGTGTAAGCAGGATGAGGCCATCATTGGCCTCCATGTTCAGGAGCTCTGCAAAATGTGCGAAAAAATCATATACAAGCTGGAGGCCGTAGTTTCCTCTGCTGACAAGGCCAGCTAGCTGTTCCTCTGGGACCTGAAAGGTGTGGACCCAAGCCTTATCCACATTGTAATAGGGTCCTTCATCCTCGTCAACAGAAAAATCACCAAAATGGTGAGCTATAGGACCGTCCTCTGGGGCAACAGGTACCGAAGGCAGAAGTGCACTGACTAGAAGTCTGAGATGATTGGGTCGGCCACGTAAGTTTGATTGCTGTTCGACATCAGAAGCCATGCTATGCAGTGCTACAGGTGCATTGGCGAAAGTCTCGATGGCGAAGTTCTCCACCGAGAGGCTGGTAATGTATAGTACTACCCTATTATAACCCAGAAATTTAACCACCGCCTTGGTGGTATGGCGAGCTTAGCTGTCGACCGAGGCAATGGCGCGCACTTCTCCTGCACCCTCCTGCACCCTGGACGACGGCCTGATCCTCATGAATATAATTAGATACAAATTGGTAATATATTATATTCATACTGTATTGTAATATATTCTACCATACTACGAACCATTGTATTACGGGTGAAAACTGTATTTAATAGCAATGTCGAGTTTGATTATTATTATAATGCATTATAATAATAATCTTGCGGAGTGCTATAGAGCACTTAACGTTTCGTATGGTGGGAAACGTGACTCGGGTGGCACATTACACTACCGGCTTCAAGCACTTGTTACCACACTTGTAGCCAAACTTGCCAGGCTTGTAGCTCACTCAATTCTGCTCGGATTTGGATAAATCAAGTGGCCATTCTGACCGAATTTTCAAGCTGAATCTGACGGTGTTACTTTTAGAACATCAAAATCACTGGCTGGAGTGCTACAATTTATTTTCTTAGTTTTCTCTCCATTCTGCTTGCTTCTTCAATATGCACTGCATGTAAAAAATAAGGCGCCCTATCTAACATGTTTATGTGCATTTTAGAGTCATGCTCAAATTTTTCTGGCATTTATCCAATTTTTCTGCACTTCACACTGAGCATTCTAATCCAAAACTGAGATATCTCTGCCAGTTTTACTCAGATTTACTTGGTTTAAGAGAGCATTATGCTCCATTTTCTTCACAGATTTCAATGGTACTGCTTTTTATGTGTTGGAATTAGCATGTGCTTCTATACTTTCACTGACTATGATGCATTGGTCCTCTGTGGCTGCTGTGGCACTTCTATTGATTACTATTTGTGCAAGTCGCGTTGGTTTTCACTACAATCAGTTTGAAAGGCCGACTGTACTCAAGTTGTAGGATGGTAACAACAGGCACTACAAAGTTTGTAGTTAAACCCTAGACCTAACCCAGGACTAGGTGCAGCTCTCACATACAAAATTGTATTGAAAAGTCATTCCCACACCTTGGGGAAAAAGTGCGTGTCTGTTACAACGCTCCCCACTTGTGGCGCGTCTTTTCTTTTTCTTTTCCTTGTTCCCTTTACGTTACCAGACCACGTGATCCAACACGTGACTCATTGGAGCGCAACCTCCGATTCTTTACCCAGATGCCCAGAACCCCTAGTCTAGGGTTACACCGGATCCAACTCCGGACCTTCTTCTTATCGCGCATGCAAGACGTGCATGTACGCCTCATCTTTACCTCGTTCTGATACACGACTCGTTATCCCCATTAGTACTGATTATCTCTCACGACCTTACTCAGCTTTCTCATACATATTACTTCCTCGCTGTTACCTTGCCCAGATATCGTTTCACCTTATCTAGCCAATGAATGATCTCGCATTACTGCGTAGTACTGCGGATACCTTTTGTATAAGTAAACGACCTTGTCGAGCTGGATCCCCATCTCGACCTGGTTACCATTAAACCAGCTTTCCACTTGCCTTTGACTGAGATCGACCGTCAGTAGCAGACAGCTACTACGAGTCATAAGAACGAACTCTGATCGACTTGAACGGACTTGTGTCTTAGACTAAGACCTTGTCTCGTGACGACTTGACTAGACGCTCGTGTTTCGCTGCCGCGTAACATTAGGTCGAGATCTTATTACTCTCTGTGACTTCCTAGAGTCTAACAACGAACTACCGACCGGACCGAACCTTGAAGACTGAACGATACACCCGATTCGATTGCTAAAGCACCGTTTGAGATTACTCTGTAATCGAGGTAGCTGAAGGGATAGACTGATCACTCATCTTCGGAGAGGGGTCTGTCCGAGAGACCAATAGGCCGAGGAGGCTGAGGTAATCACTCGAGCAATCAGCAAATAGGTGTATCAGTTTGAAGACAGAAGACACTCTACGGGCTTGTTAGCCGACGACGAACGAACCCACTTAGTTAAGGACGGTGTGCAGTCTACGTGTAGACATAGGCCACACAGAAGAATTTATCCACGCTGGATTTTAACTACATCAACCCGACCGCTCTTCCAGAGCAGTACCGCGAGCACCTCCCATCCCAAGCGGAGTGGAGCACAGAACGAAACGCACATTTCATAGGAGGAAGGCCTGTATTCATCAGGCCAGACAATCACAACTTCGACTACTCCCCAGAGGAATTTGAAAGGACACTTCCCCATAATCTTGGTGGAATAGTGCTCCAGCACATCGCAGACAGCGGTATAACGACCTCCTATCCAGGAGAAAGACCAGACGCCCCTTGGAACCCCCCTGCCCAGAATCCTGTACCCCAACCGACTCTTGCACCAATCGTACCCGATTACATACCACCGATGGCTACAGTTACCATGGATGAAGGACGTCACCATGCTAGCCAGAAGGAACTTGGTTTTAGAAAACCCGAGATCTTCAACGGTTCAGACCGTTCGAAGCTTAGGGAATTTATAAACCAATGCAAGAACTACATGGCCGGAAATAGCCATGTCTACCAGGAGGACAATCAGAAGATCGCATTCGTGCTATCGCACATGCAAGGAGGAACAGCAGGATCATGGGCACAGAGCTTCATAGAAACGGAACTCACCAATGATGACTTCCTTTCTTATGGGAGTTGGAGAGACTTCATTGCAAGTGTGAACAAAGCATTTGGCGATGAAAATATTGAAGAAACCGCTCGTACCTTGCTGCGTAACATCAAGCAAGGAACTCGTACTGCGGACGACTACATTGCCGAATTCCGATCGCTTGAATCCAAGGCGAAACTAGAAGATGCCGGAAATATCGAGTATTTCAAGTGGGGACTTAACGACCCACTCCGACAAAGGATATATGGGATGGAAAGCATGCCCAAGACACTTGACAAGTGGTACGAATACGCCTCGCGGTTTGATAACCAATGGAGATCTGCTCAGATCTTCAAGCGAGGAGCCACTACGACGACGCGAGGAAAGGGCCGATCTGTCCATCGTCCCTACTACTCGGCTTCTGCAAAGGATCCAAACGCGATGGATGTTGATCGTGTCAATATCTCGCGCTTATCCCCAGACGAGCGACAGAAGAGAATGAAAGAAGGATTATGTTTCCTATGCGGAAAGAAGGGCCATATAGCCAACGACAGACAATTTCACCCCCAGTCTGGAAGTTTCACCCGTGCTAGAACGATACAGCCCGGGTTAGACACAGACACGATCACATGGATCAAAAAGATGCGAGAAGACCTCACACAGAAGAAGGAGACGTTGAAGGAAGAAACCAGAGAGGAACAGATCGCCTATGTGCGAAACGTCTTCAACGACATGACTGACGAAGAACGAACCCAATTGGGTTTTTAAGACGACGGCCACTAGTAATGCATGGACCGTCGCATCTTACCGTATCTCCCCTCATTATTTGTAACACTAGCGGAAATTCAATCACTGTGAATATTTCGTTGGGAGAGAAGGAAGACGTTACAACAGAAGCCTTGATCGATTCCGGTGCAGCCGAAACGTTCATGAACATTCGTTTTGCGGAAGAAAACGATTTCATCAGATGGGAATTACCGAAACCGATTACAGTCATGAATGCAGATGGCACACCAAATCAAATGGGTACCATTACTCATTGCACCTGGAAGATGATGAAAATCGGAGGAAGGAAGACGCTTACTCGCTTCCTCTTGACCGGCATTGGCAAAGAAAACATACTTCTCGGCATGCCGTGGCTTAAACGCCTCAATCCGATGATCAACTGGGAAACCGGTGACTTTTGGTTTGGTAAAGAGGCCAAATGGCCACCGAAACCCACCGTCGAAGACGCACCAGATAAAGAAGTTTCGATTTTCAAGGAAGATGGACTCCCAGAGCTAATCGCCACCGAAACTTCCCCTACCTCGTTTGGGCATTCGGAATCTATCAGAGAAATCATGACAGATAACACTGAGCGTGGCGAGTTACCCGCAGTGCGGAATGATACCGAACTAGATGACCTACCATCAGAATCCCCTATGGATCAGCTCGATGATGACGATCTAGTTATATCCTATATCGCAGGAGAGCCAGTCATTGGGATATTTGAACCCATCAGGAAGGAGTCACCTTTGACGAATGAAGAGACTGAAACCGCAGTCTTCACCATACGAAGAGGCCCCGCCATTGGAAGAATGACACACAGTACTTGATCCCCATTATTCTGTAATGCACAGAATACGGTCTTTTACAAACCATCCGGTAAATCACAAGAATTGGCACAACAGGCACACAAAGAAGCATCAGCTGTAGACAAACCCAAAACCGTCGAGGAGTTGGTCCCCAACTACCTCCACGATTTGAAGTCCGTCTTTGAAAAGAAAGCAGCTGAACGCTTTCCAGAAACCAGGCCTTGGGACCACGCCATTGACTTGAAACCCGATTTTATTCCACGCGACTGTAAAGTCTATCCGTTATCGCTCAAAGAACAAGGAGCGATGGATGACTTCCTGGAAGAAAATCTGCGAAAAGGATACATCCGACCGTCGAAATCTCCCATGGCTTCACCATTTTTCTTCGTAGGAAAGAAAGACGGAGCACTACGTCCTTGTCAGGATTACCGATACCTGAATGAAGGGATGGTGAAGAACGCCTATCCTCTTCCGCTCATCTCTGACCTTATGGATCAATTCAAAGGCGCATCGATCTTTACGAAAATGGATTTACGCTCCGGATATAACAATGTCAGAATCAAAGATGGTGACCAATGGAAGGGTGCATTTAAGACAAATCGCGGACTTTTCGAACCTATGGTCATGTTCTTTGGACTCTGCAACTCCCCGGCGACTTTCCAAATGATGATGAACGCACTCTTCAAGGACATGATCGATGAGGGATGGATAGTCATTTACATGGATGATATCCTCATCTTCTCAAATGATTTGGAAGAACATCACGTTCGAACCCGACGCGTACTCCAACGACTCGAAGACAACGACTTATTCCTTAAACCGGAAAAGTGTTTCTTTGATGTTAAAGAAGTCGAATTCCTAGGCATGATCATTCGAGAAAACTACATTGGCATGGACCCTATCAAACTTAAAGGAATTGCAGAATGGCCTGAACCAAGCACGGTAAAAGGTGTTCGCTCTTTCCTAGGGTTTGGAAACTTCTATCGGAAGTTTATTGCCAACTTCTCGGATATTGCCAAACCATTGACGAATCTTACGAGCACTGCCGCTGGATCTCCACCTTTTGAATGGACAACAGAATGTCAGACAGCTTTCGACACGTTAAAACAACGATTCAGTACCGCCCCAGTACTGTTACTGCCTGACAAGGCAAAACCCTTTATTGTTGAATCCGACGCTTCCAAGTTTGCTACGGGTGCAGTTTTACGCCAAGCCGACATCAATGGAGACCTCCATCCTTGTGCCTACATTTCACAGACACTCAATCCAGTTGAACGGAACTACGAAATCTACGACCGCGAACTCCTCGGAATCATTCGAGCCCTCGCTGAATGGTGCCATTATCTTGAAGGCTCTCCCCATCCCGTCGAAGTTCGCAGTGATCACAAGAACCTCACGTACTTCCGTACAGCTCAGAAGTTAAACCGCCGACAAGCACGATGGAGTCTCAAATTATCACAATTTGATCTTCACCTCATTCATGTCCCCGGCACTCAGATGATCCAATCTGATGCACTATCTCGTCGTAACGGACTCGATGACAGTGAAAGTGACAATGAAGATCGCGTTCTTTTACCCAATGCACTGTTTGTGCGATCCATTTCCCCGACATTATTTGACGAAATCAGGAATCACGCAGCAAAAGACCTCATTGTTCACGAAGCCCTCGAAGCGATTGTACACAAAGGGCCATTCCCCATGAAATCATCGCTTTCTGACTGGGAAGTTCGCGATGGTGTCATCCTCTACAAGGGAAAGATCTACGTTCCACCATCCGAAACTCTTCGTCGTGACCTCGTTCGACTACATCACGACTCCCCTGCCATGGGTCACCCTGGAAAGTTCAACACTCTTGAACTGTTACGTCGTGAATTCTGGTGGCCCGGCATGTATACATTTGTCTACAATTATGTTGAAGGCTGTGCCGCCTGTCAACAAATGAAACCGAACACTCATCCAACGCGTATTCCTTTGGAACCAATTCCCGCCGACCCACACGCATTACCATTTTCCTGTTGCACCACCGATTTTATTACCGACCTTCCCATTTCCAATGGTTTTGATTCAATTATGGTCGTAGTAGACCATGACCTTATGAAGGGGGTGATTCTTACGCCCTGCCTCAAAACGATCACAGCCGAAGGAACAGCCAAGATTTTTCATGACAAAGTATACTCGCGATTTGGATTACCCGACCGAATCATCTCGGATAGAGGACCTCAATACGCATCCAAGGTCTTCCAAGAGTTAAATCGACTACTCCAGATCAGATCATCAATGAGCACAGCTTATCACCCTCAGACGGACGGAGAAACAGAGCGAGTCAACCAGGAGCTGGAAATCTATCTTCGACTCTATTGCGGAAACAACCCTGAAACATGGGCCGACCGCCTGCCAGACCTCGAGTTTTGTCATAACACAAGGGAACACTCAGCACGGAAGATGAGCCCATTCCGCATCATGATGGGATACGAACCACGTGGACTCCCTTCCGTATTTCCGTCCACGAACATTCCATCGGTTGAATCCAGGCTTGACATGTTGCAGAAGATAAGACTAGAAGCACTAGCCATGCACGAGTTAGCCCGACAACAGATGGCGGACCGAGTCAGACAAGGATCGCCGAAGTTTACACTAGGACAGAAGGTCTGGCTAGACTCGAGGAACCTGAAGGTCAATTATGCCTCGCACAAGATAGCACCAAAGCGTGAGGGGCCATTCGAAATTGTCGAAGTCATCGGACCGGCCAACTATCGTCTCAAACTCCCGAAGACCTGGCGAGTTCATTCCGTATTTCACGCCGCCCTTCTATCTCCTTATCGCGAAAACGACATACATGGTCCGAATTACATGAACCCACCACCTGATGTCGTTGATAACGAGGAAGAGTACGAAGTCGAAGCCATCCTGAATCACAAGACGTACCGAGGTCATCTGAGGTACTTAGTCAAGTGGAAGGGATATTCTTCAGCAGAAAACTCGTGGGAACCTACCCACAATTTACAGAATGCCAAGCGAATCCTCGATGCATATAAAAGGACCAGGGGAATCCAGTAGAGGAGAAGAAACCCGGAATGACTACCACGACGGTTTTCCTCATCATCTTCCTAATCGTCCTCCACTGCACAACCCTCGCCTTTCTTTGGATCATCCACCGAATCCTTATCAGACGACTTGTCTAACACACACTCTTCACGCGAGACAGCCCGCACGCTAACGGCTGGGGTGATCAGAACGATGCCTGGAACTGATCAGGCAGCTCTTATCTCTGTGGGAATACTCTTTATCGTCCAATGGATTTTCATCTATTTGATTATTACCCGGATCCACGACATTCTATTTCACATCACAGATAACCGCGACCCCCTTAACGACCGAAAGGTATAAAAGGGGGAGAAAACGACATATCATCAATGCCCACTTCCGCTATAGACAACCTTGTTCACAATATACTCGCTGAAGTCGCCTCCACAATTATGAGCATACCTGCATCGCCTACGCTTGTCAATGGAGTACCCTCTCGAGCACAGACACCCTTTATCCGCACCTCATCGCCCTCACCTTCTATCGAACTCAGTCACGCATCGGACGAACAAGAATTTGCCACACGTCTGGTCTCGGCTATCCGTGTTCCTGTCGACTTCACAGATATCCTCGTCGCCTTACGAAATCGCCCGCAAGATTGACAAGCGGTGGTTTCCATGCAACGAGCATTAGAAATGGTCGAGTGGATGCAGACGGCCAGACAAGAGCTCATCGCAGCAGAAGAAAGGACGAGTAGAGCCCGAACCAGAGTCGACCAAGTCTGGTCGTTGATGCGCAGTACGGTCACTCGTACAGCACAGGAGATTTGGAGGGAGCATGGGGACGAAGACATCGGACACATCCTCGGATACACCACTAATGGAATACCCGCGTCCACTCCTCGCTCGTCGCCAGAACCAATTCCCGTTCGACCTCGCCCTCCTCGTTCGCACGTACCCAGTGGACGATCTCCGTTATCCCAACCATCTTTCTCGACTGCATCCACTTCTTCGCGTCGCAGTCATCCCTACAGGAATGGACGTATCCCCGAACAAGGATCACGAACCAGCCGGCGGACATGCTACAGATGTGGAGGAGATCATTATGTCCGCGACTGCCCCCGACGACGATGAAGATCACAATATTTCTTGTGGGACAAGAAACGTTAGACGGGAGCTGATGTTACAACGCTCCCCACTTGTGGCGCATCTTTTCTTTTTCTTTTCCTTGTTCCCTTTACGTTACCAGACCACGTGATCCAACACGTGACTCATTGGAGCGCAACCTCCGATTCTTTACCCAGATGCCCAGAACCCCTAGTCTAGGGTTACACCGGATCCAACTCCGGACCTTCTTCTTATCGCGCATGCAAGACGTGCATGTACGCCTCATCTTTACCTCGTTCTGATACACGACTCGTTATCCCCATTAGTACTGATTATCTCTCACGACCTTACTCAGCTTTCTCATACATATTACTTCCTCGCTGTTACCTTGCCCAGATATCGTTTCACCTTATCTAGCCAATGAATGATCTCGCATTACTGCGTAGTACTGCGGATACCTTTTGTATAAGTAAACGACCTTGTCGAGCTGGATCCCCATCTCGACCTGGTTACCATTAAACCAGCTTTCCACTTGCCTTTGACTGAGATCGACCGTCAGTAGCAGACAGCTACTACGAGTCATAAGAACGAACTCTGATCGACTTGAACGGACTTGTGTCTTAGACTAAGACCTTGTCTCGTGACGACTTGACTAGACGCTCGTGTTTTGCTGCCGCGTAACAGTGTCCTCCCAAAAGTTGGCGGAAGCCCTATCCCATAAAGAACAATTCCTTTGTACCTCAGAAATCGTAATCACTACACTTGAGGCTTGATCGTTGCAAAGGCCTCATTATGGTCTTTAGACTCTTTACAATCATGATATGTTACTTGACACTAGTAGTGCTGACTAACCCGGAAGTAAGACGAAGTTGAGTGGGGACTGTACGTCCTCCATTTACAGACCAGATTAATATGGGAGAGGGCAGTGCGTTAATTATTCATGCTGAGGGAGGCGAGGGCAGAGATCATTACGATCTCACGCGATTTACGTGTGACTGTAAATGGGGGAGGGTTATGGCCAACATAAGGATGTCACAGGACGCATAACTCCTTTTTTCTCGAGGAAATAACTTAGAAAAATGCGTGGAAATCAACACAGTTATACTGCAGGAAAAACATGAGGAAAAAATGTGTAAAAGAACAAAGCATTTCCGCAGTTTTTCCACTGGAAATAAGTTGGTCGCCAAATATGGTAATTTTATCCGGGTTTTGGCATGTCCTGTCATGTCCTGTCATGTCCAGTTGCCTGATATGGTAGGCAACTTATTTCCAAGGGAAAAAACCGTGAGAATGTTTTGTTCTTTTCTCATTTTTTTCTCGAGGTTTTTCCTCTGAAAACATATTATTGATTTCCATGCTTTTTGCCAGGTTATTTCCAATGGATAAAAGTGGTAATGCTTCCTGTGTGTCTGCCAAGTTCCGCAGTGCAGAAGGCAGTTTGGCTGAAAGGGCGGGCACTGAGGGAGGGAAAAATATATCTCTACCTAGATAATGTGCTGGTGCATTTACTGACATGAATACATATTGTCCGGAAACCATAGACAGCAGGGAAGGGGCAGGAACACCATTCCGAGGGGGAGCCACAACTTGCCAAGCGCAGGCCGTGCGGAACAGATGGAAGGGAAAATGACTGTAAATTGGCGCCTTGTGACTGTAAATTCAGCGACACGCAGCTGGCTGAAATGGGGTCGATTTTTGGTGGGAACACCTCCGAGATTACTTCATGAGGCTCTAGCATTCGATGCGTTTACAGTCGCCGGGTTTACAGTCCTACGGGATTTTCCCAAAGCGCTACTCAACGCCGGCACGGAAATCGGCACATTTCATCACATGATCACACATTCTATATTGGGACTTCCTCCCCTCAAGAGGCATGCAAAAATCAAATTCCGCACACGAGGTCAGAAAATCCAGTTAAGGACCTTCGAGACCCCCTCCCCCCGTGGAAATTTCCCATGGCCTATATATGGAAGGTGATTGCCATAAAGAGGAGCTACCAAAAATGACTACATAAGTATGTCACCTGTTTACCTGTGTGACCCGACATCACACCTACTAAGCCCCTGACCCCGACCCCGCCCCCCCGCCGCCAGCCGAACACCAACCTCCGATACGCATTGCAAATAATGCTGTTGGAAAGTAGCGCCCAAATTTCTGGAGCTCCAGAAATTGGGGAGCGCCCAAGGGCAGACAAGCCGAGGGCATGATTACAAAGAAAGACAAAGAAGGAAATTTGCTTATATAAAGTGGAGCGTCTAGAACTGTATATATACAGAAATCTATTTTAGGACGCGTAATCACGCGCCCCGACGCATCTTGACCCGCCATCACTACCTTCCTATTTGGGAACTAAGGCGCGATTTCTAACAGGTTATGAGCCCCGGCTCTAGCCAATAAATACTTGGATAACAACAGCCCCTATTGTGGCTACAAAAATTGTTACCCCCTTACTAGTACGAGAACAAATAATGTCGACCAGCGCTGATAATACGAGCAATAGCAATGCTTACCGGATCCCGCTCCTGAAGGAAGACAATTGGCTCCCGTGGAAGCGCTGTGTCGAGGCCATCCTTAATGATAAGGGTCTCCAGGAGTATGTGACCGGAAAGACACCGAAGCCGCAGCCGAGTAATGACCCGGCCAATAGGGCAGCGAGAGAGGCGGAGATTAGCGCCTGGGGAGAGAAGGACCTCAAGGCCCAGAACGTAATTGTGCTATCGCTGGGAGATTCCCAGATGGTGCACATCGCTGGAGCCGAGACGGCACGGGCCATGTGGGAGCAGCTTCGCACAGTCAAGGAACAGCGTGGACAGCATGGAATTCTCGCGCTGTGCCGGCGTTTTTACCGGATGCAAGCCAAGGAAGAAGATAATATCTCCAGTCACATTACACAGCTACGACAGATCCAGGAACAACTCCACCTAATGGGGAAGGTTGTTTCTGACGAAGATTTCTGGCTCATTCTGGCTACCTCATTACCGGAGAGCTGGGACTCTTTCCTCAGCTCTTACTTTGGCGCCGTGGGCGGCAATGTTGGCGCCGAAGGTGCTGACAACGTGCGCCCTCAGCTTACATCACAAGAATTGATTGCCATCATTCTTGATGAAAATAGGTGAAGGCACGAGCGTGGCGAGCGCGGTCAATCCTCGGACCAAGCCATGGTTGCCAAAGGAAAGAAGCGCCCCTTTGGGGAATACAAAAAATGTTCGATCTGCGGAAAGCCGGGACATCTTGGTAACGAGTGTCGGCACCGCAACAAGGTCAAATGTATGAATTGCGGAAAATTCGGGCATAAGGCCACGGATTGTTGGGCTAAAGGCGGCGGCAAAGCCAGACAGGGCCCGCCGATGAAACGGCAAAAGACGGAACGTGCTTACAAAGCGCGCGAGGTCGAATCGAAAGAGGATGAGGCAAAAATAGCCTACGATAATGATAGCGACACTGTATCTCTCGGATCTGATGGCGAAATCGCTTCTTTCTATGAGTGGTTTGCCGACTCCGGGACAACTTCGCACATTACAAATCGTCGTGAAGTCTTCGCGACCTATCAGGCGCTCGAAGATCACGCGATCACGGGCATCAGACCGCAACCAATGCAGGCATTGGGCCGCGGTACGGTCGATGTCGAAAGTAAAGTAGGAGACCGGAAAGTGAAATTCCGTCTCCACAGTGTACTGTATGCGCCGACAGCACCCAATAGCCTCCTCTCCATCACGCGTTTGGACGATGCGGGAGGAAGAGTACTTATGGGTAATAGTCGTGCAATACTAATAGATAAAAATAAACACACTCTTGCTATAGGCAAGAAAAATGGACGACTATATTCATTGAAATTGTGTCCAATAGTTCCACAACCTGCGCGAACCTATACTGCTAAGGAATACGGCCCGCATACCTGGGAAGAGTGGCACAAGATCTATGGCCATATCGGGAAACCAGCGCTTATGCGATTATATTGCGAAGGGCTTGTTGATGGCCTAGAAATCTCGCCAAGCCCAGATGAAATTAATTGCGAGGCGTGCATTCAAGCAAAGGCAACGCGGAAGCCATTTCCCAAAGAGACGGACGAATGCAGCAAGGTACCCGGAGAATTAACACACACGGATGTGTGGGGACCTGCGCAGACAGCCGCTCTACAAGGGTGGAAATATTTTATTACATTTACCGATGATTACAGTCGTCGAAGTACAGTACTATTTATGAGGCATAAAGATGAAGTAACTGAAAAGGTAAAGAATTATATTACCTATATCGAGCGCAAGTTTGGAAATAAACCCTTGCGACTCAGGCTCGACAACGGTCGAGAATATATGAACACCGAATTAATTAACTGGTGTCAAATGAAAGGGATCGAGATGGGTCCGACTGCGCCGTACTCACCATCCCAGAACGGAGTCTCTGAGAGATTGAATCGCACACTGCTTGGACTAGCGCGCGCGATGATCTATGCGAGAGATCTACCTCGTTATCTTTGGGCTGAAGCGATTGCTCACGCAGTCTATATTAAAAATAGATCGCCTACCCAGGCGTTAAATGGGGCAACTCCCGAAGAAAAATGGAATGGGACGAAACCAAATATCTCGTACCTACAAGAATTCGGTTCCCCCGTATGGGTCCTCACGGAGGACGCAACACTATCAAAGCTAGCGCCCCGTGCCAACAAGTATATTTTTGTTGGATACATGGACGGACCCAAAGCCATCAAATATTATGATGCACATACGCGCCAGATTAAAATCTTGCGTAATTTTCAATTTTCTTCGAATTCCCCGGACCATTTGCCCGGCAACGCGCCTCACGTGCCACAAGAGCAAATAGGATCCGACGTACCTATCCTCACAGCACAGCGTGAGGGGGAGCAAAATATATTTCCGGCACTTTACCTAGCAATGCGTCAGACGTGCCGCATGCGGAAAGAAGACCCGAAGTCCCAAACCTCACAACGACCGCAGACGTGCGGCGCGAGGGGGAGTTAGGAACTTCCGCGCCACAGTCACCTGCCAAAAATCCGCGAAAGTGCAGACAGGATGATGATCCTGATCAACGCGAGGAAAGCGGGACGGACGCACCAAGCCAGCCCAGACGAACCAGAAGAAAGACAGTTCGGCATGATTACCGTCTAATGCATGACCCAGAGGCAGACGAAGATCTGGATAATGATCCAGATAAATCAAATGCCGAATTAGTCTATATTGCGATGAGCGCCCACGGAAATTCGGATGCGGATGAGCCAAAGACGCTCAGTGATGCCAAGAGATCACTCGAGTGGCCCAAATGGGAACAGGCAGTCCAGACGGAACTCAATCAACTACAGGGTATGGAGACTTGGGAGTTAGTGGAACCTCCCGAAGATCGAAAACCCGTAGGAAATAAATGGGTTCTAGTTAAGAAAACAAACAAAGAGGGTGAAATAATCAAATACAAAGCCCGCCTGGTTGCGAAGGGATATTCTCAAATCCCAGGCATGGACTATACTGAGACGTTCGTGCCCGTAGTCCGCCTCGAAACCATTCGAGCTATCCTTGGGCTAGCCGCAATCTTAGATTGGGAGATCGGACAGATGGACGTGAAAGGCGCCTATCTCAATGGAACTCTCAAAGAAGAAGTGTATATGCGGCAACCCGAAGGATACAGCGATGGAACATACCGCGTATGTAAATTAAAGAAAACCCTCTACGGGCTAAAGCAGTCTGGCCGAGAATGGAATATCGTGCTGAACCGCAAGTTACTAGACGCGAGATTCAAGCGCCTATTCTCGGATCCATGTGCGTACATTCGGATCAAAGGTGATAAGATAGAAATCGTCACCGTTTGGGTAGACGACCTATTAATATTCACCAATGATTGCGCACTGATGGACCAATTGAAGAGGGAACTCCGAAATATGTTCGAAGTTACCGACCTTGGCGAACCCCGAAAAATTGTGGGGATAGAAATTGAGAGAGACCGTTCAAAGCGGACAATCAAAATCTCTCAGACAAAATATATTGAGTCTATCCTACACAAGAATGGGCTTACGAACGCCAACACGGTCGGGATGCCTCTTGATCCAAATACAGTGCTTGAAAAAGAAGAACCCGAAACTGATGACGAATGCGACCGAGACAACGGATATGCATCGCTCGTCGGATCACTGATGTACGCGGCAATTGCCACGAGACCAGACATTGCTCACGCCGTGCAACGACTTAGCTCATTTACTGCCAATCCCGGAATGGCTCATTGGACTGCTGCTAAACGCGTCCTCCGCTATCTATCCGGAACACGAGAACTTGGAATAATCTACGGGCCAATTGCAGATGTCAAGCCCGAAGATCAATCCATATTTGTGGGCTACTCAGATGCAGACTATGCGAACGATATCCGAGATCGCAAATCAATCTCGGGATATTTATTTAAATTAGGAAATGGCACGATCACGTGGAGCTCAAAGAAGCAAACCACGGTCGCGTCATCCACCACGGAAGCCGAATACATGGCATCCGCCGAAGCGGCAAAAGAAGCCGTGTGGCTCCGAACACTATTCAAAGAAATAGGTTTCGAGCAACAAGATCCTACAATTTTATTCGAGGATAATACAGCGGCGATCTCAATCGCACGTGATCCCCAATTCCACGCGAAATCAAAACATTTTGATGTAAAGCATCATTATGTGCGCGAAAAATTGAGGGATAAATATATTGATATCCACTACTGTCCCACGGAGGACATGATAGCGGATATCCTAACAAAATCACTCCCTAAGCCGAGGCACGAGAAGCTCACAAAGAAGCTCGGAATGCCCATCGGCTTGAGGGGGAGTGTTGGAAAGTAGCGCCCAAATTTCTGGAGCTCCAGAAATTGGGGAGCGCCCAAGGGCAGACAAGCCGAGGGCATGATTACAAAGAAAGACAAAGAAGGAAATTTGCTTATATAAAGTGGAGCGTCTAGAACTGTATATATACAGAAATCTATTTTAGGACGCGTAATCACGCGCCCCGACGCATCTTGACCCGCCATCACTACCTTCCTATTTGGGAACTAAGGCGCGATTTCTAACAAATGCAAACTCTTCTCTGCGATAGGTTTCAACTGTAAGGCATGGAACTCATGAGAATAAGCCTTTCCTCACCTCTTACTAGCAGTTTCTTAGGTGGAAATAATTTCCGGTTAAGGGCTTCGGAGACCCCCCCTACCCTGTGTCTCGGATTTTGCCGGTGCATGCCTCTTGCCTTGTCATGAATTCCGACTGTAATTCCCCCTGCGTCTGCGACTGTAAATGCCCCTATCCCGACTGCAAACCCAGCGGAAAAAGCCCCTCATACGAGGATCCAGCCTCTATATAGAGGAACGACTCTTTCTTCCTATATACTAGAGGCTGGTTAATATGTCTGAACATGGTCCCGACGCTTACGAGAGGGCCACCTACTACAATGGAATTACTGGGGACAACGACCACCCGGAACTCATGTACCGTTCCGACTACCTCACTACACCATTCCCCAAGCCCACCGGCAGATTCGCTCACATCCCCGTCAAATCAGTCTACGGGACCTTCGATACCTCGCTGAATAAGGCCTGGGACACTGTCGGTCCCCAGATTGTCGACATCATCGTTGCGCGAAATATCAAGTGCACCTCCATCGACCCGGCCCGCTTCCTCACACACGCTGAGCCGGGAGAGGGGGGGCAAGGGGCGTCTCGGTCCGGTCGTTGTATGGATTGGAGTCCAGCCCGGTTCTACCTCCCGCGACACCGCCCACGATGTCTCTCAGGCGATCCTCGCCCTTCTGCGGAAGAACAATGTCAAGGACGTTGTCGTAGAATGGAGGGAGGCAGTCCCGCAGTGGCTGGCTGGCCCCCCGCTCTTGCGACATGCCTCCGACCGCGATGCCACCCACTACGTCCGCCGATTCCTCACTGCTCTTCTCGCGGTTCCCCTAACCACCGAAGATATGGAGGATGACCACTCCCAGGGCACACTTACCCTTTGGTTTCTCGAGAACAAAACCAACGACGGTAAACCCAGCGACAAAGTCTACGGCCTCAGCAACTGCCACGTCCTCCGCAAGGATACCACCGTCGATTACTCTCTCAAGGGCGGCGCACCCAAGGACCATGTCCGCGTCTGCGGAATGCGCCGGTTCCAGCGCGGCCTCGACGAGATCACCAAAGCCGTTGCTGACCGCGTCTTTTTCGCTAACATGTACGCCCAAGACATCGCCAGGCTCCAAGCGCAGGAGAACCAGGGCCCGGAGACCGCGGATGATCTGGAGTGGAATCGAAGCAAACTAGAAGATGAAAACAGAGCCATCGCCAGCCTCGAGCGCCTCCACGACGAAGCGACCAAATATTGGTCCAATATCAAGCTACAGCGCAACATCGGCCACGTCGAATATGCTCCGAAAATTAAGGTTGACGAAGGCAACACACGATACACGGCAGACTGGAGCGTTTTCGTGGCTGCGGAGGCGAAGGTCAAGGGTGCCTTTGAAGGCAACGTGGTCGATCTTGGTGCGTTTCGACTTATCTTTCTCGCATATCCCTCGTCTGACGAACTCAACCCTCATTTAGGATCCAAGTTTTCTGCTCCGGAGTTAACAGCGATGTTCTATCCTGTGGCTGGTGGAGCGACCACGTTCAAGTATCCCTCGGGGAGGAAGCTGAAGATTTCCGGCTGCGCCTCGAAGGAGGACCTCGCCGTCCCTGCAGAGTTCGACATTCAAGGCGAGCGATGCCTTATGGTCGGCAAGGATGGGAACACCACCGACCTCACCGTTGGTCGCTACGCCGGCCTGGAATCGTTCACTTTCAACGCAGCTGGCGTCGTGTCCAGGGAGCTCGCCATCTACAATTCCGGAAACAAGGCCGTCGAAGTCTTCTCTGCCAAAGGAGACTCGGGATCCCTCGTTTGGCATATGAGGGACGGCAAAGCGTACATCGTCGGCCAACTCCACTCGGGCCACAACAAAGGCGGTTCGACCAGCAACCACGTCACCTATTGCACTCCAGGTTGGTGGCTCCTGGCCGAGATTAAGAAGAAGTACAAGAACGCCGTCTTTTACCCCGAAACTTGGCCGGTTCGAGCGTAACTTCAGGCTGCGGCCTGTGCAGCTTCGTCTCTTTCTTCCATACTTTTGTACGTAGCTGACAAACTTCGAAGCCTGTGCGATGGCGAGCAGTTCCACATCGTCGTCTCATCTTCCGCGTACTGCACATGTCTTTCGTGATACGTATATTTCTCTCCATCGTCGCCTGCTTGCCTCCCCTCGCATAAAAACCTTTACATAAACCCATACTTTGTTATCGCGCTTACGAATGAACACTTTGTTCTGTGATAACCCGTGCGTGATCAATGAGCTGAAGAAAGATGTCTAGGTATCGGTTGAGTTGAGCATTTGAGCGATCGACGCTCGTTGAAGTCCTTAAGAGTTTCCATGAATCATCTCCTTTTAACTCGATCTTATGACTTGTGCTTACACTTCTTAGGCCGTTGCTTTCGCGATTAAGTACATTCGATTCGAGGACTTCTTGACTTGAAGCTTTTCGACTTAGAACATTCGACTCAAGGACGGTCGACACCCAGTACACTGACATATTCTGGCCGGGCGTGAGGTAGGCATAGCGCACTTGTACTATCCACCATCACATACTACCATAGGAAATAATTTGACTCCATCGAACTACTACAATGGCCGTTACTGTAACGCAATCACAGATGATGCCATTATTGATCCACACAAGTCTACAAACAAAGTACGTCGCAGTCACTGGGGAATATGTGGGATCCAATATATCTGATCCAAGTGCTGATCCTCCAGCTGCATGACCTGCCACCCTGGTCGCATTCTGTCCCAGAGACCATTCAAGCAGACAACTGCAGCTGCGGATAGTCGAAGTTGAAGCCGTGCGGCACCCCATGGTATCTGCACCAGCATGTCAGCACTCAGAAGTGTCCTGCATTTGAGTTTAAAGGATGCTTTCGTTGCACAGAGGTTTCAAGCCGGCGATCTGCGCATAGAGGGGGGGCAGGTGCGAAGGCTGAAGCAACCAGGGCGACTCCGCCGTTGCCGATGAAGTCGAGCACGCCGATGCCCGTGTTTGCGACGGGGTGCGTCTGAAGCAAGAGGCGGGAGCTGGATGCGGTGAGAGGGGGGGGCCACCGCGAGGAGCTGCGAGACGGTGTTGATGGTGACCGAGACCTACGACACGGTGAAGTTCTCGCGGAGCCAGAAGAACAGCCCGCCTGCTGTGTTGCGCCCACCATCAACAATCTGCTTTTGCGGAAGAACAAACACGACTCACCGATGCACAGGTTGCCCAGCGCGTAGATGGGAACGTAGTCGAGGGCCGTTTACACGGCTTCCTCGTCGCAGTTTGTCTCGGCCATTGACTTATTAAGGGCCCTGGAGGTGTTCGGCGGAGAGACGTCGAGCCTGCGATATCCCTCGCCATTTAGGTTGAACAGTTGTCGAATCCAATACACCTGGAGCGCCGCCTGGCCGGAGAAGAACGCGGCTATAAACCTACCATGTGTCCCGCTCCGAAAATTTTGCATAAATGTCACAACTAGAACTACAGAGAAGTCAATCTGACCAAGCTCCATGAACAGGCCCAGAGATGATGAGCAGCCCGGTCCTCCGTTCGTCCAGAATATGACATCGTCATTGGTCGGGTCGTTCCTGCTCTCGAAGAAATAGAAGAACAGGTGACGAGCCTCGATGTCAATGTAACCGGTGTATGCCCTGGTCGGAGGGATCTTGCGTAAGGGTCCGACTTGGGTCTGACCATATGAATGACTGCGGAACGCATTCAACCCACGCTACCGTCGCAGAAGTCAGACTTCTTGATACGCACGTCGTAGTTTGGGAACGCTGGATGGCTTAATGTCGTCCAACGCGAGGTGGAGAGGACACCAAAATCCCCCACGGGAGAGAATAATCCTGCATCGGGAGGGTGTAGCCTGTCCAGAGCATGCATTCGTTAGATCGTCCAAAGGGAGATGACGGCGCGACCGGGTTAAGGCCGTAACTGTGATGCCGACCGCACGGATGAACCCTTCCCCCTGCATCTTGCGCAGCTCCGCCAGGGCGTCGAGGATCTTCAGGGCGCCCTCGCCCCACACCTTCCCCTCCGCGCCCCATGCGAGCCCGTACTCGGCTGCTCGCACCTCCGCGAGCGCGGCTGTGTGGTCCCCAGCCTCCTGTGGGCCGACAGGGGTGCACACGTACTCCACGTCATGCAGATACACCACGTCGAGGTAGTCCGTGTTCAGCTGCGCGAGGCTGCGTCGCACGCTCTCGCGCACCGTCGCGGGGGTGTAATCAAACTCGCTTTGCGCGGGGCCGTACCGCCCCCACTTAGTCATCTGCGTAAGAAGTCAGGTCCGCTGGTGGGGCAAGAACTGCGTTCGAGAAACTTAATTGCCCATGAGCGGTAAGAAATAAGGGAACAAGCGCAGGTTGAACGCACTTTCCCGCGTCCGCGTCAGGGTGCCGGAAGCACGGAACTCGGAGGTACTGCCCAGTAATAGGCGTTTTCGCGAAGAACGGGTAATTATGATGGGCGACATGCGCTGAACCTCTGGATAGCAGCGAACATATTACGCCTGTACTAAGTGTTGACTCACTTTGAGGATATCTGGTCGCCACAAGGCATTCCGAGAGTCACCGGGATACTCTAGGTGAAGGGGCTCGTACCCAACATAGAAAGAACAGCGCAAGAGCTCGTGTGACGATCAGTCTTCAGGACAACAAAATGGAACGAAACCGGTAGAGCGAAAACGACAAGTGAAAACAGGATCACTGGACATCGCCGAAATCGCCACGAAAGCGCGCAAAGAAGCGCCGAATAGATGTGATGCAGTTCAAAACGAAAACACTCCTGCCAGATCGCAATAGCGTTGACTTGAAATCGCGTTTTGATTTTGTCCGGCGGGGCACGTCAAAGTGAACGTTTGAGCGTTGAATATTGAATATTGAATATTGAATCACGAGTGATGCGTATACTACGCATTAAGATTGGGACTTGAAGATTCTCCTCGACTATTTGCTAGCTGTTCTTGGCTGTTCTCGTCACCTTCTTGTGTAATTTCTCTTGTCTCCGTGATTTTGAGGGTGTCTTCATCTCCTACGGTACGCCGGTGCTCTTGCAGTTGGGCGACCATGAGCCTCACGGATGTAGATGACACTGTCTCAGTTCATGGGGTCGCATAGCGCAGAGTGTACCTTGCACAAAGGGATCGCATTACCGCAGTCGCTCAGCATAGTCCGAGTAAATTATTGCAGATAATGCCTCCACCTCCCTCAAACTTGCCAGACCCTGCCAGTATGAACAATCAGCAAACCGCGAAACATCAAGCAAAGACAAGCTACGCACATCGACGAGCCCGTTCGGCAGTCCCTCCAGTGCGAGGTGGCACCACCTCGCTAGGCCAGGCAGCATTGCCGCAAGCCGCTCGCTCCCACCAGGCGCGTCTCCGAAGACATGTTTCTGCACCCCCACGAGCAGCACCTCGGTTGTGTGGTCAAGCGAGACCTCGAGAACGCGTGCGAACGACGCAGAGTGCAGATATGTACGCATTTCTGCGATCAGCTCGCTGAAACGCGCGTCCGGTGCTATGGCAGAGCGCTGTGGGATCCCGCCTTGCGTCAATACATGCTGCAGCGTTTCCGGCGTTGGTGGGAGGAGCGTAGACATGAAGCTGTGGTGCAGAATGGGTCAACAGGCAGGAAATAATTAGAAGGTACGCACTTTATCCGCCGCTCCTTCCCTTCGAACGTCACTTCATACTCGACGCGCCGCCGGACGTCACTGATCAGACGATGAACATCTACGATCCCGAGCTTGGTCTTTAGCGACACTCTGATCGATCGTCAACTCTCTCAAGCATCAAGGCAAAAAGATCGTATGCACACCCTTCGAACACCTCCTCGACCGCCCTGCGCACGCGTTCGCCGACGTCCTTCCATCCAACATGGAGGATCCACCAACTGAGGGTTAGATATTTGCGTTCTGTGTCCTCGGCGATCGCCTCCGCTTCCCCTGGCCGTGCCGCGTCGTCACCATCGTCGCCGTTGGCCCAGAACAGTGACAATATTGACGCCGACTCGAGGTCTTCGCGCATGCGCTCGTCCTGCTCGAGCTGCATCACGGATTGAATGTACTTGGCACGGCCGATGATATTTAACTGAATATGTGTGAAGAGGGAGAGAAGGGTTACGGAGTAAATGACGGTTAGAGTGCGAGTAAATGCTGGGGAAGACCAGTTGAGCCTACTCCGTAAATGCGTGCGGTAAGAAGTGTGCGCACTTAGTAGTTTGACTTCTCGCCAGAGTTCCGCCTTGGTCCTCGTCACGGAGGTCATGGTGTCCGAGAGAACGCTTTCTGGAAGAGACTGGAGAAAGTCAGAGACAATCCACCAATAGCACGAGTATAGGTCTGACAGAAGCATAGCCAAATTACGATTTCACGAGGCCAGAGCATATTAACGCACTCCTGCACAATGACACCGAGAGTAATGAGGTCCATGGTCAATTGCGTGCGCTAATCGGTCAGCAGGTTGGCACGGCTTCTCGTCACGGGCTCAAGCTCGCAATAAAGACCCACCGACAATAATTTGCAGTGATTGGCTTATACGACAGTGCCGTTCACAAATAGGATAAACCTCAGCTACACTCCACAGGGGTAACAAATTCGCGCAGAACACATATCGCCCCACATTCACAAAAAGTCAGTAAAAATATCGCTGATTTACAAAACAATCCCCACATAAAGCGGGAAACCGCTTTCCCGAAGTCCGGACGAGAGCATCGAGTGCTTTAACAGCCGCGATATAATGTCCAGACATGGATTCACATCCAAAGCATCCTAAGGCCTCCAGAGACACGGATGAGAATGAAACCTGCAGCCTACGAGAGGGCAGACTTTGTGTAGATAATATCCAGGCCTCTCCTCGTAGTATTCCAATTAAGACCGAACAAGGGCACACGGACTTTCCAAAAGGGGGATCGCTCACCGACTTAGACGTAGCCTGCGCCGCGCTCGATGCCGAACTTGTCGTCGTGACGGAGTCAGAAAGTTCCGCGCCACCATTCAACGTCGGCGAGTTTATGCGTAGTGCATGTTCAGAGACTGGTGGATTTGGTATGCTCAATGATGGTTCTCTCGAGGCATGCGACGACTGTACGGAGGAGAACTGGTCCACCCAGCTACTTGAAGAAACTGAAAGGTCAGAGAAGGCACTGTCTCCGGGTATTGAAGACACGCCAGAGATGGAGACAGACCCATCTTCTGAGCGACCGTCTTGTAACAGCTCCACGCTGGATGCAAGGCTCGACTTAGGCGGTGGTAGTAGGTTGCGCTCAGGATGCGGAACGCGTGGTGGCCGAGACAGTGCTTGTAGTTCCTGAGTAACGCCCTCTACGTCCATACCTGTCAGAACATGGTGTGCCAGAGTAGGGAGCAGCGTCATGACAGTGAAGGCCGCATCTTCCTGATTTTGCGTGAATCGCTTGCGAAGGCTACATCATGAATGAAATAATAAGAACCAGTGAGCATGAGAACATGCAGACGGCCTGTGCGCGCACTAACTTACTTCTCGCGGGCGAGCCGGTCTTGTAGTACGGCGGTGCGGATGTCGTCCAGGCGCTCACGGACGTAATGAGTGATCAGATACGCCGCACCCACGTACCCCGCGGCCCTAGTCATTCCTCGTCGTCGTTCATGGAGATAGTGTGTGAGCGAATCCAGCATGGTGAAGCCAGAGATAGTAGTGGTCGAATGCACAGAGCGTGCCAAAGGCTGGCAAGCCAGCGGGCTACCGAGACAGACGCCCATACAACCACGTGCCACCTCTCGCTTGCCTTTCCCAGAACTTGTCCATCGCAACATCATTGACAACGACCATGGTGAGTCCCGCAGAATCCGTTCGCGGAGAAAGTCTTCATGTTGACGCGGGAAATTGCAGGGCGGAGGTGCTAGATATCCCTATCCAAAGGAGGTGTGGTCGCCAGCCGGTGTGTCGTCTCAATGATCTCTGCAGAACAATTCTAATACCAGCGTAACTCCGACCTTGACCTCGACGTGGATTCGAATTTCGTGTGCATGTGCACCAGGTGGTTGGTGGACGCGCCCGACAAACTGGAAGTCCAACACCGCAATCGTTTTCGCAGGCATCCTCGCCATCACATACGGAGCGTGGACCGTGAGCGCTGATAGAGAGGTGCGCTCTCAATCCATCCATGCAGTTATATTGAGTTTCCTGACGTTTCTTCTCCCTAGTGGCGGTACAACCCGCCAACACGGTCAATCCCCTCCATGATGGTGCGTCTTGCAGTATTCGTCCTCATCCTCGTGTAGTGCTGACGTCCCGACGCGTCCTCGAACGCAGTGGGCGAAACAGTACAGGGAGCAGAAGGAGGCTAAGTGAGGAATTCACCCGTCTATATCACTGCACTTTGTCGTTATGTGCCAAATTACTCTTCGTGGACGACTTGGTTAGCTCAACTTAATTCGCTACCACAACTCTACAACATCGCTAAGGAGATACCGCGAGCCCACGAAGCCGATCGGCGCAGTGTCAATTGCTGAACGGAACGCACGGTTTCCCAAAGCCCTTAGACCAAGATGACAGAAGGAAATTACTTGACAGAACAGCATATCCAACGCGAACAGACAATTTGTAGTCACTCAGGTCATCAAAACATCAGTCCTCACCATCCTCTCCGTCAGCCGCTCCCTCGTTCCCGCTCCCCTCTTCGTCATCGTCATCCGCATCTTGCAACGTCATCAGATCATTCAAACTTCCTCTAAGTCAGGTTTTGATATGATTAGCGCAACAATCAAGTACATACCAATGGACGAACGGCTGCAAGATTTTCACCACGCCGCACAATTGATCCATGAGGTCCGGCGCTAGGACCTGCGAGTCCGCGAAGCTGCGAGCATATAGCGTTACACACAATGCATGGGGGTGCAGGGTGGGAACGTACTGATGAACAACTGCAAAGGAGCGACACTTGAGCAGATCAATGTCCCTGAAATCGCGATCGCATCAGCGAACGACAAAACCCGATGAATCAGAAGGAGTAACACAAAAACAGCACAGAATCAGAAGTAGAAGGGATGTCAAATGTTGAAATCAGGCTCAGAAAAGATAAGTAGACCGATCGGGTAAAGTAGAAAAGAGAACGGCATACGCACTTGTGCGTCTTCTCAACCCCTTTTGGCGCGACCTTCAGTTCGTCATCTCCCCCGAAGATGCTCTGGCGCCCTCCCTTTAGGTTCGGCTTCGGCGGGCCAAACAGCTTCACGAACTCAGGCGCGGCGATCACTCGACGCAAGCGCGCGGAGGAGCGAAGAAGGTTGTTCCTGGGAGTTTTTGGATGCACGCATATGTAAGTAGGGGTGTAAGACTCGCTGACGCCAAGGTGACGGACCTGATAGTTGCAAGCTCGTTCTTTCCAGGACACCATGCACCGGCGGCGAGGAGACTATTGCCTCCTGGCTCAACTGCCAGAACGAACGTATGAGCAGATCGTTGCCTTTACAAGCAAGAGCCAACGCACTACCGCTGATCAACAACGAATGAAATAAACAGATTAATTCAGTGCCACAAGGAACTAGAACACAATATACAGGGCACTGACACGTAGTCTATCATACCCCAGAATCAGCGAGATTCGGAGCAAAAAAAATTAGAGCCAAGAGAGACGCACAATGTGCGAAGATGCCCTTACGTCCACTCCGCGAAAAGGCCGCGGAGAATTCTGTCTTGTACGGAGTTTTGTCGTTGCTGAAACGAATCTACAGGACACAGCGTCAGTAATCAGACCACCGGACGCGTAAAGAGAACGCAAGCACATCGCGATATATCCTAAGGATTACATCCTTTGGGGGTAAATGTGGGATCTGCGGGTCGCACTCGATGAGCCGGGGCGTGAACTCTTCGATGAATGCCTTCCATTCGCCCTCGGCCAGGCGGTATACAGGCTCTGTACATGTTCACAACGTATATTCATTTCTCCTTGGAGCGGTAAGCTAAACGTGTGCGTACCATAGAGTTTGAACCTGCGCGTTGATTAGGATAAAGCGGTAGGAATGGTGGAGGTAGGGCGCACCATTCGCGGTCATTACACTCGGGCTTCCGAAGCTGCGCGAGAAAGTCAAAGGTATTCTGAGAGATCTGCCCCGGTGGAACTACAGAGCGCACCGTAAAAAAGTCAAACAAGGCGTTAACGATAAGCAACTTCCGGGGCTAACCCTCAGCGGAAGATTAAAACACGCACCGCGCCCAGTCTTTGGCGCTTGCACGACAACGCCGACGATCTCCTGACCATCCTTCAGGTCGATGTCTCCGTCGTCCTCTTCATCGCTCTCCTTGGCCCGTCGCCGCTTCTTCTTCGACGGGCTCTTTTGCGGAGAGGACTTCATGCTCGTCTTAGCTTTGCGTTTCCTCGGCGTCTTCTTTGGCATCGCGTCCGAATCGTCCAGTGCGTCACTGTGCAGAGAGAATACATCCTCGTCGCCCGACACGTCGACCGCGTCGTCACCTTTCTCTTCCTCTGTTGAGCTCACCGCTTTCGACTTCCCCGCGTTCGCCTTCGAGAAATGGTGAGACGTTTCTACGCCTTGGGAATTGCTTTTGGCTTTCAATGTTTGAGACTTAGCAGAAACAATGCGTGCAGTGCGCGAAGACATGTCCGAGTCGCGAACAGAGAGATTGTACCACTTGTTATACCAGACGGTTCTGCTAGAGCGGTCACATGACGTCAATATTTTGTACTTAGTTACGCGTAGTCACGGACCTCCAAGACCGCAACTACAGTCCAGTCATTATTTATGAATCGCGCACAGGAGAATGCACGTAAGGCGACCCGACGGTGGTGCATCCTGCCTTATGCCGTTGACAGTCAGTACGGACTAAATGATACCTCACCTCATTACTATCGGTACGCATAAATGCATATCATCAAATATATACATACGCTAATCAGTGGCTACTGGCTCTGGATAGTAAAGGAATAAGGGACTAACTAATGAATGAACAAGAACCACAATGAGATAGTATATATAAATGATTCAAACCATGTATTCAGCGATGTTGAAATACCGGAAAATGGAATGTGCAAAAACACGAATTCCACGACGGTCATGACTACTACAGTGCAGCTCACGCTGTAAGATTGGCTTTCATACCCAGGGAATCCTGTTTGCAGGTACGTTAGTGTTAGTGTCAGTGATGTTGATTTGAGCAAGAGGCTATACTGGTTCAGTGTCCTGTTTAACTACTACGGATATAGTCTTGTTTGACGACAACTGCGATGGTGGAGTGAAATGGGGCATCGGGATCGACTACAAGTAGTGATCAGGGTTCCCGTTGAGGCTACGGCTAACCACCGTGCGCACATTTAAGCTAAGGTAACAGAGAGTATAATTAGGATTATGATAAAGGTCTTGTGACATGACTTACAACGTGAGGTAAGGCTCCAACCATTTAATCTATTTATAGTTCCAACCACTAAATAAATGGTATATGGTAGATAGATGGTAAATATAAGGTAAATATATAGTTTACATAATTATCAGAACTGCACCTCAGATAAGACTGTAGCTTGCTATATATATTACTATTATTTTTTCTGCAGTTAGGAAAGTTGAGAGCTGCACTAAATGCTAAGATTTAATGACTTTCATAATGGCTATTGAAAGTCAGAGGCAATATTTAACATGAGCCAAAGTTGGTCAAGCATCACTTCAACCCTATTTTAGAGTTACAATTATAATTCAGAAAATCTAAACTTATCTCTATAGCTTTTGGCTGAACTTTCTCTGGTTTTATGTGGGAATATGCAGACTATGTGGGCTGTACAGCCCATAACCATATACTATTTATGTACTATATATTTTCCATGTACAGGTCACACTATAAATAAATGTATATAGTATACTAAATAAACCATATATACATGGTAAATAGATAAAATAGTTGGAGCCTTAATGTGAGGAAGGAATTGATATACACTAAGCACAAAGAGAGTTAAGAAAGGTGTCTAGAAGTGTCGCAGAACTCACATTTCCCAAGCATCATATTGAACAACAACATGTATTCAGACTCAGGAGCAGCGATATACTGTTGAGAGATTCAGTCAGAGCAGCTTCACACCAATGAATATTGTTCTCACTGCAATAGCATCAGTGATGACAAATAGGCTAATAGAGGTCAGCATCCTGATGCAAACATGCACGGGGGGGACTTACATCGTGAGGAGACCAGTCGCAACAACTACAGCCATAAGTTTGCCAATAACATCGTCGGACCTACAGTGAACTTCATATCAATAATGCTCAAATGTAGCATCTGATACTCACCGGTGAAGACCAGTATGATTTCTGTGAAGATAATAACAGAGGCTCCCTGATATGAGTGAATCAATGGTGGCAGCTACACATAGGCATGCAGTGCCGATTGCCTGGTAGTATATTACTTAATGATTGCTATCAGACTGAAAAGACACTGAACATACCTTCAACTTGAGCATCGACTCCTGAAGATTTGTGGACAAGTATCTAAAATGGACAGAGTGTCAGATACTAGCAACTACTGACACACACACTGCACACCCTCGGATAGAATAGGTGAGGCTTGTACATCAGGAAAACCCAACTTTTACTTATGGAACTTATTCTGACTTTTTGTCCTTTTTTGCCTTATTTAAGACCCATGAGTTCCCAAAAGTCGACTTTTAAGTCTCTAAGGAAATACGACTTATGGACTTTTTGTCCTTTTTTTACCTTATTTAAGGCCTATAAGTGCATTTAAGTCACATAAGGACATCTTTAAGTAAAAGTTGGGTTTTCCTGATGTAGCTGGGGAGAAAATGTCAGTTGGCCAGATAGTACGAACAACTCCTTGCTCACCAAGATGGGTTGTAATGCTAAGTTCCTGGTTTCATGATCAGAAGTGCATAACAGACAGTGAGAATGAATGTACACAAATTGAAGTCCCAATGCGATTCTTGCTCACTATTCAACAAACAATTATGGTGAGGTCCTTCATGAAGAAGCCACTATGAAAGACGCACAAATCCAAAGGCGTGATAACCAAGCACTGAAGGGAGGATGTACCAGACAATTTTTATCAACAGATAGACATGCTGGTACTGACATCTCGACTATACATGCAATGGTTCTGGAATAGAATATTAAGTTGACATCCAATGAGAAGGGATACTTGAGGCATACATTTAGGACAATCTCCATCTGAGAACATTGTTATTAATCTTGTATTGGGTATTAAAGGATGTTACTCACTGGAATACTCCTTAGATATTTGATCGCAATTGTAGGCTGAATTCAGATAGAACATGAGATGACAGGTAATGCTTACCATACTGAAATAAGGAGAGCCTCCGGGTTGGCATAGTTTAAGATTAGGTAGTGATACATAATATGAGCAATGACAATTTGGTGTGTGGTATCCAGAATGAGGACCGGAAATAATGAAAGGTTTGTACACAGATTATGCCATACAATCTATCTTGCATCAGTAGAAGTAGTCTGGATAGCAGAAATATAAATTGCTTATGCTGAGGATATGAGTGCACCAAAGTATCCGACTCTAATAGTTGAGCCTAGACTGACAGGTAGTAATAGATTTGTAGTCATATCTTGGAAGATATTCAGCCTACGCAGGAATGAGTGGGAGTTTGTGCCACCAACAGGGAGGTATCCATGCCCTTATAGTAATCCCACAAATTAATCAAGTTTTAAAAGAAGTGAAGAAATGATGGGGAATGATAGATGGAGGACTAACATTGGATAACTCGTAGTGTTTAATGAGTGAAAAATGACAACAGAAAGTGAGCTTGAGTTCGTGGATACGCGATGCAGCCTGGATATCGAGTCTTCTTGTGAGATTCATGCTGTACCATCTTGCCACTGCTGCATTCATTATACCTATTGGCTCGGGAACTTGAAGAACCTTGGACCCCAGAGTCGGACGCAATATGACGGTGATGTCATAGAGTAGAAGGTCTCACTGTTCGCCGCTGCGAAGGGCACAGCTGGGCACAGTCATCCAGGTTCAGCTATCCTTGGGACAATCAGAGATTAGAGATGAGGACTTGCTATCCGGCAGTGAATGCAATCCATGATGCTCATCAAGTATACCATAAGCTTTGGTGTGGTCAGCATTCGGATTTGTTCCCATGATGCTGTGTGGGAGGACATCTGAATATCCCCCAGGAGTCGTCTGTTCAACCTGATGAAATTTTGAGAATTATTGTCATATGCCATATCTCTTCCAGACAAATGAGGGTCCAAAACTGACCACGGTCATGTTCTGTATCAGGACGGGCAAGTTGCAGTTCCTGGAGTATATCATTATCTGGAGATGTATCTTGGTCATAGGTATGTACCTTATTCAATTTCTTGTCTTTTTCTGCAGCCACGAGTACAGCAGGTCTGGAGATATCTTGTGGTGACTTCTAGAAACCATGTGAGATAAGGACATATGCAATCTTTTCTTTGCTTTATTTTCTCTGGATCAGAATGAAGTTACACTTGAGTGTGTTAACAATGCTTTCTCCTGTCACCAGTGCTATGTCGACATAGACCATCGCTTATCTCCGCATCCTGACAAGAAACTCCCCAAACCTGTCCAAAGAGTCCAGACAACAAGGTCGAAAATCAGTGATCTTGGGAAATTGCATCCTAGGGTGTGGTGCCCATCTGTGAGCGCTTGTGAGTGGAGGAATACACTGGCAGGCAGATGTCTCGGGATGTGATACTCATTTACTCAATCATCCAACAGCAAGGCACACATCAGGAAAACTCAACTTTTACTTATGGCACTTATTGCGACTTTTTATCATTTTTTGCCTTATTTAAGGCCAATAAGTTCTCAAAAGTCGACTTTTAAGCCTCTAAGAAAATATGACTTATGAACTTTTTGTCCTTTTCTGCCTTATTTAAGGCTTATAAGTGCATTTAAGTTACATAAGGACACCTTTAAGTAAAAGTTGGGTTTTCCTGATGCAGTACTTGTTCCTTCTTCACTTCTGTTGTCATCTGTTCCCCATGGCTCGCATTCCTCCAGCATTTCATTGCGTACCGACACCCTGGAGTCTAGAAATGACCCCAAAGATGTCATCCACTCATGTTCAATTCACTCCGTGCAGAACACGGATGGTGTCTGCTCTTCGAGAGCCCTGAGATGCCTCTGGACTCCGACAAATTTTGAGGCCCACAGGACTCCATCATTCTTCATTGCAACATCTGGATTTGTCATTTTGTAGTAGTTGTCAGTGGACATCAGCGTACCAAGTACTGTCTGCTTACCTTAGGCTGCGTTTGGCACCCAGATACTGGCCAGCATCTCCAGATACTAGTATCTGGAGCCACTCTTTCCAGGCGTGCGTGACATCAGCTGAACCCACACGATCATTAGCCGGAAGGTCGGCTTGTCACGTGGAGGTCGAGGGAGGCCCAGAATATCATGAAAACAGGTTACGGCTGGAAGAATAGTAGTCTCAGTTCCAGATGTTCACCCACGGAAGTAACCAAGAACTAATATGTCAGAGATCGAAAAAACCATTGCAACTTCCATGGTAGAACGTCTGGTGAACTTCAGTACAGCGGGTGTAGATAACCTCGATCCTGTGACCAAGTCACATCACATGTATAGCTAAGATCATGCCCGTCGGTATACTGTATGCACCCGCTACTTCTCGTCTATTACCTTGTGTAGTTTGTAGCGACACAATGCCATCAAAACCTCAGAACTCCACTGCTCCACTCAAATTTGCTGACCTGGACTTCTACGAGATACTCAATATTACCCATGCTGCGGCCACGAAAACTCGGTTGTATGACTCTGCGGCTACTCACCAGCTCCTCGTTGACAACTTTCGGGTATCCTTCAATGGAAACACACCTTACACTTGGCAGCTAGATGTGGGAGAGGCTCTTATTCTAGGCTTGGATTGCATTGTGATTGCTTCCACTGGTGCCGGAAAGACTATACCCTTTGCTATGCCACTCCTTGCGGACGAGAGGAAGAGGAAGATGATACTGGTCATATCACCTCTGAATGAACTGGAGAGAGAACAAGTAAGTCAACAACAATGTGCCAGCAAAGTCTTGGAGAGAAAACTGTGCGCAGGCCGAGCGTTTCAAGAAAATGGGTCTCACAGCTATGCCCATTAACAGTGATGTTTATAATGGTGTTCTTCACCAGGTAAGTACCTTATTCCATGGTATATGCACTGTCATGCAAGTGATGAGTGCAGGAGATCGCGGCTGGCAAGCATCGGCTTATCATCACATCACCGGAGATGTGCCTTGAACACCCACAGTTCTCGAGGCTCATGCGCTCACCCAGCTTCACAAAAGAAGTTGCAGCCTTGGTTGTTGATGAAGCATACTGCATCTATCAGTGGGGGGACAAATTTCGTGAGAAATTCGTGGAACTGGGCAAACTTCGGTCATTTCTCCCACTGTCTGTCCCATTCCTGGCAACCTCGGCGACACTTTCTCCACATGCTCTCGCTGAAGTCCATAAAAGCCTGTGCTTCTCGCGGAATCGCTTCTTCATGGTAAACCTTGGCAATGACCATCGAAACATAACTCCTCTTATCTGCCAGATGAACAGTTCTAAGTCTGACCTTGATTCTCTGAACTTTGTACTAGACAAAGGGCGCACCGGAGACTCTCTGGTCCGAACTGTCATCTTCTTCAACAGCTGAGACCTTGCCGACCGCGGATACAAGCCCCTACAGCAGGTCTTACTTGACTGTATGCGTGATCAAATAGACTTCGTGCATGCTATGCGGTCCCCACGAGCAAGGCAGAAAGCGATGGACAATTTTCGAGCAGGAAAGACAAAAATCCTATGTGCCACGGAGGCCACAGCACTAGTCAGAGCGTTCACATGTCTGTAATATGCCACTGACCATCTGCTATTCATTGACCAGGGGTTGGACATTTCTGATATTTTGCAGATTGTACAGTTCATGGTACCTTTATCGCTCTCAATGTGACTGCAGCGGTATGGACGTGCAGGACGACTGGGTCAAGCAGCAGTTGTCATCCTCCTAGTTGAGCCATCTGTCTTCAAGAAGGTGAAGTGATAAAAGAAGGACATTCACAGCATCAACAACCAGGGATGTGAGGCAGCAGGTAGTCCCGACCAGGACCATCAAATGGACAATGCAGATGTCAACATGGACGATGCGGAGGACTATGAAATAGAGGGCCTAGCTGATGAAGATAACGATGATGGCCGGCTAGAAGTTTCTGATGAGATAGAACATCACAAAGGAGATCAAGATGAAGATGAAGATGCTAAAGACGATGATCAAGAAGAAGACGCTACTGATGAGGCAGATGTAGATCACACGTGGAAGAAACAGCTGGAAGAGGGGATGCGAGAGTGGGTAATTGGTAAGGAGTGTCGCCGCGATATTTCGGACAGATACTTTGCAAATCCTCCTCACATGCGTAGGGTTTAGTATCCAGTTTATCCGCAGCATGTAGAACTAACCAAAAAATTGCAGAACCTACTGTACCCTGCTGCGATGTATGCATCCATCGAAAAGCCACAGATCCATCTCTCATGTTGACCAATGCTGAAGATGCTATGAGAGTCTTCCACCTGCATATCCAAGCTCGGATCGAGAAGCTGAATACAGCAGCGGACAGCGTTCAAGAGCCTGCTGCGACTCATGGACCGAAGAAAGCCCGCCGTCAAGGTGATCGCCGAGGTGCGCTGCTCAAGGAGTGCTGAGATGCTCTGTTGTCATGGCGTCGAAAATGCTGGAATGAAAGGTACAGCAGATGTGTCTGGGGACCTCAGGTCTTGCTCCCGGATGCCATACTTAAGAAACTAGCTGTACACGCCCGCATACAGACCATGGATGATATTAAGGCTGAAGTACCAGACTGGGACTTCGTGGATCACCACAGTGCAGAAGTGCTTGCTCGTCTTGTACCTATTGACCAGTGATTTTGCGATGCACACGAGGAAAAGAAGGCCCAAGATCGACTCCAGAGAATGAAGAACAGTGCGGCAAAGAAACAAGCACGTGATATTGCAAGGCGGGAACAGAGTCATCGCGAAGCGCAAGATCGCCAAGCAGCATGAAATGTGGCATGACAGACAGCTGTGAACCATCAAGAACTAAACTACGGAGCCTATGAACAATATTGAGTATTCAGTGACCATAGATATGTGCACTCACTCACCCATTGCAGTGCGGCATACCTCAATGCTACTGTCATATTCCCTGACCATGCACTTGCATATCCATCTGTCCATCCATACGTTCATCCTCCCATTCCTGTGATGCAATTTCTACCACCATATTATGATACCGTAGTACCACCACCTGGCAGTGTGCCATCTACCTCACGCTGGCCAATATAGAGGTCAGTATGTGATACGAGTGAAATGGAATGTTAATACCTGTGCTGGATCCCAATCTTGTATTTTTGCGCGTTCCGAAACACACTTGCTAGACCAGTTATGGAATGTAGTCTTCATCTTCGTGGGATTACAGCCTTGTGTGATGATGTCTACAACTTTGTCTCCACTATGTAGATGTCGACCGGGTTCGTACTTGTGCAACTTCGAAGACTGAAATGAAGCTTGTAGGCGTGAAATGTCTTCCTCTTTGTCAGGGCTTGTGTGAGACTTGCCGCATTAGAAGTGATTGATCTCTGCCTCTACATGATCCTTGACCTTGCGCTGGCACGGAATCGAGGCAGAGATCTTCGTGATGTAGTTCCAAGTCACGAACGGTCCCAAAACTTGAAAGGTATACTAGAACGATGTTTCGAAAGGAGAAAACTAAGTATATAGTACATTTCAACCCACAGATGCACCTTGATATCGTGAATATTGTGCTCTTGTAGCATATCCACAGAGAGAAATGAGTTCGGCCGTTCTGTGGTATTTGCAAGCCACCCGAAGCGGAGAACAAACTGTCTACAATGCGTCGTGAAGGGAGGCTCTTACTATTGACACTTGCCGGATGTTCCCACAATGTAAGGAACTTAGATATTAGTCCCGTCTCCGGTATCTGATGTGCTCTTCATTGGCCCATGCATTTGTGCCATCTGCTGCCTTCATCATTTGCTAGTATTTGTAATGCAGATAGCAGAAGTTCGAAAATTGAATGGTATTTGTTGCAATTCCAAGAGTACTTAATAGCATGAATGATGTCACAGAATATGAGGCAGTGAGATAGCTTTGATGTGCCAATCTGGATCTGATCATCCGAGGAGATCTGAGACAGACAGATGATGAGATCTGGCCCATAGCTTTAGGTAGTCTCCTATAGGCAGACTACAAAATGATCCCTATGAATGAGGGAGGGGACGGAATCATATAGGTCTGCTTCAATACGCACCCCCTTAGCCGTAGCGGTTCCTGACTGAAAATGGCAGATGTGTTCTTGATGCGCTCTCCCTGCTATGGTGTGTTTTATGAGATACTGAAGTTTAAAAGGCTCGAACACAGTGCAGGGATGCTCTGGTTCAGTTCTGTGACAACCAGGGATTACTATTGGTGTGGGCCATAGGGGGAGATGTTGCAACATAGTAGATTAACATGTTCTCTGTCACCCCTCCCAGTTTGCAGGTACCTGCGACATCCTTTGAGTCTGTTGTACCACCAGTTTGGAAGGATGAGCCTACCACTGCACATTGCGATTTGACAGGACCACTGCAAATGCTATAAGAGGTTCGATCTTCAGGCTAGCACTTTTTGGGCATTTTTGGGGATTTTCATATAACATTTTTCCAAAAGGGTTATTTTGGGGGAAAATTTGGATCGAACCTCACCTAGAGGCCAATTTGGGGGAAATTCGGGATCGAACATACTAAAAAGGTGAATCTCATGGAAAGTACGGATTAAACACAGTCCTAGCATACTCATAATGTTTGTACACTTCAAAGCTGCAGTGGAAACACTCCCTAGTCAATGTACGAAGACATTTTTTACCTTTTTAACACCCTTCTTCACCGACACCCTGCCGTCCTCTATTCAGTAATGTCAGTATGACTCATCGCCGAGATGTAAGCTGAGACTGAAAGTACTGCGAGTGATCCTGCCGGGGATATTACTCTGAAGGGCATCAGTGATCGACCTTCCCTGGAGTGCTTTGGCTTGACCTGATGGACGGCCTTCCGTGACAGCTGCCTTCCTCGTCTTAGGCATAAGCGGAGGTGATGGCAGTCATTCAGCACCACTGCTAGGTACGGGAAAGTGCACATCGTCCTCTTCACCATCATCAGAGGCTCCGCCACCAGTCTCCTCGCTCGGACCTTCATCTCCTCCAATTTGAATCATTGGGTTTTTGGCCGTGGCGGCAGGCTGGCGAACCTTGTGAACTTTGGCAGCAGTAGCAGCGCCATCAGCCATCGTGAGTTCTTGAGGAGGCATCACCTTCATGCTCCTCCTGGGCCTCAGGGCCATCGCCACCTTCAGGGACACCGCATATATCAGACCTGCTCACTGGCTTCACCATGGCATGGGTTACATTCCCTTCCACCATGTCTAAGGTAATGATCTCGCAACAGCAAAGCAGCTGCTCTACTGCATCAAATGAGATGCTGAATCGGTTCACCCTCCTCAATAAACTGAGATTGTGTGAGGTCCCTCAGTGCCATACCAATCACGAGTGCAGATTGTTGTATGCCCTGTAAATCTCACTTACTTTAGGTCATCTGGCCACTCTCGATGTAGGGACTGTAGAAGCTCCAGTACCTCTATCGCATAATTTGAACTCCGGCTGCCAATAAATCGAAAGAGCATGCGGGGTAGTTGATCCTCCATCCGGCCAACATCGCCGGACTGTATAGCATCTGTGAGGTCAAGATAATCTAGAATATCGCGATTGAACATGATTGCGTGATACAGAACATCGTCTTGGTTGTCACGAGGCCGATCAGCAAGATTTTGCAGTGCCGCGGTTGACGCAAACTTGTCCAGAATGTACGACACTAGTTCAAGTAGCTTTTGGGATGATCGGGAGCGCAAGTCCTTGAGAGACTCGATCTTGCCGGTAAGACACCACAGGTTCCGGATGTGTGCTTCTGCAATGATCGTGAGTCCCTCTTGTATGCTATGATGGAAAATGCCCTTGACGGATGGCGAATGAAGTCCCTTGCGCTTCAATAGCTCGAACACCTGTATTAACCCATGTCCTGCACGAGTACCATAGTACTGGGAATGATATGACTTCTCGAGAGCCATCAGCGCATGCAGCCAGCCCGGTTGCTTGACCAAGTACTCCATGCGCTCGAATGAGTTCAGATCTTCTGCACGGAAGTTCTGCAGACCGCGGAGATGGGATATAGTCAGTTGGTCACCAGCCCAGAGAAGGACATGCTTAAGCCCAGTCTTCCTTTGTTCCTCTGGAGTGTTGAGCTTCAGCTGCCGAAACCATTCAGCCATGAGCTTATCGTTCCCTTCATATGATGCCTCTTCAATGTGCACCGTATTCAGCATGTACTGGCAAGTTGCATGCTTGGGGCCAGTAGGTAGTTGATAGATGGGAGGTGGAGGTTTGAAGATGGGGTCATCACTTTGGTCATAGGACTCGAGGTCAAATTTGGGAGCATGCACAAGAATGGAGAGAATGTGAAAGACAGCATGAGCATGGATGCGTGAACTAGCAGAAAATTTGAGGCCCAGTACGTTCATGTATGTGATTGTTTTCTTGCTCCCAATGGCCAGCTGTGCCTGTAATGCCTGATTGTTGGGAGCAATAGAGTCAGGACTTTTGATGACGAATATAGTACCAGCCGTGCCACTGTCAAAGTGGCTTTGATTTCCTAGACGCTGCTCGTAGACTTTGAATGGGATGTTAAGATTGTCATGACATCCGAACCATGGGTATTTATGGATATCCTCGAGGAGCACAATGTGGGAGGCTTCAGCAAGAGCGTTGATACCAGCATACACCCATTTCTGGCTCATACAGACACCGAGAGCGTGTAGCGTGTTGAAGGCTTTCGTCGCCAGACCACAACTCTTGAAGTAGACAGTCAAGAGCTTCGGCAGCTTGCAGAGGTTGTGCGAGTGAGAGAAACAAGCTATTGATATCATAGTGAGAATGGACTGAACAAAGCCACAATTAATTAGTATCGACAAGTGAATAAATAAATCTGTGAATGTATATTGTACCGCATCTGGACTTTTGTGTTTATTCCGCCTCTCCTGCTTCACCGTGTAAGTGACCCCTTGCAGCAGCGTCCATAGAGTTGGTGCGGCACCCTTCACCTGCGTGATCATCTCCTCCCATCTGATATCCAACAGAGAGCATTCAGACAGCTCCCCCTGAGGCGAGTGCATCACTGGCTTCAGTGCGCGCATGTCTGACTGTACTCTTTCATTGACTATCTCCAGTGCGAACTCCTGGAATACTGCACCTCCCGCTTTGATGCGAACACCAGTGCCATGAGTCCTAGGTGGCCGGTGTGGAGGGGAGTCCAGCCTGAACGTCAGCGAGCAGTGATTCGAGAGGTCGACAATGAGATGAGTTGGCACTGGCATGGGAGGACAAGTGTGGAAAAGTGTGAAATGGCTGGCCGCCGATATACTACGATAATACTCTAGAAGGGAGAATATACTTGCACATCGTTCTTCTTCGCATTGTGAAACCCTTAATAACTTGTGAAAACTATCTCTAGAGGGACTTAAGAGTGATGGAGAAAAACGGGGAAAAAATCTGGCTATTCAAAGGAGAGCCGAACTCCGAGCCCATTCAGCCAATATATACCCAAATGTCCATATAACCGAGGTGGAATATTTTGTGTAAATTTCCATAAAACCGAGTGTTGGCCAAGAATATAATATAGGATGAAGATATAGGGTTGGCCAAGATAAGTAGGCTATATAGGCTGAGTCGCATATTTGGGAGTTAGCCAAGGGAGGTGCAGTTTAAAGTCTATATAGGTTATCGGGCATTTTGGGGTCGGCCGCCATTTCTCTATATAGATTGTAGCTGAAATAGTGCCATTGGCCAAGAGTCATAAAATTCCAATCCTATATAGAGTTTGCAGACAGTTGGGCTTGGCCAAGTGGACCTATATAGAATCTTTGTGTAAATGTTCCACTTGGCCAAGACACATGAAATTTTGATCCTATATAGCATTTCCTGACATTTGGCTGTGGCCAAGGGTACCCTATATAGATTTTTGTGGAAATAGTGCCTGCGACCAAGGGTCAAGCAATTTGCATTCTATATAGGATTGTCTGAAATTTGGCCTCAGCTACAGATACCCTATATAGTTCTTGTGGAAATGGTGGCCTCGGCCAGGAGTCATCAAATTTTAACCTATATAGAGAGATCTGAATTTTGGCCTTGGCTGAATATACACTATATAGTTCTTGCAGAAATGTTGGCCTTGGCCGAAGGTAGTAGAATTTTTATTTTATATAGGGTCTTCTGAAATATGGCATTGGCCAAGGATGCACTATATAGGGTTTTTGAAAATAATGGTCTCGGCCGAGACTCTTGAAATTTGTATCCTATATAGGATTCTCCACACTTTGGCTTCAGCCAAGTAGCATCTTCTATTTGTTTTGATCAGAAAGGGCAAAATTCTCTTCACACATAGGAGTTTTAAAGCTGGGGCCTTCACCAAGTGTATATATACAGGTTTCATCACATGTGATGCCATCAGCTATAATGAGCCAGGTCAGACCACCTTCAGGGTTTGTGTAGTAGTAGTTGGGCTGTCCTTTGCTATCACATTTTGAGACCAATATCCTTCATATCAAATGATTCAGAGCCACTGAATTTAATCTAAATACATATGATCAAATTTTTGACAGTATGTTGAGCATATGAAGATGATGACCTTCTGTTGCCTCTGAACCTTCCAAGTCAAAGATAATATCCAGCCAATTTAGGAACTCACTGCGGTTAACGTAATAGGCTCGAAGGTACTCCTCCACAAGATTGACGATGGTATTATACACAGGCAGCAAGTGCAGGTGCAGATGAACCAAAACCAAAGAGGTGGTATCCAACCTTGTGGTCAGTGCTATCTCCCTCTTGCCGACAATCCAAAGACCCTTCATCAATGGTACCCAAGATTTTTCAGTGGATGGGACACTATACAGGCCCTGATATCCCTCAAATATCAGCTTTTGTGTGAGTAAAGAATTCATATTAAACCTACATGGTATACCTGCATTGCACCTCTGTCACACTTTATGGTGCAGGCCAGACATTCAAACTGCATCTGCTCAGTCATATTCCACTGTCGGAGATCTGGAATGCAATGCAAGCAAACAGCTCTGCTGCAGTTTGGACGGTCACAGTCGACCAAGTTTCTGCCTTATTGCCAGAGAAAGCAATACTAGGTGCATGGTGTTAGCAAGATACATATGTTGAAGAGAGAAACAACACCATATCACAGACTTCTATGCCATCTGGAAGATCTTGTGACGTTGATGCTTAGGAGCATGAGCAGAAGGAGGTATAGTTGGATTGGAGGTGAGTAAGCTGTTCTCATGTTCATGAACAGCAGCAGTGATAGACACTGCAGGATCACATATGAGTTGACTGCTTCGGCATCGAGGGACATCCATTTTAGCAGCAGATGCACATCCTTTCGGCCTGCATATGACTTCAACAAATGGGTGGCTCTGAAAACACATGAGGGCAGAGCAGGAACACTTGCCTCATCCTCATCCTCATCCTTGGCCTCAGCCTTGCTCTCCTCCTCAACATCCTCCTTGATATCCTCCTCGACATTTGACACGGGCACATAGCTTAGTGGCTGGTGGATTGTCTCCTTATGTTCCTCCTTGGTATTGTCCAATTTATCACTCTCCTTTGATTCATCATTGGACAGAGGTGGGCTACCGGTGTGATTGTGATTTACTAGAAATGTCTCACCTCTGTCTGAGTCATCATCCAGAAACTCCCCCTTCAACTGACCATCTTTATTGACATCTTCATACAAACCTCTATACATAATGCTCCCCCTGTCATCTCTGCTTTCTCTCAACTGGAACTGCTTCTAATTATCCATGTCCTTCATCTCATCCACACTCAGAGTCAATTGCGACATAGTATCTGCTTGGAGGGTCATGTGAGGTGTCAGCGAATGCAGGGTAGAGTCTGTCATTACAATATCAAATGAAATGTTGCTTACTTGACAAATGTATTCACTATTAGAAACATGAAAACATACCTGGTCTGTCCTTTTGCAAAGGTCGGCCATGGTAGTAAGCTGGTGGCACAGATCTACAGTACGAGATGCCTCCTCTAATTGGCTGATCAGCCTGATCGAGATTGAAACCTTGATGCTGGTCCTGACTTGTACTCACAGATGCAGGATTCTCTGGGATTGAGTGCAGATTGAAGGTAGATTGCCTAACACCAGACTGCGGGGTATAGGCAGGGACACAGGTCTACCTTTATAGTACAAAGGCCTGACCCTGACTATACATACAGGTATATAGACCTGCATATAGTACAGGTCTATGAGAGTCACAGGTTTATAAAAGATAAACCTGTACTATGACCTGTACTATTACTATGTATGTACCTATGTGTAGTTTACTACACATCCTGGACATGTCTTCAAGTAAAGTAGTACTTAAGAGCAAAGTTTAACATGCAAAGTTTAAGTTTAAGTAGCTCTCTTACAGAATATATGTGTTAGCATTTGTGCTTTAATTAATTTAGTTTAATTTGAGTCTCACTCATATATTTATAAAAACTCCGCAGGTTTATATAGTCAGACACCATATACCTATACTATGTGTACAGGTTTCACAGGTCCAACAAACTCATACCTGGACTATAACATTTACTATAACTATACTTGGACCTTTGCATAGTTTATTACACTACTATGTCCCTGCCTAGTGAGGTAGAGGTCTGACTGGCCGGCTGAGCAGACTGTGTGTGCTTCTCAGACTGGCTGTGCATGGTAGAATATACAAAAGTAGCCAAATAGATGTGTGAGAATAAGCAGCAGAGGCACAGCAACAGAAATATAGCAGAGCAGAGACAGCAAGGATAGAGCAAGAGAGAGAGAGAGACAGACAGATCAGATTACAGTGATTGCAATCAAAAGGACTTGTGCGCGCGAGCCCATGGAGATCACGTGATATGCTTGGAGGGCCGGACTTCCCGAAATCTAGTGGACAGTGGCTGAAATTTGATCGGAGTCCGAAAATCGTCCAAATATAGCAATATTCCAGCCACCAGTGTACACCTTCTGCATATGGAAGGTGCTTGACGCGTCTGGTGTCTGGGGCACATGACCAAACAAACATGGCCAAATAGTTGGTTTTATGAGCTGGTGCAACTTCCTCTCTCTCTTCCTTCTCTACCATCACCATCCTCTTCCAGCAAGCCGGCCACAAGTGGCTGAGCTTTGTTGCTGCATGTTGCCATGGGCATGCAGTGTCAAAGCTCAGTTATTTGCACGTGCCTTTGTAAGGTAACTGTTTCTTTTCCTGTAGATAGTATTATGTAATATGCACTTTACTGACTTCATCCCATGGCTGGTCTTTGGCCAGTCATGGGGTACATGTGAGTTTTGGGGGATCATTGGGCATGCGGCGACGAGCTGCAGAGGGCTCCGTGTTGTGGGGGTGACCCACTCGCGTTCCTCACCTGGTACTTGAGTTTTGGGGGATCACTGGGCATGTGGCAGCGAGCTGCAGAGGGCTCCATATTGTGGGGGCGACCCATTCGCGTCCCTCACCTGGTACTTGAGATTTGGGGGATCACTGGGCATGCAGCAGCGAGCTGCAGAGGGCTCCGCGTTGTGGAGGTGACCCACTCGCGCCTCTCACTCGGTATATATGGGAATTGGGGGATTTTGCACTTCGGTGCCAATGCGCTTCGGCGTACTTGCGTCTAGGCGCATATGTGCTCTGCACATTACATTGTCGCCAGCCATCAGCCTTGTGCTGTGCGAGTCGTGCGTGGAGCCGCCATTGGCCTGCTCCACAAGGTCAGTGTTTTTTACTTGTTTGTTTCTTTTTGCATGGTATGGTGGGAGTACAGAAAGTGTAAGGACGATGTGGTAAGTACTCCACTACACTTCATACTGATACTGACAACCGTTCTTCAGCATATAGTGGGTTTTATGGCAGTGGTGAAGATGAGGCCAAATCCTATAGTGGATTGAAAGAACCGGTAAGTTTTTTTCCTTACACTTTGAAGAATACTGACCTTTTGATGTTTCCACAGCCTCTTACACATGTACTGAAAATTGACGATGGTCACTGCAGTGCGAGCAATGCAGCGCACAAGGTGAGCATTTTTTAACATTTTGCGACAGTTTTCTGACTTCCTTTTGGTGTTTTTCAGATTGTATTTGTACTTTTCTTGTAGTCTACCTTCTTTTTCTTTTCCCTTCTTTCTGGTGCTTGTGGCGAATGAGGGAGGGCCCGCCCTCAGTCATCACAAGTCACCTTTTGTGTTTTCAATTTTTGTAGTTAGAAAAATTTGTAACACTTGAGTTTGTAACAATGAAGCATGAATAATGCGAAGCCATGCCAGTACGCCGGGCGATGCACAGGCACTTCAGTCACGTGATCACATCACGCACCACCATGTGTACTTTTTGAACCCTTGGCCCATCTGCTACAACAGCATTCTCAGTACTTTCATCATTTCAAAAGCCCTACTATCAACTATAGTTGGCAAAGCTCAAGAATATGTGCTTTCTCCAAGCCAGATTTCATCTGATTGAGCAAACTGAACCATAGCTCTGAACTTCCAGACCCTTGTACCCCTGGAGGGTATCACTGCATATAGTATATATAATGTAAGCAGTAACTGTATGATGAATAAAGCCTAAGTACAGCCTGGATACAGCCTTAAACTATGTATTCAGAAGCTCCAAAGGGAAAAGAAGACTGTTACAAGCCTTAAACGTAATGTGTATAATGTCATTCCCTCAAATAAGGCAGATATTGAGGAGTATACCCTCAGGGTTTGGTACCCTTACCCATACCCTTACCCCTGGTGAAGGGTATGTACCCTTGGAGGGTAAGAGTAGAGGTACAGCTCAAAGTACCCAGGGGTATACCCCTGCTCTGCACTAGCCTGACACTATGCTTCTTTAAGGTCCTGGAGGATACACTTGTTCAAATTTAAATAGCCAGTCACACACATTTATTGACTACTTTGCATACCTACCTTTGCAACTTAGAAACTATCTGATAATCATTTGACCATTGAATGCCTGTTGTGATTGAAGTGCAAAGTCCTTGAACATTGCACCTTGCTTTGCTGCATAGGATGCATGATCACATAGACCTGCACTCACCGCCTCCATCTCCCTGGTCTGCCACTCATGCTGCTTGCGTTCAAACCACAGGACAGTCTATAACATCTCATATTACACCTTTGGTACCTCCTCCTTGTATCTTGTGTCTTGTGCCTTTGCTCTCAGCCAGTTAACTCGATTGACTGACATGCTAATTACAATCTGTGAATAAGTTTAACCAGGCATGAACAGATAGTCACTCACCCTCCTTCATCACTTAGGGCCCTAGTGCAGAGCAGGGGTATGCATAACCCTCAAGGGTAAGAGATAAGGGTATTGGAGAGTAAGGGTAGGGGTATGAACTTTCAGACCCTTGTACCCCTGGAGGGTATCACTGCATATAGTATATATAATGTAAGCAGTAATTGTATGGTGACTAAAGTCTAAGTACAGCCTAGATACAGCCTTAAACTATGTTTACAGAAGCTTTAAAGGGAAAAGAAGAATATTACAAGCCTTAAACTTAATGTCTATGATGTTATTTCCTCAAGTAAGGCAGATATTGAGGAGTATACCCTCAGGGTTTGGTACCCTTACCCATACTCTTACCCCTGGTGAAGGGTATGTACCCTTGAAGGGTAAGGGTAGGGGTACAGCTCAAAGTTCCCAGGGGTATACCCCTGCTTTGCACTAGTGTCAGTAAGACCATTAAGTTTGGATGCCTTAGCCTGAAGCCCCATTTGTGTAAAAAGCTATATGGCCAAGGCCAAAGTGTGAAAAACTCTTTATAGAATGAAAATTTCTACATCCTCGGCCAAGGCCACCATTTTCACAAAAACTATATAGGGCATTCTTGGCTAATGCCAAAGTTTAGAAGACCCTATATAGAATATAAATTTCAAAACACTCAGCCAAGACCACCATTTTCATAAAAACTATATAGGATATTTTCAGCCACGACCAAATTTCAGACAATCCTATATAGGATTTCAATTTCTTGACCCTTGGCTGCAGGCATTATTTTTACAAAAATCTATATAGGGTACCCTTGGCCACAGCCAAATGTTAGGAAATGCTATATAGGATCAAAATTTCATGTGTCTTGGCCAAGTGGAACATTTACACAAAGATTCTATATAGGTCCACTTGGCCAAGCCCAACTGTCTGCAAACTTTATATAGGATTGGAATTTTATGACTCTTGGCCAATGGCACTATTTCAGCTACAATCTATATAGAGAAATGGCGGCTGACCCCAAAATGCCCGACAACCTATATAGACTTTAAACCACACCTCCCTTGGCTAACTCCCAAATATGCGACTCAGCCTATATAGCCTACTTATCTTGGCCAACCCTATATCTTCATCCTATATTATATTCTTGGCCAACACTCGGTTTTATGGAAATTTACACAAAATATTCCACCTCGGTTATATGGACTTTTAGGTATATATTGGCTGATAGGTGTGGAACTCCTTTTATACAGTTCAACCTGCCCCAACGCTTTCTCAGCTTGGGGCCTCCTCGGGCTATGATTCGTTCATTCGAGAAGGTACATAGTAGGAGAAATGAGTCGATGACGGCGATGACGCAATGGCTATGAGGGTTCCAGAATGGAAAGGTATGCTACTAAGAAAGGTAATAAGTCTGGGGCCTTGTCCGTGGCATACTCATGTTTCGGCATGACTTCAGAATTCTTCTCCTCTGCGAGAACAGCCAGGCAACAACACGGGAGTCGTCCCTATTTGCGAGATGCATTCCGGGCCCCCAACAGAAGCGGGGAGCTCAACCTGCCGTTGCGCCATGACTGCCTTCCGCATCGGATCAAACCATCGGTCTGGCCTCCACACGAGGTAGAGTCGAGTTGAAAGGGAATATTACATGTTAAGCGAGCATTGTCGTGAAGATTGTGGGTTCCACAAGAACATAAGAAGATAAACTGCATATCCAGCCCTGCTCCATGACCGAATTCTTGCGCGAGGGTTTGAAAGCAAACATCAAGACCTATACTCGAAGTGGAAATGTTAGTTTAGAACGCACGGGAATTCTCTCCACCACAAGTGGGGGGTACTTTAAATCTCGTCCTCGAGATCACCAAGAGAACAAACAAAGAGGAAACTCAATGTAATTACCACCATGGTTTGACTGCACCGATGAGACCAAGGAGCTCGACTATGTTGGTATCGAATTTGGTGTCTTGAATCGGGTGTGCGTACTCCATGCTGACCCAGCACCTGCATTCCTCTAGCATGTGCTTGATGGTGTTGTACCGGATGATCCCACAGTGCGTGAATACGTCCGGGCACAATGTGACTTCAAGAGCCTGAGTATTGAAGGTAAAATGGTAAGCTTGATTCTCGCCACGATAGAAGAAAAGTTTGAGATGACTGGCTGGTACGTGTTCCTTCAGGAATGTACCATCGAGTTCACGGATTGCGTATGATCCACTCGGGAATCGCATGTGTATCACGTACGGTCCAGCCCAATGGAGCGCTCCTTTGTTTCCGTGCTGGTTGTTGAGCCAAGTCTCGTGTATAAGAACCCACGTCCCGGTCGCGAAGTCTCCATCATGGATACAGTCTGCGTGTTTACGCATGTAGTCATCAACTGAACACTGGTGACTGTCGATAAGGTTTTGTCACGCTTTCGAAATGATCTCGCCTTTACGCGCGATTTGTTGAAGTCGTGTCGCGATGAGATCTACAGTGGAACGGACAGTGTGCCAATTTAACATAAACCAGGTGCGATCAGTAAGGTCCCACGGGTACAAACAGTTAACACCATATAATAAGAAATAAGGCATATAGCCTGTGGCGCGTGATGCAGTCGTGCACACTGCCATAACTCCTGAGTGAACGTAATTCGGCCAATGTCCAGGCTTGTCACCTCACGATCGCATGATGGCTTGAGAGAGTGTTTGACCATCGCGTTCCGCAATACCGTTTCCTTGAGGGTGATAAGGAGTTGAGATAATGACTGCTATACCGTATTTGTCGAATATAGCATGCACCGCATCTTTGAATTCGGCGCCGCCATTGCAGACACAAATAGGGATACATCCGAAGCGACAGATGATGTCTTCAAAAATGAAATGTGCCCAAGTCTTTGAGTTATTGCGCTTCACAGCATGGGCCTCTGGCCATCTAGACACATTATCAGAACTGTGTATGAGGAACTTCTCACCATGTATCCCGGTGGGCATGTTTATTGTGTCGAAGACAAAGCGCCGCAAAATGGAGGGAGAAATCGTAATATGTAGGGGCACGATGGGACGTGACTTCACCCGGTACTGACAAGCATTGCATGATCTGATGAACCAGGCTACGTCGTCATAGAGGTTCGGCCAGTAATAACGGTCGGCCAGCTTCTTGTACGTCGAATCGCATCCACGATGTCTGCAGAGGTTATGAGCCTGTTCTACTATCTCGGTGCGACGTTTCTTGTCAGTAATCACGAGCTGTGGTTGCTCCTTGATGCTCAAGTGCCACAGACGTGCATCATGCCACATATAGCATTGCGCGCACAAAAGAAATGATCGATGCGCCTCCGAGCCAGGTGTGCAACGAGCGGGCAGCTGTCCGCCAGACAGATATAGCCTGAGCTCTTCAAAGTAAGTATCTCCGTCCTCATCATGCACTTTCCCTGCATGCGCGATACACGACACTTCTTTGCGTTCACATGGAAGAGGAATGTCAAGGTACGTGAGATGATTGGGTTCCCATACCATAGCGCGTGAGTCTCCCAGCTTGATATGAGTCAACTTGTAGGTGATCTTGGAAATATTGTGGCGGAAATTAATGCTGAATTCCGAGTCACGCTCGTTCATGAGGAATGCACACCGGTATTTGACGATCTCGAATTCTACCTGTTCTCCCGCAAACTCGTAAGTAGCAATGTTGTACTGTGCGATTTTCCGGTGCATGAACTCAAGGCCAACATACAAGATGTCATCTTCATTACGAAGCAAGGCGGGATGAAAAGGTCCAGGGTCAATTTGTAATTGCTCTGGTGTAGCGAAGATACATTGTTGCTGATTAGGATCTTTGTGCCAAGCATGTATACCGTCAAGGATGTTGTGATCCCAAACACAAGTGTGAGGTTCTGGGTCCAGGTACTTATCACGGTGCCCACGGATCGCATCTGCTTTGCAAGAGTCAAATTCAGCAGTAAAAGGAATAGCAAGAGCGTGGTAAAAGTTGTGCCACTTGGAAGTCATGAACTGGATACCGAGAGACTGAGACGCTGCCATGATGTCGTGCAGTATAGTGGGGTGATTGAGTTGTCACCCCGCCTGTACTATATACGCGTCGCTGTCGTACATCACGGCTAACTCCAGGACCTGTTCAATGTGTTCTTCTCCATCTGATTCGTCTGAATTGTCTTCAGAGGGACGTCATCGTGACAGGCCATCTTGTGCGACACCTTTCTCTGCAGGAACATGAATTAGTTCAAAGTCAAAAAGTTGAATGTAACAGATCCAGCGCGTCATCGGTGCATTTGGAAGGTCAGGCTTGCGAATCATCTCTTTCAAATACTTCGCATCGACTTCGAGACGGAAATGAATACCCCAAATCTGGTGACACATCTCCTTCATTGCTCGGAAGACGCTGTAGAGTTCTACTTTGGGTTGAGAATAGGCCGATTCAGTCTGATTAAAAGTGCAAGAACTGAAGATGACGGGGTGCTTGTCAGTTTCGAAGTACTGGAAGATGATCCAACTGGCTCCGTAAATTGAGGAGTCGACAGCGAGTACGACTAGCCCATCTTCTGAATTGTGCACTTGGGGAACGATACGCCTTGCTTTTTCGTAGTCAATTACCTTGAGTACTGGCGCGCTGGTAACTAGGGCCTTCAAATGATTCACTGCATCTCGCTGGGCTTGACCGAATTCAAACGGGTCATCAGTCTTACATAAGAGGGAAGTGAGTGGCTTAGCAATTATAGAGAAGTTCTTGATCCATTTTCGTCCAACGTCCACGGTACCTAGGAAGCCGCGTACTTCGGAGATGGACTCAGGATAAGGCCATTTGATGACTTTAGCGATAACATCGTGTGCAAGCTGTCATTCTTCCTTGGATGCGATAGAGCCTAAAAGTAACACCTTTCTGATGGCAACATAAAGCTTCGTCCCCAAAGCCGTAAGACCAGTTTCAATGTAGAGCACAAAAACGTGATCGAATGTACCACAGAATTCCCAGACAAATTGTCATATATGCGGGTTTTCAGGGATCGGCTTGTTGTCATAGTTATCGGAAGGACCTTTAACACTACCGTCATCAATGTAAACGCTGGCTTTCTGTGGTATGACGCTCTGCAGTGCGTGTTCAGTGCATCGTTGAAATTCTTGCATCGAGTTAGTGTAGCCCTGTGGAAGAACAGTCAATCGCATCAGTCCAGCTGGGGAGTGGAATGTTGTCAAATCGCGTGACTCTGTAGCGAGGACGTGAGCGTCGAACCCTGAGAACAGATCAGCCATCATATATATATGTCATCCAACGAAACTGTCAATGAGCTCATCAATGTTTGGAGGGAGTGTGGAATCACGAATTGTGACAGCATTGAGGTCTTCGAGGTTATGGACCAGACGAATGGTGCTGACTTCTTGAGTACTGCCATGAGCTGTGATTGATATGATGCCGAGGAATATTCATATTTGCCAAGATCGCGGTACTTCAGGACAGTGTCGCGAATGTCGGTCTTGATGGCTTCTGGAATTTTGAATGGAGGGCAGATCCAAGGCGTGTGTTCTATAACTGGCATACAGTAAAGGGGAAAGTATTTCGGGTTAAACGTACCTCGTTCTTCGTCCGTCCATGCAATGGCATTCTGACAACAAACAAGGACAAAGGCGATAAGATCGAGTTCTTGTTCTGAGAGGAATCCTGGCTCAATCTTGGACATAATGGTGTCGAGTCGTTCTTGAGTCATTCGTTCAGTGGGAGTAAATTCTGAACATGGTGGAGGGTGCGTCAGAAGTGGTACGAAAGGCAGAATATCCACTGGATTGAATTTCTGCCCAGACGGGTCAGGCATAAACATTGGAACAGGACGCACTTTGCGATGGACCAGCTTATAATGCTTGACGGCGTAAACTCGCGAGGCATGCTCATTCAAGGCACGTGTTGTCCAAGGCGAAGGTAGTGGCACACTAGAAGAAGGGAGCATGTAATGTACATGATGTAGCATATGGTCAAAAGTATCAGGAGTATTGAGAGAAATAGCATTCAGCGCATCGAGAGGATCAGAATAATTTACATCACCTAATAAACAGTGAAGAGTCTTGCTGAGCCTTGTGATATAGGCGGACATGCTCCCTTCAGTCAGGAAAGGCTCGGACAGCATGTCCGGCCTCAAAAACGCGGTCCAGCTTCAGATTCTGAGTCAGGAACATCGGCGATGGTCGCGTGCACAAGTCTGTCTGCATTTCGTTGATGATCGGGCCCCACAACCATGATGTTGACGGATTCATCGGATTTGCAACCTGACGGGAAGGCCTGAAGCGTCATGGAACCAGCGCGTTCATAGTCTATATGTGCCGCAAACCACTGTAACCAGGGTTGACCGAGGATACCGTCGTGATTACCAGTTTCTGAATGACTGATGAAGAAGTGATGGTCAAAACGTTTGCTGCGGATCTCAATGTGCGCATCCCTACAACAACCAAGGAGAGGGACCGGATTGCCATAGATGCCACGCAAGGACCAGCAAGCTCCGTCTTCATCAATGTTGACTCCTGATTGATCGAAAATGCATCTCGAGACAAGGTTGAGCTCCCAACCTGAATCTACAAGAAAAGTAACATCTTTAGTGCCGAACTTAGCCTGTACCACTCCACAAGCCATGGCAAAGAACCGCTTGGCACCAAGCGATACAGCGCCTGCATACCGTCCGAGGATATGCATCAAATCATCCTTGGTTGAAAATGTCAGTAACACTTGTGCAGTCTGTTCTTTACCCGATTGTGGCATGTCCACAGACGTGTTGTCCTCGTCCACTTCATCACAGTCATAGATCGAGGCCTTCACGCCAAATTCTTTGCGCATTTTCGTGAGTGATGCAAACCGCTTCTGGAGTTCTGATGAAGCACCGAGAATGTTGCGCAATGGAAGGGTAACTTTAGTGTCGAGCAGCTGTTCCTGCACCTGATCGATAGAAACATTCTCCTGGATATTCGACATGAAACGATAATTAGTAGGTTTGAACGGTCTAGAAACAGGACTAGTCTGCTCATCCTGAGGCTGCAAACGCTCTTCACATTTGCGACATTCGCGCTCATGCCATCCATCTTCCGTGTTGACCTTAGGTGAGAAAGGTGTTGTGTTAGGTTTCTCTGGTGATATCGTTGGGGTCGATGGTGAGTCTTTCTTGGTGAATTACATCGGCTCTGCTGGTTGATGAACCATGACCGGAGGTGTAATAGTGGGAGTCTGTTTGTTGTACTGATCATCCGAATGTTTGAAGTCTAAACGGACGCTCGTTTGAGGCTGGTCACCACCAGAACTGTGTTCTGGACCATTGTGCTTCTTAGATCTAGTAGTCACAGGAAATGAGTAAGTAGGTTCGGAAGAGACTGCAAAGATGTCACCACTGATTAGTTGTTCGTCGTTCATATACAGCCCCATAGAGTTGCAGTGCGGTGGGCGATCCCACTCGTGTTCCTTGGACTTGCTCGTTGTATGCTTGCACTCTTCACGAAGTATAGCCACGATCCCACCTTGTCCTGGTGTTGCTCACAGAAGGGGTGAACTGTCCGCGCATTGCAGATAACCACACGGAGACCAGCGTGTGAGCCCTTCTTCAACCAGCTTCGGGGCCTCACCACAGTTGTGTAGTCCTAACTTGTGCATGAGATCGCATCCTTCGACTCCATCGCATAGCCAACATCATCGCGGTAAGTCGCCGGTAGTCCGTGTCAGTTCTGGGTGACTAGTGGAAACTTGAGGCTGTGCCTGTGTCACATTCACAAGATGCATGGTGAGCTTGTCTATTTTGTCCTGTAACTGCGAGATTTTCTTGTTATCAGCATCCATCGACTCTGCCTTACCCTTCGTCTTCTTCTTCTTCGATTTCTTCTTCTTCTTCCGTGGCTTCTCGTCATCACTCTCTGCATCACTGGAAGAGTCAGTATCGCTATCGCTGTCACTGCTATCACCTGATCCTGTCTCCAAGTCCAAACTAGAGCTTGAGCTCGAATCTGAATCATAGTTGATGTCGTCCTCTTTAAAATAGTTGCGTGCAACCTGAACGACTTGCCCTACCATTGGTGGTCGGTGACTTGTCAACTTGTGTCCTGCAGCAGTCTCAATGCTAGCCTTCAGCTTCTTGCGTAAGCGTTTTGGGACCCCTTTGTAGAACGCGAGATTCCGGTCCGTGTCGGAGAGTTGTCCTTTCGTGACCATGTCACTGACCTTATTCGCGAATATACGTACGTAGTTGTCAAAGTCGCGCAGATCTCGGACACGTTCCTTTTTCACCTTCTTGACAAATGCGCGGAGCTGCCGAGGTGACACTTTGGGCTTGTGATCCGAGGACTCATAATAGTAAGTTAACTGAGCCCGGGCATCTGCCCAGACTGTACCTGTGAAAGCAGCATCGTTCTCAATGATGCGGCGTACCTTCAAATCGCAGTACCATAACACCAACTTCAGCCACTCTGTGTTAGCGATTCCTGCTGCCTTAGCTGCACTCTCGAAGTCGGAAATAAAATCTTGTACGTGTTTCCCATTTAAGGACGGCGTGCCTTTACCTCCCGGGCGCGGCATGGAGATGGGGATGAATGTGGAGGAGGTGTTGGGTGTCTGATTCATGATCGACAAGACCTGTCCTGCTACGTTGTTAGCTAATTGAGCAGCTGGGGAACTCACGGGACTTGTCGCAGCTGCAGCTTGCACCGTCGTGTTGGTTGGGATTCTGGTACGTGTCGTGTCTTTTGAAGGACTTCTGGAGATGGTACCCTTTGGCACGGTCATGGAATGTGTGATGCGTGAAACCGGTATCTTGGACTTGATCGTCTTGAGGGGAGCCAGCGAGAGTGTGTCAGAATACCTTGAAACAACCCCCTGCGGCGGTCACCACTTGTGGAGGGGAGTCCGGCCTGAACGTCGGCGAGCAGTGATTCGAGAGGTCGACAACGAGATGAGTTGGTGCTGGCGCGGGAGGACAAGTGTGGGAAAGTGTGAAATGGCTGGCTGCCGATATACTACGATAATACTCTAGAAGGGAGAATATACTTGCGCGTCGTTCTTCTTCGCATTGCGAAACCCTTGATAACTTGTGAAAACTATTTCTAGAGGGACTTAAGAGTGATGGAGAAAAACGGGGAAAAAATCTGGCTATTCGAAGGAGAGCTGAACTCCTTTTATACAGTTCAACCTGCCCCAACGCTTTCTCAGCTTGGGGCCTCCTCGGGCTATGATTCGTTCGTTTGAGAAGGTATGTAGTAGGAGAAATGAGTCGATGACGGCGATGACGCAATGGCTATGAGGGTTCCAGAATGGAAAGGTATGCTACTAAGAAAAGTAATAAGTCTGGGGCCTTGTCCGCGGCATACTCATGTTTCGGCGCGACTTCAGAATTCTTCTCCTCTGCGGGAACAGCCAGGCAACAACGCGGGAGTCGTCCCTATTTGCGAGATGCATTCCGGGCCCCCAACAGAAGCGGGAAGCTCAACCTGCCATTGCGCCATGACTGCCTTCCGCATCGGATCAAACCATCGGTCTGGCCTCCACACGAGGTAGAGTCGAGTCGAAAGGAAATATTACATGTTAAGCGAGCGTCGTCGTGAAGATTGTGGGTTCCACAAGAACGTAAGAAGATAAACTGCATATCCAGCCCTGCTCCGTGACTGAATTCTTGCGTGAGAATTTGAAAGCGAACATCAAGACCTATACTCGAAGTGGAAATGTTAGTTTAGAATGTGCGGGAATTCTCTCCACCACACCGGTACCAATGCCGAAGAATCATCGGGAGCTCCTCGCTAATCATCAGCGTTCTCACATACCTCACCTTGCTGTTCGAGATCAATTCCGGTATTGCTGGATTCCAACTCAGAGCCCAAAGGAAGAGAGGGAGATTGATGTCTTCAGAATCCATGAACTCCAGAACTTGTACCACGCATTCAGCAATGTCCCTGCTAGCCTCCAGGTTAACCTTAAGCTTGCGAGTGCGTTCTTGATATGACGTCGAACTAGCTGTCCATTGGCGGTCATCACTGCCGGCGGAATTTTCTTGACCTTCACCTGAAGAATCATAGCCATGAGTATCTTTATTTTCAACAAGAGAGTCGTCATCTTCATAGTCGGACTCATCATCAGAGTAGAAAGCGGTAGCTGAGAAGGGCATCACGAAGTACTGTCAGAAACTCAGATGCATTGCAGCAGCCAACGAGATGCGACTTGATCACGGGACCGAGGTTATCTACACCCGCTGTACTGAAAGTCACCAGATGTTCTGCTGGGCAGGCTGCAATGGTTTTTTCGATGTTACCGAGCACAGAGAGGTTTCTCTCCCCTGAAATTCCGCAGCAGGCTGGAACAGTAACCCCCGCACCTCTCTCTACACAGAGAATACTGATTGGCCCATGGTGTTTGGACTTGTTGAGGTGACGTCATCTGGCATCAATGCACCTGTGTCGGAAATTAATTTCATAAGAAATGCCAAACCCTATAAGATCTGATAGCCTTATGAGGGACGTTACGGGCACCTTATAACGGACTTATAGGTTCCACCCGGATATGAAGACCGAATTACTTCATCCACGAAATGACGTCGAATGAATCTACCCAACGAAGTTTTACAGCGCTTTGCATAATTGCGTGAAATCGCAGGAAAAAAAAAACTGTTTACCTCGGCCAAATAATGTGACCGTATCACGCCATGAGCGACTTGAAGTCTGCAGTCAATGCGCTAAGTACTCATGACGCCTACGCTATCTGTTGACCTCAAGGAGAGGATAGTCCATCTGTATCTACACGAGAAATGGACTATGGACCGGATTTCACAGACCCTGCAGTGCTCCATCGGTGTTGTTTCCAAGGTCGTGAGCATCTACCGCGAGTACGACCAGGTCATTGATCCCACGAAACATCGAACCGGGCGTCCCCCATATCTCACTTCTAATGAACACGCTTACCTCCAGGCCATCTTAGCTGCTGATCCATGCTTGTACTTGGATGAGATTCAGCACAAGCTGGCTTCAGTATGCAACGTGTATGTCTCGATCGCCTCCATATGCCGAGCACTCCACCAACTAGCCATCAGTCGCAAGGGCATCAGCAAGGCTGCACTGGAATGTGATGACGAGTTATGGACTTTGTGGGAGATGGAAATGTCACAGTACGGGGACCCGAGCCTGTTCGTCTTTTTGGACGAGAGTGCAGTAGACAATCATACTGTGCAGCGATCATCGGGCTGGTCTGCACTTGGCACCCCTTGTGTCCAGCGTGCGACATTTCTTCGGGGAACACGTTACTCCATTCTTCCTGCCCTCACACTTGACAGTGTCATTGCACTTGATATCTTCGAGGGTTCTGTGAACAAGGACCGGTTTCTGCAGTTCCTGCATGAACAAGTTGTGTGTATCCAGTTTAGCTACATCCCTGTACCCACGATAGGATCTGATCAGTTGCTATCCTATCAGGCACCTCAGTTGAATCCATACCCAGCCGCACGGAGCATTGTTGTCGTGGACAATTGCTCTATCCATCATGATGAGGAGATTCGGATGCTGATAGAGGATGAATGTGGTATGATCCCTATTTCTAGTGATAGTTCATTGTCTGATAAAATCCAGGTGCTCGGCTCATCTACTTGCCGCCATACTCACCCGATTTCAATCCAATTGAAGAGGCTTTTTCAACATTGAAGGCATGGTTGCGATGTCATGAAGCACTTTTCACCGAACTGCAAAAGCTACCTTGGTTAATTTACCAAGCTGCAAACTCAATCACGCCAGAGAATGTACAGGGATGGTTCAGGGACTGTGGTTATCATGTAGAGTAGGCAGTGCTTGACTACAAGATCATTATTCTTTACCTATGTATACTATAAGATCAGACAAAGACTGAGCGGGGGATTTCTATGCATTATTCCAAGCGCAATCAAAGACCACGGCGTGCACGCTTCGCACCGACTTTGCAGCACCATTCTCCAGCAAACTTCTTCAGAGCATATACCTGTCCCTCTGGAAGCTCTGTCAGTTCCTTGAGACGCTCTACAGATACTTCCGTCAGTAAGTCCGGACTGTAGGAAAGCTCAAAGAGCTTTCCCAACACCATGTCAATGATCCCGAGGGGGATTTTTTTGGCACGACCAAAGGCCTCGAGACAGTGCACAAGCTCTTCTTCTACTATCGGTGGAGGGGAGGATGCAGTGTGTCCTCGTGCATGCGCAGTCACCTCGCCTCCTGCAGCGGCAGTATCAGATACTGATGCGGCTGTAGAACTAACGGAGAGTGAAGCTGGACCACCGGAGTCAAGAGGCAGGGGAGCAGGGGCGAGAATAGTAGGTGGTATGGATACTGGCATATTCTGCTTAGTGTTGTTCTGTGCCATCATCGTTACGAGAAAGCCGAGAGTGGAGATAAGGAGGTTGGTAGTAGTCTCGCTACTTGATCCAGGATCATCGAAACCGGACCCTGACGTCACCACATTGGGCCCACAGCGACCACAAGGCTTCGCAGCCATCACAGTCTTTCCAGTCCACTCACTGATCAGTGAATCGGGAGGAGGTTCTTTTGCAGATGACGCATTTGCGGCCTGAAAAGGAGTTTTGGTGAGCCCGGTATGAAGAATTGAGCAAAATCATCTTACAATTGCAGCACACCATTGCTTGAGGCGAAATTTATTCATCTGGATGTGCTCCTGAGCCGTGTTGATGTAGCATGTGCCATGCTGCATGCACTGCCATGCAGCTTTGATATCGTCAACCATAGCTGCCTGTGCACGTTGCTCAGGTGAATACAGTGCGGCATTTGGTACCTGACATAACGTAAGGAACTGTGAGGGGCAGCAAGAGTCCTGCAGACTTACATGAGTTCCATAGCTGAGTTCGGCCGCATTAAATTGGCTGTCCAATGAAAATGGAGATAGAGGCTACCGGTAGTTATTAGCATTCAATTCAGAAATGAGCTCCGACATCAGAGAAGTTAACTCACATGCTTTCGGTTCTTGTACCCCTCCATTGTGTCTAAGTCGAAGTCGACAAAGACTGTATGAACTTGATTCGGCCTCGTCACCTCAAGTTGTTGCAGGAGGACCTTCCAGTCATTGTCCATATGGATCATCGGAGCTTTCGTCTTCCCACCCCTGCGTGCACATATCAGTCAGAAACTATAGTTATAGTGAGATGAGATAATATATGCTTACGAGGATCCCTTCCAATGAACCTTCATTCCTGGCCCATTGAGCAGTCCCGGAAGATAGAAGTTCTCCAATCCATGCGCAGAGAGCACCACTCTGATGAACTCCATGCGACTGAGTGCCAGAACGGTGACTTTCTCTGTCAGAGTCTTGTTCTCCTCGTGCTTCTGATATTTCACAGTGTGGCCGTTGGGGACCATCTTGACGTGTGCCGTTGAAACAAGCACAAAAAAAAGGCACTCTGTAAATTGGATGTCAGTCACCCAATGCGAAAATGCCAGTGGTTCAAAGACAACTCACTTAGAGCATCTTGACTTGGCCCACCAGCCGGCACGCTCGAGGATGCCTCTGATCTGTGAGATACAGGTTGACTTGGCGCATTTGCCATGTGACTGTCAGACAAAACAGCTGAAATGCTGGCGTCAGAAGATGAGGTAGTGAATTTAAATATGCTCGAACCTTGAGTTGTAGCGTCACATAGCGGCGAAGGGCTGCACTCGTCCGACAGTTCTGCTCCAGCTGAACGTGCAAGGCCAGGTGCGAGAGTTGGGAGGACAACCAACTCATGAAAGGTAGAGCCGCTAGGCCCCTCCTTGGTCCAACGTGATGGTGTCATAGTAGTTTCAACAACGACTTGGTGAGATAAACGTGCGGAGTGCTGCCCAAGTCCTCACTTACATTCAGGTATTTATACGTAGTGGTTTAGCAGGTGGAGACACTTAAAGAAAAATACCATGGCACGATTTCGAGAATCATACCATATGGACAGAGGATGTCGGAGTATGTTTGCAGCGGAACAGGTCAGAAAGAGACTCTGTGTCGAGTCCAGGCTCAAATACGAGCCAAACAGCCAGCTTGCACCCTTTACCACTGATACCATAGGGAGATATTGGTCCTGTCTGTCCCAATTGCAGCCGCGCTGAAGTTTAGTGGTCAGATAGTACTCTAGCAAGATGAACACTGCCGAATGGTAGGCCTCTCAGGCTGATGCGGTCAGACGCGTACAGGCGCACACCTGTCACAGCATCACGTTGTTTGGCCGAGACAAACAGAAATTTTTCCTCAGCGATTTCACGCAATTATGCAAAGCGCTGTAGCAGAAAAGAAAAAGAAACAAACTTAGTCTAATGTAGCACAACCGACAATTTTTTCTCCTCACTATCCTGTAAAATCTCTAAATCCGAAGAAGAAGGAAATTTTTAAACGACGAACTCGAGTTCGTCACAAACACTATACATGAGTCCTTATCCACACGCAACTCTCACTCATGCGAGGTCAGTGCGTGCTGCATGCACGCACTTCGAGTCCGATATATTGGCTTTCGGCAGCCTCCGAGGCGGAGCCGAGGACCGGCCCAGCACGATCGTCTGGAACCGAGACTAGAAGAATAGTAGTGATCTGTACAAATTATTCCCCAACCCTAATCAAAGTCTCGGTCACACAATGTCATGATCAGTCACACAGGATCACATCCGGCCCGACACCGTCCAGATACTGGTATCTGGAGATGCTGGCCAGTATCTGGGTGCCGAACGCAGCCTTAGATAGTACGTAGGGCTAGCTGTCCCTATGTCCTCAAGTGTGCAGAACAAGTATGTGCTTTAATCATTGCGATGACTATTCATCTGCAAGAATTTTTCCGATTCCAAGATGCATCTATAAGTCAGGATATGATCGATGTCGTCCCGGTTATATATAAATGCAGCTCTCCAGAGCTCCCGAGTAGAAACGCGGATTCAAATTTTGGATGGTGTTCGTAGCATGCTTGATCGTCGATTCCCTGTCAGCACTTGACTGGGCGAGCAGGGAGGAGTGGATGTCCTGGTGGACTACACATTGGAGAAAGTAAGGAATGGCCACTGGCAGAAGGTCCCCATTCCCGGGCTACTTGCCGGGAACACCTGGATCAGACGCGGTCGCAGCAGTACTAGTCTCTGCTGGTGTCTTTCGAAGAGGATGCATCCGTATCACATTTCGGAGGACAAAAATTGACTGCAGGCACTTCAGGACATGGTTAGGCTGGGCAGCAAGCCACTCTTCATGGCGTCTTGCGACGGTCCAGAGCTAGCACGTTACATGACTATGAACATGGCGGAAATTCTCATTGATTAATCTTTTGATTCTTTCGCGCGGTGATGTTGTCCGGGAAAATTGACGGTGAAGAAATTGTTGTCATCCTATAGCACCGAGATATCTATTGTCTCAAGCCTGTCTCAAGCTTAGGCTGCTGCTGATCACTGGGGAGACGGTAATAGGTGCATATATGCTCCCAAGTCTGGTCACTGAAAACATTGTCTACGCAGAAGTGTGATGATGAGGAAACATGATAGATATGGACACGTACTTGCCTCTCGTTTAGCCTACACGATAGTCTGCAATGTACTATAACATTAACCATACGGGAGTGATCCCCCTAAACGGCGGAACTGTCCCAGAATCGGCGATCTTGACTCTCCCTGTCATGTTCTAATTACCTGACCTCAACGGGAATGTCGCAGGGCAGCCTCCGTCGACGAGCCGCAGACAAGTGATTCCACCTACAGATCGAGCCCAAACATTATTTCATGGCCCCACTGCACAGACAAGGAAGTCCATGCCACTCTGGTGGGCGAAAGGTGAGGCGCCGAGCTTCATAGGCAAACCGCCAAGAGACCTGACCGGTAAGTCGCAATCCGAGTCGTTGCGACTCAGCGCTCATCGTGCATCGACGTCGGTCAACAGCACCCGCAAAAACCAGGACATCTACTTCGATCAGCGTACACGCGTATGCACCCCATCCGTGATTTTATGGAACTTACTACCAATTCCTGTTTAATAATTCGCAGAGGGCATGACTGTACCTTGCGCCGCGTTATACGTACAGTTCGCCGTAAGTTCTCGCGGGTGACGGAGGGGATCGCAAGAACAGGGTGCTAATTCAATTCCGCAAGAGATGCCTACATTTCCAGACTCCAAAGTTAACGGTTCCAATTCTAGTGCAGCAGCATCCTGAAGTAATTGTAGGTCGACTTTGCAATGACCAGTCGCCGTGAGTCCGGAGAAACGCGTGAAGGAAGCCCAAACAGGGCATCGGAGTTTCAACAAATTCACAATTGTTCCGAAGGGAAAGACTCGGACTCAACCGCATCCAAGTGACACTCTTTCTCGAGCATATGTCTCAAGCGGGCCCGTCGAAGACACCGAAGGCGAAAAAGTTGGGGAAGGGGAAGAAAAATGTTGTCACATCACCAAAGCTGAAGAAGATTTCGGACGCACAAGCTATCGAGGTTTTGGAGCAGGCTGCCTTGCAATTTGTGCGTCCCCAGCCGGCTACCTGACGCTCTCCGAGTACTCATTCGTTGACACAGTTCTCAACAGGATGCTTCAGCTAATCTGAAGGCGTTTGCAGATCTTCCTATCTCCAGCCAGACTAAACGAGGTCGGTTTGCATGTTCGTACATGAACAGCTTCCTAAGCTTTGAGTTAGGTTTGAAGAAAGCGTTCTTCGTGGACATGACCGATATACAAGCCAAGAGCGTTCCGGTCTCGCTCAAGGGCAAAGACGTTCTAGGTGCTGCTCGTACGGGAAGTGGGAAGACTCTCGCATTCCTCATCCCTGTGCTCGAGATCCTGTACAGGCGGAAATGGGGACCTCAAGACGGGCTTGGCGCATTGATAATATCACCAACGCGTGAACTTGTAAGCAAGCCACTATTCACGACCTCACCGATCGGGTTTCATATGCTTTGCAGGCAGTCCAAATATTTGATGTGCTACGTTCTATTGGTGGCTATCATAGCTTTTCGGCGGGTTTGGTCATCGGAGGTAAAAATCTTAAAGATGAGAGAGATCGTCTTTCACGGATGAATATTCTTGTTGCCACCCCTGGGCGTTTACTTCAGCATATGGACCAAACAATTGGCTTTGAGTGTGATAACCTGCAAGTGCTCGGTGAGCTTATAGCATGGTTACCGAGACTACCTTTATTCTCATTTTAAATCCCAGTATTGGACGAGGCCGATCGTATTCTGGACATGGGCTTCTCCCGCACACTTTCCGCGCTGCTCTCCCACCTCCCTAAGTCGCGTCAAACCTTACTATTCTCTGCCACGCAGACACAGTCGGTTTCAGATCTTGCACGGCTCAGTCTCAAGGACCCGGTATACATCGGAGTGCAAGAGGCGAATACCGAAGGGGCTACGCCCAGCAGCCTCGAGCAGCACTACGTCGTCTGCGAGCTGGACAAGAAGCTGGATATTCTGTGGAGCTTCATCAAGAGCCATTTGCAGAGTAAGGTGCTTGTGTTCCTGTCTAGCTGCAAGCAAGTGCGTTTCGTGTTCGAGGTGTTCTGCAGGATGCATCCTGGCGTACCACTGCTGCAGTTACACGGGAAGCAAAAGCAGATGACGCGACTCGCGACGTTTCATCGCTTCACGTCCATGAAGAATGCGGTTCTGCTAGCGACGGATATCGCTGCACGTGGTCTTGACTTTCCCTCGGTTGATTGGGTCCTGCAGGTCGACGCACCCGAGGATGCGGAGACGTATATCCACCGCGTGGGTCGTACTGCCCGGTATGAGAGGGCGGGCAAGGGTTTGCTTTTATTGGTTCCGAGCGAGGAAGAGGGCATGAGAGAGGCGTTGGCGAAGAAAAATATCAAGGTGGACAAAATCAAGATTAAGGCGAGCAAGACACAGAATATCGAGAACCAACTGCAGAACCTCGCATTCCAGGATCCAGAGATCAAGTATCTCGGCCAGCGTGTGAGTCAACTTGTAGTGCACCGTTCGCATCAGAACTTACTGTTTTCCGTTTCTCTCGACGTTTAAGGCCTTCGTATCCTATTTACGATCCGTTTACCTACAAAAGGAAAAGTCCATTTTCAAGGTGGGCGAACTTCCGGCCGAGCGTTTTGCGCAGGCGCTAGGGTTACCAGGGATGCCTAAAATCAAATTCTTAAGCAAGGAGGTGGCAAAGAAGAGGAAGAATGCGTCTCGTACAGTTGTTAGCTATCAGCCTGGAGGCGCTGCTAGCCAGATAGCTCCAAGGGCTACGAGTTCTGATGAGAGAGAGGATGACGATGAGGCCGAGTTGTCGGAAGGGAACTCAAGTGAAGAAGAGGACGTTGTATCTGTAGCTGGATGTTCTCCCAAGGAGGCGAAGGACGAGGACAAGGTAATGAGCCACCCTGCCGCTGTCTATTTCACAGCTCACAAGTATACAGCCCAATCGTGTCCGCACGAAGTACGATCGGATGTTCGAACGCAAGAACCAGAGTATCCTCTCCGAGCACTACACGAAACTCGTTGACCACTCTGCCGACGCCGATTCCGAGGACGAGTTTATCACTCTTAAGAGGGCCGACCATGATCTACCAGGCAACAGCGAAATGCTCGAGTCTGACTTCATTTCGAAGAGGAAGCTAAAGATGGCGAACTCGAAGAGGGCACTTGCAAAATACGGGCCGAAAGGTAATAAGCTCGTGTTTGACGATGAAGGTAACCCACACGAGATCTACGAGATGAAAGATGTCGAGGAGGCGTTCGGGGGCGCGGATGTGAAGGAGGCCAGCAGGAAGTTTGCAGAAGGCGAGAGAGGGAAGATGAAGGAAGTGGATCTGCTCGACAAACTCGATGCGAAGGAGAAGAAACGGGAGAAGAAGCGCAAGCGGAAAGAGCGCGAGAGGGAGGTTAGTGTCCCTCCTCCATCCAAAGGTTGCGCCCTGATTTTAATGACTTCCAGGATCAATATGATGATGCAGAGGATACCGGGATGGGCCCATGGGCGGCAACATTGGCTCCCTTCGATGAGGGTGACGACAGCTATGTATCCCCCGACTTCGACCTTCCGTCGTCTTCAGATGAAGATGAGTCTCACTCGTTACCGCTGCCGCCCCCAAAGCGCATGAAGGCCTCGAAGAAGGGAACCATTGGCCATGGTGGCGACGTGTCGTTAGAAGAGGAAGAGGAACTGGCTTTGCGTCTTCTGCGTAACCGATGATATAGTTGGAGCGCAGATGTATCCATCGTACTACCGGGACGGCTTTGGACCGTCAGTTACATCCTGTCCGCCACAGTCTCCTGTTTCATTTACGCATCACTCCTCGGTCAAGTGCATTTCAGCATCGATGCGTCATCCGTGTTGTGTAAAAAAACCAGCGTGGGTCGTTCTGCAGCAGCAGGCATAAAACTTCGCACCTACCACGTCGAATCAAACCTTCATCTCGCCTTTGATCCACTTCGCCTCACTCTAGGCGGCAATCGATACAGTAGTCTACAATTAGTTCCGGAAGAGTCCGGAATGTACATTCGCCGTTGCAACTCCCGCAGCGATACCAAGAGAGATAGATTCAGAATCGTAGGAGCCGGCGAACATCTACCACCGGTAGTAAGGTGTTAGTACATGCTAGAAGATCGTCAATTAATTACTCGTAAGAAATTCCAATAACACCATCAAAGCTACCACTGTCAGCCACAAGGAAAGTCACAGTACACTTACACGCAGACATGGGATGGGGGGCAGAGCTCACAGGGAGAAAGGTACATATATCAAACAACAAAAAGGCTGCCGATCTCACTCGGTTCGTTATTCATGGGTCCATATCTGAGTGTCATCGTACGGAGCGGGATCGGCTGCGAAATGTCAGACGCAGACGTGTCCACCGCGGTCGCGGCCTCACGGAGATCAAGCATGAACCGCGATGTCAGAACGGATGTGAGGCTGGCACCCATGGGTTTAGCGATGTGGTATTCCTTGGAGAGGACGACGTACGCAGCAGTCCAGGTCGTCATCACCGCCATTAGCTGGGGGGATAGGCAGTCAAAGCGCAGATGGTATGGAAGCTGGTGGTATACGTACATCGGCCAGCTGCCCTATCCCAAGAGCGAAGACGTTGAGGAACAATAGCGATCTGGCCTTGTGCGTAAGTTCACCCAGTATCTAGCCTGATCTAATCCACTCACGCGAAGTACACAGTACCTGCGAGCGTATTTAACGACACGTGCCTAATGCAACAACATTGGGGCACATACCGTCCTTGAGTAGGACAGTTGTAATAGCAGTGCGTGCGTTCGCACGAGTGGCGGCTCTGCGGTACTGGAGAGTCTTCACCCATGTAAGCACCAGAACGGCCGTGTCTGCAACGATAGAACACTCGCGGGTACCCATGAACACTGGAAAGATGATATATGAATGATTGGATGCCAAACAAATGTAATACGTACAGCTTTTGACATTACAAGCCCACAGTTAGTCGAATGAATACAACAGGTAAAGAACAACTGCACCTTTTAAGTGCTGCGGGAGTAAGCCGTGATACCATACCACAAGAATTTAGTGTTCGAGAGAGGACCAGGAGTTGAGGTTCAATGATGACTGTCAAGCACTAGAAGTAAAATTGTACTTGCTTCAATAGTCGATGGCAAAGGATACAGACACGCACCGTGAGGAGAATAGGGTTTACCAAGCAGAGTAGTAGAACGAAGCCGAAGACCAGGCGATTGCCGTAGTACAGAGCATAGACGCGCATGGCAGAAAATACTTCGCAGTGTGAGCAGTATATGCATAGAAAAAAAAACAATGCATACCTGCAACCGCGATCATCAAGATGACAATAAGCACCATCTGCACCCTCTCCAGGACGGCACACCTAACCATAGACATCAGATAACTTACGCTGGATTTTCTGATGAAGAACAAACATCTATACAAGTGTCATGAAATTGCAGAGAAAGGAAGGCTTGGACTCTCACCAGATATGATCTAGTAGACCAAGTTGTTAACACCTCCAGCATGACGCACAACAGGCCACTATAGCGCACGACATAAAAGAGCATTGCTGCAAAGTGAATTTACGCTTTGCACCCCATACAACGTGAATCTCCCGCGCAAAGGTAAGTCCATAGTCATACACAATTACGGCTAGGTATGACGTCGTCAATGGCAAGGCTGTTCAGTGATTATACAGTCTGGGCGCACCGAACGCTGAGGCATAGCCTGCGGCGGAAAGAAAGCTGGGGTATATCGATATGAGCCACCTAACATGTCGAGCTCAAAGAGCTGTCACTCACTCTTGCTGATACAAGGCAATTACCATGGCGGCAGACCGGATGGAAGGGGAGAAAATAGTAGGACCACCTAGCGATGGTCCGACAAGCACCGTGGTTCAAAAGTAACTTGTAGCGTCTAAGAGTCAGAGAAATGACATGGTGATAATGATGTATTCCGTGTTCATCATTGAGGGCTTTGATTCGCAAGTTATAAGAAGGAAAACACGATATAACAGTCGCATACCATTGTTATTGGTGGTCTTGGCATCTATCAAGTTGTCAGCCTCTTTCGAGGTTAGCCCCACATCCTGCCAATCGAAACCTTGGAGGTGATAACGAGCATCTCCGAGGGTGCATTTGGTTGTGGGTTTTGATAGATCACAAAGAAACGGCTCTGCGTTAGGACCACGGTGGTATCAGAGACTGGACGACGAAGCCTACCTCTGGCATGGAACAGTTTTCCAACTCTTCTCCATTAGACTTTCGAGCTGAGACTGACCTTGAGCAAGCTTTCAGGATAGCCGTGCAGATAGCTGTGAACTTCATGTCTCTCCGAGCTGCTTCTCTGTACCCTCCGTTGTGTTATCGGCGTCCTGGCTCTTTCGACAGAGCTTCCGGATCCGTTTTTGGACATCGGAAATGCTCTAGTTCCCGACGTTGCCTGTAGATCGATAGAGTATATTGGTCTCGTGGTCCACGTCGCCTTATCTCTCGCACCATCCGTGCCGGCTGTTTGTGGTTCGCGTCTTCATGTAATCTCGGTTCCTTTCCCATTTTCTGGAATACTGATGACTCCATTCCTCCCGCTCATGAAGTCCCTTTGTGGGTCCATGTTGGCATATCCCACACTTCGTGTCCATGGATGTTCCAGGTGCCTGATGCAGCACTTAAGTGGTCCATGCTTAGTACCCCATTTTTCGGGGTTCGTGATTGCAAATTCCAAACAGTATCCGATCCGTACATGCCAACGAGATGCGTATGAATTTTGGACGACACACTTCCTCTTTTTTGTAGTCAACGCCAGCTCAGTAGCCAGCTTTAAAAGCAGTCGAAGGCGGGGAGATACTAGATGGACCGGAATCCTGTTCGTCCGTGGTCACCCGTGAGGACAGGTTAATCGATGAACTGTAGTATTCAGTTTCCGGGATACAACAATAACACCAAGGCATTCTATGCTGCGCATTTCTCTGCATACCGCTATCGCATCGTATACGGGATCACAGCACCAGGCGGAGCAATTCGACCCACTTCTTCATAAAGCCCTCCACATCGCCTTTCGGCATCGCGTTGATGTTTGCGTCGACGCTCAAGGTGAGCTTCCCATCCCAGGAATACGACCGGAAGAACCTGTCCGGGCCAGACGGCTCAGCGAACGTCTGCACTCGACAAAGAACAGACGAGCTTACGGGCCAGGATCGGTCTTGTTCAAGGACACAAAGAAGTCATTGATCTTGATGATGTCTATGCCCTTCGCATCACTATACGCAGGCTGTAAATAGGTTTCGCCGACGCCGTCGCCGGCGTACCATGGGCCCATCCACGGCGGCGGAGGCCTGAGGTCCAGTCATAGAGTGAGCAGAGCGGCGACAGAGACGCTGAGAGCGTTGCATTTGAGACTTTTGAGAGAGTACACTCACCCTTCGAGTGCTTTGAGCCCGAGGATCATCAGGTCGACCTGCTGGCAGACCACACCAAGCAGCGATGGATATGCGCGTTGCTTCGTGTACTCGTCTTTGACGATCGACGCGAGTCGGAGCAGAACTTGCTCATTGCTCTCTCCAGCAGTGGCAACCGCGGCAGAAACGGGAATTTGGATCACAGACACGCCGAGAGCATAGCCGGGGTAGCCGAGCTTCTCGGAGTATAGAGCAGCAAGGCGTGTGCGACTGTCCGCCAGTCCGTAGTATGCGAACCTTGCATCTGGAGAGGTAGACGTGTTCGGGGGATTGTCCAGCGCGCACACAAGTGAGATGGCAGCATGGGCTAGAGAAGAGTAATTGGGTATCAGCCGAGCCTGCGCAAGAGTTATCGTATGCGCCTGACCAATGTGATTGAGTGTAAATCCGCGCCCCTTCACTGCATTCAGCAGCCGCTTACTCTCGTCCTGGGAGAATGTATAGAACATCCGGCGTGTGGGACCTGGACCGAAGTTGCGAGCTTTGAATCCGTACTGGTGCTACAGCCAGCGCCATATGGAATCAATTCAGCGGATCGAATAATGAGTAAGTACGTACGGGCATGGCACTATCCAAGTCACTCATGATACCACCCAATGTTTGAATGTAATTCTCTCCTGACCGATCCTCTTTCGGACCCAAGGCCTCTGAAACGCATGGCAAAAGGTTCTTGGCCTCCGTGCCCCAATTCAACTGTACCTGCGCAGCAAGTGCAGGATTGTCTATGTATTTGGCCAGCTTGGTGAAGAAGACGGTGAGCAGAATCTTGATACCGGCACCATCGAACGGGACGTGAGAAGTGTGCAGGAGGAAATCGTACGAAGTATCGGATAGAGAGACGATATACAGGAATGTCTGGTCACCGTTGGCCTCCGGGATGAATTTCTTTCCCAATTCGAACCGCAGATCGTCAAGGTCCGGCGTGCCCTCAGCGAGACGGACGGTACGCAGGGCCCAGTCGCCCACTTCGTCGGCGTCCTTGGCGGTGCGATAAGTGATGAACGGGAGGCCCGCATTGTCATGCTCGGTATGCGCGGCAATCGTCGGCGTCTCAAAGCGGAGAGCGATCCAAGCCTCCCTGGCAAGGGCTGCCAGCCTAGCGGATGAGACAGGAGTTGCGATCACCGCCTTCACACCGAGGAAGAGGTATTGTTCTCCGTGGTTCCCATTATGGACGACATCCTCGAAGTACTCCCCGCCACCAGCCTCGCGCTTCCAATGTGACGGATCTTGGGGGGAGGAACGCCAGATGTAACGTCCAAAGTCGAATGGTGCAAATGAGGACATGTTCTACGGTAGGATGGTTAGCTGGAGTAGCGATGGATCCCCTGGTGGTTGGTGGACCCGTGCTCTCGCGACCTTTTAAAGACGTTAGAGATCGGGCAAGTTGTCCGATGCAGAGCTTCCTAAGCGAGTAACGGCAATGTGCTTGCTTCAACTTGGTATGTTGTACAGAAGCATCAGATCAGAGTCTTGTCTCCCACAAACTGGAGAAGCGCGGATATTGACTGACCATTGTTTGGCCACATCTCCGCTAGGTCAGATACATGAGAAACTTCGATGGAGATAAGGCTATGCTGGTGAACAGAGTTCTGGTAAATACATGCGTCAGCACTGCCGTTCGAGGTACTCACGCGCGGAGAACATGGAGACAGCACAGACGACACAACCAACTTTCCATCTAACAAGATGGAAGCTTCACCGGGCGCAACCTTCTATGATTTTCACTACGATGTTCCCACTGCAACAGTGGAGACGCTGAGGCCTGTAAATTTTTGCCTGATCTGAGGAACCTGGATAGCAGACCATGAGTCATATTCACGCCCGCCGACGGAGAATCAGGAATTGATATTCACACCACACTTAGGTGTAAGCTCCTGGAGGATGACTAGGAAGGTAGTTCGTATCATAGCACCTGAATTGCTCCGCGGGCGCCCCATTATCTAGCCCATCTAAAGTCCGCTGCCAGTGTTTTCCATTTGGTATGGAATGGAAGCTATAATGACCCACTGGCAGACCACTGGCAATGCCAGATGCTTCTCACAAAGCGGTCCTATAGCTTGTGAACCCTTTCAGCGACAGTCACTTGAGGTAGGAAAGGACAATAGATAGCTACGACCAGGTCCTTCACACGGAAATGGGGTACATCCTGGCCTGCATACCTTTTTCTTGCCTCAAATTTATTTCTATGCGAGGGAGAAGCCCTAGGTAGACACTGAGGTGACGTAACTATCTAGTGGGATGGGCGTACGTTCGTGATGTGATATCTCAACGCTGGAGTGTTCCGAGCGAAGCGCTCAGTCTCCCAAAACTTCGTTCCCCAGGATATCAGTGTCTGGCCGCTCAGATGGATCTTCTTAACCAGGGTGCCCACGCCGGAGGTTGAGCTCAGCCTGAAGCTAGGAGCATAGGCTTCGCCGCACCGCTCGCGACAAGAGGTGCAGGTCAGACTCGAAGTACTGTCAAGATGAGATACTTGATCGTGGATTCATGATGAGTCCAGAAGTATGCATTAGATCATAGCTGGTCGTTCTGATCGTGGATTCATGATCAGTCCAGAAGTTTGCATTAGATCGTACCCAGTCGTTCGTATGCCGCCGCTCCACGGTTGTGAGAATGAAGAAGTGGGTGGTATCTGCGGCCGAGGTAACAACTGGCAAGATGCCCAGCGGCCCAGCATATCCGATTGGGAGCCTAGTACTGCCAAAACAGCTAACAGGTTTGTTTCCCTTGATTTGGCTTCACGCATGATATATTCATAACTGCCCTGCCCCCAAACTGGGTGGGTATATCGGACATACCCGAAATCGAAAGCACAAGATACACAGTACTATGTACTATGTATTCGGCAGCCCAAAGAACGATGATCACGAGAAAATTACAGATATCTCGAGCTAGCTACTACATCCCCTAGACTTCACTTATTTTAGACTCCACTTCCGTCAGCGACACCACCTTCGAAGGGAGGTCATCCAAATCGCGGCGCGTCTCAATCGTTCTAGTAATCTCGATGTGGTCGCACCGCGCAATCCGGTGGTCAAACGTTCGCGTCTCGAGGGCATACATCTCCATGGTTGTTCCCCCTGCGGAACCAGAGGCAGCGCCATGAGACCCGCACCCTACAAAAGCAGGCGGGCGTGAGATCCCGTCGATGTGAAAGGACGTCACGTCTGAATTGCGCCCATGTGGATTGCACGGAACACCCGTGTAGCCATGGCATTCTCCAGTGCGATGTTCGGGATTGTGAACATGGCGTGGAAGACGGGAGAGACCTTAGGTGAGATGATCATGGCCATCGTCAATATATTCAGCGAAACCGTAGCGCTGAGCACATAGAGCAACTGTTAGCATCCGTAAGACCAGTGAGACCAGTGAGTTGTGCACGTACAAGTAGTAAAGCTGCCCACCCTGTAGGAGCATTCTGGATAGTTTTGGAAGACCCTCGCCTCGGAAGAAAGACCTAAATTTGTCCCTTGCAGTTCCCTGCTCCTGTATGGAGAACGACACCAGCCGGAATGAAATTGCGAAAAAGACGAGTGTGTCATTGATGGTATTAAGAATCACCCCAGACGAACTGACTGGCTTGACACTGGTGTTGATGCATCTGTCCGTTGTCCCAATGTGAGCTCCATGGATAGAAAATGGCACAGTGAACGATGTGCCGAGGATGGAAAGCCACAGAATTCCGAAAAATATGACAACGGGTTTTGAGTTATGGAAAACGGCGCAAACGCATAGATAGAACAGAGCGGATGTAGCAGGGATGCTGACTGCGAAGAAGGTACGAAGAGCCAGTTGAAGCTCTTGACAAACCCCCACCGGTGCAACTAAGGGGGTAAAGTCATTCCTAAAGATGGGTAGGGGCAGCCAGACGGACGAACCCTGGAAGATAGTACTGGTCACAATGTATGTAAATGCACTGAGCCTGAAGTTCATTATTCATAGTCAATGCGAATTAGGTTTTTTTTGAGTGAGATTTTAAGGGGAGCTTACCGGGAGAGACAATAGACAATTTTAGAAGCTCGTATAGGCTTCTTGAAGATGATCCTATACTCATCAGGCCAAGCCGTCATCCAGTCCCAAATGAACGCCTAAAAAATTGACAATTAATTGGCGGATACGAACTCTGAAAAGGACAATAACATGCTCACCACGAGGGTGGCCACATATAGATAGCATGAGGCCTCGAATTCGTTGGCAGTGGTTGGCGTCAGGAATGCCAGAGGAGTATACGGGTTGGGCAATACTTCAGTGGGCATTGAAGAGTCCATGGCTAAGAGAGGCTTGTGCACAGATGGATGTGGGATCCTTGTGGAACCATTGCGAGCGTATGATAAGTAGTACCACACTCGCGCGTCTGGGAAGGTAACAGCGCCAACTCTAGTCCAATGATGCATAAAATGCCCATGGAATAAATTGGTAACCTCAATTCCACAATGAGAAATTTCCACACGGTTTATGCTCCTCGGTCACAAGTTACAGCTACCTGGGATCAGAACGAATGACAGCCTGGTCCCACCTGCCTCAATGACTCGAAACAGATGTCAACACTCCGATGCGATAATTTCGGTTTAGTCGGCGGACTTAGTTTCAACTCACCATCTTTTTATGGGGACCAGTAGTATGATGGAACACTTGGAAGGTAGATGCAACACTTGCGGCTAAGGTGAACGGTACGCACGTTAGACTAGGGAGCCATTGGGTGCCAATCGAACCCGAACAATCGCATTGGTGGGTGAAGAATGAACCGATCTCCCGATCACGTCATTTATTTAATATTCATAAGGCCCTGGTGCTCGGCCCGGGCAGGGATTAGCATCACACTGCAGTGTCCGAGAATGGCCTCTCTCAACAACATACTTGCCAGCGCCCATCTGGCCATTATGCATGGCACTTTACTGACCCGACCAATGGACATGCGCGTCCCACGCTCTGGAGTAGTAGGGTGAGGCTTGAGTGTTTTTGCCTCAGTCTTTTGTAGAGTCTGTTTACAAGTATATCGGAAGCGCAGCAAGCAGAGACTGCGAGGTCTATCCCCAAAGCAGTCATGTACGTCGTACCCCAAGTCCCTGAACCCGAATCTGGACCACCTCAGGCTGGACCTTCTCCAGGGTTTAAAGAAGATGGTCTAGGCTGGTCGGCGCATTATTTGCACTTTTCACCAGATGAGCGCATTTGGGAGCCTCCAGATTTGCTATCCGACCCCCAGCTCTCTACGTGTTCCTAGGTGCCAGAGTAGCTTGTTTTTGGTCCGTCTGTGTCCCACCTTCGGTCATACGCATGACTGACTGAGGTGAAACTGACAGACCTGTGTGTTCCCTTTTTTGCATCGTCTAATTTGCTGAGTCGCATGAGATCAGCGAGGCACATGCATTTGACATCCTCTCCATCGTGAGTGTGGGCAACATCTTCGGCCATATTGTCCCGCATATTTCAGTAGATTTAATGGGAAGATACAACCTATATCTCCTTTTTTTCTGTTTCCTCCAGCCTCTTCACGCTCGTGCTCTGGCTCACCCAGATACACATGCAAGGCCTCGTCGCATATTTGGCCATATACAGCTTCTTTTCTGCTGCATTCATCTCCCTCACCACCCCATGCATCACCCCAATCTTCCCCATAGAGCAAATTGTAACGAGGATCGGGTTGGCCTACAGTATTCTGTCGTTCCCGTGAGTTGTCATCTCCTCAGATCGGTAGGAAGCCACTAACTTAAGCTGCCCTGCATTTTGCAGTAATCCTGTTGGTTCTACCATTGTCGGTATGCTCCTGATGCATGCGCATGGAGAATTTCACTACAATGATTACATGGATGTCACCTTGCTCGCCGGTAGTATGATCTTGTTGGTCGCAAGGTTTATCATTGATAGAAATCCGCTAGTCAAGGACCAGCCGGGTTGCAGTTACAATGTTATTCGTACTATTCTACATGCACTACATCATTATGCATCCTGTGCCTCTTTGAACTTGATATGCCACTGTACTAGGGAGCAGAGTTTCCTAGAGCTTATGTGCAGTCACAGGCCATCTAGATCAATGCGAGAGCTGAAATAAATCAAAATGCTGTATATGCCAATGGGCGTATGGGAAAATTGCTCCTGGAGGATGGAGACAAGTCTTCGAACTGAGCTAGAGAACCCTTTGGCAATAATTTACCGAGCCAATCCCATAAAGATGATAATTACGGCATGGCTATTCATGTTCGACCCTGTGGCAATCACACACAGCTCCTATGCCCTAGCACAAGAGACTATGGTGTCAGCGCTGAACAAGGCTTCCATTCTACCATCCGACAGGGCTGGTTCGAGCACTTCCTTATCAAATGCAGTACTTACCGTAGAGAACATATAGATACAACAAACGCCTCCGTCTAACTTCGAAAAGCCTAATCTTGGGCGGTGAGAACGAACTGTTTGAAAGCTCCTCCGATGAATACCAGTGGGTCTCAAGGCTGGGTTCTAGGCGGCCGGAGAGTTATAAATTTAGTATTGGTCAGGAACACATAACTATCCATATGGACCAACCTGTTGATATATTCCGGAACATGCATCTTGGTAGTGTCCAAAGTTAAATCAGACGATGGATACTGGATGATATGCCACTGGTAGTCATCGAAACGTACGCTGGAAATCTGATGCTTCATCCGTCCACATCTTTGTGGTGTACCAAAACTTATCCCGGTCAATTCTGAAAGGCTCGTTTCTTCTAGTGTATTGATGAGCGCCCATTACCCATGAATGGGTTCCGCAGCAAGAACCATCGAATTACTGCCGAAGGTTGCGGGACTCGCAGAACGTGGTGCTGCAGTGCTAAACTTGGCTTAGTGAGATATCATCATGATTTCCACAAAGTGGGACTGACGAGTCACCGGATGTCCCAATTCAATGGCTTGAGGCAATATTGAGAGGAAATATTGAGATTCGGTCATTCCGACCATTCTGTGAGGTTGCTCTGCAGAAATGTCTGTGGTACGATGTGCAATTAGCAAGTTTGCTGCCTCAGTGCCTGCATTCAAATCGCACCCATTCGATCTGAGCTCAGGTGATGTGGTCACTTACAGAATAAATATATCGAGGGCGTTGCGTTCGGACCGCGGACTACTTTTCCTGCTTGCTTCCATTACCTCGATCTGCCACCGGAGGAGGTAGTACATTCTGGACCAGCATATACCGCAGGATAAAATCGCTAATATACTTCCTCGTCCACCTTTTACTCGTATACTTTAAAACCCAAATTGGCCGCACGATCGGACATCGAAACTGACTAAGGTGGTGTGCACGTGCCTAAGTGTCTTCGCAATGGCACATATTGCTCTGTCCATTGTCTTTTCCACTGGCCTATACTTGGCTGACTACACCAGCATGTAACCTTGAAGAGTATAACGCAGCAATGTTGAGATAGGTCTTCTTGGTTTAAATGACACGGCGGCATCTAGGTCCTGAGAGTCAATTTTCATATGTGACTCAGTGAGGAGCGCGGGACAGCCTGCGATATCTCTGTGCTCGAGCTATACCACTAGAATTCTGTCGGAGCCGCGACTCGTGAACTAATCGGATCTCAAAAAGTCATCAATTTTGTGGGCGCTCTTCTCGTTTGTAGAACACTCTGATTGCTCTCATGAACCACAGCACTGCTGATGCACGTTGAATTCTACCTAAAGGGAATTATGAAATAAAATGTGAGTACTCAATATGGCATTCGTAATTTCGCGCTCTCTCTATAAGAGCCGGGGATAGGCCAGAACTTAGATCCCTACGAACGAAATATTCACAGTGTATGTCATGTCTGGAGAGGTTGCTATAGTACGTTCTGTCCGAAATGACGATGTTCGTACGCTTACAATCCCAGGTCGGTATTTCTGCCGAATTACCCAGTGGGTCGTACTCCACAGACAATCTTGACCATGAATCTTTCTTCAAGTTCTTAATGACACGAGAGCAATCTTACGAGCGGCTGCCATCGAGTCGTTTCAATATAGATTCGTGAGCAACTATATTTTGGTGTTGTTGAGTGTGCTGCTGACGCTTCAGTAGATGGAAGGGCAACGGTCCCGCTGAGATCCACGTGGACCAAGGTTCGTTCTTGAAAGATATCGAGATGTTTGACAACGTCGAATTCGGCATATCTTCACGAGACGCTCATAATATGGCACTTGGCACGAGAAAGCTCCTCGAGAATTGCTTTCTCGCGCTCCTCGACTCTGGGATTGACTATAGAGCAAAAAACATGGCTGCTTCACGTCCGGTGTCTCCAACCAGATAACCGACGTTTGTGAACCAGTAAGCACCTCATTTCTTTATCTCTGCTTGAATATCGTAACTTGATTCATTATCCAGGATGAGTATGACGCGAAAGGGGCTTTCTCTGGTCTACCGGCAATGGTTGCCAATCGTATTTCTCACCACCTCGACCTGCTCGGCCCTTCTCTCGCCACAGACACTGCCTGTAGTTCGACCCTAACGGCCTTGCACCTCGCCATGCAAGCTATCTTTAGTGGGGATTGTGAAGCCGCCGTCGTTGGTGGATGTCAATTAAATCATCGGTGATTTGTATTCCGTTGCGCAGATGTATCTGCATACTGTACTTACCCATAGCATCCTGCATATCAGTTTCCTGGACTGGATTATATATAGTCAAGGCGGCGTTCTCTCCAAAGATGGGAAATGCAAGCCATTTGACTCAGTTGCCGATGGGTATGCATTCTCAACTGTCTTCCTCCTAGGGCCACATTAATGCAGCACAGATTCTCCAGAGCTGAGGGATGTGTAGCTATCGTAATCAAGCCACTCGAGCAGGCTTTGAATGACCACGATCGTATTTATGCAACGGTAAGCCTCAGCCGCGAAGCTGTATGGCCTGTATTCACTACGTCTGTAGGTATTGGGCACTGCCATCAATTCTACCGGATCCGGAGCACCACCCTCTGCACCAGTTGCTGAGTCGCAGCGTGATGTCATGATCCATGCCTTTAAGCGTGCTCGCCGAGAGCCGCAGGAGGTTGACTACGTCGAAGCCCATGCTACAGGTTCGTCACAGATGCAGCAAGTGGAAAAACTGCAGAGCTGACGTGACAAACTAGGAACGGCAAAGGGAGACCCAACGGAAGTTAATTGGATTGGTGAACACTTCCGAAGACAGGAAGAACTATTAATTGGCAGTGTCAAGGGAAACATCGGGTGCGTTCATTTTGCTCATCCTGGTTCGCTCTTGATTAATCGGCCCTATCAAGACATACCGAGATTGTGGCGTTCTTGGCGTCTCTGTCGAAGG